CCTAAACCCTAAACCCTAAACCCTAAACCCTAAACCCTAAACCCTAAACCCTAAACCCTAAACCCTAAACCCTAAACCCTAAACCCTAAACCCTAAACCCTAAACCCTAAACCCTAAACCCTAAACCCTAAACCCTAACCCTAAACCCTAAACCCTAAACCCTAAACCCTAAACCCTAAACCCTAAACCCTAAACCCTAAACCCTAAACCCTAAACCCTAAACCCTAAACCCTAAACCCTAAACCCTAAACCCTAAACCCTGAACCCTAAACCCTAAACCCTAAACCCTGAACCCTGAACCCTAGACCCTAAACCCTAGACCCTAGACCCTAGACCCTAGACCCTAGACCCTAAACCCTAGACCCTTAACCCTTAACCCTAAACCCTTAAACCCTAAACCCTGAACCCTAAACCCTTCACCCTAGCCTGAAACCATGTTCGAGGCCTTATAGAGAGCCAAAGAGGTCGAATTTTTAAGTTTGGACTTCATAGGTGTGATCAGCACATCGAAATTGCCCAAGATCACCCTTAACACCGGGGTCCATTTTTGGACACCCCAACCCCAAAACACTAGGTGTAAATATGAGACATGCATCAAATGAAAGCCCTTTATGTATATGTTCCATTGCAAGTCTTTCCACTATGCCATAGGCCCCCCTTTTGAGGAGCTAGAGCATCTAGAAGGCTGCCAGGGTCTTTATGGATTTCTTAAAGGTGTGCTACCTCCAAAATGGCATTGCAACTTTTTCTGGGACATGCATCATGTGAAAGCTCCATAAGAGTGGGTCCCATTGGAGGCCTTTGCACTGTATCAAAGGCCCCCCTTTGGAGGAGCTATGGGCTCCACAAGACTAGAAGGGAAATGATCATTCTTTTCAAGGTGTGATAGCTCCAAAACGGCATTGTAACTTTTGGTGAGACATGCATCAAATGAATGCCCTATATGTATATGTCCCATTGCAAGTCTTTCCACTATGACATAGGCCCCCCTTTTGAGGAGCTAGAGCCTCTAGAAGGCTGCCAGGGTCTTTATGGATTTCTTAAAAGGTGTGCTACCTCCAAAATGGCATTGCAACTTTTTCTGGGACATGCATCATGTGAAAGCTCTATATGAGTGGGTCCCATTGGAGGCCTTTGCACTATATCATAGGCCCCCCTTTGGAGGAGCTAGGGGCTCCACAAGACTAGAAGGGAAATGATCATTCTCTTCAAGGTGTGATAGCTCCAAAACGGCATTGCAACTTTTGGTGAGACATGCATCAAATGAAAGCCCTATATGTATATGTCCCATTGCAAGTCTTTCCACTATGCCATAGGCCCCCCTTTTGAGGAGCTAGAGCCAACCCTATGCAAACCCTAGCCTGAAACCATGTTCGAGGCCTTATAGAGAGCCAAAGAGGTCGAATTTTCAAGTTTGGACTTCATAGGCGTGATCAGCACATCGAAATTGCCCAAGATCACCCTTAACACCGGGGTCCATTTTTGGACACCCCAACCCCAAAACACTAGGTGTAAAAAGAATAGATGCAAGTGCCGACATTACAGGCCCGTAACACAATACAGCCGGCAAAAAGAAGAAATGTTTGTCGAGGAAGCATTGTAAGGGCGGGTCGATGTGATTTGGAAAATTCATGTGACAAAGCAATGTACCTGGTCAACTGCAAACAAAACCTTTTGCAACATCTGCCATGACTAGCTGTGCTTTGGCCGCCATGCCAGCCGGGCTGGAGATGCCAGGGCGCAAGGCCTGTCAGAGAGCAAACACAAATAAAGATTCCGGTTGTAAGTGGGATGCATGCGGCGATTACACTTTGAACATGTTGTTGCTATCTTACATACTCAGGTCCCAAACCGCATAGAGAAAGAATCTGACCATGTGGTGTGCATGTATAGGACCAAATTTCAAAAAAAAGTGCGATTAAACGTATCTCACCAAAAGTGGTTCCTCACAAAAACAGTCCCTCAGATGCTCACTTCAACTCAACCACAATGAAAAAATTGCGCACTTACAAAGAAGTACATACTTTATGGAAACCCAGCAAGTCACCATGCAACATATGGCATGCAAAATGGCAAAATTAGATGTCAAAGACAGAATGAAAACCCAAAATTGTTGGATCCCTTGCAAGAGAGGTCTGCAGATTCACATTCACTCTGTCTGGAGCCCCGGGGGTTCGTAAAGGTTCAAGGCGCTCATCTACTTCTTGAATGCACTCCAAAATTACTCTCCATCAGAAGTGCTTACACACTCTGCACAACCTTCCCATTCTTGTGCTCGGGCTTGGCAGCAGGGTGTGTTGCAGCAGTGGACTGCTCAGCTGCCAGGGCAGCCTCCTTGTCGGCCTTGCTAGCGCCCGGGAAGGTCCCAAACAGCAGCGCAGCCGCCAGGTTGAAGGCGCCCAGTGTCGTCATTGCTGTGCCGTATGAGTAGTGGTCACTCAGGTAGCCAATCAGGTAAGGGCCGATAATTCCACCTGTCATGAGAACCACAAGCAGATTAAAAGGCAAAATCACAGCAGGCTTACCATTGATTGACATTTAGAAACCTGCACGTCATAACTTGCTGTTTGTTTCCAATAAATTGGCAATCGGTGCCACTCATTCTCTAGCTGCAGCAGCAGACACGCGAATAATTAAGACAAGTCTGCAAAGCAGCACCTGCGGCGCCGCAGGTGTTGAAGAGGGCGATGCCAGAAGCACGGGCAGGGCCATGGAAGATCTCTGCAGGCCAGGACCATGCCGGGCCAAATGTGCACCATGTGCATGCGCCCGCGATGCACAGCACGGCAAAGCCGGCAATCGTCCCGCGCTGCTGGGTGGCAATGGGCACGCAGCTGCACAGACACAAGAAAGGGTCAGGACCTATATAATTCTCCGGAATGACTACGGTATCATGCAGCAATGAGCAGACAGGGATGAGAGCTAGTATCCTTGACAGAACGCGCATAAAAATACAGCAACTTCTCGGCAATGGCTTGAAAGAAAGTCTCGCACATGAAGGCGATGCCGGAGCAGAGGAGTGGGATGGCTGTGTGGAAGTTCTTCTCACGGTAGCGCTTGCTGCTCCATGCGATGAGGGTCATGACAATTGCAGCGCTGACGTACAGGATGGCTGAGATGAGTGCCAGCTTGGCGCTGTACCACGCCTGCTCCTTGGGGTTCGCTGCAATAGAAAGATCATCACGTCTCAACGCAAAGTCAGCACAACCCAGCTGATCCACAGAGACACCCCACACCTATCTGACCACCAGCATTGCATGAAATAATTCTCTTACTGTGAGTCTCACATTCACCGTTTCTGGAACTGCTCAGTCTTCTTCGGCCAAAAAAAGCAGACAGCTGGTCAACGGTATACAGTGAGGTAGTGAAGTGGCACAGAGGAATCACCCAGGGTGGTGGTGGCGGATTTGCCGTTGAAGTTGCCGGAGATGATGCCGTCCAGCAGCAGGGGCACCCAGAACAAGATGCCGTAGCGCACAGTCTCCTCCAGCAGCCACGCCAGCGACAGCCACCAGATGCGGAAGTTGAAGAAGCTGCCTGCAGGCGCAGCCAATCAAAGTTTATGCATGAAGCTGATGCATTGAATATGTGTGACACAGTAGACAACCACGAGAGACTGCACTCTGAACACATGTCAGCACACGCCACTTCGCCCCATAGATCCAGTGCCAATGTCTTAGAAATGCTGGGCAGCAGGGTGAGCACAGGTTAAAGTATTACAGGGTTCCAAAGACAATCGCAAGAACAAGTCAAGCAGTGAGCCGGCAGGACGCACTGAGCATGCTGCCACTGTGGGGATTAGCAGCTGCTCGGATACTGGCTTCGCGCTTCTGGCGATCGTCCAGCCAGACTCGCTCCTCGCGCTTCAGGAAGTATGCCTTGAGGGGCGTCTGAGCCAGGCCAAACTGCAGCAGCAACCATGAACAATCTGCTCATCTCAAATACAGAGCAACACACAAAGCTTGAGATTTCTCAGAGATCCACGATACTGCAGTGCCAGTGCATAAGCAAACAAGCATGAGCAGGGACTTGTCACCAGCAGACGACATTACAGTGCATTTTGTTCGGCAGAGGCATGCAGGTAAGAGGACTCACGTAAAAGATGACGCCGAACAAGATGGTGATGAGGCCCTCAATGAGGAAGAGCCACCTCCAGCCGCGGATGCCCCTCACCCCGTCCATGAGCATTAGGGCTGCACCGATCGGTGCACCGATGACCTGTGACAGGGCTGTGCTGGTGGCCACCAGGGCCAGCGCCGGGCCCGTCTCGCTGGCGTTGAAGAAGGTTGTGATGTGGAACCACATGCCTGCGCATGCACAGCAAGTCAGCATTGTCCTGACCAACAAAGAGGATCGGAGCGCACAATATTCACGGCAATAAAAACCCAAGGCAAGCATTCGACCGGGAAACCGCAGTTGCTTCCTCTGGCTTGCACTTCTTGCAGCTGCTGCTTTAGCATCGACACAGCTGCTGACTAATAACATACCTGGGAAGGTTCCAGACTCCACAATGCCAAGTATGAGGCGCTGCACAATGTAGCCGTTGGGCGTTGCAATGAGGCAGCCGAGGGCAGACACCAGGCCCCAGCCCACAAGAATTATGGTGAGCCAAGGAGCTCCAATGGCCTTCAGGCACAAGTTTGAGGGCACCTGACCAACAGTGTACCCCACAAAGAAGATACCTGCAAAGGCAGCCAGAGGATTAGGCTGGAATTCGGAGAAACCAGTACTCAAGCAGGTCAGAAAATACAATAGTAGAATAAAACAATGGTACTGATACACGTGAGCAATTTGCAGTAGGCTTCAGCAGCTTACTTGCTCCCAGTCCATACACAGTGTTCGAGAGGTTGATGTCCTTCTTAAATTGGAACGCAGCAAAGGACAGGTTGGAGCGGTCGAGGTAGGTGAAGAAGACGAGCATCCACAGCCAAGGGAGGAGGTAGAAGCAGCACTTTCGAATCACTCTGGCGCCCAGCACCTGCAAAGGAATTGAAAGGGAATTTCGCTCCAGTGCTTTAAATCATTCCGACATTCGGAGATCTGGCTATACAAAATACAAAATTCGCATGCATGTACACTGAATTCCATCACGTGTCATTCATGTATCTACATGCATTAATAAAACCTGTGCACACAACGCATGTTCCGCCGACACTGACGTCAAGGAGATTGCCCGCTGCACAAAAGCAGCGTTGCAAACGAAGCTCCCATAATTGGGAATTATCACGATCGCAGGATGTAAGAAAGACTATTTCACAAATAAGTTGTTCTTTTTCTCACCTTATCATCCTCAACGACTTCATCAGTGGCAGCGACATCCCGCTTCGTGATGCCGGCATCGCCGGGCCTCTGCTCGTCCATGGCAGTATTTTCGGGTTTCATTGAGCGTTGATCAGGTAAGTACTGCACGTTGATTAATTAAGCACCAGACTCCCAGCTGTTCCCACCCCAATTCCTCACGCCTGCCGCAGTGCTGCGATCTGCTCTGTGCGTGGTCAAAACCTTGTGGCTGACAGGAGCTAATTACAAGGCTGCCCACTTGATGTTCAGGCAGCTTGACCAAACATTACCCCGGAGCAGAACTGATTCTGACGGTAGTATACCTAAATCATCACGACACCGCGTATCCCATGAGCAATGGAGGCCTAGTCAACACTGACGTCAATCAATGGGGCACCACGAGGAGCGTTCACGTAATCCAGCCGCGCCTCGGCTCATCTTGGGCTGAAAGGTTTTTTTGAATTTTTAGAATTTGCCACCAATGTTTTACCATGTGAGAGACAAAAATTACAGCAAGACAGCATGCATCTTAAATCACAACACTTCAGGTGCCCGCCAGTATCCCTTTATACATGTGACACTTTCACATGAATAGAGGGACGTGTGTGCCCGGGCATGCCCGAGCTGTGCGCACAGCTCGGCGTGTGGTACAAAATGAGAGTGTCTACCATTGGCAGAGCAGACCCTGTACGGCTGTAATGATTTGAATCAAGAGTCATGTAGCCAGTTAAGCTATATTTTGCATTTCAATTCTACAGATGTCTGCACAACCCTGCCATGACACCTGATCAGAGGAGTCCATGCTCTGCTAGCTCTTCGACTCAGCCCTGCTTGGCTCCTGAACACTAATGGTGCCATACAGTTTGCCATCTTCTAGGACATCAGTGCTAGCTGTTGGAGGTGTCATGGTTGGTGGGTGCTCAGAGCTGACAGGCGGCTCGATGGGATGCGCAACAGCCCCAGACTTGGATGCGCGTGCGAATGCCGGCGGGACACTGGGGTCATTGTAGGAGGGAGGGAACTGCGAGTTTGCCGGCTTCTCGTCCACCTCAGGCACTGGTATGTCTGAGGTGGAGGATGGCCGTCTGATGGCCTTGCCCAGGAGCCTGGCAAAGCCTCTGCGGTCCGCAGCTGCACAGACAAGATCCAGCCTTGTCAGCGTGGGCAAGGTCAGGGTACTTGGCCTTGCAGAGCACAGTGAACGACTTGAATGCCCCTACCCGCGTTGTCCTTTCTCTGCATCTGGACAAATGCAGAATATCAATCACAATACAACCACCAGAGAGCACACCTGACATTGTGTAGGCAGCAGGCGGGATCCTCCTCATCCCCTTGGACAGCTTCATTCGCTCACTCAGGGTCATGCTGAACACGTTTGCAGGGAAGCCACCGTCCTTTGAACCCCCTGCAGCACAGACGCAGTTCCTTTGAAATCAATCCTTGACCACACAGTCCCACATGGAGGTTCTGTACCCTCAAGCTCCATCTAGGCATGTGCACAGAGCTGCCAATGACACAAGAGCAGCAGTAGTGCAAGCTGCAATCAGGCAATCGGGCCTTGCCAGGAAGAGCACTGTGGCTGTGCAAAACAGTGGCGCACCTTCTTCCGGGCGGCGCAGTGCATCGGCGGTGATGAGGGGTTTGATGATGTCAGTTATCTGCGCATAGGCGTTGTAGAAGTCCACAGAGTCGCCCGTGACTTTGCTGGCGTCCACCAGGTGCACTCCTCGCAGAATGCTCATGACCTCCACTGTCATCTCCACTGTGCCTCGCCGCCCGGACACAACGATCCGCATCCTGCACCATGGCCACCTTTTAAACCATCTCGTGAAGTACAGATTGTAGGCTGCCCATCAGCAGTCTCGTCTGGACGGAGAGACATTCGTCCAGACGAGAGCAGTGTTATGCCTGCGGCAGTCCTGCACGGCTCAGGGTGCATATTTGTCATGCATGACTTTAGAGGCAAAATTTAAAGGTATGCTGAAAGGTTCTACTTCTGTAGCCCTGTGGAGTGAAAACCCTGCAAAGTGAAGTGCGGCTGCTTGCGCACCGGCTGCTCTCGGGGCGGCGCTTGACGGTACCGCCCAGCTTTGTGACGGCCTCTTCCACGCGCTCCAGGATCTTGTGCGGCGGTGCCTTGGACGTGAACCGCGTCGCGCGCGAGATGACGTCCTTGCGCGCGTCAAACAAAGCGCTGATGTCCAGCGCGGCGTTGATAAGCTGCAGCGAAAATCACATTCAATCTGTCACTACCCTGATAATCATTGGCATGTCTGTTGATGCCACAATAAAGAAGATGACAGCAGAGATGCGGTACAAAGCTCTGAAGAGAATAGCACCTGCAGAATGCAGACGCCACAGTGGAGCACTTGAGGAGGGAAAGAGAATGCTGGGGAGCCTGGCTGGAGATGCCAGGAGGGAATGGAATGGTCCTACATGTGCACAAGCCGCACAAAAATCTTAGTGCCCACCTGGAAGGCGTTCATGTGGTTGCCTGGAGTCATGAACCACCGATCCTCTCCCAGCGTGCTCGTCCGTCGCCGCATCGTGGACGCCTTCCTGCTCTCCTCCTGCGCACACAGCATACACAGCTAAGCTAAAGCAACGTTAATGTCCCAGTGTCTTGTATTTGACCGTCAGATGTACCCAGGAAATATTGCAGCCAAGTGCGGTTGCTCACCTTGCTGAGGGCTTTGGGGTTGACGGTCGGCTCAAAAAGATCATTGTCAGTGCCGCTCTTGGGCACAGGGTCGCGCGGCTGGGCCATGACATAATCCTTGACCACCCATGGGTGCTGCCGCAACTGGTCTATTGTCGGCCTGGGCATACATCAGCAATTGAAGAAATCATGCTCCAAAGCGCACTTAAAACTTGAAGACCGTGAGCAGGGGTGCTGCACTTGCCAATTTGATCTTCAAATCTAGAATGTGGCTTGACTTATCCTGAGCAGGTGGGGAATCCACGAGAGACTCACCTTTCCTTGGGTTTGGGGGTTAGAATGGCATGCAGCAGATGCGCCAACTCCTCAGAGAACCACGCGGGCGTGTGGTAGTCTGCCTTGCTGATCTTGCTGAAGAGCGCCCCCAGGTTTGGCTCATCAAACGGCAGCGCACCCGCCGTGATCACATACAGGCACACACCTGCAGCATTGGTCAGAGCATGATGTCACCACTCCTTCAACATGTTACCTCGTGCAGGTAGTTCTTGCCAACGAGTCGACACAGTCAAGACAGGCTCCTTCATGCTCAAGTAAACTGAGCCTGTGAAGCTTCATGCAGTTAATCAAAAGGCATGCATGAGTATCTTGCCCACAGACATGGTGGATCACCAAGAGACCAGATGTCGGCAGGCCCGCCAGCGTAGCCCTTCCTGGCCAGAACCTCCGGCGCAACATAGTTGGGTGTGCCGCATGTTGTGCGCAGCATGCCGTCTGCCAGGGAGGACTCCGGCAATGCTCCCAGCCCAAAATCGCTCAATTTTACCTCCCCAGTTGCGCTCAGCAGCACATTCTCCGGCTTCAAGTCTCTGTGGAACGTGGCAAACATGCTGGATGCCGCATAGCTCTGACAACCCCCTTTGAAAATAGCACAGATGACTTTGCCAGTGCTTTACATACCCATAAGGATTTGAGGTTGATCAAGGACTGAGCTCCCTCAACGAGAGGTAGCGCCCACCTGTGATAGATGCCCAACTTGTGGCAATAATCCAACGCGTCAAGCATCTGCTGGAACACTTTGCGTGCCGCATCTTCCTGCAAATGCAAAGAGGAGACAACTGCTCAACTTATCACATGCATCTTGCCAAGCCCAGCAGCTGCATTCTTTACTGCTCTCGATGCCGTGAAATTCAGGTTCCCTTTGGAACATATTGTCATTCTCAAGTGTGCTCTTGGATGCAGACACAGTTTTGCTGCAGCAGTGAGCCCCAAAGTAATTGAAGACCCACATCCAAAGGGCCCTCTGACACTATCTTGTCAAAGAGCTCCCCGCCGGACATGAATTCCATGACCATGTAGATCTTGTCCTTGGACGCCATGACCTCCTTCAAGTCCACTATGTTGGGGTGGTGCAGGTCCTTCATGATAGCGATCTCACGCTTGATTTGGTCTATCATACCCTCTCTGTACAACTTGTCCTTGTCCAGCACCTGCACACAGCAACCTGCCCCCCTGACCGGTGTGCATTCGTGTACGCTTGATCATTTCTTGGATCAAGTGCGCAGTTTCACCGTCATTGATTCATGCGATATGGAGAACAAGGTTCCACTTGCCTTGATGGCCACAATGTCCCCTGTGTCCACATGCTGCCCATATTTGACCTTTGCATACGTTCCCTGTCACGATGGAACGTAAGTTCAGATTTACTGGGGTGGTTCGATTGCAGCACCAGGAGCTTTAATCGCGCAGTGCCCACAAGGGAAGCTGTGCTGCACTCACCTCTCCAAGGGTCCTGCCCAGGAAGTAGTTACCGACGCGCTTCCTGAACAGCTCCTTCATTACAACCAGCTGTTCACACTGCTTTGAGCATTTCGTACGGCCTTGTCATCTGGCTTTTCAGTCCCTGTGGTGTTCAATTCTGCACCAGAAGCCCTGTGCCTCCTGAACGCTCGCGCCCATAACACCCGTGCGCACCATTGGACTGTCTAAATCGCTTCAAGATCCAGATTACACCAGATTACACCAGGCAGGTTTGGCGCTTGCTTGATTGAGTTTCAATGGTTAGGGTAGATCCATTCTTGGACCCTAACTTTGCTTAGTATTCCCCTCTTTGAGAGGGTCTTCAGCAAGCCCTGAGATTTTGGTCCTCCAGGTCGCCACGTGGCCTCGAGATAAGATTTTGATCTGCGGATATCGGCGCTTTAGTGAGTGGTGTTGGAGCGAGCACCAGAACTTGGGGATTCACAGACAAAGTTTTCCTAGAATCATAGGAAAGGAAAGTTCTCTGTGGGATCTCCAGCATGCTGCCTGCCATGGAGGGCAGTCTGGGGCTATGCAATGGGCCCAGCACACTGGCCCACAGCAGGATGCAGCGGAGTATGGGCAGTCTGAGGCCAAGGGTGCAGCCAGATGACCTTCGGTCGACCTGCAGCACGGTATATAACCTGTTAACCTTGCAGATATGGACCCTAACCTGCAGGCTCCAATTTCCAGGTGGTCCTGAACCAGCAAATCCGATGTGTGAGTTTCTCAAGTGACTGCGCACAGGCTGCCAGAGGACAGGCTATGCCAGGCAGATCAGTGTCTGTTGCGTCGAGCAGCAATGCCAGCAGAATGGTAAGGAAGCCATTTCGATTGGTCAAGACCAAACTTTAGGAGGTTGACATGTGCAGAACTTGAGAGCATCTTTCGAAGCTGTTGACTGACCTCCTCTTGGGTGGTTCAGGTCACTAGCATGATTGCAACTGGACCCAGGCCGCCCCTCAGCTTCAACAGCTCTAATGATGAGTCTCCAGTAAAGCTGGACATCGGTGGTGGCATGGGTGAGCAGACTTTGCTGTGCATGTATCTTCGAACTAAATTGTTCGATGCATTATACTCAATTTGCAAACGCTTTGATGCAGCTTATTTGTGCAGTGCGGAGGTAGGTGGTGAAGTCTAGCGACGTGAAGAGCTGAAACGCGGAGATATTTACGAAGCTCCATGCCCGTGCAGGAGGTGGACTCTTCACTAGCACGAATCCTGAGATCCGGAGAGTTGTCCCAGACAATGTCAATGGACGCACAAAGCTGAAAGTGGTTTACGTCGTACTGGAGGCGCAGTATCAGTCGGCCTTGAGTGCGGCCGTGCGCAACATCAATGCCACGCGCGACAAGGTCGGTACCTCACCACCAACATGCGTATTGGCTTCTTTTCTTCATCAAGCTTATGTTCCAGCTGTCAGTATATTGCATGCTTTCAACACACGTCTTACTGCGTGATCCATGCAGGTGTGCGTTGAGATCGTTGGGTACTTGTTGGAGGAGCTACGTGACGCCAAGAACTACGAGCAGTTCCAGAAGGACATTGCCGACGCCAACATATTCATTGGCAGCTTGATTTTCATTGAGGAGCTGGCAGAGAAGGTGAAGCCAGCTCCCTTGAAGGAGACCTGCTGCTTGTCTGTTCCACTGTGCAATAGAATATTTCCTTGTCAGTGAGAAAGATTGCATCAATATTTCCATCTGGTCTGCAGATCGTTGAGACCGTAGAACCGAGGAGGGAGCAGCTGGATGCATGCCTTGTCTTCCCCTCTATGCCAGCAGTCATGTGCGCCCACTCATACCACGCATGCCTCATTTTTGCCTGACATCAGATTCATGCAAATGCATTGGTTTGTCATGATGGCCAAGTCCCTACGAAACAATGCAATACAGTGTATTGACTATGGCCGCCTGCATTCGATGCGCAGGAAGCTGAACAAGCTCGGCACGTTCAACCTGAGCCAGCTGGGCAAGAGCAAGAGCCCCATTGCGGAGTTCATGCGCAACGCGCGCAAGAACAACGACAACTTCGAGGAGAGCCTGCTCAAGCTGGTCAGCCTTATTGTCCTTCCAGACTAAGTCTTGTCACCAGAGTTCCTGGAAAAATGGAGGAATGTATCACCTGTAAGCTGCGCAGCTGACAAGAGGATATGTGTTTGGCAGGTGCGTACGCTGCCGTCAGTGCTGAAGTACCTGCCCAGCGAGAAGGCGCAGGACGCACGCAACTTCGTGCAGAGCCTGCAGTACTGGCTTGGAGGGAACGCCGAGAACCTGGAGAATTTGCTGCTCAACACAGCGCAGGCATATGTCCCTTCCCTGAAGGGTGCTCAGTTTGACATCATCGAGCCACAGCTCTTCCCTGACGTCGGCATCTGGCACCCGCTCGCGCCCAGTGAGTCACCTCAACACATCCTGCATGCATGCCATAACCGGCAGTAGAGCCAGATTTGCGCAAGCTTATCTGCTGATAATTATTTGCTGGTAATGTGCTCCTGTTCATTAAGAAGCCCGTCAGCACCAGAATCGGACTGGAAGTGTCGACTGATCTTTTGAAACTATGAAGATATGGCTTCCAAGTGCATGGTATATTCAAGTGCTGTGCTGCATGCACAGCCATGTACGAGGACGTGAAGGAGTATCTGAACTGGTACGACACGCGCAAAGACATGACATTTGCTCCGGACGCGCCCGTTATTGGACTGGTGCTGCAGCGCTCCCACCTGGTCACCGGTGACGAGGGCCACTACTCCGGCGTTGTCTCCGAGATGGAGTCCCTCGGTGCCAAGGTAGGGCCTGCCATGCATGCAATCCAGCCCATGCACACACAGAACACACATTATGGAAGCAATTCTCTGCGTGATGTATCACCTCCAGAAGTGATCCCGATCTTGCAGTTTCATTTTGTTGCACTCCACCAGCAACAGCCTCAGTCAGCCTACTTACGGCATTGCTTTGGATGCACGGCATTTTCAAGCATGAAATCAGGCGCTTGTATTTCTGGAGGCTCACAGTTGTATGGCGATGTGCGGCAGGTGGTGCCTGTGTTTGCGGGCGGGCTCGACTTCTCGCTGCCCGTGCGCAAGTTCTTCTACGACCCCCTGGGCTCCGGCAAAGCATTTGTGGACTGCGTCGTGTCACTCACCGGATTTGCGCTTGTGGGAGGCCCTGCCCGCCAGGACGCCCCCAAGGTGCACATCTGCACCCGGAATTTTAATCCTCCTTGTTTCAATACCTTGAACCTTCTTAGATGGACGTACGTTGACATCTGACATGCCCATTGCTCGCAACTATTCTTTGTCTTTCTTGTGTTGATGTGGTGAGCACCCTGCATGGAAAGTGTGAGGTAAAGATGACAGTGGATTCAATGATGGGGTGGGATTGAAGTGAGCTTGGGTGGCTGGGCAGGCTGTGGAGGCGCTGAAGAAGCTGAATGTGCCCTACCTGGTGTCGCTGCCGCTGGTGTTCCAGACGACCGAGGAGTGGCTCGAGTCCGAGCTCGGCGTGCACCCCGTCCAGGTCGCCCTGCAGGTGCGGCCTTTTGCTCTGCTTGCTCTGAACCTGGCCTTCTTTTGGGTCTTGTGCTCAGGGTAAGCCACAACTGAGCATAAACTGTGTGATGACAGAGGACAGTTGGCCTTTGGGTTGGAGGGAAATATGTGTTGCTGGACATGAGAGGTGATGGTGGGGTGTAGGTGGCCCTGCCAGAGCTGGACGGAGGCCTGGAGCCCATCGTGTTTGCCGGGCGCGACTCCAACACCGGCAAGAGCCACTCGCTGCCAGACCGCATCGACTCCCTCTGTGCGCGCGCCATCAACTGGGCCAAGTGAGTCTGCCTACTGCAGACGCACAATCTATGTCTGACATATGAAGCAAAGTATGATTACCTGGCCAGTGAAGCCTGCAATGGAAGGAGGTTAGGTCTGCATGTGTGATCATTAAGCTACATGTCCCTAGATATGTCAAGAAAGGTGGCATAGGCACTGAACAAGACTCCTGCGGTGCAGTCTGTCAAAGAAGCCCAAGTACGACAAGCGGCTGGCGGTCACTGTGTTCAGCTTCCCGCCAGACAAGGGCAACGTGGGCACGGCTGCCTACCTCAACGTTTTCGGCTCCATCTACCGTGTCCTCCAGGCAAGCCCCTCTTGTGTCTTTCAAGGTATTATCTTTGATATAGTCTTCTGCATCCCCAGGTCGCAGTGAGTCGGTATCCTGACTAGCTTGCCAGGAAGTGATTTTAGACCTGTATCTGAGCTGAGCTGCATGTCAGCAATTCAACAGCAATTTGCAATAAGTTACTGCTCTGTGGCGCACTCTGTGCTGATACGGGGTTGTGCGAATGCAGGACCTGAAGAAGGATGGCTATGATGTGGGCGAGCTGCCCGAGAATGAGGGTGACATCATGCAGAGCGTGCTGAACGACCCAGAGGCAAAGTACAACAGCGCCGACCTCAACGTGGCCTACAAGATGAGCGTGGACGAGTACAAGAAGCTCTGCCCCTACGCAGAGGCCCTTGAGGAGAATTGGGGCAAGCCGCCAGGTAATCACCACAAGGGAATTGCCCTTCTTTGGCTGGGCTTCTACTGTTGCCGATCCTCATTTGACTCTTGCAGATTGCAGTGAGGAATTCTAGTCTGTGCATGCTACCCAATTTTCAGGGAAGTCTGCATAGCCTCTACAGATCAGTATGGCAATTGTACAATTGTGAGAACGTTCCACCTTTGTGCGCGCAGGCAAGCTGAACAGCAACGGCAACGAGCTGCTAGTGTTTGGCAAGCAGTTTGGCAAGGTGTTCATCGGCGTGCAGCCCACCTTTGGGTACGAGGGTGACCCGATGCGCCTGCTCTTCAGCCGCTCTGCCTCGCCCCACCACGGCTTTGCCGCCTTCTACACATACCTCGAGAAGATCTTCAAGGTGATCTTGCTGCCTCTGCTGGTGCCACAAGAGCTGCCTGCAGCACATGCATGCATCCAGCTATCTGCCCTGCAAGGTGGAGTACGGAGCCGTTTAAAACTGTGGATGCCCCCGTCAAACGCCAGGCCAGAGACGAAGGCAGTCCATTGCACTCGTGCTAGCAAAGGCAAGTAATGACTAACTCCTCCGTGCCTGATGTGTGCAGGCGGACGCTGTGCTGCACTTTGGAACGCACGGATCCCTGGAGTTCATGCCCGGCAAGCAGGTGGGCATGAGCGGGGTGTGCTACCCGGACTCGCTCATCGGCAACATCCCCAACCTGTACTACTACGCGGCCAACAACCCCAGCGAGGCCACCATCGCCAAGCGCCGCTCCTATGCCAACACCATCTCCTACCTCACCCCTCCCGCTGAGAACGCCGGCCTCTACAAGGGCCTCAAGGTGACTGCCTTTCCCACTGTTGTCCTGTCTGGGCGGGGCGCTCGTTGTTTTGAGCTATACTTTGTCAGCTACCAGGCACACCGAGAAGAGGCGATGCTTGCCGGCTCACATACTCCTGCACAGCTTCATGCAAATGTGTATCTGTGGCTCTCGAGCTGTGCACCAGGACACTTCCCTGTGGGTTTGTCTGCATGTGACTGCAGAACTTCCCAGCTAATGTCATCCTGACGATTTCTTGTGTGTTAAAACTGTGCAGGAGCTGAAGGAGCTGATTGCCAGCTACCAGACGCTGCGCGAGGGAGGCCGTGGGCCGGCCATCTGCGCGACCATCGTTCAGACGGCGCGCCAGTGCAACCTGGACAAGGACGTGCAGCTGCCAGGCGAGGAAGATGACACCAAGGGCCTCTCCATGGACGAGCGCGACTCCATCGTCGGCAAAGTCTACTCCAAGTGCGCCGCCTCCACTCACCGCCAGCATTGCTACTTGTATCAGTATATCCTTTTTAGTGTTCTGGTGCATCGAGCATTCAGGGTTATTTGGGAAGCTCACCATATTATTGTGCGGGCATGAAGAAAGGGTTAATGAATTTACACCGCACATTCTTTACACATTCTTTACACGCATAGAATTTACAGACTGAGTGATATTTTTAAACTGAAACTCTGTGGCTGGTGCAGGCTGATGGAGATTGAGTCGCGGCTGCTGCCCTGCGGGCTGCACATTGTGGGCAGCCCGCCCACGGCTGCGGAGGCAATCGCCACGCTGGTCAACATTGCAGAGATCGACCGCCTCGACAACGACCCGCCCGTGTATGGCCTGCCCGGCATCCTGGCGCGCACCATCCAGCGCAACGTTGAGGAGATCTACCTCAACAACAACAAGGTGGGTGGCAGTTTCCAGCCTTGCACCCAGTCCTATTTTGGCACCCTGGTGTTGTCTTTATGTTGTCTAATCACATTATACTTGCTAGGACATTCCTAGCTTGGTGCCCATTCAAAGAATTGAACACATTGCCCACAAGCTGCTAAGAACATTTAAATTGCCCCATTAATTAAATGTGAGCCGGTGTGATGCAGGGTCTTTTGGAGGAGGTGAACCTGCTGCAGGAGATCACCGAGGCATGCCGCTCGTGCGTGCGCGCATTTGTGGAGGACCGCACAGACTCGCAGGGGCAGGTGTCCATCGACAGCTTCGCCAACATCGCTCGCAACTTCGGCTTCCAGAAGCAGCCCTGGGAGGAGGCCCTCAAGGTGTGTATGGGAGGCTTGCGCTGCCTCCTCTTCTCCCAATTCCCGTCGCTTCCAGATTGGCAGCTGCTCTCTTGGACCAGCACCTGATGATGTACCAGAAAGAGATCTTGATCAATGCAGGCGTTCTGGACAAGAGCTTCACAATGAGCAATTGTGCACAGCGGCAATTTACATGATATGACATGCGTGTGAGTGTTGTTTCTGTCTTTGGCATGCAGGGCACCAGGTTCTCGGGTGCCAACAAGCAGCAGCTGACGAGCCTGTTCACCTACCTGGAGAACTGCTTGGAGCAGATTGTGAAGGACAACGAGCTCGGCGCCCTCCGCCAGGCCCTCAAGGTACTTCTTGCCCCTGTTGAAAAGCTGTCACCGGACAGCATACACCTCTTTAAGATGCCCCTGACTGGCTTTCCATGGGGAACTGAGACTTTGGTAAAGTGGACTATCAGTGCCTGAGCGTTGTGAGTGCTGGGCAACAGGGCGGCTATGTGGAGCCTGGCCCGGGAGGTGACCCCATCAGGAACCCGGGCGTGCTGCCCACCGGCAAGAACATCCACGCCCTGGACCCCCAGTCCATCCCCACGCAGGCTGCCGTCAAATCCGCGCGCATCGTGGTCGAGAGGTGCGCCAGACTTGGCTTACCAGAGCAATGCGTAGTAATACATTCATTAATTATATTCCAGTAACGTTCTTTAGATCCATGAAACGCGCATGTGGTATCTGCTGTATATGGCATTGAAGAAGGATCGTGAGATGGAGCTCTCAAAACAGAAATGATGATGGAGTAACTGCAAAAACATAGTAATTAAGTTGTGCTGTGGCTATCCAGCTGAGTGTGGTAATCATTGGCTCTTGCTTTGGCATGCAGGCTGCTGGAGGCGCAGCGGCAGGAGGCGGGCGGCGCATGGCCCGAGACGGTTGCCGTCGTGCTGTGGGGAACCGACAACATCAAGACCTACGGAGAGTCCCTCGCGCAGGTCTACCACAATGCCCCCAATCCCTCTCTGCTTCTCTCTGCGCATCGCCTAAGAGCACTGGATTTGAACTTTTTACATGTACCCCTGCTTGCTCGAGACACTGATATCAAGCATTTGGGTGGGAACTGCGTACCCCACTCATGCACAGCAGATTGCGAGCCACGGGCCTGCATTTTGCTCTCATCCTCCAATGCCAAATAAGTCCAGATTCCTCTGCGCTTCGTTCCCATATTCTGGATGGTCCAGAGTATGCACGTCTGGAGACTTCACGCTCACTCCTCTGTTGCCTGAACCCGCGTGGCGCTTGCTGGCAGGTGATGATGATGGTGGGCATCAACCCGGTGTCGGACGCGCTGGGCCGCGTGAACAAGCTGGAGGTGATCCCTCTGGAGGAGCTGGGCCGCCCGCGCGTCGACGTCGTGGTCAACTGCTCCGGCGTCTTCCGCGACCTCTTCGTCAATCAGATGAACCTGCTGGACCGCGCCATCAAGATGGCCGCTGAGCAGGACGAGCCCGAGGAGATGAACTTCGTGCGCAAGCACGCCCGCCAGCAGGTGCCCTACCTCTGCCCCTTCCCTACTGCTTTCCTAGATGTGTTTCTGGTGGCTGGTATGGATGGATTATCATTGACGAGCTCTTGCCCCATTTTGTGGTTTACGAGCAAGTGCTGATGTTAAGCTTGAGTCCAAGAAAATGTCCAGCTACTTGCTAGTGACGGCGGTCCTGCCTAAGTGAAAAGAAGCTAGAGGAGACGACTTGAGCTTCTCAGTGGCTGATGTGGCAACTTTGGCAATTGACAGGCAGAGGAGGCGGGGGTATCCCTGAGAGCGGCGGCGACACGCGTGTTCAGTAATGCGAGCGGCAGCTACTCCTCCAACGTCAACCTGGCGGTGGAGAACTCCAGCTGGAGCGACGAGCAGCAGCTGCAGGAGATGTACCTCAAGCGCAAGTCCTTCGCCTTCAACTCCGACAGGTGCGCATCTCAGGCTGCTTCGACTGAACCCTGTGTCATTGTTTTGTTATGCTATAAGCACTGCAGAGGTAATCTTTGCAGTGGTATGCGTAGGCATATGGTGAAGCTCTTCTGGACGTGCTTGATCATGGTGCTCATGGTGATCATGGTTGTGAGAGCTGTAAAGCACCTCAAGAAGCAGCACTATCCCTTCTGCCAGCTTGCAGACGTACGTGTCCCTCACTCGCTTATTGGTTGTTGTGACTGCAAACTTGATGCTGAGCGTTGTGGAAATGCTGCCAACAGGCCGGGTGCGGGCGGTGAGGCGAACAGAGAGGCGTTTGAGGCGGCCATGAAGACAGTTGACGTGACCTTCCAGAACCTGGACAGCAGTGAGATCAGCCTCACTGACGTGTCCCACTACTTTGACAGCGACCCCACCAAGCTGGTCGCCGGCCTGCGCCAGGACGGCCGCACTCCAAGTGCTTTCATCGCCGATACCACCACCGCCAATGCACAGGTGTGAGACTTGCACATCAAAGGCGCATCTTTACTCAACTAACTTTCCAGCAAAATCATTGTTTTGGTTGTTGCAACGTGGCACGGGAGAGGATTATGTTTTTCCTAGAAGCCTGTGGAAACCTGGCAGCTGCTCGCTAATACTGCAGTATGTGCCCACTGTGTTGTTACAAACTGGCACTGGTCCAAATTTGGCAAAGGTGCAGTCTGCTCTGCGGTCTCCTCAGTTATAGACAAAGTGTTGAAGCAAGCAATGCTGAGAAAGCTAAATTATCTCCGCGTGGCAGGTGCGGACGCTGGGCAGCCAGGTGCGTCTGGACGCGCGCACGAAGCTGCTCAACCCCAAATGGTACGAGGGGATGCTGAGCAGCGGCTACGAGGGCGTGCGCGAGATCCAGAAGCGCCTCACCAACACCGTCGGCTGGTCCGCCACCTCAGGCCAGGTCGACAACTGGGTCTACGACGAGGTGACTCATCCTCCTCCAAATTCAATTGCTTCTGTGACTCAGTGCTTGCCTTCTCCTGCCGCTGCACCCTGGAACAGCTGACACCTGTGCATGTGTGCATGGCTGCTGCATGGTGATCTGCGACAGAAAATGTCCTACAGTCAAGATTTTCTGCATTGGCTGCCTTCAAGAAAGGTCGCTCTCATGCATGCTGCCAAGGACCTGCATGCAAGCTGCAGGGCTGATGGCACAAGGAGCCTATGTCAATCTTTAAGAGCATGATCAGCATTAAATATTGGGAAAACTGCGCAGGCCAACTCGACGTACATGGAGGACCCGGAGATGGCGGCGCGGCTGATGGAGACCAACCCCAACTCCTTCCGCAAGCTGGTGGCCACCTTCCTGGAGGCCAACGGGCGCGGCTACTGGGACGCAGCCCCCGAGCAGATCGAGCGCCTGCGCGAGCTCTACATGGACGTCGAAGACAAGATTGAGGGCGTCGAGTGAGCGCTGCAAATGCGCCTCTCTCGCAGGGCACCAGCTGTCAGCCACTGCCTGAGGAGATTTCTTCTGCAGTGTCACGCATAGTTTCACCTCTAGTGTAAATGTGGCGGTGTGGTTGACAATAAGTTTGGGGACGGCTTGACAATTGCGCGCTGACGTCGTAGTACTTGCTACAGAAGGTACTCAGGAGATATGGAATTCACTAGCCAGAGGTGATGAGCAGGTTGACAGTTGGGTGGGATGTGCGTTGGCACAGTTGCCATGGAGCTGCATTTTATACAGCCGTCTAGTCGGGAAAGCTGGCTGAGCATAGGATGAGAGGGTTTGGGAGTGTGAGAGTGGGAATCGTCTTTTTCTGCAATTCTTTAGCAGCTGAATGCTGTTGTCCTGGACAGGTCTTCTTCCTATGCTGAGTCTGGGAGTGTTGCGTCACTGAGAGTGGCCTGAACCTCATTCTTCTGCAGAAGAAGCTAGGTGGTATTTGTTTCTACAATCAGTGCATCTGCACGGTCCGCATCATCCCTGGTTCTGACACATGTTGTGCTTTGTTGCTGGTACGTGGGAATGTGTTCTGGAAACATAGGCCCTCGTCTGGATTTCCTAGATCACTGCCCGGCACGGAACGTATGCCGTCTAGAGATAATTGGAGTCCCTTCAATAGCAGGATGTCACCAGAGTCTTTAATGGTGGTGTCTGGTCAATGTTTTTGTAATAGGCTCTTTCACTCACTGTTCCAATCACTGCCTGCTCGAGGCGGGCATGCGTTAATTTCATTCTATGCGATCAGATTGGTTTACTGAAGTCAACACGCATGATGCATGCATATGTTCAGAGCGGAGTCAGCGAGTTCCTTGCACGTACAAGCATACACACCTGTCCTTCTCTTCTAAGAGCTAACAGAACTGTCTTGAAGTTGCTAAGTCTGGTGTTGTGAGAAGATGGCGCTGTGCATGGAAATAAGGAAACATTCCAAAGTCTGAGGTGCAGCCGAGGATCTATCCTAGGACGTCCAAGGAATCGTGACACTCGTAAGCTGAATATCTGGTTGTGATTTTGAAACTCGGTTCGATATATTCGATCTTTCGGGCTCGGAAATTGCTTTGATTGGAGGTGCGTACAGGGTAACAAGCGCTTCTGAGTTATTGACGCAAATTGGCACCCGGTACCCCTTGTCCTAGTACACACGCCTTGATTCACGTCTGAGGCAAGACGGAAGATCACATTAAGCAACAGCTGTTCTATTACTCTATAGCATGCCTTCATCTTGTCGTTTTCGTTGGCTGTTTGTGATCACGCCCTGTTTGGACGTGCCCACGTCACGGCCCGTGGTTTGCTACTTTTCCAGGCTTTGAAGGAGTCCCAGTGCTAAGATGGCGACAACTGCAACCTCTTTCTCGACTGCAGGCAAGCAGCCGCCTCAGGAGGGTGAGGTCCTCCTTGTGTAGCTCTGACAAGTCTGCCCCCCCAAAACCAAAGCTTGGACTTGTGAATTGCAGCTGATGGTACACTTGGTGTGGCAGGCGGTATCTCAGCGCAAGTAGGTGGCTTCATCAACTACATCATCTTCTCATTCTGGTTATTTGTGGCCTTTAGTGGATGGATAGTCGCGCTGTCATCCCTGTCCGCCCTGCAGCACTACGAGAATGATACTGGCATCTCCGCCGGTGAGTCCTCCCACTTCTTGACTGGCCAAGTGCTCTCCTATTCTGGGGGTGGCAGTTTGCCTAAGCCAATGCACATCAAGTTGCCAGGCCTTGCTGGATCGCAATGCAGAAGAATGCAGCAGAGGAGGTGAGATCTGAGCGCAGGTCCCGATGGCTGGGCCATCAAGAGCAACTTCCCCGGCCTGAACTCTGGCCGCGTGTTCCGCCTGGACTGGTTCATCCTGTTCTTCCACTTTGTGGTGTACTCGCTCGTTGTCATCGCCACTGTCTCGCGCGTCCTGCCCCAGGTAATGAATCCCACAAAGAGTTTAACATCCCAGGGGGTTTGCTCCTCAGATGGGGCGTATCACGGGACCAGGTTATGGTCCGCCCAGAAGCCATGCCACATTCCCTGCCAAACTTACTGGGCATATCCTGCTTCCCTCAGATTCCCCCCAGACATCCAAAAAAGAGGCTATTTGGGCATTCCTTCACCGCTATTGAGACCCTGACGCCACGACGTGATACAGCAGAAACAAACCTTCATGCATTGCAGAGAATTTGAGAGCCTCAATGGAGCATCTGCACCCATGGTGATTAAGGAAGAATTCACCAAAAGAGGGTGCACGATTGACCAAATTCATGTCTTGCTGCAGGCGCGCATCTCAGTGTCCGGCTTCCTGGCGATTGCGGCTGTGCTTGCAGTCATCTCTGCAGACCGCTTCTACAACTTGGCCCACTTCCACGTCAGCAAGGCCTACTATGCCTCGTCTCGCGGCGTGTTTGCTGGCTTTGTCATTGCCGCCACGTCTGACTTTGCTCTGCTCTACATGGCCGGAGTTACACCCGCCGCCTGAGACCTGCACCCTTCACTCGTCCATATATCGTACCAAGGTAAGCTGCATCCATCGAGCACTGTCTTTGGTCCCAGCGGCACCTGCCTCCAAGGTGGCTGTAGTGTTTTCTGATCTGATGTCCTCACCTGTTCCAATCAAAGGTGATTGAAGGGCGACTCCTCTGCACAGGTTTGAGGCTGGACAGCCTGCCGCTTCTCAGAATTAATTGAACAAAATCTTTGCATAAAGGCCTCGGCAGCTGCCAAAGCCAACAGTGGCGAGGCTGAAATGAGGATGTACAGGACGTAGTCACCTATGCATACCAGTGCGGAGCTGCGCGTACGGGTCTTCAGCAATGCGCTATCATGGAAATTCCGTGCTGTCGATAGTTTTTTATTATTGCTGTATTACTGCCAGCCACCGGGCATCTCAAGGTGATGCCCAGGCGCGCCAGAAAGCTTTGATGTGGGCGCAGCGGCTGCCCGCACAGAATTGGATGGGATTAAGAGGCCAGCTGCAAGGCTGCAAAATTCTGTACTGCACACGCTCCAGCAGGCAGAGGCCACAGTTGATATCTGCAGAGCATGCACAGTACTGTTGATGAGACTGCCAACCACCAATACTTTACGTACTTGACAGCCGTGCATGAAGGGACTGGAATGCCGCTGATGTACTACAGACACTGGATGGCACTGTCAATTAACCCAAGAATATTTATGTCTTATGCGGGGGGCATGCTTAGGCGTAATACGTGAGCATGCATCAGGCACTATGAGTGCAGGCTTTAACTCAGAAGTATGGAAGTCTGTATATATGTTGGCACTCAAGGTGCTCAGGCCACTACTGCGGTGCTTCTGGTTACAGCCATCGTGACAAATGCTTGCTCAAGATGTTCAACCATTAAGACCCATAGAACAAGGTGCTCCTCTTAAGGGAGCAGGTTGTGTCATCTGTAATCACAGCAGAACAAATTTCAGTCCAAATGCTCTCCTATCCAAGGCCCTCTGAAATATCTGTCACAAATTCCACGACCATGTGCTGCTAGCCACCAACACAGAAGTGACTCTTGCAATGCATGCACAGTACAGTATCTAATTCGAACCCACATCACCAGGACTGTCTCTGGTCATGTGAGCACGTGGGTCACTCTCGGACACTCACATCTGCGGCCACGTGTAAATGCTGCTGTCTCTGTAATCGTAGCCATCTCAACCGAAGATTCTTAAGGACCTCCAGGGCAGCAGGTCAAATATCAGACATTAACTTCATTGAATGGCTGAAGAGTGTTCCTGTGGGTTTGCAGCGTTTGTCCTCCATAAGTTTTCATCCGTATCATCCGTTTCGAGGCGCTGCCTGCCCGAAGGTGTTCTCTCAGGGGCCTTGGGTGACATACACAGGGATGCGCGGAGGTGGGTTGCCAGTCAGCGGCCCAACCTGTGACAAGTCACCCACACCAGCCTCAAGAGATTTTATAGGAGATCAAACCCGATGCATGTGCTCAAACTCTATGCATGGGATGGTAGCATTGCTTCGTTCAGGCAGCACATCTCAGGGTAGCATTCTTACAGATGCATTAAATTTGCCCCCAATACGTCCAGTCTGCATGCAAGCATGAGCATGCTTCATGTGACCAGGACTGCAGAAGCAAGGGCCTACCAGGTTGGTGGGGATCAGGGGTCCGCGGATGACATGCAGCCGGCTGTGCGCAGCCACAATGTCGCCCAGGATCACCAAGGCATCGGGGCTGCCGCTGGGGCTGATGAACACACTGGTGCCGCCAAATCCTGCAGGCTGCTTGTTCACCTGTCCAGGCAGTGAATCTTGCCACATCAAATTGAAGTCAGGCATGCTGCACAGACTTTATGCAGCATGGAGGACATCAGCTGCCTCAATGCACATGACAATTTACATGCATGAAGGCTGCACTTCAGTCAGGGTGCATACCGTCAGCTGCTGGTCGTACAGGCTGGTCTGGTAGGCAACGCCATTCTGCAGATCGCTGATGTTGAGGCTGACCTTGGGTATGTACTGGTAGTAGAGCAGCTGCGCACATGCAGTCAGCAAATCTGTCAGCATGTTGTGCCTCGTATGATTTTCTGAAATTTATGCTGTCTACGTTCTGCCCTCATTCACAGGACTCTTGCCACCGTCGATTCCTTCAGTCATGGCAGCTTTGACATGTCAGCATTGCATGCATGATGTGGCACATGTGAGGAGATCAGCATGTGCATGCTCACCGGTGTCATGACAGGGCTGGTGGCAAGTTGGTCCACAGTCTTGCCGAGGTAGGAGGACAGGGCTGCCCAGGAGGCATCTGTTGCTGCAAAGAGGGTGCAGTTGGTGACGCTGGAGTAAATGTCACACTGTGTCGGGAACGCCTGCTTCGCACAGAGCCATGCATGAAGGCCTCAGTAAAAATGCAGCAACATCTTCTGGTGTTTCTATGAGGGCAGCCATGCACGTGCTGAATGTACAGCATTCCATCACTTCTAACAATATCTGAGTTACAGTAAACTTCAAGCACTCATGCAATTATTCCGGAGCTTACATGCAGCAGACTGCGCAGGCTGCTGAGGTATGGCGAAGCGGCCAGTGCGTCGTCGATGGTGGCAAAGGAGAGGGTCTGGTTTGGCATGAAGACTCCGGCGCCGGGCGGGGGTGGGGGCGGGGCAGGGAACGCTGAGGGAGGCGGGGACGGTGCTGGAAACTGGTGAGCCAATTGTGTGACTGGCGCGGCAGGCACTGCGCAGCAATCCGGTCACTGTCTTATGGTAGAGTTGCAAATAAGCATCTATCAAATGCATTGTCTAGGAATAATTACTTCTTATGACAACTGCGTTTTGGCATGCATGCTTGGCGGCTCATGCCCTGATGTACACAGACAAGCTCATATCAGGGTACCATTCAGCAGATGAGACACCTTGCAATTGTGGAGCAGGAGATGAACAGACCTGATGCAGGATCCAGCACAGGAGGGTGCCCAGGCTGGAGAGGCAGAGACTCCGGGGCCGGAGGATGGCCGATAGAGCTGACAGGCCCAGCAGCACTCTACACATAGCATGCACGCATTTCAGTGTTCTTCAAGACTTCTGTCATGATTGGAAATGAAAGTTATTGCATTTCAAGTGCGAAAAGGGATGATGCTGTGGGCACCTGACTGCTCTGCTGGTCTTGGATGGCAGTCGAGTTGCTAGCTTCTTGCCCAGATGTGCTCTGCTGCTCCTTCATGGATGATGCTGCATCTGCTGCTGGGGCCGGCGCCATTGACTCCCATGTGGGGGCAGATGCATTGCTCTGCTGCTGGTCTGCAAAAGCACATCAGGAAGGCATGTGACTACTGCTAAACTGCTACATGAGAGACATGCATGACCTTTTTAATAATGAACAGTAGTTTACTGCATGCAGCTGGTGCCCTCTAATTGACACGATGAGGCACAAGACAAAAGCCAGGCACCTATGCACTGTAGACATGCGCATCATGCATGCATGTATGCACATGTGCAGCAGCAGCAACATGACACGTCAGCGCAGCTGCACCTGAAATGGTACCCTGATCAGCAGGTGGGGGTGGCGGTGGTGGTGGTGGTGGAGGCGGAGGGGGAGAAGGCGGTGCTGAGAAAGCCGATGAATGGTCATCTGCCACATGCATGCCAAATTTGACAGACTAGAAAGACAGATAAATGGACTAGCATGCATCTCTATATGTGGCTGCTGGCATGCATCTCACGCATTACGAAAGCATGCATGTAAATGAGCTGCATGTGGGATCCATGGCAGTCAGGGAATCTCTTGCCAACGAATAAATGATGCAAGCAAAAAAGAACATGTATCATGCACATGCGTTCATTGTATGCAGACACATGATGCAGCACCCTGGGCAGGAGCAGCACCTAGGAGGGATCGGTGGGCAGTGTTGAGGGAACCTGCAGCCCCTTGCTGGGCGGGACTGACACTTGCTCCAAACTGGCCCCTGATCCATGTCAGCGCGTCTGTGAACCCAGAATTCACCTGTCATGCATGCTCACCTTCAGTTCAGCACAGTCTCAGTGTGTCATTGCCATCACAGATCAGCAATGCGTGACAGCAATGCAAGTGAAGGGATGCTTGCTCGTACATCTTCTTCATCTGCAATTGTGTCGCCTGGGGAAGCATGGTGCAGGGAGTGCTCACATGCATCACCTCGTCCGTGCTCTCCTGTGGTGCTATTATCTGCCAGGCTGAACCAGTCCTGTTGCAACACACTGCAGCTGAGTGTGATGAAGAGCACTGTAAGCACTGAGGCTTTCAATATAGACGGTGCTTGCTTCATAGCAACAAGGACACTCAAGAGGCTGCATCAGGCTGCTGAATGCATGAAAGGAAGTGGTGTCACAGCAGAGAGAGGTGTACCTACCTCAGAGACAAGCCAATGCTTCTGTCTTGCACTGTGTGAGCCAAGCCTGATGCCTTTTGCTGCAGGCTGAAGGCACCCACTGCTTAAACACAAAAATCGCTCTTACTTTTGCGTTTGGCATTACTGTGAGGCACAGGGAACATTGCAATTACCATAAAGACGTGATAGGACACTTTCGAAAGGAGCAGCTCACCGACGAGACAGGCGATGGAAAAGGTCCGCAGGATTCTCAAAATATGTCAATTCTGGGACTGTCCATCCCGCCCTGCGCTCGTGCCAATTTCCTGCAAAAGACGTTGGCGTAAGATCAGTGCGGGAGGAGGAGAATATTGCTGAGCCTCAGGAGCAAAGCCGGCCTTAGATGTCCAAAGGAACGGGAGCTCGTCTTCTTTACCTTCTGGAAAAGATTTACCTCAAGAAAGCATTTGATTGAACGTCGTCATTCGTTGTAGTCTGCGTCCTGAAGAAGGCGGATTTAGAACCATCAACGATGCGGTCTCGATTCTGCTCTGAGCATGCAGTTGCCCTCTGCTGACTCAGCGCTGATTGCATGTCTCATCAATTGACTAGCATGCTCTTTGAAGTTGACGCAGTACTATGTGATCCACTTCTGAATACTTTCAATGATTGACGCGCAGCAAATTGACGATCATCCGATGCTCAAGACTGTCGTGGTGCTGCAAAACTGACAAGTATCAAGGCAAGTGAGATTCCTTCCGTTATTCATGTGACCTCTGCTCAGGAGAGACCTCCAGAGCATTATAGAAATCAGCAGAAATTACCCTTGGCAACAGGTAAAGAAACAACAGTGGTCACAAGGCAGCTCAAAAGCTCTTCAGACCCAGCATACCCAAAGGGATGCTGCATCACCGATGATGGTCAATGCAATACTTTGGTGCCAGGAACCTGGCAAGCCCCATGTACTTCACAAGTCATGCACATGTCATCAGGTATGTTCAAGGGTAATGACAACAGCCACAACACGACTCAGCAGTGTTCGTGCATTACCACTTCCATTCATTGCCAAGCAGCTCTGCCAGAGCTGCCTCCCAGATGTGCAGGAATTGCCAATCAGGCAGCATCAAACGCGCCCTGTCTCTTAAGCAAGTGTGTGGATGGAATCCAAGCAAAGGCACATGATGCTGTGCAGGTCTTGAACGCTTGGGATTGGCCATTCATGGCTCCTGGGCCACTGCTGTCTTGCCCTTGACGGTGCCAGCCTCAACTGACGGATCCGCCAGCATGGACTGGGTCTTCTGGGGTTCCAGGTACAGGATCTCCTGATGAAAGCATGGCACACAGCTTTCAAAAACATGGGCTTTTGCAACATTTGGTCTGCTGTGAACAGCAGACAAGGATGCTGTTGCTGCCGGTAAGATCACTCTGCCAGAAATTGCTTCAAGCAGTTCCTGGTACACGTCATAACTCATGCATGCCCTCTTAGCTCCAGCATGAAACTGGAATATATTGGTTCGGCCTTATCCTGTCCTGTCCTATTAACCTCATTCAAGGTATCTTGGGAAAAGCCCTGCTGTGCAGCTTGTAGAAGTCATTAAAGATAGCCCCTAGCATCAGCGGTACATTGCTGGATCCTGTCGGGGAAAATTGTGCACCTGATCGCCGACCTTCAGCACATATCGGTTGAACCAGGTGATGAGGTATCCCATGGATGTCTTGGGCAGCTCCTCCTCGCTTGTGGTGTCAATGCACTTCACATCGTCAGGGATGTCCACCTGCACGCAGACATATAACAGTTAGCCGGAACTGAATCAATGCACTCCACAGTTTTTAATTGGACCCCGGCTGTTGGGTTCGGTAAAAATACTGAGCACTATGCCCACGGTTGATTGGGTCTTGCTTGGATCTGGCAAGTACATCAAGCGGTAGGATTTTGGTAGCCTTCACATGCAGCTTGTCTGCAGATCTGCACCTTGCCTCTGGCAGGAAAAGCATGTAATAATAGTAGTAATGTAACTGACTTGGTCACTACTCGCTCTGAACAGGCATGCCTTCTCTGCAATGAACCGGCAAACCATGCAATTTTTTCTAAGCCCACCAAAAGAGAGAGCACCTCTGCCTTTAATCATGAGTCTTCTTTGCTGATCTATGGCTCTTCCAACAGGTTTATTGGGGCCAAAACAACTTGCAGGTGGCTCTATAGCACATCCCAACACATCTTTGGAAATCTCAGATACTTGCCACCCACCTGACACCCTTGGATATGAAACGTGAGGGTTTTATGAGCGAACCAGGAGGCCATCTGAGAACCCACAAGGTTGCAGCTTATGCAGGAGAATCAATGAGAGTCTGTCAAACAGCAGATGTTCTGAGATACTGCGCTGAGACCATGGCTGCAGGGAGACCCTGAATCCCACTTCCTCAATGTTTTAGGGCTGCATGCTGGCAGGCTATGTAGGCTGTACCTTCAGAACTTAGATCACCTCCACTCTGGATATCACAAAAATGTGCTGTGAGTTCTCAACCCTACCGTATAACGCCAAGCATGTGATCTCTCAGATCTCCAACAACCAGTGGCCAGCAACCAGAGTGCGTGCCTGCTCATCGTTGGCAACGCAGTAAACGCGGCCGATGTTGTCATCCACGCGGCGCAAGCGTGCCTCCAGTCCTTCACGCAGCACGACAAAGTGGATGTTGTCGTTCCTGAAGGACAGCGTGCCGCGCAGCCGCCGGGTGCCACTCGGTGTCTGCACAGGCAGACAGAGCACCCTTGGTATAGCTTCCAAGTTATTCTTCCAGTTCTTCCAGTACGACTCACAATAATTGCTGCCTTTCTGCCAGCAGTGACCAAGGATAGGCCTGTTGCTGATATGGGGTTTGCTGATGGGACCAGAAAATGTTCTGCTCTTGCCAAAGTGGTAGAAGACACCAACAAGCCCATGAATTAGCAGTACGCTCTTGCAGAAATCGAATTTTGGCATCTATGAGCTCATCAGATATTCGAGCCTCTTAGTCAGCGTTCTAAAGGCAGAACTGTCCCTACCTGTGTGGCCATGGCTTAGGAAGGCGGTTGCAAGGTACAGGCCTGCACAGAACGAACAAGATCACATGATCACAGTTCGACTGCTACTTGTCGATAGTAGGGACGTGCAACCCATCAACGAGAACAGAAAACGCGCTAGCTCTAAATATAGGTCGTGACAATGCATGAGACCCGCTCGAGCTCACTAAAGATCGAGCTGAAGATTCAGAAGGGAACCTGTTTTCAGAATTGCTCTGTGCCTCTAGAATCAGCTGCAGCCTTATGGAAGACGTGATCTTCGTTTCAAAACACCTCCCACTCCCGATTTGTCTCTGTCCTATGAGGCCAGCTTGGGCAGGTGCCAAACCCCCAATCCCATGCAAGGGAAATATCTTGGAGCATTCTGCATGAGAGTGATTCAGACATAGTGCTCTAAGAACTTCTTTTGGAAAGTGCAAGCCAGGTCTCAGCTGCTGGGGACTGTTTCATCCTGCTCATACAAGCAGAAGCAGTATCAGCACCACATAACATTTATGTACATGTGCAACCATAGGTTCCTCTTCTGGGGAGCAAAGGGTCAAAAACAAATTCTCATGCAAGTCTAAAGTAAATGCCGGCCTCAGCACACCCGGCTTACTCATCCACATCACCGCAATTTCACAGTAAGACTGTAATCAATGTCATCAATCCCCATCCACGCATGCACATACAGGAAGTCCGCATCCATTTTCTGGTCATGCAGCACGCTCGAGGTTATTGTAGCATCCCCAAATGCTTGTACAGAGACCCGGCTACTGGCATGCTTGTACTGTCCATCGGCGTCATAGTTTCAGCAAAATATTAGCGCCAGTCCTAGGTAGGACTGTGCAGGGCAGCAAAGCATGCTTCTGCTTATAGCTTGGCTTCTGTGTGCTCACTGTAGATCACAGCTTGTCTCTGGTTTGACGGCATCCCGATCAGCGCTCTACCAGGCTCTCTGAGCGCTGCGGCTCCATGAACATTATTTCCTGCCCAACAGTTCCAAGTTCACAATACATCTGGCGAGTCTCTCTCAACATACCACCTGTCAGCAGGGATTGCGATCCCCGGTCAAGGACAAAGAAGAAAGACAGATGTAGTGGGGTTCAGGGATGTTGTGAGGGCGCTCGTGGACCTGTTTGAGCCGGCCAAGGGCATTTTCAGTGCATTTCCAGGGCAAACACCAGAACTCTTGTCAGACACAACTGAGTCCTTCAAAAGACAACGCATTGGTTCAGTGAAGTGGCCATCTATGCTAGTGACATGTCTTTTGTAGGTGAGATTCTCTGCCTGCAGCAAAGAATTGAGGCCATCACAGCAGGCCTTGCGCAAAGCAACAATCTTCATTCGCTGAGCCTGCATTGCTGGAGGTGGAAAAGTGGGAAAAGTGGTCCCACCTTGCCATCCACCATGACGCTGTAGTTTGTGATCCAGGTGAAGAGGAAGCCCAGCTCTGTGCGTGGCAGATCCCTGCATCAAGTAAGGGCTACTTCAGTAGACCGACAAGGCATGTGCTCATGCATGCTAGCTGCATGCTAGTGCTGTTCATTCTTCAAGGATGAAGTGTGAAGTCATGCCGTGGTTGAGCATCAGCAAGTTCTTGCATTTTCCTATTACTGTGGCCCCAATGTGGGCTGCGCAAAGCTTGCACCACATCCTCAAATCACATTGAACGATGAGGTGCTGCCAGATTTAGATCACGTCTGCACTCATGCATCTACTGTGTCTTAACATGTGCACTGTTGCCTGCCTGCATTTGGCACCTTCCCTTGTCTGGGAAGCAGAGAGGAACTCTCTTGAAGCTAGAGAGCCTGCCTGTCTGCGTTGGGCTCCCTGACACTTATGGCCTTGGGCATCTGGTTGGTGGCCACGAAGTATAGGCGGCCCACATTGTTGTTGACCCTCTCAACGTGCACCTGCAGCTGGTTGCCCAGGTCTATGACCTTCTCCGTGTCCTTGGTGAGGGAAAAGGTTCCCTTGTGGCTCTGGCCACGTGCCTGCACCAGTTTGCAGGGCGTCAATCTGAAAGGCAGTGTAGTCGAGACTTGCCGGAGGTCGTTGAAGGCAGCGGTGCAAGCGATGCCTGGATGTGTTAGGTGAAAGGTACTTGCCGCAGCACGAGCCTTGGGAGACTTGGGGGACTTTGGAGATGCCTTGGACATGGTAGCCGACCAACACAACTCCGGAATTTCGAGCGCCTGAGAGAAGGCCGACTGCAACAGAAAAGAACACTTGCGAGATTCTGTCAAAATGTATGGCGAGAAGTCACTGGCAGAGCTGGATTGCAAGGTTTCTGTGTCCTTTCCAGTCCGAGAGTAATGAGTTTCGTTTGATGACAAAGCACGGTGCAAAGCTGTCCCTTGCAGTCGATGCTCACCCGTCGAAGGAGCACACCTCCCTTTTTAAGACGAATGTAACAGGAACAGTGTTAGCGCTATAGCAAGGATGCCTGCTCTATCTTGCAAACTGATTTGACAAGACGTGAGGCATCGGACTGGATTACCGAAGGGGAGGGCAGGCCAGGATATTGTAACGCCCCCACCCATCTTCGCTCACTCTGGTGAAGTCTCCTTGCAGGCCATTGCTGTGTTCTCCAAATTTCTGGTAAAGTTTGACGCATTGATGGCAAACAGTGCAGTGTGTGGAGTGAAAAGATGTCTGCTGATAACTAATGTTACAACTACAGTCCCACTGGAATCATGAGCTCATGCTCAACTTTGACCAAACACCCAAGGTGCATGCTTAAGCATACACTGCATGGTATACCCAACATGCTCACCAATGGACAAACGTACAGGCAAACACGCATCAGCCAATACAGCATTGGCAATGATCTTGACAACGAATGTCAGGTGCATGCAACACACAAGGGTGACATGACAAAAGCAACCGCCGTCACACTTGTGGCTCTCAGACTAAGGAGCCCAGCTTAAGAGGGCTTCTTGCGAGAGGTTTCCACAACAGAATATCCGCCCTGAGGTGGTTGATAACACATGCTGATATCTGGAGGCTCTTCTAAAGAGCAAACTAAAAAAGTATTGCATGGAAAAATTTCCAAGCGGCTATCAACTTCAGGGCCACCTATGCTGACATCCTAAAGATTTCTCCCCTCTTCCCCGGGATGTCAACAAGTTCACTTCGGATGTCAACCGGGCTCAATCCAATCTCATGAGAGCCTCTTAACCATCATAAACACCGGAAACTTGACACTTCAATGGTCGGGAAGCGCAACAGATAGTCTTGTGCTGTCTTCATGCCTTGTCTCCTGTGTCAGACGTCACCACACACCGATTGTCCCATCGTAAGATCCTGAGAACACCTTGCCCGCGGCCACTGCCAACACGCGCACAGCATCCTCGTGTCCTTCACATTTCCTGCAGTGCACAAATCTCATTCGGCTCAATTTCACAGCCGCATGCGAGCTTTTCTGGACCCTACTAGGAGCTGAATTTGCCCGCGTCCCACTACTACCAGCGCCAATGGAGTGCAAGAGTCCAATCCATGGAATCCTTTAATAAGAACCCTTTACTAAAAATAGGATGTATTCTCAGGCCTGTGCTCGCCACAAATTCTCTGCTGCAGCTGCGCTTGATACCTTAAAAAGCAAGAGCGCCCGCGGGCGGCCACGAGGTCATACGCGAGCTGGGGGGCAGAACCAGTCGCAGGCCTGTAAAGCCAATCGCCAGGGAGATATTTAGAGATAATCTATGGCCAAAAACGGGGCAATCCCCCTGGAAAGGCCTCTAAACTGCGCCTCGCGTTCCGTTCAACTGCCGTGGCCGCCTGGTGAGCAGCCACATGGCATAGGGAAGGGGCAAAAGATAGAGATAATCCGTACCAGGTTGACCGATCGTAAAGGACATTCGCCTCATGGCGAATGACCAAAAAGCAAACTCATCTTCAGAGGCTGAAAGTAATAACGCTGCTGAACCATCACAGTCTGCTTCAAATGCACTTGCCTATCTTGGAATCGAACAACGCGCTGACACAGCAACCCCAGAAAGCCCAGAACGCCCATAATGTGCAGAGGCCCCAAGGTCCCCTTTCAGGCCCACCTGGACTCAGCGAAGAATGGATAGTGAAACAGGAAACAAATTAGGAGATTCTGTGCGCACCTGACGCAGCGGAGGGAGTCAAGGGCCCAGAAGCGAACGGTGGTGTCATAGGAGCCAGAAACCAGGAATGAGGGCCCCACGGCCAGCGCCAGCACCGCCTCATTGTGCCCTTCCAGCACCTTCACGCACTCCAGAGACTCTGTGTCCCACACCCTGCAAACACCCAACACACTCAGCAATGCCTCGCAATAAATATTAGAGGCCAATGATCATAGTCTGCTGTTCAAGATTCGTGCTGTTCAGTCAAGGCGTTAGGCATGCATGTGGCATCGTATGACTTGAGCTTCAGGCACCAACCCACAGCCTCGACGGCCTGAAGAATCCACAGCAGAGGAATTCTGCCCGTGCAGTAGAAACAAGGAGCAGGGCAAAGAGCAGAGCACATGCGGACATTGCGTTCCAACAGAGAAGGCTTGCAGTCACATGCGGCTGCAAGACAAGCACCTGCTGGTGCATGCAAGGGCAGGGGCGCACCTGATGCTCTTGTCCCATGAGCCGGAGAAGACATAGCGCTCTCCGACTGCCAGCACGCGCACATTGTCCTCATGCCCCTCCAGGGTACGCAGGCACTCCAGCGTCTCGCTGTCCCACACCTGCACATATATCCTCACCTTCAATTTTCACCCAAAACACTTTCACGCCCAGAAATAGAGGGATCTTCTTGGCTTCATGCTTGACTGACGGATATCACGTTTCATGCTCACCGAAGCCACTTTCATGCCCAGGCAATTATAACAATTGTCTTGATTGACGCTTGACTGACTACATGTGCTTTCCACATTTCATGAGCAAAACAGGTCACAGCTGACGGACATGTGTAGACAGCCTGACATGCAAGCCATTAGAAAGCGTTCCGCCAACAAGCTAAAAAGTCAGTGTACCTTACAGCATGCTTACAGCACCATGACCTAACACACAATGAATTTCCAATAGCAATTCTGAGCAGACTACATGTGGCTCGATTATGGTCTCTGGGCTGCCAGAGATCAGAATTAGAGTGCCGGGGGCTGTCACCTTGATGGTGGTGTCATCACTGCCGGAGAAGACGCGCTTGGAAGAGGCCGCCAGAGCACGCACCGCCCCGCTGTGACCAGTCAGCGTCGACAGGCATTTCAGCGTATCAACATCCCACACCCGTACCTGCGCACCATGCCAGTGAAATCCTCAATGGTCCAAGGGGACTATGCAGCTTCATTTCCCAATGTTCCAGCATGCACCAGACCCCGCCCATGCCAGCTGCAATCTTCAGAAGTTCACAGAGGTCAGCTCATAATGCTCACAGATTGAAGCATAACAAAGAACAAAGCTTCATGATCGCGGCGTCCTCCTACTGAGGCAGCATGCAGCACAAGCAGCATGCAGTACAAGCAGCCCAAGATGACTTTCTGTCTTGTCATAGGCGCCGGAAAACACATAGGAGCTGTGCATTGAAGATTACTGGAAAGGGCGCAGACACCTCCTAGTCAGGCTGCATGCAATCCAGGCAGCTCTAGATTGACCCAACGTCATAATAGCCGGAGAACATGTGGCTCACCGGCTTGTCATAGAAGCCGCATATAGCATTGCAGCTTCAATGGGAGGGCGCATGTTCTGCTTTTCGAGCTAGCCTTACGACAGCATTGATGACTCACCTTCTTGTCAAAGGAGCCGGAGAACATATGGTTGCCGTGCATTGCAGAGCAATAGGAAGGGCGAGGGCCCTGCCTAGGGAGGCAGCATGCAAAACGCTGGCAGTTGGCAACTGATAGGCTACATTGACGAAAAATTTTGTGACTCACCGTCTTGTCATAGGAGCCGGAGAACATGTGGCCGCCAGAGTACACGAGTGTGCGCACTGGCCCCGTGTGCCCCGCCAGCGTCTGAAGGCACTCCATCGTGCGCACGTCCCACACCTTCACGGTGCCGTCATAGCTTCCGCTGAACAGTCGCTCGTTCGCCACGGCCAGCGCGCGGACCGCGTCGCTGTGCCCTGTGCAATTTGCAGCTTCCATCAGCTTCCACCACAGGGCGCTCATGTGTAATCCTCTGGACCCTAGGTGCTCATAAAAAGAATGATAGTAGGGACTGCCTTCACTCATCACAGATCAGGGCAGCTGCAAAATATACAGCACACAACACACAGCAAGCTAAAACTGGATGCACGGGTTAAACAGGCAGCAAAAGCAATTACAAGCCTAGGCAGGTCTTGGGCATGCAGTCAAGGAGTAGGGTCCTGAGAGTACAACCCCTCTTGGGCTCTCCTTATCTTGCTGGAATTTCACAGATGTACATGCATGTCCATCATGGGGCTCACCAGTGAGGGTCTTGAGGCGCTGCAGGGTGTCGAGGGACCAGACTTTGATGGTGTAGTCATAGGAGCCTGAGAACAGCTTGTTATCTGCGATGGCCAGGGACAGCACCGGCCGCGAATGGTCCTCAAGCACCTGCAATTTATTTTATGCTTCAATGATCCTCTCAAGACATTCTGAAGTCACATAGATCCTGTAACCCACACTGAAGTACTGTCGCAGAAAGCACCCATTCTGTTTGAGGAAGTTGTTTATTACACAATTTTGGAGACAGGGTCCGCTGAAAGCCCAGCGGGTCCACATAAACAGCCATCAAAAGGAAATGTATTCTGAGGGTGAGCCACAAAGCTGAGCAAAGCAATCACCTGCTCGCAGCGCTTGGAGGCAATGTCCCAGACGCGGATGGTCTTGTCGGCTGAGGCAGAGAACAAGCGCTGGTCATGGATTTCCACGGCCCACACAATCTCATCATGACCCTGCACATGACAACCTCAAATCGCTTAGCTTTGAGGAGCATATGTCGTTGGTTGTATCACATGGCAAGGATGGGAATGTGACAATGGGCTTATACAGCAGAAAGCGCCAAGGATGCTTGGGCACACAAGGGCAAACAACAAAATTAGACCGCATTGGGCCCGAACACGAGCATTAAACATACAAAGCAAGATCTCCATTCCCTTGACACTTCCTGGAATGGTGGTCTGCTTTGGAACCCATCTCACCTGCAAGATATTGTTGGGTGTCTCTTCGTCTCCGCCCTTGTACAGCTGCGAGGCGTTCACACGGTTCTCCTTGTGCGGAACGGTCACCTGGTTGGAGGACGCCCACTCCTGTGCATGCAAACCAAAAGAGGTCAGGTGGCCTGGCAATCCAAGGCACTCTCAAGTCAATGCAACTGGCCGCGCAGTACGACACCTGACGAGCATTCAAAAAGTTTCACAGAGGGGTGGCGCTGAATATGCAAGATTGATGAGATCGTGCACAAAAAAAATTGATATCCCTTAGCACTGTACTGCACGCATCCAACACAGCAAAGCTGCACAAACAGCGCACAAATTGCGCAAAACCACCAACAGGGCAGTCAGTAGCTGGAGGCCCCAGGGGGCCACTCTTGAGAAAGCACGCACCATGATAGCATTGCGCAGGGCAAAGTTGGGCGTCAGCTCCAGGTGACGCAGGCGCATGCCCGTGACGGGACAGGTGCGGTTGCCCTGCGCCAGCCACCGCTCGATGCACACGCGGTCGTACGTGTGCCCCGTTGCCACCATCACCGGATCAGCCATCAGCTCCTGCACAGCCACAACGCGTGGACATCACACCGGGTTGTCTGGACATCATTGACATCTACACTTGCTGCTGTCTTCATTGCGGATGTGGACCACTGCAAGAGACTAAGAAGCCAGTAATGGGATCATAGGCTTGGCATGGATGCACATGCCAGAAGCTCAAACCAGTCTCCACTTGCAGCAACACGTTTCGGACTGTATGGTGATTTTGCTGCATGCTGGGCAACCCATTGGACAGCGAAGGTGCGGTAATTCGCACCATGCTGATCGGGCAGTAGAAGCTGGCCGGTGCTCTGGGCCCAACGGCGCCTGAATGTGTCCTGCCCTCCAACGGTGCTGCCATGCTGGGCCTGCAAAGACACCGATTTATTCGTACAGGCAGGAATGGTGCACCCCTCACATGCACGCAGAACACAAGTGACCCAAGCATTTACTGTTCACCAGAATACACCACAATAATACATAAATAATTGAAGTTCAAAGACGGGTTTGGAACCAACCCTGCGGTGCCGACTGTGTCTGGTTGCGCAGCGGGCACAGGAGGAGGAGATATTTGGTCCACTTTCACCGGTGGGGGCACTTCAGCGGCCAAATTTGCCGTCTGAGTCCTGGATGGGGAGGGAGTGTCTACTGGGGAGGCTGCTCTGCTGCTTGATTGCCTGCTGGACTCGCTGGTATTACGATTGTGCTGCAGCAGGGCCTTTATTTGCTTCATAGGTCGCACGTATGTATGCCCAAAAACCTTAGTCAGGAATTTTGGACACTCAACCTTGCAACTTTATGGGTTGGAACTGATCAACGCACACGCTCGCAGCTATTTGGTAAGGGCCAAGTCTCAGCCTTCGGTGGATGTTTTCCTCCACCCCAACCGTCAAACCTGTCCTGATAACGTCGTGCGCAGCCAGGAGATTCTCATAAGCGTATAGCAGATCGGACCGCCATTACTTTTGAGATGAACAAATTCCTTGGGCCCCCACAACACAAAGTACTGCCTTTTGGCACCCTAGCCCTTGCGGACCCGATACCGCTCCTGCCTGCAAGATGAAGGGTTGAGAACTTCAGTCCTTCCGACTAATGGGGCTTGCAGGGATCAGATTGGCCGCTACTTTCCTTTCCCGTGACTGATTCCCGTGATGTTGCAAATGACCGAGATCTGCGGCGGTTCTTCGGCGTTCCATTGCATGCTGACCTGTACACGTTCGTTTCCTGATTGGTGGAGCCAAATTTAGTAGGAGCAAGAGCAGCTGTGCCCAGCGGCGGCAATCCGAGACTTCTGAAGCTATCCACTGGTCTTTTCAGCACCAGAGCTCACGTCGCAGTTTAGCAGGAGATAGCAGGGCTTATTCACCATGGCTCCCAAGGAAGCTTTCAAGCCTAAGAGCAGTAGCAAGGCCGTTGTGAACGCGGTCCGATCCCTGACTTCTTGATGGGGCAATACTGCATGCCTTATGTTTGCTCTTGCTTTCTGCAGTTATACAACCCTGTTGCAAACTTTCAAAACAATGCTGTGCGAATAGCCTTTGAGTGCATGTCCAGTCAGCTCACACTGTGCCATGCTTTGCACAGCCAAAGGGTGGAAAAGCAAAGGACGCGAAGCGTGCCGAGGCAAAAGCTAAGAAGGATGCCAAGTCTGGAGGTGCAGCCTACACTCTTGGAGCTCAGAAAAAGTGATGCGACCGTCGCTGGTGAGTGCAAAAAGGGCCATTGCTTTGGAAAATTCGAAAGGCCGATATCTCCTCAGCAACTCGATTGACCGAGCACATCTTACGTGGAAAGTGAAAGTACAGAGCTATGTTGATTGCGCTCCGCTCCACTGAACTGTGAATGTTACTTTTCAGAGGTCCCACTCTGTGTGTTTATGATGGGGATACTTGCCATGATTTAAATGTTATCCTTCCTTCATGCCCGAACACTGGGGATACCTAGGGCAATATTGAACTCAAACTCAAATTCGTTGTATCCAGGCTGGGCTCTCTGCTAGCAAGACGGTGATGACCACTGAAGGCTGACGTTGTGTTGCAGGAACTGTGACTTATGGGGCAAACGCAGACCAGACTTAAGGATGGGAGCTACCGAGCAGCTGTCTTAACTATCTTATTAGCAAAGGAGCGCACATGCAAGGTTCAAAAAGCGTGCCAGCGCTTGGAACACAGCTGAACCAAGCTCAGCTGGGTTTGAGACTGCGTGTTGTTCAAGTTGTATGCCGAGGCGTCATCCTTGCATGAGCTCTGTGTGACGCAATCAGCAAGAAAACAAATTTCTTACAGAACCAATGACATGTGCCAGCTTCTGAGGTCAAATGGCGGTGCAAAACATGGCGGTGCTCAAGAGATCTGATGCCGCATGCGCATGAACAGATGTAAAGTATGTTTGCTACAAAGGATGAGGCTGGCATCTTGACGAGACTGTGCCACGGGCCCGTCCTGATCAATGAGCCTGATCCTGATCCTGATATTGTCCAGAGGATTGTCCATTACCTGAATATTCCAGTATAGAGCATCCGAACTGATCAGTGCCATGAGAGTCTCAGTTTGGCGCTCTTGCAAGTGCCCCTGCAGGTCAGCTGATCACCAGCAGTGTGGGTGTTGCCATAGTGCCATGAGCAGCTCTAAGGCCGTAGACCGTGCATAATGCAATCCTTCCATGAAGCAGCGTGTTCTACCGATGCTCATCATCATCTGTTGCATGCCCTGCAATGCATGCCATGCCAACAGTGTTCTGACTCGGAGTCACGTTCTACTCTGCGCACAACACTGGATGATTCTATTAAATGCTCTTCCTCAAAGGGGATTCACACGGATGAAGAGAGAAATGCTTCAAAAAAAATTCTTGGAAATTCCAAGCTCTGGCAGCTGCAGGTGACGAGCCCTGCTTAGTCATCTTCTATCTGTCGACAATGAAAGCAATGGATATTGGATGCCAATATGACAAATGTCAAAGTATCCAATGCAGCTGTGCGCCTTGCCTTGACCATCATGTCTGGAGATAGGAGCCGTGTCCACCTTTTCGACACTTCAGCACGGTGTCACACCAGCTGATCCATTCTGTGAAGACCTCCAGAGATTGTCATTGCATCACGTTCAGTGTGAAAGTTATCTGGAATCTTTGCTGATCCTGAGATCTGCAGCTGTGGCGAAAATGGCCCACTGGAGAGAGGGCCAAGGTACATAAAACGATGAAGGATGCTGCCTGAACGTCACTTTGACATAGAGCGGATATTCCTGGTGCTAGGCCTCATCATATCACTGGCATGCCTATATTTCTTGCGACAGGAGGTGAAGGCAGTCGTGATCAGTCTTTGGAACACATACCTGCAATCCTTGAAAAGCAGGTGAGCGTGCAGCAGAAACGCAATGGGATTTATATTCATATTCCACTTTCAGAAATTGAAACTAAGTATCACAGTCATCAATGATGAGAGCAGGGCCAAGATTTTCCAGGGCTTTAGCTGCAGTGGCAAAGTCTGCTGTACTCAGTGAATGTAGCTGCTCATGCTGTGTCCTTCTGACGCAGGCCTCTACTCACCAAATGCTTCACCTCATTGTGCGGCTTTGCACTTGGCGACACGGCGGCACAGAGGCTGCTGGGCAGCAAAAGGTCAGTGTGTGGTCCAGACCTCAACCAAAGTAGCTTCCGGCAGGACTTGCTGTTTTCTTGTGATCCAAGGGCTTGACCTCACAGAGGTCTTCATGCGTACAAGTCTTACGACCAGATCATGCTTGCAAACTCGCAGGCAGGATTATTGTAGGACGGGGCGTTTCATGCTGTATGGCTTTCTCATCCATGCTCCAGGATGCCACTACTTCTATCAGCTTCTAGACAGGTACGCACCACGAAGATTTTGCAGGGGCACTTCTGCTGCAGCTCACGATCATGGCAGGATGAGGAGTTCCTGTATCTGCCTGATTTCCCTATTCATACCCACTTAGAAAATGTTGGTGGACATCACTGCAGATGCTAAGCAAAATGCCCATTGGGAGCGCAGCCAAACTGTGTCTCCTGCCGTGCAGGACTGTGATGCCAGATGAGCCCACTGGCGCGCCAGCGATCCTGGTCAAGGTTTTCTTGGACAGGGTTGTTTTCACTCCCCTGAACATGCTGGCGCTGTTTCTTTTCACCGGCCTGTTGGAGGGCCTGCCTTGGCAGCGGATACTCTCCACCATCTGGCGCCGCATGCTGCCACTGTGGCTGCTGAGTAATGTGCTGTGGCCGGCGGCGCATGTCATAAACTTTCGATATGTGCCCAGCGAACAGCGCGTGCTTTTTGTGAACCTAGTGTCGCTGCTGTGGAACGTTGTCACTTGTCAGGTGGTGGGGCAGGAGGGAACGGTGCACCACAAAGTGGCCTATGGCCTGAAGGGCCTTTCGCATTTTCACCTGGGGCATAGAAGCCCGACAGAAACGGTGTAGATGAGAAACATGATGTACAACTTGCACTTCATTCACACATGTATGGCGTCTATGATATAACCCACTGACTGTGAGCCATTGGCCGCCAGTGCCCAGCGGGCAAGCGTTCCGCACTCGGCGGCCACAGTCACGCTTCACTGTGGCACGGTGCCACGTGCACGTGCGTATGCTTTCCTGTCGTATTGCAATATATGCAGACGAGCTCCATGGATCCATGTGAAAGCTGTCCTATTTCAGTCCCCATGTCTCGTTGGATTTGCTTGGTTTTAGAATACCTTCTGGCTCCAATTGGACATCATTCAAAGGGGTCGTCCACACCTGACGTGGTTGGGCTCATGGTTAATTCCTCATTACCCCACGAATTCGAATGAGGGGCGTTGCGTCCACACTACCCTCTTCGATATTTCACAAAGTTGCCGAAGCAGAAACAGCAGTCAGGCTGAAGCTGCAGCTTTGCCACACTTCCTAGATGAATATTTAGAAATTTACTCATGTCCTGAGGGATCCTGGGACTGTTACATTTTAACCCTCAAAATCAAATTTACCCCGTGGGGAGAGAAGTGGGGGATGTGGAAGGGTCTAGGACCTCAGTAGTATCTGTGCAACATGGAACACAGCCATTTCAAGTGGCATTTGCCTTGGCTCGGCTGCTCTTACGCCTGAGACATGACGCCAACAGAACCAATTGGATCGCCGAATGCGGCCCCTAGTGGCCCTGGGTGGCTGGCGCTGATCTTATCTTTGGGACCCACGGCTGCTGGGTTCGCAATTGCTGGTGTAATATGGCACGCAACACGTGACCAAACTGTGCAGATGCATTCAGAGTTTCATTCAGGCAGGAACGAAGATGCCATTAAGAAGCAACTGCGTAAGTACTTTGAGCCCATGGGTAACAGAGTTTTTGTCTGCTTGAAGAATGTGAGAGAATCTATGCAGCACAAACTGTTTCTAATCTGGCATTTAACGCAGATACTGATGGGAAATAAAGTCCCGCGTTGAATTTGACTGTGGAAGCTTTATGTTCACGCAGGTGAATTGCAGAACGATTTGGCCGTTGTCAAGAAGGCCATTGTGGTGAGCAAGCCAGACTACAAAAACAGCGGTGCGGTCCTGGAGAGTTTGCCTGCTGTCTCAAGTTTCAGTAGCACCTTGTAGTTCAGAGTGCACTGAGGGTCCCTGGCTCAGTTCGTATGGCCGCTACTGCAGTCTTGATCCTTTTGTGCCTGTCATGCAGGATACCGAAATGCCAAGCAATGAACATATGTCGGTCCGTCACTAATTGTACTTGTATTTGTTGTGTCGGGGTTTGCAAGTGGTCATCGTGCAAGTAGTGACCCTCTATTGTGCATCAAACGCAATTCATAGGGTTCCATTCAGAGTTGATTTATGCATCCGATCAGTGTTGTTTATTGTGTTACAGGATATCTTCGTTCTCAAACGCTGTAATGTGCAAAGTATACACATCCTCTGCCAATTTCATTTGCAGATGTAGAACACTCAACAGCGTCATATGCATCCTGTGTTACAACCAAATTGAAAAAAGTATTCCACTAGCAAGGCACACAACAGCTCTATTGGCACATTGATTTGTTATGGCTGCCTCAATTGAGCTAAGCAAATAACCCCATGCTATCCTATTTGGGCGCCTCTCCGCGCTCCTCTGCCACTGCAGCTGGGTCCAGCGCCAAGCATGACCTGTGCATCCCATACAGTCACTCCACAGTTGAGAAAGGAATCTGCTGAACCAAGAATCCTTAGCGGCATGAGAGCGGCTTTCTTCGACAAGAAGGAGCCTCACTGATGTGCTCAATTGCAACAGATGCCAATTGCAAGACGAGCACCTGCGCAGCTTCTGGCGCAGGGTATCGTAGACGCGCTGGTCCTTGGCGCTCACGCTCGGCTGCACGCTTCGCATCGCAGCCTCAAAGTGGCGCATGTGTACGCACGCCGTTCCCTCCGCAGCTTCCTCTGGCTTCCTCACCTCCCTCAGTGCCTCCTGTGACACAGAATTGCACCGACTGTAAGTTGCCGAGGAGTCTGGTGTGATCACCGCGCCCAAGAAGAGCGGCGGCCACAAGCACTGAGGCTTTCATTGCATCATTGAAATAAGGGGATCTGCCTTGGTGACGGGCTTGCAGCTTGGCAGAGACAACATGCAACAACGATGCTGTCTTCAATGCCCGCTGCCTCTTGGCAGAAAATATATGCAGCAATGGCGCCGACCTCCAAGGCGAGCTTGCCTCCTAGCAGAAACAGCACAAAGAACTTTATATGCAGCAACGACACTGACACGGACCTTGAGGGAGGTCACGGCGGCTTCGCGCACGAGAGCGGCCAGGTCCGCGCCGCTGTAGCCGCCGGTGCCGGGGCTGAGCCCAACGGCGCGCAGGTCGACGTCGGCGGCCAAGGGAGTTGCGCGCGTGAGCGCCTGCAGAATCGCAACGCGGCCCTCCGGCGCCGGCAGCGGCACATAGAGCAGCTTGTCCAGGCGGCCCGGCCTGCCAAAACCACCAGTCATTATGGAGCCACTCTTGAGCAAAATATAACGAGGGGTCCATAAGCACTGCTGCTGGTAAGTCACGCAGCAGTGGCTTGCGCGGACAGGCACGCGTGCACGATCAGAGTTTCCAGTGTCAAACTCTTCAAGCCGAAGCACTCCTGCTTCAAGTGCCTAGGCATCATGAGCAGTGCAGACTTATGCTGGGGATGTTGACGTTATTCCCAAGAGCAGTGTATATTGCCCAGGTGTCACGTTTAAAAGATCTGCTATATAGCAAAAGGGCTAGTTTTGTACGACCCATTTAGACGGTGGAAGGGTGAGCGCATTTGGAAGCGGCACAGGTTGAAGGACCTGAGCAGTGCAGAGTCGATGATGTCTGGACGATTGGTGGCGGCAATCAGGTACACTCCTGTGCGACCGTCTATGCCGTCCATCTCTGTGAGCAGCTGATTCACCACCCTACAGCAGCCCACGCACAAATCTCAATCCAAAATTTCATTGCAAATTCATTTTTGAATGTTATGGCATTTACATTTCTGAACCTTGCCGCAGCATGTAAGAAATGAAGCCACAGGGTAGTCCCCGTTGATGATTGCACAAATCCCCAGGACCCAGACATGCCTCTGAAACATTGCAAGATCCTCCGCACGTTAGGCATGCTTTGGATAACACTGGCATGTGCTGCAAATACCCAGATGCCAGTGATCTGGACAGCAAACATGTGCAGCTTCGAGCATGAAGAGGGAGCTGCCAAGTGATACAATATAATCTAGACAACAGTTTTTTTACGCACCGCTCAGAGGATTGGGAAACGTCCGAGCCGCGGCGCGGCGCGAGAGCATCGAGTTCGTCGAAGAACAGCACGCATGGTCCGGCTGCCCTTGCGCGCGCAAACAGCTGCCGCACCGCCCGCTCGCTCTCTCCCACATACTTGTTCAGCAGCTCGGGGCCCTGCAAGTTGCACTCGGGCTGTCAGTTCTGTGGAATCTTACTGGATGGCTGACTGGTAGCTGCCTCCTTCCCTTGTTGAGAATATAGGTTAGAGCCCACTGGACACTCTGAAAATAATTTAAGTGTTGTTGCGTAGCACAGCATAACACCTCGCTATGGGAGATGACATGCATTCGATCAGTGTCCAATTCACCTGAGGATCTCTTTGCAGGCCCAAGGCACGCACAACTCACTCAAAAGAGCGATAGACGCCATGGTCTGTGTTGCCTCACAAAATCACATGGACAATGGTGCACAAGCGGACCTCATAAAAGGTATGCAATGGCAATTATCAGGAACCAAGGAATTTAAGTCTCATGAGAAGCTGGCCTCACCTTAATGGACATGAAATTGGCCCCACTGTCGTTAGCAACCGCCTTGGCGACGAGCGTTTTGCCGCAGCCCGGAGGACCATATAGCAGCACGCCCGTGGGAGCGGCCAGGCCGAGCGCGGCAAAGCGCTCCGGGTACTTTATGGGCTCTGTTATGGAGAACGCCAGCTCCTCGCGCACCTGCACTTGCAGTTCTCAGGTGAGCTTGGGATATCCTCTGCTCTCCGAAATTACTTTTTTCTTTTTGGAGATTTAAGGGTCCCCTGCCTTCTGAGTGAAGCCAAACTTGCGGTCATTTAAGGAAGCCTACAAGAGCAGCATCATTAGATAGCTCCAGCTTTTAGTAGCTGTGTGGAATGTCTATACCGATGATCGTCCAACTTCGAGCAAGCGTTGACTAATCCTTATGCAAGGGCTGCCCTGTAGTAAGTGCACCACAATGGTGCTGCACTTGACAGCAGGCGCAGGCGCACACCTCTGCCAGTGAGCCGACATCGTTCCAGGTGATGTCCGGCGTCGTGGCGAAGCCTTCCCGCCGCACGCTCGGCTGCACCTTCTTGACGGCCGCGTCAAAGTCCGCCGCGCGAATGGCCAGGCCCGACAGCTGCTGCACGCTCAGCGGCTGCGCGCCTGAACTGGCAATCATAGACTGCCCATCCTCAGCCGCACTTCCGGTGAGAGGCGAGCCCTTTGCTGCGCTGGGCTGCGCTGTGCTCTGCACGATCCAAACACTTAATCAAGAGCTGGACGTGACTCTTGCTCTGATGAGAGGGGCTTGAATGCTGAGGACTGGAGATCCAGGAAGCAACAGTGGGCTGCCTCTAATATTGACGAAGTCTTGGGCAAGGACCAGGAAGTCTTAATGCGGGCTGGGTGAGTCGACGTGTGTAATGCAGGGCTACTTCACATTTCAAATGAAATTTTGAATGGCATTCGCAGCAAAAGAGGGATCGCCTGAGGATACCTGCTCCAGCGTCTGCAGCTCGGAGAAGATGCGCGTGACGGCGATGGCGGCCGCCTCCTTTATGAGGGCGGTCAGATCTGCGCCCACAAATCCCGGCGTCTTCACTGCGACCTGCGCAAAGTCAAAGTCGCCGTCCAACCGCAGCCGCCGCGCCAAAACCTGCATGCATGCACCTAATCCTCAATTCTGCTCATGTTCATAGGATATATGGTGAAATATCTCGTCCACCTAGGCCCTAAACCTTAAAGAGGATTGAAGGCCGTGCAACCTAGCACTAAGTCGGATGACATGGGCCGGTACTGTGACATGCATCATGTTCATGGAACTGAATCTGTACCATTCACATCAAAGGAGATTTGGAAAGGGAAGGATAGCTTGGGGATGTCTTGCCAGAAAAGTGGACAAGAGAGAACACATGCATTTTCTTCACTGCTCCTGGGCTTTGGATGCGGTTTGCTGTTTGCCGCCAAGCAGAATTTTGAATTAGCGAGTGAACCCCAAAGCACGGCAAGGGGGACTCACCTGGAGGATCTTGGCACGGGCCTCCTGAGAGGGGATGCCCAGTGCAATCTCCCTGTCAAAGCGCCCGGCGCGCCGAAGCGCTGCATCCAATGAGTCCGGCCGATTTGTAGCGCCTGCGTCAGCACACTATCATGAGTCACTGCATGACCCTCGCCAGCACACGTTCTTAAAGCTCCCACACCCGTGTACATAATGCACAATCACAGTAAATGCATTGATGTACACATTGCACAGCCTGAGCATCCTGATCTGCTGTCTCAATGCAGAAATCCGTCATGTCAATTGTGCCAGCAACACGTAGGGTAGAATGCAGTCATCTTCGGTAGTTGCACACAGCAGTACAGCATTCCTACGCAACAAGGTTCAATGCTGAAATGACAGCTGCACCTATGACGACCACATGCTTAGGAAGGCGGGCAGGATCCCCCCGCTCAGTCCCCCCGCCGGTCCCCCCGGCAAGAGGCTGCTCCGACAGGTCGTCCATGCATGTCAGCATCTGCGCCACAATCCGCCGCTCCATTTCGCGCTGCGCCGTCTCGCGCTTTGCAGCTATTGCATCGATCTCATCTGCCCAGGCACAGTCAACTAATCAGTCAGTCAAGTCATAATGCACCATTCAGTCCTGATCTGACACCTGACTCCAATGCGCAAAGCCAGCGTCCAACCAGAGGCTTGCAGATTGAGCTCAGCACACCCAGTAAGATCATCCACAAATCCGCCATGAGCTCACCCGTGATGCAAGCCAAGCTTCATAGGCAGGAGTAGCGGGGCAAAATAAGTCCTTCCTGGAACAATGTAAAGAGTGTGCTGGGGCGCACCTATGAATATTATGCAGGGCGCAAGGGAAGCCGCTTCCTGGAATAGCTGGCGAACCTTTGCCTCTGACTCCCCTGCACAAGTGCGCACCAAATTTTTTTGAGGTGGTTTGTGCTGTCAGCTAGCCATTGCATCTCAGATTTCTCCAGTAGGCACTTCGAGATGCTTGTCTTGACTGAGGATGGGTATTTAGAAGGTCTTCCATGGGGGTGATTTGTATCTGAACAGCCATGCAAGGGCCACCTTTGTCAAATTGTGTGCCACTCTCAAGCAAACGTCCTTTGATCTGCCTCAGCAAAGTACAAGACCCTTTGCATGCATTGTGAACACCACGTGTGCTGATGCACAAATGCATGCGTGCTCACCAGATACGCCGGCAACAATCTCCGGGGCGGAGATGCGGAGAAAGGGAACGCCGCATTCGTTTGCGATGGCATTTGCAAGCGCCGTCTTGCCACAACCGGGGGGGCCGTGCAGCAAGACCCCCCGTGGTGGCTCCACTCCCAGCCATGCATACACCTGCGAAATGGATGGAAATCATTTGTTCACTTATTTGTGCAGATGGTTCCGAGACATGCAAGCTTGTCACTACTTGCAATGGACATCCACTGCCATAGTAAGGCAGCATCCATGATAATTGCAAGTCTGGCCAAGAGCTCGTGGCTGGGCCAATATTCTCTACGTGTCAAGTTCAAAGAGGGCTGAGAACAACCACTGCAAGCAATCTAAGGTGTTGGAGGGAGAGGCCACCTCAGGGTGGCGCAGAGGGTACTCCACGAGCTCTTTGATATCGCTGAGCACCGCCTCGATGCCCCCGAGATCCGCATAGCGCACCGGCCGCGGCTCTGCAAGACCATTTGCATTGTCAGAGGAATCCCTTAACACAACACACTACCCATAGCTTGTGCACTTTTAAGTCATGTGCATGCTTGCACAAGGTACCTGCGCTGGGCAAAGATTTGGAGCAGGCATGGAGGCGAGCCATCTGCTGTGCAGTGTGCGCAAGACAAGCAATGAGACCGCAGTACGTGTGCATGAACAATACAGAGTCCCACTAGAAGACTCACGAGAAACAGCCGACGAAGAGGCCAACGCCATGCGCTTGCGCTTGGCGGCTGCAAAAGGATTGCCAGCTGGGGCGCTGTCTGCCTCCTTTCCTTCCCTCCTCCTCTTCTTATCTCCCCCTGCAGCCCCTTTGCTTGCACTTGCGCCGCCTGCAGCAGCACCTTAAACTCAAGCCTGCAACTTTGATCACACTGACATGCACATTTTACAATATTGGGCAGAACTGTACAATTGTTTTGGGCACAAGACTTTGTTCTGCAGAAGCAGACCTGCTGGATTTGCTTGCAAGGCTGCTACGGCGTTCTCCGGCCGTAAGGAGTTTTCAGCTGGCTTCAGAGGGGTCCCCCCGCTGCCAGCCTTGCCCACAGCTGCAGCCGCCTGCGGGGGGCCCGGCCCCTCGCCCCTCTGCTGCTCCTCAGTGGAAATTGCTGTAGGCCCTGCTAATGTACTCTCTCCTTGCTGATGCTGCTGCTGTTGCTTTTGTGTTGCAGCTTCTGGCTGCTGCATGCTGGGTTGGGAAGTTGTGGGAAAGTTGCCAGGTGGCTGGCCAGTTGCGTAGATGGATGTCAGTGCAGCGTTTAGTCTCGAGCGGCCCCCAGACAGCGCTGCAAGGGATGCCTGCTCTATGTCCCGATCCAAATCCGCCCCGTCCTGTGAAGAGCAGTGAATGACGCATTCAAATTACTGATTGTATGCATTGTTGCCGCGATGAACCTCCTGGAAAGGTCGACGACAATGGCTGCTGTTTGCATATTGATTGGAAAGATGCATTGCTTAACAACAGGTGACAAATGACAACATGAACACGGCATTTGAAACTTTCTACCATGCTTGGGAATTAGTCATACTTTCTTTGAACAGCTGTGGTGGCGTTCGCAATGCGGCTGTCGCAGTAACGGGTACATGCTCTGTGCATCAGCCCTGTGGGTTGCTGTGGGGCACCAGGGGAACCACTCACCTCATCAACATTCATATCAGCTCCGCTGCTGCTGGCAGAGTCCCCACTGCTGTAGCTGGTGGTAGGGCTGGGCTCATCTGGGTCCCTTCCATGCTGCCTTTTGCGCAAATGCTGGTGCTCGATTGCCTGTGGCCAAGCCACATCTCAGGCCGGCCGATGCATGCATGCAGATGACTGACAAGACATGCTCTTGCAGCATTTATGTATCATTAATGGAGCAATGGTGGTGTCACTGAAGATGTGTGCACAGGAGTTGGCCTCAGGATGTGAATTTGGCCCAGGAAAGGTCGTACAACATGCAGGAGAATCCTGAGCAGCGGGCGCCGACAAGTCCCCAATGTAGATAGGACAGGGGGATGGCAATACCTGCAGCTGAGCTTCAGAGTTCACAGTGCTGCTCTTCTGTCTAGCTTGTCCAATTGCGCGTTCCACCTGCTTGATGAAGACAGCCCTTTGCCGCCGCTGATACTCCGGGTATGCAGCCCTCAGGTGATCTGCCACAGATACGATATCCCCTAGCTCGCCGCTCTGCAGATAGAACAGCCTGATGTCAGAGCGTATCCTGCATATTCCTTTGAAAAAACATATGGTATGCAGTAATGTGGTGCAATGACAAGAGTAGGATGGGGTCTGAATAGCACCTTCGCGTAGTCTTTAACCCGCCTCTCTAAAGTGCGGTCTTGTATACCGGTCGATCCTTGTCTTTGCCCGCTTTTGTTGCCCTGTGCTCCGGCCATTCTCATTCACGCAGCCTCCAGATGGCTGACATGCATCTGTGGGCGCATGCAATGCCCATTTTTACAAGCCTTCCATAATTTTCCTCTTATTATCTTGAGAAAGCATACAGATCGTGCCCTTAGCTTGGCATAAAACAGCAAAAGGCAAAGCTAGTCGGAGTAAACGTGGGCACAAAGTCTCCATTCAGGTCATATGGTGCCAGAACAATTCCTGAGCTTGCAAAGATCACCAAATGATACAGATCCTTTATTCTAGGTAGTGGTACTCGATCAGAACGACAAATATAAGGTGCCGAACCAAAATTCCGGAAGTCGGTGTCGGAGTTTAGCTCGTCTTTGCCGGCGTTCCTAACGAAGCTTTGGTGGAAAGGACGAGATCACCCATGTTGCCAAAGTTTGGGGCAGCAGGGGAGGCAGTCGTAGTTCCTGCAGCACAGGAAAAGGCAATACCGAACGCAGGTATTGTGTGATAGAAGGGTAGAAGGGGCGCTGAAGCCATGTCCAAGTTTGCCCAGGGCCTCTCGAAGTTGAAAGTGGGGGAGGTTCCTGCCTACGTCTCAGACCATGCAGGTTGATCCCGATCTTATATTCTGTCACACTTCTCAGGAGATGTTAAACTCACTGCTTTGATTGCCAACTTCGCACTGCTTGCTAGGTCTGAAAGGACATTTCCAAGAGAGTTGCATTCAATTGAGGAGCTAGGAGTCCATCAAGAATGGCCACAGGAACAGTTAGCACATCTAATCGCTGAAGTGCTCCGCTTTCTCAGCCTTTCTACACGTGCTTGCCATGGTAGCTTTAGTTGGGATTAATCTCTTTGGTTTGCGCTTCTCTACGAGCGGTAGTCCTGGACCTGATATTGCAATTGTAAATTGAATCAACCCTGGTGAATCGATGCAGGAAAGCACTGGACACCGTCAAAGGTGAATCAACGGACCTTTGACTTCCTGCACAAGTACAAGGAGAAGTATATCGACACTGGCAGCATTAAGCCCCTCACAGACGTTATGATCGGCCTCTTCTTTTTCTCGTACGCTGTTGCCTGGCCACAGGTGAGGCAATCTTGTTCTGCATTTGCCAGTAAGGACAGATTTTGTCCTGCGTGTGCTTACATTTCACGCACAGGAATTTGCTGCACTGAGTTGAGTGACCCCTCCAAGCCACATACGCCATCTTCTCAACCTCGAAAACCCAACAGTGTTTAGAGTATGGCATGCATGGTGACGTTCCAGCATGTACCGACTGGCGCTAATTGTGGTGCTGGTATGTGGTGCAGGAGTACAAGCACATGAAGGCTGAAGAGAAGGCTAAGCTAGAGGGCAAGGCAGCTCACTAGTGGAGCACTGAGAGGCACAGCGCTAGTATGTGTGATCTGCTCCATCCAGTGATGATTCACTCCTGTCAAAGATGGCAGACAGAGACCTTAGGATGGATCTTTGAGCAGCAGCAGAGGATGGGCTGTGCTTGGTGTGCTCGGATCATCCTTAGCATTCTGTAAGGAATATTTCTGGATCAAACATTATATGCTACAGGATCCCTCTGAGGGATGCATCCTACAGTAATAGCTCTTGTGGGACCTTTCAAGCACATGAACTGGAAGTCTCATGCCACACTCTGACTCTTCTCTAGGCAAAGTCAAATGTGTCTAAAGCTATCCACGAAAAGCTCACAAACGGGTCCCTTCGCCGCCCGATGCCAGACATATGTATGTCGTTGTATTTGCTCTCGATCAACAACCAAGCATGCACTTTGCAATCAGTAGGCTCCATACCTCGCCACCAAACAAACTCCCAAGCAATGCTTACAACTGTGCTCCCACTGAGACCTCTACGAGGTTGCCTTGCGAAAAACCCAGCCGGTCATGGGCCTTCAATTTATCACACAAGGCTCTGTGAAACAAAATCCGGAGTTTCCCTGACAAGGAGTGATCCCAGGATAGAGCTCTCAGCCGGCGCTGCGCACGCGCAGATCCAGCAGCTCAACAGAGTAGACCTGCGCGGCTGCGCTTGAGAACGTGGGCAAAGGCGCCTGGCGGCTGATGTGATCCAGCACACCCCCGAGCGCCGCAACCTTCTGGGACACCTTCACATCATCTGCCACCTGCTCCTGCACAGGCAGCATGACAATCACCCTCAAATTCCTGTCCGATCATCCATATCCTTGACATATTCAATGCAGAACATTGGCTTTAGCTGCTTCAATTTTCGAACATATATTTTTGACCTTACGCACACTTCCCTGCTAGCAGGAGCAATAAAGGCAATATGCCAGCAGTATGCGAGAACATGCATGGGCCAAGCCACACAGTCTGCATTGGACTCGGGGCAACGGTTCAAAATGAGCTTGGCGCCATTAGTAATCCACAGTCATGATTACCTGCAGCGCCAGCAGGGCAGTGAGAGCCTGTTTAGGCTGGCCGGCCAGCGTCACGAAATGTGCGTCGAGTACCGCAGCCGCCCAGCGCAGCGCGTCGCCCAGCGTCGGCAGCGCAACGCCAAGCGGCAGCGTCGACGGCTGATGCGAGACCGCACCTGTGCCAACAGATAAGAGTTGATTGTATGCTGATATCGAAGCAGAGCGAGCGCCAAAAGTAAGGAGGAATGGCTGCCTGCCAGTGTAAGTGGAACATGTGAAACATACAAGACGCCTCCGGAACAGAAGCACACTACAACAAATTATAACCAGTAGGAATACCTCCAAATAGGCGCGTGTTCAGCCATCTTTTAAATGTAAAAAAGCCCATGGTCGTGTCAAAGCACAAAGGGCCAGATTACATGTGCCCTGAGGATCTTCCAGACCACATTCATGTTTGCTGGGAGATTCTGGATCCCTGAATTAGAATCTTGCAGCAATTTTCACTTGCTCCCTTGCGCATGCCAAGCTCAAGCAGATTTGAATACAGTGCTGCTTGTGTGTGTCAGGACACGGGAGGTTTGATCAAGCTGGGCTTGCTGTGCATGCTTGAATGCATCTGACGATCAGAAAGGAAGAGACGAAGCTGACCGGGCTGGTGCGTGGCCCATTTGGAGAGGTACGCCGTGAGGCGGAGGACCTGCGGTGCCCTGAGCTTGCGCAGAGCCGCCAGAACGACGGCGTTGTCATGGCCGCCCGCCACCATGGCATGCAAGCATACCTCCTGCACATGTTTTCGTACGCATCAATTGCCAGCTCATATTGCAATCGTATGCTGAAAATTTGGTGGCACTCGTGTCCATCCTCTGCTGAGGATGACAATCATGGGCTTGCTAAGCGTTGGCGAACAATCCTATCATAGTGTCCTGCACGAAGAGACCTTAGGGAGGATGTCAAATAGATGCTGCGGCGCCTCAGTGAGGATACAAATGAAGCCTCACCCTCACCTTCCCAGAAGCTTGCAAGCAACCAACACTGTGTGCTCGAGAGCATCAGATTTATACCATCACCAAGGGGCCACAGCAGCCGCCTAAATATCCTCTAAAATGCTCTCTGCATAGATACTGAGAAGACTACCGGAACATGAGCCTCTAAATATAAGAAACCTCATAAGCAAGACCCTGCTCTATGACCAGTAAAAGACTTTCATGTTACGCACCTGCGGAGTGAAGCCCTCAACAGCTGCGACAACGGCCTGCGCAGATGCCAGGGCTGCCTCGTGGAGCCCCTCCATGCCAATGGATGACTCAGCAGCGGCCACCGCTGACTCAGCCGCCTCGCTATAGTGGCGCTGCCACGCGCACAGCTCCCTCGGGAACCGCGTGCGCTCGGCAAGCAGCACCTCCAGCGCAGCCGCCACATCAGCAGGTGACATATCCACAGCCTGCATGCAACGGTAAGATCAGAAGAACTGTGTGATGCTAAATTAGTATGATCCTTGTTCCCTCTGCTGATGTCTGTGTCACAAACTCTGTAGGACGCACATGGCAGCTTTGACATGCTCCAGGCACTACAGTGATCATCAAAGGACATACTGCTCCACTGTCTTGGAATCTGCATGTGGCAGCTTTGCTAGGCGTGCTACGTTATAAGCAACGTCTATGTGCAAGAAAAATGGCGGGTTGGGTACATTATGCTCACCTGGCAGAGAGCGCAGGCGAGCAGTCTGTACTGGCCAGACTCCGCCATGGAGGCAACTAAGCTGGGACACCGCTCGAAGGCGGCCAGGTTCCTCTGCTCAGCAAGCCCATGGAGCACCTCCCAGTACCCTGTGTCAATGCAAGACAATAGCATCATCTTGGGGTCGGCCATTACTGGGTGCGCACATGGGTGCGTATAGTGAAGACAAATGGTCTATATTGCCCTGAATATGCCAATGCCATTCCTCTTTGCATCTGCAGACATCTGAATACACTTCAGTGCACACTGAATACCAGGGCTCAGCAGAGCCTTCAAAGATCATCAGCAGCGAAGAATGGGTCTGAACTACTGTCTGCACTGTGCTCACCACTCTCTGCGCAGCGCTCGACAAGCTTCTGCAGCAGCTGCTGGGAGGGAACCCCGCCGGATGCCGCGGTGCGCTGCATTATGTCCTGAACAAGCTGTGCTGCCACGTCAGCGGTGGGCAGGCTCCCTGGCTGCGCCAGCTGCGCAGCTGCTTCCCTCTCAAACCTGTGGTCCTCTGCAATCGCCGCTGCCGCCCTCTCCCACCTGCAAGTCATCCCAGGTCAGACGCCAGCCACCCTACCCGTATGTAAATTTCCCATTTGTTTCCAGAATATTACTTTTCTGTACCCCAATGTCGGAGTCAGGATGGTCTTTGCATCCCTGCTTGCCATGTTGGGTGCGTCATGTTGGGTGCTTTTATATTGGCAGGTCAGGGTGCAGATGCAGAATATCATTGCACCCACCAGTACTCCTGACACATCACCAAGCCAAAATTGCATGAAAGTCTTAACAGATGTATATGCCCGCACAAGCTCCCTCACCTCTGAATGTGCTCTAGCTCCAGTGGCACAGCGATGTCACCCACATGCGGCCGCAGCGGCAGAGCCGCAGCCGCCCCAATCCGCGCCCATGCTGGCCGGCTGTGATCGTGTGGCGGCGGCTCTGCGGCAGCTGCCGCGGCAGCCGCTAGCGCACGGCTCGGCTGCAGGGCAACCGCGTTGTCTGGTGAGAGGGCACCCACCATCGCTGCCAGAATTGGCGCCTCCACCTGCGAAGAGAGCTCCAACTTGTGGGCCCTTTCCTATGACCTGAGGCGCTTGAAGGGGATATAAGAACTTACAGTGTTTTTCGTAGCACGGCTTCAAATCACGTAAGGCTGAAGCTAAAGATGGAGAAGAGGACAAACAGTCCAATGCCAGTGTAAGGCTTCATAATCCTCACATTAAATCTGCCACACAAGGACAACATCCTGTAGATGTATTGTGAGAATTATTTCACCTTGGCAAGTAGATCGCCCGCCTTGACACTCCTACGCTGCCCGATCTGCTTATGCAAAGATTAAAAAACCATGCAGGGACATCGGAATCTATTCCTCTTTCCTAGTAATGCTTAATAAAAGCCACGTATTGTATCGGAAAGGTTTCTTGCAAATCTACCGTGACAATTCCTTAGCTTTGGCTAGCACCAGCCAAGATGTAAGCTGACGCTTAGACTGGCGGCTTCCTGACTGCAGGATGCCCGGTGGCCCTAGCAGATCATATCTGAGAATACACAGCAGACTACGGCAGTCGCTGGGGAGTTAAAATTTCTCTTCGGGGAAAGGGATGGGAATCTTTTGTTGGTTGGTGGTGGGGGTAGCGTATCCTAGCTCCATCACGCTGCAGCTTCCAGGAAGGCCGAAGTTACGCGCAGCGTTACATGAGGAGCGTTCCGGAATGTGGCATACAACTGCACGGACAGCGGCATTCTTCAAATCGCTGTCAAAATGCTGAAGAATAAACGGATGAGTGCTGCGGCCATGACACACTACTGCCTGCCGTTCTCATGTACAAAGGAACGAAGCCTGCGGGTACCTTCTCACTTCTATAAAAGGAATTGCGTGCAACGTTTGAATGCACCCCTATTGGACATGAACATCACCGCTTCCTTTGATCTCAATCGATTGCCAATCGTTGTATTTGTTTATCAGGATTCGTGGCTGACAGTCGAGGGCCAGAAATGGGAGCAAGACGGCACACCGTACAGTAAAATAAATGAAGCAAAGGATACCAGCGATCCCATCATGCCAGAAGCGAGTTCACTGTCGCTGGCGTCCTGCTCCGTGTCGGAAGTACCCTCGTCACCGGCGCACGGACTCGTAAGCATCTCGCGGAGATGGGTCATATCCCAAAACGATACTCACATTTTCGAGCTCATATTTACTGAACTGATTGCTTTACAGGCTCCTGAACACAGTTTTCTGGGCATTGGTGAACAGTCCTGAAGGTTCAGCCAAATGCATGCAGGACCCGCTCTCACTGGACATCCCGTACTGCCCGGCTCCAAGGCACAGGCGCAGGAGCCTGCAGAGCCCCCTACGCAGCAACAGCAGCGGCCCACTTGACTTTGCAGCCATCCATCCGTCCTCAGACTCAGCGGACCTCATTGAAGTGAATGAGCCGCTAGACCCGGAGCAGAGCAGCAGCTTGTTGCACCTGCGCCGCCCTTGCTCCCCATGCCAGTCTGAGGTGTTCATAAGAGCGAGCCACTCAGACCTGCCAGACAGCAACACTGTGGAGACCGGACTCTTCTCACACAGTGAAGAGATCGCACAGAGCACAGCGAGTGAGCTGCAGAGGCAGGCTATAACGGAGGCTGGCGGCTGCGGTGAGTCACTGGACAGCCTCACGTGCATGTGCCAGAAGTGGCGCAGCTTTGGCGAGTTGACCCCCCTCGGCTGCTACGCACAGCAGCCGCACCCTTTCACTGGGGAGAACAGAAAGTGGCTGCAAGGCGATGAGAGATCCTGTGTGAGTACGCACACCAGCAGCACAGCAAGGCTCCTTGCAAATCACAGCCGGGATGGGTCTGCAGACAAGGGGCAAAGGAGCAGCAATGAGCAGGGTGCAGCAATGCTACCAAGCATCTCAGCAAGCGCGCAGCCGTACAGAGCACAGAGGGGTGCGATTCACCGCAGCAGCTGCTCTCAGACTGACAGCACTAGCAGGAGCGTGCGCCGCGGACAAGGGGTGTCAGGCCGTGGACATGTTACTAGTCTGCCAGTACAGGGCAGAGCGCGTGTGCACTCAGCAGGGGACAGCGCCAGAGCAGGCAACCAGGAGAACCTTCCTCACAACATTTTACAGGACAGTGCAAGGCGCAGGCCGCCACACATTGGATTGAATGGCGGTAGCCCACAAGCTGAAGACTCATGGGCCCCTGTGACAGGTACTCTTCATGGTAGCTGCCATAGCAACTGGCAAGTTTGTAGAGAGTGTGCTATCTACTGTTAAAGCCTCTGGCTTAATAGCTCTCACTAGAGACTCAGTGGCCTCTCTCTGTTGAGGCCCCTTAGAATGTTTGAGTTGGGGTAAGCCGGCATGCAGCTAAATAATTCATTTGGATTCACAGCAACGATACCATTGCCGCTACATAACCGTCATCGCATGCATATGGTTGCAGGCTCATCACCAGCCCCGCAGCCGCGCAGCCGCCGCAGCACCCGCAGCGACGGCAGCGGGGGCCGGCGGCTATCCGGGGATGCACCTGCATACATGCAGAGCACCGCGTCCGTGCGCGCCAAGCAGAGCAGCCGGCGGGAGCAGCCGAATGCCAAGCGCTGGACTGTGGGGTGATCAACAAAATTGCAGGAACTGTATGGGAATCAAATATTACCTGACCCAGTTTGTCAAGATGTTGTAAAGAAGGATTGATATTGCGACAGAACGCCGAGCGCTGGACTGTGGGGTGATTTACTGTGGTGTTACAGTGTCACAGCACCGGTGAGGGGCCACAGATTGTCCATCTGGGCTGCAATACTGGATGACAGAACCCGGTGGGTTTGATGGCTTTGAGCAAGTCCATTAAGGCGAAGGGGATGTGGCAACCTTTCCATGCAGCTGGTCTGCAGATGCTTCTCGCCTGTAGAGATCTTGCAGGAACATCATGTAATTATCATTGAAGAACCCGTGATTTGGGCACGGGGAGGCTACAGGATCACCGTGCCGCCCTTTTTCAGGATCAAGACCTTGATGGTCCATGTGTTATGCATGACTGGAACATAGCACCGGTGACCCAACTGCCGTGACCGGGTACCCAGTGAGCTTTGTGCATTGGTTTCTGTGTTGAAGGGCTAGCTAGTATAGCTACTATATGTAGTAGCGGCAGCTGAAAATGGGAGCACCTGGAAAGGTCTTCATCATCCATCCTATAGCAACCTTACCTTGCAGCAGTGCAGAAGATCGTTCATGGAGGACTTTTGATTGATTCTTTGGCTCGAAAGAGGAGGAAAGAGTCTATCCCTGTATGAGGCATCCCCTGATTAAGCACGTGATGACGTACTGACGGTTGACGGTTGACGGTTGGCACGGGAGACCCCCGTGCCACAGGGAGCAGCGGACACCATTCAACACAGCCTCCATCTTTCAGAACAACGGAATTTGCGAAGGGCGATTATCCAATTCGTAGTGTTGGCCGACGAATTTGCTGTCAGAAGCAGCAACGTTTGGTCAGGTAGACTCACACATCTGCCATACCTCGACACAGGAGTACGGCTTCGATGTCGTCGCTCTTGCTGAGCGCCTTGTGCGTCGGAGTTGCCGTTCTTAGCCATATTCATGTTCAAGCCTTCAGGTAGGCCCTGTACATGAGAGAACAATGCTGTATTCTGGGGGCAAAGGTCCACCCCATCTTGCGATATACAACTGGGAATTGGCCAACCTTGTACATGATAGGCCACCTGTGACTGAGTTTGCAACCCTTCAGCCGTATATCATGAGGATTAGGCAGCGCAATAAGCATATCAGGGCAGCGATCCTGTGGAAAACCATTTAAGCGCGATAGCGTGATACACTCCCATGGGATCCCAATTTGCAGGCACGGAGACAGTCTGCCTGCTCACGGGCGAAGAAACTTGCTCTCAGACAAGCACACTGTCGCTACGGACCCCCATATCAATCCTCCATACATTCCGTTGTACTGGCAGAATCATTGGGCGCAGAACTATACAGTTCCCGTGAACAAAGCGACCAGCGTGCAAGTCACCGATAAGTTTGACAGCGGCTTCCGCATTGCTGTAGGTTGCATTTCCTATCGCATAGTCTGCCTGGCACCTGTACACGGTGTTCAAGACGGTTCAAACTGAAGTGCTTCTGCATGGCACTTGCACTTGACACAGGCAATTGAATTTAAGGGGTCCTTGAGCTGGGGCACATTCCCGTGGCGTTAACGTTATTCGGATTTTGTTTTGAAAAGTAGTTTATGCACGAAAGCTGTTGCGCTGTGAAGGCAGCAGACCACGAGAGTTAAAAGGTGGCCATGGCGCATGCTACTGAGCCAGGAGGATGTGAAGTTTGAATGGTGCGCACAGAACTCCGTGGTGCTGACCGGACCAGGAGGAGCTCTGATCGACATCAACATCACAGCCGACCCCTTGAGCCCCGGAGAGGGCTACTACTTTGGAGGGTTTGCCCTCTGCTTCAACCTGCCTTTGTTCTCACTGCCCATCCGCTCAATAGCACCCTTGACAATCCCATACCTAAGGCCTGAGAGTGCCAGCCCTCGTTCTTCAGGGAGCAGGCGAGTCAATGCACAGCAAGGACTAGAGATAGTCCGCACATAGGCACTTGATTGACTAATTGGTAGTATCTACTCTTCATTGATCTGTGAGCTTCTGGCTCTCTGGAGCTCCCGGCCCTTGTATCTGCAGCTCAATATGAAATTTGGCAGGCCACATCCTGGCGCGCACACATTGGCGAGCACCTCCCCAGCACTGGCATGACTTACCACCCCTGTAGCGTAGGCAGCAGGCAATGGACATACATCAAAAGTGATATAATGTTACAAAGCTGCACCGTATGTGGTGCAGGCGGTTCTTCTTCAGGGTTACAAATGCTCGGGGTGTGCCCCTTACGGTCCGCATTCTAAATGCTGACTACCCCTATGACTGGCCCCCCAACTACTCTGTCCGCGCCACCTACGACCGCGAATTCTGGTTCCAGGTCTGTTATGCCCAGACTTCCCTAGAATTTGAGGACTATCGTGAAAAATGCTGCTTATCCCGACTGCCTGCATGCTTGTGTTTGCGTTAATGCAGCTGAGAATCGCTGCAGGTCTGACATCCCCAGTCTTCCATAGCATATCAAGTGCTTCCATGCACTCAGTGGCACATAGGCTTTCACCCGGGACATCCCGTTCTCTGCATGCTTGGGTTTGGTATTGATTCAGCTATCAAGCAGTCTTCTGCTGGCAGTTTTCAACTAGTGTCTGGTAGCGAGACCATCCAATGGTTATGAAGCAATCAGAAACTTCACCCGTGAGCTGACGAGCTCCAACAAACATTCCTGAACTCACAATTGCGCCGCAACATCTCTGTTGCTGTAGGCCTCGTGCCCATCTCAGCAAAGACTGGCAGCTTCCTGCGGCTTCCCTTGGAGCAGTATAGCTCTGTGCAAGCCGGCACCAATCTGACTGTGCTTACATGCATGTGTGACATCCTCAGGTCGCCACCGGATACACCTTCCTCAACGATTTGCAATTTGACGGCGCCCGGGGCATTCTGGAATTCCAGCTCACTCCCACAGAAGACGTCGTGTACTTTGCCTCCTGGGCAGTGCACACTTACGAGCGCGAGTCCCTCAATGTGGCCCGCTGGATCAAGAGCCCCTCTGTCAAAGTCCAGGTGGGCGCTTGTGCTCATGCAAATAGTCAGTGCCAACTAGACATGCGGCGTCAATGCCTGCATCATCAAGACAGGGGTGACTGAAGAGCACATAGGTATACTTGTAACCGCTAGCACCTCGTGATCAAGCGCCCAGCTCGGGTATAGGAATGGTGTCACTACAGGGTCTTGGAAAGCACGAGCCCTTGTCTCAATGATTTAGGTATTGTGCTGTCAGATGCAGCCTTCTGTTGGTGCAACGAGTCTGTGCAGTTACTGAAGTGGTTGTGTATGTGCAGACAATTGGACAGTCGCTGGACAACAGGGACATCCAGATGGTCATCATTGGATCCCCAGGCACCGGCCGCAACATCTGGGTGACCACAGGTGAAACATGTCAACAATTTGCCAAGCTGCACAGTGTGAGTCAGAAGGTCAAATACACCCAGAGCAAGATGACTTTGCATGCTGGTCAGTGCTGAAAGGACTGTGCCATGCAGGCCAGCATCCTTCAGAGCGCCAGGGCCCTTGGTTCGTTGAGGTGAGTTTTGCTCATCATTTGACCGATCTGCAGTCATAACATTGACATGCAGCAACAGAGAAGAAAGTCTTTTGCAATGCCATGTTTTAATTACCACTGGCATTGACTTCAATTATTGAGCTCAGAGGCCGACAAGAAGAGGACCATAGACCTTAGCAGCACAGCAGCAAGTCCCCACAGCAGGATCGCAACTTGCATGGTCCTGACAGCTCCTGAATTGAACCTGCCAATTACCTGGGAAGGACGCTGCTGTCTTTGTGGTGTTGCCTGCATGCAAGGCGCGTCTGAGCAGTGCAGGTATGAATATACACTCTGACAGGCTTGTGATGTGTTGGGTGCAGGGCCTCATTGATCGACTGATCGACAACACAGACCCAACCTCGCGCGCTCTGCTGCAGCGCTCTACCTGGTACTATCATACATATACGGATTTGTCATGGGCTGTCATCAAAACATTGCTGCAAGCACCTGATCTACGCGAATCGGAAGGGCATGTCGTGATGCAACAAAGAATTGGTTCAGGATCAGGGAGTCATACCAGGCCATTTTCTGCATTGCTGCATACATATCTGCATGGGACTATCCAAAGGCTCTGGCCGTAGGTTCACTTCAAGCCTGCTACAAGTGCTCCATGCATGCTGTCATGGGTAAATGCTTATACTTACGTCAGGGAGCCTTTAATACTGATAGTTCTGCCAAATCCAGGGGCTGAGATTTCTGCACATACTGCACCTGCTGTGCATGCTGTCTAGGTAGCCCTCGGTATCCCATACTCATCTACTTACTGAAGGCCAGAAGATAACGCAAGGTGTATGGCTCTGAGAGGATCGCATGTGTGGCAGGTATGTGGTGCCAAACATGAATCCGGATGGTAATTATCTGGGCTACCACCGCACGAACCGCAATGGCATCAACCTCAACAGAGCCTGGGGGCCGCGCACCACCTCTGACTCACCCGAGACCTTTGCTGTCCAGGTCAGCATTCTTGAGCTCTGACTTCCTGCTTTCTGCCTCTCTTTCCAAGCTACGCGACTGTTATGCGCAGTGACAGACAGCCTACAAGACCAATGAGCCTCAGGTGGCTCCCAAAAGGCATCTCAAATTTACCATAACAATAATCGACATGGCGCATGCAGTTTCCAATTTTGTTCTTCAGCTTAGAGAAAGCCTTTAAAACCAGTGCATGGCATATCCTGGTGATGTCTTTTTTAAGTGGGCTTTTTTGTGGTGCGTAGGCCGCCATGAATGTCTCAGGTTTGCAGCTGATCCCAAGCTCTGCTGTACTGCTTTGCTACAAATCTCTGCATTCATTGACTGCATTCATTGAAAGACCCCAAACATATCTGCAAGATCCAAATTCGTATGACATGCAGGTCAAAATCCTGACTTCTACATGGATATCCATGCCAACGAGCAGTGGGAATATAATTTCTGGTGCGCCGTCATTCTACTCTGCATGCACTTGCTCCGCAGCAACAAATGCTTTCTTCGCCGCTGCATGTGCAAATGTACCCTTTTCTATTTCTTATTGACCCTACCTGTGTCGCTGCAGGTTCTACCCTTCACCTCCAGGATTTGATGCCGAGGTAAGGGACAAATCTTATAATCCTCCTACATCATGCTCGCACCCTTTGTTGTCTTGAGCCCACGAGATGTTTGTGTGAGGCAGATTGCAGATGGCGGCTGGACAGCGCAAGAAATGCATTTGAAGCTGTGTGTTCCGAGGATCTGGCGGTTTAAACAAGGTGTTAGAATGTGTGGCGGCCTTCACATGCAGCTTGTCTGCAGGCGCACATTGCCTCTGGCAGGAACAGCGTGTATATTTTCATCGTTCTAACTATGTTTCAGAGAAGTGTTGGGATCCACCTGAGGCCTAGGTCCTTGAATTTTCACCCATTGGATCCAGGCCCATTCATGCACCTTCCGACGCATGCCCCACCACTAGTTGTCTTGCAGGCATTCTTTCACTGCCCAATTTCATCTCACAAGCTTCTGATGCGTCTGCAACATAAATATGCAATCTGTGCACGCAGGTCAACATCACGCGCTTCGCGTTCGAGAGGAACATGAAGGCGACAAACCCAGAGTATCTGGGGGAGGAGAGTGGGTATCTGCCACCAGATGACACGCTCCAGGGACCCACCTACTTCTCAGATGCCTACACAGCCAACAGGTTCCACTGCGTTGGCACAACCATGGAACTGACCATCAAGGTGATCAACCACCTGCAAAGCAGACACACTCAGTTCTGGACAGCTTGTGATAAGATGCCTGCGCACAACATCTGCAGTAAAACAAAACAGGTTCTGCCTCTGTCATGGTGATGTGCAAGATGTATGCGCTGGGCATGTCCTCCTTATTACCATATCCCTAAAATGCTTGATGACAGGCTTCTCTTTTTTTTCTGTCAGCGCTGCTGATGTGGCTGACATCAATGCCTGCCCGTTGCTCACTGCCTGCCCTCAAATTGCATTCTTGATCAATAAAATTCCAAAACGCTGACAAAGCTCTTCACGATATCCTACGCGTTGTTTATGAGAAGCTTCCATGGATTATGTGTTCAGGATCTGCCCTTCTCCAAGGATCCGGTGACCGGCTTCAGCCCACAGCGCGCCAAGAGCTGGGGAGCCCGAACTCTGGACGCCGTCCTCCTCACCCTTCCATATATTCGCAACCCCACGGGAGAGGTGCAACCCTACACCCACTTCTGCTGTGTAAACCCCTGCATGCACACCCCCCTGCTTTCCATGCAGTACTGGCATGCCTGCCTTGGGATCATCTGGGTACACAAGCAAGGTGAATCACAGAGAGGGTCACAGATGCATGTTTCGTACCAAGCGTGCTAGGTCTGGCAGCGTCAAAGCAAAAGAAACGCTGTTTATGTTGTTCCTAGACTGCTGACAAAGTGCTTGCCTGTGGTGGCCTTGCCATGATGACTGCTGTGCCTTTGTCTTCCAGCATTGTTCAGACAATGCACGCGCAGGACCTAAAAGGCAGAAAAGAAAGCTGTGTCATAGGACTGCTGTCCCTGGGCAATGCTCCCTTGCAGCAGTGTGAGTGCATAAGTGACCAGAGGTCTCTTGTGCTATGCTCAGGTGAACGTTACTCAGCCAACGCCCATCCCTCCCTACAGCCCAACTCCCTCCAAGGCGCCGCCCCCGTTGCTGTCCAAGGTTCAGGCAGTCAAAGAGAGCCTCAAAAACCTGACATCCGATATTACTGAGACTATCATCATCACTCCTGGACGTACGGGCTCGCCTGTGGCAGAGCTTCCTGGAGATCTCAAGGCAGTCTCAGACGCCATCCTGAAGGGGTGAGCCTCAACACATGCAAGGTGCTTTCACTCTCAGAATGAGACTTCTCGTGGAGTGCTATTTGGGGCAGTGTTCTCAGTATGCCCAAAAGTGGCCCCAAGTACCTGAACATACTGTACACGAAATACTGGGAGGCAGTGGGTGGGGATTTTTGTGGGTGCTGTCAAGGAGGCATTGTGCAAAAAGATAATAGGTGCAATAATCAGTCAACAACGATTCTCCCAAAATGGGGCACGATCTGAACTCGGTGGGAGATACACTTGCCATAGATGCTGGAAGCGAGTCCAGCAAGGCAGTTGCAGATCCATCAGACATTCTGAGTTTGATGGCAGACACACTTGCCACCTGTGTTAGCATTGAGTCTGTTAACCCAGATACAGAGTTGCTTTAGATAAAAGTCAAACGCTAGGGTCTTCCCTGGGGTGCTGGGGGGTACGGAGGGAGTCTCGAGGGTATTTGAGACTGTGATCTCCAAATCCCAGCGCTCTAAGGGTGAATACGCCAATTGCAATGCTTTCAGCAGGGTTCCTGGGAGACACCCTGCTGGGATGCTAAGGCTCCTTTACTTTCACCAGCTCAACACTAGTAAGTGGAGTGACATTTACAAATGCAGTGACTGAATTGCAAAGTTGAAGGCTTGACTCAATCTCACTGGCTCTGGGTCAAGCTCATAGGCAAATCCAGGCATTGGTATCCGTACAGGATTCAAGTTTTCAAAACATGTTATTATGCAAGATAAATTACAGGGCTTGGGTGCAAGCGGCGCTCAACATTAGGCGGTTGTACATAATTGATGGCTGGCGCCGCTCCTGGGCTGTTCTTGAGATCATATTTTTGATAAGAATCTGTCTCGGGTTCTGGATGTCCTATTCTTGGGCCGGTGTGTCACAAACTATGCGAGCGGCATGGTAGGCAGGTACTGAAGAATGATATTGTGATGTCAAAACGATGAAGTCAGGAAAGGGGTCTTTCTATTCTTTTGCACTGCTGTGGGCTCCTGCTTATTCTTGCTCTATTCAGCTGTCATGCTGTTTAAACAGCCGATTGTAGCTGTGCCTGGTATTTGGGTGCATTCTGGGTCTTGCTCTGGGAAGTCATGCTCAGTGTGTCGTATCTGGCAGTATTGCCAATTACTGGTCATGATTTGGGTCTATTTAATACACAGTTCAACCCAAATGGTTTGGGTGCTGTGTTGGTGCTGCTTTGGGTGTCTCTTGTCCGGTTTGAGAATATGTATGGCTCTGATACCGCTCTGTCTGTGCATGGCAAGGCTGGAGTATGCAAATGGGTGGCCACCTATGATGGGTTTGAGCTGCAACGCTGACACATTGATATGGACATTTGGAAGGCCTTTTCAGATTATGAGTAAAGGGGCACGTGGTACTCCCTCAAAGGGCCCGGTACATATTTTTTGAGCGGCAATGAACCATGTAAGTCACCATACTTTGAGAGTAAATTAAGTGCTTGGAACCTCCTCATGTAGAATATGCATGCGCATGCACATCATTCCGGCGGCACGCATGAGTGCCCATGCAGGCAATACCTTTGCAGCTGTAGCTTGTTTCGCATGAAACATCTAGCAGCCTTTGGACCTAAAATTGGCTGAGGAGCCAGCCGAAGCAAGCCTGGTGCTGCTGCAAGGGACCATGAAATGCGCGCTGCGATCACGTCAGCGTCCACGTGATGTTCTGGATCCATCCAGAAGGGCTTCGAGGACGTTCTGGAAGAAGATCGCGTAAGATATTGAAGTGCGACAGTCGGGCTCTCAAAACAATATATCAGAATAACCAACCTTGAGAGCTGCACCTTCCTTGATCGCACCAGCTATTCTGCCGTCAGTGGAGACGATGTATTGCTCGATGCCGTTCTTCGTTCTAGAGCAGTTGCTCGACCTGCCTGAAGACCAACCTGCGGTTCCGCAGACCTGCCGTTCTAGTGCGTCTTCTAGGTCGAGGTAAGCGTCACGACGCCCATGATGGAACAAAAAGTAAGCGCTGGAGGTGGACATCTCTTTTTCCGGAACGTTCTAGACATGCGCTGTCTCGAGCATCCTTGCTGAAGACCATCCATTGATCTGTCCTCATCCTCATTTCGAAGAGCTTGTGTCCATTAAATGTTATGCGAACGCTTCGACTAGAAGTTTTGTCTCGTTCTTCGAGGAGCAGGATGTAAGATGAGACAGTCGTGCTTGCAGGGGCTTCTGCGGTGGCCGTTACCCTTACGCTCAGCACAGCCCTCCCCGAGCTCGCACTCCTTCCCCGCCTCGCCAGGCGGTGGATCTTCGCGAGTTGAACGACGCCTACGTCATTTTTGTCGATGTCCCAGGTGAGGATCCTGTGTGCAGTGAAAGTCCCTTTGTGTAAGACGTGCTCGCATCACATCTTCTCCACGCACGGACTGACATTTTCAGATCGTAGAGCACTTGAACTTTAGCTAATGTATGGCTGTCTTGAGACGGGAGTCAGGCTAACTTTTTTCGTTCTGTGTTGTGCAGGCTTCTCCCGTGAGGATATAACTGTGAAAGTGGAAGACAAGAACCTCTTCATCTCTGCATCAGACAAGAGCAGCAACGGCGACCACAGCGCCGCAGGCCTCTCCAGGGTAACACACGCTCCTCTCTGAACCCCTTGACTTTGACGCTTGATACCCAATATCTTCCTGGCCTCCTGCTTCCAGCACTCTTTGTGAGTGTCACGGTCGGGTGTCTGGTGCCTCAATGTGCAAATCAGGGGCGGCATGCTGTGCTGTGCTGCAAGCCACCAAGTAATGTCACTACAGAAAATCATACAGCAAATAGCATGTTCCTGGCCAGTGGGATACGGCATATCCATGGTATATATCATATATATATACGGCATGATAGTGCTAAAATAGCATGTTTTTGGGATGCTGTATACATACAGAGCACCATGCCCACAGTTGAATGGCTCCTGCTCAATCTGGCAGCCTCAAACTAGCAGTTTGTCTACAGAAGAAACTTGCCTGGGGCAGGACTAGGAGGCATATCTTTATGTATAAGCAGTAGATTTATTCATGGTCTGACCAGATCAGGGGCGTGCGCAGGATCTGGTTGCTGAGAGGCAGCGCAGTGGAGTCAGGCGAAGCTGGCGGCTGCCCAGGGACGCCATCCTAGACGGCATCCACGCCAAAGTGACCAACGGAGAGCTCGTCATCATCGTTCCCAAGCGCAAGGTAATCATCCACCCTTTTAACAAACCCCTCTCGTCATGGCGAGAATTAGGCTTCATGGGATCGAGAAGCATGTCAGTTTCATGCTGTGCGCACATTTTGTCCCTGTTGTCTTGGCACATGCTTTGTGAGCTGAAATGCATGTCCTTGTATTTCATCTGCGCTATGGTAGCTGAGTCAGGATATGCCGTTCTTACGACTTGCAGATGCGGTATCAGGGCATCCCCTGTTGTGTCCAGCAGAGCTGTCCGGCAGAGTCAGTGACGCAACTGTGCTCTTCATTTCTTTTGCTGCCCAACACCAGAGCATGTCCCCCTGCCTTCATGCCTGCGCCTGCTGCTCTCTGTAAGCCCCAAATCTCTGACTGACAGTGTGCTTCTCTGCCTGCAGGCTTTCACCGTGCCTGTGTTGGGTGCCGACAGCAAGCCTGCCGCACTCATGGAACCTGCCAAGCAGTCAGCACTTCCTGCCGTGAGCGAAGCTGCGCCTGTTCTGGCAACGCCCTCGGAGCCAGCCTATGCTGAGTCACCCGCTGAGTCACCTGCTGCGGCTGTGGAGCCTGCGGTGGCTGTGGAGCAGGTGCCTGACCAGGACGCTGCCATGGCAGATGCTGAGGTGTGACCCTGACTCTACTTTAGTAATAAGAGTTGGGTGCTGTCCCCACTTGTCAGTGCAGCTCGCAGAGCTTGACTGGATTATAGCGGTCTCTGTCGACAGCAATGAGTGTTGTCAAGGACAATCTTCATCGGACTGCATCGAGACAAGTGTTGCCCTTATCTGCTGTACAGAATTTTCAATGCTGGTTGAGAGGTGTTCCATTATGGTCTTAGATATTATTTATTATTATTACTATACATTTTCCAGTCCTTAAGGACTAGGTGCGTCAAGCAACACCTGAGTTATTGCTCTCCAGTCTTCTCGGTTCTTGCACTTCCTCCACCAGTCATTTGGATGCCCCACTAGCATCAAGGTCATCTCTCACATACTTATTCTATTAGAAATATGTGCAGTGCAAATCCTGCATGCGTGCGCAAGTCAGCAGGGCAGCAAAACGATACATGCATTGTGAAGTTCATGACTTACAAGGAAAGCTTTGCGGTGCTGCTACAGGAGAGCGATGGCTCCTGGGAGGATCTGAGCGATGAGGAGAGGGAGGCAGAGGAAGCCGCCCGCCGCGCAAAGGGGAAGCTTCCTCTGGAGGGCCCTGTGTTGGAGGAGATTGAGCGCCAGGAGGCCGAAATGCGCGCCCAGCAGCAAGACAGTGACTCCGACTAGGGGCCGCAGCAAATTGACATTTCTGCAGGCAGCTCCTTTAGAGTAGTGCCTGATGGATACTGTGTTAGGAAAATTGATTCTCTGAGGATGGGGTGCTCCCGCATGAATGCAACCGATTCAAAAGATGGAATCTTGTATTTAGCGACTGCACTGAATTACAGTGTGTCTGATGCTGCGGACTTTTCTAGCCTTCAAGAAGCGTCGTTGTACTGTAGTTGTGCAGGGCTGGGAAATGTGCCAGTTAAAACTTACAGAGTTGTGTTTATATACATATATATGGAGCATTAGGCATGAGCGCTGAAAAATCAGGTGCCTTCTGTAATCTCACAAGGCAGTGCCTTCAAACTTCAAAGTTTCTTCAGATTTGCCTATCGGAATCATATCGCTCTCAACGCATCTCTCAGCCTTGGCTTTCCAAAATTGACAAGTTTGTGCTCCGGCCTCTCATTTTAGCATGGGCAGTCCAGCCGCCGCATGCACCTCGCAGTTTGATTACTAATGAGTAAGCGGTACTGTGAACTGCGAGGTAAATGTCAGCTCTCTGCATTACTATCCTCTCGCCTCCTCTTTTGGCCTGCTTTGGCCCCTGGTGCCACTTTCTGTGTCGCCTGCTTGCTCAAGGCAAATTTCAGGAATGCTGGCAGGACTTCATCCAATTCTGCGTTCATCCTCGTCAGCCTTGCATCGATGTCACACAGCACTGCAGAATAGTCGAATGCATTGGTGACCTCTGCCGCGGGCATTTTTATAAGGCTGTCCCCTTACTAAGGTAGCTATTGGCAACCTGCATCAAAGCAATGAATTTCGAGTGTTTTGCCGTACATTCCCACCTCGATCTGCACCCTGTCAACATATAAACAGAAGAGAAATGTTCAACACCGCAGCACATCTCTTGGTCTGGTCCTTAAGCAACGTGTGAGGAGCTTTACAGGTTCACCTTCGCAGTTCTGGAGAGGAGTGTCGGCAAACGGAACGTAGATGCTGGTTCGCTTACGTTAAGAGATCCGAGGCCATCGCAGCGCAGTGCCAGGAGCTCAAGGTTTACCTTCTGAAGCAGCCTCCTCTATGCCCAGAGGCTATTACTATTTTTGGTGCGATGGTTTGTTTGGGATGGAGGCTTTTCGTTGCAATACCGCAGCAATTAATATAGAACGTAACATATCAATGATCGGTACCAATGAATGGTACCCTGAATATGTACGTGCTGTCAGACAGCTGTTCGTGCAGATGCAGGGTTCACCCGTGGCACAACAATATTAAGTTATGAACCCTGGAAAAAACCAATAAGCCTCAGCATTAGAATATAAATTATGCATTCTGAGGCCCTGTGATGCTTGTCTTCTCAAGGAAGCCGAGTGGCCGAGCGGTATTAATGCCATGCAGCCTCCAGGCTCAGCTCCTTTTGGTAACTTACCAGTGATTCTGAAGCGCCACATAAGTGCATTGCCATCAAGGTGCTGTAAGTGTAGCTTGTGTACAGACGCTGACTGGCATGCAGTGATGTCAGCAGCATGTTGCATTATGCTAGCACAGCGATGTGCGGCCACCTATAGTGACCACACTGTCTCATCACATGCATGCAAGGTTGTGTTCGCAGGCGCCACTGCTTGCACTGCAACCTGTGACAATCGTCTCTTCAAGAGGCTATCTTGTAACACTCTTAACTGCAGTTCCGCTGGTTTGCATTGGGAATACAATGAATATTTGGTGCTGCCTAGCAGCTGCCATGGCGTCCGCTGTCGCTCAGTGTGGCACATAACCAGTACTTCTGTCCAATCTTTTTCCTGCTGGACCCAATATGCCAGCCCCATTCTCACAAGTAACTGAACAGACCAATAGCGGCCAGGGGTATGTCGATTCTGATGTACTTGGAAAGATACTTGAGGTCCCCCATGCATTCACCGATCCTGCCCATCGTGGCCTCGTTCGTGTGGAGGCACCGCCGCTGCGCGGCAGGCGCGATGCTTTTTGGACGGAAGCTGATGTTCTAGAAATAGCTCACAACGTTTTTGGACGCGCACAGGCCTAGTCAGAGGCATCACTCCGACATTCAAACTGTTCTGAGGTAATAAGTCTGCAGAGCTTGCCAGATAAGTTGAGCATAGCAGCGATGACGGATCCGAGGCAAGACCATTCCGAAGTGCACGCGCCACTCCCCGTGCAACAACAGCAGTTCCCTGGATCTGTAAGTGTTCTTTGCTTCAAATGAATACATCCTGCTGAGATTCCCAATGAGTATCATACAAGGGCAGCTTTCGTGATCTGCTGGCATGCATATTCAGACGGGTCCTCGAAGCTGCTTGTAGTGATGATCGTCCAGGATGTCAACTATGGTTCGAAAGGGAGATCATAATAGGTCTTATAATCCGATGCCAGTGATGCCAGAGAAGTCCGCTGAAACAAAAATCCCGTTCCTTGCGATGGCTGGGCTGGCTGGCATCTCCTACTTCTCAAGAGCGGCTTTGCAACCGCAGGAGAGCAAAATGGATCCCAAACCGGACTTTGGCTACGACAGCTACAAGGGAACTGGAAAGCTGACGGACAAGGTCTGGCAGTCCTCTCTCCTCTCAGCCTCGTGCGATCAGAAGCTGCAATGACGAGCTTTGTTCCTTGGCTGGGTGTAAACTGCATGCATTGATTGGGTGCAAGGCTTATAGACGTGTTGTGTGTGCATGCTCTACTCCTCACTTCAGACTGAAACACCGCTGCTTTGTCAGGTGGCCTTGATCACTGGTGCTGACAGCGGCATTGGCAGAGCAGTGGCCCTAGCTTATGCACGTGAGGGTGCTGATATCGCCATTGCATACCTCAACGAACATGAAGATGCCAAGGTGCGCCCACCGCCCCAGTATCAATGTGTCCATAGGGATCCACACAGCGCCTTACACATATATACTTCCAGTGTGTTCTTCATGCCAGGCTATGCCAGTATTTCAACCACATCAGCCATTGACCGTAGCAGCACAAGTGCTGCTTGCCTTTAGGAGTCATGTTGCTGCATGCGGTGCTACTTCTCTTTTATGACCACCCTCAACTTCTGTTTAGACCATGACTGTACTTCAGATGATGGCTTCTGTTCTGATCAGGTACTACTGCCTAAGGCACAGATATTGGCCAGGGATATTCAAACTCAATAAAATGCCCACGGTTGATTGGGACTTGCTTTGATCTGGCGAGTCCAACAAGGGGTAGGATTGTGGCAGCCGTTAACTGCAGCTTGACTGCAGGACGTACCTTGCCTTTTGGCAGGAAAAGCGTGCAATAATATTAATGATTCAAACTCGTGTTCAAACCTTCTCCTGTGGGGCGCAGGAGACAAAGAAGGTGGTAGAGGAGGCTGGGCGGAAGGTCATCCTCATTCCAGGAGACATTGCCAGCGAGGAGCACATCAAGTGTGTCAACACATCTTTCTAAGTCACTGCCATGTGTTCCTACGCTCTGATCTTGTTATACCCTTCTTCAAGAGGATTCATGCGGTTGATGGTCCGCTCGACATGACACAAATCTGCAGTTTATTTTGCTTTCTTCCTCTGTCGGACTTCCTGCAAGGAGCATATGAAGTGCGCCCATGCATCTCCCAACAACAGCTGCCTTGCACTCCTGCAATTTGATTCCAGTCCTTGCTTCTACATGGGCAATCTGACAATTCAGGCTTGCATCTTGCCTCTACTGAGCTCCCTGCAGGACAATTGATGTAGTGAAGTCATGCATGAGCTGGGCTCAATCAGAGTCTTACGGGTCTGTGCAGGGAGATTGTGGCAAAGACTGTGGACACCTTCGGGCGCATTGATATCCTCGTCAACAATGCTTCCATGCAGGTAGCATCCCAAGAATCTGATGAGATCAGATTATCTGCTCGGACATCACCACTGGCATTGCAGACCATGGCATGCAGCTCACACTGATGTCATTCAACGTGTGCGGCTTGTGACACGAAAGAAAGTTGTGGGGCTTGTGGAGGAGCACCAGCTACCTGCAGCAACGCACTCAGTGCAGCAAGCTGGCGCTCATGTCCAAACAAGGGCGCGAAAGAATGCTGGTATGAGCAGAAGCGCTGGCTGCATGCAGGGGGATGCCGTGGAGGACTTCACACAGATTTCGCGCGAGCGCCTGGAGAAGACATTTATGGTCAACATCGTGGGCATGATCTCTCTCGCGCAGAAGGCCGTGCCCCACATGAAGCCTGGCAGCGCCATCATCAACGTGCGCTAACCTTTTCTTTTTTCACATCCCGCTCGGCCTGACAAGCACTGCAGGCACGGTGACATGCATGCCTGAGACCCATTCAGAATGGTATGCATGACGTGTTCAGCCCTGGATTCAGTAGTTGATCCGGGCAGCAAGCCTGATGCCCTGCACTTCATAGGCCGTTGCATCTTGTCTGCTGTGGGATGCAGCTTCTGGAACTCAGTGACTTCAGCCCAATCGCAATAAAGACTGATATCAGATCAATGCGTGCAACCCACCCTTGTTTTCAACCCTGCCCGGCCCTGCTTGCTGGACGTGGCATTTGTCCAGAGATCATTGAGCACCAAGCCGTGGCCAGATGAAAGAACAGATGCAATGGTCAGATTGCCATGGCTTCTGCCAGATATCTGGCCAGCAGCAGGCGCTCAGTGTATCTTTGGCCATCAACTAATTTTTGTTAATTGTTCGCTGAGTTACTTTTCAGCCAGTCTGCAGCAATGTCGTGATGTTATTGACAAAATGTCATCCACTACTATGGTTGGCGCTTGTTTCCAGCAATGGCATGCACTTTGTGGCATTCGCAACAGGGAGATTCTGTGTGCTGGATGCGCTCCCAATTCATTTCCAGGAGTCGCTGATCAGAAATCTGCAACCACCAGACTTGTATCGCTTGCAGGTGGCTTCCATCATGGCGTACCAGCCCATCCCAGCAATCCTCGACTATGCATGCACAAAGGTGAACTTTCAAATCAAATGGCCCGCGCTAAGAGCAATCCCATGCTTGCATGGCTGCAGGTTGCCTCCATTCAGGCCTACCAGCCCACCCCATCCATTCTGGACTATGCCTGTACCAAGGTGACTAACGAGTCCCTGGAGGTGGCCTTTGTTGTGTGCTTGACATGTCTGCATTACTCATTCTGCACTCAATTGCCTATTTCTCCCTGTCTCTCTCTCATATTTTCTTCACCTGCACTGCATTTTGTCTGTCAATGCTTCCCAGTTGCAACGATGATGCTGTAATACTCATTCTGAGTCTTCACCCTCATGTGAATCCTCACCCCTGGCGGTCCGAATTTTTTCAAAGCACCTTGCAGGGGTCTTCCTGATTCCAAAGAGGGTCATGCTAGAGTCATGCTCTATTGGATTCAGCTTGTCGAGAGCTTTCCGAATTTGGTCTCAGAATTGTCATAGGGTTTGTATTTTGGGTGATATGGTCTTATTTATCCACCCTTCTTGGCCAAAAATAATTATTCATTGCGGGTGTTAAAATGACTACTACAGTATTTGCCTGCTTCTTTGCACAGCACCAGAGTGGTGTTGCAATGCTTGGCTGCAATGGGGTGCACCATTGATCAGAACAAGAGAGGTCGTCTTTGCATGCATCCTCCAAAGCTGAAGTTGTTGAGCCGAAACCTCTTGGATAATGCATCTGCAGGGGGCCATTGTCACAATGACTAAGGCGCTGGCAAAAGATCTGATCTCCAAGAAGGGCATCCGCGTCAACGCCGTGGCGCCTGGGCCGATCTGGACTCCCATCCCTGTCGAGTCTTTCACTGAGGACATGGTGCGCTCCAGTGTTATACATTTCTGGGTAACAAGTGCATGCTGAGATCTTGGTTGCTATCCCCGGGCCAGATATTTTTTGGATGGATATTTTCTAAGTCCAGCACAGACATGTCAGTGAGGCTCAAGAGGCTCTGCCTACAGCAGGGCCTAGACAGGCAACCAGCCATCATAGCATGGTCTCGTGACCGGTAATGTGCTTTGTTACAATCAGCCCTTGCCCTCTGCGCAGATCCAGTCACAGCCGACTCTGGCATGAAATAAAGTTCTGATGTTTAACGGTGGTCAAGAGTCAATTAGTAAGCTGGCTCTGGAGGGATGGGGACACATCATCTGGAGGGCACTCGCCGATGTTGAGATCAAACGAAAAGTTTTGAGCACCTAACATGTTGGTACAGGTGAAAAACTTTGGCAAGGGGATGACGCCGATCAACAGGGCCGGGCAACCCGCTGAGCTGGCGCCTGCCTTTGTCTTCCTTGCCAACAATGCAGGTACACACCGCCTTCTCCCGATCTTCATATTACATTAGCACAGCTGTTCTCTGTGAGTAGTGTTTTGCAAGATTTTGACTCTCAGGAGTCCCTGCTTCTGTTGTTGGGGCTGTAAGATCTCTTGTCCTAAGGAAGGGTTTTGGCTGCATTTAAATTGTGCTGAATGCGCTTGTGTTGAAGAGGCATATGAGGATTCTCTGTTGTGTGTGCAGACTCCAGCTATGTCAATGCGGAGATCCTTGGTGTGACTGGAGGCATGCCACTGTCATAAGCTGGTACACCCGCATGGCATGTGTACACGCTGGCGTGTGGGCATACCCTGTAGATTTCTCTTCATTTCTGAAGGGCACGACATGTTGCCTATGATGTAGAATGTGAAGTGCTGTCTTACTGCATGCTTAATAGCGATCGTAGCAACTGGAGGTCTTGCAAGATATGATTTGAAGCAAGAGAACTGCTGCCTGGAGCTGAGTTCTGAACCGTACAGGAATTGAGAGGTTAATCGTATCTTGGAGTGCAATCTCAGACCCAAGAATGTAATGTGCATCAGTACAATTTTAGATATTGATTCTTACACCGCGCTCAATTACAAGCTACCTGTGCCCATCTAACAGGCAATACTTGGAATCAACATCATATGTTTGGAAAGCTTCATATATTTCAGAGCCATATATACACCTCATCCCACAACCTGCATTGCCGAGCACATCTGTACAGAGCTTGCTCTACTGATGTACTATGCAGCTTGCGTGTGCGAGCCAGAAATGCTGTGCCAACGCAATGATTCACTCGAACCTCTAAATGACAGGCCACACATTTTCTTGGCTTTGTCCCTCTTTGTCGCGAAACAAACCGGAGAATATCTTCACAAATCAGGTGTGGTCAAATGTGACGAGCAAAATGCGCAATGAGCACACAGTGGCAGATGTAGTCATCAATGTACCGCTCGCATGGCATTAGCCTTGTGCGGTGTAATGACTAATCGCACAACAATTACCGGCAATGACCACAGGATTCTTCTCAGTGAGGCAATCTCCTTTCAAGGCCACGGGGCAAATTCCCAGACCTTCTGCACAATCTCAAACCCCGTGGGAACCTGCACAGGAGGCAATGGAGTGTCAGCCACATAAAAGATCCAGAAGCTTTGTTGACCCACTCAAGTGTAATTCATTGCTGCATGGCAGGCGCTGTGGACGAGAGACAGCATTGCCATAAGAAGGCAAGCTGTGCAATTCTGCCTCCATGTTCCCAGATCGACTTCCTTGCAAAGGCATTATACACAGCAGCCAGACTGCTGTGCAATTCGCACTGCAGGTTCCAGGGGGCCCTAAGACTAAGCGCACCTGCCAGGCGAAGAGGGCGAGGTTGAGAGTGTTGAGGGCGATGTGGGTGTTGCGCGCGGTGTCGTTACCCTTCTGCATGGAGGGCACCAGGGCTGAGGCTGAAGCCCAGAGCACAACAATGGCTGCGCCGGCGTACAGGTGGGGTCCCGGGAACAGCTTGCCTGCGCGCATCCCAGAAACGCAACTTCAAGGTTGACGTACTGGGTATCGTAAGACACCACCCGGGAGCTACTGGATGAAAGTCCGGGACAAATGTATACATGGGACTGAATTCGTGAAAGTAGACAAGTGGCAGCAGCAACATATCTCATGGAGAGCCCAGAGCATTCACTCGCCGGAGATCCTGGTATTATCATTGACGTGGATGCTGTGTCAGACAAGGAAATGTAGTGTGGGTGGAGATAGATTCCTGGCTCAATCCATGGAAGCTTTGAAAGGTCACCTGTCCTCAAGTAGGTGTTGACAGGCCCCTCTATGGCAATCAGCACCCCCAGGCCCAGCAGCAGCGAGCCCCAGTTCCAGTGCTTGTCCCTGTAGCCCCCCTTGGTCAGCACCTTGCGCGTCTGCACCCGCCACAAGCACCGTGAATATCTGACTGAAATCCATGCTGGGACACATGTACCCGTTCAACGATCACATCTCACTATCGCCATCCATGTGGGCTCGTAGGATACAGTACTAGGTATGCAAGGTGCAGCATTCAGCCTGTATCCCTTAGGATGGATCCATCAGGCTTGCAAAAAACAAAGCTATTAGGAAGACGCTTAGGATATCAGGAGGGATATGCACCTCCTCAAGCTCAGCAATCTGCTGCTCCAATGGAGAGCTGGGGCGGTTGCCCTCAGCATCTGGCTTGGGAAGCTGCGCTTTCAGCTCCTTCACCTCTGCAGGGATGGTGCGCGCGCGCCTGCAAGTAACACACATTTGCTGCTGAAGACTCTAGCATAGTCATTGAGTCAGCATGTTCATTGGTTGCCAAATCGCCGGATTTTTACTTGTGAAGGGCGAAATCTCACCTCCACTGCCAGCCCAGCCAGCCAGTCCAGGCGGTGGACCCAAAGAGGAAGAGCATGACGGCAGGATGGATCAAGGAGACGGTCTTTCCGGTCAGTAGCGGGTTGCCCGCCAGAGCTGGATCAACATCCAGCAAGAATGGTGTCAGAAGGCCGGCAGCGGTGGCCAAAGAAGCTCCCATGGACAGCTGAGCCTCTCCTTGCGATTTCTCATTTGCCTGTGACCTGCAATAAAGCGGGTGTTTGATTCTAAGTAGTTACGAACCATAGGAAATTGCAAAGGATGCCAGAATGTGAAACTCAGGAGGAGCAAGCATCGTATGGGATGTACATGTGTTACATGATCACTCGATCTTGTATACTAACATCAACTCAAACATTCCCCCGAATCACTGGCAGTAAACACACCTAGTAATGTTGACATTTGCAATTCTGCATGATCGCTTGTATAGCTTAGCTGTGAAGGGTCGGGACAAGGATGCTGGATATTTCGTGACGCCCTGAGAGGCCAACAGGGGCCCTCCTAGAGACATGCTGGCTGCCATATCGATCCCTGATACTTGTTCTACCTTTTCGTAGCAGCTGCAACTCAAAATATCTTCTTCAGCGTTCTGTTGCCTTCTGTTTCGTGGCTGGACGAGAACTCTCCTTGAGATTGCTAACCCTATCGTAATGATCAGTAATAAATCATTTATATTTTGAGGCGGCCCCACCAAAACATCTCTGAATTGCATTCTTGGAAGTGTATGATAATATCATTGAAAGGGAGCTGCTGTACATTCATTGATATCAGGTCTTCGCGATAAAGAGGATATTCTGGTGTCGTTCCTCAAGTCCTAGATCTTCTTTGCCTAGTCATTTATTCAACCGGCCGCCCTGTTCACTTGTTCACTTTCGACAAATTTCACTTCGTAAGGGGTGTGCCGTGATGGCGGCTGGGACGCCAGACGTCCGTGCGCATTCCTTTGGCTTGAGTCCATTTGCAGAACTGGAGGCGGGCACGCCTGTCCTAGACACAGATGAAGGGGAAGAGCTCGCCAAACACTTCTCATCAATCTCACTGATTCTTGGTCAGAACCTGGACGTTGGCCAGGGGAGCCTCTACATTACCTCCAGGTGAGACAACGAGTATTTGCAGTGGCTGCTGCTACTTAGCGCATATTTCTCTGATGAGATCGAGGTCACATGATCCGCTTCTTATAATGATGCTATCTCGCAGGCGTATCATCTGGGTAGGTGGAGCAGAGAAAAGCTATGCAGCCGACTTTCAGCACATCAACATGCACGCCATTTCTACCGATCAGAGCGCGTTCCAGCGGCCCTGCATCTACATGCAGATGGAACCCAGCACCTCGGAATTTGATGAAGATGCGGTTGCAGACGACGATGTCGATGATGAAGAGACGCCCGAAGTCCGGCTGGTACCGTCTGATGCCTCAATATGTGCGTCTGATTAGCCCTTCGTATCGTTGGAACACTGTTCACAGCAGCACCATGTACGTTTGATTCTACTCTTATTTACTGCTGATGCACTGCTGATGCACGGATGATTCCTGGTTCAGATGGAGAAACTCACCATTCAGCCTGTTGTTTCTTGCAGTGGAAAATCTGTTCCAGGTGCTGTGCGACTGTGCTGCGCTGAACCCCGATCCTGGACAAGAAGGTGCGCCTCTCTGCCGCTGCTGCATGCATGATCCAGTGAAAGAATGCTTCCTTTTGCGGAGCAGCTTTCTCCCGGGAATAGCTGAATTTAAACCTGTGTTGCCGTGCTGCTGTGGTACCACCCTCTGAAACACTGTGCTGTCTGTAGTGCTCCATGCCAATAATAAGAGGTCCTGCCAGACCTGTCTGGAAGGCTTGGACAAGATTATAGCAATTTGTAGGTGCCAACTCATCCTAAACTTTCCATGCTATGCTTGCAGGCGATGATGAGGATGCAGAATTTTATTATGATGAGGATGAGGTGCTGGCGGGAGCAGGCGGCGAATCGCGCGCTGCTATGCTCGATCACTACGACTCCCTCCTGCAGATGCCCCGCGCCGATGATCTGGACGAGGTGCGAAGACTGCATTGCAGGAATAACCTTAGACCCCTGCCACATGCCAAGTCCATGATCTATCCGATTGGGGTCTGAAGACTGCAGTGCAAGAACCCCTGCCGCAAGCCAAGTGCATGATTTTCGTTCAATTGTATACAATTGCTTGCGCTCAGTATGTTGCTGGTAGATTTTCTTATAGTGCGGACAGATTGTCTGCTGGAGGTTTTCTGCTAATTGCTTACGTTGCTAGTGTCACAAGGCAAAGCCGGAGTAAACAGCTGTGAGTCTCCTGATATGGCGCCGGCGTGCCATACGATGACATTCAATGATTGATCTGCTGTGCTGCAGTTGTTGGCGGAGGATCCTGAGAGGTTTGAAGATGCTGACGAGGAAGAGGGAGATGCTGAAGAGGACGGCTACCCCAACAATGTACCCCACCCTACCCGGCCGGAGCAATGAGCCCCACCACGCTGTCAATCCCCTTGTCTTCAGGGATATCAGGTGAGTCTCCATTGACCTCCCATTATCAGGCCACCTCTAACGTTGAGGTGGAAGGCTTTGTGGCGTTGTGGGTTGAGATCAGGCAGCTTCCAAGTTGCTGAGAGATTTCTAAGTAGAAAGTGGTATGGGTAGGATTAATCGGGCAGGGGAAATCACAGGTGCAGCAGGGTTTGGGATGCGATGATGAGACAAATACCAGTAACGCCAGTTCTGCTACTGATTAACAGTGATGCGAACCTGGATAAACCTTTGTCTGAGCATCCAAATACTACTCCAGCAAACTCTGTCTTCAAAGACACACTAGAAAGAGAGGTTGGCCAGTGATGAGATCGATTTCATTCATGCGTGTCAGATGAGCCTGCTTGCGGGCGTTGATCACAACTTCTAATCTTCTCTCTGAGGCCTCCTCCAGGAAATCTTAGTTGGATGTTGAATGTTTCAGGGAGTCTGACCTGTGTCTGAATACAAGCTGTGCACCTAGGTAATTGGTGTCCAAGACTTTATATGCTGAAGGATACACCTGATTTTGTGAGGTTTCTTTAGTGTTGCAAGCAGGGCAGGCCGATGATTACACACATATATTTGCTACTCTCGAGTTTTCGATGACGACAATAAATCACCAAGATCTATGAGGCCTGGTTCAATGTGTTAAAAATCTGCTGGCTGCCAGGTTACTCATGTGTTTAGCGTCATGATGACTGATTTGATCTGTGTGTGCTGTGTTTGCAGGGTTGGTGGTAGGAGCTGATGCAATGACGGGGGAGACCAGAGTTGCTGATGCCTACTGAAACACAGCGTGGGGAAAACCTGAGTGTATGTGTAATTGAGCACGTGAGTCATTTCTGGACGCTGGTTTTTCAATCGCGCTACTATGGAAGGGTGAAGTCTCGACGTTGATGATCAAGAAGGTTCCGTAACCAGGTGAATGTGCCATCAGGTCTCAGTGTGCAGGCAGTCGAGACAAAATGTTTAACAGCTGATGCAGAATTTGATCTGTAATTGGATAATTGGATTGTAGATACTACTTGTCCAGCTGGACAATTCTGCAATCAGTAATAGTAATCTACAGTCCCCTGTTGGCTTTCTTGATGAGTCAATGAAAAGCAGTGGACCGTTCGTTACCCTAGCCATTCCCCTGCTTTCAATCCCCTGATGTTTGACCTCCTTTGTGGTCCACTGCGATGCCACACAGCCATGAAGGGAAATCGCGGTATTTCAAACTTTCCTCTGCGATGAGGAAGTCTGCAGCATTGCAATCTCAGAAGAATCAGAGCCCTATTGCAAATTGAACGCAGGTCCTGAAACAAGTCTGAAACCGCCATCAATGCTGTTCATCAATCAGTAAGTAACAATAGAAAACAATCACATATCTAGGAAATCGCACATCGCATCATTACGTCATGGGAGATGAGGCCGGTGCAGCTGCACCAGATGCAGGAGGACCAGCTGAGGTGACTGACTCTTTCAAGGATGGAGAAGCATTGGTTGAGTCTCTTGATACGGGAACCGCAATTGGGAGGTGATAAAATTTTGCAGGGATTACCGAAAGTTTCTAACTTAACAATGACAATTGTTATTGTTTTCAAACATATTCGTGTTGGGCAGTGATCGTCATCAAGTCCCCCAGAAAGTCAATTGACCACGTCATGCAGCCCGATTACATTGAGTATCAGGTTCAAACTCAATGAAATCAGGCTTAAATGATTGTGCTTTGAGGTGACCGTGCGCGGGAATTGCGTCTTTTGTAGGTTTGTCGATCAGGGTGATTTGGCACTGTCAAAGCTGCTCTCTACTTCCTAGGGGCACATGGCACTGGTCTCAAATGCCATCAATCAATGCTGCCATGGCATGCAGGAGGGATCAAACCCATGGGCATTGCCTGCAGCGCCTGCATCAGCCCCTGTGCAGCCAGCACAGCCTGTTCCAATGGCTGCAACTCCAACAAAGCTGGCCTCTGCGCCTGCAAAGGCACAGACGCCTGGCGCCTTCTCTCCCAGCAAGGAGCCAGACGCGCCGCAGCTGCTGCAGAGGCTTAAGGATGACATCCTGAAGAAAGGTGAATGCCCGAGTGAAATGGAGAGTGGCACTTGCTGCAGGTTTGTGCAGCCTCTGCTTTGCAAAGGGGCACTCAAGTGCGAGCCATTTGCACAGAGTTGCCAACAGGGTATGCATGCAATGCGAACATAGGGCAGTGGCTCCATATTAATTGTTGTTGATGGAGCGCAGGTGGCAAATGGGATGATCGATGGAGGGTGGAGAGCAAAATGCGCACCAGCGGCAACACAGCTGGGACCTGGGACTCGGTGAAAGCTCTGGGAGCCTTGCCTGTCAAGTCTGCTGTGTTTTACATGATCTTTACCACAGAGCCACGCCTGCATGGCCATGAATGCTCAATGTCTGTTTCCTTGTCATGTCTTGTCTTCATGTGATTGAGGCCGTGATCATTGGAACACTTTAAGCTGAGACGTTGCTCCTTTGTCTGCGCAGTATTATTTCGCTCCAGAGGGGAAACGCTACAGATCCCGACAGGAGGTGGGTCCTTCTATCAAGCAGACACGTTTTGAATGTCTGCATGCACTAACCTGCAAGCACTGAAGCATCCTGCTCTAGCGACACGCAAACTTTGAGGCGAGGAGCAACATATCGGCTGAAGGAGCTGTGAAGCAATTGTGCATGCATGTGCAAATTGCCGGGGCTTTGCACAGGTTGTCAAGATGCTCGGCTTGGACGGGGACAACAAGAAGCTGTCCAGGGAGGAGGCTGTGCGCCGGGCCACAGCTCTGCCCAAGCCAGAGCTGCCCTTGCAGCTTGATGACGGCATCCGCGTCACCAGGTGCTCGTGACCAAACATTGACCCGTGTATTACATATCGTCCGGATATTTGACCAGGCCACAGCCTGGAAAAGGTGCTGCATTCTTGCGACATGCAAGGGCAGAGAGTACTGCATTGCCCCGAATGCTCTTGGCATTGAGTTGCCTAGACCCTTACCCTGATACACTGCCAAATTTTTGTTGCTGGATCTGCCTTGTTGTGATCAGGCAAGGGTGTACGTGTGCTAAGGAGCTGTGACAATTGGAAAGATGGGTGCGGGACACAACTTGTGATGATCAGGGAATTACCTCTGCTGTCTTAGCACGGGTGCACTCTTGCTGTCCTGCGCAGAAAGCTCGGTCTGAAATCGTGTGCACTTCCTGTCCAGGCTTGGAGCCATCGACGCGCGGCAGGCCTATCACTCAGCCATGCAGCTGTGGCCGGTGGGATACGAGGCGAAGAGGGCCGCGCACAAAGACTGCATCCTCAGAAGCAGCATAGCAGACGGCGGCGACAGAGGACCGCTCTTCACTGTCGCCCTTGTGCCGATAGAGGCGGGGCAAGAGCCTGCGGTGAGGGACCGGATTTTACAGAATGCGCCTTGCAATCTGAGCAGAGATCTGATGGACACGAATATCTGTGCTCTGCTGAGGATGGCATGGTCTTAAAATTCCCCTGCATGCTCGTCGAGAGGCAAATCGCACACTTGTCTGCCATGTCGCCTGCATGCATGCCTGCCGTCGTTCGACCTGCTCAAGCTTGATACACGTATGTGACAGGACGCTGCAGCCCAGAGGGGAAAATTGCTAGCATGGGCACTGTCTCAAGCTCGTGGATATATGTTCCATTGACCAGTTAATACTGTGCCAGGTGCTTGCAAGCGAGAGGGACGCAGACACTGCTTGGAGCAAGGTGGCGGCCCTACAGCAGACCGCATCCAAGAAGCCAGCCAAGCCCAAAAAGCCGGCACCCTCTCCCGCCACAGCCGCTCCCACTGACATGGACATAGATGGCGGTGCGTATACGCAGAAACACATCACCAGCTTTTTCCTGCTACACCATTTAGCTTGCTTCTGGAGACCACCTGAATGCTCTTTGGCGGAAAGCTCTGTCATGTGTACTGCAGCCTATGACAACCCTACTGTATCCGCAATAGTAGATAGGGTCTCTGTATTAGCATGTTCTATCTGCGCTTTCTGCCCGCAGAAAATCTACAGATACTTACAGATCAATGTAGGGTGCCCGGCGCAAGTCATGGCAGCTGCGGATAATGGTCATGTGTCCACCATTTTGGACCCTTCTCCCTGGAAAGAGTATTGCAGCTCATTAGCATTACTGCCTGGCTGTTGTAGGGGATGGTGCAAAGGAGCCTGCCAAAGAAGATTTGTCCAATGGGCATGCGCCAGCTGTGCAAGAGCCAGATCAGGCAGCAGTGGGGGCCCCGCCACGTCAGCCCTCTATAGCGGACAAGCTGGCAGCCGCAGCTGCGCGGCCATTCGAGCCGGTGCCTGTTCAGGCGCAACCCAAATCCAAGCCTGATTCGGCAGCTGCAGATACCCCAGCAGAGGCGCCGATTATGCTCCCCAACGGACAGCCGATGCCTGAAACTGTCAAGGTCGGCTCACGTTTCCTTTTCATGTGTGAATTATGATAGGCAAAGCCGCCAAGGCTGTATGTTCAGTTCCAGAATATCGTATATGACCCGTCATGCAAGCTCATGTCCACAACTATGTCTCATACCAATGCACATTACCTCACAATGAAATGCAGATGGAATGCGCATCATTTGAGATGGGTGAGTGGGCAAGAGTATGTGGTGAGACTTCGCAAAAGCATAATTTCAGCCCATGCGATTCTTGCACCGAATGAGTAATTGACGTATCGTGCAGGCGTTGCTCGCGCGCATCGAGCCCCTTGCGGGCGTCTGGGGTACGGAGCAGTACGGGCTAGCGGATGCCAGGGTCGTCAAAGCGCTGGAGGGGTTGGAAGGCGCGGAGAACTGCGCTGGCTACGGCTTTGTGGAGCAGCGCGGCACCTGGGCAGCCGAGATCAAGCGCCTGGAGAAAGAGCTGGGCGCGCACAGCAAGCACAAGCAGCGGGTGGGTTCTGCTTTTGTACCATGCACTGCTGAGGAGACGTGTTTCCTTCACCATGCATGAAGCGTGATGCACCGACCTCATGACTGGCTGAGGAGATTTGCTGAGGAGATGTGTTTTGTCCATGATGAATGCAACGTGACGAGGTATTATGATGCATGGTGAAACAGGTGCATATTCACATCATAGGAGGGTGCGCAAACAAGAGTGCACGGCGGTGTGTGAATGTATATACGTATCGTAGTACTCCAAAGAAGAGGTCTGGAGGCCGGAAGCAAAATTGCCCAGAGCTTGAGTGACGGATGGATCCATCTCATCCAAAGCAATGCAATAAATTGACTCTTGACGTCTCACTGCAGGCCAGCAAGGTGGCCAAGAAGAAGGAGGCTGACAAGGCGGAGAAGGCTGAGAGGGAACGCGCGCGACAGGAGGCCCTGATGGCCAAGGCCGTCAAACGCGCGCGCCACACCGAAGCCAAGAAGGCCTCTGCAAAAGGCTCTACCCCTGCAGACGCCGCCACAAACGGCGAAGAGCCTCCCGCCAAACGGTGCGCATTTAGTACTCTTTTGTTGTCGTTCTCACGAGCTCATAGCTCATCCCCTGATATCCTGTTGTTGCTATCCTTATGCTTATCCTTCTGCTCTAACAAAGTCCTGTTGAAGGCCTTGAGAGCTTAAGAGCTCCATGGCACTTCCTTGAGCACTGGTCAGAAGGGGTTGCTGTTGCACACCCTCAAGCGTGGACTAGAATCTGCCATGCTTGAGACAGGTGCTCAGGAGGAGATCTTCGCCTGCCTCCAGGCGCACAGCGGCCTGTTCAGGTCCACACTTGGCTGCTTCTCAATGGCAGATTGAGTTTACATTCAAGTCTGCCATGTTGCAGGAAGAAGCCGTCGCAGCCGCCGTCCGGCAAAGCCAAGGGGCCGTCAGCGGATGACATGCTGGCGCTGCTGCATCAGGAACCCAGCAAGCGAGGGCCCCAGACGACCGAGGGGGTCGTGGCAAGAGTCATGCGCCGAATGCTCGACCAGGTTTGCCGCCAAACACCTCAGCGCTATATATGTTTTGAGTTGCTGTGTCAACATCTGATAGGCTGTAGAGATACCCGTGTCACTAAGAACCCAGATTGTGCTCCTATTGACAGTCATAGATTGAGTCTATCAGGACATGGCGTTGACATTGCTGAAGGACAAGGTCATGAGTGCCTTTCTTTCCGGCTGAGCGGACCAGGACACAGGGTTCAGGTTCAACTTTGGGCGCTAAAGAATAATAATATGTGAGACATACAAGCATGCATAGTGTCTCACGAGACGTAGTCAGCATCGCGTGATTATCGTCAGCGTGTAGGCTTAGCGAATTACTCTCACATGCGGCGTACTGTAGTCTTACATGATATTTGTGGCGCTGCAGGTGGACAGGTGGGCAGAGAAGGATGCACAGAAGGAGGAGAGGCAGCGCCAGAAGAGGCTGGAGAGGGAGGCCGCCCACAACGAGAGGATGGCGCAGCAGCAGAAAGCACAGTGAGCCCCTGACCACCTCAATATAATCTGGTCTCCGCATTTTTCAGTTTCTCAAAGGTATCAAGAGTTCTTGAACACTTGGCACGGCAAATGGGCTACTTGCCAAGACAATCCTGTGAAGGGGGACACCAAATATTACAGCTGACCATTAAAGCCATCAGGGGCAGGTGTAATGGCTCCTTTGCCCAAGCCAGGCCTGTCTTTTACGCATCCCTGCCATGTAGTGCAGTACTCATTCTGTAATCCCCGCCACCTGCGGTGCGGGAAAAATTTCAAAGCAACTTTTAGGAGTCTTACTGATTTTAAAAATACCATGGTCATGCTCCATTGGATTGGGCTTGTCGAGAGCTTTCCGAATCTGGTCTCGAAAACATCACAGGGCTTACATTCTGGGAAGTAGGGTCTTGATTATCCACCCTTTTCGCCGAAAATACATATTTATTGCGGGTTGTAGAATGACTACTACAGTACTCTGTGAGCGTGCCAGAGAGGTCATCTTGTCACCAACAGCCAGAGAAATCACTCAGACATCCGTTGGCAACCCCAAAGGTGTTGAGAGATGGTTTTCTGGGTGACATTCCAGGGAGGCATTTACTCAGGCGCCTCTGAGGCTGGTGGACATTGAAGATTCTCGCCTGCCCAACGCCAACCTGCAGCCGCCAGCTGCCGCCGCAGTGGCCAAGGGATTACTCCCTGCCTCAACCATCTCAGGTGTGCCCCTTGCACTCCCTTTATGACCTGAATTAAGACTGCACACTCTCCCATGCTGTTGCTCCTGAGCAACCAGACATCACTCAGAGCTTTGTTCATGACTGTCTCCTAGCAAGTAGCAATACACGACTAGCATGCATGCCACTATCAAGGGAGGTCAGAGCTGCACAGCTTCATAACTATAAAAGCTCATGGCATTTGGCATCCCCATCAAACCCCCAACAAAGTGATTGCATGGTGATTTGAGTATTAAGCTGTAGGTAACTTTGGCTTCATTCAGGCGTGGTGGAGTTGTGGGCCTTCCTGGGGCGCTTCTCTGAGCTGATTGGTCTGGAGCGCGTTCCCTCCATCGCTGAGCTGGAGGCCGACCTGGCAGCGCCCAGCGCGCCCAGGAGCATCACCACCTCTGCACTGGTAGATCATCAAGATTCGACTTTGAAATTTGGGCATCGGATAGCCAGGATCCAAGATAATGCAATCTGGCTCCTGCTAGTTCATTCGGTGGGGTTGTGCACGCTATCAGCCAGGAAATTTCTGCACCAATTTGCATGCAATGTGGAATCCAAGGGATGTACACGGAGTGATGGAGTGCTGGAGCATGCACATCGAAGGTGGAAGATTGCAGTAGATCTACACCAATGGATCCTGTCAAGCAGACATGCAAGCCGCAGAGAACGTTGCCGTGCGTCCTCGTCTGAGACCACATTCCCCTTCAGAGCAGGCTAGGACAAGAGCGAGCGACAAGCTAGGATTGCAGGCGTGGCTAAGAATTGGAATATTGTGTGCTTGCAGATGCAGCTCGTGCAGCTGGTGGCAACAGAGGTCTTTGATTCAGCACTGGACGTCGCCCGAGAGATCGACCCTGACCTCATCAAGCTGCCCCTCAGCGGTGCGCAGCCCTCCATCCGCGAAGACACCTGGGTCGAGGTGAGGCCTTCTTATTGCAAGCACTCCCTCCCATATGCATTTAATTGACCCACCAAAAGTAATCCCTCTGCGTCACCTGGTGTATCTGAGATCAAAGCTGCCTGCTCTTATTCAGCTGCATTGTGGAGCCTTCATCTGAGCCTGTCGTTTGTGCCTGTCTTGTAGTGGCAATAAGTGTCGCTTTCAAAGCTGTCTTAGAGGCCATAAAAGGCGCTGCACTTCTTGCCCTGCTCTGCTGTTTGTGCGAACGAGTACTCTCCCTCCAAGGCGCAATTTTCCCCCTTACGACAGCCCTGTCACCAAAGGGATTTTGCTACGCGCGCACAGGTGGCGCGGCGGCTGTTCTTGCTGGCGGGAGCGGCCGAACTGGTGGCGGCCGGCGACGGCAGCGGCGGCCTGGACATAGCGCTGGGGCCCACGCTCGGCAGCAGTCCTCTCGGCGCCCTCGGCCCCTCCATGATCCTGCCGGGGCTTGTCGCTGGGCCGTCCACCCTTGACCCCCGCCTCACTCCCGCTGCTTTGCCCCTGGTAAGCACCCCTCCTCGTTTCCCTGCTGTGTTGGTCCCAGTGCGTTTCTGGTGCGCTACAGAGCTCCTCTAGTTGGGAAAAGGTTCAGTATGTGCCAGAACGGGACAATGTCTTGGGACCTGGAATGCCATCACAATTCTCGCTCACAGGCAATAGTCCACATCAATAAGTATTTAAACCGGCAAATCCCATGTTTGTTTTTAGTCTAGCAATGCCTGTGTGCCAGCAGGCTCGTGTATAACTGCGCCATAGGCGGTTCTGTCTTGGAAGATCAGAGAAAAAGGCCTACAGGTTGACTGCAGGACCGGAAAATGGACGTAAAAGCTGCCTGCAAAATATAGCTGTGAAAACAATAGATCTGGCTGCTATGCAGGGCGCGTGCACAAAGGCCCCGCAGGCGATCCTGGCGCGGCACGATGGCCGGTCGCGCGCGCATGCAGCGCGGCTGCTGGCCGCCAGCGCAGCGCACGAGTCCGATGCGGATCTGGTGGCGGCCGAGGCCGAGCATCTGACGCGTTCCCTCCGGCGCATCCTGCTGCAGATCACCCTCATCAAGGTTTGCTGCTATCCAGCTGCTGCTGTGTACTTTCAGCCTTGTGTGAGTGTGGGCATGTTTGCAAAGCTCAGGCTCAGTCGTGAGGGCCCTGCTCGATGATAAAAGCTTCTTCCACATGCGCAAGACTCTTGAATGACCCGAACCCAACAGTGCAGAATGAAGCTGGCTTGGGCAATTATTTTTCTGTGCTGCATCCTCTCAAGGTCTGCCGTCCTAATGCTGCATGTGTGTGACACCAAGGGAACTAGAATTAGGAGCCAAAATTCGTTTACTCTCCTTGGTGATATGTATTTGTGAGGCCTTGTGGCATTCCCTCCTCCACCCTAGTCCGCATGGCGTTGGAAGCTTCTGGGCTGCTCACAACGGCTCAGGACTCCTGGGCATGACTAGTACATGAGAATGTAGATATGTGTCCTCTGAAGGATAATTGAGGTGTTTATCTGACCGGCGATTACTGCAGGGCCCCCGGGATGCTTCTGGCGCGCATAGCAGCGGCTCGGTGCTGTGCTTTGAGGGCACTGCCGCCGCCGCGGCCGCCAAGATACCGCGGCCTCTCGACCTCATGCTTATTGCTGCTCGCCTCGATGCAGGTTTGGCCTCCCAAGCTTACATTGAGAATGTGTCCGTGACTTCTTAGCAGCCATTCTACCTCTGGACACTTACCGACAAATGTTGCGTCAGAGCAGTTGGGGTGTCCAACCCCGCACTAGGGTAGTTGACAAGTGCACTTCTCTTCTACCCCCTGCCATGCTGTCGGGTCTCTGCAGTTGCGACAGCCAAGCAATGCTAGCCAAGCACTGCTTTTCTTGTTTTGGCAAGACCACATGCTGATTATTGTCGGCGTGACTTCGAGACTTTCAGGCCCTTGAACATGGAATCGACTTGAAAGAAGGGATTCACTTTGCTGGCTGCAGGCTACTACACGGCAGTTGGGGACGAGGGACTGGACGTCTTTGCGGCGGACGTGACAGCCGTTCTCGACAACTTCAGAGCGGCTGCCAAGCGGCCGGGCCTGGAAGTTGCCGCGCGGCTGGCCGAGCGCAAGGGCGCTGACGTGGCGGAGCTGGCGCTGGTCACGCTGCGTTCCCTCCTCGAGCAGCACCGCTCCAAGCAGGGCGCCGTCGCCCCGGGTCCAAAGGGCAAGCAGGCTGACAAAGCGGTGAGTCACCCGCCTTCCTTATCTCTGGTGGCGTAAGCAATGTGCATTGAGTCGCTGGGGTGCATCGCCCCTGTTGCAGATTGAGAGGCTGTTGATCGTCTGCAGCAAGAACGGATCTGTTGGAATTTTGTTTCTAAAGAGGCTCGTCCTCCCTTCAAAACATGTCTGCCTGTCAAAATATGAGGCAGACTTCTATGGATCTGTCTTTGTTCAGATTTTATATCGGCGGTGCCTGTAGAATTGGCAAGCTTTGAGCTGCTCAGCATGTTGCGTCTTGGGAAAAGGTACTTGCATTTGTTACAGGAAAATCAAGTGTTGCTGAGGGTGGTCTCTTGTCGCTTCCAGGCCAAGGGCAAGGCAGGCGATACCGAGGAGGCTCCAGAGGCGGCTGATGAGGATCGACGGGATCGCACAATTGTGGACGACCTCAGCAGGTGCCTCAAAGAACACGCATTCCCGCTTCTCCCTTCGAAGTCGGATATGGGAAGATTACCATTCCTCATCAGAGTCGGCGGATGAGTCATGAGAGAATGTTGCATGTCTTCTTGTGCATTAGCGCGGAATGTTCCCAACAACAAAAGCTGGATCCTTTTCTGTTGGCCCGTCGTATTCCAGGGTGTTGGCAGAGTGATGGTGAATGCGCCAGGTGGATCGCGAGCAAAGCGCTCAAAGGTCTCTTCAGGCATCTTCAGGTCGAGATCTGCAATGAATCTGGTAATCTTAAGATGAGAGTTTACTGCGCCAGGCCGTTTGTGCCGTGGGAGGGCTGCGCTGCCTGCTGGTCCAACGACGACCACCGCAACATACTGCTGTGCGACGGCTGCGATTTGGAATTCCACCACTACTGCGTCGTGCCGCCCCTGCCAGACATCCCCTCTGGTGCGTGCGGACATTACCCTTTTCGGGCAAGGGGGTGTCAAACGCATGTAGGTGGTCGCAAGTCTTGTAAGAAAGTATTCCGAGAGGATGCTCTTCACTGGTCTTCCAGCGGTGCTGTTCATTTACCTGACAATCCCCTCTGATGCGCTCCCGCCAATTGGGAGATATTCACCCTGCCCTTTACAGAGAGTCCGTCCTCATAAAAATCTATCAATCATGTTGTGTCCTTCTCTGCTGCATTTTGGGGTGTTGTAGACTCCTGTGACCCCTGCTTTGCGTGGCATGTGAACTGGGAAGGCCCGTCCCCTGCTGCAATGCTTCCCTCCCGCTCAATGTCAGAGAATATGCACCGGAATCCCTGAATGTCCACAAGCATGTCCGGCCCCGCTGCCCTGACTGCCGAGTCGGAGCCCATATGTGAATATCCTCGAATCTGTAAGTAAATGTGCAGTTGCATGACTAAAGCAGCACTGGTGCATGACTCTTTGGACTGCTCATGAAATGAAGTGCCGGGTTTGCAGGTGAATGGTTCTGCCCGGCATGTGTTAGGGCGAGCAGTGAAGCCGGGCAGAAGCCGGGCAGCGCAGCAGAGGGGGTGCCGCCACCGCACCCAGCCGTGCAGAGCAGCGAGTTCCAAAAAGCTGCCGAGCTTCTGGGCACGACAGAATATGCTGATCTGACCTCGGTGCGCGCCTTATTGCAGAGTCTTGAGGTGTTTCTAAAGGATATGTAATTCAGGTCCAGCCTCCGCAGTTGGTGGTGATGAGCTGCTCACTCATTGCTGACAGCTGGTAGCGCGGGGTTGATGGGAATTGCCGGGATTGAGGGTATCTCTGTTTCGACATTAGCGCAGCCAGACACTGGGCATTGCCTGCTGTCAGATCCGGCAGCATAATATCAAGCACCCTCAGGAAAGCATACAGACAATGTTTTTATTTGGTATAAGAATCCTCTTTTTATGCTGCATTGATAATCAGAAGAAAGAGAGGTGCAGACAACAGAGCAGAGCGATCGTCAGGGACATAAGCAAGGGCTGCCTTGCGGGAAAATCCCCATGCAGAATCACCCAAGAAAATAATGTACATGTCTGCTGCTGTGCGCAGGTGCAGCGGGTGGAGGTGGCCCGGCTGCTGCTGAGCCTGGCCAGCGCCAGTGCGCTGATCAGGGACGAGCTGGAGGAGGACGCCGACAGGAAGAAGGCTCTGCGCCGTGAGCTCAACGACCTGCGCATCAAGATCCGTAGGTGTGTCTAGCAGGCCTTTATAAAAAAAAAATAAAAAAAATAGCATGCAGGGCACAAGCTCCCTGAAGACATCCATGCCAGACCGGTAGCAAGCAAGGTGATGGGGTATTGATGCTGTTCTGCTGATGCTAGTCTGGTATTCAGCCACATGGCGTAGATCCCACCGGAAATGGCTCGTGAATCAAAAGATCTGCCAACCAATTGAGATGAGAGCTCCAGAAAAGGTATATCGAAGGCAGAAATACGTGACACACTTCTGGCACACAAGACCTCTGATGAGGGAGCTTGTACCCCAGAGTGCCGGTGCAGGAGGTCTGAGGCGGGAGCTGAAAACCTTAGATTGAGCATGCAGCTGTCTGTATTCATATGCAGCTTCACAATGTGCTTGCAGCTCAGGTTCAATAAGGCAGACGTGTCGAGGCAATTCACAAGGATGTGGCACTGCCTCCTGAGACATCCCTGATACACCTCTGATATCTCTACCTGATAAAGGGGGGATCGATGACATTTCCCTACAAGATGAGAACCACTTGTACTGTGCTGTAGGGAGGCACATGAGCGGGACGAGCGTGACAAGGCGGAGAGGGCGCAGCGCGAGGCGGCAGAGGCCAAGAAGGGCGCCACCAAAGGGAACGCCTCTGGCAAGGAGGCCAAAAATGAGGACATCCCTGCTGCACTGCTCGTGGACGACAGCGTCAAGATGTCAGCTTTCTGCTTTACCCAACTGGCATCCACTTGCTATAGATGAGTTAGGACTAGGCTTGTGGACAGTATTGTCGAGATGTGATTTTTCATCTCCACGCTCAATATGTAAAAAGGATAAAACATGCAAGCAGCAAGCAGCTTGAGGCGCCTGGATGAGGAGTTTGTGTGTCATGGAATGAACCCCCTTTGGTCCAGGAGAACCTGTCCCTAGTGCAATGCAGAGCCTCACTTGACCAATCTTCTATATGTTAGGGACCATCGGCCTGTCAGAAGGACGAGTACCGGAAGTGAGGGAAAAGGCAGTGTGTTGGCTTGCATGGTCTGTCAGCAAAAACATGCAGAGTCCGTTGACTAAACGCATATGAGGTCTGTTTCAAGAAACCCATGTGGGTGCCAAAACAGGACACGGGCGAGGGAGGCTGAGCTGGCGGAGGCTGCCAGGGACGCGCAGCGAGAGAGGGAGATATTGGAAGAGCTGGAGACGGTCGGCCGGTCGCGCTGCGAGGCGCTCGGCTTTGACCGGCACTGGAACCGCTACTGGCTGCTCGGTGGATGGGACGACAACAAGGGCGGTGCGCGGCAGCCCATGCTTTTTGTTAATTTCTTGAAAAGGATTGTAATTTTTGGCCGCAGTCCCGCTGCTGCCGTGTTTGAGGGCAGAAAGCTGTCAGTGTGTTAAAGGAAGTAGACATGAGCCGTACGACTTCATGACTGGAAGAAGAATTCAAGGAGCAGGGCATCAATCTTGTGAGGTTGGTCCACTGGGGGCAATCACTTGCCGTCTCAAAGGAATGATGCAGTAAGGGGTTCCTCTTTGGCGGACCACCCTGCCACAATGTCGGAGAAGCATTGCAAGGAGACTGGCTGCCTGTGCAGGGACGGTGTATGTGGAGAGGAGCCTCTCTGGAGCGTCGCCGAGGGACGATGTGCATGCGTCAGGCGCTGCCGAGCCTGAACAGGCGCCCGGGGGCGATAATGCAACATGGGGTTGCTACACCGGGGGCGCCGCTATTGATGCGCTGCTGGCCTTCCTCAACCCTGTGGGCCTGCGTGAGAACGCCCTCAGAAGGGTGAGCCTTGGGTTCTCCCTGTACTTTACATCTTGTTGGGCAGGTGTCGGCATATGTCCAGTACGGTTGGAAAGTAACAGAGCCTTGTTTCCCTGACGAAAATGGTGCATGAGTTTGTTCCTTTTCTCTTCCATGCTTCCAGTACAAATGGAGCAAGTGCGAGTACTTGCATCAATCGGCAGACAGGAATTCTCGGTGATATTGCATCACAGCAGGGATGCAACATTTGGTGTGTGTGGAAAATGTGTGATATAATGTAGTTCCTTCACTGTGTTATATGTGCATGTCTTGCAGGCCCTGCAAAGGGTGCGGCCGACACTGGCAGAACCTGCGCCAGCACACACCAAGGAAGCAGCGGCCAAGTCAGCCGAGGCCGGGCCGAAGCCAGAGCAGCAAGAGGCTCCTGCAGCGCCAAAGGACGAGGAGCCTGTGACCAAACCCAGCGCGGCAGCGGCTACAGACCAGAAGCCGGGGACCAACCAGGCAGCTGCTGCACCAGAGGAAGCTGCCGAGCCGCGCCAGGTCATCGTTGAGTCAGCGGCCCAGGGGATCGCCCCCGCCAGCGAGACGCAGATGCCCGAAAACACAGGTGCACTAGCGCGGCACTCTTAGACAGCTTTGGCGCGGACCTGCTTGCTGCATGCTGTCCAAAGCCGTTTAGACTTGGACTCTGTTTGGCAGGTAAAGGTTGCAGATAGTGAGCAAATTATTTGTCCGTCCAGGGGAGCCCATGGAGATAGATGGTCATGCCGAAGTCACAGCAGTTGCCAGCAAGGCAGAGCCTGTTGCAGACACCAAACCGTTAGACCCACGCACAGGTGAGCCTTGCTGCAAGACAAGGCTACAAGTGCACTGCAGTCAGACATGGACAGATATTCAAGGAAATAAAGGAACCATTTTGCTTTTTAGGTGGTGCATTTGTCCTGCAACTTGTGTGCCCCTTGCTAGTCGCCATGATGCACACAAGCCTGAAACATTTAATACCTGAGTGACGGCATACATATTGGCTGCAGCGGATCTGCGCAAGCTGGCGGGGGAGATATTGGCGTTCGAGGAGGGGCCGGCGTCGGATGCACTGGACACAGGGGGGCCCACTTGGCCGTATGACCGCAGGCGGCGGTGGCGCGCCCTCCTGGAAACTACCACCCAGCCGCCAGAGGTGGGTTTTCAACTGATCTACCAAAGTTGGTTATATTACAAAAATATGAAAAGGCATCTGCTTAGGTTCATCCATCCTGACTGGGTGTTATTTCCAAATATTGAGGTTACCATGTGAAACACGAATTCTCCCAATGGATTAAGGGGATGCTCGGTCAAAGAGAACATTGGATCCATTACTTTGGACACATTCTGCGGCACTAGCCATGTACATACCCTGACGAGACTTCTGCTCATTGCAGATCATGGCGGCGCTGCTCGTGCTGGAGAGCGCACTGAAGCCGGAGAGGCTGAAGCCCTTCTGGCTGCTGTGGGCCTTCCCTGCTCCCAACCCAGACTTAGCAGGTAATGCACGCTATCAAACCAGGCCTCCAGGCAGGAAGGCACATCTGCTTGGACTAATCGACTCTGTCCCAGGTCGCGATTGGAGGAGACGTTGACTGATTATGCGTGAAGAGGAATATGCTAGTGGTGCTGCAGAACCATTCTGAGATCACAATTGGAGAAGGGAATGACAGGTTGTGCCTGAACAGGCACAATACCGGCGGTGCGGCTGCGGCTGCTGGCGCTAAAGAGCGCACTGAAGCGCGGCGGCGGCGGAGCCGCGGCTGCCGCCGCGCCGAGGGAGGCGGCCGCCGCGCCGGCCCGGCACGGCCGCGCGCTGCGCGAACGCGGCCGGCCGGCCGGGGCCGTCGCGCGGCTACAGGCGGTCGACGCCGGTACCGACGAATCCGAGGCGGACGCGCCGCGCGCAGCCGCGCGCAAGCGCACTTCCCACCGGCCCACTGGACGTGCGGCCCTGCCACCATGTGTTTTTTTCAGCATCACCTGTTCTACCTGCTCCGTGTGTAGGTTTCTGCAAGTGAGTTCTAAATGCCTTACAAATGCTTGACTTTTTCATTCACAGCTCCACATAACGCTTTGCAGATGGGTGTGCTCTGAAGGCGGCATGCCTAGGGTGCCGTTGGCTGTTGGCCGAGTTTTCAGTCAGGGGGATGGATCTCTAAAATCCGCAACCCCCGACGCATGCGCAGGGGAGCTGGCGGACGAGGAGCTGGCGAGGAAGCTGCAGGCGGAGGAGAATGCGAGGTCATCCCGGCGCTCGGACCGCGCCAGCCGCCTGGCAGCCGCCAGCGACCGCGCCCGCCGCTCCACCCGCTCCGCCGCAGCCGTCGTCGACGCCAGCAGCGAGGTGACAATCACTCTTTTCATTGTCGTCTACTGTATTACACACGCTTGCTGCCAGTGGCAAAGTGCAAGTTCATGCTGCCATATGTTCCACCCCTTGATAGGCTCGCCAGACCCAAGCAAGACGATCAAGCGTGGGCACGGAGCTCAGTATTTGTACTGCCTCCCGCCACTCGGGGCCACAGTGATTTTCACTAACGTGTCCCTAGGAAATTTACTTGTTTCGACTACTTGTCACAGATGCATTCAGGACTGGAGACCAGGCCGTGCTGTTCTGTGACCTCGTTGCATGACAGACAAAGTCATCAGAGCCCAGGAGCAGACCTCAGGATCGGTGCCCACGTTCATTGCGGCTTCTTTAACGCTGTTTGCGCGATGCTGGCAGGAGGACAGCGACAGCGATGCCCCCCGGAGGCGAAGGACCAGGCACGTTGCAAGGGAGGGTCCAGTGGACCCCTACCGGCGCACCAGGGGCGCCAGAGCCGGTGCGCGTAGATGCTGACCCGATCAATTGTGATTTTCAGTCTTCACTGAACACCGATTGCAACCAAGAGGCTTTGTCTGGGGCTGTTTTCTGACAATCTGTGGCTACAGCAGCTCTGAAAGTGCTGCACCTTCTGACAGCAGACTTCACTTGGGGGCTGACCTCATGGGGGCGGCCTCGGAAGAGTTGTGCAACGGTAGTTCTGATTCTCTGAAATGCGGCTGATGACACGTCCTCTGCCCTGCGCAGTGTTGGCGGACGACCAGGGCGGCTCGGAGGAGGAGGCACCGCCGCGTAAGACGCGCGCAGCCCTGCAGCACCTGGAAGCTGCCCGGAAGGGGCGGGCAGCCGCCGCTGACACCAGCGATGACAGCAGCGAGTCGGACGACGATGAGCGGCCGACCACACGCGTCATTGAGGGCCGCAGGCGCCTGCGCAAGAGAGCCTGAGGGGCGTGTGGAAATTCCTGCGAGTGTGTGCTTTGCAAAGGCGCAATCAGATTGTATTAACTCCTGCCCTTTGTAAGAGGGCATGAGCGGGATCCTAGGCTTGCAAGTGTGTGCCTCTGAATGGCATTTGCGCAGGAAACAACTCCATGCACTATTTTCTTTGTTGGAGGGCGGCGGAAGCAGGTGTGAGAAAGGGCGTCGTCAGAAGCGGAGAGGAATGCACTTGGTTGACCTGCAGATGCAAAAGAAAGATTTTAAAAGCTTGAATGCATGTTGATGTCTGTGGTGTCTCGAAAAGCAGGGCAGCTACAAGCTTGAGTGCCTGCAGCGCTGCGCCAATTAATTTGAAGGTATACAGAGTTTCTTGCATCATAATCAGCTATAGCTTGCCAATTGGTGCTGTCTGCGCTGAATTCTTTGTGGATCATCTTTGTGTCACTGTGCACCGTTGTTTTCCAAGCTCAATGTTGCTTAATCTGCGGATTTGTCAGCATGGGAGCTCACTAATTTGCGATCCAAAACGATAGCGAAGCCCTAGGGCCCAAGAGGCCCTGCACATTTGCAAGCCCTGCGGTTGGCAACGTAGCCAGGAAGCTCAAATGCATCTGCAGGCTTGCACCTAATAAGGCACAGCTGCCCAAAATCCTGACCCACCCAGGATCTCATTGGGTCAGACTGACTGCAGGCTACATGGCACCAGATCAGGCACCTTCTTCGGAGCCATCTGTCCGCCGGCGTTGTTTGGGGTCTTCCCGCTTCCACTCTCAGCGCCCCCTCCTTCAGCTGCATCGAGATTTTTATTGCCCAAAAGCTGACAAGGCGCCCCCGGCTTGCATACTTTGGTGAAGTGCTGCACAGAGCTGACTTGTGTGCCTGCGCCCTGGGACCCGAGTGCTGCTGGTTGTGAGCCCAGAGTGACAACTGGCAGAGCTTCTAAATGTTGAGCAATAACACACTTCCATGAAAAGCAAGAACCAGAAGGTGTATTACTCCATCCTCGCCATCTGCTACCTAGAGGTGCGTTTCGCCCAAGTCTCCGCTTCTCCAGGCCTGGTTTGTGCCGAGGAAATGGACGGAGGGTTTGGCCTCGTGCCTAAGGAGCTTTGCTGCTCCAGGTGCTCCTGTGGACGACTTGCCTGCTGTCTAGCTGCGCCGCCACTTCCGCACGGCCCGAGGACGCGGGCTACATCATTCGCGAGACCGTGCGTCCCGTTCCTTGCGCTAAAGCACGATCCGTCTGAGGACCGTTGTCACTTTTAGCATCCGTGGCGTTATATGGCATCCTAGCGACTGGGTCGATGGCACCAATGTTTTTTCAAATTTCAGTCTTGGATGGCGGCGATGTGAGGGCTGTGGAGAGTTAGCGAGGGCCCACTGCCCTATATTGGGCAGGAGGCTGAATATCCCATGATGCCTGCTTTCCAGGAAAACTTGAAGCACACGCTTCCATCAGACAGCTACGACCTCATCCCGGACACTAGCCTGGACTTGCGCGTTGGCTACGAGGCGCAGCAGATCAACTGGCTCTGCTTTCAGAGGATCCTGCAAGCATCTTTACCTGAATATCTAGAGGATCGACCTGCCACGCTTAGCTCACTTCTGGTGCGTACGGGCTTTTGCAATGTTTCGTTGAAGCTTGTGTGTCCAGCATTCAATCCAACAATGGCTGCCTGCTGCCTTTCACCTGCAGCAATTTCCTCTTCGCTGTTTCTCCAGCTGTGGTATTATTCCATGCACCAAAACCAGCATGATAGTTCTGTGCGAGGGCAGTGCATAGTCCACCACTTCCAGATCACATCGCTGATGGCTCTTGCTATTGCGCAGGCACTAAAGGGGATCCCAGCCCCTTTCACAGGAATCAAGGCTTGGTCGGACTGAGCGCTGTCTCCCCAGCCCAAGGAGAGGGAGCGAGTGTTCAGACAGAGAGCCATTTGATTTCCCAGCTGAGAAGAGAATTCCCCGATTAGTAGAAGGAGAGCATTTTTTAACATCAGAGCAGAGCCTGTACACAAGGAGAGGATAGCCAGGAAAAGGTTAGCGAGAGCATCCGAGTCAATTCATTGCAGCCATGATCACCACAGCAAGAGCCAGAAGATCCGAGCACTGGAGTCCCAGCTGCTCATTCGAATTCGAGCCAGTTCAATCCCGGGGTGAGGCCACCAAGTCTGGCGCGCGCGGCCGCGGCCGCCGCCCGTTCGCATCTGCGAGTGCCTCTCTGTCCGAGGGCGTCATGAGCAAGCCCAGCGCCGGCTACTCCCCGCCGCCGCACAAGCCCAAGGTGTGCCTTGATGCGGTCGGTACAGACATTGTATGCGAATGTCCTGTGTGCCTTGTTGTCGAACTTGAATTGTCTCCAATGCCATTGCAGTGCCTAGTCCACTGGCAGGGCGTGAAGTGCGTCTCACAGGTTAGGCAAGTGTTGGCAAGTAATGTGCATGCTATCACACATGCGCCTTGCGTTGTGAGGGCTCCTGATTCGACGGTGTGAGGAGCGTAGACAACCCGCACACAAGGTGCATGTTGAGCAGAGCTGATGGGCGATTTATGCCCGCAGGTTGACACCAAGCCGGCAAGCGACATTCTGGCGGGGGCGGTTGCGCGCGCGGCCAGCCAGGGGACGATCCACCCTCTGGACACCCTCAAAGTGCGCATGCAGGCCGAGGGCGGCCTTTCCAAGTACGCCAAGCTGGTGCCGCCCCCAGGTGTGGCCCCCTCTTCACACGCCGAGAATCCGTTTGCAAAAGTGTCACAAGAGGATCATCTGCTGAGTGACATCGCGCTCTTCTGCTGGGGAAGCCATCAAAACCGCGGAGCGCTCAACATTGCTTCAGCTGCTATTAGCAGGCAGCCGTGCGGCTGATGGCACGGGAGGCATCTGTGAGCCCTCTGTTGTTTACCGCAAGAGAGGAAGCAGAACCGTAGTGTCCAGTATGCACTGCCACAAAGATGATAAAGAGAGGAGTACCACTTCCCCCGGCCTGTGCTGATCAAATGCTCCTGAATGCGCCAGGCGCCACAGCGGGCAAGGCGGTCAAGCGCATGCTGCCGAGGGTGGCCAGCCTATACAAGGGAGTTGTGGGCGCGGCCAGCGGCGCAGGAATATACATCGGGACCTACTTTGCGTTCTATGGCGCGGCGTGCAACGTGCTGTCCCGCCGCACCGACCTGTCGCCCGGCGGCATTGCCTTTGTCGCCGGGGGGATCGCCGCCGCCGGGGGGTCCGTCGTCAAAGTGCCGCTCGCCGTCTGCATCCGCAGCGTCCAGGTGAGGACCCTTCTTATTTTCCCCTTAATGCTGTCTCCTGCACTCTGTTTGCCGAGCCTTTTGGGGGAATGTTCCTGTCTCTACAAAGCATGCAAGATCGTTCAGCACAGCTTGCACAATCGGCTCGATACGCCTGGGATTTATCATCTCCTAGGCTATGTGAGAGCCAGCTGAGTTGGTAGATTGCCTTGCGTACAACGGACACTGGGATAATCCCCCAATACACTTTCTGTGCATGTTGAATCCCTATTTGTGGTGATAGTCAGATTTGGGTCCAGTCACCTTTACTCATAGCTGAGCGTGCATTGTGGCGCAGGCCGGCGTGTACCCGAACGTGTTTGCGGCATCGCGGGCGATTATCGACGCGGCGGGTGTGCGGGGGCTTTTCACCGGGTACCTGCCCACGCTGCTAGAGGATGTCCCGGACATGGCCTTCAAGTTTGCCGCCTACGAGTCCCTGCGCTCCCTGCACCGACGGGCCAATGGCGGCCGTACCGCCAACGCGCAGGTGTGCCACTTCATGCTCGGCAGATGGCAAGTGGATCGCTCACATTCGTTATATGCAGCTCACGAATGCTGTTGGACCTCTTTCATCAGCTGCAGGATTCAACGGGAGCGCTTAATCTCCTGTGTACTGATTCCCTAAGCATGCTGGCGTGGCTGGCATGCTCCATCAGACGCCAGTCTTGTGCGAAGCGAGAGTAGGTGCATGCTGGAAGAGCGGGGATGTTTCTCTGTGCCGCTCTGCTATCAAGCCAATGTGGATTACCACGTGCTAAGGGCCTTGTAGGGGTCACACATTAGGTTGGTGTTGGTCGGGTGGCAGAGACAGAGCAGCAGCTTCACGTGTTGTGGGCAAAACCAAAATAGCAAGAGGACAGCTCACGGGCAATCATGAGTCCTGGTATTTGTTGATAGGCAGCAGAACCCACAAGCATGTTTCCACTCATTCTTGCAGAGGCTTGATGCACATCTGTCCGTGAGCGCAGGAGGATTTCGCGATGGGCGCGGCTGCGGGCGCGTTTGCCGCCGCTGCCACAACGCCGCTGGACGTGATCAAGACCAACATGATGTGCACGGCCGCCAGCCGCCCTACCATGGCCTCCTCCGCGCGCACCATCCTCGCACAGGGCGGCCCCTCCCACTTTTTCAGGTCAGCCTGCCCCGTCTGAGCTCCCTCGATGAGTGCTGCAGGCAACAACCACCCAATCAGTTTCGTGAGATACATAGCTGCATGTGTGAAATCATCGAGGGGGAAATGTGGCTTGCCGCATGCATACTGCGGTCTTCTGGAAGCCCAGCCCACTCCTGTAGGTCAGGTTTGGGCCTTCATGGCAGCCTTCTTGGAGAAGTCACCCTGCATCAGCCCCGAATGTGTTTGCTTGTGCAAGCCTCAGTAAAGCTCACTTGATCGAGCGCAGGAAGGGAAACCGCCACGCGCTGCATGCGTCGAGTGTGTCTGTTTTGGAGGCCAACTTGTCTGCTCCAAGCAGCCACCAAGAGGTGGGCACTTGCAGTGTGGAGGGGACTGATTACTCTTGTGCAGCGGCTGAAGGGGTATTTAATGTGTTGCGCAGGGGAGTTGGCCCGCGCGCGCTGAGCAACGGTATCAACTCGGCGGTGTTCTTCTGCTTCTTTGAGGCGCTGCGCTCCACCTTCAAGCAGCGCAAGGCCCTGGTGCGCACCACCTCTGCAATGTGTGAAGGCCAGCTTTCAGCTGTTTCTCTGCGTGCAAGTTTCTTCGAACAGGAGGGTTCTGTATGCATGCTGATGCAAAGGGCAAGGCTCCAATGCTTGATTGGGCTGGCTTGTCAACTCCAGTGCAGACCAAAGGGTGCTGGATGATGTCATTTCAAAATTTGCAATCATCTGTAATCGGATTTTTTATGACGATTCGACTCAGACTGACAGCACCCATCGACGTTAGTAGCACAACCAGGGTTGAGTTGGAGTTGGTGTGAAGGATGTGCATCACGACAAGTCTTAAAGTGGGACGCTCTGGTATACTCGCAAGGCAGCATGTCTATCTTCCTTGGCGCTCGCTCGGTCTTCATGTCTGCATCCTCCCTTGGCTTGAAGTGGTCAAGAACCAGGATCTCATCAGGATTCGGCTGGGTAGCGCATGCAAATGATGAATTGAATTTTCATATGTCGTGCAGATGGAGAAGCGGGCGGCCCTGGCGGCAGCGACGGCGCGCGCACAACCGCGGCTGCTGCTAGAGACCGCGGCTCCCAGGCGCAGCACTGCGGCGTTCCCTTCTGTCACAGGAGGGAACGTCGAGGAGCCGCGCACGCTTGAGACTGCACCGCTGGCGGTTGCGTTCGCATTCGCCCCCCTCAAGAAGAGGGGCGTGAAGCCGGGGTTTGCGCTCGTCAGGGGAAAGTAGCCGCGGGGCATGCACGGCTTGTGAACATGCCTGAATTGGCGGGAGTCTGATGGCTGCAAATTTGAATACAATGATGGTCTATTGTGAAGATCAATGGCTGCTTTGTGGGATCAAGACGCTTGTGAGTATTCTTGTGGGAGAATGTGCTTGAACAGTGTTCTTCGGCATGCAACAAGTCTTCTGTCGATGGGTTGCTGTCAAGCTGTGGAGATGATTTGTGACGCTGAACATGGCTCGTGTGAAGAGTGTGCAGGGAAATTTGTGCCTGTTGCACGTGATGACTTCTGGAGTAAATGGGTTGATTGTGCCATAGTCCTGCTTTGAATTCGTTTACAGCAACCAGGGTCTGATGTGATGTGTGGTGAAGACATTGCGGTGAGGATTAATGCATGCCTGTATGTAGCTTACTGGGGACGAGCGCAAGAGTAGATTCATCAGTGGGGGATCTCACATATTCGGCGCGCACATAGCGATGATTTATCTCTTTCGTACAGACTATCGAAGGGAAATAGTTCATTGTAATGGAGTACATCATGATAATGCACCGCCTACTGTACGTGTCTACCGTACCATAATATTTTGGCAAGCACTTCGCTCGACTGCGCTTGTTCTTTGCTCATTTGTTGGCCAAGTTTAAATGAGCTGCCTGCGTGATGGACATGTCACATGTTGTAAGTTGCAACTTCTTATAGCTATTGGAGGGCAATTAGTTGTGCAACCCTTCAAATTATGTTTCCAAGAGACTTTCCCGACAACGATCGGACGCATGAAGCGCAGACCCCTCACACAAGAACACGTACAATTGAGCCGGGCTTTATATGGTGAATTTGAGACATGGGATCCCACGGACCTACTAAGCTCATGATACCATGGTTTAGCCGCACGCCTACGCACTGGCTTTTATCAATAGGAAATTCTGTGGTTGCAGTAACTTTATGAGTGATTACAGACGTGCGCTGGGATGCTCCCAGGGAACAAGCACCATGCGCCTGTTCAGGTGCGCCAGCGATGGGCAGCCCATAAGTGCCATGCTCAGCCGCAGCTCCTTTCTCAGTGTCTCCAGTACCTGTCATTGCCAGGCAGCTACTGTCAGTGCAGCAGAGCAGACACCAGGATGGCATGTGCTGTCTCGGCCCGCAGCTTAGTCGCCCGCACAATTCCATAGACCACACACGGAACAAGTGAGAAAATCGTATTGTGAATTCAGGTGTTGCACCCTATGGTTGCAGCATTTCTCGTGCATCTGGTGCATTGCGTCATTAGCATCGCTATATTACAAGGACAAAAAAGGGGGAAACGGCTGTTTTTTTTTCTGTGCTTGTTTACGCCCACTTTGTGAGACTCTCTCAGTTCTGCTCAAAGGAGGGGAGAGTCTTCACCTTCTGCACGCCTTGCTGCCCGCCCAGGGCCAGGCCCCACAGCACTGGCCTGCCCAGCAGAACCGCATCCGCTCCCAGCGCCAACGCCTGCAACACCCCGGCAGATGCAAGTCAATCTCAGCAATTCTCTACTTGGCGTGTCAGGTGCGGACAATTGAAAGCCTGCGCACAACAGTAGCAACAAAACTCCCGTGGGCGTGTTTGAAAGTAGCAAGTGCATGAGGACATCAGACACCCAGGGACAATGAATCCTCTACTTTGCTGGAGATGGAATTATCATGGAATACTTAGGCGACGTCCTCAAGATGCCAGTTGCCACACACGATCCTTGGGTGGCTTATTTGAGCCTCCCGGCATAGTATCCACCTACGCAGATGAAAAGCTAGATATGCGCACACCTTGATGATGTCGGTGCCTCGGCGTATTCCCCCGTCCATCAGCACGGGGACCCTTTTGCCGACGGCGGCCGCCACTGCCGGCAGCGCGTCCAGGCTGGCGGGGGCGGTGTCCAGCTGGCGGCCGCCGTGGTTACTAACCACTATGCCATCCACCCCCGCATCCACCCCCCTCTCTGCATCCGCCGCCGAGAGAATGCCCTGCATATGCATGCGCACCGCAATTTTCTCAAACAGCCACAACCTTGGTGAAGCAAGTCCCCTCCTTCCACCCTATTGACAGCTGCAATCTTAAAGGAGCAATTCCTTATCCTACCGGCAGGCAACAAAAGGTGTGCCAACTCTGCAAAGAGATCATGAGATCATACTGCTGAGCAAAGGAGTTATAAATGTCCACGTTTTTTAGGCTTTGTTTCAGAGCATCTCGTCCCTCCCTTCTGCTTGCTGGCTTCTGGGAGGAACATGTCCACTTGCAATTGCTGCCATTATGGGACATGTTCCAGAATGGCAGGAATTGCAAGTGGCGCAGTTGTGCAAGGAACAATTGCAAGGCACAACAGAGCAACAGTTCAGAGTCACCTTGACAAAGATGGGCAGGGATGTGACGCTGCGAAGCCAGGCAACAAACGCCCAGGTGAGGCTGGCATCAATGTTGTCGCTGAAATGCTTCGACACTCCGGAGCCTTCGCCGGCGTCGTGGACTGCCGCATCTCTGGTGGCTGCCCCGGCGACTGAATTGGCATCAACAGGATTAAAACTTGGATTCGAGGCCGTCTCCTTGCCTAGATTGGCACCCAGCCCCTCAAGGTTCGCCAGCCGCAGACCGTCCGGCAGTTTGAAGCTGCGCAAGGAAAGCAATATATCAGTTCTATTCTTAGTAAATCCTCTTCGTTCATAATATGATGCAATCAGAAGCGTGCACACTTCCTGATGTGAGCACCATTTCTCCCAAAATCCGCTCATGAGGCAAGGATGGGCAGAAGTGTGCATGCTGCGCCTCTCAACTTATGAGAGATGACTCATTGATTATCAATCTTTTGCACATGCCCCGGCATTGATGCAGGTTCTGAGGTCAAAGCACCAAAGGCAGCAGGGGCATGACAAAAGGAGGAACGCAGCAACAGTGCACAAAGAGAAGCACTCACTTGTTGCGCTCATCGGCTTCGCGTTTTCCCAGGAATGGCGCATCCACTGTCACCATCAGACCATTGTAGCCCGAGCGCTCCGCGTCTACGAGAATGCAACAAATGGCATCTCTAGGAGCACCCCAGAAATAAGAAGATCTTTAGCAACCAGCAATGGCCCCTCAAGTATCAGACACAGCTTTTCTTACTGTTAACAAGGACGTTCACTGCAGTGAAAGTTGGCAGGCGCTGTTTTGCTGTTTGAAACAAAAGCTACCCATGGAGTTGGTGAAAAATTGCAGCATTGTTTGGCTCAGCTGTCTTTGGGTATGACTGGCGGCGACGAAGCGGCTTACGCTGCACGAGCTGTCGCACAAAGGCGCGGTTCTTGAAGACGTACAGCTGGAAGAACATGAGGGGCCCCCCGGCGCCAGCCTGGCGCACGTCCGCTAGACCCACCGTGCCCATGGTTGACTGGACCTGCCCTGTTGCAAAGCTGGCTGATCAGAGCCTCATGTGCTGATTTCCTTAGCTACACATTGTACATACTACTATATAGGGTAAGGCAATTACGGGTGTGCCAAAACGCTCTGCAATCTGCCGGCCCTGCAATCTGCCTATCAATGTTCATGAGGCCAGACCGCCAATCTGGAACTACACTGTGGAGGTTGGTCTTCACTCCATGAGCATACTGCTGGAATGAGGCATTTCTGTGGCATTATTAGTGATGCACATGGGCAGAAAAATGCTCACCATGGGAATGCCCTCTGCAGCAGCTGCCCTGGACACTGCCAGTTCGCCATCCGGGTGGGCCATGCACTGCATCGCCATCGGCGCAATCAATACTGGATATGCTAACTCCCGCCCTGCGCATACAGGTACAGCGCAATTATACCTGCCACATGTCTGCAGTCCTCTTGCTCTGCACCATGCATGCGACATGCTGCGGGCATGCAGAGAACAGAAAATGTGCAAGGCATGCACCTTGGAAATTGTCGTCAACCCGAGAGGCAGCAAAATTTCCATGCATGCAGCGACATCTGTACATGTTAAAGTGAGCAGCGGAGACTGGTATCTCACCGAGCAGCGTGCAGGTGGTGTCAACATTGGATACATCAACCATCATCCTGGGCATCAGGCGGTAGCGGCTGAACACTGCTCGATTGTCCCTCAGCGTTGACTCCGTTTCGCTGCCGCTGGCATAGTAGCCAAACACCTGCGCAGCAGCGGTTCTTGTTCTGTGTGTCTGAGAACACTTGGGCATGAGCTAGGGCTAACTGGCTGAAGCCTGATCTATCGCCGGGTGAAATCTGTTCCTCGCTCTTGTAATGCTGCCTCGTTCACCATGATATCATTGATAGCAATATATCTGCATGTAAGAGGTATGGATAGTTTAAGCAGTGATGGGGTACGACATACCGTCTTGGGCAGCACTTGCTCGGCTAGCGGTTCAAGCTCGTCCAGATTCTGAAAAAACAGCTCCGACATTGGGGCAGATCTGAGGTCTATGTCTTGTAACTCACGGAACAGGGCTTTCGCATGAAGTGATCGAGCTTTCTTGATGCGCTCCAAGACTTGTGCGTCGGAGGGGGCATCTCACTGTTTGTTCAAAAGAAGCATACTGCTTTGCTTGCAACTTTGAAACAATTTCACGACAAATTTGGTGTAAGCGCACTCCTTGATCAAGGCAGCATGTTGCTGGGTTGGGCGGAGATCCAACGGGCTTTAAAGCACAGCACGTGGCGGCCAAGTAGCGCTTGATGAATATTGTGCTTCGATCGCAAGCACAGTACAATTTTCTGTCCCAGGTTCAGCGATTTAAAGGCGAAGTGCAAAGCAGCAAAAAGCGGCCAACATGGGCCGTCAACAGCTGTCACTTGCGTTGATCGCGGTCGTCGTTCTCGCAACAGGTAGATGCAGCTTTCGCAGCTCGGAACCCTACCTAGTGCGATGCTGGAGCCCACCACCTCTACGGGCGCCTTGAATGGCTCACGAAAGTCAGCAAGAAGTTGAAGGAAGGACAAAAGCCGGGAGCCCAATTACATGGGGCTGCAGAGTTGGTATCGTCTGTGTCGGGCGCGCGTTCGCTGCAGCTTCGAGAAGGGCGCAACTTTGTAATATTTATCTGCGTTGGAGGTCCAAGCTGTGTTTTGGGATTATATTGAGCTAGAGAAAGATCATGTGGTCGGTTTCGATCGCCAGGTGGGTGCCAGTGTTCTGGGTCACTTTCGATCAGGCGTTGCCCGAAAGTGCGCTGGCCAGTGTGACAAAGGTGGCAGGAGCATCCCTGGGTGGTCTCATGCTCTATGCGGACGGTGATCTCGTTAGTTTGACGAAAGATGATGGCTTTGTGAGCGTTGGGCTCCCACCCGAGGGCTCCGTCCGGTTGCCCTATTTCTGTCGGGCATGAGCCCCAGATCACTTCTTGAAAATGCGCTACATGTGCCCTTTGGGACAGATTGTGGCATTTTCAGATCATCTTGTATTCTTTCTTGTGCTGTTTCCAGAAAGCAATCTTGCATCGGACGAAATCGGCGGCCCAAATACGTAGCTGGCATGCTCGGGTGGTGTTTGCTGTCACAAGAGGAATCTTTGGATTGGTGCCCCCTAGCTTAGTGCTTGAGCTGGGTTCTAGTCCCTTATGCCCCAAGTGGTACCATTTTCTAAGAACAAAGAGCTGCCAGTGGGTGCCTGATATGTCAGTCCTTTTGGTGCGAGAAGCTTGGCATCCCTGAGCGTGCTCCCAGCCATCCAGACAGCCCCTTGCAGCACATTACTGCTGGAAGTATCACAGGAGTAACTCCTCTAATGACTGCAGAGATGCAGCTTTTGTGGTTCTCCGGTGCCTGACCGCTTCGGTGTGTCTGTGTGTGCAGGAACAGATGCGCGCAGATTGCTAGCGTTCCCTCCAGCGCCGGCGCCAGTAACAGCTGGATCGACGCTATCATCTTATGAGTACACAGCGCCCAGCGGTGCCCCGGCCGGCGAGGCCGCACCCGCGCTGCCCGCAGCCAGCGCTCCATTGGCCGCCACCGCCTACGCAGTCCCTGCAGTGGCAGAGTGAGTCCTGATCTGCCTCCCGTGCAGCAGCTGTCGATCTGCTGTGTGAAATATGCAGCGTGTGCTTTCTCAGACTCTGGGCGCACCTTGTACGCATTGCACATTAAGCATACCTCACACATTGTCGATGCAATGATTTGAATTCACTGTGAAATGCCGCTGGAGCAGTTGCCTCTCTTTGGCTGATTCATTACGCTGTAAGCCTGGGATGAAGGATTGCGGTCCTTTGAAGCAGAAGATATGCTCTGCACAGGTCATACGCAGCTCCTGTGACGGCCCCGACGCTGGCACCCACGGTTAGCGCTCTGTCGCTGCCGACCCCTGCCGCACCTGTTTACGCGCCCGCAGCCGCGCCCGAGGCTGCACCCGTATACGCGCCGATTGCCGCGCCCGTTACGGCCCCGGCGGCCCAGCCGTTGCCGTTTGCAACCGCGGTATACACCACCGCGCCGTCTCTTGCGCCGATTGCGGCCCCGGTGGAGGCTCCGGTGGAGGCTCCAGCGTCGGATGTGACGGCTTTCTCACTGCCGGTCAGTGCGCCCACGCTTGCCCCAGCCGGCGTGCCTGCACCTGTCGCGGTCCCATCCACGACCACATTCTCTGCACCCACCGAGGTGAGCCTTGATTTCTGACCTTTTGAAGCACCTTACCTACAACAAAGTAGATTTAGTGCATGTTTTGAATGGCAGAGAGAATATTGCAGAGGCTGACAAGATAAAGTAGGAAAGGCATGTCTGGACTGTGGCTCATGATCTCTGCTGCTGGATCGTCAGCTTGTGTGACTTGAGAGCAAATTTGTCTGGCAAAGTGCCGTGTGCTGGCTTGACCTCAGCGCAAGGAAACTTTTGCGCAGGCGCCTGTTACGGTTCCCTCAACTACCATTCTCACCCCTTCCGCGCCTGCACTTGCCCCGGCGATCGCTTCCACCGAGCTCTCTACGCCGGTATGCCTAATTTCGCATGCACTTTGCCTTACATATTTCATTTATATATTCATTCATACATCATGGAGACAGGTAGTTTGATACGGTAGATACAGAATGAAGAGTCAGATAGACAGAATGAAAGATGCGGGCATACCTCCATAGGAAGCGCAAGCATATTAGATCAAGTCAATAGAGGGCATGCTATGACTGTCAGTCAAAGGCTCTGTCTGCATGCCAGCAAACTTGGCCTCTGTGTAGGCGCCAGTGAGTGCACCTGCAGTGACTGCTCTGGAGGCTTCTGCGCCTGCGCTTGCCCCTGTGACTTCTACCGCGATCTCAGCACCGGTATGCATGGTTTCGCATGCGTTTGCATGCGTTCTGCATGTGCTTCATTCAGCACGTGGATTTTATAACTTGATTATAAACAATATAAAGTTATAAATTAATTTTTCCTTTTATCTTATGGCCCTTAGCTGCCGAAGGGTGCAGTTGCACAGCCCGATTGTTGCCCCTCTTGTTTACAGGGGTCCATGTTCCAATTTCCGGGTGCAGCCTGCTGCATGCTTTGCCGGCAGGTTGAAGCATGATGCACCAAGGGGGGTTGCTATTGTTTTTCCGGTCAGCAGATGGCTGACGTGGCTGTCCCTGTGATTGCAGGCTCCGACCACCACCTCCGCAACTTCCTACGCAGCTTCCACCAGCGGGTCGCCCCCCCCTCCACCCCCCCCTCCGCCGCCGCCGCCACCGCCGCCGCCGCCGCCGCCACCGAGCAAGCACTGAGCGGGGATTCCTCCCCCCTACGGGCTTCGCTCCTGCTGGACACTGTGGCAAATACAGTGGCTTAATCCATCTCCCGCCCACAGCCTATTACAGCTGTGGGTGGGATGTTGAGCCCACTCGGTTGTCTGCAGCCCTTTGCAGTGGCGGTATAACCTGGAAAGCAAGCCAGGCTATGCTCTGGCTTTGAAGGTCATATCAATGCGGGTGAATCGCGCTTGAACCACGGCAGCCAGGCAGATGAGGCTTTCCCGGGGCGAGGAGTGAGCAGGCTGCCAGTCCAGCACAGGGGCCTCAAGAGAAATTTCTGTGGTCTGGACTGGACGCAGGCCTAGCTGAGAGCTCTGTTGGGTGGCTGGAGCATTTGGTGTGCCAATACCAAATGGTCTTGGCAGAGAGCAAGATGGAAGGAATTCATCGACTATGGAAGGAATGTCACAATGGCATGTTGGAACACCGTTTGTTCTGAGAATTACCTCGTTGGCAGGATTGCTTTGGTTTCAGAATGATGGCACGCACGCAGTTTAGGGTCACTGTTGGAACCACTGATTGTACTGTGAATTCTTTGCAAAACTCCACCTCAGAACCCTCCCCATTTACACTGCGTCCCCCTACCCCAGAACTTTGGTGGAGTCCCCTCTGCACAGAGATGAGTCATTGAGGATTTCGAATTAGAGTACATACTAGGACATGGCTGCTGTGACTGCGGATCATGGTAGAAGGTGTGTGCCGAGATTAGCATGGTGCCTTAGGTAGATGGATTGTGGATTTGGGAACGAGCGAGACATGCCCATCAAGATGTTGTGACTCACAACTTATGAGTGCAACAATCCTCTTGTGGACCTCTTTTTTTCGTGACGGCCTGTGACATTGTTTTGTGCAGCGGACTGCACCTGACTTGCCAAGAGGGCTCCCTTTCGCAGCATAATGATAGATTGCTTGCACCTAATTAGCTGTGGCTTGCATGTGACAACCTGCTGCCAGGGACTCAACAGACATTCTCGCATGATGGCTGGCTCTCTGGTTTCATGGCCTCACCGTTGATATATTCTTGATTTGATTCTCGGTTGGATAGGGAATGTATGTGTTGTGTCCGGATCAAGGCAGCTCTGTATTTGACGATTGCCCATGCTGGCCTGTAAATACTCTTCAGACATGCGCAAAACTTGCCTTGAGAGTAGCATATCTTATGTGGTTGCGCACAAGCTTAGGTGCACATGCTTCTGCGTGCAAGGCTCTCATGCATGGTCTTCTTCAAGGATCCATCAATCACACTTTGCCCTTGACACATTTACAGCATGCTGATGTGATATCCAAGTGACAACGTCAACGGGCGTATGGCCATGCTGCTTCTATCCCTGCAGCAAACCCTCGTTTCCAACTATAAGCGCTGAAGGATCCTCTATTCTGGACGGCACATCTTGGAACGTATACAAATCTTCTAGTGAAGGCCGCGGGCCACAACCTGTACAGTCTTTGCTACTTATTTCTAGATCTCCTGTCCTCGTTGCTCCTCCTGATCCATTGTTTCTCCTAATAACCTTCTGCTCGCCCATTCTTTTGAAGACTCCGTCCACAATTGCTGCACTGCCTCATAATATTGCAAGCACTGGTTGATTCATCCAGTGCTGAGTCATCGGCCATACTCCAGACTGGTGACCTTACTAAGCAGCGCCTCGCCCTGCTGTTTGCTCATCTGGTGCTGCAGCTTCTCGTTCCAGCTCAGCTTGTTGTCATGACCAGTCACTGCGCCCTCCTGGTGCGAGCATGCATTCCTCCACGCATCCAACAGCGACTGCACCTTCTGTGCAGCCTGGCTGGGATCCACCTCCGCTGAGCTGGCTGCAACATTTGCAGCACACGGCAAAAAGTCATGCCTCATGCCAGGACTTACTGCACGACAGACAAGGCAATGGGAGCATCCAAATTGAAGGAAGGTCTGCCTTGCAGTGAGAACAGTATGCATCGACGAAGTGAACATGTCCCGAGTCTGGACTACTACTGCAGAACACAAGAAGCTGCCAATGCACCCAGAATTTCACTGCAGGTCCGGCATATTGGACTCTGTGGGCTTTGTTTGGCCTTTGCCAATGCATCAAAGTTGCAGTACGGATAGGGCATGTTGCACAATGGCACACTCTGTCATAATTTTTTTTGCAGCATGTCCCAGACAACCACTGTCCTGATCACCAGTGTTGTCTGCCCGATTGAATACAAAATGGCACTTCCGAGCTTCAGAAGGAACATATGGATTCCATCCCATGCAAAGTTGTGATTAAATTGCTTTACATGGGATGCAAAGTAATCATAACTTCTTCGTGGCATGGTCTGTGTCAGTGCATTACCTGAGGCCTCCAAGCCGCACTTGGGGTTGGGAGAAGGCTTGAGAATGACTTGCTGTAGTGCTGCAGGCTGGTCGCGAAATGTGGGGGTCAGTGCATGCCACTCTGCCAACAAATCAGCGGTCTTCTGCGCGGCAGCCTGGGGAGGGTTGGTAACGATGTTGGCGGGTGCCTGTGCGCTCATGCTGGCCGTCTGCTGCAGTGCCACCAACAGGAGATCTGAAGCTGCAGCACCAAGATTCAGCATCTGATGCAACCCCAAAGAAGCTGCCAAGCCATCTTAAGCTGCTGCGACACACCAACAGACAACAATATGCACGTGAACCCATTGGAAAGAGGAGTTGAGGCCAGCTGAGTAGTCGATGGGCATCGAACGCCATTCTAGGTAGAAGATGGCCAAAAAAGACCCCGGTGAATGCAACCACCATTGTCATTTATTCCTGGGCTATCTACATGCTAGCATTGCACGAGGTTTGGTAGCCTAGAAGACTATCGGGAAACCCAAGGGTTCAGCTAAGGGCGAACGATGTGACCACCTCCTCTACAAGAAGCAAGCCTCATTTTGCAGCAATGCACAGAGACTTTGCGAGCCTTGACTGAATGATTTTGGATCAATAACATTGCCCTTATAAGCAGCAACCCACCTCGAAATTTGCAAACGCGTCTCGAAACGGCTGACTCGATACAAGTCGATACAGGTCAGCGCTGTTTGTCCTCCTGGATCCTGGTCAGTAAAATGAGATCTTTGCTACAAGAGTTTTCGTTCAGTGTACCTAACCCGTATCTTCTGCCACGACCAAGAACCCCTGAGGTGAAGAAGTCCTTGCAGCGGCACCTCGATCGCCTCACCGGTTATGAATTCGGTCCCCCCGCTCTACGAACACAACCAATCACCAGGCCAGAGACACTCGCGGGAAACAGCGTTTCCAGAGTTTGCGAGGAAGGAAAACCCCATGGCATCCGTGGCTCTGATTGCCTTAGATTGCCTTGACATTCTTTACATGATGTTGGTGTGAGTTTGTATTTGCTCAGGCTGCAAGCTGCTCCTTTCGATCCTCGATCTCAACCTTCTGTAGCCTAGAAGAGATCCCAACATTGGGCGATCTGGTACAGTCGACAGCATTAGAAATAGCGATCATCGCTTAAACATTTAGTGAGATCAAAGGGATTTGCTCGGGTAGGTCCTGGTTTGCCTGTGATGGATTGGAAGCACATCACGCAGCTTCTACTTCTTCTCTTCACGGCGTCCTGCGCTCTGGCAGCGTAAGCCTTTACGATATGCTATCGTTTTCTTGATTCTTATCACCTGTCCTCCAGATCCAAGTGATATCAATTGAAAACAGAGCTGCTGATCGACCTCACACCCTCGATTCCTTTTTATTTTGTTCAATCGGTGTTTACAGTCAATCCGTATCCAGTGAGATCACTGAGTTCTCACATCGCTCATGATCACTTGCAGGAAGGACTTCTACGATGTCCTGCAAGTCCCCAAGGGAGCCTCAGACTCGCTCATCAAACGGTCCTACCGAAAATTAGCTCTGCAATACCATCCAGTGAGAAGCACCCCTGGTCCCGCATCTTTGATATTATATTTGCCTGATGCTTGATTCTGGAGCAGCTCTTGTGAGGGAACAAGTGCAGTGCAAAGAATATTGAGGCGACTGCAAGGGATGAAAAGGGATGCCCTGCCACTTGAACAGGACAAGGTGAAGGGAACGGAGGAGGAGAAGACAGCCGCTGCCAAGAAATTTGCAGAGATTAGTTACGGTGAGAGCCAGACAATTTCAAGAGTTTTTTCGGGGCAATGAAGCAGGGCTTTCACTGCCTTAAATCACTGCCCTTTTTGCATGTGCATGGTAAACATCTGCAGAAGATGTCATGGGCTGCCAGTCCCTGAATAAACCCACACTTGGAAGCAAATCTGGCAGGTGGCCGTTCTTCTTGCCTTCTCTGCAGGCTACAGGACAGGTTGCCGCTACAACCTGAAATATGGGCAGAGACACCGATCTTTGCCCTATCCATTGTTCCCCAGCAGCAAATGACTCGAGTGCTTCTGGTGCAGCGTATGAGGTGCTGTCGGACGACGAGAAGAGGCGGATTTATGACCGCTATGGGGAGGAGGGCCTCAAGCAGCGAGATCAGGGCGGCGGCGGCGGCGGCGCTGCAGACATCTTCTCACAGTGAGCCTTCACCTCCATTTTACCGTAGTCAGCACCATATTCCCCGCATAACTTTAATTAATTTTTTTCTAGAAAATGGGTCGAAATTTAAGACCCTAAAATGCAAGATATAAACCCTATGGCAATTTCGAGGCCAGTATTGGAAAGCTCTCGCCGAGCCCGACACATCGGTGATTATGAAACATCATTAATGGGAAGGAAATACTCTTATAAACTGGTCCAGACATTTCGCACATTTTGAGGGGTGCGGGAAATATGGTGCTGACTATGGCACTCTTTCCTGCTGACCTCACGTTGCACCAAAGTGTGAAAAACTACAAGGCAAACCATTCTGCTCAGGCAGGGCTGGCAAAGCAGTTCATGTGAAATCTGCAGCACCCATGACCATAGAGATAAGTGGTGTTAATGTCGCCCTCCCTAGTGTAGCACACTGCGAAATTTCAGGCCGTTGCAGGTCTCCCTGCACATAGTTTTCAGACAATACGTTGTTGAGATACTTTTTGAGACACTGATAACGAGGTCTGCTGGCAGCATTCGACACTTACCTACGTCTTAAAAGGAGCGGTGTGGTCGGGTGCAGATTCTTTGGGGGAGGCTTCCCGGGCTTTGGAGGGTTTGGGGGAATGGGCGAGGAGGAGGAGCAGACCCCCAAGGGAGATGATGTGAGGGTGGACCTGGAGGTCACCCTCAAGGACCTCTACCTGGGCCACCAGTTCAAGGTGCGCAACCGAGCAGCTGCATGTGGGGACTGCAACTTGAGCTGTAGTAATTGACAGCTACTAACCCCAAAAGAAGGGTCTGACTTGTCGCAAATGTGCTGTTTATCAAAGAGAAGCTGAGCAGTTGGCAGCATGTTCCTTGAACAGTGAAGACCTTGCCTCGGCATCTAGATGGCCCTCTTTGGTGTTTACAAAACCTTATCAGCCTCCGCCACACCAACCATGCAAGTGTGCATTGGCACTTCAAAATCTTCTTCTGGTGGCACGGCACTGTGCCTACTTTTGAGCTCGGCTATGAGATCCCTAAACAACACTGTGACTTCGTGGGCCCCGTCGCTGACGCATGAGGTTGCTCTAGAGATCGCTTAAGCTACACAAAGGCTGATTTATGGGTGCATGCGGGCAGGTGATGCGCGACAAGCCAGTGGCAAAGCCGGCGCCTGGCAAGCGCAAGTGCAACTGCCGCAACAAGGTGGTAACGCGCCAGCTGGGGCCCGGCATGTTCCAGCAATTCCAGCAGCAGGTGGGTAGCCCAGCTATTCTTATTATTATTCCTATTGTTATTACACATTTTCTAGTCCTTAAAGACTAGGTACGTCAAGCAACACCTGAATCATTGCTCTCCACTCTTCTCAATTCTTGCACTTCCTCTGCCAGTCGTTCGCATGCCTGATAGCATCAAGATCATCTCTCACATAGTCATTCCAGCCTTCAATGCCCTGCCTCTAGCCCCAGTGCCTGACATTGTGCTGAACATCATCACAATGGCATCCTAGCAGGCAGGCAATTTCTGACCAATAATCTGCACCAGGAGGTTTTAAGCTATAAAGGGCGTGTGGGCCGCCAGTGGCCACCCTTTTTTGTCACACGTTTACGGGATCTCAACCTCCATCTGGAAATTGAGATACCCATCAATTTGCTGAGGAATTGTTGCGCGCCAGCCATGCAACAAAAAGAAGTGCTCAGCTATCCATGCACACCGTGTCAAGCGATGCACTGCCCCTGCCCCGTGCGACACAGGAACTTCATGCAGGCAGCACGCAGTGTCTGGTGCTGGTCAAGGACTACTCTGTATTCTTGTAGGTCTCCATCATCCACATGGTATCAGCTGTCAGCAATGTAAATGGCCAAATATTTGACAAAATGCAGACACACGAGAAGTCTGTCATATAAAAATGGAGACTGTCTACAAGACCAATGAGCCTCACGCCGCTCCCAAAAGGTCTCTGATACGATCTGATAGTAGTTATGTGGGATCTGTCTAATTTGCAAAATACAGGTACAGGCGGCTGCAAGTTTCCCTAGAAGAGAAATTTAACTGACGGTGGTTGTGTGTCCCTGTGCAGGAGTGCCAGGAGTGCCAGAACATCAAGTTTGAGCGCGAGACGGAGACGCTCACCATCTCCGTGGAGTCAGGCATGCGCGACGGCCAGGTGAGAGCTACGACCCTGACATCTTCAAAACCCCTGCTTTAAGGGGAATGGATCTGGAGTGGTGGTGGGGCATGTTTGGTCACATGTACGCTCACCTCTCGTATCTGCGTGCGGTGATTAGTGTGAAGGCTGTCCTTTTGTGCATTTCTCAAGCCTGTTGCCGGCATGAGGCTTAGGCTGGGCCATGTTCTCCTCCTTGGAGCAACCCAGGCCTCTGGTTGTTGTGGGTGACTAGAGATATCATCTGAGCAGCGTAGGTTGCTTCGTGCACAAAATTTGAAAATTTCTCGCCGGTTCATTTCTGGGTGTCCGCAGGAGATTGTATTCTTTGAGGAGGGCGAGCCGCTGCTGGATGGAGAGCCGGGAGACCTCAGATTCATAGTCAGGTGTGGGCTCTTACACTACTTGCCCTTTTCTGCAACGGATGAGAGCATTTTCATCATACATACATCTTTTTTCAGTGTAGTTCAGATGAACCCAAATTCCCCCTGTAGCACTCACTGGCATGACAGGCGTGGTGCAGGCATTTCATGTCATTGCTGTGAAATGCAATTGAATATAAGACACATAGTGCAGAACCTCCAACGTCTCTTGAATCCTTACAGCTTTATTCTGTTGCCTGAGTAGGACGCTGCCCCACAAGCGCTTTGAGCGCGAGGGCCATGACCTGAAGTACAACCTCACCATCTCCCTAGTTGACGCGCTGACCGGCTTTACAACAGAGGTAACTCAATTTCTTCTGTGATTCTCTGCGTCCAGCGATCTCATTTGTCAGAGAAGTAATGCTGCTACACCTTTCACCTTTCTGCTGCGAACCAGCAAGGACAGCGGTCCAGCAGCAAATGAGTCAGGATGCAGGATTAGTCCTGTGCTTTGCAATATTAGTCGTGGTCGCCAGTTGCTTGGCTCTCCAGTCACACAACAGCCAGTTATAAGAGTGCTTATCTTCCTCCAAATCTCCATTCTCGGGAAATCTTGCTTTCTTTTTACTCAGAGAAATTCTGAGTAAAAAATATTTTGCTGCGTGCAGTTTGAGCATCTGGACGGGCACAAGGTGAAGGTGGACTCGGCAGGGGTGACAATACCAGGGCAGGTGTTCAAATTAAAGGGGGAGGGAATGCCCCTGTTCGACCACCCCAACAAGGCGGGGGACCTGTATGCCACCATCACAGTGGCGTTCCCTGCCAAGCTCTCAGAATCCCAAAAGGACGCCGTCAGAAACGTGTTCAAGGGCACTCATGACGAGCTCTGAGGTGCAGATCTGGTGTAGACTCAGGTCTAGACTCAATTTGCTTACACAGTTCAAGCAGGGCTCTGCAAGACTTGACGCTGGAATAGAATGTGCGGTGAACTGGGCTGTTCTGCTAAATTGTGGGCTAAACAGCCGCTGTTTGCATTGACATGATCAGATCAGCTCTGCATATAAATTGGATGAGCAGTTCTGCTTGGGCAACTGGCAATATTGTCAAGGCCAGCAGGGCAGCAATCTGGGGCTCAGAAAGAGCCAGCCGGGTATGCTTCTTTGCCTGCACGATTGCTTGGCAATTTGTCCCAGCAGCAAGCTGAAGATCCCCTCTCTGGTTGTAAATTCTTGAAATGAGCACAATGTACTGTCACATCAGTGCAAGCCTTCTGAATCCATCTCAAACCTCAGATTATTGATGTAGGCCAGTTAATGGGTTCATGGACCGACGGCAAGGAACCCATTGGCGAGAAACATAAGGCAGGCTATGGCACCCTGTTCTTAATCTTAGAAACACACGCATGCAGCAAGCATTGAGAGGCTGCAAGACAAGTTGTGTGACACCTATGGCGGCACAAGCCAACAGGCGGAACAAACCAGTGATCTGTACACAATGTGGCATTTTCAGACAAGCAGGTCCGAGGTCAAATGTTTAAATCATCCCAAAATTGTGATGTCTTAATCGTCGACCACTGGTGTCCCACTGGTGAAGAAAACGATCTCCAGCTGTCAGCTGGTAGAGCCATAGCCCTCAACAATCTGCAAGAATCATTGTAGCAAGATATTGTGGTTACAAGAAGCATTGAATGAGTCAACATTCAGGCATCTATTCAAAGGGGCGCAGGCCCCCACTAATGCTCTGACAGAAGATTGCTCTTGCATGCAAAACACCTTTAGACAGGGACAGATGCGTCAAGGATTTGCCCCAATTGCAATCTGCAAGCTTTGTCCATAGTACAGTATGACACGGATCGGAGCAAATAAATCCGAATCGGATCCTTAACACTGCCAGGATGCCATTTAGCTTGCGTACACATCCATCAGCGATTGCACAAGCATTGTGGGCTACTTCAGATGCTCTTGTAGGCATCGTCAAACAAAGACTCATTGGGTAGATGCCAGTCACCGATGCTGGCATTAGACTGGGCAATACCAAGCAGACTGAAGAGGCAGATGAAGAAGAGGACCACAATGACCACGCTTAAGACAAGGAGGCTGGTGAAGACCAAGGGCACAGAGCAGTCGGCAGCGACAACAAGAATGGCAGCCATCCACAGAAGGATGACAAACAGCAGCATGACCTTCGACACGGCTGATATCATGCCTGTGATGCGCGCAAATCTGATCATGCCTTCGCGCATCTTAGACCAATACAACTCGCGCACATTCTCGGCTGCAGCCCTGGGTGCATCCCTGCCTGCCTGCCTGTCAATCATCTTCTTGCTGTCCACAAGAAGCATTGTGTATTGCCCATACAAGAACATGCGGCACAGGATGGTGGCCAGCAGCACGGCGAAAAGCAGCAGGAGCATCAGGCCGCAGAGGAAGCCAAGAACGTTCCCATCCGCACGGTCAAGGAACTTCCACTGTGAATCACTTTCGCAACTTGCCTTGCTGAAGAAGGCGGAGGCAACGCCCCCAGCCACTAGAAAGGTGGCGACTATCTGCAGCAATTCCCACTCCTTGATGATGGAGCTGTCGTTGAGCTTCACGTCGTTATCGCTGTACTTCTTCAAGATCCAGTACACCCGTGCTGAGTCAGCACCAAAGTAGAACAGCTTCTGGGATATGCCGGTGCCTGCAACAGTGCATGGAGGTGCTGGCGATCACTAGAAGACCGGGAGGTGCTGTGATACACTGTCAACATGGTGCACCTGCTACAGGCAAAGTTAATAATTTCTTCCAACTTTAAAGGATCAGAAGTCAGACATATGTCCGGCTCTACGCCTGCGGCTCAACTATTGGGCAGATGCTCGATGTGAACAAACGTTCGGACACTTGCTACAAGACTAGGCTGTGCAGAGGTTGTATTGCTCTTATCTCCACTACTGGGTGTAACTCTCACCTATTTTAGAACGCGCCCGTTTGTAAGGCTTCTTTGACGTCCGTGGTTGCGGGTCTGTGGCACCATTGCTGGCTCCAGACGTGCAATCCTGCGTTAATGCGGGTGTATGGTAGTCCTTCTCGATCACAACCTCCATAAACCTGCACTTAAAAGGAAACTATCGTATTAGAAGCTCTTTTGGGGTTCATGCGTGTGGTGGTGACATGAGATTGGGGTTGGCCCATCTGAGTGTTGTACGAACAGAGACGTATCCTTGCGAGAATTTCCTGGTGATTTCGAGAGATTTTCTTTTCAAGTATCCAAATGTGCATGCTTGGGCTTCTGATGTTGAAAAGGCGCTGACGCATGACGAAGTATTTGCAGTCATTACTCGTCGCTCGTCGTACAAATTGAGGCAGGAGCCTTGCATAAGCGCAAAGACAGAGCAGATAATTCTTGTCTAATAGCAAGGTTTAATAAACCACTAGAAGACCAATCCCCGTTCCTGCAATGTCAGGATCACACCTTGTCTAAGATCCGTGCTCAAACAGCGCGATGTTGTACGTTGGAGGATATATGCAAGGTACGGCGCTTCGAAACGACAAAGCTCACCTTATCTAAGCAATTCTTGCAAAAGTTGTACAATGGTGCTCACCAATTTTGAGTCTCATGATGAACATCACTACTCTTGCAACCCTCGAGCTGGTGCCTTGCGAGGAAGTTAGAAATGTGGTGATGAGGAAGCCGGATCTAAATTTCCGACACGTTGCACATGATAATCTTGTGACCTTAACCTGGTGAACCCATCAGAGGAGATATCCATATATGCGTAGGCATGGTAGCTTACACCTGCAGACGCACATTCGTCCGGGCAGGAACAGTGCGTGAGGATTCAAGTAAAAAATAAACCCAATCCTCTTTGGCACAGGGATTGGTGAAGCAACGGTGCATGCGCTGCTTGCGCGCGGCACGTGAGTGCTGAGCTTGATGTGAATGGCGACAATGGAGAGGCGCTGGCAATTATGCATGTGCCTTATAACATCTTCAATAATTGTTGCAAGCCCAAGTGAGTATTGCGATTGTCCTGAAAAGGGTTCAATGTGCTTTCAAAGTATGCACGTCACCCTTGGGCAAAGAATTCTCCCCAGAACAAGGCTTCTCTCACAAGCTTTGGCATCTTTGCAGGGTAAGATGTACATATTCCCGGGGGAGCAAGCTGTGCATCAGGGATTGACAAGGGTTCTAATGATATCTCAAGCCTGCCATGAAGTAGAGGCCCTTTACCCCCGCCGGCTGCCGCCTTACTAAGTTAGTAGCTGAGACTTCAGATACTCCCTGACATTCTTAAGGATTTTGCGTAGGGAATTGTAGGCTTTCCCTGAGATTGTTCTAAGTGGTTTAAAGTGCCTCATAAATCCATGGATTTCGTGGCTTCAACAGCCATATGGCTTCAAAGTGGTGTACTCACGCTGTTTTGCCAATTCTCTACTCATCCCGGGCCTGACCTGAAACCTTCCCCCTAGCCCTGAACCAGTTTGGACAATCCCTTGGGGGCTGCCAAACCCTGATGTGCATATATGAGTGCATTGCTGATCTGTGTGAGGGGTCACTGCTGAGGTGCACTCAGTGCACTCAACTTGCTAGACGCTAGCAACTTTCAATCGAGAGTGATCCCCGCTCATTTCTGTGCAAATATTGGCGCATCTCACCTGTGGGATAATGGGGTACAAAATTTAGCGGAGCGTTCGACAGCTGCCAAGGAGCCCAAGCTTCAGAGAAAAGCTTGTTTCATTTAGAGCACAAGGGATCAGTATATTTGAGGGTGACTTTAGATGATAAGCAGCTGCATATTCTTGAGCAAAAGAGCCTGGAATAGCCCGAGTTGGTTTGTGGCCATAGTCGCAAATTGGGCGGTGACAAAGCAAGGGCCCTTGCACCCAAGGTGTTCGATAGGACAGCGTGTGCAGTTTGTGGAGCACTCAAGGTGGGGATGTTATCCCCATATAAGCTTTGTCGGGACGCACCTTGCCGAGGAGGACGCATCCTGCCTCTGCACCGTTGTGCACGGACCTCTCAGCAGGGCTCTCGGGAAAGGTTGCAAGTTTGTGAAGTAAGTGGTTGCATAGCAGGTGAATTGGCATGGCGCTTGAAGAGAAGCCCCCTAGAAACTACTTCGTCGACAAGATGTGCGCCGTCGCTGGAGGAGCTGCTGGTAAGGGATTTCTCAATGTCATGGCAGCTGCAGTGGCCGATGACTGGCAAATCCAAGACACATGCCCAGGCTGTTAGGCTGCCTTAGGCTTGTTGGCAAGCAAGGACCTGGGCCTCCAACAGGCCCTTGGGGCATTTCTTTACAGATCAAGCAGCACATTTGCCTAGCCAGCTGCACGCCCATAGCATGGGATTGCAGTGCCCATTTTCGTAATCCTTCTTGCTAGTGCAAGGCATTCTACTTTTGGAAATTTGCATGCTTCAAGTTGCCATTAGAGCAGCTGCGTGTCTCTCAGTTGCAAGTGCAGTGTCAGACTCAGATCCCCTGTCATAAAGTTGCCACTCCTGCCAAATGTTTCTACTGGGCACACAGTCCTGCCAGCATCTGCTCTTTCTGTGAGCATTTCAAGTACTTGTGGGCTGAAGGGGGCTAAATAGCCCTAAGACCTAAGACCATTCTACCCTTAGCATGCTTCAGTACAATGGTGCTACATAGCCTTTCAGTGCCTCCTTTAGCACTCAAGGGGCTCTCACAGAGAGACCAGAAATGGGCTGATTTCTAGGAGTTGGCTTCAGGACAGCCAGTGCAATTCTTCCTTTGCGCTGCAGCCCTTGACTGGCAGGGCTTGATTGCCTTGGAGATCCCCAAGGGGTTTTGCAGCCTCGGAGAGGTAGCATTCTGACATCAGGGCAAAGCCCAGAAAGTGATGCCACATGACCCTGGGACACACTGAACAACAATTTAGTCATGCTGCAACCTGTCATCGTGACTATTTCATGTGCATGCAAATCAGCGCCTGTTTTGGCGCAGGGGTTGGCGAAGCGACGGTGCACGCTCTAGTTGCGCGGGGGGCGCGAGTGCTCATCCTGGATGTGAATGACGAAGATGGAGAGGCGCTGGCAATCCTGCATGGGCCCAAGGCCATCTTCATACACTGGGATCCCAAGTAAGCATCGATGGCCATAATCAAATGTCATTAACAAACGCTGTGCCTGCCAGAGACAAGGTGTGTCTGCAGATGAAATGCAGTGAAAGGCTGCCAACAGCGTCATCCTTGCTCGACTCGCCAGATTCAAGCAAGATCCATTCAACCGTGGGCATGCTGCTCAGTATTCTTGCCGCCCCCCGCCAGCCGGGGCCTTTTGCACAGGCTTATATGTATCCTGACAGCAGCATGCGGAAGCAAATTGCGCAGATGAAGGCACGGCTAAGCGCTGTGAGCAAGCAACTGCAGGAGTGTGCGCATAGTCAGGCGGGACAGAGGCTTTTTAACCCACTACACGTGTAACCCCGGTACCAATCGGTGTCTTCCAATAATCCAATAATCCAATCCTTTGCACTGAAACCCGGCCTGTGCTCCATGCGCAGAAGGTTGTGCCCTTGTGCCTTGTGCTTAGGGGAGCCAGCATTTCCAAACTGATGCACATGCCCAGTTTCATTGTGCACAGGAGAGCTTCAGTAAGCTAGAGCAGCACTGTATGACTGCATTTCTCCACATACTGGTTGTGGGAGTACACACGAGCTTCAGATGGAACCGGAAATTCCAAGGAGATGTTGTGGTGGTGCAGGGATGAGCGTGGGCTGGAGGAGGCCCTGCAGCAGGCCATGAAGGAGTTTGACCTGCCGCTGCACGCCTACATCGACTGCGCTGCCATCATCGGTGACTCATCGTTCTGTCATCATTTCCCATCCTTTACATTCACAGTACATGTGCCAACCTCCCAGTGCCTCAGTACAGCTTGCAGCACCGCCAGTTGTGCCTATGCTGCGTCTTTGCAGCTTCACAGCAATGTTCATGTGCTGACCTGAGGCTCATACAAATGCACACGGTTCACATGCGGATAGAAATCCTTGAAATTGTTATTGCGCCGTTTTTCCTGCCAGAGGCAAGGTGTGCATGCAGACAAGCTGCATGTAAAGGCTGCCACATATCCCTGGATGGATTCGCCAGTTCCAAGCTAAGACCCAATCCACCTTGGGCTTGGTACTCAGTGTCTGTACCGCCCCCGCCAGTCGGGTCCTTGCATTAATACAAAGCAGAGTAATGGATGAAGAGATTTTGGGTCTGATGCAGGTGCGCTGGGGCCGATAGATCGGATGCATGTGGAGAGCTTTGCAGCGACGCTTGACACGAATGTGACTAGCACCTTCCTGGGAATTAAACAAGCCGCCAGGTTGGCACCTTATTTGTGCATCCCAACACAGCTCATATATTGCTTGGCACTGTTGCACTTTCTGATAGGAGATGTTGTAGCTTGCTTTATGCTCAGAACAGACTTACTGGCCTGAGGCTCTTGCGTGTTTGTTTCAGACGCTATTGCAGCAGCTACCCGTGCTGTCACAGCGTTGAAAAAGCATGGTAGAACCATTTTCACAACAACTCAGATTCTCTGCTGAGGCTTTGAATGTCCATGTGCTTCATGATACTATTAGTGACCCTGGACTCCTCCATGCAAAGGGTGATGAACGCCACTCTTTCTGAGGCAGGATTACAACTGAGAGTGACACTGAAATTGACCTTCTTTATTGACCCTGGGCCCCGGCTGGCAGGGGGCGGTATAAATACTGAGCAACGTGCCCACGGTTGATTGGGTCTTGCTGGCAAATCCAACAAGGGGTACGATTGTGGTAGCCTTTAACTGCAGCTCGTCTGCAGGACGTATCTTGCCTTTTTATCAGGAAGTGCGTGTAATATTAATGATAATTGACCCTGACCCCTGGACCCTGTACATGCATGCAAAGGGTGATGAAGATGGATGCTGTGATCGGGGGCGCGATAGTGGCGATGTCCAGCACAGCGAGTGTGCGCGGGGGCCTGGCTCCAGCGGCGTTCACTGCCAGTCAGCACGCAGTCATTGGGCTGACTCAGCAGGCCGCTGCTGAGCTGGCGCCAGCTGGCATCCGTGTCAACTGCGTCTCCCCGACCATCATCGACACGGTGTGAGATTCTCACATCGTAACCAGACAGGAGTGACAAGCTTTAAGTTTGCCGAAGAATGACAGAAGAGCACAATTATTTGCTGCAAGCATGTCTTGAAAACCAGTCTGCTAGCTTGTACTGATCCGACTGCCGCATGTGTCGCTAGTCAAGACAGCAACACACCTAGCTGTCATAGCAACCTATGCAGAGCAGACGCGCCATCAAGTCATGCTTCTTTAGCAGAGAGTGTGTCTGCCCAGTGCCAACCGTGAAGCGACCAGGTCATAGTTGCACCATTCGGTCAGAAAACTTTTTGGGGACCGTACGGCCGAATATACGGTCATACGATAGTATTTTAATATACGGAATACGGTCAGAAACGGCCTATTTTGGCCCAAAACACCGAATATACGATTGAATATTCACCGTATGCCGAATGGCCGAATCCGTATGGTGCAACTACGGACCAGGTATTTCACACTGTGCTGCGTAAGCTTGCCAGCAATACACGGTCTCACCACGTTTCCCTCTCATCTGTGCAGCCCATGTGGCGCAAGTACCTGAAGGGAGATGTAGCAACCAGTCTGGTACAGGACCTGCAATCCTATCAGGTGAGCAGTCAAATCTTGTCTCTGTGGACCCACATGCAGGGCAGCAGAAGCCTGAGGGCAGTGTTTTTTATAAGTATTCCCGCTCGCTCGCCTTCTTCGCCATTTGCCAGAGTGCATACTTCTCATACTGCCACTTTACAAGGTGCAGTGCCTCCCCGAAGGTGTTGGCGTTCGGGGAGGCACTGCAATTTGACAAGTTGCAGTATGAGAAGTGCCTCCCCGAACGCCAACACATGAACACATCGCAATGCGTTAACAGAGCCAATGTGGCTTCCAGCCTATCCTTGGGGTTTTAGGCTGAAGCCACAAAACTGGCGAAAACCAGGACTCTTGAGCAACATTCCAGCAAAAGTGATGTTTTTGGGGTGTTTTGAGATCGATAAGGGTGAAACCTTTTGCGCCTCTTAATTTATTCTCCCAAAGCCTAAATGGGGCCTCAAAGTGTCCACCAGAAAGTGGCTTGAACGCCAAAAAAATGCTTGTTTATTTGGTACGAGCCACATTGGCTTCAGAACGCCACTAAAAGAAACCCTGCAGCAAGGAACAGCCCTACCATCACTGCCGTGTCCCCTGCAAGCACTCTCACCTTGAAACCCATTTTGTGCCTGCTCAATGAAGCTCGAGTCTAGCTTCTACATCTAGCTCGAGTCTAGCCTTTCTTGGGGACTCTGCCAAGGTTGTCTGCAATGCTGACCACCTTTTATCTTATTTTTGTGTGTGTCGTCCCCCCAAATTTGCGATGAAATGACAGCAATGCCAGAGTGGCACCTGTGCGCAGGCGTTGCCTCATTTGGCCACAGTGGAGGACATGGCAAATTCCATTGTGTTCCTGGCCAGCGATGAGTCAGCAGCCATAACCGGCAGCAACGTGGTAGTGGACGGCGGGGCACTGAGCGGCATCGGAGGTGAGCTTACATATATTACTCCGCTGCATGAGTGAGTCAGGCTATCACAGAAACGCTGCTGCGATGCACCTGATCCTCATGGATTGGAAAGGCGTGTAATAATAAGAACAATGAGTGAGTCAAGAAAGACTGCAAAACATACAAGGCAAAGCGAGTGCCAAGCAGGGCCCTATGAGAAAGGCTCTCAGGCCGAAATGAGCTGAATGGGATGAAAGAGTGCGCCAATGTGATCCAATCTCGTCTGAAGAGCCTCAGCTTTTTACGCGGACATCCCGGGAGAAAGGGATGCAATGCGGTTACGTGGTAATTCAGGTGATCCGATCTGGTGCCCCCCTGTATCGGTGATCAGCCTGAAGAGCAGCGTGCGCTTTAGCTATTAAGCAAAGGGTGAACACTTCAGCAAGGTGACCCGTAATATCTGATTGCAGCTGTCCTATGATTTTTGGTTGTTGCTGCAGGGCTTGCAGACATACCGCAGGGGACAGGTGGCCACAAATGTGCATGAGCAGCAGCTTAAAGAAGATGACGATTCCCTGAAATTCAGGCATAAACAGCCTGCTTGCGAAGGCACTTATCGGTATGGCGTTGTGAGGGCCTACTGGAAGGTCAGAGGTACCTGTTGTAGTCAAAATGCATGCGATGTCACGATGCAATCATCAGAAGGAATGTTACCAGGTACATGCCTGGAGGCATCGGCTGCCTCCACATGCAAAGTCATTGTTGCTGCAGGGAGCATGCTTGTGCTGAACATGTTGCATGAGACCTGTACTTGTGCTGTATGTGACAACGTGACTTGCAGTGGATCAGATATACACACAGTGCCCAAGCAACAGTACTCAGATGCTGTGAAGGCCCATTGAGAAGGCATTTCATGCACATGCAAGTGCACGCAGTATTAAAGGAGGGCACACGCATGCTCTCATTTTTAAAGCACCATTTCTTGTTCTGTTTAGTTCCTTACATTAGTAGTGTGCACTGCACTTGGCTGTTTCCCCACTTCATTGACGTGATTGATTCCATTGCATACCATACCCACATTGGCCCTTGCTCGGAGACTGAGACAATGGCAGAGACATCAACGCGATCCACTGAGAAATCCTATGGCATCAATCGAGGGCAGCCTATCACATGACAGGGTCCTGCCTGTACTCCCTTAGGATGACAGGGACAGAGGTGGGAGGGATCAACCCAAACTCCGTGACAATCAGCGTCACAAAGTCTGCTGGCATGGCGTCATACACCAGGTTCAGCAGGCCTGCAGCCACACATGTTAAACGCCACTGTCAGCTGTCCAGTCATGCATGAAAATCTGCAGGTCATGGTAAGCACACTCATGAAATTGTGGGCTCCTAGGCTCTCTTTCTGTTGACCTTCCTTGACCATGAAGCAGCGACAGTGCAGCTGCAAGACTTCTCTAGTCAAATTGCAGTGTCTCCAGTTCAATTGCAATTGCACTTGCAGCAAATTATAGAAACTGCAATTTGACCATGCAGACGACAGGCAACTGCTCTGGGCTCACAGAGCTGAGAAACTGTGAGGTGGCAGAGCACAATGCCCAATATAATAATCAAACGCAGATTGGGGCAGAGCAGCATCATCGTGTCATGGGAAATGGGATGCAATGCTCAATGCAATTCCTAAGAGGTAGTTCACCAAGCGCCAGTCACAGCAACCCTGTGTGTGAGGGGAAATGTTGTCTGCCGACTAAGAATATTCCTAAGGGGTGACTCACCGAGGCGCGGGAGGGAACGCCAGTCGCGCAGGGCGGAGGCTTCTGGGCGGAAGGGCACGTCTACGAGGGCGTCTGGGTCGCCCAGCTCATTCGATGTGATGGAGTCCAGCTGCACCCGCTCGTGAAACTTGTACGTCTCGCAGCACACCATCACCTGCGCCAACATGCATTGAATTATTATTATTATTATAAGTATTACACGCTTTCTTTGCCAAGAGGCAAGGTGCGTCCTGCAGACAAGCTGCAGTTGAAGGCTGCCATAATCCTACCCCTTGTTGGACTTGCCAGATCCAAGCAAGACCCAATCAACCGTGGGCACGGTGCTCATTGACTTATATCAACCCCAAATCGACGTCCGTTGTATATAAATTATTGAGGGATACCAAATATACAATTTCAACAAGTCCCCTTCGTTCAAGGCTGATAAATAATTAAAAATGCGTTTGTAATCACTGTTGTCTGGTCAAATGCAGCACCTTCAGTCATGGCATTGCTGGACACCATCACTTGCATGACACCATGCATGCATTGGGCCTCAAAATCACTTGGTCTTTGAGTGAATCAGTAGTGCCTTCCAGCAGACAAGCTAGGTGCAGTCGAAAACATGTCATGGTGGACTCAAAGCAGCATGTCTGATTCACTGGATTAGTATTCCTTGATTGACATTTGCTGTGGCCTGCTGACCCTGTTCAAACCTTCCCCGAGAACATTGCAAAGTCTAAAGGGCAGTGCAGAGACGGGTGTTCGGTCACTCAAATGCCTTAAAAAGCGCAATTGAGCTGGCATCATTTCAATGACGAGTAATCGTCACTCACCGGCAGCTCCCGGGAAGCCGCCAGCATGGCAACAGCTGCGGAGCCGACGCGCGAAATGACGGTGCCGTTGCTCAGGACCGCCGACGCGCCCAGAAACACCTTGCTGACCTCCTGCATTACACAGTCCACTTTTGAGAGCCATCACAAAGTAACATCGCACAAAAGACTGAGCACTCTCAAGGGCACTCGCTTCCTGTATGCATGCAGTAGCAACAGGGCAGGGGAATGCAGTTGGCGCAGTATGTATGATGCATGCTAGCAGCTGAGCCACATGGTCAAAGAGCGTTTAGCACCCAGTGCTTGCAGTCACCGCGATGCTGCTGCATATCTCCCAAACGTCATAAAGTCCTCTCATTCGGTTTTGGCACAGTGCTCACGGCTGTGGAGCAGGGACAAGGGCAGAAGGACAGCAAGCATGCAGCGTGGAATCTAAAGCCCCAAGCATGGGCCCAAAGGGAGATAAGACGCACGGAGATGAGGCAGGAGAGGGAGTTGAGGAGGATGTAGGTGGTGGGGATGCCGCGCTTGATCAGGCGCTTGAGCGGAGCCTGCCCCTCCAGCTGCGGCCGCGCGTCCGCCAGCACCACCCGGAACTGCTTCCCCGCCTGAATCAAAGCGCAAATACTTTTCGTTGGATGTTCTTCAGAACGTCACGCGATTCAACAAATATGGTCCTTTGCGCTGCCGATTATATACACGTTTTCCCTCACAAGAGCCCCTTCTGAATCAACTCTTCTGTTAGCGACATGCTTATGAGACACATTCTGTAGAAGGATGCTGCAAGCACTTGATCCATGTCTTCATGGCAAAATGCCCCGTTTGTTTCTGCTGCGCCACGCCTACTGGGAAGCGACCCTCACCATGGAACTGTGGTAAGAAGAGGACCATACACGATGCAAAACATGGAGCAGCATCAGGCGTTTTGTTAAGATGAGCGCCAAGAATAACGGTGATGGCTCCTGACAAGGGATGGTGTAAACCTTTCAACTTTCACTGGCATAAAGAGTTGAAAGAATGATGGCTCACCTGGTGTGCCTTGACGAGGATGTCAAAGACGATGGATGAGCTGGCGTAGGTGAGGATGACGTCACCATCCTCTATCTTGGCAATGGCGTTGCTCGCCAGCATGTCCCCAGCAAATACTATCTTCTCCTGCGCAGAAACTACCGCTCTTTCAATTGGAAGTATGCAAGAACAGTCAACCCCAGATCACACAGCAGTGAATTAGAGCGGTCTGCACGTAGGCACTTATGTCGATAATTTGAAGTCTCTAATCTTCATCTATCTGTGAACTAGTGTGTTGTTTCGAGCTCCCCAGCCCCTCTTTTGCAGCTCGATTAGCCGGAATCTTGGAATTTCGGCAGGCCAAACAATGACTGGAAATGACCCCCAAACACTGTGGGGTCACTTTCACATTTCCACTCCTCTAGATTGGAGGGACACCCCCACATGAAAGCAGACACTGGAGAACAGGTGGCAGCGCACAATGATTTGGAGTTGCTTATGCCCATTTTGAGTAATAGTGCTTCAACTCTTGCTCCTGGCTGTCCTGTTGAAGAACCCCATGGGCCCAAACCTTTGGCCATTGATGCCGCGATACAGGAATAGCCGCATGAGGTTTCTTCATCATAACGACCCGACATAGAGCCTTGTCCTGTGGTCCCACTGCCCACTCTTGTGGCACAAGCACCCCAACTGTCTCACAAAGCTGATCCCTGCTCCTAGGGTAAAGTACTTCCAAAAACGCAAATAAATATTTAAGCTCGCACCTGCACGTAGGTGTCTAGCTTCTCGATGAGGTGAGCCTTGGCCTCCTCCTGTGGCGCATGCGGCTCCACCTTGCTCACCTGCGCTCACATGGCAACAGCATATCAGCAGAAGATGCGATATATTGCCGGGCCGATGCGCGCAGCAATCTGTGCATGGCGAATACGAGAGGAAGGAGTGCAGTATCTACAGGATGCTACTCCGCCTTTCCTGCCTTAGCCCTCCACTTTTGGGCAGGCATCATGGCCCGCAGTGATCTGGAGAAAGTGTTGTTTCAATCTCTTTCTCGGCTTCTTCCTGCCAAGAGAGACGGTGCATATGCAGACAAGCAGCAGTCAAACCCAATCGCCGTATACGGGGTACCAGAGCAAGAAGTACCCCTGATACGTAGAGGTAAAGAGAGAGAGGCTGGGGCTTTGCCTGGAGCTTGAGGTACTTGATGGCGTTGCCCATGGAGACGGAGAGCGGGCGGCACTCCACCAGGAACTGGATGGCCGTGTTTAGCACATGCGTCAGGTCGCGCGACAACACCTTGCCCTCCGGAGTCGCGTAATCCTGCACACAGCGGAACTTCTCAAGCCGCACGTCAAAGGAACCTACAAATTCAAAGACCACACAACTGACGCATAACGTGCTGCCGCGCACGATGCTATGTGGCAAAAGTGACTGATAGGGCTAATTTGGGCATTAATCAGAAATTCTGTGTACAGTGCACACAGCAAGGGGATAAGGAAAGACACAAGACTGACACAGGAACACCGTCAATGCACCCGCAGCAGTGTGCGCAGCATGCAGCCATGCCACAGACACCGTCTCAGGAACCCCAATCCCCCTCCCCCACACACGAACGCCATAGCACCCTGAAGTATGAGCCCTAGTCCGTAGTAGGGATTCCGATCCCGTACTTTCACAACATTGAAGTGGAAACGGACAAATTGCGCAGCTTGGTGGGCAGCGTGGCGAGCAGCACCTCGCAACAGACCCATGTTCAACGAACCCTGACCTGCTTACTGGGTTCTGATGGGGTCCTGATGCTTCTAAGCAGTGGGGCCCTGCACCCTCAACCTAAGACCCACTGTTTTATAATCATTATTATTACACGCCTTTCCAATCCATGAGGATCAGGTGCGTCGCAGCAGCGTTTCTATGACAGCCTTTCAACCTTCTCTATCTTGGGCTTTCCTCCACCAGGTCAGAGATAAACCAAGAGAGACCCACTAGTTACCACTTAGAATCCCCAACAAACCACGTAAAAACTCAGCGCACCTGCAGCACGGTGCGCAGGGTGGCGAGCAGGGCGACGCAGCGCGCGTTCCCTCCCGTGATGCTGCCGTCCGCGTAGCTTAACCCCAGCCGCAGCACCGCCGGATGCACCCGCGCCGCAAACTCACTCTCCGCCATGACTCCCTCCACCGTCACCACCTGTGCGGCAGTTCTCAAAAATGTCGGATACAGTTGCCTCGGTTTGCAACACCTTGACCTCAAGAGCCTCTGCCCCGTGCCCGCGGTTGACTGGGTCATGCGTGATTCTGTTGGGTCCAACAAGGGGTAGACTTTTCAGCAGCCTTCAACTATGGGTTGTCTGCAGATGGACATTATTTCTTAGCAGGAAAAGTAATGTATTACTCAAATTACTATTGCCTTGGATGGCCACATGATAGCTTTGTGCACAAAGATGAAAAGAAGCACATCAAAGCTTCTTACTGCATGCTTGCATTGAACAGTGGACGCCCAGCCCGCACCCACAGAGTCTGGAGTTCGGCAAACATCCTGCTTTACAACTCAGAGCGGAGATGCCATGACTTGATATGTAAGCATTTTGCCATAATGCGTCTGCTCCCACCAAAGGGCGTCACTTGCCTTGTGCTGGGGGAGGTGAGCAAAGAGCGCAGTCGACTTGGATGACAACGCCGTCTGCTCTTTGCCCTTCCCTTTTCCGCCGCCGGCCCCGGCGGCCGTAGTCGGCTTCGGCTTTGCGGCGGCTTTCGCCTGAGGCTCCGGCGCCGGCCCCGGGGACTTGGCCCCGGCCGGCTTGGCCGCTGCGGGCTTGGCCGGCTTTGCCGGTTCTGCGCCGCCCTTCTTGCCGGATTCGGCCTCCTGCACAGACAAGAAAAGACATTTGGTGAGTCAACCGGTTGACAGGTATGCTGTCACGGGCAATTGATTGTTCCTTGATCCTTGAGGACGAACCTCTTGGAAGCTGCACCACTTGCAGAGCAATGGTGCAGGGCCAGTAAATTCTCTAGCCCTACAAGCTGGAGTCGATTTTGACACGTTGTGAAAGCTGCAAGATTTTCTTGACTCCATGTTTCTCACACATACAACACAGAACAATCACTGCATTGTTATGCAATGGTGCATCAAACGTAAACAGTGCAAGATGCCAGAGTGGTTGCAGCTAAGGAGCTTCACCTTCTTAGCCGCCTTGGCCGCCTTCTGTGCTTCCTGCACGGCGCGGCGCTCGGCTCTTGTGGTCGGCTTGTCCTGTTTCGGCGGCGGCGGCGGCTGAGCTGGCGGCTGAGCTGGCGGGGCGCCTGATTGCGCCGCGGCCGCCGCCGCAGCCGGGGTGGCCACCGCGGGCGGAGGGGTAGATGACGTAACTCCCGGGGTGGATGATGTGGTGGACCGGCTGGGTGCTGGCGACGGGGTGGATCCCCTCAATTGACCCTTGCTCTCTAATTTCACACATGCCACACCCGTCAATCACCAGGTTTGTCACTTCTGAAGGTTTCAAAATGATATTATGAATTGAGTGGTTGTCCCAGCAACCCATCCCGACCCCCATTGTCATCAGACGGCGACAATTTTTGTAGCGATGCGCTCATGTGGAAAGAACATTCTATTGCTTGCCTTCCTCCTCAGGTAAACGTGAGGTAAGCAGGAGCTGCAGAGGGACTTCGAAGCAGAGGCCAACCTGCTGTGGTGGATGGGGTCTCAGGCTGGGAGCTCGTTGTTGCTGCCGGGGAGACGGGTGGCGGCGGCCGCGGCGATGGCGGAGGCGTCTGCCGCGCCTGCGCGGCCTGCGGCGTTTCATGGCCCTTGGCAGACTCCGTGGAGCTGCGCCTGCACCAGATAACATTGTTTCGTCAGTGATTATTATATTTTACAGATATTGTTGTTGGTACCCGCTTTTCTTGCCCAAACAGAAAAGCTGCAGATAAAGCTGGCCACACACCCTAACCCCCTCATTATCACAGTCAAAGGATGCCTTTTGTGCCAACCGCACAGCAATGGAAGGACACACGACACGCCTGCTCTTGCAGCGGTGGGAGGCAAGACTCTGAATACGCACACGTGGGCCCCTGAAGCCCCCATTGTTTTTCTTAGCCTGAAAAATTCCCACCTGGACGTTGGTGCTGCAGGCGGCTTCTGCGCAGCAGCTGCGGCGGCTGCTATAGACTCTGCTGCGGTTGTGCGGTCCCATTGGTGAGAGCCCCGGCCGCTGGAAAGAGACATATTTCCTGTCACCTCTCCCATTGACATGGACCGCTTGCTTGCCAGTGACTGGGCGGACCCTGCATTACCAGAAAATGCAGATGCAGCCCTACTATGTTGAAACCGAAGTCCCGCACTGGGCAAGATTCTTTGTGTTTTGCAATGTTGACCTTTTGGGGCCTGTGTCTTAGGCATTTTTCTGCCCTCAGCAGGGAGCTTCTCTTGAATCAGACGCCCAGGGAAACGCATTGGCATATCCCAATCAAGATGTCGCCCCAGCGAATTACAGCGTCGCTCAGATAGTGAGGTTTCAGCTCCCTGCTCATATGCCTTTTAGATCAAAGCAGGACAGAATGACACTTCAGAACCTTTATGTTGCCTTCACTTGAAAAGGGGATGTCATCCACAATATGGGGCCTCCTGCTACCGTAAACGGCTTGGGCAACATGAAATGGGCATACTGCCCTTGGACGGAAACTGGGAGGCCAATTTCACAAGAATTGCAGCTGAAATTCAACAAGCCGAGGGACATATGACACCAGCTTGCTGATGTGCAGGCGCACACGTGACAAGTCCCTCCCAGCTTGCTTCCACAAAATACCACCAACCACAGGAGTCTTTCTGGAGAAACTAGCACCTGAGTGTGTTGTATGCATTGTAGCTACCCTGCTCTGTGTAAGATTGCATGGTTGTCGTCCCTGTAGGCAGTCCCCTCTATTACTCACCTGAGTCTGGGTGGATCGGGGATGTGATGGGCGTGGTGGGCGCAGAGGGCGTTCCCTTTGCAGCGCCAGCTGGCGCTGATGTCCTTGTCAGGTATGACTGCATGTGGCCTCGCGCGTCCGTCCCCGCTGTCCGCAGCAGCATGCCGCTCACATCCACCTGCAGCCCACACCATCTCTTTCTAACTTCAATTCAAAATTACATCTGAAATCTGCGTGCATTGCTTCATGGCAATGCAAGCCCATGAATTGCTTGGATGGGTAAATTCAAGCTGACCAATCTCAGGAGCAGGCATTCACCTACAGCCACATTAGGTTGCCTTCCTGTAGGGGCCGACCCACTGATGTGTAACAGAGGACAAGCTTTGAGTTGAGTCCTTGCCAAACAAGGTCAAGACACCTGAAAGAGTTGTTGAAGACTGCGATTCAAAAAAGAGCAGCCCTTTGCATACGCTGGTTGAGTGAGGGGGATGAGAGAGGAAAAACTAGAGTGGTCTGCACGTAGGCACTGGCTTGAACAGTTCCTAGTCTCTTATCCAAATGTATCTATGCAATTTGCTGTTCGAGCTCCCCAGCCTCTGTCTTTGCTGCCTATTTACATTTGGGCAGGCCATGAGGGATTTGTCCCCATTTTCTCATGGGCTCCTCTAGAGTGGGCGGGAAGTTTACCACTGCTCCGGGTTGGGGAGGTGGCAGGCTCTGCGTGGGAGTTAATCCGACGCGGCCGGGGTTCTGGACTGCCGTAGGGGACCTCTGGACGGGGGGCTTGCTGCCTGGGGAGAGGACCGCCTCCTGCGCAGCCAACAAGCTGTCCTAGGTATCATTGGTCTCCACCTTCCAGATTGATCAGATCTGCAGAGCAGCCTCGGGCAACAGATGTGAAGGCTTATTGCCATGTCCAGCTGATCTGGGAGAGGCCTACCAGGCCTGCACGGCCCCCGGCAGAGCACGCAGTCCAAATGTTTGTTCACAGAGCAGATGCGGGCACTCACATGTATTGGTGCGCTCCCTACTGCTGCTGCATGTGGCGAGAAGGGGTTGGCGCGTGCTGAGGCTGTTGCGTGCAGAGGTGATTCCGTCTGCACAGAGATCACAAAGCTCAAACCAATTGTGGGTGTGATATAGACATGGAAGCTGAACTTGTCTTCATCAGGATGACCTCACAGAATTTTCAACTCAAGGATGAGTCACAGATCTGAATAAAAATCCACAGACATGCACAAAGAAGCGCTTGTCAGACACACTGCCAAGCCACACATGCAGTACAGATGCCACACCAGGAATGTTGGCGGAATGATGACGGGGTTGGGCGATCCAGAAGTGTGATGCATAGAGTCGTTGATGTCTGCCAGCAGAGTGGGGTGTGGCGAAGGGGACGGCGCAACTCCTTCCACACGAAATCCCACCACCTTGACGATCGGTGGGGCATTCTTGTTGATGGAGTCCGATCGCCGCCTATCCATAATGCGGTTTACTACCTCACAACATTACTTCAGTATACAATTTTGACGGAGCACGGATCTATGATTCTTGGGGCATGGACAACAGGATCATCACTCAGGAATTCTTGGAAAAGGCGGATCTGGCTCTAAACAAACAGTAGGGAGGGGGTGCGATAGTGTGAGCTATGCAGGATGTTCGCAGAGGAATATATCGGGATAAAATGCAAAATTTTAAGCAATCTATGGACATGAAGCCGAAGATGCACCAGTGGGGCGGCGAGCCTTCATCCCGGCTTCCAGCAGCTTCTCTTAAGGTTATGAATTGCAATGTGAGCAGGTGGCTGCTCGAAATGTTATGTTGGTAAAGTATCACGGAGGAAAGGTCACCTTTCCTGTCGACAAAAAAATTGCAATTAGTCGCAGTAGTTCCCGATCCTTACTAAGATGTCTGGCAAAGTGAAAATTTTCCATGGCGACACAGGCGTCGAGCACTACATCACCGATCTCAAGGATGGCATAGAGGCCAGAAGAGTATTGAATCTGCTGGGTCCTGGATATCTGAAGTTTTCGGACGATGACGTCGTTGTGCCAGGGGACCGACTGGCGGCGGGCGATTACCGCTTCTTTCGTGACTCTACAGGTTTGAAGCCGATACTCCCGCTTGTGGTTACTGCTTTACATCATATCGACTTCACTGTTGTTGCTGGATCTGGTTTTCTCAAAAGTACAGGAATGCAAGAATGCAGGAATTCTGGAGAGGGGATGGTTGGCTGTCGCAGCCTTGGCCCCAGCAGAGCAGCATGATCCCTCGAGAGAGATCGTGTCGCAGCTGCTGCAGCCGCCACTGGTACAGCTGCCAGGGACTGACGAGCTTGAGAAGCTGCTATTCAGCCCCCCCTCTGTCAAGCTGCCAATACATGCCAGGGTGCTTTGCAAGATCCAGGACTCAACAGTGGCTGAGCACTTCCAGGCAGCTGCACCTGCAGACCTGTCCTCCTGCATCAGCTTTGCAATTGACCATCCTGAGATGCCTGCCGGCCCAATCCACGGCGTAGACAAGCCCTGCGTTGCCATGTCTGTTCATTTGAACTTCCTCGTGACAGTTTCGCACCTGGACGCACTGTCAGGGAAAACATTCCTCCTAGCCGAACATGCCCCGTTTGGTTCACGTGAAGGCAGCACGCGACCAGATGGGATGCTGTACGGCACAGATGGCGATAGAGAAGTCTCCGTGTGGGATGAATGGGACGACAGCCTTGGCAGGGACTCGATCAGAGGGGCGATCCACTTTCTAGCAAAAAAGCCAGTCTCTTGTATGTATGGGGATACCAAGTACATGCTGTGCTTTGCAGCGGCTGGAAACCAGTTCCAGTTTGCTGCCATTATTTACAGCCAGCCCGAGCCAGTCCCAGTGCCCATAGGACAAGTGCTGAACATGGGCAGGCCTGTGGATAGAGCAAAGCTTGTTGTTGCGGCAGTGAACTACTACCGTTTCCTGGTTGCTTTTGACCGCGCTCTGCCGCAGTGAATGCCTTGTGGCCGGCCAAGGAGCTTGCAGTTGCAGCTGCTCACTGTGAGGTTTGTGAGCAAAGCTGTGAATGCCCGCATCAAGGCGGACCTTAATCCCATCATGGTCTGATCAGTCCGGAAAGCAGACATGGGCTCTGGAAGCTGTGGATTAGGAGTATGTGTGTCTGGACGATGCGCATGCGAGTTTTAGAAGACACGGACTTGTGCAATGCAGATTCAATTGTACTTGTTTCTTTCAATGCTTGACTGCAAGGCAGGACGCCGTGTACAGCTGTAGGGCATAGACATCCAGAACTTATCCTATATATTAGGCATTGTATTGTACATGACGGGCATATACCACACCGCTGCTCTAGCATGCTCGGCCTATGTAAGCTGCCGTTCTTTGCCATTCCAATCCCCCGTCGGCAGTGTAAGCAGCATGCGCAGTCTATAACGGTATCTCTGATTTTTGTGCACACTTTTCAAATCACTCCTTCACGATACCACAAAACAGCAACCCCCCTGGAGCCTCACAACACTTACAGAGAGTTGGTGCCTCGAGGGCAATTCCCGAAACTTGCAACAGTCACATACGGTGCCTGGCTGCTGACATTTAACGTATCATTTTTAACTTTTTTTTCCCACAATTATCGCCCGGCTGTGAGGTGGAGAGCCTGAGAGAGGCGGCTCTCGATGCCATTCAGGGCAGGCAGCACGGATCTTCCGAGGCTGCCTGTCGCTTGCGCTGCCCTGTTGAGCTCTGCACACAGTGCTCTGACCTGCAGATCCAGTGCAGCGCTCTTTGCACTCTCCTGCATTGCCCATGACAAATTGCGTGATCAATTGAAACGGTCTCAAGTCCTGCAACCCTGGTGCAGTCCAGAGTCCGTCAGGATGCCTCGCATTGCTTGCCAGGTGTGCACGTAGTTAAACAGTAGCAAGCGCTTTGGAGCACTCCTGCATGCTTCCCGGGTAGATCAGCGCTACCTTCACATAGCTCCTAGGTGCCCACATCGGCATAACAATCTACTCAAGGGGCCACAATGCTCAATTGCTGCAGAACAATGTGTAACCTCAACGGAGCATTCAAGGATGTTCATCAGTACGCCTTCAGCTACACACCTGCATGAAGCGCTGCTCTAAGTCCAAGATGTGCGCCTGGATGTATTGACTGTCTGAGGCAGCTCGGTCCTCCGCCTCAGTACCATTCCTCTCCCCAGACGAAGCAGTCCCATTCTCGCCTGCTGCACCACCATCAATTGGGGTCAGTGCCTCCTTACTGTTTATTATTTACTCTTAAAAAGTCAACACATTTGCAGAGGCACGGCTCGCTGCTCTGAACATCATATCAAAGTCCAACTTTCTGCTCTTAGAAAGCCTGAGACGCAAGCAAAGTTGCTGCCAGCTGCCGAGATTACATGAAATAGGGGTCACACCAGGTGGATTAGGAGGGGACGCCTCAGGACGTGGCGGCTGCTCGCGGCGCCACAGCGCGCTCTCCTCAAGCAGGTCCTTCAGCCGCTCCAGCTGCGCGGCAGCTTCCTGCGCCTGCCGCTCCCACGCCGCGCCAGCTTCCCGCACCTCCTGCAGAGCCTGTTCAGGCAACCAAAAAAGTAACTGCTGCACACAAAAATGGAAACAAAGAAGACCCGCAGAGTCCCTTGCTGCCTAAAATCGCAGCATGAGCACTATGTTGAGTATCCAGGATATCGGCGGCAATGTGCTCGCCAATCAGAGACAGCCTCAACATACCAGCATCCAGCTGGGTGCATCATATTGCTCTCAATTCAAATCTACCATAGCGGCAAAACCGATGGCAAGCTTGCCAAGATTCGTGCTGTCCTGGCATGTGCCTGTGCAGCGCAGGCTGCCTATTTGCCGAGCCTGCCACCCAAATTTGTTCAAGCAGTAATACGACTACAATGTCTTGGCATGTGCCGCTGCACAAACAGCATAAAGAAAATCTGTTCCCTGTGCTATTGTACACTATCAGGGCTTTCCAGACCTGGGAAAGGGCGTTGTTCTCATTGCCCATTCGGTCAGCCTCCACAAACTGGATGTCCAGCTCTGCCAGTAGCTTGTCTCGACTCGCCTTCAACTGAGTCACCTGCGGAGATCGACAAGAACAGTTACCACCTTAACTCTCTGGAGGCAGCAAACACTATGAGAGGATTTTCTGCTTCAGTTCCCAAGAACATGCAAGAGAGATTAGCTGGCGCACAAAGAGTAGTTCAGAGCAAACGGAGAGTGCATTAAGAGGCAGGCACCTGGCGTTTGAGGGCAGTGATCTGTCTGGCCATGCTTTCTGGGTCTGTGGCTGTCTCCTGGGACAGCACTGACTTTGCCATAGATGCCGGCCCATTATAGGCTGATGCTGGACCTGGCAAGCTGGGGGGCGGAGGACCTGCACAGAGGAAGCGCTGTCCTCAATTCCAAAGTGTATTTTATTCCACCTGTGCTGTACCATGCTGCATGCATGCAGATGACGATGCTTAAAACAATCTCATTTCATATAGGAGTCATGCTGAGGTCAACATGAGGGAATGCGTCTTTCATGTGAGATGCGTGGTGCTCAATTTGCATTTGAGCTTATAATTATTAATTAATATCATATATAATCATATTAAGCTCAAGCATATGATGAGCTTGTAATATGATGAGCACGCACCTGCAGAGTGTGCCATTTGCAGCTGCTGCTCGAGCTGCTGCATGCGCTGCCTGGCAGCTGCCGCCTCCCTTTCAGCTCGCTCCCTTCCTCCCTTGGCCGATGATAGCGCTGCCACTAGTACAGCATTCCTGCTGCGCTCCAACTCCAGCTCTCTACTGGTGTCTGCGCCTGCAAAGATCACATCAAGCTGTTTTCATATCTAATAGCTGCAAAGCTCATTGGTATTTTACTGGCAGCATGCCATGACATGCACCAATGACATAGCAAACTGCGTTGGGCATGTTTGAGGCAGAAAAAGCAAGAACACCACCATGGTCTGCTTTGGAAGCTTAGGTAGGGTAAGAAAGCAATTTAAGCTCAGGAAGGACGTACCGTCTCCAGCAGGTGCAGCATCGCTGGCGTGAGAGATCTCAGCTCCATTTGCAGATAGGCGAGCCTGCAGTGCATCCACCTCGGCAATAGCGGCTGCTGTCTGCTCCTCAGCCCTCTGCTGGTCTTCCTCTGCCTCCTGAGCACGCTGCTGTGCTGCCTGTTACCCAGCCATGCATCTCAGACAATGCTTCAGTATGCCATTGTGAGCCATCATGCTGAGGGCTGTCAGGATGATGCAGGCCATGCACTAGGGACAAGCTTTCTCCCATAATGAGCTTCTCTATGGGTTGAAGCTGCACCAGGAGATTTGTTGCCAGCTCATCTCTCGCTCTCTGCAGCCTCTGCCGCTCAAGGGTGACTCTCTCCAGAGCCTCCTCGGCGGACCTTCTCGCTTCAGACTCTGCGCTTAATGCTGCTTGGAGCTGTTGCAGCTCACCTGCACAGCATAATATCCCGCCTGTCAGCAAGTTGTGAGGGTGACTTGGGTGACAAAGCCCATTATGGTCAGGACTTGATTAGTCTAGACATACATTCCAAATTGAGTGACGGGTGCTGTGACCTGATGAGTTGAGATCTTGCAGCTTCTGAGCCAGGTGGTCTCGATCCTCGGTGACCTGCACACACAAGCTGATGGAAGTGATGGGTTGTGTCCCTGGTTAGAACTCCTGCTTAGGGAATAATTTTCGGTCATATGTCTCTCAGCATAATTCAGCAGCATCACAATGCCAACTGCTAGCAACTAATTTGCAGGAAAGGCCGTCTTCACCTGGTTTAATTTTTGTTCAAGGCTCCCTACTGTGCGTCTTGCAGCGTACAGTTCTGCTCGCAGAGCGCTTGTTTCATTTTCAGAACCTGCCATAGAAATACCAAATCGGAACTTTCAGAATCTAAAAGAGTTCCTTACAGTGTGAGCTCGCCAAGACTAGTTCTAAATCGAGGAGTGCAAAGTCGAATACACACAAAGTAGTGTCCTCGATGTCATTGTAAGGCGCACATAATATTGCAATTTATTTACAAGAAGAAGCCTTGAGAAGACGCAACCGAAACTGATGGCACAATTCCCATATAGGAACACGTGAAAGAGAGACCTGCCAGAGCTCAGCTACCAATCAGATTCAGAAGTTTAGAACATCATCTGCTGGTCCCAATCAGCACAGCACGGTGACCCTATCACATTCTTATTTACACCTGTTCACTATCCTGTATTGCGAACACATCCATAGTGAGAGTCCTTCTCTGTGGAGGACCCATGCTCTGCATGGGTCAGGGGAACAAACCGCAATCACGCACTCAATAATTGAGAATGATGTGTTGCTGAATACAGCCATTTCTTCTTTGCAAAAGGGGGCCTGTCTCAACACTTCCGAGGTAGAATTTTAAACAGATCGGTACAGCTAGCCAAAGAGCGGTGGTGGCAAGGAGGAACCCGTGCGGCTAAAACTGGAAAATAAAGAGACAATGGAAGAGGATGCGGACTTCACGCAGATCACAATGTCTCAGCGTATGACTGACAAGCCCTCGAGTTCGCTTCAGCCCCACCACTACTATAGCGCTCCTTCTGGCAAAAGGAGGGCCGACTTTGGCAGTCAGCCACACGGAAAGGTGACTCGTACTTTGTAGAAACACACTTTGTATTTTCTGAGCCAATGATAGGGTACTGAACGGTTTCTTCCTGTCCAGCAAAAACGACCTTGAGTGCATGGATGTTCATTTTTTCACCAGGCAGTCTGACTCTTATTTGAATGTATGAACAGCTCTTCAACGATCCAGTCCACAACCACTTCAGGCTGGACCCAGTCTCCATGAAGATTGTAGACACACCTCAGTTCCAGCGGCTGGCAGACCTGAAGCAGCTAGGTTGCACCTACTATGTCTTCAGAGGCGCTTCACATGCCAGGCAATTCCCTTTTGCATGTATCCTACGCTCATCAGTAATTTGCCATCCTTCCTGGATGCACATGACTGACAGTGAGGATCTATGGCTTGCAAGGAAAAGGTGTGATGCATGTGTCGACATCTCGAAGGCCATCTCGAGGGACAACATGTCGACGTCTCATGCTTGGTAGAGATGCTTGAGTGAGAGCACCATCTGCTTGCATGCCAAAGTGAGGCATGGCATGGACAGCCTGATCCTGCTTTCAGGAGGAATGTAAGAGCAATGTAATTTTGATGTAATGCCGGATGGTTTGGTGCAGGCTTGAGCACTCATTGGGAGTGGGACACCTGGCGTACACCTTGGCAGACAGCATCTACAGGATGCAGAGAGATGAGCTGGACATCAGCAGGAGCGATGTGAAGTGCGCTGAGGTTGCAGGTGTCTGCTTCAACAAAGATACCTCCCACACACCAATGTTCCCTGTGACTGCATTACATTGTAAAAGGGGCAGAGGCGTGAGGAGCAAGCCTCTTTAAAGCTTTTTGGCAGATGCTGCAGCATAGGAGGCATGCATGTGAGGCATGCTTTTATGCTGTGCAATTTGGAAGCTGTGCAGGGGTATTATGGATGCTTGTTTGGTGCAGGGCTTGTGCATGATTTGGGCCATGGGCCATACAGCCATGTGTTTGACCGCGTCATGAAGCAGATGGGAAGGAACTGGTGCGCGCTGGCTGCATGTCATGAATAGCACATGTGCTTGCAGAGTGCAGGCACAAGCTAGACCTGGTATAAGCAGCTTCTTCACTGGGGTCTGGATTTCTTCCTCATAGTCACAACGCGAAGCTTTTACAGGGTCCTCCTTGACACTTACACTTGTAGATACTTTTGCAGGTTCGGAGCAAGATATTGAGTGAAGCAGCAGAACAATTTAGGGTCATGCAACTTGTGTATTAAAATTCGTGTATGCTGCCAGGATGCATCGACTGATGGTTTCCGTTGCCAGACAGAGAGTATCTAAATTGGAGACATTCAGCATTTTCTGAAAGTGCATTGTGTGCGCTGCCAGGGTGCATGAGCAGATGTCAGTGAACATTCTGGACGACATCCTGGCGGACAATGTGCATGACATCAGCGAAGCTGACCTCAGCGAGGATGAGATTAAGCATGTCAAGGCCATGATCACCTCTGAGAAGGGCGGCCTGCCTCCTCCACAGGGCAAGCGATGGCTGTATGAGGTGTGTCATGGAACTCCTATTTTACTTGTCTCTTTAAATGTCAGCAAGTCAGAACATGCAATATGCGTTGCATTGTCGCATGCATGCATGCATGCATGCATGGCCCATGTCCTGCTCGGTTGGAAGGCTTCTTGTTGTCACACAGACATTCAACATGCATAGGCAGTACTGCTGTTGACAGTTGTGGAGGTTTTTTAGCCAACTAAATATTGATACGAAGAAGTCACAAAAAAGTACCACATGCGATGAGTGTGACAGAGATTTAAAATGTGGCTGTACCAGATTGTGGCCAACAATCGCAATGGGCTGGATGTGGACAAGTATGATTACCTGCAGAGGGACGCCCTCTACTGCAATGTGCGCACCTCCGTCGACATCAATCGCATCATGACCCTGGCAAAGGTGAGAATCAACTTCTCTTCCCTTTTGCTATGGCTGGAAGGTGCATAAGAAGAAGCTGCAGGACTGTGCCTGGGCAGCATGACACACCCATCACTGTCCTGCCTCAGAGCATTTGTGGTCACGCGGATGTTGGAAGTAGGCTCGGCTTGGAGCATGGAATATGCCAGGACTGGGCTGTCAGGGCAATGGCATTTGCTGTCTGTAGGAGATCATGTTTCTTACTGGAGTCCAAAGAAATATATGTCTCTCTACACATGTACAGTGTCGATAACTGCAAAGTCTGGTCCTCTGGGAGCAGGTGTTGGACGATGAGATCTGCTACAAGTACACAGAGTTCCAGAACGTGTACGAGGTGTTTGCCACTCGCGCCAGGATGTTCCGCTCTGTCTACCTGCACAAGTGCGGCCGGATTCCTTTTCCTATTGCTATTGCTATTCCTGTCATGCCCTCTACCTTCGCCTCTTTAGCTGAGCAAAGCAGGACCGCAAGGTATTTGCTGCAGGAGGTTCCTTTGCAGCTCTTGCTTCTTGAATTAGGTAATGAAATTTTGGCAGGAGGACTTTCAGCAGGAAGGGATCATGCATGCAATGTCAGTATGGTCTACGTGGTAGGGCTGAATTTTATCTCTTGCCCTGTCAGGAAGGCGAGGGGAGTTGAGCACATGATTGTGGATGCTCTGCTGGCAGCAGAACCCACGCTGAGGCTTGCAGAGAGGACAGAGGACTCCAGGGAGTTTGTCCGCCTTGATGACACCATTATCAAGGTGGGTGCTCGATTGGATATCTTCAAGTGCACAATTATCACTTTATCTGTACAGTCTCTTTCCTTAGTGAAATTGGGGATTGATAAACCAGTGAAGCACCAAGGCGGATTGGAAGAGGTAGCTCTGCACTAGGGCTCTGGCTGTAGATGATCAGTGTTCCCATCAAGGTGTGACAGATTGGTCACTCTCTCTAAACTTTTACCAGCATTCCACAGTGGCGAAATGCAGCGTCAGAGACTGGATCAGCCCAAAATTACAGGTGATTGAGAACTGGGGAGTAGCGCGGCCGGGCTTTGGGGCATTGGCGATGGACGCTGACGAGGACGGCGAGTCATCCATTACTACCGCGCAGCACATCCTGCAGCGGCTGCGGCGTCGCGACCTGTACAAGTTTGTGGACGAGTTCATCGTGCCCCGAGAAGAGCTGGATGCTGACAGGTGAGGCTGCCACTATCTGTGTCTCTTTGAATGCCCAGCAGGAAATGCGAGATGAGTGAGTGACATTTTCAACCCCAAAAAATGTGCCAATCTTGACACCCTAGACGGGAGACAGCAGCACATATCCTTGAGACAAGCTGCTGGTCTCCAAGTGCCCACTATGTGGCAATTCCTGAGGATCTGAGAACGCCATTGCGATTGCTCTGACTGGGAAGTCAGGGCGATGACATGCCTCTCCCAGCTCCTCAAGGACGGCCTCAAAGCTCTTTATATACCTGACCATGTGTAATTGCGATTACACATGGGGACCTCCACCTGGTAGTAAAGACCCTGTGGACGGTAGTCTGCGCGGCTCTGGTAGTGGTAATTGAGGTGGGCTGGCCATGGCCTCACGTTGGCACATGCAGCAAGAGGTAGCAGTGTGCAGGCATGCAAGTGCTAGCTACTGGTGTATCTCATGCAGAGCCCTGATGCAGCACCAGAATCAACATCCTGTGATCTATGCAAAAACCAGCCAAGGTGCACTTTGACTGCTTGCAGAGCGGGCATTTATGGGCGGACATTCATCTACTGCATATTTACTGAGAGTGCTGCTGCATGCAGCTGGAAGGAGCCGAGCGCACAGGACATCGTGAGCCACAGCTCTGACAGCAGCATGAGGCTCAACCCAGATGACGTTATCATCGATGTCGCCAAGGTGTGAGTCCCTCCCTTCTGTATGCCACCCCCATATAATATGGTTTCAGCAAAATGTGACTATTGCTGCATGTGACCAGAGACAAAGATTGCATTGGTATTTAGTACTTGTAGTACTCAATACCTGTGATCATCTGCCATGTCACTCGTTGGCTACCCTATGCACATGCGCAGCACACACTGCTTTATCCTCAAGCTCCTAGAACACCAGATCAGAAATCTGCAAAGACATCATTGCCAGCAATCTTTTGATAGATTAGGTAATGGGGGGTTGCCAGGTGGACCTGACTAAGGGCAGCCAGAACCCGATGGACTCGGTATCCTTCTTCCACCACGCAGAATCGACCGAGAAGGTGTCTCTGCGAGCCAAGCAGATCAGCACCATGTTTCCGCTCTCCAACCTGGTGAGAATTCTCCCTACTTTTTTATTGTTTCTCCTGCTCTCTTTTCGTGCACAGCAGATCTAGGCCTGTCAACTTCTATGTGGGTGCCATTTTGGCCCTGCCAATGTGATGTGCAACTGTACAGGAAGACATGGCCATTTCGTTGGTCTCTCCTAAGCATGCTTCTTGCTAGGATGCAAGCCTCAGGCATGAATTGTGGTGGGGTTCTGATCAGACACCACACATGCTGCCAAATAGTAGGGCGCATCCAGAATATCCGCTCGATGCTGTGGCAGAATTTAGCTGATGGTGTAAGACTGTGGCCGCCAAATACTGATGGCAGTTTGACACCACATAATCAAGTAAAGTGAAGTGCAACATCATGTGCTGCGGAGGAGAGGAACGCCACAGGATGAAGTCCCTGCCCCTGCGTGACACAACACTGGCATGTGTGCATGCACCCAGTCATTAGTAACACGCAATTGATTGGGAAATGAATGATCAATATAATAGATGGCTCCGTTTCTGCACTGCAGGAGAAGCACTGCCGCATCTACTCCAAAGACAGCAGCCCAGCAGTGGTGGCAGCCACTCAGGAAGCCTTCAGATCTTGGCTGGAGCAGCGGTTTGGGGACAGAGTGCAGCTGTGCACGCCTGCTCGCAAGTGAGCTCCCTTGCTCATCCTGTCAGGAATTTTGTCAGTCTCGTTAGTACTTTATTACATGCAGTCGTGTGTACGGGCCAATGGTTCAATGGCATGCAAGGAAGGAGCATGCACAGCACATGCACAGAAATGCTTGCCACGTAGAAGCAGTGAATTGCAGAAAGTCAAATTTTGGCAGCTCCATCTCCATTTGTTGGCCCTCGCTCTGTCTTCATGTTTGCAGCCTTTCTTGGCTCGGATAGCTGCAACGCAGCAACTTGACTGCCTTGGAGGATTGCTCCTGCAAACCTTCAGAGAAGCTCAATATTTAAATTGCGAAGATAAACATTCACACGGAATCCTCAGGAATGTTTGGCTTAGAGCGCTTGTAGCGCTGTGCAAATTCAATAACAATTTTTATTCCAGCACTGCCTTGTGAGCGCAGGCCGCGAAATGAGCTGCCACCGATGGTGCGACTGGAGAACAACCCACGCAAGCGCTCGCTTGGTGACGCATTTGTACACGCACATAATAGATAGCAGCTGGCAGGGAGAACTGATTTCTGTAATTCTCCCTGGCAGCCGAACGTTGCACTAAGCTGAGATTTCAGTGGGGGCTCAAAACTACTGGAGGTTGTAGTGGGGACCCTGTTGCTACTGTGAAACAGTGTGGACTGCGAGTTTGTGCGCGCACTCAACAGATAGCAGCCGGCAGGGTGGATTGCAATTGGAGGTTTAAATCCTTTGGCAGCCGAACGTCGCATGGGGCTGAGATTTCACACGGTAATAGTAATGGAGACCTGAAGCTACATCAGAACAGTGTGGACGGCGTGGTATAGAGATAGCAGCCAGCGTGGGGCACTGGACACAGCTCCATCTGCTGTGTTTACATCCTCCTGCAGCCAGACAGCAGGGGATATCGGAGATAGTACCCCCTGCAGAAAATGCAGTAGGAATTGGAGTTCTTCTTAGCGATCAGGGGACAACAGAGCAGCTGAAATAGAGCAGCAGAATAGGAACTTTGAAGCCGCCCCAAGCCATTGGGGCTGCCTGGCGGCAACGAAGCTGATTGGTCCAAGTTTGTCATGGTTTGTGATGACAGTTTCCTTGTCAATATAATGGGGTACAGTCGACGTCGATGTGAAAGCAATCAGATGGAGCACACTGAGTGGAATAAGGACATAGATCAGATCCACGTGAATGCGCATGTTCGATATGGGTCATACTCATACTCATGAGCGTTGAACTTCGAATTACCAGTGCATGCATCATGATGCTGCATGCCAGTTATGCCCACCGGTGCTCATGGAACAAGCACCACCATTTTCATCAATCGAAAGAGGTTGGGATTGATCTTGTCCTTACATCTAATGATGGGAAATGATGGAGGGACTGTGAGGATCTTCTGGTCCCTGCTGTGAGAGACTGTCCTGAACATCTATTAACATACTTGTGCGCATGCCCACAAGCTTAAGCATGCATGGTGAAAGTGCCAGAACACAGTAGCGCTAGCGCACGTGCGCACGTGGTGCAGCATGCTAGCACCCACATGTGCACCGCTGTACGGTGCTGGGTTAATTGCACATGTTGTGTCACTAAATAAAGCAAAGCAAGCACCCAGACATCCTCATCCAAAGTCAAAGCCCAAGAAATTGCTTGCCATGGAGCTCATGGCCAACTCAAAATTTCTCGTGCAGGCACGTGCCCAGGCACATGCGCCTAGCATGCTCCTCACAGCACCGCGAGCCACTTTCCACCCTGGTCCGCAAAACGGACGTTGTGCCTCGCGCAGATCGCAAGACCGACCCTTGAAGATTAGAGCGTTCTTCTTCAAAAGGGCGTCCTTGCGATACAAGCAACAGCGCTGCAAAGAAGTCTTCCCAGCACTTCCCTGCCATCAGAGCTGCAGCGAGAGCAGGCGAGTTGCATTCTTGAAGTATTAGTCAGGATGCTGTCCTTGAAGATGCGCGTAGTCAGAATTAAAGTTGAGAGCCCGTTCTTGATGGACGGGGTCTGAAGCCTCGGCTGGCTGCGTTACAACTTTTGGGGAGTTTCATGGGCTGCACATTTCTTGCCCCAAAGATGGCATGTTATTGTGTCAGCACAGACATTTTTACAATGGGCTTTGATCTTTTCATCTTCGCCCGCCTGCAGGTCCATCTGGTGATCACGGAAGACTGATCCTTGACTGATAGAATGAACATTGCTGCACTTGTCTGCATCGAGGAGGGCCGGATCCCGCCGGACTGCTGTGGAACAACGGCATGTACTCACACAGTCGTCGATCACAGTGGTCATTTCGGTGCGTAGTGCATCGATGCTCAATAACTCTTCAATCCAGCATATCAGAAATTTCACTTCCTGGCTCACTATTTCTGAGGAGGGGAACTGGACACGTCTGATGCACGAATCCAATACAATTCTAGTGTGGGCCACGGCCTGCATCTTTTGCAAGTGATCATTTGGCGGTCTCAGCTAAATTGCCATTTCTGTTCTTCCTGCTTTACCCGTTGTGAGCATCTTGACCAATGCAGGTGTAGGATGTTCAGGTCATGTCAGCTTGAATGCAGCCTCTGGTGGCAACTGTGCAGGATATCTAGTGGATGGCCAGTTGTACTGCAGACCAGATGAGCATGGCCCGCTCATACCTCACTCGCTTGATCTGGACCAGCGCTGCTCTGTGGTCAAGCTGCCGGACCACGTGCACGGCCCCGACTGCGGCCATGAAGTTGTAGCGCATGGAGACCACTTTGACTTCCTGGTGAGGCCAATTCCCCTGGTTCTTACTTTTACTTTGCAGCAGGACTTTATCTCGCAGTGATCTATTGGGGACTGTTGTCCTTCCACCACAACATGACAATATAGGATTGGTTGTGGTACACACTTGAAAATGATCTTGCCAGCCAATGCAGTCTTGAAGCTAACTCAAAACACTCTACAACAGAGCATGATTTCATCAGGCGACAGGGGAGATGGTAGTCCAGTGGGTTCAAAGGAATGATCTCGGCCTTCGAGGAGTGGGAATTAGGCACTCGAAAGGGTGAATGGAATGGAAAAGCTGTGGCGTGCATGTGCGCGCAGGTGGGCGACGAGCTGCACCATGTGCCGTCAGGTGACCTGGATGGCTGCTGTCAGCGCCAGTGCATTGAGCACTACGCCAGCGGAACAGTGCTGCACCACGGCCGCCTCTCCGTCGTGCGCCACCGGTGCGCGGCCCCTTTCTGGCTCCTCTCTTCTTCCAGACCCCCTTGACTGATCCTTTGCTGGCTACCTATCAATGTCCTTCCAGGCCCAGGCTGTGCGTGCATGTTGGTAACCAGGAGGAATGTTGACCGCCTCTTATATAATTGTGCGTAAGTTTTTGCGCCAACAGGAAGGGTTCTTTTTGCCCACGCATCACAAGTGTGCCATGCTTGTGAGCTCACAGCCCTGGACCTGATTTTGATATTCTGCCATTCCCTGCAAGGGTGGCCGCTGTGCTTGTGTGTGCGTGCGTTCATGCTTATCTGGCAGCCTGATTCTTGCGCATGGCTGGTAAGTCGAGAGCCTGTTCTGGCCGCGCAACAAGAAGGGTCAAAATTTGGTGTACTGGTATATGGTCAATTTTGAAAATTCAAAAAATCTTAACAGCCTGTTCTGGCCGCACAGTAAGAAGGGCAGCCCAGAGAAGCCGTCCAGGGAGGATTATGCGCCTCTGGTGGAAGTGGCGATGCCACCGGAGACGGGTGATGAGTCAGCCGGTGACATAAGCGCCGCAGTCATCATTACTAAGATTTATGCCGGCGGCATCTGCTGCCCCAGCGAGGTCCCCCTGATAACCAACATCCTGCAGCCCATGCCGGGGGTCCTAGAGGTGAGAGTGTATTTTATACCCCTCTTTCCTTAAAATATGGACTGCATGTGTAATTGCTGTGGCAGACCAAATAAGCAGAAGAGTCTATGTGCCCTGTAATGCCAGCCTGGACAACGGTCCCATGGAGTCAGGAAAGCCAAATCTGAGGCTCACGCCGCCAGTCAGATGTAACAATCCGCAGGAGTTGGCCTTATAGAATAGGGTCTTATGGCTGATGGACGCCTGTTGTGCCATACTTGTCTAGAGCTGCTTCCCTACAAATCATGGGTGTGCAAGGTCGAAAATTCTCAGTCATTGTCCCAGGCGGACGTGGCGCAAGTCAGACGCTGACACTTTGCCACATGGGCACATGACTACACACCTCCTCAGAAGAAGAAAAGAAAAAAAACGAAGACAACAAATAAAATATGGAAAGATGAAAAAAAGGCTTACAGAACACAATTTGCTGTCCAGGTGGACGTGGCGGTGGTGACTCAGATGGTGACGGTGCGCCACACGGGCGCGCTGCTGCCGGCCGCAGCAGTTGCCGCTCTAAATCAGGCCCACCTCGATGCCTCTCTGCAGGCGCCACGGCAGCAGGGCAAGCTCGCTGCCAGCTGGCTCCCTCCCTGGCGAGGTGATATCCATTCTTTTATTTATATCTTTTCTAAAATTTCTCCAAAATTGGCAGTAAGCTGTTATGATGCAGGGAAATATTTATGTCTGGAAGTTGGAAGCGAAAGGGACTGGCGCCTTCCTTCACCTATTTATGTGATGATCTCAAGTATCGGTAGTGGGCATGCATGCTGGGGCTGTGTATGTAGATCATGTTGACGCCCAGAGCCTCTATTTCTGTGTATGCTGAGAGCTGCACTGGCTGCGACAGTGCACTCGTGCAACATATCAGGTACCACAGATTTCGGTCACCATCTTTGAATAAAATAAAGTTGTGTGATGCGCAGTGCTGGTGTCGGCGGGGCTGCTGGCGATATCCCTGTTCCATTACCTTCACCACCCCACGCACATCGAGGGATTTGACTATTTGAAATACGTCGCCCTGGGCGCCGTGGCTCTCGAAGGGCCCCTCGTCGGCCTCAAGGCTTTCGCCTCGCTGCGCAATAAGGTGCGCCGCAGCTCACCGCCGATCTGGTGTATTCTCCCCTTTCTCAAAATAATGCAGTCCTGACTCAGGTCGCTGCTAGTCGACACTCTGCAGCTTTTTGGGCGTACTGCGGAAGACCCCTTTGTCCCGCACCGCCGAGGGTGCGGGTTTTAGAATGACTACTACAGTATCTAAATTTGAACTTGAATTTTCCTGTGCAGGTGCTGGACATCAATGCGCTCATGTTTCTGGCAGTGGTGGGAGCGGTGGCGCTACAGGACTATGTGGAGGGAGCAGCCGTGCTCGTGCTTTTCGGGTTTGCGCAGTGGCTCGAAGCCCGCAGCAGCAGAGCCGCGCGCGACGCCATCTCCTCCGTTCTGGCTCTCAAGCCCGAGACGGCCATTTTGGCGGACACAGGTGCGTGCATGGCATGTCATGCATGCATAGCATAGCATAGCATGCACAGGTCATCTCCCACAAGTGGGGGGACCCAGCCACCCACTGTGCTGGTTGAGTGGCAAGTGTAGATGACTTGGTGCAAGCAGATGACTTCATTCTAGCAAGCCATCGCCCCTCTGTGCTTGCTCTCAAGCCCGAGGCCGCCATCTGGCAGACACATGTGCGCTAAGGAGATTCTGAGTTGGCTTCATCATGCTGCCGAAAACTGGCTCCCCGATATGCAAGCCACCCACTGTGCTGGCTCAGTAGTGTGCTGCCATTTTGGTAGAGTCTGGTGCGTCTCATGCTGAAAAGTGCTTCACCAATCAATGTGTACAGTAGAGGACACTGCTCCAATTGTTGGGTAAGATAGCGGATGACTCTGCAGCAAGCATTCGGTATAGTATGCACTCAAGCCGTCATTTCAAGGTTTTCCAAAGCACGCATGCCTTGCAGGCGGCTCTTGCAAGGATTTGCAGGTGTGTGCATAGCACAATTTGGATTCATGAGGTTGCCTATTGTCTCTTCCAGACTTTGTGAGAGACAGCAGAGCGTCTTTTGTGTCCGAATTGTGCCACTGAGCCCCCATACTGGGAGAAATTTGTTTGATATGAAAGGTTTTGAAGTGACCCAATACGCAAATTTCGTTCAGTATCTCTGCTCTAGGCGGGCCCTAACCCCACTTGCCTTGCTTCTTATAGAACAGCTGCGACCACTAGAAAACATGCAGGTGCTTGCCAGAATACCTGGTCCGCTGCAACCAAATAGGAGAGGTCCCAGGATGAGTCAATGAATCTTGCTAGTTATCGCCCTGGTCTTGTGCGTGTCGCCCTGCGTTTGATAGCAGTTTATGAAACATGCAGCATGTGCCGGCAGGTGCGGAGGTGCCGGTGGATGACGTGTTGGTGGGCGACTCGCTGCTGGTGAGGCCGGGAGACAAGGTGCCCCTGGACGGATTAGTCACCCAGGGCACTTCCCGCCTTGACCACAGCATGCTCACCGGCGAATCAGCGCCAGTCAAGCGCGGCCTCGGCGAAGAGGTGTGCATTGATGTGCTTAATCTTTATGAAAATTCCTTTGCGCTCATATTGAAGACATAAGATGGGTGGATGATGTGTCCCATGAGACCGCCATGCCATTGATTTGTACAATCTGTAATGGGCAACCCAAAATGTGGACCGTCCTGAGACATTTCACTATACACATTTTGCCAGAATTGCAGCCTGCGGTGTGCCTGCTTTTTGTCTGCACGCACAGCATTCTGCAAGACACTGGACATGCAAGCATGACCTACTTATTACTACTATTACACAAATTTCCTGCTAAAGGCAAGGTGCGTCTGCAGACAAGCTGCAGTCAAAGGCTGCCACAGATCCCACCCTTCATTGGACTCGCCAGATCCAAGCAAGACCCCATCAACCACAGGCACGTTGCTCAGTACTTACACCGCCTCCCGCCAGCCGAGCTTTATGATGCGAAGTGATTCTCTATGCAGGTGTTTGGGGGTACGGTGAATTGTGGTGACGGGGCGCTGACCGTGCAAGCGACTGCGGCGGCGGCCGACAGCACCGTGGCGCGCATGGCTCGGCTGGTGGAAGAGGTGCGGCCTGTTTTGGCAATTTTGCATTGTTTTGTCCTGACGCCTGTTTTGGCACATGAAATCGTCTGGCAATTCCTTCTATCGTGGTGCACTCTGCTTCTCCTGGCTGAGAGTATGCAGCTGCTTATGGCTCCTTAACAAATCTTCCATGTCCATCAATTTGCCATGTCCATGTCCATGTGAGGGACAACAACAATACGGCATGTCCTGTTGGAAGGGCACAAACTATTTGTCCTGCGCTTTCTTGCGTCTCAACTTACTGCTCCTGGGCCGGGGGATCATTGTGCTGTTGTAGCCTGACAACCACTTATGAGGCTGCCCTTTCTCTCATCTCTTGCGCTCGCTCTGCCCTGATGTCTGCCCTCTTCTTTCTTACAACTTTATGTGTGGGTTCTGAGCAGGCAACGTCGCGTCAATCCCCCATGGAGACTTTTGTGGTCCGCTTTGCCAAATGGTACACCCCCATCGTGGTTGCCGCCTGCCTCTGCCTCGCGCTCATTCCCCTGGCCGCGCGCGTCGACGACCCCAAGGTGTGCAGGGGTATCTTGAAATATATTACTCCCATATCTCACTGCATCATATGTCTTGGAAAAAATGTTACTTTAATGTTCTCACCAAAGCACTGGGCGCTCACAAGATCGCTGTGAAGTGACCTGATTAACGGTAATGAGATGGCACCAATCATTTGGTATCAACTGTCTTATTGCCTGCCATTGAGGGCATAAATCATGTCTCTCTCGAGTGCTGGTGTTTGTTGACCAGTCCCTGTGGTGTCATCCGGCTTAATCGTAAGAATACAGAGATTACCCAGTAAAAACCTGCCAATGAGGGTCACACACTGCTGTCTATTGAGAATTTGCCATGAGTACCCTAGAACGCTTTTCCTATTTTGTCCCCATAAGATTAGAATGACAGCTTCTCACTAACCTGGAAGTTGCAAACCTATGACTGACGAATCTTGGCTGCGCCTGCGCAGTGGTGGGTGTATCTGGCGCTGCAGATCCTCGTCACCGCGTGCCCCTGCGCGCTCGTATTATCCACCCCGGTCACCATGGTAGCCGCGCTGGCAGCTGCTGCGAAGCAGGGCGTGCTCATAAAGGGCGGCCAGGTGCTCGAAGCGCTGGCAGCCGCGAAAGTGGTCACCTTTGACAAGACCGGCACACTCACCGAGGGCCGCTGCAGGGTGAGGCTGTCAGCAGCTGATTGTGCTTATTTGTTTCCTTGTATTCTTCAGCTTTGCGGTTTGCATGTGAGTCTGTAGTTTTGTCAGTGAGTCTGTTGTCTTTTGTTCATTCTCCCTGCCCAAGGACCTGCTCATGGGAGGGGAGGAACCGAGGAGAAGAAATCCCTGCTTTCTCCAAGACATGCAGATTTTGAGAGCACGCTCTCTGTGGAGTAGGACGCCAATCTAAGTCTGAAGATGGCATAAGTTTAGCTCGTGAAAGTCTGACTTGGCGCGCAGGTGGTGATGACCAAGGCGCTGGGCGGCGCTGACGAGGCGCGCATGCTGTCGCTGGCCGGCAGCGCTGAGCGGACGTCCAGTCACCCGGTCGCCGCCGCCATTGTCGGCTGCGCCGCTGCGCGCGGCTCTGCCGTGGACCTGCCTGTAGCCGCCTGCACCTCGGTGCCAGGTAATTTTTGTCCACTAAGTGTGCGGGCTCTCGGCTAAACATCACTCCAAGTCGATATTTCTTCATGTTGGGGCTGAAATTTCTATCACATGCTGAGGGGTCCTCAAGCAATTGCCAAAGAAAAGGCACATGTCAAGTTGTCAAAGCCGGGGCTCCTGGTACCATGCTGGACGGAGAGGGATTTGTAATGACCGGCTTCTGCATCACGGAGTGCATGCTTTCACTTTTGGGCCAGCTGTACTGGTTGACGCGAAGTCCGGTCAGCATTCTGTTCACAGATCTCGTAAGCAGCTTGATGAGCAGTATGCTGGCCTGCCACAGGCCAGGGCATCGTGGCGGAGGTCGACGGCGTTCCTGTCGCCATCGGCAACGCACGCATGCTGGCCGAGCAAAGCATACACCACGACGGAGCCCTCGTGGCAGCCATCGAAGCCGATTGGAGTGCTCAGGGTGCGCCTGTTGTACTCCCCTTTGGTTACCAACACCCTCATTGGCGTGTGTATTACAGTGCCCTCACATGGCTCAACCGTCTGCATTTCTTGTCGTCAGCAGAAGACTACCTGGAAGTGTTGGGGCTGCTACATCTTCCCGAGTGGCGCTGAAATTTTGCCCACAAGGCCTTGCGTATCAGAGCTCAAAGCTCACGAACCGTTGGCCCTGTTCAACATGGGCTCTGAGCTTGAAGGCAGAGATTGTTCCTTCAACCTCGACTTCAGAGGTGAGTACAGAAGCTCAAAACGGGATGATGAAATTGTTGAATAGAGAGTTTTGTGCAGGCGCTACGGTGAGCTGGGTGGCGGCTGACGGTCTGCTGGTGGGAGTGTTCGCCGTCGCAGACGCGCCGCGGCCGGAGGCCGCCGAAGCCGTCAGAGCGCTGCGCAGTGCTAAGCTCACGGTGAAGTTGCCCTGTGATACCAGACACCAGTCCACACAGCCTGATGCATATGTATTGGGGTCCCTATGGTTTCAATTCAAGTCCTTCTCTGGCAGGATATTCGCTGATTCACATGTGCAAGCTGGGATGGCTGTATGGGGGTGTTGAGAGAATGGTTATCATAAGACTGGTTAATCTGACAGCTGCATGAGCACAGAATTGCTCATGCTAGGTGTGATTGATATGCTATTCTTTTTGTTGAGTACAACCCACCCATATTCACGCTCAAAATCACGCTGCGCGCAGGTCGCGATGCTGACCGGAGACAATGCCGGCGCTGCGCGCTCGGTGGCGGCCGCGGCGGGGCTCGACCCGGTGTCTGTGCACTCATCGCTGCTGCCAGAGGACAAGCTCCGCCAGGCGCGTGCTCACGGCCTGCCTACTCGATGTCTACAATTATTATAGTCCCACTTGTTCTACGAACAGCGCGGATATGAACCCGATTTCTGGGGACGCCTTCCTTGCCTTGGATTGTTTGTTGTAGATGCGAGGAGATCTGGTCCAGACCATCTGGAAGCTTGCATGAATGACATTGCAAGGAGATCTGTCAGCCTGGCTCTCTTCACATGCTGATGCCGATGTGCTTCACCCTGGGTCAATTCTGGAGGATGAATGTCACGAACATGAGCATGTGAGCAGAACTACTGGTTGGGCCGCATTGCAAACAGCTCCTGCTTCCCTGAGAGCCGATTGCAAGCCTTGTCAGAGCGCTGTCAGGGACTTACAGCCCTGGGGATGGGCTGTTCTCAGTTTCTAGGAAAACTTGTTGAGCCACCATTCTAGCTGCATCGGCAGGTTCATACTTGGGAAAATAATATAACTTAATAACTGGGGAATTTTCTAGTGCAGGTGGAGGCCTACCGCGCCAAGTTTGGCAAGGTGGTCCACGTGGGCGATGGCATCAACGATGCGCCGGCGCTCGCGGCCGCTGATGTCGGCGTCGCAATGGGCGCAAACGGTAGCATTGCTCCCTCGCATTGTTGGTATTTTTAATATGGTTAGCTTGTTCCAGCCTACAAGGCTACGTGCGCTGCAGCAAATCTCAACATTTCCCCTCCAGCCTTCCCTGTCTGGCATCTTCCTCTTGAATTTACTGTCAATGCCATGGATTCCAGGGCAGTCCTGATCCAACTGTTCCAGGATTTGACAGGCCTTTTCTGCCTCTTACTTTCACCCCTCACTATAATGCTCCGGCCCCCAGCAATTGCTGAAAACTTGCTCATTGCGGCCTCATTTTCAGGCCATCGCTGCGCAATTGTCAGACATGCGGGTGTTTTCGGGTGTACCCCTGAAGTTGCATGTGCACTGCAGTGATCCCTGTAATGTTTGAGCCAGACCAGAATGTGCTCGGAAGCCCCTTTCGGCACCAAATGTTGCTTATCCAGCTCTGCTGTTTTCTATGTGGTGGCAAATAGAAGAGCTCTTATTAGCCACTGTGGCGCTTGCAGGGGCTGCGATAGCGGTGGAAGCATCTGACGTGGCGCTGTTCACCAGTGATCTGCGCTGCCTCGCGCCTGTTATCTCCCTGGGCCGCCTGTCGCGCCGCAAGATCATCGAAAACATCTCCCTCTCAGTCGTCACCAAGGTGTGCGCTTGTGACTGCCTCTGATTGGGTTTTACATTAAAGTTCATCCACTTTTTGTCTTACAGAATTATCGACCCTTCATCGACCCTAAACCCTACATCCACCACACCACCCCCTATGAAAAAACAATACTATAAAGTTCCCTGAACCCTAAATTTTAAACCCTAAATCCATATTCCCTAAACCCTAAGCTAAAGTGGGTGAAGAAGAACGTCAAGGCTTTGATCTCTCATGCCACACAATGCCGTCCGTCAGAAATTGAAAAACTCGAACCACACGGAGCAAGGAAGAAACTTTCAGCCTGCTTAATTCAATTCAATTGGCAGAGTATCGGGTTTGTAAACCAAATGTTATCTGGTCGTTTTGGATGATCTATCAGGGCCCTGCGCTGCCACTGCTTTGTTGGGCCATGCGATGCATGCTGTTCAGACTTGGCACCTTGTTCTATCTTGCTGGGCAGTCTGCTTAGTACAGGCATTTCCTTGCTTTTGTGAACCCAGTAGTGCCTCTCACACCCAAAAATCATTACAAATTCTCTGTTCTCAATCGTCAGCAAGGCGGACCCCTGAGAGATCGACCCAGTCCCCCGCTGCTTCAATCAAGCAGGCCGTCAAGAATCTGCTTCTGGATTTTCTAAGCAGGGCGGTCTGGCAATTTAGGTACTTGTCATATTGTACAGTGGTTGATGGCTTCCTCATGTGCAATTGCTCTGTAGCAGCACTCTATTACATGAGGGCGCCTGATCCGCGAAGACCGCCCTACTCAGACAGGCGATCTAGCATACCATCAATTTTCATGCTGCACTCTTTCTTATGCAAGCAAAATGTTTCATGTCCTGTTGGCCGGCATTTCCTGGAGATGCCTGCATGACTGGCCAACAGAGCTGATGACTTTACTCCTGCCTTTTCTTCTTTATTGACTCTCCTCGATTGCATAGTTGCTCGCAATTCCGTTAGGAGACCTGACAAACCGAGTGCCTTGTCTCAGGTGGCGGTCCTTGTCCTGGCGGCTCTGGGAAAGTTCTCCCTCTGGGCGGCGGTGGCGGTCGACGTGGGCACGGCCCTCTTAGTCATCGCCAACGGGATGACGCTGCTGCGCTGGCAAGGGGCGCGCGAAGCATGCGGCACCAAATCTGGCTGCAGGAGGACTGCACTCAATAATCCTGGCGGCGGCTGCTGTTCAGACTCTGGCTGCGGCAGTCAAGGTGAGAAGGACTTACAAATGGGCTGCTTGGAATTTGTCAGCAGTGCACATATTTGATTGCTGTGACAGCTCAGATAGGTGAGTGTAAGGAAGTTGCCCTAGGTGGTCTGGGACCGCAATGTGTAGTGGTTTCAGTGACAGAGAAGACAGAAGCCACTACACAGTACGTACAAAACCAGTCAGCCGCCTGAGTGCTGCAAATAGTTAAACTCTGGCTGCTGCGCAGGCGCCACATCAGCCGCTGCCAGGTCTGGCTGCGGTTCCAAATCTGGCGGCTGCTGCGCCGCCAAAGCAGGCACGGCCGCCGTCGGCGCCAAATCTGGATGCGGTGCAAGCGCCAAGACAGGCAAAAGCTGCTGCTCTTCGGCTGCCACTCCTTGCTGCAGCAAGAAGGTCCAAGTGACGAACAGCTGCTGCTCTCCAGCCTCCACTTCCGGCGCCGCGTCAGCCGCTGCCGCCAAATCTGACGGCTGCTGCGGCGCTGCCAAACCCAGCTGCAGTGCAGGTGCCAAATCAGGCAGCAGCTGCTGCTCGTCAGACGCAAAGTCTGGCTGCAGCAAGGGCAGCAGGTCAGATGCGTCCGCTAGCGACTGCTGCTCCCCGGCCGCCAAGTACGGCAGCCAATCTCCCGCAGCCGCCACCACTGCTGCCGGAGGCAGCACTCCCAAGCGTGCAGGCGAGCACAGCTGCAGCAGCTCAGTGCCACCTAGCACATGCTGCAGCGGAAACCGCCAGGAGCCCAGCAATCACAGCCACAAACACGGTGATGTCCACCAAGGTGGTACGGCTCACACAGGGAAGCTGGACAGCAAGCCGTCTTGCTGTGCACCGAAGCCAAAGACCGGCGGCTGTTGCGGCAGCGTCTCGGCCGGCAGCGCGGCGCCGAAAGCCGGCTGCTGCGGCGCGGCTGCGCGCGGCAGCGGGGCACATGACCGCGGCCTGGCGGCACCTGCTGCCGCAAGCGCAACCGCTGCGGCAAGTGCTGCAGGCTGCTGCTTTGAGCATGGACAGATGCAAGCGCATGAACGCAGCGGCGCGGCTCCTGTTGCGGCAGCCGCCGCGAGCGGCGCCGGGTGCTGCTCCGGGCATGTGGAGGCGCATGCGCGCGGCGTGCCGGCATGTGCCGGCAGCCCGTCGCGGTCCGGCAGCAGTCCGGCGCTGGTGGGTGCCGCCGTGGATGCCTGCTGCGAGGCTCTGGGCGCGCAGAAGCTCGGGCCGCTGTGCAAGTCTCCCGGAAAGCACTGCATGCTGTGACGATTTTGATTGTTTTGAAGAGAGCTGGAAGAGCACTGCCTGCCGTGATGATTTTGATGTTCCTTAAGGAGAAGCTTGTGTTGAGGAAGCACTGCTTGCTGTGCCTGATCTGAACTTGTTCAGGGCTTGCTGTGCATTACCTTGGGACTGCCCTGCACGCGCAAACTTTTGATGACATTGGAACATTTTTTATTGTGGTCCTGCAGAGGTCCAGCAAGCTTCAGGTGTCCTGTGCCTGGCACCCAAGAAGTGTTATTAGCTTTGACATTGCAAATTTTGTATAATGTTTCATTGCTAACTTTGAGGTTTCCTGGCCTTCGATCAATTAAGGACAATTCCTGAACGCTCGACGTTTCCTGCCAATTTCTGGGTAATTGCAGCTAGCTTCATCGAACTGATCTACTTGCTTCCAAAGAGCGAGCGCCTGGATTTGTAGATTAGCATTGAGCGGGCATGCACATCATTGTAAAATATGCAATGTCATCAAATATATTATGGTAAATCTACAGAGCACCCCAGAACATGCACTTCTTGTACAAATTATTATTATTATTATTATTACACGTTTGTACGTTTGTACAAATTGCAACGTAATTAATTGCTATGCCACTCTCATCCTCACCATCATTCTGCAAGTGCAGAGTCATTGTTCAAGTCAATCAGTGTCAAGCGGCATGCTTTCAGGCTCACTTTCAGCCGTCATTGAGATAAACACAGAATTCTTCACGCAGACAGTACTCCTACATACTCTGGACTGACTATCATGCTTGACACAGTGCTGATAAGATCAGAGCAACTGAGCGCGGATATGGCACTTGCATGTGCATGCTACACAATGCAGTACATGCCCCTTTCCCTTGCAAAGCTGGCCTTCATGACTAACCCTGCAAGGCAGGCAATCACCCCTAGCCTGCAATCTTGAACAAAAGATATAGCTCCTTATTTCAACGACGCCTTATTTTGTCCCATGTGCATCTTGGTTGCATTCAATATTCCCTAACATTCAAATGCCAACACCCAGTATCTCAAGAGACTCATCACCAGACCCAAAGCAAGCAGCAACGTCAGCTGCAATTACTGGTCACAACAAGTGGCCCTTCCACTCTCATGTGCAGTGAATTACAGTTCAATTATTACTGGCTGTACCCAGGGGGAGCAAATTAGAAGAAGTCCTTCTAGATTACTCCCCTGATAAAGCGTGGAAAGCAGCTATTTTCAACACAAAACATGCCCTTTCAGGGCCCTGCCCGCGGGTAGGCTGCAGGCTCAGAGTTGGAGTATGCTGAGTGCTGAGGTGCGGAGATCTTTGTGCATTCTTCATCGACCGCCCCGATCGCCAGAATCAGCATGACGTTGAAGATGGACACCAGTGTGAAACCTGCGCCAACACAGATCTAACTTGCTCACAACCCAGATCTGCTTCCAGCAAACATGCATGATTGCGACCCCTGATCACATGCATGCAGAAACACAGAAGGCTCTTTCTGCAGTATGCTTTAGAGCGTCAATGGAGCATTTTGGATGGTGCAACACAGGCTCAATGCATGCACCAAGCATCACAGTGGCTGCAGTGCAAGGGATCCACAAGAGCAGAGGAAATGAATTCATTTCCTCTGCTCCTGGCTAGCTAAAGCTCCTGCAATATTCTGTCGGTGGAATTGTAAAAATGTATTAGAGCTGGAGTGACCTTGATGGTATTGGGCATACATGTAGCTCTTGGAGGAAGTGCAACAACCGAGAACACTGAAAACCACTGATCTAGGCGTTGCTTGACGTGCCTAGTCCACAATGACTCAAAAACCTTTAAGTAATATTTATTGCACGCTGTTCCTGCCAGAAGGCAAGGTGCGCCTGCAGACAAACCGCATGTAGAGGCTGGCACACATTCTACCCCTTCATGGACTCGCTAGATCAAAGCGAGGCCCAACTTACCGTGGGCACGGTGCTCAGTATTTAGTGAGCCCCTCGCCAACGCCTGATCATAAGTACAGTAATAATAGCTGCTGAGGGTGCATTCTAGGGCTCACCTGTGATGGTGGTGTTGATGCGGTCTGGGAAGCTGCTGTAGTAAGGGTCTGTCTCCTTCAGCGATAAATATCCATCCGCCTGCTTCATAACCACTGCAGTGTTTGCTGCCAGCAGCGCCAGAACTGCACTCTTCCACGATTTTGCTCCCAACGCCTGCATGTAGAAGATTGCAACCATATCAGGAAATGACCCTCATCCAAATTACCGATGATATGGTGCTTGCAGGATGAATTTGCACCATTTCAGCTGCACTTCAGTGGACATGCACATGTGCTGCTTAGCAAGCTCCAAGCCAGCAACTGCGCAGATCATTTTGCTCTGCTGAGCCCTGTTTCACTGCATCACTGCAGCACTCGCAGCAAAGCTCCATTCCTTTGACACTTGCCAGGCAAGTACAAAGAGCGCAAAACGCAGATGGCATATTTGTGACGCCGGTGCGTCGCGCAACTCATACGCAAACAAGGCCGCTTTGCCCGGGCTTACACAGCAAGTCCAAGTATGATTCGATCAGAGAGAGTTTGCAACAAGTGAAGTTGGCCTAGTGAGACGTGTGGGCGCACCCCGACAGGTACGCTGGCGAGCAGAATGATGAACTGGAAGCAGACAGACCACCACGAAAGCCCAAAGTAGTACAGGCACGCCTCCGGACAGACGCCATACAATGCCCCTGCATGCAAGCACATGCCATTGTGATTATCAGCATTTTATCCCTGTACCACTCAAGGGGATCACCTGTGCTTGCACGAGGAAACCCCTGATAGGAAAACATTAGCGATGCACTATGAGTCATGGGGATGAACGCCAACTTGTTTCCTATGCCAACAGCGATGCATGGAACCCTTGCAATTCACTTAAGTCAAAAGAAGCCTGGAAGGTAGCAAGGGGAGAACAGGGGTTGCTACTGAACTTACCGGTGCCGGCCAGTAGGAGCACCCAGCTTAGGCAGGAACCCACGAATGCCACTCCATATGCGATAAGTGCCAGGTTTCCCATAGCGGCAACCTGCGCAAGCCACTGGGATTCAGCATCTGAAACGTTGAGGCGCACGCCAGGTGTCTCTTGTATCGTGATGAATCGAAATTTAGCAAATTGTGCTGAGAACGCTGATATTTTCAACGTCAGCACTTTTGAGCGCAGGTGACTGAGAGCCTCGCAGGCCCCGATTCGAAAGCACGCAAAGGCCAGATCAAATCTTGCTTCACCAAAGAAAGTGATTGAAAGCATAGCAAAGCCATAACGTGCACGCTGGGTTCCTTACCTCTTGCCAAAAAGGTTTACTGCGATGGTAGAGTTGGGTAGAGTCCTTGCACGTCCCTTTACAGACACCTGCTAAAACGGCACACGTGAACACTTCAATATTGTAATCATGTAGACAAAACGAATGATGCGGCATTGCAAGACAGTGTTACAGTGCCATCGGTGTCCTGATGGTTCACATCGTGGCCAGTAACGGCGGCCTTTCAAAGAGCGCCGAGCCCGATCGAGTAATTAATTGATCCATTGCATCCTCACCTGTTGCGATGTGCTCACGTCAAAACCGGGACTTTGTCGGATTACGTGGGCCTTGACAGAACGTCTCCTCGACGGAGCCTAACCCTGGCTAGCTACGCGTCGTCGGCGAAGGTGTGTGACAACCGAATCGGAGCACCACCAAAACGGAAAGCGTTAATCAAGCGATTGATAATTTGGTGGGTCGTGCTCCGTATCGAGGCAGGTTCTTATGAGTAGCCTACTCTGGGGAACTTCAATTCATCACTGTCGTCATCCTTCGGTTGGTCATTTTGAGCCCCGGAGGGTTTTGATATCGTCAGGGGTGAAACCCCTTTCTGATGGCAGCTGCCGTTCATTTCATGGCTTAAATGCAAGACCAACAGCTCGTCCCAGTTGACCTGGCATTGCACGATTACACTATATCCCAATCGGGGCATGTTCATTGCACTCTTGCAGCGCAGAATCTTAACTTGCCTCACTGAGGGCATATCCATGTCATAATGACTACAGCCTTTACTTGCTGACTCGATTGACTCAATCCCCATGAGTGACCCAATCGGATTGGGAATCTACTTGGAGCACTTCTTGGCAAGGGGTGGAGTTCCTAGAAGAGATAGGATTTCATTGACTGACCCCCGCTTCTCTTTTGCTCCCTTAAATTTACACAAGCCTGTCAGCCTGAACTTCGCTTGCTAGCCTTTTGACAAGGCAGAGCCTAGACTGTCCAAAGGAGCTCCGAGCTTGTTCGAGTCATTTGGATCCACGCAAGCTCGAGCTCGTGCACGGGGATGACAGCCTTAAGCCTGGCACTTCACTGACTCAAGCAGAAACCTTTGATAGTCTTTGATCATGCCATGAGGTGATCTCCCGAGCACCACTGCGGACTTTGTCACAGCTGTGGTAAAATTGACCGACTGCTTTAGACTAAGTTTAAACTGCCATTCAGACTCTTTCAGTCAGTGTCCAGGCTGACAGCGGTGCCTATAGAGGCCATGGAGGACACAGCTGTCAAGTTTGAATTTGTTTTCCGGAGCCCATTGCTGTGCTGTTGCTGCTGCTGCTGCTCCTTGCTCCAGCTGCCGTTTGCGAAAATACTGGTCATCGGAAATGTGTCTTGAAACTCGTCCTTTTCCTGTGCTTCCTACGTCCCAGCAGTCAAATTTTTGTCAGACAGCAAAAGTAATTGTACCTGCAACAAAAGACGCAATTTTGCCGACAGATGGATGTGATTGGATATGATGAGTTCATTATGTCAACTTCGCAGGAGCATAAGTGCAGATCTATACTCTATGTCTCAAGTGGGTCTGGTCACAGTTTGCTGCACATGCGCAACCTATGGTGCAAGTCCTCTGCAAACAATTTTTGATTCATTCTGATTACTAATTACTAAAAAAAGACTGTAGTACATGCCATGCACTGTTGCATCCCGATTGCAGATGCACCTTGCCCTCTTCGCAGGAAAATGGTCTATTTTCCGAAGAGCCACTATATTACAGGAAAAACAGGGGCACACTGAGTAGCATTGAGGAGGCGAGAACTACGGTACTGCACCCCTCACCTGCTGCTCGTAGGCCATGCTGCGCAGCGATGGCCGCGCTGAGCTGGACGCCACATCGTCGATGCTGAGGTCAGCAAAGCTCTGGGGGAACCCCCCGGCGGTGGGGGGCGATGGGGGCCCCCCGGGGGAGAGCCTGAATAGGCTGCTGTCATCTGTGGATGACAGCTCGCTCTTGCGCCCGTTTGCCACCGGCGCCCGATGGGACGATGGGCTCACTTCTGCGCCAAGCCACTGTGAGCCTGACCCTGGCAAAGCAACAACGCCGAGAGCTTCAGCTGAGATCACAGCTCAGACAGATTTAGAATCTTGTGGAAATGCAGGGCGTCAATCTGCTGGCGACATCAGCAGGATGCAGACTCTTGTTTCTTGGACGGTGCGCCTGGGTATCGCCTGAATCAGCCCTATGCTGCTCATGGAAAGCAAGGGAGGATAGGGGGCCAGCGGCCATATGCTTGTGTACCTCCAGCGACATCCCTCTGAAACGAGGTTTGATGAGCTGCAGCATTGTCTCAGAAGCGGTCTGAAGGGGTTTTGAGGAACTTGAAGCGTACACCAACTTTTTCGAGCGTGTACAACATGGCTGCCGCCTTCTCTGGCCTGGAACTCACCTACTGATTGACGAATTGTCAATCAAACAAAAAGAAAGTTCACTGTTTTCGGCACGCGCGCCTGCAGCGGCGCCCTGTTCCGCACCGGAGTGCAGGCAGTCTCTGCGAAGGCTTTCGCACAGTTTCCCTCTGACCGGCTTGGCTCCATCAGCCTTCAGCCTAGCTAGTCTAAAGAGGAGAAGAAGAAAAGAGAGAAAAACAATCGCATGCACCATTGCCGCTGCCGCCCTGTTCTGCGGCAGAGTGCAAACAGTCTCTGAAGGAGCGGTCGCTCTGTCTCGATCTCTGCATCTCACCATCTGCAACTGGATTTTCCAAGACCGTGTCACAGAGGTTCAGAGAGATAAAAAATATGTCACCTGTGCCGGCGCCCTGTTCTGCGGCGGAGTGCAGCCAGTCTCTGAAGAAGCTGTCAGCGGCTTCGGCGCTGTGCGGCGAGGCGGGCACTTCAACGTCCACCGACTCCGAGTAGAGGCCGAAGTTTGACGCGTCCCCGTCGCGTAAGACCTCCGGCACTATCGGCGCCGGCAGCTCGCCTGCGGCAGTCCACAATCATGCGCTCCATTCTAGCAGAGCAAGAAGCTACAAGGGCCGTAGTCCAGCCATTGCAGCGATTGCTGCTTGCGCAGCTTCTGTGAAAGCTTCTCTGATACAGCTTTTCCAAAACGAAACCGGAGATCAGGAATGGAAGCTCCTTGGCCGTCACTGATGCTGACTGCGGCGGGGATGATCACACTGGAATGACTTATTTTCACTGTCCTTCCTTAGCCACATTGCTCCACCAAAGTGCGCTGTTTCAGCAACGTCTTGAATCAGCAATGCAACACTCATCTGGCACTTCAAGGAGAGATCCCAAAGGAATATAAAAGACTCACGTCTTAGCAGGGCGTCCCAATCGAGTCCCTGGAAGAAGGGGTGGTCTTTGATGTCCTGTGCTCCGCCCGACAGGCTGCCCAGCCGCGTGCCCGGGTCAGCCGCCAGCAACCGCCGTATCAGATCCTGAATTCAACTCATGGGCAAGGTTTAGGGTTTGCCGCACTTTATGTATTATGACACTCAGCTGAAGCCTGAACCCTGAATAATGACCGGGTCCGGCGCCAGCAGCCGCCTTACCAGATCCTGCCCGCCCGCAGCTGACTCAGCATGACTGCCTGACTTGTCACAGCAGTCTGGTATAGCACCTATGTTGTGACCAAAGTTAAGCCCAACCCTCTACCTGGCATTGGTTGTCTGTAGGCTTCAAGCCTGGTGCTCCATAAAAGCAGGTTCTTCTTAAACACTTCTTAAGCATGCTCAAAACCTGGGGCTTTGGAAGTCTGTTCACCCAAGTGAGCAAAGCGGCTATGACTGCAACACCATAGCCACAAAGCAGGAAGATTCCAAGAGCTGCGCACTTTTGCTGGCAAGGTGATGTGGGCAGGAAAGTTGAGCTGCCCCCCGATGATCTTGCGGTAGGTGTCCAGCGTGGCACCGCGGCTGCCCGGCTGCCCGGCGGCCTGTGACAAATCCCGGTACAATTAGTCATGCATGCCTCAGCATGACTAACGGTCACATGCGATCATGATGGACTGGCTGGTCAGGCTTTGCTCTGATGCTGGCCTGACAGTCTTAGCTTGCACCATACAAAATGTGCAGTCTATCTCAGCATGCGCCCAAACTTCTTTATCATGCTGTTGCACGGTCGTCTATGTCATCGTTCCATGGGGTAAGGTGCGCCTGCAGACTAGCTGCAGGAACGGGATGCCACATAATCTACCCCATCATGGACCCTCTACCTGAGCCGGACAAGGAATACTAGAGACTAACCCCTTAGACTTGATTCATTAGAACCTTATTTGCGATTTATTAGATACTGATAACAATGTCAATAAGATGATCTCACCTGTGCAGCCAAGAAGGGAGGGGCACCCGCCAGCATTTCATAGATTAGAACCCCCAGGCTCCAATAGTCCACCGCCCCGGTGTGGCCCAACATCTGAATCACCTCCGGCGCTATGTACTCCGGTGTGCCACACATTGTGTACGTCCTGCGCAAGATTTAAAAATGAGTTCAATTCACTAATAAGTCTTTTTTGAATTCAAAGTAAAAAATTCCCTCTTCTCGCTTCTCACTTACTTCCTCTGCCATGCTCTGGGCAGCCTCATAAGCCCAGCAGTGTCTGCCGGCATCACAACATTCCGTTTCTTGGCACGTGCATGCATTGGTTTTTTAAGAATTGTTCTGCGCAGTTTTTTGGCACTACAACTGCCCCTTGACTTGCGAGCCTGGCATGCTTTGAAAAGCTGCCTGCACCCCAAATTTGCATGGCAACGTTGCAAAAAAGTCCTGGCATCAGCAAGAGGATTTGAACCTGCCACCCGGAGGGTGGCCGGTGTTGCAGACAGGCGGATTCAAAGCGCGCACACCTGTCCTCCTCGAGGATCTTGGCGAACCCAAAGTCTGCCAACTTGATGTAGCCGGCAGCGTCCAGCAGAATATTCTCCGGCTTCAAGTCCCTGCGCGCATGCCCAGATACCAGTCAGCAACCTGCACCCTTCAAGAGCATTATCGCTACACACTTATTCCAGTGCTTAAGGACTCTGCACGTCAAGCAAAACCCCAATAATGCCTAGCAAAGCCCGAATACTGCTTTCCAGCCCTGCCATTTCTTGCACTTCCTCCATGAGCATTTGCCCTGAGGGGAATATGCTCCATTTCCGCATAGCTGTGTAGTGGGGCAAAAGAGCTCCTACAATTTTTGGTACATACTACGCAGGAAGAGGCTGCCGGCTTTACTATTTTACTGCTTCTTTGACTTGCCAAAGCAATTCATAATAGATCTAGTAAGACCAAGTCAACCGCGGGTAAGTGCTCTTCTGCCTGTTTGTTTTCCTGTCTGCTCAAATGATGGCGCTCTTTTCGCGCACAGCATTGTGCATGGGTGGCTGGTGCAGTGCAGTGAACTAGAGAATTCCCGCTGCATGCCATAAGCCTGTCTGCTCACCTGTACACGATGTGGCGTTCGTGCAGGTATTCGAGGGCCAGCAGCACGCTGGCCGCGTAAAACCGCGCGGCCGGGGCCGGCAGCCGTCGCCGTGGCGACTTCTGCAGGTGACTAAATAGCTCGCCCCCGGGGACATAGCCCATCAGCATGTAGACGCGTGTCGCGTCGCTGTACACCGCGTGCCTGCACATGCGCTCACATGCACACTTGTCATTCTGGCACATGCGCACACCATCCCGGCCCATGCGCACATGCCGCCGGCTTCAAACCTCCAAGCAAGACCTGCTTCTTGCTCTGAATCGTGGTGGGTGGCTGGGGCTACAGCTAGCTAATTGATGGTCAGCACATGACCCTGACTCTGCTTTCTGTGCTTTGACTTGTTTCACAGGCATGCGGTCTTTGCATGCTTGCTGGCACCTTAGAATACACTCATGAGAGCACGCCCCAAGGAGCGCAGGGCCACTGAGTGTGTTGCTAGTCACGTTCCAGAGAGGGAGTCATGCCAATGATTGCAGCAAAGCATTCTTGCCAGCTTCCCATTAAGGGCATGGTCAGCGGCATTGGCACGAAATGTACGCGTCTGAAGGGTCTTTCGTCATAATGGGGACAGGCAGGCTAACAGGGGTGCGCACAAATCGACGATGAAGGGGTGGTGAATTGCGGCCAGGATGTCCTTCTCGTTGGCGATGTGGCGTTGTTGGTTCAGCCGAACAACGTCCGCTTTCTTTAGTGCCTTGAGCGCCAGGAACTGCCCCGTAGACAGGCACCGCACCAGCCGCACCCGCCCAAATGACCCCGTACCTGCGCATGCCAGTAGACCTGAATATATATTGAATCATGTGCTCAAGCGTGCAACTTCTCAACACGCTACCAGCCACAAAGCCCTAGGAAGGGAAGAACAAATGGTTTTCCCTCAGTCTTCCTTTGTTGGATTTCCAAAGCTGCATCTCCGGTCTTCTTAATTCTTGTTTGAATTCAGGGAAAGGGCCCTTGCTCAGGGCTCTCTACTACAAGCTAGGACCTGCTGGGTGAATCTGAAGCAAAAATCCCTTGGAGTTGCAGGAGTTTTAGGTGTGCCCTTTGTAGATACATTTGTTCGGGTAACAGCTTTTAAGTAAGCACTGCGCCTGAAAGATCAACTGGAAATGGTTGGTACCTAGGGTGCGCAGCAGCTCGAGACCATCCAAGGACGGGTAGAGGACATTAAGGGGCTGCTTATGCAGCTGTCCCAGGATCCTTGGCTCCGATGTGGCCCTCTGGGCTGGTATTAGTTCGCTGAGATCTCCCGAGCTTGCCGACGACAGCGTCTGTGCCAGCCCCATCCTGGCGAAGCGCTGACGCGCCAACGTCGTCTTGAGGTCGGGGCTGCTACCCGATGACTCCTCGATCAATAGATCGTTGTTTCCCCGACGCAAAGCTGCCCTGATATTCCCCAGAGACTTGTTGCTGAACAGCTTGCGCTTGATGGGCTGGCCGTCCATCAGGTCTTCCATGTCGCCCTAAAGCGCTGACTTCTTATGATACGCAGCTTGGAAATTCTAATGAGAGACTTAGTCTTTTTTCGTGGGTTCACAGCAATCCTAAGTTCATAACTCTGAGACGTCGAGGGATCGTGTTGGTTCTCCCTCGCATGTAGAAGCTGCCAACGACAGCATGCTTAATTCTCTACTAAAGGCGAGTATTAAGTTTATTTTTGAAGAGATTAGGATGTAATCTGCAGAATTGCAGGCCTGCATCATCGGTGACGTCTGAAAGCGTCGATTCACCTTTTGAACAGGCGAAGGAAGGGCGCACGTGATTTGTTCAGGAACGAAGGAACCTCCCTAAAATCGTTACACAGCGTATTCTGGATCCAATGATTGGCAATTGCCCTGCTGTCCTTTAAAACGATCAAACGTACACAGCCGCATACATTTAGCCAGTAACAGATAGTCCAACCTTGGAGCGAGGAACAAACTCCAGCGCTTTGTCTCAAACAACTTCTCTCACTCAAAAGCTCTCTTTGCCTGTGGATTCAATCGGGTTCGACCAATATCCAGGCGGAATTGCAAACTCTCTAATAAAGGTGCTCCCACAGAAATGGTCTTCTCAAAAATGTCTCACCACAACAACGTGCATCAGCCCTGTACAGTCCAATTCTCAGGCAATGTAGCACCGCTTCATGAGCCGTTGGAGAGGATGGTGGGTACAGTCAGTGCCAGGAACACTCCAATGAGGCCTGCAGCAGAAAGTGCAAGAAAAAAAATCATTCCTGATATCACATTTACTAGTACACGATCTTCCTGCCAGAGGCACGGTGCAGACAAGCTGCATGTGACGCCTGCCAACATCCTGCCCCTTGATGGACTCGCCAGATCCAACCAAGACCCACTTAAACATGGGCACGGTGCTCTGTGTAAACACCGCCCTCCGCCAGCTGGAATCTAAGCAAGTATTCTGGAACTCAGCAAATGAGGTGCATAAACAGCATCATGCAAACTGTCACTGAGGCCTGCAACCCAGCCAACCACTTTCACACCCTGCCCATGTCGGCAAATGCTACAAGGAACCCACACAGCATCATGCATGCTGTCTTGGCAGGTTTCAGGTTAGTTCAGTGAGTTAAGAAAGTCCAAGCAATTAGTATATGAAAGGTTGCTCACCTCCCACATAGAGGAGGGGGTCCACATTCGCCCAGGGCTTGGTGCCAGCAGCACCTGTAGGTCACACCAGACTTGTTCTTCAATAACTGCGTTTCTTTGCGCAGATTCCACCGGCAAATGCAATCTGGGGGCTGGTCATGTCTGAAACCAAGTTCATACTCCAGCCAGCGCTCAGCAACATGCCAAATTGCTCCCTCCAATTGCATCAATGCAAATGCCATTGAGGGTTAGTTCAGAGCGCTCCAAATTCGAATGGCTCAGAAGAGAATGATGAAGCTATTTTCTCCTCAGCTGGTCTCTTGGGTTGATGCGCATTTTGCTGTGTCCCTCGTAAATGCTCACAGAATACAAATGCAGAAACTTGAAGAGCTTTATTTGCTCTTAGTATCAAAGGAGCTCACTTGGGATGTTCTTGCTGATTTTCTGGTAGGCGCCGCCTCCGCCAAAGCCGCCCTTGCGCGGAACATTGCGAGCATTGCTCATGTTCTTAGCGCGGCCGGGGGCGGTGTCAAACAGCTTCTGGTCCCAGGGCAGCAGCTTCTTTGCCTTTCGCACCTGCACCCACAACACGCTAGCTGTCATCGACAGCACCGTCCCAATAAGTTCTTAAATGGATGGACCGAAACATTGTCTGTACGGCGAGCTGCTTTCGTCTCGGTGAGGATTCAGGGTGAATGAAACAAGATGAAGCGAATGGGCAGCCCCAACTGTGCAACAGGCTTTGGTAAAGAAGGCATGAGGTGCTGATCATGTCGATCAGCAGCACGTACCTCGCTGTTCAGGCCCCGCTGGACATTCTTGGAGACCGACTTGGCCTCTGTGACGACGCTCTTACGTCCTGCGTTGATACATGGTGAGACTTCAATATATATATATATATATTGTAAGTGTGGACACAAGTGAACAGAGCTTCGGGTGGGGCGTGCCAGAGGGGGATCACGCCTCGGCCAATGCCTTGACTGAGATACTCTATACCCCTCAGATACAGAAGCACCCCTCACAACTATTTTGTTGAATGCCGCTGATAGCGTTGCTCTACATACTGTTCGGCACATTATTGCAGCTTCCCCTCTATGGCGAACGTCCGCAGCGCACTTGGAGGATCAATCCAAGGGGAAACAGCATCCCTTCGCGTCAAAGACATGCGCAAGATGAGCGAATAGAGAAAGAAAGCGCACGAGTATCAAAGAGCACCTGCGTTGCGCGACGCGAGCTTCTGCGTGGGCACGGTAGTGCCGAAGAAGGTTGCAGTTGCCAGTGTCATCGTGTCTGTTTGCTTGTCAGGGGCACAGGTTCTGTTCTTTGCTTGGTATCGATGGAAGATTTGAGAAGAATTGTGTGCAAGTAGATATCGATTGGCGTTTTGGATGCTGTCCGAAATTACATATGAAGCCCTGCATTACATTTGACATCAACCCTTCATCAACCCCAGGAACCCTGCTTGCCATGACAAATTTCGTCACCGTCGGATTTGTCACCCAGCCTTGCCAATCGAGAGTCCTGAAACGCTCAGTGCGATTGCACATTGTCTAAACTTTGCAATTCTGTAATGTTGGGATTGCTTAGAAAGGCGTAGGCTTACTTGTACGGAGCTAGCGAATTAGTCTAGGATGAAGCATCGATGACTCCCTAGATTGAATACGTTGAATAATTAAAGATCACAGCCTGTAATCGAGGTTACCTCGTTTGCTAACATATCCAACGTAACAAGACTGCAAAATTTGGATTGTGTGTTGTAGACCATCCTTCAGATCAGACGATTAGAGCTGCAGCGCTTCTGCAAGTACCAGTCTAGAAATAATGCGATCACAAGATGCAGCACACATGACGTTGCTGAATGTAATCGTCTACCTCCTAGCCGGGGCTTCTTGTCAAGACAACGGCGAGAAGGCCGCGAAGCTATTGCCGCTGGTCAATGGCACGCTGCCCAACTCGATCTATTTCGATGCAGCCGCTAGGAGGATCGACAGTGACGCCTCCCAAGGGATAATCAGCTCTTGGCCCTCGGTGAGCGTTTTCAACACTGCGTACCTTCGCTGCAGGCAGTGCCTGACCAGCCTCTGACTGTCTTTTGAGCTTCGAGAGATTTGCATGAGGGGACTCATGCCTGCCAAGCAGGCTTGCCTGAGTGCCCATATAAGTTTTACATTTTTGAGACCTTGTGGGAGCCACCTGAGGCTCAATGGTCTTGTAGGCAGTCTGTCACTGCCCATAGCCTAGGCATGTGCCATAGGCTAAAGCATATTAAAGTGACTCATCTGGACAATTTCTTTTGTCATGCAGTATCCGTCATCAGCAAGTGGCCCAGTCCAGTATGGCATCCTGAAGCTTGGCCTGTCGCAAATCCGCGATGGCTACCTGTTTGTGCCGGGGAGCTACAATCCCAGCACAGCCAACGCCATGATCGTGGTGCTGCATGCTGCCGGCAAGGGCGGCTTGGATGCACTAGGCGTGCTCATCGACCAGGCCAATAGCTCAGGTGGGCCCATGCTAGAATCCTTCCACCGACTAAGTTCAAGGCCATGAGTCCACCAAGCTGGTCCTACATTTATCAAGAGCATTCTCGCGCAAGATCGGCGCTCTCTCAATAGGCGGGCTCTCCCATAAGCAGCGCTTGTACCCTTGATGGGAGCATCGGAAAGCCTTGATCTCACGTGCAATTCTGGCGTGACATGAGATTCCAAGCAAGTCGATTACCTCACAAGTTGCAACGGGGAAGGCAGGGAACCCTTGCTTACCTTGACATGACTCATCACTGAGCATGTGCGCGCACATGCAGGCATCATGCTGCTGGCCCCTGACTCATGCGGCGCCACATGGGACGGCCTGCCCTCGGAGGGGTGTGTCTACGGGCCGGATGTCGCCTTTATAGGCGCGGCCATGAAACAAGTCTTTGCGCTCTACAATGTGGACGGGTCCAAACTCGCCATCCAGGGATTTTCTGATGGCGCCACCTATGCACTGGGCCTAGGTGCGTTCACTAACTCTTCCCATGATGTACAGAGAATCTTCATCGCTGCCAGCCAACAGATGCTGATATATACACTTTCCAGACCTTGGGCACCTTCTTGCAGTGCCTGCTGGGATTGGTTGGCACATGCGGAGGCATGCCATGACATGATCACTTCAAGCTGTTGCTCTCTCTTGTCACCTTTGCTGCGATGATGAAGTTGTGTGCTGAGTTTCTGTGCAGTAAGTGGGGCACTGTTGAGTCCAGGAAAAATATCTTGCTAGATTTCTTTCGTGTGCCTCACACTGAGGACTAAGAACGGTGTTGTGCTGTCACAGGCATGCAGAACGGAGAGCTGTTCAAGAAGATCATGGCAAACTCCCCGGGCGGCTTGATTTTCACAAGCGTCAAGGGGAAGCCCCCAATCTTCATATCATCCGGCGTCCAAGACACCATCTTCCCCATTGCCACTGTTCGCAGCCAGGTGCTTTATCCTTTCAATGGCGCCTTCTACTTCTTTCAGTGCCTGATTGCCCTTCTTCTCTTACCTAGTCACTTTGCCCAAGACTGGAGGGTGCTCGGAAATGTGAGGGCGCCAGAGTCTGGCCTGCCGATATCTAAGTGAGCTGCAGCAAGAAGGACCGGGGAGTGCAATTTAGCAGGAAGCTTGAAGCTTGATGACAAGATGAGAACTATATTTGATCAAGCAAGAGCCGTCGGGCAGACCATCTCTAGTTCAGTGTGTTTATTTTTCCCATTGCTTTCGTGAGGTCCAGCCTGGCAGGCCTGCTTGTATGGTGGAGTGTTCTCTGCATTGCCAATTACAGGGCATGCATCATCTGAGGTATGCATGCACTGTATGCTGCTGGCTGACAGAGTTGTGTGCATTCGCCTGCAGGTAGTGTGCGAATTGAAGAAGTTTGCCTACCCTGTGACGTACGATGAGTTCACAGGCGGCCACGAGGTACCACAGCAGATCAGGTCTGACACAATACAATGGTACCTGGGTAGTTATGGTGCAACGGGCACCGTGCCTGCAGGAGTGTGCAGCGCTTGAAATGGAGAATAAAGACTTGTGATTTTGGTCGAGAGAATTGTCCACAGCATTGTGTGTGCGCCTGGATGCATGATGGTGTAGTGCTGGCTCCTCACCTCTAATAAAATTGATGCAGCCTCGTGAATAATTCTTGCCTTTTTATTACTTTCAACGTTTGCCTGGAACTTCTTGGTTGACTGATTTCTTGCTTTGATCCCCATTATTGTCATGGGAGATGCCATTCTGAGCATACGTTTCTATTTTATTGATGATCGGTCACAACAGAATTTGATAGAATTTGGCAGCGGTATCGTTGTTGCAGTGAGCTGAGGTTGCAGCTGCAGATTGCATCAGGCCTTCGGCTGATGTGCCAGTTGACACGAGTGGCACATGAGGATTTTGTAATATGAATGAGAAGTGATGTCTCTACAACATGTGGAAGCTGGTGGTATACATACGATGAGAATTACTTCAAATTTTCTCTGACCGTGACCAGCTTCCAGCAGAGGGGAAGCTGGCGTTCCTGGGTTGCATTGTGCTCTTCTTCGATTAACAATAGTTGTGTGAACACGTTGTCATTATTCTAGAAAGGAGCATGTTCGAGTGTACATCTCTTCTATGAGCGTTTCGACACGAAAGAAGGCGTGCTAACTGCTGTCATCAAGCATCCACACACGCTGATCAGCTCCAGCACGTTGAAAATCTCGGAATGAACACAGATATTGACTCAAAGGGAGTCGGCAATGATGCGGCAGGGCTTTCTCGTAGCTCCACCACGGCCGTTTACAATTTCTGGAAAGGCATGACTTCCCGCTTATGAAGATGGCATCACTTCTTTCCCTCTGAAACAAGAAATTAATGATAAAGGAGATGTGGCATCGGATGACACCTCTTCCTAATAGATTTCTTTGGGAAGATCTGTCTAGTCTCAAGTGCACAAATTATAAGCGTCATAGGAGAAGATTGCTCAGTGTATTGCCAAGGCCAGCTGAGCGATGTGTGTTGCTGGTGCCTGAGCAGACTTCGAGCTGGAGGCTTTCAGGCACAAGCTCGATGGACAGGGTCTTGCCATCGCTGAGAACCAGGAGCTCTCTCTGAAGAGCAGGCGCAAGCTGGCCGAAACAACTCGAGGTACCCTCTTTTGCATCCTCAGATTTCCACGACTTTAAGGTCTCTGTGTCAAGAGGTTCTCATCAGAAGAGTGTCCAGTGCACTGAGTAAGTGTTGCCTGGCAGATGTCAAGCGGAGAGTCTCCTCTGAGGTGCTGAAGGAAGTTGGGGCGCTCATGAAACTCTACCAGGAAGAAGTGGACAAGCTTTCCAACAGGTTGGGCACTTACAAGCAATTTGAAAGACACATGTGATGCCTCGCATATCATGACAAGCTGATGTGTCTGTATACCATCAGTACCAACATTTCCAAGAGCGCCTGGGACTGCATGACTCTGTGTGCATCTGACGTAAGAGATTGTGATTCTGCCAACACTGAAGATTGTGCACTTGTGCAGGGCCAAGTTTGGCGAGGCAGCTTTTCTAGATGTGTATCAGAAACTGTATGAGGCACCAGATCCAGCGCCTGCCCTTGCATATGCCCTGGTGAGCTTGCAGCCACCCAGGATCATCACATGCCCAAAGTATCCATGCAGGCCAACAGCGATTCCCACGTAATCGCCCCTATGTATCTTGCATGCATACCTATGTGAGATTAATACATGACAGGAAAATTCTTGAATAGTCTTGAATTTGCTACACAATATATATGCGGGCCTTCTTCAGGAGGTAGGGGCGCGCGCGGCAGAGATGGAGGCGGCTGCCGCGAAGCTGGCCGGCGAGCTGGCAGAGTACAAGGCGGAGAGCCGCAATCTGCGCAACCAGGAACACACCATCAGGCGCCTGGAGGAGAAAGCTCGCACCCTGGAGGCACAGCTGGACGAGAAGGTGCGCACTTTTAAGTGAAATTTCCGCAGGAGATCCATCTCAAATTTCTAGGCTGCTGTCTGTGGCAAACATGCATGTCAAGGGGTTTGTGTCCGTGGTGATGGCAGGACTTCTTCTCAATCCCTTGTTTCCACGAATTTTGAATGTTTAGATGTGTGATTTTCACAGGAGCGGCTGCTGTCGGAAGCAAAGGCCTTTTCTCGAGTCAAATCATGGTTTCAATCAGTGCGTTCAAATCATGTCATCGTCACAGGAGCGGCTGCTGTCGGAGGCGAAAGCGGCGTCGGAGGACGCGGCGGGGGCGCTGGTAAAAGAGATGGACGCGATGCGCGAGGCCGGCCTGGCCGCTGCTCTGGCGGAGGCGCGCGCGAGCGTGGCCGCCCTGCAGCGCCAACATGAGGCAGGCCAGAACAGCATCGCGCAGCTGCAGGTGCGTGTGGTCTCCTGGGACGGCAAGCGGCAAGATGAAACGGTGCAGGACCGTCGTGAATGCCTTTGTGCTGCAGGCATTATTCGGAGAGTCATGGGTGATGCATAGCTGAACAGAAAGATGGTATCTGGGGCTCAAACTCTGCGAAAACACCAACGCCCAAAAGCCACGAGCGAGACATGGGCTCTTTACACTGCCTATCATAAATAGGACTACACAGCAAGCAACTTGACTCAGCTGAAAAGATGAGAAGAGCCGGTGTTTTGCGCAACAAACGTGGCGGCTGAAGGGGCATTCCCTGCCGGCGGCAGGCCAGGAGCGAGGAGGAGGCGGTGGGGCTGCAGGCGCAGCTGGAGATTGCCGGTGCCGAGGTTGAACGCGCGCATGCTCGGCTGGCTGCCCTCGAGCTGGAGCGAGAACGAGCCGCCGCGCAGGCGAGTTGAGAGAGGGGTTCACGGCAGGGTCATGAGAGTGCCTTGCTTAACACCTTCACAGTGTTTATGGCTTTGAAGGAAGCAATTGCATGAGAGGAAGTGAATGCCTCATTGAGGGGGTTTGAATCTGACGTACGCAGAACATTTTGCTTGTACAGGTTTGTGGTGCTATGCACTTCCCTGGTAGAACAACAATAAAAGAAGAACAATGAGAGGGATTTTTACAGGCCTTCATTCGCCGCAGGCTAAGCCGCCCCGGGAAGACACGTCACCGACTCGTGAGCGCGGCAGCCAAGCGGCAGAGCAGGCACTGCGGAGCGAGCTGTCCAGCCAGGTAACTACGGGACAAAGAGAGTCTCCTCTCAGCCATCTGCTCCCTATTCCTAGGAGTAAGAAGACCAAAGTGAAGACAGCATTTGTCCTGAAGAATGGCGTGTGAAATCTGGGGTCCAACGCCCGTGTCTTCTTCAAGTGGTTGGCGTGCAGCTGCATGCGGGGGTCTCCTGTCATTTGAGCACAAGCCCAGTTCCCAGCGTAGCAAAAATGCGATAATCTAAATTCTCTATTTGAAAGAAAATTATTATTATCAATATTATCATTACACGCTTTTCCTGCTAAAACGCAAGGTGCGTCCTGCAGACAAGCTGCACTTAGAGGCTGCCACAGTCCTATTCCTTATTGGACTCGCCAGATCCAAGCAAGACCCAATCAATCGTGGGCACGGTGCTCATTATTTGTACCGTCCCCCCGCCAGCCGGGGCCAAGAAAGCTAGCACCAGTATGAATCCCTGAAACCCTTGTGAGGCAGAGGGAGCTGGCGGGGCGGCTGCACGCGGAGGCGGCGGCGCTGCAGGAGCGGGCGCGCGCAGAGAGTGCTGCATGGGCCGAGCGCTGCGACGGGCTGCGCCAGTCGCTGGCCGCGCAGGAGGCGCACTCCACCGCCCTCGAGGCCCACCTCTCCTCCCGCCCCACCGCGCAGCAGGTACACTCACACCAGCACCATTTGGTTGCAAATGTCAAGATTTAAAGTTGATATTTGATGGATCTGGGACTCCTGTCCCACCGCGCAGCAGGTCTGCTTATCGGCCCGTCCGTCCACTATCTTCACAGGGCCCTGCCGCGTTGCCCTGCCTGGCTGCAGCCCAGATTCCTGAGAATTTGAGGACACCTTTTATGGGAGAGTTGTTGGGCTGTTGGACGCTGTTCCTATGCGCATGCATGCAATGGACATGTCTTGCAATCGGTTCGAGTGCTCTGGTGAGATGGAGCCAGCATCAAAAGACTTTAGATTTATGAGTGGGGTTCAGATACAAGGGCTTGGCGCTCTTCTCCTTGTCTCATTCAATGGGAAATGTGCAAATCCGCAGCTCATCTTGAAATGAAGTTTCACAGAGACTCATTAATGCTCCCTAGCAAGGAGGGCCGCCTCATGGCTTGTGGCATCACATGCCGGCATGTGCGCGCAGGTGGAGAAGCTGCAGGCGCAGGTGCGCGTGCTGCAGGCGGTCGGCTACGGCGCCGTTGAGGCCGACGAGTCCGGCGGCGTTCCCTCCGCCGGCGCCGGCGGGGCCGACTCGCTCGAGGCCGCGCTGCTCGGCAAAGCCCGGCGGCTGGAGCACGAACTCACCATGGCTCGCCTGCGCATCGCTGAGTTGGCAGGCACGCCCCCACGAACCCCCACGCAATGAATAAATCTTTGCTGTCATTTGGTAGGTGTTTCTCTCTGAGCTTATGTGTCCTGCATCAGGCGTCAGATATGGTGAGTGGGCATGCAGGATTGTTCGAATTTCTTTTCTGGCCAGCACCAGCTCAGTGGCTGTGGCAATGAGATGATTGGTGATTTAAGGGATTTTCAGAGACTTGCGGGACAAAAGAGTATATCAATGTTCCTTCCTTTGCATCCCAGGAAATTGAAGTTGGATAACACTTGACAGAGTGTATCTGACGCACGCAGGCGAGGCTGAGGCGGCCGGCACGCGAGCGGTCGAGGCGGAGGCGGCGGTGGCGGCCAGCCGATTAGTCATCGAGCGGCTGGAGGAGGACCTGCTGGCGGCGCAGCGGGGGGCCCTGCCCAAATCAGGCTCGGGGGTCGCCGACCCGAGCGCAACCCTAGACCTCGGCGGCGACGGGGTCCCCGAAGGGGGAGTTAGTGAAAACGGCGGCGGCAGCGAGCGCACGATGATCGGCGTTATCTGCGCGCAGCGGGACCGGCTGAAAGCGCGGGTGGCACAGCTCGAAGAGCACAACGCTCGGGTGAGAGGGCCAACTTATGCGCTGTGTTGTCAAGGGGAGTCAATGGTGGAGACATGACCATGCTATCCACAGCTGCCATGAATTGCGTCGGGCACCCTACAGAAGGGTTGTCATAGGCTAAAGTAATTTGCACCGTATGCTCACGTTAGTGCACTGTATTGTCACTATGTCAAGACTGTGCGTGTCTGTTATGAGAAAATATTTTCAAAGTTCTGCCCGGGCACTTAATTCTTTAGAAAGCATGTGCCTGGTCAATGGTGATATCGCCCCAGTCAATGTCCCATCGGAACTTCTCCTGATACGGGTCACAGTATGTTCTTTGTCCTGCATTGCACGTGGCCCAAAAAGATTGGGCCAGTCAGCTGGCATCATCAGCAATGAAATCTGAAGCTTGTAAGTTGCATGTGCCCCCAGGTGACAAGCGAAGCGCAGCAGGCTTGTGCCCGGCTGGAGGCCGCCAAGGCAGACAATGTGGCGCTCGTGGAGCGGCTGCGATATGTGCAGGGCTACCAGTCGCGCAGAAAAGGTGGGCCGCAGAAAATGGAATTTGTTTCATTTGCCTTTTCTAGTGCAGTCCGCTCCTTGGGCCTGCAGATTACCGGCAAATCTGCGCAGAAGGTATGGAAGGCAAGAGCAAGATATCAGGAAAGCATGGGGGTGTCAAGAGAGTTTGTTTGTGCCAGTTTCTGCAACTGGGAGAGTGCCTTATTCACGCATCCATGCATTTCTTGTTATGTTTCCCTTGGAGGGTAGAGCCACATGCCCAATACAGCAGTCAAACAGCAAAGTTTCTTATGCTTGACCTCCTCTGGTGAGATACAGGCTGCATGTTTTCATTGTCATCTTGCTTTGCCAGCACATTACGGCTGTGTGCACGCTTCAGCTCTAATTGAAAACACCTTCTCCAGGCTCAAACAATGGTTGTTTTGTCCTCGCAGAAGTTGGGGCTGGTGATGTGGAGAGCAGATACACCAAGGAATATGAGGAGGGGCTGAATCCGTTCACGGACTTCAGGGACAGGGAACGCTCTGCACGCAAGCGCCAGCTCAGCCCAGTCGACCGCGTGCTCTACGAAATCGGCCAGATCGTGTCCGGCAGCAAGTGAGGATAGATTCTCTTTATATGAGCAATTGCTCCTCTTTGGCACTGACGCACACATGCATATCTGCTGTGCCAAGAGGTATTTAGGTCAAGTAGGTAGATGCTCATCTTTACACGCCTGAAGCTGGCTGTACTTGCGCGATTAATGCTGTCTCCAAAGTTTGAGTGCACTAGAGGCAAAAAGGAACGCCTTACACAAGCCTGCGCTCTGCCTTGTCTGCGAAACCCTGATTCCATTCCTTCCCACGTCTTTATGTGGATGACTGGCAGAGCCTGTCTCAACAACAATGTCACGCAAAAAGGACCAGTGCGGCTCCTGCACTGCCGGCCGCATACAATTATCCTCTTTCAAGTTTTGTAACAGGATTGCGTGGTTGTGATTCACGTAGGCAGTCCCCACTATTATATTACTTATTTGTACCCCGACCCCTGGCCCCTGACAGTGCAAGGGTCTTGGCTTGGCTACTCCATCTCGAAATTCGTTCCTCAACCGCCGGTCCCTTACAGATGCAATTCCTTTGGCTGCAGGGGTGCGCGGCTGGTGGTGATGGTTTACATGGTGGCGCTGCACATGCTAGTCTTCTGGGTCATGGCGCGCTGGAGCCACCGCCATGCTGGCACCGGCCACATGGGCGCCGCTGAGCTGGCGCTGCTGTGTCAGCGCCAGGGCGACAGCTCAGCGTCATTCGTGTCCCAGCAGCAGCAAGGAAGAACGCTCTTGAACGTGCCGTGGTGACCATGCATGTTATTTAACTGTGTCTGTATTGAACTCTCTCTAATGATAGATTCTAAGGCTAATGTGTGTAAGTTTAATATTCAACCTAAGGCGACTCGAGAGCTCTTGGAGTGTGTACTGCGCCGCAGAGATGCATGCATGCTGATCAAATACGGAAGCTGAAGGTGTAAATAAAGCACCTATAATGAAGTCCTTCTGTCTTTCAACATCAGGAGGCCTGGCTCAGGCTTAGATGTGTGCATAGCAAAGATCCATTTCCTTGCTCATTCGTCTCTTGTAGGTTGGGGTCGATGGCGTTCCTTGACAATTTCATTCACAACTTGGGCCAGGACACTTGCTTTATCAGATGTTGGTATAGTATGGAATTGTGCTCAATTTGCCACGAAGGCATTTTAGTGGATGAAGAGGCGTTCATCGAACCTTGCTTTCACAGATTCCATCTCCAGGTACTTGCCTTTCAAGCACACTTTGAAACGTGCACGCACGATATTTTATCTTCTATCTTTTTTTATTACGAATCAGATCATTTTTCTGCCTTTTGTTTGCATTCACGACACACGTAGTGTTTTCTCATGGCTCGATGGCTAGGTGATGTCACGACCTTGCGTGTAAAACAGCAATTGCACACTTACTACAGGTTTGTATATCTTCGTTATTTGAGCCGCTTGTCAGCCAGATGATGTCTGACCCACAAAATTTGACAGGTGTCTGTTTGCAGTGCATCCTGCAATGGAGTGAAGTACAGCTGGCAGCCTTCCGAGGCCAGCAGCCACCCGTACTTGCCTGTCCACTGTGCAAGCAGGCATACGCCTCTTTGATCTACGACTGCCAAGACAAAGCTTACAGGTATCCTCGAAGCATCCACCAACTCAAGGCAGCGGGACATGCCAAATGCTGAGCTCATTGCCCCCCCGAGAACATCTTCTCAGTGTCACTATAACCTTTGTTGTTAACGTCTCACATATGCTAGGTCTGCAAGCCATCGTGGGCTATTTCTAACAGCGCCAATCAATTGCACAGCTCCACATATGGTGGTTTACATCTCTCTCCAGTCATTCTGAAAAAAACCTTTGCCATGCACAGGCGGCACGAGGTTGTCAAGGGGGAGCTGTCAGGCAGCATCCGTGACGCTGCATCACTGCTGTTATCACCAGCGCAGCGGCGGCGGCGATCTCTGTATTTCCAAGCGGCTGCATCAGTGCCGTGTGACAGGTGCATCTCTGGCAGGCCTCTACCGCCGCACCTGTTGCATCCTGACAGAGATGTGCCCCAAAATCTCAAGCCTTTGCACATCATGTGCGTGACAATGCATGCCACTGTCCAGCAGGGGTGAGGCAGAGTCAAAGGGTCAAGCAGAGTCAGAGGGTCGTAGCAATGGAATAAGAAAGGGCGGCAGCGCGAGTCACTTGCAGCCCTCGCAAGTCAACAGGCCAGCCGTCGATGCGTGGCTGCGCAGAGAGCTGCAGGTAAGTCGGCCTCAAGGGGGCAGTGTCCATGCTGTTTATGAAGACGTGAATCCACGTGATAGTGTGATTAGCTCTTGTATATCTTGAGGTGAGGAGGACCCCAATATGGAATTCTGTGAAGCAAGGATGAGGCAAGGCGGCACCAGAGCTTGTTATGACCTCATTGTCTCAGATCTAGGTCTGCAGATCTTGCATTTGCAAACATGTTGCTTGAGACAGCAACATTATGCTGTGCTCATGCATGCAGACAGCAAAATTTACAAGCTCTTCGATTACTGACCAAGGATTTCTGCTACTTCATGCATACATCTGGCTGAGGCATGACTGCGCATGCAGGCACTTCTGATGGAAGAAGATGTGGACTTGGTAGCCCAGTACTTGTTGGGCACTGTGCTCTCCCTGTCACCCACAGGTCCTGTGAAATCAAGGCGCGTCCATCCAGACTCGGATGCTTTGAATCTAGAGAGGGAAAAGAAAATCAAACAGTTCATATATTTTCAAATGTGACGTGAAGAATGCTAGCAAAAATGTGAGGGAGTGACTATCAAGATATTCAGCTAGCAGGGGTCAGACAAAGCTATCCTTGACATGCAGGGGCAAGCCAAGAGCTTCGAAGACCCTTCCCAGCCGAGATGAGGTATCTTTCTTTGCCTGTGTAATACCATACTGAGCAGGATGCATGGAAACCTCCCCCCCTGTTCCCCCTGTGCCAAACTGCGCCAAGCTTGCCCAAATCCTGTGATCGGGAAAGCATCAGCTGGCGCACCAACCCATGCCAGCTGAGCTCTTGCCATCTCCAAGACATATTGAAACAACAGGGTTTATAGTGATGTTTTTTTGGTCTTTTCATTGCTGCAGTGGCTGAGGGCTGTCACAGACGCGGCGCGGCCCTACCTCTTTGGCAGTGCAGAGCAGTTTGCTTTGCAGCTGTGGGCTTTCATCGCCTCAGGCCTCTCCATCCAAGCCCATGATAAAATGAATTTTGGCGCTGAGCCGTCACCGCCTGCTGCAGCAAGAAGCAGCCCACAGACATGGGGTGAGCTGAGAACCTATCTGCACGGATGCTTATTTCTAATATGTTCTAATATAATACAAATGTAATGCCTGCAAAGCTGCATGGGTGCCGATTGCTCATGAATCTAAGGGGGAAAACTGTGGCAGCTGAGAGGTTTGTTGCATCTGGTGTGTCAGGTATTGAGAAAGGCGACAGTGAATCAAAGCGGCATGAGGATGACAGTGATACCTTCTCTTCACACAGCAGAGGCAAGCTCCTCCGTTCGAATGCGCTGCTAAGTTTCAGAGTTCAGCAGATCTGGAAGACATCAGGATTTGCATTCTGGATGTATTTTTTCCAAATTATCCAGTCGTCCAGACGACTTGACATGGCTGAGATTGAAAGTCTACATGCAGCCATGGTCATCATGCCATGCATTCTCCCTCCTCTCCGTATCCAGAATCTGTACCACCTACTGAAAAAGAATTCTCTGTGTGCAGACGAAGGCGCTGATTGGGCCAGCGATGACAGCGAGGCATATCTTTCCATGGTGAGGGAGGCAACGCGCAGCACGGGTGCCAGCAGCGCCGTTGCAGCAGCAGCCGATGCTGAACTTATCTCTTCTGAAGAACCAGGGACGGATATTTAGCAGTAGACACAGAGATTGTATGACAGCGGAGGCGGCTGAACAATGGGACAGAGTGACTCCTCGGCAGTAAATACAGCAAGCAAGGGTAGGGGGGAGGTTGCAGCTGCAGTAAGAACAAACAGCTGGTTGCAGTCATGCAACTGTGTTCGGATCTCCAAATCCAGAAGGAGGATGTGCAAATACATCACAAATGAGCTCGGAGGGGTGGAGCATTTTATTGAGCGCTCTTCTTGCATGCGCAAGAAAGCTGCAGGCTTCTGTTGAGGTGAGCTGCCCCTTTTGAGCCTTTAGGTTGTGCCATAAACTGAATGCGTTGGTGGTCCAGCCTTGTGTTGTAAAGAGAGGGGATTTGAGGCCAGTAGAGACTGTGTACAATTGACCAGATCATGCCAGGCTGTGTTTGCAGCTGTGTTGAGCCTTTGAGCTGCATGGATCTAATGCAGAAACAATGTCTAATGTCACATGTGCTGCACAGTCTGTGATGGCAAACCATGCCAGCGAGGACATGAGCACATGCATGTGCACGAGCGCATCTTTATAGAGGCTTTGGTATCATGCCTTTGGCACACTCCTTGTCTACAAAGAATAGCCATGATCGATTGCTACTTTGTTCAGCAGTTGCTAAAGTGTTAGCGAAAGTGTAACCTGCGGTGCACCATTCGCAGCGTGCGCACTACGACATGCAGCATATGCAAGCTGCAAGCTCTCGATTAAGAAGGGTCAGTGAGGATTGAAGATCACTTAAAAAATATCCAGTATTCACCAGGCGATTACTATAGACGCCATAAAGGCATTTGCAAGCTGCCGTGACTGATCAACTGACCACATCAACTCGAGACATCTATCGACGAGAACTGCTGCGTAGGTCGTCGTAAATAGCTTTTGCAATACCCGCACATGCCACACAGGCACCAAAATGCTTTTCTGTCGAGCTCCTCGTAGCTTCTGCGCTGCTGAAGCTTGCTTAGATTTTGGTGAACGCCTCAGAGAGTCCTCAGAGAATGATTATCTGAAGATCTCTAGAGCACTGCCAGTCTGGCATGCCAGAAGTTTTGGTCAACGGCGGTGTCCAGTCTTGAGCTAGCAGAGGCTGTGCATGCACACCAGGCTATGGCCGGCACGAGCCAGGATTACTGGCAGGAACGCTACTTGCCCAGAACAACCAGAAAGTGATGGACATAGGTCTTGATCCAGGAGAGTGCCACGTGGGGCCACCGAAGAATAAACGATCATGATGCCAAGGCTCAACAAAGATGCAAGCTGCGCATGCATGCAAAACAAGATACAGTTTTTCAATCTGGGTAAAGAAGTAATTGCAATGCAACATGCTATCTGCTGTCATTTTTAAAAATTGCATCATCATTTCACTTCGCAGCACTTCATAGAAGAAGCTTCATTCAATTTGAGGAGAGTCAGTCAAGTTTCCCGGCCAAATCTGACTTTACCATGCTCTCGTTCCAGGACCTTCATCATGCTGAACAAATTCTGGTGTTATTATGGTCAATGAGCTGACCACAGCGACAGTTCTCTTCGAGAGCTTCGAAAAATTCTCCTGTCACCGTTGTGGAAACGGCAAAACCAGCAGATGCCACACAAGCACCCAAATGATCTTCTAGTCAGCTGCTCATACCTCCTGGGCTGCAGGCCTTGCTTCAGCAAATACACAAACCCATGCTTGTCATCTGTGCCCTCATTGCTGACCCGCTGAAGCACATCACCCTGTAGTCTGTAGCATTCTGACAATCTCAAGAAATCCCCACACACCTTGGGAAACGAACCCTCGTACATTTCAGAGCTCCAGCCTGAAACCTGGTCCGCATTGCATGCCCTGTTTAAATCCGCATGGGTGATCCATTCGTTGTCACACGCGAAAATCAGCTCCTCAAGAGTTGCGCACAGTCTGCTTGGTGATTCCAGAGACAGGTTCACTACCCTTGCCACAACTATAAGACTCTTGAGCGCCATGGATTCAGGAATAGTAAATTCAAGCGCTTCCATGTCTCCTAGTCCACAGCGCAGCCGTAAGCACGTGAGATACCTTAATGGAGAAAATACTCTCCAATGAAGATGCGGCATGCCAAATTCATTAGAGGGATCTTCAAAACTTGGGTCAACGTCAAACTTAATATCCAATGCCTCAGCCATCTCAAAGTGATATAAAAACTCCAAATTCTCCCCTAAATCTGGCCAATCTTCCGTATGGGAGAGATCAACACACAGGAAGATTACCTGCCTTTTGTCAGGGCAGCACCGATACATGTCACCCACATGACATGAAAATGCAAACACAGACAACGTGCAACTGGGGGGCAACTCTTGAGCTGTGATTGTGACATAATCTAGCACGACATGTTGCAATTTCTGCAAGTGACCCAACTTGACATCAAAGCCATCATTCGCACCACCCAGCTCTAATATTTCCAAAAAAGATAGTGGTGCCAAAAGGTCTGCCAGATTCACCACCTTGCTCACATCATGCACATGCAAATGCCTCATATTGACAAGCCTTGGTAGTGTCTGCACGTTGCAGCCCAAGTGCAGCATTTCTAGTGGGGCATCACATGGCAAGGTGGCCAACAAGGCCTCAAAGATAAGTCGTGCAGCCCTACGATGACGGTGTTCAGTGATCAGCTCGAGCCTTTTGATGCTCTTTGGAGAGTGCCCCTCAAAAAGATCTGCCAAGGCCACAGCGTCAGTCTCGTGGATAGGCAGCCGCAATTCCACGAGCAGATTCGAACATCTTGCCCATCTCTGCCGAGCCCATTTTAGTGCACTCTGAACTGTGTCACGTGTGTTTTGGTCTGACGCTGGCCTTTTCCAAGGCCTTTTCCAAAGTACGACCTCCATGTGCTGCAACTCTACGCAGGTGAGCCTGCGGCATGTGGCTACTTCAAGGCTTGCCCACTGCTTGGCTGTCAGGTGACTGGCCACCTTCTGAAGGACATCTTCAGGCAGGTGTAGGAGGGACGGATCTGTTAGGCCACAACCAGATGTTTAATGGATTAATTGGTTAAAGGCATGATCCCCATCAACGCAACGATCTCAATTTAGATCATCAGTACTGCAGAAATGAGTAGGCCAAACGTTGGTAGTGCACCAAACCTCCGGGAAACAGCAAGACAAGCAGCAGTGAAAAGAACTTAACACTTGATAAAATTTTCAGTGTCTCATTGAACAACACTTCACCTGATGATGATGAGCGTGAGGCCTTAACACGTGATGTATTCTGCATGGGTTCCGAAGTTGTTGATTCGTGTGTTCCTCTTGTTGCACCTACGCCTCGCTTGCCATCAGCTTGTCCTTTTTCAGAAGTGTTTCTTCTCAAGCAGTTCTTTCTCACTTTAATAAAGTGACTTTATGGACTTTGTGAGATCGTCACCAGTGTTTGAATGCGAGTTCAAATATGTTCACTTCATTAAACCTAGACACATTATTAATTTATATCCCTTACCCTAGCTTCCCTTTCCAACCCATCCCTGCTTCGTCTCAAAGCATGACGCTATATATCTTTACAATATATTTCTTTAGACTTTGTAATTTCAAATAGATGTAAATGATGCTTGCTTGGCTGGAATAGTTGTCCCAATTGCTGTGATGACTGTCGACTGCTGCACACCTAGTTACCTGGATCGTGATCAGCACTCTGACGTTGCAGATTATGCTTGTTCAGCTCCTTCTTCGAACGTACTACATCACAAAGTTCACATGAATGGGACGTCACTACCCTCGTCATCCTTGAAGAGGAGTGTTGCGGCCCAGACAGACGTGGCAGAGCTAGATTCTAGTAGACAAGGCGGTGGAAAGGAGGCTGTCGAGCATTGTAATCGACAAAGAGAAGAGCAGGTTGCTTTATCCTCAGGCGTGTCCAGGGATGCAGACGCTGATGAGCCGTTGCTGTCTCCGAACGAGGAGCGATTTGTGATGTACCCAGTCAGGCGAGTCTATGCACACAGCTCCAACGCACTTTAGCACAAATATGCTATACTTACTGCACAATCAATTTAATTAATTGTGCACAAGTACTTCTGCCAAATTTTCTTGTGTGCTGGAAGCTGTGTGTGAGCAGTAGCTGTATGTTGACCTGTAAAATTACCTGCCATGCAGGTATCGAGACATCTTCGAAATGTACAAAAAGGCTGTGGCAAGCTTTTGGACGGTTGAGGAAGTTGACTTGTCCCAGGACATTAGGGACTGGGAGAAGCTATCAGGTGCAGCTCCAGAGACATTGTATTGTCTATTATATGTAGCATGTTCTTGTAGCTCATCAAGTGCATAAGTCAGGCCAGAAAACACAGGGCACAAAAGGCATCAAATAAAGGGGGGGAAATCTCTTCTGATGAGTGCTGTGCTGCGCAGATGATGAAAGGCATTTCATCATGCATGTGCTGGCATTTTTTGCTGCCTCGGATGGGATTGTCATGGAGAATCTGGCTGTCCGCTTCATGTCAGGTGCTCCCTGCTCTCAACCTCTTCTGTTCAATCCCTGTGCTACACAAAATGTGCAGTCTGTTATTAGCATGCATGCAACGAGCAGCTTGGGGGAGGGCAAATGACTTCATGTGATGGTTTGCTCTCCACTGCACATTTGTGGTGATACATGAAGAAGCAGTGCATCTTCTTGTGAGGAGCATGCAAGTAATGAGCAATATGCATGCGTTAAGCAGCATGCAGAGCTCTGATGTGATGGTGGGGGTGCAGAGGTGCAAATACCAGAGGCGCGGGCGTTCTACGGGTTCCAGATAGCCATAGAGAACGTGCACAGCGAGATGTACAGCCTGCTGCTCGAGCACTACATTCGCGACGTGGAGCAGAAGGATAAGATGCTCAGGGTGCGCAGCACGTAGCCCTCAATACCTCTTGGATCTGCCTGCTCTGTTTCTTACTGATTCATCATACCCGTCGGGAACCCCCTGACGCTCATTGATCTTACGGGCAGTCTGCTGCGGTCAAAGATATCGTAGTTATCATCAATGGCTTGCTGTTTTATCTGTGTCACACCCTGGTGTCTGCACAGTAATCAATCATATGCTTGTCAGCTGTGCCCTCTGGTGTCGGGCAAGTCTCTGCCGCTGTGATGCCAGTGGCAGAGACTTGTCCGATAATGGAAGCCACCATGGGCTGCACTGAATGAACAACATGCTAGGAGCATCCCCACTGAGGCCCTCCCCAGGGCACTCTGCCTTCACAAAGTTGTGCCCCATTACAGAACAACCCTGTACCTTGCAGTTTTACCCCCTGTTGGTGAGGCCCTAAAGGGTGGTTGGTTCACGTCTGCGCAGGCAATACAGACGGTGCCGTGCGTGGCCAAGAAGGCTGAGTGGGCGCAGCGCTGGATCGGCAGCGGCAGCAGCTTTGCCGAGCGCCTGGTCGGCTTCGCCTGCGTGGAGGGTATGCGCTCCAGCCAGTTATTTGCCCTCAATCACTAAAACATTCTGAGCTGCATGAAAACATTTCCCATAAACTGCATGCAATTGTTCACATGCAAAGTGTACCATATTTAGCCACTCGCATTGGTACATTCTGAAGTGCATGCCACTCTTTTAAAGCAAAGCACTTGCCACTTGCTGCCCAAAAAGAGGGCCCAGGAGAGCCCTCTTGTACCCAGTAAGATACAATATGCTCACCAGATTGAGTCATCCGGATTTCAGTGCACTTCTTCTCAAGCGCCCTGCAGTGATCTCCGGCTGCCTATGCAGAGGAGGCTGAACTATCATCTCCTAGTAACTTGTTTACTAAGGCAGAGTGGTTGTCTGCAGGCATCCACTTCAGCGGCTCCTTCTGCGCGATATTCTGGCTGAAGAAGCGGCTGCTGATGCCGGGGCTGACATTCTCCAACGAGCTGGTGTCGCGCGACGAAGGCCTGCACACCGACTTTGCATGCCTCCTCTACAGCCTCCTGCAGCACCCGCTGGACCAGGTCTGGCCTCTCTCAGGGTCCCTAATTGTCAGTGTAGTATGTATTTCTCTGGCCTTTGGTGACCTGATAACCTTTAGGTGGGGCAATCTAAATACGACATTCAAGGCAGGGATACTTGAAGACAGTCCTGGCTCGGTTTATGGGGCATTCAGTCACTTTGACTTCTGAAAGACAAGTGACAACAGAATTATAACCTGCACCATAGCGCAACAACTCAAGTTCAGCTCACACTCCTAAAACGCCGCGCACGCGGATGTCAGATCCCAAGCCAGGGGGAAACGTGCACGGCAGGGCCAATTTACCAAAGGAAGGCGACGCTCCAAGTATAGTGTAAATCAGTGTTGATGCGGACCCAGGAAGCTATTGTTCCGCTCAGTAAAATGTAGTACAGCAGCACGGTAATCAGCAGTAGGTACCGCTGAATCTGGTTGCGGGCGCATGGATGTGCTAAAGAATGGTCTGCAGATAAGCAGCCAGCCGGGTGTTTTGCATAAGTGGAGGATACATGAGAAAGAAGCGTGATGTTCCCCTGGTCTCACTCAATCCATTGAGAGGACGCTAGCTTATGCAATAGGGAGAGACTGGAGTCTCATTGCATGAGCTTAGGTGCGCTTCATGCATCGAGATCCTAAGAGCTGGAAGACAGGCTAATCATAAGCAATGGGAATGCACTGTCATGGCAAGACAAATATCCAATCCTCTGGCCATCAGCAACCAGATGACCTCTAGGTGAAGCAGTGGGTTACAGACATTTAATATGAAAGTCGTGGGGAGGGAAGTGGTGTCAGCTGTGACTGATGATGTCATCATGTGCTTGCGGCAGGCGGTGGTGCACAGGATAGTGCGCGAGGCGGTGGATTTGGAGCATGAGTTCTGCTGCGAGGCGCTGAGCTGCGCTCTGGTGGGAATGAACGCGCAGCTGATGGGGCAGTACATAAACTACGTGGCTGACCGGCTGCTCGTGGCGCTCGGCTGTGACAAGCTGTACCACACCGCCAACCCCTTCGACTGGATGGAGATGATCTCGCTGCAGGTGAGCTTGCGTCAGTGGAAGTTCCTCTTGAATGGGGAGGATGTGTAGAACTGTTCCTGAAAGTGTTTGGAAAGAATCTTTACCGGTGTACTTTGTGAACCCATAGATTCTGCGAAGTGGAGCGCTGTGATAATGTGCAATCTTTTTCGGCACAGCTGAGAGAGTGCGCATGCGGCAGGCATATATGTTATTTGTTTTATAAGCTGTAGGCCCTATCATGCAGTCCTTGGATTGAAAATCGCAACAACACGTTGCGCTCCGCGATGCCGATATTTTTTGCGTTCTCTGTTCTCTTGCTGACGAAGTCAGAGCTGATGTGGATTGTTTGGCTGCGCAGGGCAAGACTAATTTCTTTGAGAGGAGAGTTGGCGAGTACCAGAGGGCTGGAGTGATGGGCAGTGCGCAGTCTGCCAGCGAGCGCCAGGCATATGTCTTCACAACAGACGAGGATTTCTGATCCTTTCTTCTCCCTGGCACGGCATCTGCGTTAGGGGCACGGTGCCCATGTGATATCCTTTGTTTGATCTGATCTGTATGTGTTGTCATTGCTGGCAACAATTGTAGAGTACCTCAGGGGAGTTTTTTGAAGTGATGTTACATTACATCATGTTGTTGAAGCGAGTCCAGTTGGTAGGCAGGATGCCAGTTTTTATAATTTCTTTGGCTTTTGTGAAACGTTGTGACTGTGGACCGTGACAGAGAGGCATCTCTAGGGCGCCTCACACGAGCTGAGCTAATTATGCGTTGATATTTTTGTTACTCGTATGAGGATGATATAAGCTTGGTGTAATTATCTTTGGCAAGGCTGGACAGCTTTCTCGATAATACGAACGCATCAAGATCTGTGCTTCGAGCTCTTTCGCCGTTCATACTGTTGGCACAAGCGCAATTCTTAATCACAGCAAAGAAACAACGAAAGGCACACGCGAAGACTTCCATCGGGTTGACTGATCTGACTCTGACTTAGAATCTGCGGCACGTTCGATGACGGGGAAAGTGACGACAGCCGATGCATAACGTCATTAGTAAGATCAAACCCAACTTATTCCGGGCCTTGTTGCGCACGCTGATTCTATCTTAATTTTGTAGATTTCAAGATCGCATCCTGTTGCGTCCGACGAGCGAGATTGCGAGTGCGCACAGCCGGTCCCACGTCCAATCGGTCCCCCACCAGTCTTCTTACTAGACAACCTCGGTTTGTCATATCTACAGGAAGCATTGACTGTAAATCCAGGTTTCTGCAAACTAAATAGTACTCAAGGTGCGCGCCTAGTCATAATGCCTGTTCTCACAGCACTCTCCCTTCTAGCTCAGGCTTAACTGGGTGTTCCTATGTGGTAAAGTAGCACCGATTGGTATGAAGCCAGCCCGCTTCTATATTAGATGTGTGCGTACAATGTTCTTCATAAGGCTCCATGCCCCGGGTTTTGGAGGGGATTTGTCGCTAAGGTTTAGATGCTTGCCAGGCAGGAAGACAATACGGACAAGGACAAGCCTCCACCATGGGAAAACTTCTCAGCATAGCCTTCGCAATTGTTTTTGCAGCAACAGTACTAAGCTGGATTCTGGCACTGGCTGGAAACGGTAAGAACTATCTTCCAGGTTCCACCCATTTGTCTGCCATCTACATATCCTGTGCAGCAGCTACTCAGTCACCTCGTAGGCTCTGCCATTAATTTGACAATACTTCTCCTCATAATTAACTTACAAAGGAAATTCAGAGCAGTCCTGAGCATGTATACTTTTGGTCTGAGAGCAGGGAGCTATGGTATTTGCAGGGGCCCTGAACTCGGTGTGCTTGGAGGCATGCCGCTACTACTTTGGACTGTCCTGGTGGACCATCTGGTTCGAGTTCTTCATCCTGCTCGGCACCATCCCGGTCGGGGTGAGCATTCTTGCTCGCCTGCTTACATGCCCATGTAGCTACCGCTCAGCTCCCATCTAGCTGCCATCTGTCCGTTAGCCAGACAGTCCTCCGTCCTGTGGGAACTGCATTGCATGTCAATTGAAATCATGCATGCGGGATGTACAGCATCCTGCTGTGAGCTGTGAGCTGATCAAGCTCGAGATTGATCGTGTGCCGGTGGCTGTTGTTATGTGTGCTGCGGCCATGTTGGATACCTTCATTGCATTTTAGAGACCTTCTGGGAGCCACCTGAGGCTTGTTGGTCTTGTGGGCACTTTGTCACTGCCCATCTTCTTGTCACAAACTTCTCAGTCGTCTGCACTCCGTTAGAATGCAGGCAGGTTGATGTAATGAGTGATGACAAACCATCGAAGGCTGTTTCTTGGATGGTGCAGATTATGGGATTGCGCGCATGGAAACCTGCGGTGATGGCACTGCTCGCTGCCAACACTGCGCTGACCATGATCCAGGTGGGCTGCCTAGAACTTTACTTCAAACAGCTTTGTCTTTTGCTGATCTGATCAATTCACATGCATGTTGCTGCGAGGGAATCTCTGCACCTTGCAGTGCAGCTCCTGCCTTCTCACCAGGGATTCAACAGCTGCATGTGCTGATGACGATGATACGTATATGATGTGCTACTTGTATTCAGAATTGGGCGGGTGATGATTGTATGGGGAGATGTATTGCACGGCGTGACATCATCGATGAACAATCTTTTTTCTTTTAGGATCTTGGAATTGAAGGGGTGTGTGGTGCTGCAGGCTGACAGCTGGCTGCAGACCAAGGGCCTGGACCCGTACTACGGCCTCTTCGAGAGCCGCTGCAACGTGCTCATTTCTGGTGCGCACGCTGTGATGAGACTTGAAAAATTCTTCCCTATCAGCATTTGTAGAATCTTTCCCTTTCAGCTACCTCACAGACATATCGTGCAGTGCTATAAGACTCGCAATTGTACGCTCCATCTGTTCAATGTGCATTTGCCTTGTGCCACATGTGTACAATCTGAACTAGATCGTGTGAATTTTGAACGTGTAAAATTCTCGAGCTACTGAGCTGATCTGTTTTCTTCTTGTGCGCGCGCAGGCTACGTGCTGCTGTCAATCTTCAACGTGCTGCTCATCATCGTGCTGGGCTTCATTGATGAGGAGGGCACCAAGATCAGCGTCCCCCAGCAGTCTGCTTACTCCAACTCCCCGCCACCCCACACAGTCCCCACATACCCTCCCAGGGGTTGATGATGCGAATTTATCACCACCCACCCCTGGAATGTACTCAGCGCTCTGGGTAGACATTGAACAATTGTGCAAGCCCACATACCCTCCCAGGGGGTTGATGATGCAGATAATTCACCGCCCACCCCCGGATGTACCCAGCGCTCTGGGTGGACCTCAAAGAATCCATGCAAGCATTTGTGGGTCATGATGTGATGCCGTGAAGGAGTTGCCAAGATGGGCATGGGAGGGAGAAGGGTGGCCATTGGCCAGACAGGAAAGGGTGTGAACTGGTATGCAGAGCAACATAATCATGTCTTTATTGCAAGAGATTGAGGCATGCAGTAAGGATAGATCAAGCTTGCATGGCAAGTATTTTGTGAGATGTTGTCAAGATTCTCCATTCTGTTTGTTGTTGGCACGGCAGTTAGGAACAGGAGGCAGCTTTAGATAAGGAAGATAATTGCTGAGCTTGTGCTCTGCTTGCGTGACATTCGGACTATGTTTTGAGACCGTGGTGTCCTGCTGCATGAAGATCAGTGGAGCATGTATGCCGTGATCTGACTAGCCAAATGCAGACTGTCAATCTGTTGTGCTGTGTCACATGGTAGGACCGTGGACAGGTAAAAGTCCTCAAGCGTATTTTTTGGAAAAACACCATTCTTGCACATGTAATGGGGATGCTATGGATACACCAGCTGGTGCAGAGGAAAGGCTTGCAGACAATGCAGGCCATCACATGGTGTCAAGATGCATATCTGCAGTTGCAATGCACATTCCGCTACGCTAGGCAATCTGTACAGGCATAGGCATTCACCACATTATGGCGAGGAGGTATAGTCTTGCATGCTGAACTGCAAATTCAAGAAGGTTTGTGCACTTGTACTTGTTGCCGATTTCAATGCAGGAGGGACTACTTTTACAGGTTTGATTGTTTCCACAAGCCTTGCAACAAAACCTTGATTGGATGGACAAACAGGGACTAAGTCATACCAACAAACTTGCAAAAGACAACTGGCAGTCAAAAACGTTGTGCATCAAACTTAAGAACCAGACACGCTTGTCATTATCAGAAGTATCTTGCTGGTGATGTCATGATCCGTTCTATGCTGATGCGCACTCAAAAGAACAACAAAGGTACAGTTCCATCAAAGGATATCTTTTCAGCTGATATGGCCTAACACTTTCAGTTCTTCAATACAGATACCATATTCTCATTGCTTGCCAGCAAGAGCAAGCAGGGATGAGCAACTCCTTTTCCCACCATGAATCCTGAAACTCCATAAAACACTTTGCAGCATAGCTTCAGGCACTTGGCATGTCCAGAAGCTTCTGCAGCACAAGGTGAGGCCTCGCCATTGCCGTGTCTAGCAATTTGGCACCTCAATTTACCTGTGAATTCTTTTCCACAGTCTGCTCTAATGCATGTGTCCAAACAGAGCTTCCCCTGAATCCTGCGCACTGCCATTTCCATGCCATGGAGCGCATTCATGCAGGAAATTGCAATGCTGCACTCCCCAGGCAAATTTCCAATCTAACAATCTTCCCACCAAATTTCCCCACATCTCACGCTGCCTTGACAGCTTGTCAACTTGTACGGTCAGTCAAATTGTCAGTAAACTTGTCATTTCAATTCCCACCCCCAACATCGGTACTGATACCAATACAAAGGGCTTTCTGGAGGCCCAGCTTTGGCCCGTGCCATCACCAATTTAGGACCAATGACAGAAGATTATCAGTAAGCTGAAATTGAGCTGAGTCATCAGGCCAGGCCGACCAGCTTCTCGCTGATTTCCCACAGCTTCTGGCCCTTGGCGCCGTCTGACACTTCCTCGGACACCTGGTTCTCAAATGACTCGCTGTCGTTGCTCCACGACCAGTAAGTTCCGCTCTTGCTCAGCTTGGGGTCGGAAACCACCTACACAACACAACAGAAAGATCATCAACTCCCAATCTGAGCAAAATCAAGGTAAATCCCTGTTTGCAGTGACATGATAGGCAGGGTTTTGGAGGACTGAGCATTTTCATTGACAGACTGGAAGGACGGACCAGATGCATGTCATAGCTCTTGACTTAAAAGGTGAGTGCAAAACCATTGAGTAGCTTCTTTTAGCCAATGCGTCAGTCTGGCGGAATTGTTATGGGCAGCAGCAGAGAGCCAGCTTCGCATCTCCTTGACATCTGGTGCTTCAGAGTCATTAGGGACAGCTGCACAGAGCCAACATCACTGATCCTGGCTGCCAAAGGGATGACTAAGAGCGGTGACTAACCTGCGCCAGGCGCTTGCCGGCCTCGTCCTCGGACACGTAGCCCTTGGTGATGTACTTCTGGAAGGGGGGGAACAGCGTACGGAACAGGGGGATGTGGTTACGGAACAGCCCGGTCTCGGCGATGCAACCGGGGTAGAGCGAGGAGAAAGTGACGCCCGTGCTGTCGTGCAGCCTCCGGTGCAGCTCGCGCACCGTCAGCATGTTGCACACCTGCGCAGAAGCAGCAGAGGCAGATTTCAGCATGTTACCAGCTCTGTACATAACGCTTAAAGGATTGCCCTCCAATACCTTGGCGATTATTGGATTGCAGACCCGGCAAAGCCTGCGCATGTCATCCCCGTGCAGATTCTCATTGTGGATGCCATTTTTTTGCTGTGAGCAGATTCGTCCCTTGTCCACACACAGATTATCACAGAACCTTGCCAGATCTCTGGGTTCCAGACAAGCCCACAGACAACAATTCCCCCCACATTAGTTATGAGGTCTTTCATTTCATCTATGCGCCCATGATAAAACTCCACAGCCCCATACCACCCCATAAATCCTGTCCAAGTTTGAGGTCCCAAGGGCTAGATTTCAGGCCCACCTTGGAGTCCTTGTAGGCCTTGGCACCGTCGAAGTCTCCGCCGTTGATCATGGGCGCGATGCGGCCGTCCACACCGGACGCCAATCCGCGCAGGTCGCCCAGATCCGCCTTGGGGGGCACGTTGCCCGCCAGAGTGTTGGTGTTGCCTGTGCACACGCGCACTCTGTACGTTTAGATGCCGTCACTCCCCGATAAAACCCATGGACCCAGGAAACCCTGTGAAAATTCTGAAGCGATGTTGCCCTCTAACAACTGGTTTTGACTGCACAAAGCACGAACGTGTAACTTTGCTAATGGATGAGATATGAGGGAGAAAGACAAATGAGTAACTTCCTGGCTCCTCCCGCTGCAAAGGGCCAGTCAGGACGAAGGCAGATATAAAAGAGAGGCCCCGATTCAGGATGCAACCCCATAGTATTGTCTTGCCTTCATGGGTCTCAGTCCAAAAGCAGCAGTTCTTTCTTCTAAAACCCCTCCAGCCAGCAATAGTACGTAGCAAGCTGCTGGAGGCAGTCTTCTGATCATGCAAATCCTTGCTTTAAAAATATGAATGGGCATGAGTTACTCACCGGTGATTGATCCGACGATGATGACGCGCTTGAGGCTGTCAGCGGGGGCTGACTGGATGTCCTCCAGCAGCAGGTTAGTCAGCAGGAAGTGGCCCAAGTGGTTAGTCGCCACGCTCAGCTCAAAACCGTCGGCTGTGAATGTGGGCTCCTTGGCTGTCGGGAGGTACACCGCTGCGTTGCAGACCAGCACGTCCAGCCGCCTGCCGCTTGCGCGGAAATTCTGCGCACCGTTAGTCAGCAATCAGTCAGCGATGTACGAGTGATTGACCAAGTCAGGACAACTTCGGAGGCGAAGTTTTGCAATGAGAGGGTGAGAAAGACAAACGCACACAGCAGCCGTGATGGCTGCAATCAGCAGGCACATCCTCTTGCCTATCATAGCCGTTTGCTGCTTTGGTATGGCCTTCCAAGGCAGGCACAAGGCTGCAAGTAGACACGCACAACCGCCATGCTTTGGGATGGCCTTTTCAAGGCAGGCACTGGGTGCAAGTAGCACGCACACCAGACACAGGCCTGTTCCAACCCGACAAACAGGCAACCAAGCTGCTGCAGCAGTGCTACTCTACAGAGCAAAGGACCTTGAGGATGCCCATCACACCCATGTACTGGATACACACACTGCCAGCGTCCCAGATACTCTGTGAAGTAGCCCAGTCCTTCTTTGCCACTCAGCCCAGCGCAGTCCCACAGATTGTGGGGAGAAGTTGACAGAAAAAGTTTCACTCACTTCGACGAACGCGCGCACGGAGTCGAAGGCGGCGAGGTCGAGGTGCATGATGGTGCGGTTGGCCTTGGGGATCCCGGCGGCGGCCGCGGCGGAGGCCGCCTTAGAGTAATCCCGGCAGGCCATGATTACGTGCCAGTCGCCGCTCTGGCCCAAAGCGCGCGCGGCCGCCAGACCCAAGCCCGAGGACGCCCCCGTGATGATCACCTGCCGCAGGAATTTTGAAATACCAAGATCTTGAATGCTTTCACAGTATGTCCTGCCACATGATCATATGCCCAGAAGAGACACACCCTGAGATGGGAATATTCAAAATGGGCTCTAAGTAGCTGGCTCTAGCATCAATTGGGGTGCCTTGGCTTCCAATATATCTGGGCCAGCTCTGCTGCCTAGAAAAGTACATGGCCATCACTGTCCCTCACCTTATATCCTTGATAGACAGGCATGCGAGTCCACTACAGTCATCACATGCAAGGAGGCCAAGCGATGCACTGAGATGGTAAGTGGCATCGCAGCGGTTGCCCATCCCTTTCCCTGCGACCAGGGCCGGGAAAGGTAGTCTTTGTTACGGTGGTCCGCAAGTGAGGCACGCACCGTGGGCTTCTGAGTGGCTTTGTCGCTGGGAGCGCTGCTGGTGGGGCCCTTGGTTGTGGGCCGAGCAGGCGCCTCCACAGTCGCTGTTGCGCTCGTGCGCACCGCGCTGAGGCAATGCCTCCTCGTCTGCCTCGCCTGCAGCTGAGCGCCCTGCAAAGCAGAGTTTGCGAGGATGAAAATAATTGAAAAAATCTTCAATTAAGTGCGTGCCAGGAGCACAAGACTATTGTCTTCGACCTGAATACTGAGTCTGACAGATGCCTTGATGCATGAACGCTCCAAGCAAGCCAGTTTCTACTTGCACGGTTTGGATCTGTGGAATTGAATGCTTCGGTGCATTAGTTTGTGGGCATGGGTGCAAAAAGAGGTCGTCTGAAGCACACCTGGAAGGCGGTCTTCTGAAGGAGGATGGGTGCAGCAGCTGGGGCAATAGCTGCCTTGTGCTGGCAGACAGTCGCTGCGGGCTTCATGCTCTGAAGGGAGCTGGTCATAGCAGCCATCTGCAGGGCACATGATGTGCGCTTCAGCGAGATTTTGCCATGCTTCACGTAAAGAAGCAACGATAAAATGAGTTTCATAAAGGTACGCGATGTACACATTCTAATAATCACACATCTGATGTCGGATTGCTTCAAAAGTCAAATTTCATAGCCGATGTCGTAACGAGAAGTTTGCTACCCAGTGTTCAGCTTTATTGCACACGCAAGTGACACTTCAAAATGTCTGGAACTATATTAAGAAACCATTTAGCAGGACCTGATAGCAGTAAAGGGCGTGCAAAGGCCTGCCCGAATACTGCAACACACCCAAGTACTAAATGTGACGGCTAGGAGGACTGCGAACGCCGTGCAGCAACCCTTACCTTATGGTTTTGAGGCAGCAGTAACTTTGACAGATTGTTTTGGGCGTTTTCTTGGAGCGATGCTCAATCGCAATTTGCTAAGAATGGAAAGTCGCCGTGCGGATAGCGCATGCCAGATCACCATAATCTCCTGAGCGGATGAGATTCTCTATTCGTGGCCTGCCAAAGCCACAGCTGGACAAAATCTGCATGACGTTTCGACACTCTGCTCTCCCTCTCTCTCTTCATCCATGCGAAATCGAAATCAAAAAAATTGACAGACTTCAGATCCATGGATGACCAAATGCATTGCAGAAAAGGTTGTGCTATGATTGTCCCACATGTATGCGAGGCATCATGTCTCTCAGGGTCATGCATGTAGCAGCCTTTGCACATGTCAGCAGTATACTAGCACTAGCCCACTCAGTAAACCGCACATGTAAGCAGCTCACAGAAAAAACCAAGCAAATTTGCAGCATATGCTCTGAAGCAGATTTGAGTGCAAAGCTTGCCGGTGATCCGCCAACTTGAAACATGAACATTGCATTTGCTTGCATCATGCATGATGCCCTCCCAGTGATTCAAACGAGCAATACCGTATCGCTGCAGAATGTACTATTGCCCATCAGTCATGGCCGGCACAATCCTATATATCGGCGTGGTATGCATCGCTTCAGACTTAAGTCTAGACTAAGCTTAGTCTAGATCTAGCCAGCATGCAATGCTTGTCAATCATAAAACCAAAAGCAACGGAACCCTTCCAATCAGGAGGTCAGCAGTAAAGCCAGTGCAATGTCGCATTATCCCTCAAGGAGCTCCACGACCATCCATCAATATTGGATTAATCTCACATTATGTATGTCACATCCGCTTGTCATCCTGCTGTATGTAACCACGTATCCTCAGCGCTTTGATACAAAAATCTGCAGACCTGTAGCACAAGACTGCCTCCAGCTGGGCCGCACAGTGACAGCCTTATACAATATCAGCACACATGTCAGGAACCATCACTCATGGCAATACTGGGCTGACACTTCACTCACTGCCCTTTTGCGGAAACAATCATACTCGCATGCCAGGCAATAAGCTGCACACAGCCAAAATTCACCCCCATCCACTTAATAGTAAATCTGCCATGGCCCTCACGTACATGCTATCAATGCTCAAGTATGCGTCCTATCAATGATCGGTGTCAATACACTCTCAGCCTGCCACAACCCTCATAGCATATATGAGCGCACTCTCCAGAAAATCTGCGTAGCAGTGTCAACCCGGAGAGCAACAGTGCCAGCTGGCGGCAACTCATGCCACAACCTGATAGGCTTTCCTGGCATCAGTCAACTTCTGTGACCTATGAGCAGTACAGTGAGGTTCTCCTGCACCTCAAACAGTGCCAACAGCCACCTTCCCACTCGTGATAAGTGTTGGAATGTTTCGGTGAAGCCCAGGCTTGGCAAATGCAGTGCCGATGTGGTAATTTTGTCTGTCGCCCCTACGCTGCAGCTCAGTAGAAGACACCCTCGTGGTGCAGGTGTGCTGTCTGGTTCAGGTTTGCCAGCATGGCCTCTCCCTTCGTGTTCACCCTGCAAATGAAACACACCTGAGACCAAAGCCCCACATGGCAATGGTCTTCATTCCAGCAACTGACCTCTAGGAACATGAGGGGCTCCCCTATCTAACTACATGAAACTGCCCCCTGGCTGACCAAGAATCCCAGTACAGTATTCACTTCCTTCCGTCCAATGACTTGCTATCAGCTGTTGCGTATCAATTTTGTGCCATGTAGTTCTGCATTCACACATAAGCATCCGTTCTAGATCTTCCCCAACATTCAGACACCCCCAGAGTTTAGTGCTAGGTCAGTGCACGCAACAATAATAGCACCGCTCCACCAGGCCATGTAATAATTTGTTTCTCAAAGCACGCAATGTCATCACTAGTGCTCCTGGGCCGGGAGATGCTTCTTTTGTCAAGCACTGAATTTGCACAGCAAGGTAACCCTTCATCCCTTCTTGGCGCTCGCACTGCCTTGCATGTCTTGCAGTCTACCTTGGTTTGATTCCCCTGAAAACCCTACCAAAAGGGGCGCAAACCTGAAGGTGCAAATTCCGCCATTGTTGACATCAAACGCGCGGAAGGAGGACGCCGGAAGGCCCAGAGACACACAGATGAGCGCGCGCAGAATGGACTTGTGCGTAACCACCAAATGCTGCTGCCCGGGCGCCTCTAGTATATCTGCAGTGCATCACACCAGGCACACCTCAAGACATCCCAATGATGCTGAACCTGGCAAAGCAGCAGCTTGAAGCTGGACTTTATGGTTGCGGTACAAGGACTTCAATGTTGACCACAGAGTCCAAAAAGAGCTCCACAGCAGAAGTGTGGACAGAACAATTTAGTCTTTGGGTGCATTGGCGCCCAAAATTTTGCCATTGGCAAGCACTTGGGACACCAAGCACATGAGGCAATGAGAACTCGCGGCCAAGTAATGCAGTTACCAAAGATGTCATCGGTGACTCACCCTGCCAGGTGGCGGCAGCTGCCGCAAAGACCTCCTTGACCGGGTACCGTCCGCCGATGCCAAAGTCGCTAGGACTCTTCCTCCAATGCGACCCTTCCAGAGTTTGCAGCGCCTCATCTGCACTCAAGACACCTCATTATACTTTATTTTAGCCTGTTGAAAGCTGTCAAAGAAGTCTTTTTTCTCTCATTACCACGGGACAAGGGATCCTGAAGAGGCCGAAGATGGCGCCAAGAAGATCTGAGGAGCGTCTCATTGACACTCCATAGAGGTAGGAATTCATCTATGCGAGGGTGCATCCTTCCCTGCAGAGTTGGCCCTTAAAGCCCACCCTGCAGCTGCGATTCCATTGAAATAAATAAGGTGTCTTTGTACCTTGGCGCATGCCCTGTAGCCAGCCGAGATGGGCCTCCTTCAGAGTGTGCATGGGTATGAGCGGCCGTTCCCTCCCTGACCACGTCAGCTCTGCAAATTTCCTTGCCCGCTTGATCGGGCTGGTGAAACAGCTGCGCAAGCACAAGAACCCTCATTTTTATTCCGCAGTCATGTTAATGCAGGAAAAGGGAAAGCAGTATAGAGGAGCATGCTGCTTTCTAGAAGATCTTACGACGTCAAGCAATGGGCGCGCAAAATAACGGGAACAGAAAGTTTGGTTCCTCTGCGGCTGTCAATCACGCATTGCACTGCCTGACAAAACCAAAGGGACCTAACAGACTCAGGATGCACCCTCACGCACCTGTCAAAGGGCATTCTGCTCAGTGCATTGCGCGTGAGCTCTGCCTGCTTTTCCCCAAATGGGGTGAGGATTGATAGATCAGAGTCCCCCTGCAAACACATTTTAAACAGTCTTGGTTCGTCCCTTGCCTGGTACGTGCAATGAGAGACACAGATGATTGAACTCCCTCACAAAGCTGAAGCAAATCTCCTGGCCTGATGGCAAAGGACCCAGAAAGGAGCTGTGATGTCAAATCACACCTGGATGCGCTTCTGCTCATTCCAAGTAGTCATGCCATGCCGCACAAAGACCACAGTCTTCTCATACTCCAAGGGATGGTTCACCAGGGCAGTACCAGGCCCGGCTGTGGCCATATCCGAGCTTCCTGTGTTGTAAGGGCTGCGTGGGACCTCCGATGCTGACGGTTTGCCATTCTGCGCCTGCTGAACTTCAGTCGCGCCGGCCACACTCTGAACAGGGGCTCTCCGCTTGAACTGCGGCCTCAATGAGCCCAGAGTGCCTCGAAATGCTGGGAATTGCCCAGGAAAACGGACTGAGGGCCTCTCCACTGACCCAGAAATCCCTGCAGAGACAGAAACAACACTGGGTGAAGGAAGACCACCCAAGATGACGGACGCCTGCACGACCTTGACAACATCATAGGCGCCAATTCAGCGTCATGCTCATATATTTTAGCGCAAATTTTTCTCTTTACTCATGTGTTATCAAATTCGTCGCTTGCTAGCGCTGACTTCCAGGGGGGTTGCCTTGCAGAAAGTGTTCTTGTCAATCTCGAGGCATGGCTCACCTTGTCCTCCATGAGACACCTGCAGAATATTCATTGCCGCCACTGTGAACTGAAAGTTAACTTGCAACCAGCAATGCACTCGTGAACCTCCAAGTACTTTTCGATTCTGCGGGCAACTCGGCGATCGCAATACCAGTAAGAAGTATGACAATGACAAGACAATCTCAACGCATGTGATAATTCGATGGTGCCCAAAATTCACCGTGCTGACAGTCAATGCTTGAACTGTGCACCACATCATTGGCATACAGACAGACGGCGTTCCATGGAAGAGGAATTTGGTGTGCTGAAACAGGTCTCAGCAATTAGACAGAAATTTGAACATATCTCATCGAATCGTCTGGAATAAGCGAACGCAGTGCAGTGAGATAGTGAGGAAACTGAAGATGGCAACTGATACGGATCCATCCACAAGCGGCAGGGAAGAGGATCCCAGCCGCGTACTTTATATTGGGTGCGTGTTGCTTGCGCTGTCCTACTCCTCATAAATGTATGTTTTGATGAGATACTTCGTGATCTAAATTCTTGGGAAACTGTAAATGTGCCTGAACCTGATCTTCTCACTGTATATGAATTCTGGGCTGTGGTACTCACGAACCTATCGCGCTCTTCTCGCAGGCATCTACCACACGGTTTCTATGAAGATCAATTGAAAGGTACTTTCATTCCAACAGCTACGTTGTCATTGCCACTCTCTTGCTTTCGGCAGGGCCCTTGTGTAGTGCAAACTCTGACGTCTTCAAGCCTGGTGGGTTCAGGTTTCTTCACACAGTTTGGCCGTGTGACCAAGGTCAGGCTTTCCCGCAACAAGAAGACTGGAAAGGCCAAGCACTATGCCTTTCTGGAGTTCCAGTACCCAGAGGTTGCCGCAGTTGCAGCGACAGCCATGGACGGCTACATGCTGTTCAAGCAGAAGCTCTCGGTCCATGTCATGCCAGCCAAGGTGCAGAGAGCTCTGCTCTGTGCGCCCTTCTAATTTTGACCTCTTGCTCTCCAGATGTTGTTCATGTACAGGCATGCAGCTGGCTTGATATACAGCATTTAGTGGCGCTCTGGCAGGTTTTATTGATTGGTGGTGACACAGGCAGAATCTGGCATGTGCAGGATGTGCATGCAGACCTTTGGAAGGGCGCCAACCGCAAGTTTGACAAGATCCCCTGGCGCAAGGTGGAGATGGAACGCCACAATGCAGAGCGCACTCCAGAGCAGCAGGTCAGTACATGCATGCGAGATAAGCAAGTGTTTCTCTGGTCACTAGTAATCAGATGACCTCTAGATGGGGCACCCTATCACAGCATGCATAGCACGGGTGCGCAAAGCCAGGCCTGGTTTGGGCAAAGTAAATAATGCATGGATCTGCTGTGCTAAATCACGCATGTCGCATCCGCAATTTTTTGGAGTGGGATTTGACAGCCTTGGTACACAGGAGAATGAGACCATTGTCCAGCTGCTTGTGGAAAGTCAGTATTGTTTTTCAGATTGCCTTGATATTGTGAGCATTCATGCGTCTGCAAGGGATATTTTCAGATGGTGATCCTGCTGACAGCGCTTTTGTGGGCTTTCTGCAATCTCATTCTTTGTGTGTGGCCTGCAGCAAGCTCGGCTGGAGCGGGCTTTGAGGAGGGACAAGCAGAGGCAGAAGCGGCTGCTGGAGGCAGGCATTGACTATGAATACAAACCCCTGGAGGCTGCCCTGGCGCCCAAGCCAAAGCACAAGACATTCAAAGAGGATGAGTGATCTAGAAGCACAAAACGCCAAATTTAAATGCAACAGGAGTCTTGTAGAGGGACCTTCATGACATAGTAGCTAGGAGCAATCCAACTGGAAATTGAAAATACCATGATCCATATGACAGTGGCAAGTGTAGAGTTGAGGATATTGTGTGCTGCCTGTGGAGTATATAATGACAAGAGGGCGGTCTGTATGATATAATTACTGCTGATGCAACCGGTGGTTAGATTTCTGGCAAATGACTCTAGATCATAGCAAGGGTTGTGATGATAATGCTTCTGTGTGAAGGGTTTTTGCCAATCATGTTGGATGCTTTACATGCAACTTGCTTGTTTGAATCACTAGACAGTTTTTACATTGATGCCGACAAAGCACAAGTCCGCACTGGAAGAGATCAAAACAAACAGCACAAGTACCCTCACCCCGGGAATTTGACCTGAGGATATCTAAATGGGTAACATTCCATTCATCTCCCATCTATATAATTGATTGCAAGATGCAGTTGGAAACCTTCCAAAACTACAATGCTAAAAAGACAAGTTCTGTAGAAACAACAGAGGTGACCCGATGACTCAGATCACTGGGGAAGTTCAGCCTTGCAGCTCTTGTGACACCCAAGCAGCATCACTACCCAGCAGATACCAGGCAGAGACACCAAACCCACTGTGACGAACCACAGATCTGTATTCTGGCAAATATCTGCCTCTCAGTAAAACATCCGTGGACATATTCCCACTCCAACGGAGACCCAAGCAGCCTCTACCCAACATGCACCGCAGCTCCTCAGACTGACTTCAGAAGCAGCCAAGGCCAGGAACGCCCTCTACTTGATTGACCCCTCCTGAAACACACTCTGCGCCTGTTCAGGCGGTCTTCTCCCAGATGCCAAAGTCTGTCCCGCTGACAGCAAACTTCCAGCCATCCTCCTCCTTGGGCAGCAGGTCCCCCATGTCGTAGCGGGGGCCCATCTTGATGGTGACACTGCAGCACGCACATCAGATCGTATCAGTATGCATCCAATCTATAGCTAAAACAGACTCCTCTCAATTGCAGACAGTCCAACTCCATGATGGAGTTCTGATATTCCTTGATCTGCACGAAAGTCAAGACTCTTGACAGGGATTTCTTCGGGGCAAAATCAGGCCTTTATGATGGAATAAATGCAATGAAGGCACTGCAGATGCATCTGCCGGTGCATACACGACACCGAGAAAAGGCTTTTAGGAGGCGATGCGTGGAGGCATCTGCCGTGGTTCCAGAAACCTTAGTGACGCATCCAGCAAGAGAGCCCGTGGGGGCAGATCTGAGTGCGACTGATACTGGCAGATTTAGTAGCTCACTTGTCATTGATGCGCGCGACGTAGAAGTCATGGTCGGCAGCCAGGATCTCGATGTTGGAGCCTGCCGTGATGCCGGCGCGCTTGCGCAGCTCGATCAGCTGGTCGATTACGCCCTGACATCAGCACAGGAGTGATGTCAGCAACATGATGTCAGCAAAGTCACCCCGTCTGAACAGGGTCCTGTCCGAGTAGCCTGCAAGGCCGCACAGAGGACACATGCTGCTAGCAAAGGATCATTTTGACCCCAGAGTGCTTCTCGCTGTGCCTCATTCTTTGACTGATCAGTCAGCACTCCTGTGCTTTGCAGCAGTGAACCTTCAGTGGGTTGCTAGAATGCAGCCACTCTGGTTGATGTCAGAGCATGCATGGCGGGGCCACGCCCGCATGATGGGATACAATGTGGAACACAATCCGCGCTGTTGTGATGAGCGCACCTTGTAGCCGTTGTCAAAGTAGTGGTCCCAGAAGATGGTGGGGTTGCCCGGGTGAGTGAACAGGTAGGCATAGCCCAGGTCCACGTGCGAGTCAGGGAAGGGCCAGTGCTGCTGCGTGCTGCCTGCACACCGCCGCACATGGACGCCACATCAGCAACCTTGTTTGACAAAACAGCTGGTTTGTGATCGCTCACATGCTGGCAAACATTTTGCTGACCAGTTTAGCAGGCATTGATGCCAGGTGTCCAGTCAGTCCCTGATTACCCCACATCAGGCGAGCTTCATAGGGACTAGGGGCTTTGGCCTGTTCTGCCTAATAAGTACCCTCTGTGACCTTGTACCCACACCCACCACTGCAGTACCAAGCCAGTGAAGCACACATTATGCCTGGACTTTCAATCCATGTAACCAGCTTCAGCGACCACATGCCTAGCCTTGATGCCAGGTCAGCATACTTATCAAACTCTAGCACCGCTCAACCGGGTCAAGTGATCACTCCTTTACACTACCATCCCTCTAATCCCAGGGAAGTATGTGAGCAAGAGCAGGGTTTGCTGGCGCACCGGTGTCGTGGTTGTCAATGAAGGTCACGGACTGCTCAGGCCAGTAGCCGATGACTCCGGGCGGCTTGTTGTTCTCATCGCGCAGGCGCCAGTACTGGCAGTTCTTGACAGCCTCCTGCAGGATTCCCTTGGTCGGGAAATCAAAGGCGGCCGACGCGCCGCCGGCACCGTCGATCCAGTTGACAATTGTCTGCCGTGCGTCGTTCTGGTTGTAGTCCAGTTCAGCGCCGTTCCACCTGCGCGCACGCCGCCAGCACATGTCGGCACATGCCGTAGCAGAAGCGCAGCACTTTGCATAAGCAAGTTCGGGCCTGTGTTGGCACATGCCCCTGCCGCATCTAGCATACTTTGTTTTTAGTCTGTGCTGTTTCACCGATTGCCTCACACGAGACAGACTGAACCCCCGCAGGCCTCATGCAGAAGGTAAGCCGCAGAAATGTGCTGCCGTGTACAGACAACTAGCATTTTTGTCTCTCCTGGGTTTTCACAGCTGGTCCGATGCCGGCTAATAGGCAACAAGTACCGCTCAAAAGAGACTGCATGCTACTCAACGCCCATGTGCCTCACTTAGCTGCCTCCCCCCTTCGGGGCATGTGAATTTCTATACAGCACACACAGAATGCATGTTTTCCATGCACTGATCACTTCTTGCGCTCACCTGAGGTCGACCCAGTACTCGCCAACATTGAAAGTTCCCTCGCCAACAGTCTCCAGGACGTATTCCTTGATGAACTCCGGGCCATAGCCCTTGACAAAGTCAAAGCGCCAGCCCTCATAGCCGATGTCCTCCTTCAGGTGGTTCAGCCAGTCCTTCAGGTGCGAGCGCAGGTCCTCGTTCAGGTGGTCCAGATCTGGCGGCAGCCCAGCACATCGCATGAGTCAGTCTTACTATTCACAGCAACCCTGGAACACGTACATCACTGCTGTGTGCATCCGACACATTCAGGCTGAGTACCTCAGAAAGGGAGCTTTGCCCCTGGCTCAGGAGCGCTACAGCTGCTCAACATGCTGCCAGGATAAGCACTTGCATGCTGAAAGTATGTGGCCCCTGGGCCTGCCCTAGTTCAAATAATTAGCTGGCACGGTACACCAGGACGATGCAGGCCTTTGCAGAGCAGAGACTGCTGAGCCACATCAGCGACCAGCTTCATTGCCACTGTTCCATTTTCCATTTAACAGAACATCGCACTGGGTGATACACTCAGGAGCATACCGGGGGCCGGGCCGTAGTCATCGCCGGTGTCGGGATTGCCAGTGCCGCCAAACTCTGGGTCGTTGCCTGTGATGGCCCATTGGCCCCAGTCAATCTTCTCCCCAGAGTGGCTGACATCATCCCTGCGCACAGACCAAGTCTTCACATGTGAGGCTCCCGTTCACCAGCTGTTGAATTCCACCCCCTCTTGTCTGCACGCGCCTTGGAGGCTGTCACCGAGCATACGTGCACAGCGTTGGAGAGGTCGATTGGAGTGGGGACCACAAAAGCTCATGACCAAGACAGGAAAAAGCCCTCTGGCAGATTGGAGGCTGTCCCTCTCAACTTCTTCCTGTCGGAAGAGTCAAAGTGATCGAGTGCCCCTTAGACCAAGCTGATGGCATGCCTTTGCATCCATACCCTGGATGTCATCTCATGCATTGCCCCTTTTGGAAAAGGTCAAGCTGGTGCTCAAAGTCCAGTCACACAAATCAATGCCCACCTGAAGTTGTTCCAGACCCCGTTCTCGTCCTGAGCATCAGCGCAGCGGTGGTTGATGACAATGTCTGCCACTGGGACCAGACCGGCCTCCTTCAGGGCTGCCAGAAGCTCCTTCAGCTCCTCTTCGCTGCCATAGAGGCTCTGCAGGTTGTACAGCTGCCCAGGCAAGTAGCCCTGGCACACCATCACAAATCAGCATTATTGTTAATATTACTGTTACTAAACGCTTTCCCTGCCAGAAGGCAAGGTACGTCCTGCAGACAAGCCGCAGTAAAATCCTATCCCTTTTCTCGCCAAGATCCAAGCAGGGCCCAATCAAATGTGGGCACGGTGCTCAGTAATTACACCGCATACATCAGCATGCATCGTCATTTGTCAGCTTCCATGCAAGCACTGCACGCCAGCTGCTCCAAGAGGGTGATAGGTTGATTGGGGAAGGGCATCTTGCTGTCAGCGAGGCGGCAGTAGGTAAGCAAGGCATCAAGAAGCAAGCAAGGAAGAGCAGTGTCTGGCAGGGATCTGTGCAACGGTGGTGGATGACTCACTTGGCGAGACACAGACTGGCTCGGGGGTGGCAGCCACACATGCGTCACTCCAGATGCCTGCGTGAACACACCTCATTTCTGGTCAATCCCTTGGGAGACAGTTTTGAAAGCACAACAAGGTGAAACAGGCAACCCTGTGTTGTAGGGCAGGAAGGAGGCATGCCCACCTTGATGTCGGGAATCTTCTCCTTCACGATTTTGTACCAGCCGCCCTTGTCGCAGCTGTCCCATCCGAATGCTGCAGCATCAAATGTGGTCGCACTTAGGGGTTAAGCAGTGCAGCAATTCATCACATCGAGCAAGTGCCCACTACCTGGGTGACGCCCCCCATGCCTTCCATTTACACAGACTATTTATAAGGCGAAATCATTCCGTAAAGCGTTTTTGCGTAAATCAGAGGCGGCTAATTAATCCAACCACCGACGCCCAAGGCCTTCAATCGGATCAAAAAATAAAACGTTCAAAGGAGCTCGTTCCGGGTGCAGAATGCTCCCATTGGCATCTTAGATTCATTTACAGCTGCTGTAGCAAATTTGCGCGCTCTGGTAACAAAAATGCGGAGAAAGCGCGTGCTGGCAGAGCCATCGCATGGGGATCTGGCAAGAAGCTGGGCACCTCACCTTGTAGGAGCACCACCTTGCTCAGGTCTGGCTTGCTGACTCCTACGACCTTATCCGCCACATCCTTGGCCGTGTCTGCTACCTTCGATGCTGTCTTCTTCAGCTTTTTCTCGGCGGTGGCGACTGGGGTGCTGGCAGCCACAGTGCGCTGAGCAGACACCCGCTTGGATTGGACCCGTGCCTTCGTTTGGAAAGCCAATACCTGCCTGCCAAATTGGTGCGGGATGGTGGAGCAGGAGCAACCCCCAGACGCGAGCGCGCGCCCTGAAACCTGCATCTTGCTTACGGGATTCGCAGTCTCACTCCTCGCAACACTGGCTATCACTCAATCCGCCAGGTCAGCTCAGATATACAGATGTCCAGGCAGTCCACTCCTTCACAAATGTTGCCAACTGCGGCTGTCATGCTCGGCTGGAGCACTACAGCGCTCCCAAAGACCAGGTACACCGTTATAGACAGGGCACAGCCACGTGGATTACAGAACCCTGCACTTTATCATCTGTTCAACTCAGCTGAAGAAAGCAACAAGTCATCATTATTGCACCTTTGCAAAATCAAGTCTCAGAGGAAACACTTTTGAACCCCGCATCTCGATCTTTTTCTAGTGTTGACGCCAGTGAGAATATGTTGCCGTGTAGCCACACTTGCAGCTCTGATTTCTCTTTACGAACGCCATCACACGAGTTCAGATGCATAATCAAAATGTTAAGTAGATCAAAGCTGCAATTGGCCGCGTCGATCCCGCAAAGCTCAGGTGGATCCTTACTGCAGTTACAGATCTACCCATCGGAAGAGACCTGGGGATGTTCCCTTTCAAAATCCCCCTTTGCAACTGAGTTCCGGATCAATCCACAAGTGCACAACCCTAGAGCAGCAGTGCCCTGGTGGTGTCCTTCACAGATACTGAAGTCATGGAGAGATCTTGTGCATTCAGGAGCCTCGCCACAGAGGCTGCTGGCCAGGAGAGGGAGCCATGCGCAGCAGCGCAGCAGGGGGCAAGCATGCAGAGCCAGCAGCGGGGGCAGTCCCAGCACATATATTGGCAGCCTCAGCTCGCAGGGCCTCAAATTCGGCATCGTGGCAGCGCGCTTCAATGAGCTCGTCACCAAGCCGCTGCTGGAGGGCGTGCTTGAGGGCCTGGAGAGGCACGGCACGCAGCGTGAGACCGTGGATGTGAGGCCCCATCCTATGCTGGGGAAAGTACAGGGCCAATCCAGAGATCTCAACTGTGGCATGCACTAGAATATTGTCTTCTGCTCTTAGGCACAGGGGAACAACACATCACTCAGTTGCTGAAGTCGCCATGTCCATGATTAGGGTGCTTGCGTGTGTTCTGCCATGTCAACCGCGTGCCCACAACGCTTTTGGAAGTCTTCTCCTCCATGCTGTGTTGCGAGCTGGTGAATCTAGGCTCTCTGGGCCTCCGAACATTGCCACCAAACCTGGCTCCCATTCAGAGTGAGCAACCACCCAGCAACTTGAAGGTAAAACCCGTATATTTGTAACTTAGGACAAGACTTTGTCCAACCATCCAAGGTTGTCAGTGCCTGAGATGGAGTCTGCATGCATGCGCGCAGGTGGCCTGGGTTCCAGGCAGCTTCGAGCTGCCGCTGGTTGCCAAGGCCATGGCCAAGAGCGGCCAGTACGACGCCGTCATCACTGTTGGGGCTGTGGTATGATCCCTCTGCTGCTGAAATTGTCCCCCTTTATACTCTTCAACAGAGATGGACCTATTGTGGTGCCATCCCAGCATTCTCCCTGGGTAGCGGAGTGAAGGTGAAGACAGCTCTTTGCAAGGAATCTGTCAGGAGGCACCGCGGCCATTAAGGCATGGCGTATCATGGTGTCTGCCATGTAAAGCAAATTGTGCTACAACGACTGGCCTGCAGAAGATTCCCTCAGTTTTTCTTCGGCGAATCAAGAGCGAATGCAAGACATACAAAGCAGTGCGAGCGGCAATGTAAGGAGAGAGGGCTGTCTCACGGTTTTTATGCAACGATTTCAACATGCCAGACGCCTCTGGTCCAGGAGCATGATCGACCACAATATGTACACGCAGTGAAGTGTGGGTCGTGAAGCTAAAACCTGAAGAGGTTATTTCCCTTGTCCCGCAACAGGTGAGGGGCGCTACGGCGCACTTTGACGCGGTGGTGAGCGGGGCTACGGGCGGCGTGCTGAATGCGGGTCTGGACAGCGGCGTTCCCGTAATCTTCTGTGTCATGACCACCGACACCATGGAGCAGGCAAGTGCAGCATTCGATGCTGTCGGAATTCCCAACAAAAAACTGTTTGTCCTGCTGGATCAATGTTTTACGTCCTGCAGCACTGATGATGTTGCTCCGTGGCTTGCATGGGATCGACCGCAAAAGGGCAGGGATCATTCTGCTGTATCTTGAAAGATAAAGACAATGGCGGGACATGCTGGATGCCTAATCTGCTTGTGCACCCTGTTGTGTGCGAGAGTTCCGGTGTGGGATTGCCTGTGCAACCCCTGCATCCCACAGTGGATGTGTAGAAAGGATCCCATTTTCTTGGAAGGAGATCATTTTGTTGCCAGAAAAGAAATAAGACACATGTGCTCGGCTACCAGGGGATTGAGTTGTGAGTGCTCCCGCAGGCGTTGGATAGAGCGGGAGGGAAGTCTGGCAACAAGGGGTTCGAGGCGGCTGTGACTGCAATCGAGACAGCTAATGTCCTCAAGGCCCTTGGCCAGCAGGGGCTTGCAAAGGGGAGGGAAGCGTGGTAACACGGCCAGCAGTTTATCATGCCTAGTGCAGTAGTATTAACATCTGAACCTTGGTTCAACGTTGTAGAAATAGAGCCTGGTTTCTCTGATTGCTACCTGCGTTTGGCCTTCATTTGTGCGAAATTGATTCATCACAAGAATAGATGTCCAGGCATTGAGACCAGAATGTAGGTTTTGAAAATTGAAATGAGTGTCTGCAGATTTGGCAGCATGCATGCAGGAATTATATCAGGATACCTGACATGTTAGTTTGCAATTTTCAGCGTGGCAGGGATGTTTAATAAGTAATCTATGCAGGTTGGTGCCATTGACATGTCATGTACAGGACTTGAGACTGTAAGACATCTAGGAGGACTTTTGTTTCTTTCCTTGATATATGCATTACATGTACAGGTCAATTCTGACTCCGGTACCTATCTATGGCAATCTCCATCAGACATTGGTCTGCTGGCATATGCATATGCATGTTATGCACACAAGTCATGCACAAACAACGTTAATTAACTAAAGAACAATTGAAGAGCGCAGGAATAACACGCTATTTTCTTGTCTACACCGCAATGGGAATTTTCCCTGCTCTTGCACCTGTGGCAAGAACCTTCTGGGCTTTGCACTGAGCATCATGCATGTCATGCGAAGGATCTCCATGCAGCTGTATATCTTAAAGTTGCCCCAACTGTCCATCCGTTGCTTAATACCATGTCATGCGAAAGATCTCCATGCAGCTGTATATCTTAAGAGTTGCCCAACTGTCCATCCCTTGCTTAACACCAATTTCACGCTGCCTCTCCGGGGATGGATGTGAACTTCATCCTATCGTCAACCCTTTCTGATAAACATAATTCAATGTGATGATTCGCATTTTCAGGCATCTGGGCGGCTGGGCGGGTGCAGTGGCAGCCGCAGCTTCGACCCTTCAGGCACCTGTAACACATCAGCAATATTTTTTATCACCATGCAACCAGAACATCTTGAGCTGGTAAAGTATCCCCGATCAAGAAACTGCGTTAATGAAAGAAACATAACACGTCTTATAAAGACCTCAACGCCAAAGCAAGATGGAACATGACATCTGAGGAAAGCCACTATGCTGCCACCAATGCCTGATACTCTCAAGACCTTGAACACGACTAGCGCGTATGCAAGCATGGAATGTGCCACGCTTGCATGCAAACAGACAGGCGCATGCTTGGTACTGATCCACGGTGAATGAGGCCTTCGGATACAGCAAATCAGGCGATCTAACACCAAGGAGGCACCTGGTCCTCATGGCTTCGAAAGGCGTGTGATGATGATAATGATAATAGTGGAATGCAAGGCCATCCAGGTGTGATCATAATGCAACATTCCTAAAAATCTATGAGACGGCTGCCGGTCACTTTGGCGACCCGCACCTTGAATCCACCCTGGGCCTGCACGCTGGAACGTGGGGCGAATGTGGGCGCGATTGGGCGGGTGTTGGCATCAGTGTCCACCCAGAAACGCAGCAGGTGCCGCTTCTCATCACTCGCCTGCCCAACACATGTGATTGGCATTAGTCAATGTCCTACCTTCTTTCCACATCCAGAGCCTGTCGCAGTCTGCTTGGTGGGGCTTATTTGCGAGGTCGTGCAATATAGTCAGCAAAGCAGGCACATAAGGTGCCTTGAACGCTGCGCAATACCGCGCATTACAGATGTTCCAGTCTGGGATGCAGCTGCTTGGAAGCAAGAAGCTGCCTTGTGCATGCCTTCCCGGGTGTCATCACCGGCATTCCCCACAGGCAGCATGCACCTCACCACAGTGTGACTTTCTACATGGCTCATTTCAAACTACTATTATTATTGCGCGCTTTTCCTGCCAAAAGGCAAGGTACGTCCTGCAGACATGCTGCATTTAACGGCTGTCATAATCTTACCACTTGTTGGATTCGCCAAGTAGGACCCAATCAACCGTGGGCACGGGGCTCAGTATTTATACCGCCCCGTGCCAGCCGGGGCTGATTTCAAGCTTTACCCAAATTTTAGATTAAATTGAGCCTGTCTGCGGCGGCGTACCTCTCCGTCGACGACCTCGGAGCGCGAGTGCATGATGGAGGGGTTGTGGATCCATTCAATGGTGCCCGGCTCCAAAACTTGCGCAAAATGGAACTCCGGGTCCTCCGCCAGAGCCGCCACGGCCCTATGAATTCGAATTCAAATATTTAAATCACAGCGGCAGAACAGAACATCAGCAGTGATGCCTATACCTGACTAGATGCCGGCCGCACTGGAATGCCAAAAGCACAGAAAGGCCTTTAGCTGACTTGCTCCAGCCGCATCACAAATAAATGACTTAAAATAATGCCACGGCTGGCAAGTCAAAGACCCAAGGCTCAGCTTGACAGGGCACAGCCCATTGGACAATGCTCTTCCAAGATTTGCTGCAAGTATGGGCATGCATGCGAGCATGCTGCGGCAGTGTGCATGAGACTGTCAAAAAAGGCACCTCATGACCCAAACAGACACAGATTTTCCTCTGGTCACCACATGCTCGTGTAGCAATTCTAGAATCGGAGCACTGAGTGCCTCCCCTTGTGGCACCTCGCCTGGGATCCCAACTGCAACAGACACATCTGCCGGCCAATGGCATCTACTAAAATTCAGAATAAATTTCTGGCAGTGGTACCCACCAGAGGGCCTCCTCCTGCAGGGGGCTGAGCTCCTTCTCGACCTCCTGGTAGTTGTTGGACTGGTAGTACACCGACAGATAGCCGTCGTGGTATTCGAATGGGATTGTGGCCTCCTTGATCAGGTTTCCCGCCTCGTCCCTCTCGAAGCGCGCCTGGTCAAGCTTGCGTCCCACGTACCAGGGCTTGGACAGCACCTCCACCAGATCCTGCATATTTGAATTTGAATACAAATTCGAAATTTTATTTCAGGTTTGAATGTGGCCTAAATTAGACACCTTTTGTGATGTGGGGTGTTCTTTAAGGTGTGACAGCGAAACCATCTGGTGCAACGATGGCAGTGTATCAGATATGCGTCACAAAGACCGGATTTGATTTTCTGGAGGCTTTGAGGGAATCAAACGCCCAATGCTCAGAAAGACTTGTGTTTATGGACATCAAAGAAGCTAGGAAATTGCAGTCTGCCTTCTCAGGCGGACGGCTCCTGAAATTCCATGCAGGCTTATCGGTGCATGTCGCCAGTTGATGCTGCTGCACTTCTTGTGACATGTGCTAATGCAGGTTGTGCATCAGAAGGATAAGGCCGCCCTGGGAAGAACCTAGCTTACTCACCTTGCGGCCGCGGCGCAGCAGCTCGTTGTGGATCGCGATCGATGAGACCCACTTGCTGACACCGCCCTCCCTGCACACCAGCCCAGGTTTGCATCAGCCCAGAAGACTGCATACAGCAGATTAAAAAGACCCCCATCTCCGGTTTCATTTTCAAAAGGGCATGTACATCCTGTAGGCTGTGGACATGTGAAGGGAAGAATTACAGATGTCCAGGAGATGTTGGTTCTGGTGAACGAAAGGCTGCTCCCTCAAGACACGGCCGAGCATTCACAGCACTCAATCACTTTAAAATCACATGTTCAGCGGTTGCAGTGTGATGCATGACATCAGCATTTTGTTGTCCAGGTGCACCACGTTCTTCTAGCAAAGGCTGTCCGTGCAGAGGCAGAAACTGCCTTTGATCAATCTGCAGAACTCTACAACCCAAATTGAAATTTGAAAATTTTGAGATGCAACTTGCTGAAGAGGTTGAAAACAAGCAGGTTGAAAGGAGGTGAAAGGAGCTCACTTGGCGTTGGTGAGGGAGAGGAGGCTGATGAGATCAGTAGCTCCCTGGTCGGAGTGGAACACAAGTCGGATGGTGTCCACTGCATGCGCCTTGGTGCCCGCAGCTGCGCGCACATGCACACGCTGACTCAGCACGCAGCCACACAGACCCCTTATTTGGCTGATTGTTTCTAGTTGCCTTACTTGTATCAACTTGCTGCGCACCAAGCATGCTGCATGCCGGCTGCTTAGGAAGTACTGTGGAGATTACACGAGTCCCTCCTTTTAGCCTGGGTGCTACTTTGCTGGAACGGATTAGGTACTGCATAGTATTGTTATGCAGACTTACCTGAGAGCAGGGTCCTTCTGAACGTGACAGAGCCCAAAAAAAAAATGTAGAAATTTGCATCGCAGAGCTTTCTGCAAGAACTCCGTAATGGACGGCAATGATGAATTTTATAATGCTAGACCCTTAACCCTAGCAAGGGGTGCGCGACGCACGGCGCGCATGGCGGCCGACGGTGATGTGGTTGAGGACGGATCCGTAAGTCCCCCCGTTTGCGGACCCCTCATAGTCATGGTCCGTTTGTGACACCAGCGGGCGGCCCAGGTGCAAGGCAACGCCCCAGTATGCCAGCACCAAGCCCACCCTGTCACCCTTGTACTGATCCACTGGGAAGCCCCTGTGAAAGACGATTCAAATTTCATGCCTATGAGATGTGAGATTCAGCCATGATAAGATTCCACTCCAGCATGGAAGCACTGGGAAAACCCTGTGAGGAAAGAAGACTGAATTCAACGCCTCTGAGAAGAAGCCTTCCGCCATGATTAGGGGATTCCAGCATTCAGCAAAAAATTGACACAGGAAGACCCCTGTCAAGCGCAGAGAAGCGTGTTGGGTCCTGGGGTGAGGTTTCCTGGCAAGCCATGATCATAAGGAATTCTTGAATAAGGGGCAACCAAGCAGTCCTCGAAATTCCTGTGGAGGATGGAAGTTGTCTCCATAGAATCGCAGCAAATAAAGCACAGGCTATAAATATATATGTGCTGGCCAAAGTGCGCACAGCAATAAGACGCATCCACTTGCTATGCTGAGGATAACTGTCAGTAATGCGGGAGCTAGTACACTCAAATGCCCACAATTTCTTCAGGGCTGATCAGAGTTTGAATGCGAGTTTGAGATTTGAGATGATGACTCACTTGAGCAGCTGGAAGCCGCGGCCCAGTGTGACCTCCTTGGCCAGGCCGACAAGCTTGGGCGCCAGGTTTGGCAGCGCGTAGTCATCCTTAGTCAGCTGCAACAAGCATGGCACATCTCTGTCATAGCTTATCAGCGCGGCGTGCAATGCTGACTCCAGTATTCACTAGCTCTCTGATGTCACTTATTTAAGTAAACTTCCAGCAGTTTTCCCAACAGAAACAATCTGGCAGTTCATGCAATTGGGCACGGGCTGCACAGATTGTGCTGCAGCCGAGCATGCAGAAATGCAAGAATGTTTATCTAAAATTACATGTTTAGTGGTTTACTCACCGGGATGATGTCATCTTCGGTGCTGATGCCGCGGCCTTTGAGCGCGCCAACAGCTGCCGCCAGCTCAGCGATGTCTTCGGGGGTGAAAAAATAAGTGTACTCGGATTCACGCCCCTCCCAGTCCTTGGCCTGTGCTCCCATGAGCATATTGATTTCAACACTCTATCAAAGTGGATGTTGATCTCAAGGACATTGACCAGGCTGCACATGATGGTTCGGTAATCTTCATCAACCTGCCAACATTTGCAGCTGCAGCTGAGGAGTCTCTAGCTGCTTTTATTCATGTGAGCACAATCGGCTTTGAGGACTCTTTCAGAGGTGAGATGTGGATTGTGGTAAGTGAGCCTGCCTTCCAGTCGGCGGGGTCGTCAATGATTGTCAGGGGAATAACCTTGCCCTGTGGTCCTGAATGCCTGCATATACAAGAAACAGTTTCAGTGTCACAGACACTGTGTGACACTGAAGCCAGATGCGATGGTGAAATAGCTAAGGACATTGGTAAGCCTGGCCGAGCCATTTCCACTGGAGACCACCTGGCTTTGCCTGTAATGTCTTCTGCTTCACATGACAGTGCAAAATATCATTTCTGTTGCAAAGCAACGGGGGCATTCAGCAGGAAGCGGATCACGGCGGGGTTGCCTTGGCTTGCACTGCAAGAACCCGGAGTAAAGAGAGTGGGTGAATCCGCAAAGCAAAGCAGACTGATCGTTAGAGGTTAAGTGTGGCTCTTCTGGCATGCACAACAAATACTGGAGTGGAAACAATCGCAGTTCACTGATGTTAGCACGGGGCGTGATGCACTAGAAGAGCATGAGACAAGCTGTCCCCAAAAAAAGTCTAAATGCTTTACTCGCATTGTGGTGAGCATCACAGGAAGGCGGGAAGTGAAGATACTCACGGGATGTCATCAACATCAGTGCGCGGTGGCGGCAGCTTAGTCTTGGCGACTTGCTCTGCGTAGCGCTGTGATTTCAGGTAATAAGTATCGGCTGCATTGGCGTATAGCTGAGCTGGGTTCCTTGCTACGTCAACTGTCATGGTTGTGTCCCTGCAACATTTCAAAACCGATTAGCAAGCACATTACGGAAAGATGGATGGCAATTTGTTGTTTCGGGACCTGCTGATGCATAGGATCAGTAAGGTCTTTGCTCTGCCTTCTGCCCTCATCTAAGACCACGACCAGATCCTGTGGTTGTGGGGATACCAAACCACGTGCTTCAGACGATCAACAGCCAGTGGGATTCTGACGTCCTCTCGGTGCAACGATCACGAAAGGCTCGGGTCTCTTCTGACCCTGACGTAATGGTTGCAACGCTTGATCCTCGACTCATGAATGAACCACGATGGAGAATATAGGTGTTCATAGACCTTAGAAGCACCCTGAAGTGCTCACAACATCAACCAATCCATCTCGACTTGCCTTTTGTGACGATACGCACGGCATGCCAGTGCTCAGAACAGGCCAAAGACACATCCAATGTGTCGATAGAGCTGAAAGAGATTTCAGCCCTTCTAGCAAGCATTTTTGGAACAATGGGCCGACGAAGGACGGTGCTTTCGCCCTATTGCAACTACACGTGCCATCCGAAAGCAGGATCTATGGAGCGAAACTACAACGAAGACGTAGATTTTTTCCGATCAAGGGCACAAAGCAACCTAAAATCACCTGTGAAGGATGTATGCTTTCGATGGAGCGAGCTCACAGGTCCAGGGAGCGACGTAGCGGTGAACTGCAGGCGACGAGCAAGAGGTGCGCGCGTGCCGGCTGGTTGGGCACATGTGGCGAGATGCTGCCAAATCTGGCCACACGCCATGACGAATTTTACTCATCTCGTCATATGCATTGACCAATGTTAGAACCCATCCAAGACTTACGCCTGCATGATCAACCTTTTCGACCGTATGACTCACCCTTGTAATCTTTCTGCAGACCTCAGGCTGGACCTAGAAGTCTGAATTTGTGCATAGACACGCGTATTCATAGGACCCTCAGCACTTGCTGCAATATGTGCCCATGGCTTTAAGCTGGCATCATAGTCATTCTTCAAGATCTAGATCTAGACCTATCAACAAAAATTGGTCTCACTGAGGCTCTAAAGAGAGACAAAATCTGTCATTGAGCTGTGCTTTCATCCTCAAATGTTCCAGGATATTGACTCCAAAAGGGAACTGGTGTCCATCAGAAAACCTCTTGCTGCGAGGCGATTTGTGATGTCACCGTCAGCTCCTCGGCAGTCTAGGCTTGATCCTCACAGCAACTTCTTCCAGCATCTTGTTCCATGCATGCTGCCCGACAAAACGCTGAACCACATCACATCCACAGACTACCATAGCGATCCATATGCGCATACGGGCATGCCAGCTAGAAGGGCAACGTTATTCACACAGGAAGTTTCCCTTCAAGGCGCTAATACTCCTGAAAACTTTGCAGTTCTGACTTTATCAAAGTGCGTGCTAGCATTTGCAGCATGCACGCCATAGCATGGACTAGTCTGTACTGCTTAGCAGATCTTAACAGAACCCCGCACATGGCTATAGATGCACCCGAAGCACACATCACTGACTGAGATGCAATATGTTGTCTATGCAGAGTCTGTGCCCAAAGTGCTACACGGTCACTAGGGCACTCTCTCTACTATTTGCAGAATCCTCCATCCAGAGAGCAGAGTGCAGTCATAGGCTGTGACTCACAGGTGCTTCCACAGGGCACGGGCTGCGTTTGCCAGCCAGGCAGTGTAGAAGAAGTAGCACCAAGGCACCCAGGAGGGTAGACCCACACCCGCCACCACCAGATCTGCACCAGACAGCACCACAGAGTTCATTCTAGAGCACAGTTGTGTACTCTGCTCAATTCCATTCTCTATGCTTGCGCAAGATCCTGATGTACAAACAGCATAGCTGCCCCATGCAAGGCTGCTCACGGCTGACCACGGTGTCATCCTGTGCGATGCACATTTACGGCATTGCCAGCTGTGCCAATGAGCTGAAAGGGACGTCGATGTCCTGGAAACAGAGCTTTGCTTGACAACAACAGCATGGCAACATATCGGCATGCGCAAGAGGAAGTTATTCTGCCAAAGCACACGTGGCGCAGTGCAAAAGGACGTGCCAAACTCATAAGAGCTTATATCGTATACCTGGGACACATTATACAACTTGCAAGCAAATACCATTGGTCTGCTGTTTGGTTGTGCAAGGTCGCACCTGGCGCCTCATAGTGCCACAGCCCCAGAAGCTTCATGAGGAATAGTTCACTTGTCGGGGCGCCGATGCCACACAGGGCTGCAAGCGCAAGTCCCTGGGGGGTCCCATCGAACAGCAGCCAATTCAGAGCCGCCGCAGCCGCCAGGTCCGCGCCGATCTCATGGTAGGGAACTCCTGCAAGACAAAGATTTGTGTGCCAACCCCAATCTCTACCTCTCCATCAAGACTACTTGTCGGACGGTGTGAGCTGCTGTTGAGCGGGCCATGCACAGGAGGCTGGGGAAACTTGGTGGCTGTGCTGGCGTAAGAATTACACCTCCTGTAAACTTCACCACATTCTGCTGGACTCACGCCTGGCATGTCAAACAGCATCGGCGCAACAGTTTGTAGGCACCCCCGTTTGAAGGGGCTCTGGCCTAAATATGAGCTGTCACTATGACAAGAAGCCACTGAGCGTGTTGTGGAGGATTTGGGCTCGGGGCCAACCTGCAGCATACAGGACGCTGCTGAGCTGGTGTAAGCCTGCCACGACGCCCAGCGACAGCGCAGCATGCCCAGCGTCTGCCCGGCTGACTGCGCGCTGAGTCGCGGTTATTAACCAGCCATCCTGCGCCTGATCGGGCTCCTCTTGGCCCGCATCATCCCCGCCTCCCTCTGGTGACGTCCTCCCTGCTTCCCATGCGCCCCCTGCAAATGCAGGAGAATGGCTTGGAAAGCTATGCTATCTTGGAGAATCTGCTCAATTTCCACCAAAATGGTGTACCCAATCTTTAATCTTGCTCATCCGCTTCAAGGGTAAACAAATGCCATGATGCATCTATACCTGTACTGTGCTCCTTTGACATAGGTGTCGCATCTTCACTGCATTTGGGTGGATCGTACGCAAACCTGAGCCTTGCCGCAGCGCTAGGGCGTCCAGGGCAGGGAAGCAGGCGCCGATAGTTGCATAGAACGCTCCCAACAGGGCAAAGACCCATGCGGAGGTGTGCAGATTGCCCAGAATCAGTGGCGCCTTGTCATAGGTCAGCTGCGCAGGCAGGGGCAAACTCAGATACTGTTCCTCTACAGAATGGCGCATCTTCCCGCTGTCTGCATGAATTTAATGTCAGGCACTGCATCGTCACAGAATGTTTGATCCACGAGGCCTTACATGGATGTTTGTCCACAAAACAATCAGCAGAGAAGCACACAGCAGCGATGATACGATGCATTGCAATTAACTTATATGTGGGTGCATGCATGTGGTGCCAGCAACAGCACGGCTCCTTAAACATGTCAGCATGCATGATACAAGGAGCGTGCATGTGCATGTGAGCGAGCGATTAATTGCAGTGCGAAGCAGGTAGGTACCAGGTGCACTTGCCCGTGGATGCCGTCAATGGCTGGGCCCACTGTTGCTCCAAGGAGGAACATGATTGCAATGAAGTTTGGCGCCTTCCGCTTCCATTGAGGGGCATCAGCTTGCATTGGAGCTTCTGCATCTGAGACTTTTGCTGCCACGTGTAAATGGCTTCTTTTTCTGTGGCTGACAACATAGCGGCGTCTCCCAAGAGTACAGTTTCCGATATGAGCTCTGGAAACCCAAAGTGGCCCCAGCAAAGCAAGATGCTGGCGCCGTGATTGTCGGCAACGATGCTCATATATGCCTGATGTTTGAGACATTGATCGCGGGATGTGGCAAACTGACATTTGACGTTGATATTGAAGTTGCAGGTGTGATCAAGTGTTGATCAGTAACTCTTACAACCTGGTAAGACAGCACCTAATCACCTGGCAATTGGCTTGAAAGTCTTTGGGAAGCTTTCATGTTGCCCAGTTCATCTGTAGAGCTCATGGCATTCTGCAGGTTATCGCCAAGCCTTGGACTCGGATTGAAGGTGGTTCTATTGTGCAATCGGATGCCCCAGTAACTCCTAGGCAATTACCTACTTTTGAAAAAGTAATGATATTTAGTTCTTGGGAATCACACCACGTTCGAGCCAAGCCTATGTCCTAAGCCCCACTTGGTGCAGGTGCAGGTTCCCCCCGCTTCTGCTTACGCGGGCTTACGCCACATAACGCGAAGGAGTGATGGAGACGGCCCGATGAAGCTACGAGAGAGTTCCGAGACGCAGTTGAGCTCGATGAAACATATTTCAAGGATTCTGGGACATCAAGAGGACTGACATGAATCAAAAGTCGTTGTTTGTGGCGTTGCTCGCCCTGTCTTGCGCCCTGTCTGGGCCGCTGAGCGCTGTGCGCGCTGGGAAGATACTGCTGTTGCCGATCCCAGAGGACAACAGCCCCATCTATTTTCTAAGACATATCTACGATGAGCTTAAAAGCAGGGGCCACGATGCATTTGTGAGGAGCTCGGGCCGAATCTCGTCTTGTGCATGAACTTTCCGGAACCAGCTTTGGCACCCTTCAAAAACACAATTCGACAGGAATCAAGTTTTTCTTCCTTTTTAAGGATGGCAATATTATTTCTTGTGGTTGCAATGGCCAATGAATTTGTTTTGGCCACACAGATGCTGGTGGCGCCTGGAGATGTGCCCAAGATGACAGCAAGGGATAAAGGGGAAGAAATTGCACATATGACCTTCAACACTCATACAGCGGACCTGGAAGGCGTTGCCGCCATACCAGTGAGAAATCACGAAGAAATGATGGACAAAGTCTTGACCATCTGGCATGCCCAGTGCCACGCTCTCCTCAGCGATGCAGATATCATGGCACGCCTTCAGGTAAGGCTCTTCTATCTCATTTTCAAGGCCGTTCTATGAGCATGACCATAGCAATGCTGCATCCTGCATTGCAGCGAGCCAGTTTGCTGGTGGCCTGTCATCTCTGGAAAGTCCCAAGGCATGGTTGCTCAAACTGACCTTATTTTCGGTGCATATCCTCTCTGGATGCAGCCGCTGCATGTACTGGCAACAAGCATGTCAGCAGGGTAGAAGATGAATGCATAAGTGTTGACCTTTTGCAGGGTGACAAACCCGACCTCATCCTGGGCGTTCCCTTCTTCCCTTGCACAACGATGCTGGCCGCCAAACTTGGCGTGCCCTATATTTCCCTCAACCCTTCTGGCCTGGTTGGAAATAGCTTTATGCACCCCCTGTGGGCAGGCAGCGGCCGCGATTTTCACATCGGCCCCCGCCTCTCCAGCGTGCCAGAAATGTTCCTCGAGGCTTCTTACCCACTGGTGAGCACTGCCCTTGTCTTATGATGTAACGTATCAAGATAGTGATTTGGATTTTACAGGAAGGCTATAGTATCACCTTGTGAACATGTGAAGGCGCTGCGGTGCATATGTATGTATGAACATTGAGTCCGCTTTTTTGCCCCACTTGGCGCTTGCATTGCCTTGCATGTCTTGCATTGTTTCCTGGGCTGCAATGAACATCCACCTATTGAAATTTCTCCCTTTCTTCTACAAATGCTGATGCCCATCACATTACCATCTGGGTTGGGTATTGCCCTTAACAACGATTCCATATGTGCACCCATACCGATTTAGAAACTGAGCTGTGTGCTGTGCTGCCTTGCAGACATTCCTGCAGCGCATGCAGAATGCGTGGCTCTATGCAAAGGCGCAGCTGCACGAATATGGCACCCACCGCCCGATGACAAAGGCGCTCCAGTGAGTTCTTCCTTTGCCACTGTGCACCATATAGCAGAAGAGTATGTTCCTTGCTGCTGCTGAGATACCTACTGCTTTCTAGGCTTCATTGACCAAATGCAAGACTCTTGCATGTTCCTATGCTCTCTGTGGGGACCATGCCTTCGTGTGCAGCAAGGAACTTGGAACTATGCAGCGAGGTACAGTTTTATTTTGGTGGTATCCTTGCAGAATTGCCACCAGAGCACTGTAGAGGCACAAGCCTCCAGTGCGAAACATGTTCTTGATTGAGCACAGCTCGCCAGGATGCTGTCTGCTCGCAAAATCGCAACAGAGAGAGGCTTTGGTTGGGCGGCTGCTAATTTGGACATACTCAATAATTTGTCGATATATACCCTTTTAATTGAAAATCAAGGTAAATAATATACCCTGTGCAGGGCCAAGCACGGCACAGATCTGGCTTCCCCAGAAGCACGCCGGCTGGAGATGCTTCACATTGTGAATAGCCACATGGCGTACGAGCAGCCGCGGCCGCTGCCGCCCAACGTGAAGCTGGTTGGACCTATCATGGCCAAGCCTGCCGCGCCGTTGCCTCCCGACCTGCAGGTAGCATCTTTAGCCCCTTGAACCCAAACCTAAAAGCCAATCAGGGCTTGATTGCTACACCCAACGTGAAGCTGGTAGGACCTATCATGGCCAAGCCTGCCGTGCCGTTGCCTCCCGACCGGCAGGTAGCGTCTTTACCCCCTTGAACCCAAACCGAAAAGCCAGTCAGGGCATAGTTGCTACACCACAGCCTTCAATCGTCTGTGAGGCTGTCATCAAGCATGCATGTGAGTCAGTTGGCGCAAATTCAGAAGCCATTGCTTTGCGCTGAAGTCATCCTTGCATGCATGCAACCATGCAAGCGTGAGCACCACTTTTGTCGTGCAAAGGAGACAAGTGAAGGAGGCTGCTAAGCCTCTTTGTGCCTAGAAATTCAATGCTGAGGTTAAGCTTGTTCAAGAGATGGTCATAGAGACTGCCAACGCTGTTCACATGCATTGCAGTGATGCCAAGGCAGTGATGTCAAGGATTTTCCAATGGGTCTTTGATTTTTATTTTGAGGGTTTGTTTTTCTTTGTCTGGCTTATTCAGGAATTTGTGGAGGGTGCGGGTGATGCGGGCGTTGCACTTATTTCACTCGGCACCCTGGCAAAATTCGGTAAAACCTTTTAATCACACACCCGCGTTTGGAACACAAGGGCCCTTTTTGACTCAGTAAATTGAGGAGCTGATTGCATGTCATGCATCTTGCATTGATTCCAAGTGCACAAAGTGTCAAAACAGCCCGGGGCTCAGATGAGTGAGAATTGGTTCTGCTTTTGTTCAGACAAGGCGGAGACTCAGATGATCGCATCAGCGTTGAGCAGATTGCCAATCAGGACTATTTGGAAGATGTCAAAGCAGGAGGTTGCAGCTGTGGGGGGACTGGATGCTCTGAACCTGACGGACAATGTGAAGGTGTGTTTGGTTCCTGACCTCATATCATTGCATGTCACTGCTGCATGCAAGAAAACCTCAAATCTCGCTGTCAGCAACGCAAGCTTCAGCTCCATGGCAGTATGATGCAAGGCAGCTGAGTATAGAAGAAGTATGCAACGTGTGATTCACTGTGTGTGGTTTTGCAATTTTGTGAGTAGAAGAAAATGCACGAGTAAGACAGCCCACCACATCAAAGCCACTGAGCATATACGTCAGCTCAAATGCTTGCTGAGCACAGTGAAGACTTGCTTCTTATTGACATGGCATGCGTGCAGGTTGTGACCTGGGTGCCTCAGAATGATGTGCTGGGCCACCCCAGTACAAAGGCGTTCCTGTCTCACTGTGGCGCCAATGGCTTGAATGAGGTGAGCCCAGTATGCGCTCTTAAGTATGTCAAATGCCATCGGTATCATGTACTGTATCTTGCTAAGAACCAGCTCCTCCCATTAGGTTCCCATCAGGCTCTGGGCCTCTCATTCCTGCCGGACCTTTGCATAGAAACGGTGAAGGCAGTGATTTCCTGTTGTGCAGGCTGCGTACCATGGCGTTCCTGTCGTGGCCATGCCCTTCTACGGAGACCAGCCCATGAACGCCCGTAAGCTCATCGGCAAGGTGCGCACAATTTCACATTCATTTTCAAGCTTGCCCTCCTGGCGCGTCGCACTATAACGTTTCCTGGATCCACTTTGTGAGACAGCTTGAAAGCTAAGACTTCAAGCTTGTCAGGAGGGTATTTCCAGCAGGTTTTGTCTCAATAAAACTAGATTGAACATGCACGGCATAGCTGCAGCACGCATGCCTACCTTGAGAGCCTCAAAACAGCGAGTGCAGGAAAATGAAGACCATTTCTGCGGCGTCTGGCAGCGCAGCACCATGAAGAGTTTTTTACTTGAATTGTTTCCGGCAGGGTATGGCGGTGGCGCTGCAGAAGAGGGGTTTGAGCGCGGAGGGGGTGTATGACGCGTTCACAAGGGTCCTGACCGACGAGAGCATCCGGGCAGCTGCCGCGAAGGTGTCCAAGCGCATCCGCAGCCGCAAGCGCTCTTCTGTACAAGAGACAGCAGGTGAGCAGCAATGACAGAATTAATCTGTCTATACAGCTCACTGTTTTCCCCTTGATGGTCATATCACAAGGTACAGAACTTCAAATTGGATACCTTTCTTACTATTTGCGATTATCATCTCGGTAGAGGAGTCCCTCCCTGCCTTCAGAAGCAGCATGCATGGTGGTCTTCAAGCTCCAGTAAATGATATACACATCTCAATCGTATAAACAAAAGGGCTCTATATTATCTGATGGGCATGTGGGTGCATGTGCAGACTGGGTGGAGCATGTGCTGGACTCCGACGGTGAGGCCTACATGCAATTACCTGATGATGACATGAGCTTCTTCGTGCGCAACTCCCTGGATGTTGCGGCGACGTTTTTTGGCCTGGGGGTGGTTGCGCTAATAGCCGGAGGATTAATCAGCGCTTGGGTGATCGGGGGCGCGTATCGCAAACTCAAGGGGCTTGCAGGCTGGGAGAAAAAAATGGTGTGAGGGGATTTTCCAATGTGGAATTTATCTTGCGATTTTTTTATTCTTAGATTTGGAATGAGCAGACTGCATTCCTGGATGGGATGATCATCACAGGTAGAATTGACTGCAATGGCATTTTGCCTAATTTTTCTTTATGCCAGTCTTGAGGATTTGTGAGTCAGTGCTGAGGGCATCTTCAGCCTGCACTATTTGTTCTATGGCCCGCTGCAGAAGTTGCGCTGAGACAATTCAAGCTTCGGGACCGGTGAGGCCTGCATCCTTGCAACAGATAGTGGCAGACATGCCTTGTGAGATATTTTGCACTGACAGGCCAGTGCCATGCACTGTCTAGAAGTTCTGGCCATGGCATCATGCAACAATTGCACAAACTTGGCAATGTTCTCAATTGAATAAGGCCTGCTGATGACCTGAATCGGGACTGTCACTCTGACTTTCAGGTTCTTTGGCTGTGTCGGTCTCTTGCCCGTAAGTACGGGTCATGGTGCCAGCAGGATTACTAATAGCTGTCAAATTTGACCTCAGAATCTGGGAAGTAAGTAGAAGTGACAATCTGTGGATGCTTCAGCAATTGCCGTAGTGAGATCTGAACATATTGCCTTGTTGTGTGCCTTAGCAACTAATTGCTGCAACGACTCGTATAATATCGGATATTATACAATTATCAGAATTGTGGTTCGCCACTCATAAACATTATTATTAAGATTATACTTGTGGGCCACATGCATGCATGTATGCCATCGCATGATGGCACGTTGAGTGGTCAACCCACTGAATGCGACCAGAAACTTCTTCAGACCCAGTGGGATTCGTCTCCTTACCTCGAGATACTGAGGCCATTTTCGAGGCCAGGCTCGTGCATTATTGTCCAGGTTGCGTGGTCCCTCCTAGATTCCGAATGCATGCTAGGTTCCCCATAAACGTTCGTGACCCAGGATATCTAGGTTCTCTAGTCTCGAACCTGGATATATTACGCAAGAAAATGACGGACGGGAACGATGGTCCGCTTCGATGTCGTTAAGGAATGTGTTCATGCGACCAGAAGACACATTTGCAGATGTTGCATTGTCCACGGAAGCAGGATGGCAGGCAAGTTGGAGTTTGCGGTGATGCTAGCGCTGTTCTGCGCCCTGTTCGGGCCGCAGTGTACCGTGCAGGCCGGGAAAGTTCTTCTGTTGCCAATGCCGCAGGACAGCAGCCCTATATACCTCCTACGACATGTCTACGACGAGCTGAAAGGCAGAGGGCACGACGCATACGTGAGTACTTCGGGCCTCCCATGTGTCTGCATCCTGTGCCTCCGGAGCGCCCTTGGACATAAAAACGTGGCAAAGGTGGCATAAAAAATTGTGGTCTGGATTGCTTGATGCCTTCCATTTTCGATTTTTGTTACGAAGGGATCATACCATACGTCTGTGCCACACAGATGCTGATAGTACCGGAAGATGTACCGAAGCTGACAGCACGAGATAAAGGTAGCGGCATTGCACACATCACCTTTAACAGTCAGACATCGGATTTGCGGGCGATTGCTGCCAGTCCTATAAAAAGCCAACAAGAACTGATGGACCGGGTCTTTGGGATATGGCACGCCCAGTGCGACGCGCTTCTCAGCGATGCCGACACGATGGCGAGACTGCAGGTGCGCTATACTTGCTGCTGAGCTGTAGATCTCGCAAATGTTGTAATGCGTCAAGCTTCTCTTTGCTCCCGAAAAAATATCCAATAGCAGCATGCCCATTGGGGCATGACCCATGCTGACCTCCAGAGCAAAGCCTTCCTGAGGTACACAAAAGACATTGGTGCAAGTTAGGATTCATGCCGATTTGAAAAGTGACATGCATGTTGCTTGCCTCAGGGTGACAAACCGGATGTCATCATGGGCGTTCCCTTCTTCCCCTGCACTTCCTTGCTGGCTGCCAAACTTGGCGTCCCCTACATCGCCATAAACCCCTCCGGCCTAGCGGGCAACGCGATCATGCAACCCCTGTGGGCTGGCAGCGGCCGCGATTTTCACATCGCGCCTCGTTTGGCCAGCGTGCCTGAATTTCTCTTCGAGGCAACGTATCCGATGGTGAGTCACTATGCGGTTTAACATCACTGTACTTGTTTACCGGTGTGCTAAGCAGTTGTCCTTCATGTAACTGCCTGTAAGACCCACCAAGCTCTGCGCATGCAATCAGTGGAACCTTCATGAAATTCTGAGTTAGGGCCCTAAAATTCGGCTGAGCGTAATATTTTTAATTTTTCACGCTTTTGCTGCCAAGAGGGAAGGTACGTCCTGCAGACAAGCTGCACTTGAAGGCTGCCACAATCGTCCCCCTTGATGGACTCGCCAGATCCAAGCGAGACCCAATCAACCGTACGCGCGGCGCAGTGTTTATACCGGCCCCCGCCAACCGGGGCCAAGGTTGAGATGCTCTATTCTGGCAAAGATCAGCTTGTGTTAGGGGTAGATAACATCAATAACACCCCATTGTTGTTTATAAACTACGCCTACTTATGTCCCTTGTTCCTGCTTAAGGATGGTGCTTTTTGCAGATAATCACTGACACTGAAGTCTTTGCCATGCAGACCTTCCTGCAGCGCATGCAAAATGTTCTGCTCTACGCATCGGCACAGATGCACGGAATCATGATTACTCGTCCGATGATGAGGAAACTGCAGTGAGTCGCTCCTCTGCCACACTTGCACCATTTCTTAGCCCAGGAAAAGGAGCGCTCTATTGTCTTTTGATGCCATGCAAACTTGAAGCCTCTTGCTCTGATGGCAACTTGGCACCCTCAAAGAGTTATAATGTGGCTTTGGAATGTAATTCACAGTAATATGGAGGTGCTGGCAGAAGAGGTAGACCTGTCAAGTCCTGGAATGATTATGTCAGACAGGACTCGGATTTTCCTGGTTTTATCTCTGACCTGGTGCACGAAAGCCCAAGATAGAGAAGGTTGGAAGGTTGCTATATAAACGCTGCTGCAACGCACCTGATCCTCATGGATTGGAAAGGCCTTTTTAATGATAATAAGTACTATGAAGGCCTCCTTCAGCTAGTCTGGATTGCTGGAGGATGCCCCTGCCTTGCAAGCACGTTGCAAAACGGGAAGTGCCTTTGCAGAATGAAGTTGGACGCATGCATGACTTCCATCTGCCTGCCCATGCAGGGCCAAGCACAACCTGGACCTGACAACCGCTGAGTCACGCCGTCTGCACTTACTAACGATTATAAATGGTGACATGGCGCTGGATCAGCCGCGGCCGCTGCCCCCCAGCGTGAAGCTGGTGGGACCCATCATGGCCAAGCCTCCGGCGGCGTTGCCTCCCGACCTGCAGGTATTTTTTTAGTCATCTGGCGAGTCATCTTGCAGGCCTCATGTTCTGCTTTCTTGTAGTCCTTGGTCGGATGACTTCGCATCCATTGCAGGGAACATGTGTCACACATTCAACCTGCCACACAATGTAATGTACCATAGTCTGCTGGGCAAGGAGAGGTTTTGAGAGCTTTGTGGCTGCTTTTTCTTCCTGCGGTCCTGCATGTCTATCGACTGCGTTGCCTTCTTTTAGGCAAGCTAGCATGCCAAGCTACAGTACCCAGACATCTGCCCTGTGTATTTCAGCATGACTACAAGCTGCTCATAAAGCTAATTGTAAAAAATTCTATCTGGGATTCAGCTTTGGTCTGGCATGCATGCAGGAGTTTGTGGAGGGCGCAGGAGCTGCAGGGGTTGTGCTCATCTCAATCGGCACCATTGCTACATTTGGTATGACCCGGCAGATTATCAGTCATGAATGCAGAAGTCGGCTCAGTTGTCTAACCGCAATCATGATGACTCTTTTATGATTGGTAAATAGTGTATAGGAGCTACAGCTGTTACACTCGACCACTCAATTCACATTCTCCTGAGGACATCTCTAATGCAAATATGCTTTCAGACAAGTGCAATGCGGATTCCCAAGGTTTAGAAGGGATCCCCCCTTTGAATCTTCCTTGCAGGCAAGGAGGAAATTCATGCGATTGCATCAGCGCTGGGCAGGCTAGCAGTCAGGGCTCTTTGGAAGCTGTCGGAGCAGGAGGTTGCAGCTGCAGGCGGCCTAGAAAGTCTGAACCTGACAGACAGCGTCAAGGTGTGCTTTCAGACAAATTATCCTTCTGGCACACAATGCTGAGACCCGACGCATGCAGCGGTGTGTTGCAATCTGTTTTAGCAGCACCGGATTTGCGAGATTTGATTCGTAGCCAGTGCAAAGCAGGGGTGCAAAGTCAGCGCCAAATGCTGAAAAGTCTTTTTTGTTGTGTTGGTCTGCCAAAATGAGCCTCTGAGGGCGTGACTGTCTAGGAGTTCTCCTAGGAGGCCAAGCTTGGACCTTTATAATATGGAGAGGAAAACACACTCCTCTGTGTGAATGCACCTGAGTATCTGGGTGGAATCACCGGGTACCGGCGTTCCTCTTTGACTTTGGCAAGAGAAGTTTATCTGTGGTGCGCAGGTGCTGAGCTGGGTGCCTCAGAATGATGTGCTGGGCCACGCCAGTACAAGGGCGTTCCTGTCACACTGCGGCGCCAATGGCATGAACGAGGTGAGCCCAGGACTCTTCTGAAATTGGAATATCAAATCAGGCTCATTAGTTTTCCCGGCTTGTTTATGCGTCAGCGAGCCTGCCATAAACTCAGCTGATGGAATCCGTGGGCTCAGAAATTTTTGGAGGTTGCCGTGCATCTGCAAGGAGAGCGCCATATTCTCCCTGTTTCTTAAAAATGGCTTTGGGGTTTAAAACTTGATTTTGAAATTCGAATTTGGTGTGGCCCCAGCTGGCGGGGGGCGGTTTAAGTACTGAGCACCTTGCCCACGCTTGATTGGGTCTTGCTTGGATCTGGCGAGTCCATCAAAGGGTAGGATTGTGGCAGCCTATAATTGCAGCTTGTCTGCAGGACGCACCTTTTCTCTTGGCAGGAAAGGCGTGTATGTATAATTTATCAAGGACAGAAAGCTGTGCTGTGGTGCAGGCTGCGTACCACGGCGTTCCTGTCGTGGCCATGCCATTCCATGGCGACCAGACCTTGAATGCCCGCAAGCTTATCACAAAGGCGCGCACACATCCAAATTTGAATTCAAGCGCTCTGCTTGCATGGGTCTATTTTTTCGTGAGGGATTGAGGCTTTGGATATTTTGCGAGACAGCATGCATACAAGAAAACTCCGGCGCTCGATGACATAATTTAAAGGTATTAGCAAGCCGCTCTGTGCATTCATCCTGGGTCTGTGCTATCTGCAGGGAATGGCGGTGCTGTTGCAGCGAAAGGGTTTGACTGCAGACGGGGTGTATAATGCATTTACAAGGGTACTAACCGATGACAGCATCCGGGCGGCTGCCGCGAAGGTGTCCAAACGCATTCGCAACCGCAAGCGCACGCCTGTACAGGAGACTGCAGGTTTTTGTCTGTACAGCTTGTAATGTTTGCATGGCTGCATCAAACACCGTTATTCTTTGCCAGACAGGTTTCTCACATGAGAAAGTGCGTCACAAAAATCTGTGTTTTTTGCCTGACTGCCTGACCACGCTGGCTTCTCAAAGTAGCAGAGAATGAGGGGGTCTAGTGATGCACCCGAGATGTTATATGACGTCAGCTATCACTACAGTCCTTTTTATGGACTTAAAGCATGTGTGTTTGCAAATTCAAACGCAGACTGGGTGGAGCATGTGCTGGACTCCGGCGGCGATCCCTACTTGCAGTTACCAGACAATGACATGAGCTTCTTCGTGCGCAACTCCCTCGATGTGGCAGCGGCCTATCTTGGCATCGGGGTGGTTATTCTCATAGCTGGGAAGTTACTCATCGCTTGGGTGATGGGGGGCGCGTGCCGCAAGCTCAAGGGGCGTGCAGGGTGGGTGAAGAAGATTGTGTGAGAATCTTTGTTTGCCTTTCAGGTTTTTACTCTTTTATATTTTCAATGGCAAGAATGGATCCCACTAGGATACCATTGCAGATGATGTTCAGTACAATGTCAGGCACTGGGGCTAGAGGCAGACCATTGAAGAGCTGGAATGATTATGTGAGAGATGACCTTGATGCTATTGGGCATCCATATGACTGGTGGAGGAAGTGCAAGAACCGAGAAGACTGGAGAGCAATAATTCAGGTGTTGCTTGACGTACCTAGTCCTTAAGGACTGGAAAACGTGTAATAATAATAATAATAATAATATTTTCAATTCAAGTTTAGGAAGACAGTTACGATTGATACAGTGATCATCCTTGCAAGGATGGGTGATTTGCCCAATTATCTAGAATCAGCACTTTGCTTCAGCTAAGCTGAGTATGGCCAATAGTGATTGCGCATCCACGATTCTGTTTCAGATTCAGGGCTAGGTAGACATTTAAAATATAGGCAGTGATCACCCTTGCAAAGATCGGTGTGAAACCTAAATCTCAGGATAAGAACTTTGCTTCAGCTAAAGCTGAGGCTGATGGTAAGCTTCAGGGTGCATTCATAATCATAATCTTTTAGCTGATTGCTGCAAGAGACGCGCGGCGCATGCAGACTTTCAGGAACAATGAGAATGGAATATTCAATTGAATTGAATTGAATATGGCAGGTCTGCGCAGTGGCCTTTGTTTCTGATATTGTGGCCAATAGCCCGAGGGGGAAATGCTAGAATTGCGATCTTAGAGCCACGCTTGGGGAGTCCTCTTCTACAAATGTCCAGCTGCAGGAATGTTGGGTGATGCGCAGTAAGAATACGCTCAGCAACTTAATGGTCAAAGCTCCGTAAGCACTTCAACATGTCTTCAACCCTCGAAGAGAGGCAGCTTCACCTGAAGCTGCAGCCCAAAGCAACACAAGCAAGAAGGCCGCAACAGTCCGCAACATGCGTACATGATTCTACAACAAGAGCATTTTATCTCTTGAAGATCATACTGAAACGCCAGAATAGTTTCACTTCGCGATCGCAGTTCGCGCTGCAGCTGTCAAATGTTTTGCCACGTCAGCTTCAGGCAGAGCACTGGCCGGCCATGAAATGCGCTGCGCAGCTCCTGCCGAAGCTTCCTCAACTTGTCCCTCTCCTCTTTTGTCACATCAATAAGCACCTGCACATGCATCGTCACCTGTCGCAGGACTGCAGAGCATTCGACCACATCTCATTTTCCCCCACGCCTAGTATTTCAAATTGACCGCGCGGCTTTAAAGGCCTCTTGAGCACTAACAGGATCCACAATACCCATTCCCACATCAGATCACATCAGAAGACTTTTCAGAGGGCGTTACTGCTTGGCAGTCAACAATGCCATGCTCTCTATGAGCATGTCAGATGTTGCTGCCCTTGTATCTACAGCAAGCGCTCACCTGCTGCATGTCAGGGCACTTCAGCAGCCACCGCAGGCCGCTGTCTGTGATTGCCATCTTGGGCAGTAACACATCGCCATTGCCTGCCTTGAGTCCCTTGACGGCTTTTGTCTTGCGCGCTCTGTTGCCGCGGAGTTGAAGCAGGTGCAGCCATGTCAGCTTACTAAGCTCCTGAGGCACCTGCGTGCACATGCCAGCGGTCCCCCCTCTTCTTTGCTATAACAAATAATCACAGACACTTGCATGTTCATCCCAGCTACTCAAGTTCAAACATTCACCCTTTATAGCCTCAATCTGCTTGTTTATATGCAGAGACTCCAAGCAACTAAAGAGAAGCGTGTCAATGCTTTCTTGTCATCCGGACATGTTGAATACGTCCATCACATTAGTCCATGCAGAAAGGAGTTCATCAACTGAAGAGATGCATGCAAAGGATGCTGGCAGCTATCAAGCATCCGAGTGCAGCAGCACAGCAAAGCAACATCTTCTGTCTTTTCGAAGAGGCGGAATATGTGATGCACCTCTGGGTACAAGTGGTTGCCCTTCAGGTTCAGTTCGCGCAGGCGGGTGAGCTTTGAGATGCTGGGGCTGATCTTGGCCACCTTGCAGTTACTAAGCTCCAGCCTCGTCAGCGCTGTCAATGCGCCGAATGAATCTGGCACCTGACGCAAAACATACAAAAAGTCTTATTGCCAGCACTTGTCAGCAAAGTTGAAATGAAGTTATCATCACAGGGGGTCACAGTAACCGCAACAAAATGAGAAGACATGCCCATGATTGGATAGAAAAAGATAGGGGTGTTTCAGACGCCAGGCAGGCCTTGAAATTGACAATTGCGTTCACAAGGATGAGGAACTGCTTCTGGAATGTGTGATGTCAGCACCTGTCTGAGATCACTGCTGTAAATGACCAGATGCTGCAGGGCGCGGAAGCCTTCTGGGACATTCCAGTCCTTTGAAACTCCCTGCATCTTGAGATCTTGAAGATTTGGAATCTTGGCCGTCCATGCTGGGAAGCTGTCAAGACCAGCCTTGTAGAAGCTCAGCATCTGCACTTTGTTCCCCATTTGTCAATGCCATAAGAGATTTGGGCATGAGATATTTTGAACCACTGAGCCAGTGGAGCCTCTCTGGTCAGGCCCGAGCAACATGGCTACTGCGGGAAGCAAAGAAATACATGAAAGCCGCAGACGTTACAGATATATTAAATGATTCCCCCAACATCAGGAGAATGCTTGTCATAAGACTCACCGTCAATTTGGTGAGAGCACTCAGATTCGGAATATGTTCCTTGTCAACATACTTCAACAGCGTCAGTTCTTCCAGAGATGTCATCACAGCTACCTGTATTGCACACGCCATTGAAACTTCAAATCAAATTCAAATTCAAATTCAAGAAGGCAATTTTGCGTCATTAATAATTTAGCTAGAGATAGACATTGAACTCTTGCCTTCAAATGAGGCAAAGTCTGGAAGTGACACACTGGCTCTGCTTACACCAAGAAAGCAAATTATGTGATGAAAAATGACCCGCCTACCTCAGGGGGAAGACTGGGGCTGTTGCGCCCGAGGCAACAGGTGTTGGGATTGAGGACCAGGCTTTGCAGCTTTGACTGACGGATCCAGCAGCCCAAGTCTTCCAGGAGCTGATTGTGGTCATCTGCGCGTGCAGTACGAGAGTCAGGTTTTGAACAGCGGAACATGTGACAATAGTTGCGGTACACCATCTTGTCTGAGTGCAGACCCATCGAAGATCGTGTCTTGACATCTCCCAGAGAGAGACTGCTCATGCGAGCAATCGAGCTCACCTGGCTGCCAACAGGTCTGACAGGGACATTGTCACAATCAAGCAACAAGGCATGCGCTTGGGTGGGTGAAACAGCAGCACGCACCAAGTCCCTGCTGCGCCGGCACTTCCACCCTTGCCAAGATGCCCTCAAATTTGAGCATTGACAATGCTGGTAGCTTGGCAAGCACTGTGGGCATGTGCCACTCTCTGAGCTCGACCTCACAACCCCTGCAACACTCACGCTGGTGTTAAAGAAACACTCAGGCACAGACATGACACCTCCCTACCGGGCTTCTCGGCATCGCAAGTGCCCAATGAGTATCCATTGGATGCACCAGCACCGCTGGACACAATGCTCGATGTTCAACCCTTAACCCTTAACCATATACCCTGAAGAAAGGGGACATGGCTGAGACAGGGGCACATGAAATATCTGGAGAGGCGTACCCATCAATGCTGAGAAAGGACAGCCTAGTCAGCTGCGTGATTTCCTGCGGGATGCGCCCCAAGTGCTGAGAAGTGAAGAACAGGCGTTCCAGGGTGGTGAGAGAACAGAGTACTTGAGGAAATCTCATGAGGCCCCGCGGCAATGCATCATCCTCGCCCCCCGGCCTTGATGTTATATAGAATGTTTGCAGCTTCCTGCAGTGAAGACGAGTGCAGTTTTGTCCTCAAGGGCATTTCTTGAGTACATGCACGCATGCTTCATGTCATTTCTTGGCTTGGAAGCGGCAAGGCCTAGACAACAGACAAGAGAAGCAGCACTCTTCAAGACTGTCAGTGTAGTATATCCCAGGAACAGTTGCATTTTGGAGCTACAGCACGAAGGCTGACCTGAGGTGCTTCACGCCTCTCTCAAAGTCATCTGAATTGATGTGATCACCCCATTGTATGAGGGACAGGGAAGTCAAGTTTGTGAGGGCCCAGAGGGCGGCAAAGCTGTTTGATACAAAGAGCGTTTCACAGGCTTGCAAGGAGAGCGCAGCCAACTTGTCCCCATAGCTCCCCAGGAGAACAGAGAACTCCTGAAAACACAAATCAAGGTCAGCGGCAAAAGCCTTCACAATCTTTTGGTGCTCAAGCACGAATCAGAAGTCAATCCGGGAAATTATGCTTGATACTCAGCAGGCCTCCTCAACCAAAACTTGCCGCAAAGCTGCTCGGTACCCTCTGCCTGAAAAGCCCAAATAGACACGTGGGAGAGCAGATCAGGTTTAAGCAAACCTGTGAAGTGGGGTATCTGTCCTCTGTCTGACGGTAATCATAAACATTGAGCTGCACAGGCCAGCTTATGCAGCCACTAGCCAAGTGTCGCTGCATCCACGCCACACAGGCCGGGAAGCTCATTTGTGGTCCTTCTCTATGAAAGCTAAGCGTCATTTGGTGGAATAGAAAGCCTGTGTCATCCCAAAAGAAAGCGTCAAGGAAGCATCCATTGATCACTTCAGATCAGTACAGAACTGCCTCAAGCGCCCCAAGTACCTCTTGAATCGAAGACCACCCTCCGCCATCGCTTGCAGACGAGTGGCACAAGCGTACGGCAATAAGGTAGATAAGCACATTCCAGGGCTGAAAATATATGGAGCAGGATCTCATCGGGGAGAAGCATGATGTGAGGCATGGCGACGCTGTCAAGACCCCCAGAAGATCTTATTGGTATATCTCAAGCTTGAAATATTACACAAAATTATATCTGGTCATCTCGGTGATGCAGCAACGCCAAGGATGGAGGCTTTGGTGGAGCTATTTTCTTGATATTGCGTGCGTATACCCCTGCGCCTGCGAAGCGAAGTCTCGAGGCGACATCGTGCACAATGCAGCCAGTAGGATCTCCAAATTCACAGTCACCGGTCGATGAGGCCTCCTAGTATAAATTTGGTGGAAGCTGTTGTCAGGTTACTGATCACGGTGACATCAGCAGTGCTCTTGACAAGAAGCTACATGTTATTCTCCGAGTCTCATGTTAACATCATAAATGTGCTCAGGTTGGCTGCAAGAGATGTAGCGACTGACTGACTCAGTACAAAAGTCAGCTCTGAGAAACTCTTGATCACTTCTCATCTACATGCATGTCCAGCTGCATCTCCGGGCTCACACACAGCACACACCAGACTTTGAATGTCCAATACTCCTCCTGCAACTGCTTATTGTAGAGATCCACAAGTGCCTTCCAACGCCCCTTGGCAGCAGTGTGTGCACAGGGGACCTCCCCCTCCTTTGCCTTCAACCTAAGCACATGCAGCATGAACAGGTCATTCAATGACTAAGTCAGCTCAGCCAACTTGAAATTTTATAAACAACGCAGAGGAACCTCACTGCACAGCATGCCATGTTGCTATGGACGGCAGCTTACTTCAAAAATGAAGCTGTTTTGTAGGTACAGCATACAATCTCTCAGACCAGAATGAGAATCTTTGGAAGACAAAAGGATCTGGGAGTTGGATGGGCTGATCTGTGGCAGACGAGAAGCAGGCATCACCTGTTGCAGATTCTTGAGAGCGCAGAGTTGTACTTGCTGCCACAAATATGCCTTCAACATCCCAGACTCTGGCTGAAGACCCAACACTGATCAAATATACGGCGCTGAGAGCCTCAAAGAGAGCACTGGCCGGCCGTGGAAGGCGCTGCGCATCTCCTGCCAAAACTTCCTCAGCTTATCCCTCTCCTCTTTTGTCACATCGACAAGCACCTGCACATGCATCGTCACCTGTCGCAGGACTGCAGAGCATTCGACCACATCTCATTTTCCCCCACCCAGAGTATTTCAGATTGTCCGCGCGGCCTCTTGAGCACAAGCAGGATCCACACAATACCCATTCCCACATCAGAAGACTTCTGAGATGGCGTTACTGCTTGGCAGTCAACAACGCCATGCTCTCTATGAGCATGTTAAATGTTGCTGCCCTTGTGTTTACAGCAGGCGCTCACCTGCTGCATGTCAGGGCACTTCAGCAGCCACCGCAGACCGCTGTCTGTGATTGCCATCTTGGGCAGTAACATATCGCCATTGCCTGCCTTAAGTCCCTTGACGCCTTTTGTCTTGCGGGCTCTGTTGCCGCGGAGCTGAAGCAGGTGCAGCCACGTCAGCTTACTAAGCTCCTGAGGCACCTGCGTGCACATGCCAGCGGGACCCCCTCTTTCCTGCTATAACGAATAATCACAGACACTTGCATGTTCATCCCAGCTACTCAAGTTCAAACATTCACCCTTTATAGCCTCAATCTGCTTGTTTATATGCAGAGACTCCAAGCAGCTAAAGAGAAGCGTGTCGATGCTTTCTTGTCATTGGGACACGTTGAATATGTCCACCACATTTGTCTACGCAGAAAGGAGTTCATCAAGTGAAGAGATGCATACAAAGGATGCTGGCAGCTATCAAGCACCCCCGACTGCAGCAGCACAGCAAAACAACATCTCCTGTATTTTCGAAGAGGCGGAATTTGTGAGGGCACCTTTGGGTACAAGTGGTTGCCCTTTAGGTTCAGTTAGCGCGCGCGGGTGAACTTTGAGATGCTGGGGCTGATCTTGGCTACCTTGCAGTGACTAAGCTGCAGCCTCGTCGACGCTGTCAATGCGCCGAATGAATCCGGTACCTGTCGCAAAACGAACAAAAAGCCTAATTGCCAGCAGTAGTCAGCAAAGTTCAAATGATTCATCATCACAGGGGGTCACAGTGACCGCAAAAAAATGAGAAGACATTCCCATGATTGGATAGAAAAGAGTAGGGGTGTCTAAGACGCCAGGCAGGCCTTGAAACTTGACATTTGCCTTCACAAGGGTGAGGGACTGTTTCTGGGATGTGTGATGTCATCACCTGTCTGAGATCACTGCTGTGAATGATCAGATGCTGCAGGGCGTCTGCAGCTACATCTGGGGGGCCTTCGTCAGTCCGAAGCCTATCACTCACTCATCATATACAGCATGCACTCCCTGCCCCGGATGAGTACCCCCCTATATCGGGGCCTCTAGCCTGCCAGCAACGCAACACCATCGTAGGTGACGTTGAGGCTATCTTGCAGGAACACCCAGAGTTGGGCAGACAACCACAGACAAACAAGTGTCGGTAGTCAATCATGCTACATATTTGCTGAGAAGAGGTGACGCAAGCTGATGCAGTCAAAAGTGAGCTAGTCCCTGGGATAACCGCACCATGTCAAACTTCCCGCCGACAAAGGCTGATGCAATCACCCAAATGGAGGAGGCGTTGAATTTCCTACTGCAGAGGGATAATGAGGTTTCGCAGTTCCGGGACTATAGTTTTTCAAATACTCAGCTGCGTCCTCTGAGAGGACTCCTCTGTAGAGCGACGGCGCAAGGCATGGTATGGTGGGCACTGCTCCCCTGAGCACATTTTGGAAGGTGTTGGCTGAACAACGACATCCGCACAGGAAAAGTTCCCGGGAGAAAGTGCGCCCTGCTTGCCACTGCCAGTGGGGCACGGTGAACAGACAACGCAATAAATCTCTGGTAGGTTTTCATAATACTATAATAGTTGCCAGTTATGCTGTCAATCAAGCGACCTATGGGAAGCACTATACCGTATCTTGCTGCCACCGGGGCGGTTGTTAAGAAATGCCCATGTCGAAGTGCGATTATTGAACTTATTCTGCTTCGCTAAGAATCTTACCTGTGAATTTTACGTGTGCAGGTGTGCCTCACGTCGTTCAGCATGCAGCTCCTGGGCGCGTGCTTGATTCTAATTTCGGTGGTGCATGCGTCAGGTAGGTCCTGCCCCCAACCGCAGCTGCTGCTAGCCCTAAATGGTCTCGCTATTCTATTCATTCCTTTTGTTGAATATAGCATGACACTGTTGCGAATTCGTGCTGCCGAGGGACAACGAACTTTGACCAACAGCCTTCCTCTCAGTTGTAGGAGTATGCCTTGGCAGGGCAGAAGGCAGCCCATACGTACTTACCACTGAACGTCACGGCGGCCGTGGACGACAAGATTGTAGACAAGGCGGGTGATACAGTAAAAAGCGTCCTTCCTGCAAGCAAAAGAGAGCTGCAGACCGAGATCTCAGTCTTGAGAGATCATCAACAAGCAGAACCTGCAGAATCAGCTGAGATTTGACCAAGAAGACACTGTCATCAAGTCCCTTGTGAAGCAAGTCAATGCTTTAACACCGGTGAGTCCTCCTGTGAGCCTGCTCATGACCACTGACAGGGGCCCCAATATCTGTGTAAGAAATTTCAAACAAACCCTGTCTCTCAACCTTCACACCGAGTTTTTGCATGACCGAGGCAGGCCTGTTTATCCAAGCCTGTCTTCCTGCCTTGTGCATTCACATGCATCTGGTCAGCAGTGCTCCAATGGTTTGCAATTGTAAAATTATGCCTGCACTCGTAGGCCTGATGCTGGTCTGAGCAATGCTCTTTTGCAAAGCACACCTGTTGTCAGGATGCTCTGTCAACCCATGCTATTGTGCTGCCGCCACCACACGGGGCTATTCCTCTGGTAGAAACCTGTTTGCATAGTGCTGTCAACACACCTCAATTGTAAATACCTCGTAAGTACCTGCGCAGGGTCTCAATGGGACAGATGGTATCAAGGGCCTCAATGGAACAGATGGACCCACAGGGCCGACAGGTGACTCCAAATTGAATGTACACAGCCTTGTCGGTTTAGCCTGAACTTTGGCCATGCAAGTTGAATTGAACCAGCATGGCTATCCAAGGGGCGCATTCGATCTCAGCATTTATATAATCATGCCATGCACACCAGCTAAGTTCTACAACGGCGGCCATGTCTACCGGAGCTGATCCCTGCCTTGAGTTACGTGAGCTGCCAGCTTCGGGCTTTGGACCGACAACAAGCTTTGCATTGGATGTGGCTCCAGTTGAAGGAGATTAGTTAAAAGCTTTCGTGCCACGCTGGCCGCTGCACACCACACTGCAGACAACAGAGTCGGTTTCGAAAAAGTTCAGTATTTTAAGGTCATGGGGTGAAAGCAGCAGCCGCGGCCTCGCTTATGAGCTCTGAGCTGTGTCAGCTCTAAGCAAGAACAACTGCTCTTGATGCTGCAGGAGCAACTGGTGTCAAAGGAGACTCCGGCGCGACTGGTTTCACTGGAGAAATTGGCGCCACTGGAGAAACTGGCGCCACTGGAGCAACTGGAGGCACCGGCGCGACTGGTTTCACTGGAGAAACTGGCGCCACCGGAGCAATTGGCGCCACTGGAGCAACTGGACGCACCGGAGCCACTGGCGCCACAGGTGATATGCCCGACACGCTGCAACCCTGCACCAGCCTTTATGCGGGCCGCAATGCTGCCACAAGCCTGTATCCTGCTTCTACGAGCATCTGGCTGTGCTTATGAGCGCACCAGCCGCCCACACGGTGATGGGCAAGGCCCTTGAGACTACTGCTCGTGTTCATGTTGGGTGATAATACAACGGGCTTTCAGAGATGCATGTAGTCAGAGTGAAGGCAACCCATGACCCCAACAATACTGGGTTGCAGTCGTCCATGCATGCATCCTTCAGGAGCAAGCATATTTCTGTTTTCACGGCTCATCAGTGAGCTGCCGCGTCTTGGCTTGCTCGCAGGCACCATCAGCTGTGATGGCTTTGTGCCGGTCACTGTGAATTTTGACTTTTATGAGGATGGAAGGCGATTGGACACCGGTTCTGGAGGTTCTGGAGTGGATGTTGGAAACCCAAGTCTGTTCCCCAACGGCTACTTTGGATTGACCTTCCCTCCTCAGTTTTACGCAACAAAGAATGGTAATCTGATCACCACATCTGGTGTGGTCCCGCCATCAACGCCAAATTTTGGCCTCTATGATCCGTTGAATATTGTCGCAAGGATCCAGATTCAGGCATCACAGGCGGCAGCATGCCCACGGCCGCAGCTTAAGAGCTTGTACATCGGCTACTATATACGTCCCGGACTCACCCTTCCAATCACAGTCAGCATCACAGGCCGGCTCCAGGGCGTCCTGGTACCAACATGCAACTATGCAAAAGTTTTTATGGCCGGGCAGGATCCGGAAACCTTCAAGACTCTAGTCTTCCTGGCAACACCTGGCTGCCAGGGGATCGACAGCTTTGACATCGCTGACTCAAATGGACAAAACCTTTATCTTGTGGACAACATTGAACTTGCATGATAATGTTGGGTCCAAACACCTGATTATCATCATGCTGATGAGCGTTTCATGACTGGGTTGTCACATGCGTGGCATGTTTTTGTTGAGCATGATGGCAGCCATTTTGAAGGAGGCCTCCTGCGTTTACCAAGTATGCTTCATTGCAGATCAACAGAACTTGTGCTACTATGCAAATTTTTTGATTCTACATCTGTGACTGACAGAAAGAAAATGGGTATTTCAATTGCACTGCAAGACCCAATTATCAGGTTGATTTATGCATGAAGTCAAATGGTTTCCATGTCTGAAGATTGCCCTGTCATCAGCGCATGGCGTGCTGTTCTGCCTGGGTGCCTTTGAGGCCTGACAGTTCCGTTCCTGTTGTTTCTGCTGCAGCATGCATGCAACGGCCGTTTTGCGGGATGCTGTGTTGAGCAGGCTATATATGTTTGCAACAATTCTTTGGCACAAGAGTGGACTTGAATTGTTTATTTTTTGAAAGGCATGCACTGTATATATGTTCTCAGCAGCACAATGCGCTTGTTGATGCGGAGGGTTTGTCGACACAATCTTGAATCCTTGGAGGCAGAGATTTGGTGGTGCCTGTGAGTCACAAGCGTGTGACAGCGCATGGCATCAGAGCTCTTGCGCTGCTTGTGGAATTAGCATTGCCATGCAATCGTGTTGTGTGTGCACTGAAGTAGGTGGAAGTGCAGAGTCTGAGATGGTTTTCTGTTTGGGATCAAATCAGGGAGAATGTACTGCTTCATTTGAAAATTTTTAAACAAATATTTGCCATTAATGCCATGAGGAGCGTTTTGCACCTCTCAACCTCTGAGACCCTCTGCATAAAGCATGCTTCTGCCTTGCCTTGAGCTCCCAAGCCAGCACCCAAGCTCTGAGAATATTTGCGAAAAGTCATCAGCTATGAGACTATATATCGCCCATGATTGATCTGGCCTTTCCGATAAAACTAGCACCAGCCCCTTGCCACAGTCACAGCCCTCCTTGTCTTCGCCCTACTTGTCTTTGCCCTACGCACATAAAAGAAGAACATGCTGTGAGCTTTGGATCCGCACAACTTGCACAAGGGACGATACCTGGCAGAGCACTGCATGCCAAGCTGCATGGATGTGGCAGCTTACTTGCACACAGGAGATGGCATTTAAAATGCCTCGTACATTTCTGACATGCCAAAAGCGTCGCCTTTGCTGGTCAGTAACATAGCCTATGTGTCAGGCCACTTTAGCTCAGCAGTGACAAGTGGAGGGAACATCGGTTGTCACCTGGGCCGACAGAGCGGTTTCAGCAAGACTGCCCATTTCATACGAATCCCCAGGCGTTATCTTAACACCTTGGACTGGAAAGTCCCGGAAGATGGTAAGAGAATTTGCTCCTGATCAGATGTAAGGCGCTGAGAGCCTCAATGAGAGCACTGGTCGGCCATGGAATGCGTTCCGCATCTCCTGCCGAAACTTCCTCAGCTTGTCCCTCTCTTCCCTTGTGACATCTAAAAACACCTGCGCAAAATATCTGGATATTTCTGGCATTGCAAATTATTTCAGATACCCTGCCCTGCGATCCAACAAGTATATGCAGTGGGTCTTGATATTTGAACAATTCAGATGGCTGTGAATTGACCAGATAGTCACATATAACTGCACGAAAGGAATTGACTTGCCCCTGCTTGATTGACTTGGCAATGTGCTTCCATTTGCCCTTGTGCTACTAGGAAGGGATCCCAGCTATGATTTAAAATCTAGTAATGGCAAGCGCTCACCTGCTGCATGTCTGGGCACTTCAGCAGCCACCGGAGGCTGCCCTCAGTGGCTGCCATCTTGGGCAGCAATGCATTGCCGCTACCGTCCTTGTGAACTTTCACGGCCTTTGTCCTGCGAGCCATGTTGCCGCGCAGGTAGAGCGTGTGCAGCCAGGTCAGCTTACTAAGCTCCTGAGGCACCTGCGCGCACATGCCAATCATTCCCTAAAAGTCCTACAGTGAATTGATCTCTGCACAGCAACTAATGTCCCCGTCACTGCAGACGCTGTGCTTGCATGTGCTTACAAAGAGCGAGACACTGATATTATATATAAAATAAGATGTGAAACAGACAGCATGGAACTGAAAACCCCTACGCCGAGGGAGTTCATTCCTGGACAAACCTGCTATGCATGCTGTGATAGGTAAATCCACCTAAAGACTGGTGGGTCTGGGTCTGCTACTAAAGGCCAGAGAAATACAGAGAAAACAATGCCGAGGCTTGGCTTGATGGTACAGGAATACTGTGAGGGGGAAACCTGCGTACCTCTGGGTACAGGTAATTGCCTTTCAGATTAAGGTCACGCAGGCGAGTGAGCTTTGAGATGCTGGGGCTTATTTTGGCCACCTTGCAGTCTGACAGTTCCAGCCTCGTTAGCATTGTCAACCCGCCAAAAGAGTCCGGCACCTGAAGCCAAAGGTAGCCTTCATGAGACAAAAAAAGGGGGAAAACGGATTGTGCAACAGGATGTATATTTCTACACCTAGACATAACACCATAATATGGTGTGCTGCAATCAAGGCAGGAGTGCAATTTGCCAAGAGGTGAGAAAGATGGAACAAAGTTCCTTACGTGAATGCCTAACCCTGAGTTGTGCCTATGCGAGAACTTGAAAAAGCCAATTTGAGATGAGTGTGTCATCATCTTACCTCCCTGAGATTACTCAAGGTGACCGTGAGGTTCTGCAGGGCCGCAAAGCCCTCTGGGACTTGCCAGTCTTCTGAATTTCCATGTATCCTGAGATAGTGCAGCGAGGGAATTCCGGCCGTCCATGCGGGGAACTTAGGGAACACTGAAGTGTAAAACTCCAGTTTCTGCACACAGGCACACATTGATTTACTTTTGTCTAGGACGTTCACTGGGTTGAAGCTAGCGAAGAGTTCTGCAGACATTGAACAGGGCGAGCGCCAGGGAAATTAGAGGACGGGCTGCCTCTCGAGTGCACAGTATTCAGCAACAACAATTTTACCCCTCAAAGCCAGGTCAGCATGCCCTGGCGATGTACAACCAAGGGATGCCGGAATTGCATATACAGAACAGAAGATTCCACCAGGACAATGCAGACCATTCAGAAATATGACTTGCAGGACATACCGTCAGGTTTCTTAAATTACTCAAGTCCGGCTCCTGTGCTTCGCCTTGCCTGACATAGCCGTACAGTGCAATTGCCTGCACTGCTGTCATTAATTCCACCTGCAGCAAACACAGGAACATGAACAAGGGCCAGGGTTCAGCCATTGCAAAGGAAATCAACTCCTAGTAAATCGGGCAAACTTCTGAGGATGGCACATTGTACAACATGAAAGGAATTGAGCTGCCAAATTCCGTTCATACACCCCAAAACACATTCCTGAGGGCTTGCACCTGCAACAAGATCACAGGAATGGAATGCAGCATCTTGAGTGGAGAGTTCACCTCTGGGGGTAGACATGGGCAGTTGGGGCCGATGCAGCACGTCATGGGACTGAAAGAGAAGCTTTTAAGCTTTGCCAGTTGCTGCCAATTGCCTGGTGCGTCGATGTGAGCATCTGCAAAAGCACACAGTGAGGGGTTTATATATATATATAATTTTTTTTAAGGGTACACTGAGAACAGGCGGCAACACCGCAAGCCATACCCTTGACATTCAATTTCTTTTTGCGCCCAAATTTGTACCCACAAATGCCATCTCGAGCAGCATTTGGGTTCACACGCTGCAGGCAAGCTGATCTGGTCAGCAGGTGGAACTTTACTGACTGCACTTGGATGCTCTATGACCTCAGCTAACGGACGCCGGTGGTTTATGCATTCCAGCCAGATGTGGAGCATACAATATATCAGAAGATGCTGAAGCGCACCATAGGGAAGCTCTGGACCCGGATCTGGGCCTTCCAAGCTAGTCAGCGTACCATGAAGTCCCAGGAATGCCAGTGAGGGCAGCCTGGCTAGCGCTGATGGCAGGTGCCCCAGCCTGAGCTCCAGCCCACAACCCCTGCAGATTAAGGTGTCCAAACACAGATTATTATTATTATTATTATTATTATTATTATTATTATTATTATTATTATTATTATTATTATTATTATTATTATTATTATTATTATTATTATTACACGCTTTTACTGCCGAAGGCAAGGCGCGTCTGCAGACAAGCTGCATGTAAGGCTGCCAAATTCCTACCCTTTGTTGGACTCGCCAAATCCAAGCAAGACCCAATCAACCGTGGGCACGGTGCTCAGTATTTGTACCGCCCCCCGCCAGCCGGGGCCAAATACAGATTAAACCTATTAAATCTATGTAGTTTACAGATCCACCAATACAGAAGGACTGCTAATCTGAGTCTGACACAGTTGCTGGATTATGATTTATGGTAGAAAGGTAGTGCAGCGACAGATGTTTGCCAAAGATGTTGACCTGCAACAAAGCTCTGTTTTCTCCCCACAGTGGACAGACAAAGTGGCTGGTGGACTGTAGTGGAATGGCCATCACATGCAGCAAACAGCAAAACAGTGTGAAGATCTGACTGTCCCCAAAATGAGAGACAGGAGAGGGTTGCAAAAATGCAGTTGAGGCAGAGGGAGTCTCAAGACAGAGTATGGAAATTGAAATTGCAGCAATCAATGTCTCACCCATCAATTTCGAGGGTGTTGAGCCGTGTGAGCTGTGAGATCTCCTGTGGAATGCGCCTGAGCTGCTGGGCTGACAGGTACAAGGTCTCCAGAGTGGTGAGGGAGCACAGCACTTTTGGGAAACTCTGCAGGCCCCGAAATGCAAGTCCTACCGGAGGATTCTCCACGACCTCCTCAGACGACAATTGGAAGCTCTTGAGTTTCCTGGGGCAGCAACATGGGCATGCATGTCAAAACACCATCCCTCACTTGTGGAGCAAAACAGACCCACAAGACATGCACTTCGTGATCACTGGAAGCCTTGCAGAATTCACTCATTGACCTGATAAGCCTGGTGGTAAATGCCCAAGTCAGCTCGAGGCACTTACTTGAGGTGCTGCATGCCTCTCTCAAAGTCCTCCATATCTATGTAGGCGCGGTGGCGTGACAAGGCGAGGTATGTGAGGTTTGTCAGCGCCCAAAAGGCTTCAAAGGTCTTTGAAGTGAAGATCCCGCCAGAATTAAACAAAGACAGGGAGTTCAAATTCTGCCCGAGGCAGCCCAGGAAGGCAGCAAATTCCTGCATCACCAGACAAATTGCATGTTTCTGTGCTGCATTTCCTTGCAATGGAAGAAACTCGTGTATCTCCTGAGGACAAAAGAGCAGCGAGCTTTCGCATGTTTCTTGGTGATGTATATCTATCATTTCCAAAAGCAATTCATTGCAACGGCACCTGTGGCGTGGGGTGCTTCCGATCTGTATCGCGCGAGTCGCTCATGGACAGACTCAAGGGCCAGGTTATACACCCACTGGCCAGATGGCGCTGAAACCACGCACCACAAGCTGCAATGTTCGGTACTGGGTAACTCGGATAAAAGGTCCATGATACACGATGAAAAAACTCTCCTGCACCAGCATACATGTCGTTAGCTTTTGTGCTGAAGTCAGCATGTTTCCAATGCCAGCAAGAAATGCCATGCTTACCTCGTGAGGCAAAAATCACTCTCCGCCATCGCTTGCAGACACAAGGCACTATCATGCGAAAATCATCCGCATCCCAATCTTCCACGGCTCTGAATATTTTGATGAGGATCTCATCTGGCAAGAAACTGATGGGAGACATATTTAGGACTTTCAAATCGCTTTTGATACCCAAAATTGCTGCCCCGGCATACTACTGGACATGCCACAATGAAGGATGCCGATTTGGTCTTCTCTGCGTCCAAATAGGAGGATCTCGCCTCAAACTAGCTATCCTTGGCAATGCCACGCATGCCCTGGACACAATATCCTGGATTACAGGCAGTCCTTCGCGTAATCAACAAATAGATCGGTCTGAAGAGCAACTTCGTGCTCTCTGAAGTGAAACCGGAAATAATGACGACGTATCGTTCACATTCAATTTCAAGAAGGCAATTTAAAAGAGTCTTCAAGCCACGTCAGCTACTGATCTCAGCGGAAAAAAATCAAATTTGAACTTTGTGTTGACATCAGCACGTGCACCATCTGAAATTTTTAGGCGCATACACACAAAACGGAATGCAGAATCAGTCGGCTGAAAGAATGTGGTTTGACGCCTCGTGGCATGCAGAGGTCACATGACTGGTCACAAAGCCTTAAGGTCACAATCCCATGCTGAGCACACATGCATGCTGGGCCCCATGATCTGATGATCGTGATAATCCAAGAATGAGTGACGAGATTCGTGCTTATTTGGACTGCGTAGCAGGCCCCATTATCACTCTAATAATCATTATTACTCGTACACTATTCTCCTGCCAGAGGCAAGGTACCACCGGGGCGTCTGCAGACAAGCTAGCATGTTGAGTCAGTCAAATTGCTACCCTTGATGGACTCGCCAGATCCAAGCTAAACCCGATCAAGCGAAGAGTCATGGGCACAGTGCTCGCTGTTTAAGCTGGCCCCTGCCAGCTGAGGCCAGCCGCATAGGCCTAAAGAAGAGTGCCTGTGCCTCAGGCTGAACCAACTTGGGGCACAATAAGGGCTGTATCCCAAAAACTGACCTGCGGTAGCCACAGAAGGCCAAAAACCTTGTCTTGCGGGGGTTTTCTTGACGAAAAAAAGCAGTGCCAGAGATCTGGATCACCTCTTTCAAAGCACACGCTGTCATGTTTAATACCCGCCCATGCAGCTATTCTTGCTGCTGCAATGCCCCAAGATGTCTTCAACATCCTGTATTTTTACCTGCAGAGGAAAGTAAGAGCACCTGTTCAATAACAATTCGAAACCTCCCCCTAAGGAAACGCCTCTGCTGTTTGCAGGGTCATTCAGCATTCAGAGAGTAGGACTGGAAGTCTTGGAATCATTTTTGAGCAGCAATCCTGTTTGGCGGCGATTGCACTCATCTATATGCAGAGCATTACCGTAAATGCGAGCTGAGCCATAGGGGAGAAGCAGGTTCACTGTGCAGGGTTGTAAAAGCCTTTGTAATTCCCTTCACTCCTTGGAACCCCGCTGACTCAGCATTCCTCCGAGCAGCACTCTGTCCTTAAGCACCTGCAAGGGTCATGTCAACATCTATACTAAGGCATTAAAGCAGATCTGCTCTGTAGCCAAAGCTATTGCCCACAAACTCAGAAACCTTGCACTTTATATTGCCCCCAAGGATCCGATGCCCTAACAAGGCAGAGAAGAATTGAATTCTAAAGCTATACGTAATGTATTGCTACACCCCTTTCCTCCAAGTTTGCCGGAATCGGGCTTCATGCCACGTCAGCTGTGATGTAATTGGTCTGCATGCATGCCTCAGTGGATTCATGCGATCTACTCCGGTGCATTCAGTTCGTGACACTCCTATAGTACGGAGCAGGCTACAGGGGTGTGCAGTGAAGAAGTGCAGGCTCATAATTGATGATGGCTGCATGTCGATGCACATGCACCGTCAGAATTCACAAAAGTTTGGTTGAAGAGTCCTAGGGGCGTAGATTACAAAGCTTACACGACCCTTTCACAATTAATTGCTATTTTATGCCGCTACACACGTTTCAGACACGCACACTGGCTTTCCCACGTTCTGCCATTCTTACACACTGTGACACACTATATGACACACCAGCGATTCGTCATCACCTCCCAGCCAACGTGTCCAACGTGTCAGCAATTGCACGTCCGACACGCGTGTCACCCACATGTCCACCCCCTCCCATCCCGCTTTCCACCCACCCCTTGCCAATGCAAGTTGCCATCATGCTCACCCAGTGGGCCAAAGAACAAACAGCGAGATGCATGCATGCACATGTCTGCAGCATGTAGGCCTCCGCCCCAACAATTGCAATTTGCTATAGAACCCGAATTGAAGTGCAGTAATATTAGCAACAGTTTTCAAGAATTGCAATAGCCAAAGGCGCTGGGACTGTGAGCTCCTCGGGACCGGTGAGACTACGCATCGCCCATCAGCTCTTCATCAAGGAACTCTTCGGCCTTCCTCTTTCCAGTTGCCACATCCACCAGGATCTGTCGAAGACCCTTTGTGGCAGCCACGCTCAGAGGGGTCTCTCCCTTCTTATCTTCAGCCTGATCCCACAAATAGGTGCAGGGTTGTGAACACCTCGATAAAGATTTCTTCCATGTCCAAATGCAGGGTCTGCCATGAGCTGCGGGGCCACATCCTTGAGCTGGCTGGCTGGGGGCAAAAGACAGCGTCTGGCAGGGAACATACAACTGACAGAGAATCGGTAATATGAGGCGCTCTCGAGTTGATCGGGAAGGCAATAAGCTATGCTGTGAGAAGCAAGCTGTTGCAGTTGCACAAGAAGATATAAAATGTCAGCCTAGAAAACAGTTGCTAAAGCCATCGCCCTGCCACACTCATTATGAAGCACCGGACAGAATTGCTTTGAAGTCATCCCTGGCAGGAAGGCAAAACATGTAACCCACCTCCACGTCAGCGCCCTTGGAAAGCAGATAAAGTGCGATCGCTTGCTGACATGTCTCCGCCGCAACATAGAGCGGCGTACCTCCCGTGTTGTCCCGAGCTTCCAGCTTCGCCTTGCCTTCCTCTACCAGAATCCTGACCGCCTCAAACCTGCCTGCACTGCATGCCCTGCGCCAGGATCCGCCCCACAGAAGACCTCAATTACTTACATGTATCCGATCAATCTGTTAGCCCGATCCTGGATAGATTAACCCTCTGCAGAGTGCTTCACCACATGCATCAGAGACCGCGCCTCAGCACAATTCCGACAGGGAAGCTCGGCTGCATGGATGGCATGTCAAGTCATACTCAGCTCTGGCTGGTGCTGGTGGGTCTTTTTGGAGTGACAAAATTGCAACCACACCGAGAAGCGACAAATAGAAATGCCATGTGAGGGGACAATGTAAGGGCACCTGTGCAAGGGAGTTGAGCCGGTGGAGTCCTTTGTATTGACATTCGCTCCCTTTGCCAGTAGCGCCCTGATCACACTGGGCTTCCGAGCCTTGCTTGCCTACACGGGCAGTCACTGTGTCCGTCAGTCGCTGTCGCATGCTTACATAAACACATGCAAGAAGGAGGCAGTATTTGACCGTACAGCATGCCCACTGACCCAGCTGCAGGGTTGACCAGGGCACCATGCATGTCAAGCCCGGGGCAAGCCAAGTCCCTGCATGTGTCTTTGCCTTGTGAAAGCATGTCTGTGCTGGGTGTACCGCGTAGTGCAGGGCTGTCTGCCCCGAGCTGTTCTTCGCATTGACATCTATTTCGGTGCCAAGCAATAGATCCACTGCTTCCTCTCTCCCAGCGCTCACTACTGACATCAGCGGGGTCCACCCCTGATCAAAACATGCCAAAGACATCAGCAATGCACCTTCACTCAGCCAAACCTCAAACATTAGTTCTGTAAATCCTGGCGCGCCAAAAAATTTCCTTGCTTTTCTGGTCGGGCAGCAGCAGCTTCAGGTAACTAGTAGCTTCATGGTGCTGTTTCGTGAGGAGGGCAGATAAGCAGGGATCTGGTGCTGTGAGAAGAAGCGAGCCACACCTCATCATCGGACGTGTTTGGCGACGATCCTTTCGTCAAGAGGTACTTTACCAGGTCCGCATTGCCGTTGGAGGCAGCAGCGTGCAGCAGTGATCTGCAGGCCAGCATTACAGCCTTCGTTTTGTTGAGCCGTAAGTATTGCGTTACAATAGTGTGACGGGGTGGTACAATAGCAGAAGAGCATGTCGATCAGTAATTGCACCTACCTTCCATCCTCATCTTGTTTGTTAAGAATGCTTTGTAGATCGACGTCAGGTAGATTCTGTATGAAATCTACATGGTTATCTCTGATAGCATCAATAGCTCTGCCAAGAGCCATTTAGTAAAAATTTCTAGCTTCAAAGCTGGTCTATGCTCAGAAGTTGGCACAAGCCCATGTACACCAGTTAAATCTAGCAGGGATAATAATCCACACGATCCGCAAAGCAGGTCGCTGAGGCCTCGCAATCTGTTCTTTCGAAATGCCCAGACTTTTAAAATCTAGAAGATTCCAAAGTACTGAGATGACTCGCATTGAAGAAGAGGAGAAGTGGACGGACCTGTCATGAGGCGTTCCATTACTGACTGCAAATCTAGGATCTTTTCAAAAGGGCATGTACATCCTGTAGGCTGTGGACATGTGAAGGGGAGAGCTTGCGCGGTCAGATGAGACATAACTCAGGCCTAGTACCCTCAAGGGAAGCTTGGTGATCGCGAGCCGCGCGCACGGCTGCAGCTGCAGTACACGTGATCTTCAGTGAGTGCAATCTGACGCTCAAACTTGTCTTCCTTATCAATCGATCGCAGTGCCTCAGTACTGAGTCAGAATGAATCACAGTGTGTCACAATGTCAAGGCGTGGAATCACTGCCTGGAATGCCATCGAGGCATGCATGCAAAAGGCGCGTGCGTGGCAGATCACGTGGGTTCGCGGGACCGGTGCTGACTCGGTCCACGCCTTCCTCTGACGATGCTGGCCCCACACAATTTCAACACATTTTATTTGCAAACTGAATTGTTCAGCTGCTTTAAATCCTTTTTAATAATCTACGAAAGCTTTTGCCCACATTCTCGTCTGCTGTGCATATTATCGCAAGCTCGATCGTTCTGCGAAAGCTTCGGATGTTCCAAAAACCTCTCTATTCTGGACATTGCAGTAATAACGTTAGAGGTAGCTATGATGTATTGTGTCGTAACAAGTGCTTCTTTTTAGCGTCGAGATTGCGGCAATCGAGCCCACAGAAAACGTTGAGGTAAACTCGCTGAGTGACTCTACTGGACAAATTCAGAGCAAAAAGCATGTATACGGAATAACATTATTGAATTTCTTTTAAAAGATTGTTTCCTTCATGGATCGAGTCTGCCGACAGGCATTTTGGTGGGTCGGTCCAGTGACCCACATGCCACACTGCTGCACGGCAGAGCTTGAAGAGATCTCTTACTGTGCTGATCAGGCGATCTGTGGAACATACAACAACCACTTGCAGCATCCCACCTAGTGCCCAAGCGGCCGCTGAGAGACGAGCCAGCGCTCAATCATGCTCCACAAGCAGCAGGTGCCTGCAAAATCTCTCCCTGTCTCTCCATCCTGCCGCTATCCTGGCAGATAGTATGGAACAAACTTTGCAGCATTGTTGGACGAATATCCCATGCCATAGATGGTCTGCACGTTAGATGTCTGTTGTTTGCGCCATGCCAGGGATCAAGAAAGGACTAGGCAGGGGAGCGACCACAGTGAGACTCTTCTCAGAAACAACCAGCAACAGAGGAGGCAGGGAGGGGGGCTCTGGTTCAGCCGCAGACAGTTCCTCCAGTCAACTGCCGCTGCAGCAGCGGGGTTGATCGCCCTTAATCAGACTGCTAAGGTGCGAATAAATAGGCCTTGCATGAAGGCTACTATAATTGTCCCGTCCAAAACTAGTTATTGCTTTGCTTCAAGCTACACATAAGGATCAACTGGCTCTCTTGCGCCACACATATGCTCCTTTCTCAGTGTCATGATAATAGTGATGCAATACCCATCAGTGTCTTGCATGGCATCTTCTGGCATTATAAACGGGCGCTTTGTTAAATCTGCAGGCGAGCAAATTGCCATCGGCGTTTGATCGTGCATGGGAGGCTGTAGGGGGAGGGCCTGCTGACCTATATTTCCCCGAGGAGTTCCTGGGGGTTTGGAGCGTCGAATCGACGCTGGCTTCCGTGCAGCTTCCCCTAGGGCCCGACTTTGTGCCCGATACCAAGGTGGCCTACCCATACACCCAATACTCTTCATCGTTACTAAAAATTGCTAATAAATCATGCACCTTCTTTGCAATGCACGTTGCTTGTTAAGTAGTCGATGGCCACCCTCTGTGGTGTTTGTTGTTTCCTGCTCTAGCAAGTTGCGCGCATGTCTGGGAACTCTGCAGTTGTCATTCCCAAGAAACTCCTGGGTGGAATGCTCTACAGATCTGAAGTAATAACTTGATGGACATAAAGGACTCAAGTCTTCTGCAGGTGGTGGAAAGGGCAAAAGCAGAGGATCTAAACAGGCAAGTGCGGTACACCGTCGCCTTCGTGCGCAACCGCGATGGCAAAATCATCACAGACGTGAGTTTCTGCATTGTTTATTTTGCTTAATCCCTGTCCTCTATCATGATCTCCCCTGTGACTGCATGCAAGTGTGTATACCGCACAGTTTTGTGCTTCAGAGGTCTTCTCTTGTACCTTGCTCTACTGAATATGTCGCTAGTTTTATCTTCATGTCCTGGTAGTGCCAAACATATTACAGGATCTCTAAGAATGTAAATTTCTGAGGGTGGATTGCCGGGGGTGGGTGCAGCGGCGCTTCAACACGCTGAGCCTGCTGGATTACTACCTGGGCCCCGGCAAGTTGACAGCGCAGGACATCGCCTGGAACCCCAATGACCCCAACGTCCTCAACATGGCCCTCCCAGGTGTGGCGTCCCCCCATCAGAATTGCAGCACTCCAGTATGCCAAGAGGACTTGTCATTATGGATGCAACTATTTCTTGTAGGCAATGCGAACTGAATGTGAATTTTCAAGTTGCGTGCTGTGTTTCTCACTTGCCGTCCTCTTGCAGCACTGTTCCCTCCCTGTGTGTTGGTCCCTGGCCTCTCACAAGTTTCAATTGCAAGGTCCTGCACATGGCTTGTTTACTGTCAACACAGAGACATTCGGCCTGATATCAGCGCCTGGTGCCCAACAGCACAAAAGTCTGGCTGTGAAGCTTTGTAACGGGAAGTTGACAGTGTCTGAGCGGGTGCTGCTGCTGTTCAGGGGGATTGGACATAACGACAAGGGTGACGCGGCGATCTGAGTCATCAGCAGGCCCGGACCGGCTGGACACGTCAGAGTACTTCCAGCAGGTGCCAGCACATACCGGCACATGCCCACTAGCTCCTGATGTTCAATCTCATTTCGAGAACCAGGATTGTAGGATGTCATTCAGGACATCTTCTGTACTCCTTTGTGAACTGAATTCCCCACAATTTAGGGATGGTTGACACAGAGTTGCTTGCTTGGCAAGGCCAGCTTAGGAACAGTGGCAGACCAGTTTGAAGTGGAAAACTACAAGTCTCTGGGCAAGGCTGAGCAGAGCCCTCTGTGCTGTTGTGTGGGGGGAGAGTCTGCACATTACGGCACTTCCCTGATAATTGATATTTTTGCCCCTGCGCAGCTATACGATTCCCCGGGCCGCGCGGAACCAAAGGTCAAAGCGAGCCAGTGCTTCACAAAGTACAAGTGGCGGGACTCGGCCGCAGCGCAGCGCGAGAGCGGGCCCCAGATCGTGGCCACTCAGGTGAGTCATCGCCACATCATCACTGACATCAGCCATATGCGTGTTTCAGAGAAAGAGAAAGAGATATACAGATGTCGAAGCAGAGCATGTGCCAGTCATCAGAGGGGCTGCCTCCTGTCACATTTTGCGACACGGCACAACGATGCCCTGGCCAAGCATGGATGGCTATTGTGGCTAGTCCAAGCATTCACCATAAGCTTTGGGTTCATCGTGCGTTCCTGGCGTGAGGGCTCGTCACTGAGGGGGGTGTGGTGTGCGTTGCATGCAGGTGGTGAGCGACTATCTGACGCCGTACGATGGAGAGATGCTGATGATGCGTGCAAAAAACAGCCCAGTGGTTATCTACACCTACAAGATGCGCTTCTGGCGGAGCCCAAAAGACAATGCTGTTGCCTTGTAGCTAGCTAATTATGGTGTGTGGCGGCAGGAGTTGTAGAAGATCTTTCATTGATCGAGATAGCTGTTTTGTCATGGTCAAGGTCTGTCCCAGCCCGGTGTCTCAGTCAGAGTCCCCAGGGCTGATCTTGAGAGTTGATAGCAGCAAGCAGTGAAGCATGTCGTGCGCGCAGAGAACTGATATTTTTTGATGCATTGCTGGTATTGAACGGTCTCTATAGAGGAGTTTGAGCTGTAGTGGGGCAGAGTGAGCGGGAGAGAGAAGACTGGACGTCTGAGCCGCCCTTATTGAACATGCAGGAATGAATTATTTTATACACCAGGCGTGGCCAGCAATATTGAGTAGCGGGTAAAGCTTGCGTTAAAATCAGTGTACTGCGAATCTGTCATGCATATGCAAGCAATTAATTCTTCCTGTTAGGGGACTTGATGCTTTCTAGACATATTCAGCAGTACCCTTGCATGCATTTAGCATGCATGCCTGGATCAAGAGAAAGCTTGACATGGCTTACTCATTTGGGCAGAAGCGCTTTTCAAGCTATAGCCTGAGCCCGAGCCCAGATGCTTTTCACCAACCGTAATAGCTTTGGAATGGCAAGCTCAGGAGCCCTATGGGTGAACAACTCACCCGTGTAATGTTATGCTTTGCTTCAATTATCTCAGCTAGCTTCTTGCTGGCCATTACCACCGAAAGGCCTTTGAGTTTTCTCGTGAAGGAATGGGAAATGCGTCTAACACCGTTCAAAACGGGTTGGCGCCAGTTTAGACAAGGCGCATCACATGATTGCGCTTCTCATGATTTAGCAACACATTCAACAAACAAAAGGTCCATTGTCCAGGTGAGCAATAAAGTTGTGGAGAGAATATCGGTGTGAAGAAGCCTGCCATGGCCTCGCAGTGGTTGTCGGGCCTGGCAAATGCTTCAACAAATGCCAGCAACAGCAGCAGGTATCCACGAGCTTCCCACGACAGCTTCCATCCTGGCGAGCTGGATGAGAATAGAACTCCACCTTCAATGAGACGGACGGCCAATCGGCGGACCATGCCCTCCACTGACGCCTCGCCAGACAGGAGCAGCAACTCCTTCAGGAGTGGCAATGAGAGGCTGTACGAAGCCTACAATGACCTGCACACGCTTGCTCAGGATTTCGAGAAGCCCTTCGATGCTCCCGCCATCCTCGTCGTGGGGCACCAGACGGACGGCAAGTCGGGTGTGTGCCCCTGTAATCTATATCACAAGATGTGTTGTGAGTTGTTGATATTTCTACATGCGCGCCTGCTGATCATTCCTATTACCTTTGAAATAAAAATGCAAATATATTCATGCCTTTGCTGGGTGTAAATACTAACTCCAGCGTGTGGGCTGGTCGCTGTGTCAGCAATGTTAACAATTGTTGTTAACCCAGCCACTTCCGCGTCACTGAACCTGATACAATTGTACGATGCCGTCATGCAGCTCTGGTAGAGGCCCTCATGGGCTTCCAGTTCAACCACGTTGGAGGAGGCACCAAGACCAGGCGTCCCATCACCCTGCACATGAAGTACAACTCTGGCTGCGTCCAGCCCACCTGCTACCTCATGCTCGAGGACGTCGGCGAGCAAGAGGTGTCCCTGGAGGAGCTGCAGGTGCCCTTACACCTTCCGAACCTCTCACTTGTATCTTCGTAGGCCTACCAATCTGGCATCCTGGCCTAGATTCTCCTCCAAAAGCAGGACTTGGCGTGCTCACCATTCTATTGCCTGGCTGTGCATCAATTGAAGGCTTCCACCAAAAAATTACCAGGATTCAAAACGCCGAAGCCGGCATGATACACAGGGTATCAGTGCAGACATCTCAGATAAGCTGATGAGCTGAGCAGGAGCCAATGCCCTGCAGGAGTACATTGAGAATGAGAACCAGCGGCTGGAGCGGGAGCAGCAGTTCTGGTCCAAGGAGATCGTGGTTAAGATCGAGTACAAGTACTGTCCCAACCTGACCATCATCGATACCCCAGGTGACATCTCTGCCCCTCAAATTGACCACCGCCTGTCAAACCACGGATGCATTCCTTCCTTCAAGGCATCCAACCTTTCCTGAGAGCATGGATGCCTACTTTGTAGATGCTACTAATGCATCATCTGACAATCTTCAGAGCAGCTCAGGGTCCATTGTTGTACCATGCAAGAGCAGCAGTTTACGCCAGATCTCACATGTTTAGAAGCAAGAAGTACAACTTGTTGAACACTACCCGCACTCAGTGGCACAGTTGGGTCTGAAGGGGGTCCTTACCAAGCTCCTCACCAAGCTCACCACAGCAAACTTACCAAGCTCACCACAGCAAGCGGACGTCTCAAGGGCATCTTTTACATGGCCAACATTATCAAAGATTTGCAGTGTGCAACCCCTCCAAGGTTGAATTACGAAGAGGCTGAGAGGGAAGGCTGCGGACTGATACAGGCCTGATATCGGCGGCCCCGGGGCGGCGCAACAGCGGGCTGCAGCAGAGCGCGAAGCAAGTTGAGAACATGGTGCGGCAGAAGATGGAACAGCGTGAGTACATCATCCTCTGCCTCGAAGACTCCAACGACTGGTCCAACGCCACCAGCAGGCGCATGGTCATGCAGGTGGGCACATGCAATCTCTTGTGCAGGAGGCAGCGTCTGGAATTTGCTCGGATAACACTGCTCGTGCATCTCAGTCTGCTATGAGCATCACCTTGGGATGCACGGTCATCCATTTCACCCGGAGCAGCCACACTGTCCAGCTTGGCTTGTAGAGCTCACAGGCCCTGCTTGGAGCCGGCAGCCAAACACACTGGGTGCATCGAGATGGCAACCCCTGAGTGTCCCCATTGCGTCAGGCATGGCAGTCAGGATCGTACTCACCAAAGCTATGGCCTCCAAAGCTCATGCCTGATCGGGTGATGTGTCTGCTATAGCCTGCTTGGTCACTTATGACAAACTGCCCTGATCTGGCAACGTGTTACCCCCCTGGCCCCAAATGTGACGCATGATGGTGTTATGAACCAGCGTGCCGTCGGTGACGCTGACATCACGGAGCTTGACTTCAAGTTCATATATAAAATTACTGTCGCCAGGTGGACCCACACCTGTCGCGCACGGTGGTGGTGTCGACCAAGCTGGACACGCGGCTGCCGCAGTTTGCGCGAGGCCACGACGTGGAACTCTTCCTGCGCCCGCCCGGCCGACTGCTCGAGCCCGGCATGCTCGGCGGCTGCCCCTTCTTCACGTGAGTTCTCGCCCGCCTTATTGCCTGCCATGCCTGACCTCCCTGGCAGAAGTGCATATCACTGCGGTTCAATCCCTCATCCTCTGAAAACTGCCTGATGAACAGCATAATGCTAGGATCCCAGGGAGATGCGGACGTACTACAAGAACCTCTCAGAGCCCTGGGCAGCATGCTAGCAAACCCTGCAGAGAGGAAAAGAACGCTCGGTAGACGCTGTCAGCTGTTCAATCAAGAGCCCAAAGCACTCCTAACGAGATGTCCTGCATAAATATTAATGCGCCTCTGTGCAGGTCGGTGCCGTCTGGGCGGGTGGGCAACGCGAAGGACGCGATATTCCGCAGCAACGAGCACTTCCGCGAAGCCGTGGGCGAGCGCGAGAACCTTGACGTGCAGGCGCGTCCCCTGTCTCTGCATGTATATTTGCATGCATGCGCGCTGTGCATGCATGCATGCTCCTGCGCCGAACCTGTTGGCATACTATACTCTGCAAGGCGCATTCTCTGCGAGCTGCACGTGCCGTCGGCTACAATGCACTCCACTGCTGCGGGTCCCATACATATGTAGCCTCTCCTCTCTTCTGCCGAGAAATGCAAGCTATCAAAGAGATCCAGAGCGCTTGCAGGCTGAAGCTGCAGAGCCAACTGCTGTTCCAAACAGCATGCATTCCACCTCATGCGACACGGCGGTTGAGCTTGATATCGCTTGCACACAAGGCAAGGTGCAGCGGGTCAGCTCAGACTTTAATTTGAGTTCGAATTCCACTTTTGCGAGCAGGAGCTGGAGCACCGGTTGGATCGGCGGCTGGAGGGGGCTGAGCGCGCGCGCATCGGCGTGACTCAGCTGCGCCGATTCCTGGAACAGCTCCTGCAGCGCAGGTGACTCATCCCTTTGTGTTCTTCTCCAGTCAGAGCAGGGCACTCCGAATCAACTACAGCATATCAACATGTGATTTAGAGTTTCCCCAAGGTCAGCATTAGAGAGACGGCGAGTATTAAGCAAGCCAGGAGTTGCTGCCATCGCATGCTGCGCTGTTGAAGCAACCTGAGCTGCTTGCTTGCAGCTGCAGCTAATCCTATTACCAATACTAGTTGTTGTTGCTTTGTTGCTCGTGTGCTGCACAGAAGAACTTCTCTGCACAGCAGAATTTCACAGCCAAGGTAATCCACAACGTAGAGATTGCAATGGTTGATTACTGCGCAGGTATCTGGAGAACGTTCCCTCCATAGTGCCGCTGCTGGAGAAAGAGTACAGAATCGCAGCCAAGCGCCTGGAAGATACCCAGGAGGAACTCAACGACCTGCACCCAGAAAAGTGAGAACCACTGCAGCTAGTAACTTGAAATCCAAATCTCTCACTATTTTGCTGTACCAATGTGCTGCTCCGTTCAACCCAGGGCTTAACAGCCCAGGGAAAATCTGCCGAGCCTGGTTGGGCAGCTTGCATGGTTGAGCAGGCTAAGTAGTTACAGCAGGAAAGCAAAGTTTTTGCGCTTGAAAAAAACAGTCTGTCCACGACAGCCTCTGTGTGACGCGAGCCAGAAGGTTGGCAGCTGAACTTGGCTGACTGCTTTACCACTTGCCCAGACCAGAATGAACGCGCAGCTGCAGCTGTGGTCTTAGTCTATGGGTGATGCAGTGCAGCAATGGGTATCTGGCTCATGTTCTGTACGTGCCCGGAGTCTGCACAAACTCTAGAATTTCAATCTGCAATTCTCTGAAGTGAATCAATCTGAAATGAAATCTGGGTCCGCTGGCGAAGGCTGAAGGAGAAGGGCCGGTCGTTCCGGGAGTCTTTCCTGGCCAAGCTGGGCTTGCTGCTGCGCGGAACAGTCGCCGCGCCGCCCGAGCGCTTCGGAGAGACGCTGTCCGATGAGCACATCCGCGGAGGTGCGCCCTTTGCATGCCTTCACCATCGTACCTCACAAGTGTTTCCTGTCATCTGTCAAGATCGGGCCTTTTCGTCCCTTCAGATGCGCAGCAGGTGCCATCCGCCCAGAGGGGCGCACTGCTGTAGACTAGATACTGCGGCTGAGATTATTTGCAAGCAACCACTGCTTGAACAAGTGGCTTTCATCTTTGCAAGCATGGGATTTGACCTTTGCTCGGGTGTTCGCTGCATGAGCATGGTCACTTCCGTCTGTGAACATGCCCTGTTGATGTGCAGATGTAGTTTGGCAGCCGCGCAACCGGCATGTTGGGCTCCTAACATTAGAAAGCTGATCTGCCAGTTTTGGTGCCTAAGGCGCACATCCTTTACTCTGCCCAATAATAAAATGCTTGCGCGCAGGCGCGTTCGTGGGCCCGGACTCAAAGACGCTGCCGGTGCCTGAGGGGTTGCCGAACGCGCACATGCGGCTGTTCGGCGGCGCGCAGTACCACCGAGCGATGGCCGAATTCCGCGCATCCATTGGCGAACTCACCTGCCCAGACATCAGGTGCGCACTGAATGACAAATGCCCCCTTCGGCAATGCCAGCTTCTTGCAAACATTGGAGCTCGTTCCCAGACCGGGTGGAGACATACGGGACTCCGTATTCAGTCAGTAGCTGCAACTTAAAATTGCAGATAGTACCAGCTGTTGGCCACTCAAGGCCATTCAACAAAAATCTTGTGCATTTCTGACATGCATGCATGCAAAGCGGCAAGATCCCACTTGCCAGGCAGACAACAGCAAGGCTTGAGGTGCATTGTAGGCTGATTTTGGCTCCTGTGATCTGCAACGTCCTGTTGTGCAGCCGCGAGGAGATTGTCAATGCGTGTGGAATTGATGACTTCCACGACGGAGTCAATTACACTCGCACGGCATGTGTCATCGCAGTGTCCAAGGCCCGGGACATGTTCGAGCCCTTCTTGCACCAGGTGGGGTCAGGATCTTCTCCCATGCAAATTGACCGTGCATTGCAGGGAAGTCAGGGATTCTGCTCTGCGGTCGGATCTGGTGCATGCAAGGGATTGAGAGAAGGCCTCGTGGATTGATGCATGTCAACACACAGCATGCACAGCGCATCTTCTATGTGTCTGTAGCCATGGCAGCTTTGACCCTTCCGTGCAAGGTTTGAGTATGTTGCTAAGCCTGGTGCCTTGCGCACATAGATTGACTGTAGGATGGATTGGTGGCGAGACCATGCTGACTGTGGCCCCTTTGTCCTGCGCTGCCCAGCACGGCCACCGCTTCATGCACATGCTGCAACATACCCTCTTCTGCAGTAATCTTTGCGCATCCTAACAGCTGTGTTTGAAACTGCGTCTGGAGCTGTGCCACCGCTTCATGCACATGCTGCAATGTACCCTGTTGGTGCATCCAAGAATTGCACATTTGAACTCCAATCTCTCGCGTGTGCTGCGCGCATACCTCTGCTGTACATACCGTATCAGAAGCTGCGCTCATCGAAACTCAGTCTTTCATGTTCGCCTGCGCGCAGCTGGGCTACCGGTTCCTGCATGTGCTGCGGCGCATGCTGCCGATAGCGATGTTCCTGCTGCAGCGTGAGGGCCAGTTCCTAAACGGCCACGACCTCTTCCTCAAACGCGTCGGCGCGGCCTACCACGCCTTCCTCGAGGTGACTCACCGTGCTGATTCATCATTAACAATACCACATGAGTCATCATCCTTGTTATTTGTTTAGGGAGATCTGGGATGGTCTGCAAGTCGTCGCCGCCTGCCACGGTGTCTTTTGCTTACTTGCCTGTGCCCCTCATTATTTTCCATGCAGGGCTTTTTGGGATTCAGGGCATTTTCTGCATGGCATGTCAATCATGGTGTGAATGTAAAGATAGCATTCGCCAGGAAGTCCACGATTGAGGCCCGCAGAGTGGAATGTCGCGTGTGTCTTGACCCTCAAAACTAGCAAACAGCAAAGAACAAAGGTGTCAGGCAGGATGGCGTTTCTGCAAGGCCAGGGCAACAGTCTGACAGCCAAGTGGCCTTGGGCACAATGCGTCCTGAGACAGAGCAATATACTGTCCTTCACGCTGTCTGGAAATCTCATCATCGCCTGTGATGTCACCTTGCGCAGGAGGCAGAGAAGGGCTGCCGCGGTAAGTGCCTGGAGGATCTGCAGAGCACCACGCGCTACGTCACATGGTCGCTGCACACCAAGAGCCGCGCCAGCCTCAAGTCCATGCTCAACCGGGTGCGCTGCTTGCCGCCGCATGCAGCAGCTCATGCAGCAGATCTTTATGTTTGCTTTGAGACCACGCAATGGACTGATGACCTGGCTTGCAAGAACATGTGACCTCTTCCCACCCCCGCAAGATGGCAGAGCAAATTGGCGGCCTTCACGAAGACTGACCTTTCAATAGGAAAAGGTAAACAAGCATCATGCGGCATGAGATTGAAGCATCGTCTACAGCTCCTCTCTTTTAATTACGATTCAACGGCACTGCATCTACCTTAGTCATCATGCACGTAGAGTTCTTCCATGCAGCATTCTGTGCTCAGGCATGCGGCCTGCCTCCAGGTGACCAGGCAGACGCAGCAGGCGCTATGTCTCAGTTGGGGCAACTCATCCCCCTGTTAGTGATAGTTGCTGATGCTAGATCCGTGATGCTAGATGCATGTGCTGATGCCAAATCTGTGGCTCAGGTGACCACGCCGACGCAGCAGGCGTTGACGTCCAAGCCGGGCGGCGGTCGCGCGCAGGCCGGCGGCGGCGGCGCCGCGAGCCCGGAGCCGGACAACGCGGTGACGGAGATGCTGGAGAACACTCTGTGGAACCGACAGCTGGGTGTCATGAGCGAGGAGATCGTGGCCGCCCTCGTCTGCCAGATCTTTGAGGGTAAGCGTGCTTTGGGCCATTCCGCTATATTTCCCCTGGGCACTTAATGGTCAAAGATGAGGGGCCAGGTCCATCTCGTGCGAAGCCTCGTATGTAAAGTTTTGCTGAGCCGCCACTCCTCTAAGAGTCTCTGAATGGCGCAATGCTTCCCCTTGGTGGGCCTTGTCACAAGCCGTGTAGCGTTTAATCAGCAATTGGTACTTAAAAAATGTCCTAAGTGTTTTCAAGATCCCCTGCCCACAGCTGCAGGTAGCCAAGCAAACTTACCAATCCGGGGGTCTTACCATATCAGGGCAAGATGCGCCAAAAGTGGGATAAGGCCGCCACGGAGTACCATTACCACCGTTCCTGGATCTGTATCATGTAGCAGATCCCACGCTGATCAGGATCTGGTACAGTGTTCTGGACGTGTTTTAACGCACACGAAGGCTGGTAACAAATCTAAGCTTTCCCAGAACAAGCCAGGCGTGCCGGCGTCAGATGCATGTGTTGTGCGCGCAGGCATCCGGGACCATGTGGTGCAGAGCGTGGAGCTCAAGTTCAACTGCTTCTTCCTGATGCCCATCGTCGACGCGTTCCCCACCCGCCTGCGCACCGACCTCGAGGCGGCCTACGAGGAGGACCTGGACGACGTTTTCGACGTGGCGGCCGTTCGCGCGGCGCTCGAGGGCCGGCTGCGCTCGCTGGAGACCGAGCTGCACCAGGTTAGTCAGCTCTCGCACTGATGGCTGACGCCGTCCCCCCAGCTGCATTTAGTAAGGCATTGCTGCAGTGCAATTGTCAGTGGGCTTCTGAAAAGGCCTGGGTGTATGCAATTTTGTGCTGAGCGTTAGTGGTGACTCAGGACCAAGGCCACTCAGCGTCCCTCCATGTCTCAGTCCCTCTTGAGAGGACAGCAGTTTTCTGCCTTTTTTTTCCTTCTCCTTTTCAGCTTGTGTGAGATTTTGCCTGGCGTTTCTCTTCTTCATGTTCTCTTTCCCGCTTGTTTCTCGACCATTTGCCCCCTTGACAGGTGGAGCAGCTGCAGCGCCAGTTTGTGGCGATCCATTCGGCGCTGGTGCAGCCGGCAGCTCCCGTGGAGCTGCCGGCAGCTTCCGCTCAGCTGCCGCGCAGCCGGAAGCTGCCCCTGAACCAGTCTCAGAGCCTGCCGCTCAATGCGCAGCTGCAGGGCTTGCCCAAGGGTCACGAGACCGTTGGGAGCAGTGCTCAGGGGGTTGAAAACAAGAAAGAATGGCAGATGTCCAAAGTGGCAGCCCCCAATGACGACCAGCAGTCTCCAGTCGAGGCGAGACATGCCGACTTGCAATTTTAATTCTTATGTCTCCTTCTCATCATTTTCTTATGTTTTTTCGTTCCCTTTTTGATCCGGCACCTTCACAGCTTTCGGAATAATTTGTTCCAGTCCAGATATTTCCTCGTCTGACTCTGCTTGTGACATGATTCAGGTGGAGCGTCTGCAGCGCAAGTTTGCAACCATCCATTCCACACTGGCACAGCAGCAGACGCAGAAGGTGAGGATTCTCCTTGGTTCAATATCCTCGTCCTTATCTTGCATGGGCAGCATTGTCATCATGTCATTGTAGTTGAACTCCTTCGTTGCAGTACGCAATGGCAAGGGCACTACTCTTGCTTTGCGGTTTCCAACTTGCATGACCACAGTCCTCATACCAGAGCTGAATGGCCCTTAAGATTGTTCGCAAGCTGTCAACATCGAATTTGAGCTCCTTTATGCCCTGCAGGTTCCGGACCCCCCGTCCTCTCCCTTGCGCTCATCGGTCCCCTCCGTCGCAGACTCCCTGCCCAAGGTAACGCCCTGGGCTGCCCAAAACATGCTGAATATTCTGCCGAACACACAAACACTTCACAAGTCAATGCGTGTGGGTCCGGCAACCCTGCTTGAGTGTTTCCAGTTTTTTCAGCATGCTCTGCCAGTGGCATGGCTCTCTCAATGCCCATGTGTATTCAAGTCGGCAAATCAATCATTTATGCGCAAAATATGCTTTTGCTTTACTGCGCTGTGCACGTGTTCCCGCATGCTAATTGCGGGGCAGGCTCTTGCGTCTCCAACACTTGTGCAGTAGAGTCTCTGCATTTTTGAGATGCTTCTCTTCCTGCCTGTTGCAGGGCACCAAGCTCACGGATAAGCTGAAAGCAGTGGACCTGTCGGCCAAATCTGGCCGCGCAGCGCTGTCCGCCGTCCGATAAATTCGAAAGTAAACTCATTATCCTGCCGCAGAGTCAGCTGCCAGCAGCTTCTGATATGGGAAACGTTTAACAACTTGGAATCAGAACTGTGAGGCAATGAGCATTGTGTCGGCCAGCACCCACAACATGAAGTTAGGCCCAGAGGCCATGCTTGAAGAAGTCTCTTGGCGATGATAATCAAGATCTGCAGTAGCAGCCATGCTGCTCTGCCAGAACGTGCATTGGGTCAGATTTGCATGAGATGGTTCCCGTGAGCATGCTGATGTGAGACAGACAGCTACAGTACTGGCGGAAGAGTGCCATAAGCACCTACTGAGCCTTACAATCCATGTGTTTTCAGATTGGAGACTGGAGTTGTTGCATGCATCGTTGAGCAGTTAAAAAAAAGAACTTACATAAAAAGCCCTGTTTGTAGGAGGGAAACACGACATTGTTGCTTCATGCAAATTTGAGAATTTGGGGGGCTGAAAGCATTGTGACTAGAGTGTGTGTGACTGGAATATTTGAATTCCTGAACAGTGTATGCTGGTTGAGAGTTAGGTCAGGGCTTGATCTTGAGCATCCCATCTTGGGCTGGCTCGGTATGTACAACACAACTGCAGGTGATCCTGAGTGCGTCATGGGTTAATATGATATGTACAGCTAGGAGTTGACACCTGGCAAATGTGATGATATGTAAGAACGCCATGCGATCTGTGACTGTGTCAAGAAAGAAAACTGTCTGCTAGCTGTAGCTGACAAGTGCAATAAACATGATGCTCTTTCTTGCGTTGCGTCGTTACATCGTATGTCCAAGTGAAGGCATCAAGATAAGAAATCTTCAAAAGTTGAGGTCAATTTCAAGTGACCGCAACTTTTGGGCCCACAATCTCCAATGAGCATCCTGAAAGGAATGTATTCCTACAAATAACCCCACCCAACGCACCAATGTTTGTCAGTCAGGAATACTCAGAAAAGAATCAAGCTGAAATTCAAACCCAATGAGCACCCCTTGAAAAGAGGGCTAACGCCACGTCATTTCAATTCAGTATTTAATGCCAAGCAACAGAAAAGTAAAGGTTGCAATATGTTCAATATGTTAATGCAAGGAGCAAACATCTGCCATCCCAACTCAATACATGCATGCAAATCAATGGTATTTAAACACCCGGCTGAAAATAATTCAGTGTCATAATGCGGCATTTTCCCAGAATGAACATTATGCACTTCAGAAGTGCGCATGCTTTTAGGCTTAATGCTGAATCAAGGTCCCATTTTCAAGTAGCAGCAAGCTTTTGCAAAGATTGCTTTTTTGAAGGGCTATCCTCCCATCAGCAAGGCTGATAGAGTCATAAATGCCCCCACCAAAATCAAGCGAATATTAATGCGCACCCAAAACAGCTGCACAATTATCATTGCAGCCTCCATTTCCCATGAGGAACATCACATATGGCTGGTCTATGGCATATTGCCCTGGTCAAATCTTCTTCAATCCGCTTGCTGGCAGCTTGAATTTAATTTGCCTTCAGATAGCCATCAAATTCCTTAAGGTAAATCATGGACCAGCAAATACATCTAAGGGCTGCGATGCTGAGGTCGTTCTCCACATACATTCCCTGCGTCTCCAATCAATTTTGGCCGTTAAAGGCCCACCTCCTTCAGTGATACTCTGCCAACACATCCGCAGCCGCCCGCCTATCGCAAGCATGCGGCCAGAAGAGGCACTCGGCCGATGCATGCACGCATGCATGCAACCAAATTTGCGAGGGGCCAAAGTTGGCGCCCAGCCAATAAATGCATGAAAACTCTCATTTAAGGACCTTACTGAACCCCCGAGATTGGGGGCGTTGGAGTTGTAAGGGGTGGGGGGAAATGTACCTCTAGGCTGGGATCCGCACCGAGAGCTCCGGCCAGCAACCCAAAGGCAGTTGCGGTGCTACTGGCAGTGGGCAGGCCCCACAAATCAGCCGTCATCAGGCACACGTGCAGCCGCATCGCCAGCGCGCTGAGCTGGCCGCTGATGTCACTGGATGTTGTCTTGCCATTGCGCGGCATGCCTCCCACGCCTGAAGAGGCGCGGCAGCCAGATCAGGCAATGTCATGAAAATCACTTGTGCATGTTCTGCCCGAATGTGGGTACTAGGATTTGTACAAATGCAAGTCTCAGTGTCTGATAGCAGGATACCTTTCGACAAACTTGCCGGCCCTCGCAAACGTCAACAATGAGACGCTCAGAGGACTCCGACACCGCAGCAGCGTTTGTCCAATTACTTTCAGCCCTTCGCGGAGGTCAAAGGCAGTCGATCCGATCTGCCTGATCAAACTTCCTCTCTTCGCAGGAAACTTCACGGGAGAGAAACTTCACCGAATGAACGAACGAATGAACGAACCGAAAGCCGAGATGTGACTTTACGGGTGTCGAAATTTTAACGGCTGTTGACGGCATTACGGTGGAGAGGATGAAACAAATGCGGGATTTCACCCTTTTCTTGCTCCCTTGCAACCGTGCGTAGCAAGGGCACACCAGACTCCAGCTCCCAACTCCTTCGAAGCTTCCTATGGCAGCTGCCTGCACAGGTCATTGCAGTGAAGGGTCAGGAGATGCTTCGCCCTAATTCTGCCATTTAGAAGAGAATGCTATGTAAATATGGTTAAGGTACTTTCGTAAAGTCATAGTGTACTCGTATCTCAAGTACGTTCCGATCTAGGCTTAACCTTTCAGAAGGACGATTGAGGTGATCGACAGCCTGGCTAAGTGAATGCGCACCAATCTCTTTATTTCTCCACATAGATCTGAAATATTGATATGATTGTAAGGCCTTGTGTGGCTTGTGGGTTTATGTGACCGCTGGTTCCTTTATGTGCGCAGCACTTCATAGAGTTCGTCCATGGCTAAGAAGCGAAACGCGAAGGTTCCTCCTGACTCTGCTTCCGACCGTCCAAGTGAGCCTAAAGATGGTGCTAAAATGTTGACACCTGCTATCAAGACTGCCAGTGCCACAGACGCACCTCGCAGTCTGCCTCCTGAGGTATAGCTCCTGAGATGAGGGGCTTCAGTGTCATCATATTCATTCATTGCAGGATGCTCTGGATAGCATTGTGGACGTATCAGACTCGATCCAGGCTTACTTCCCCAGTATCATTCTGTAACCACAGATGCTACTTGTGTGCGCTCTGGCCCGGGCTTACCAGGGGTTCATTGCAGGATCCCTTCTTCTTCCTTGAGATCAGGACGGGCGAGGAACTCATTGAGACCAGGAGAATCACGGCTCCCAAGACAGCTGAGCAGATGTTGACTGCTTGTGAGAAGGCGGGTTACAATGGGGAGATATTGGATGAGTGGAATGTGATGCATTATGGGGAAGACAAGCTAAAGGCAGGTCGCACATACGTTTTGCGGGTTTTCAAGGAAGGTACATCTTGCAACAATCTGCTGAACCTCTCATGCTCACCGGTGTATCTGGTCCTCGGTTTAAGAGAGCGAGCCTCTTGGTGATGCTGACATCGCTTGACAAGCATCAAATATACAGCACAGGTCCTTCTTGCGTTTGCAGGAGTTTTACCGACAAGGTCAAAATACTTTCGGCCATCTCGGAAGTATGGAGCCATGGACCAAGCGCCTTCCATAGCTGCCAGCCTTGTCAACTATGAATCTCTGCAGACAGAAGTGGAACAAGCTCCCTTCTGGCTGACGGGTCGACCCCCCTACGCCAGGGTGTGGCCTGCGCTTTGGGCCTGATTGAGCAATGCATGTCGATTTGCACAGAGGCTAGTCATGCAGCTTATGAACCCAATAAGGCCAGGTTCCCTGACCGTCATGCAATTCTTGAAAGAATTTGTCTTGGAAAAATCAGTTGCATTGAAGTGCCTTTGCTGCACTGTGATATGCAGGCCCCTCCCTTTGCCCTGGTGGATAAAGTGTTCGCAGAATTTGCGGACAACTATGCAACCATTGAGCCTTCAAGGGAGTCCCTGGATTTTGTAGTGGACGCTTGCAATCTGCTAGCGCAATTCCTTCCAGACGAGGAGGTCCGACAGCAGAAGTTCTTGGCTCTGTTGGGAGCGTGCATGGGCAAGCAGTTCTACAGCGTCAGCATGGCCCAGGGTGTGACTGCCACGGATGGCAGCATTGTGGATGACATCGCAGGGCCAGAGGTAGATCCTCTGCTTTTGCTGCCAGCAACCTTCCTCCCTGTGGTTCTAAATAATTGTGATTTGTGATTTCTCTATGCACACCTGCATGTTTTGTTTGCAGACCTCTTGACAAGGGCAGCTCGGCTGCCAGCAGCTGCTGCTCAAATATCTGCTCTGAGATTCTGCCTTCCTCTTCCGTTTCTTCACGCTGCTTCTACATAGTGCAGTTTGCAGCTGCCCATGCGGTGATCAAAAAGGACATTGCAGCTGGGACAGAAGCAGACCGCTGCGCCGAGTTGCTCTCCTACCAATACCTGCTTGTCAACAGGCTGTTCCCAAAGAACAGGCTGGCAGCCTCCCCATGCTTCACAATTGAAGTCATCGGGTGTCTGATGAGGTGAGTATTGGTCCGGCCCTGGGCTGTCCCCTTGTATGTAGTTCTCTTCCATCATGAAGCATGTGTTGCTCAGATTTGGACAATTCAGACTGTCAAGGATGTGCGCCGATGGGCTTAAGTGATAGGGCTGTGCAGGATTGGAGCCGTGGCATACGTGCAAGAGAGGATGGCATTCCAGCCCCTCACGCCTTTCTTCCACATGCTGGATGTCCGACCAGGAGACACAGAACATTTGGAGACAGTGGCGAGAGCGGTGGAGGCGCTGATCATAGGCGTGGATCATTTGTATGCTGCGTATGACTGCTCTCCCCTTGAGGAGCGGGATCCTGTCTTTCCGTACTCCCTGGCAGACGAGAGGTGCAGTTCATGGCTCATGCAACCATGACTGTGGTCATGACACTTTGCGTGAGCTCTTATTAGATCCCCTGCTTGGAATGTGCGCAGTGTGCATGATATACTCACATGGGCATAGTGCTTTTCAGGTTTCTCCAGGCGCGGCCACTCATTGACAAGAGCGTACTGGTCTTCGACGTCCAAATGGCTGAAGGAGAGGAGAAGTGCATTCTGGTGAAATTTCCCACGTCTTATGGCACGGACGTCCACAGGTCCTTGGCTGCAGCAGGGCTGGCGCCACAGCTGTATGCTGTGACTGAGCTGCCAGGCGGTTTCTTACAGGTGTGTGCCTTCACTTTCTCTGGGGCACTGATTGATTTCCTGTCGCATCCTCAGATTGCTTCATCTCGACATATGCTCAATGGTTTTGTCTTCATGCAGGAGAGCATATTGTTCTCCAATTTCTTGTGTTGGCGCAGGTTGAAATGGAGCTCTTGTCGGCAGAGGACGGATGGATGTCGCTGGACACGTTCAATGCCACGGAGCTGGCGTCAGTGGAGTCTGCACTGCTGGATTCGCTGCGCCGCGTGCATGGACTGAAAGTGCCCTCTGGAGGCTCGATTGTGCTTGCTGACTGCAGGCCTTGCAACATCATGATACGGTGAGGATTTGATGCTTCTCCGTGAAACGTATCTGCATTTTTACAAGTTCCTGGCGTCAACGTTGATCACCTTAAAGATCAGCAATTTGCCATTTTCGCTCAGGGCTGTACAGATTCTGGATATTTGACCATTCTACAGATGCAATGCTTCTTATCTGTGGTGTTGTGTGCATGTCCAGGTCCTCACCTGATGGTGAAACAGAGGTTCGTTTTGTGGACTTTGACTGGTCTGGAGAGTCAGGGGTCATCCGTTACCCGTGCTTCATGAACCACCGGTCTGTACCGTGGCCAGAAGGCGCAAGAGACTACAAAGTAGCGTTCCAAGAGCACGACATTGCACTGCTGTCGTCTCACCTGCCGGGCTCTCACCGGCGGCCTAAGTCCCGCAAAAAGCCCCCGTCAGCTGTGCGCAAGCCAGCACGCGCATGCATGTCCAGGCCTTTCAAAGCTGCAATTGTGCCCAGGTCAATCTTGTGTGTGCATTCCCTTTGCTGTGTTTAGACTCATTCACAAACTAAATGCTCAGGAGGAAGAGCAGTTGAACCTCAAAACATGCTGTAAGTATGAAAAGACTGACAGCCTGAACCACTTCAGAACGCTATAGGTCTCAAAGTGTACCGGATACCATTGACTACTCTGGTACTATGTATAGCTATTACTGCAGCTGCGTAGCCGATTGTGGCTGTCAACTTCTAGGGGGTCAAGTGTAAGTCCAATCAGGCCTTTATATTTGAACAAGTGGCTTCCTCTGTCTGCCAGTGGAGGACTGATTCGCAGCATGCATTGAGTCCTTCAGTTTCAGGACACTTAGGTCTCATCCCAATACCCTTGCAACACCTTGACCTAGGGGAGACGTGAGCCACCTGCACCCAAAACTGCTCCGTGCATGCGATTCCCATCGTACTTAATCCAAGAACTGATGAGCCAAGTCGCCGACGGTCGCGTATGAGCTGATCATCATGACACATTAATATCCTTGCCAGAAATGAAAGGGGCGGCGCCAGAACATTTAGTCAGTAGATTGCAAGCTAATTTAAAACAGTGGCCGCCTGTGCGGTCCACTGGCACAGGCGGAGCCAGCCAGGCAGGTTGAGCTGGCGCTCAGGCAGTAACAGCTGGGAAGCTTGAGCTAGCGCTAAGCTTCAGCTTGATACCACTGGCCTCGCCTGCAGCCGCAATATGCTTGTACACGCAAACGCTCCTGAGAAGAACGATCCATTAATCATGACGCTGAATGCCGTATATAATGGGAATGTCTTAAAGGAGTCCTCCGCAGTGATACACAGCACAGCCCTGTGGAGGCAGGGCCACTTTTATACACGGGGACCATCGTGCAACATTGTAACGAGCAGCGCTTCTCTCTGGCAGACTCTCTCGCACACAATGGGCACATGCCGGGCCGTCATGTCAGACAACTTGTATCCCCATCTCTCATGCTTCAGTGTGTGCTGTTCCTGCCTCCGGCACTGATGCTACCGTGTGATTCTGTCCCAAACAGCGGCTGTGTGGTGAATTCACTCTCACAGAAAGTGCACACGCCCCGCCCGCACATCAGGCAGTTCAAGACAACTTCTGCCCCCATCTCTCGTATGCAGTATGACGTGTTTCTGTTTAGGAACAACGGTGTGAAACGGTGTGAGTTTCCGGCACTGGTGCTGCGGTGTAACCTTGTCCCCACAGCAGCAGCTCTCTGTGGTGAAGTCACTTGCACACACCGTGCGCATGCCGGCACGTCCGGAACACAAGTTCTGTCCAAAGATGCCACAGGTGAGCCATAACCTCCCTAATGTTACAAACACTTGCTCATCATCCCAGACCCCGAGGAAGCCTCGTTTTCGTGCCCAGCCCCCCAGATACTTTCTGCGCCAGTGTCTGCTGCAGGATCTGAGCTACAGCGCGACTTTGTCCTCAGCCGCTGCTGAGGACAAAGTGTCACTATGCGCGAGTGTCTGCTGAAGAATCTGCAGTGCTTCTGCAGCGACCTCGCAGCCTTCTTCCTCGTGCCCCACTGAGGCGTCGTCCCAAGACACCCACGCCGCCCCCGGCCTGGCCGCCTCTCGCCGCAGCAGCTCGCGTATCGCCTCTGCTGTGGCCACGTTGCGGCCTGCGCGTTGCATGCCATGCCAGGTCAGCCCCCGTTCATTTCTTTCAACTGGGTGACTCAGGATCAATAAAGCCAAATATAACATCGTTTGCACGGCAGGCTGTCCAGGTTGGTTTTTGCGGTGGTTTCCCCCTGGGTGACTCGTGCAGCAGCTCCAAGACATGGCAAACAAGGACGAAGCACCATTATCGAGGAGCAAAATATCAGTTGTTCCTGAACATCAGGGCTGGGTCAGCTTCTTGCCAGAAATGACCAAGAACAGTTCCAGAGTATCACAATCCCAAAAAATCTATTTGCCTAGTGTCAGAACACAGGCGCAAATTTTTTGGTGACTACTTCAGGATCGACACAGCCCAGCAGAGTCTGCAGGGACCTGCATTAGCACCGGAACCCAAGGCGGCCCAACAGCATTGGCCATCACAGAGAGTGCTAAGTTGCAGAACTGTGCTCAGCTACTCCCGGTCAACTGGCTAGCCAGGCTACCAATAACAGTGCAGCCAGCGCAGCAGGATTTTGCACCTGCACCGGAGCCCATGGCTGTGGCGGCCCCGACGGCGTTGGCGAGAGCAAGCAGCGGTGGGATGCGGTGGCCGCGCGTGTAACCCAGCACCACTGCCGCCGCAAAGCTGTCGCCGCAGCCAACCGTATCCTGTACATCAACCTGCACACGCGCAGGGAGCAGGCTAATGACAGAGAACGGTAATTTAAATCGGCACGCAATCCGACATCTATGGTCCCTTGTGCTGCCGGTCAGGTACAAAAAAACCTTCACAAAAGCCCGTCCTGAACGGCTATGCTATGACACTCAGCCAAAAGGAGGTGAAGAAGTAATCCTGAGGAGCATCCATCAAAGCACTACCCGTAATCATGTCAGCGAGGCAGTGCCCTTCACAGGCAAGACAAATTTGTCCACTTCTTAACTGGTGGACTACCCTGACTGTGGAGCTCAACCGGTGTTGTTCCAATACCATCACAGCTGGAAAACAAGCAAAGCCAGAAATGCAAGACCATTCACACACTATCATTCCAAGAAGCACAGAAAAAAAGAAGACTGATGAGCTTTGCCAAAACCCGCAGACTAGTGCTCAAGACTGCGCACCAGGAGGGCGTGTTGCCGGTAGGTGGCGCGCGGGCTCTTGCTGCACAGTACGGCCCCCCGGCTGCCGAGCTTGACCACGCACCACTGCGTGACTGCGCCCGGCCGCTCCAGAATCGCGTGCGCCGCAGCCTCCGGGTCCGACGTGCCTGTTATGGCCGCCGCCTCCTCCTGTGCACCGATCACAGCTTTCTTGAGTAAAAGTGTGTCAAACTTCATACTCTGTGCCGAGCGCCGGGTGACAAGCTTCTCGGACGTAGAAATTTGCCTAAAGCTTCGTGACCTAAAAATTGGGCGCAACCTGAGGTCTCTAGTCGTCGGGAATTGATTTCTTTCAAAAGAAGGGTCATCTTTGAGTCTGCATAGAAGCACAGTGAACACCGCAGGCACTTCTCTCACGCAAGCTCACAACCTTTTTTCAGTGCAAACAGTGTGGAGCCGCAGGTAGGATAAACATAAGGGCACAGTCAGCAGGGAGGATGCCCTTACCCTGCTGCCATGCACACTGGCAGCAACAGGGAGGCCAAGCAGGCAGGTAGTATACCCTCTGTCATTGCTAATGACTCGCGACATTGCTAGTAATTGCGCCGCATGTGCATCGGCACTTCGGCTGGACAGGAGGGCCGGGCCAAGCAGGCAGGGTGAGCGCCTCTTTCATTAGCACATGCATTGCCATGCGCACTGGCAACTTGGCTGCAACAGAGAGGCAAAGCAGGCCTCTGTCGTTGCTAATGACCCATCAGTACATACACCGCCCTAGCGATTTGGCTGCATTAGGGGGCCGGGCCAAGCAGGAAGGGGGCGTACCTCCGTCATGAGAACAACATCCGTGGAATCCAAAAGCTCGTCCAGCGCTCTGCGCCGCTCTGGCTCTCTGAAAGTCCAGGAGCGGGGCCCCGGGTCGAAGAAAATCGCCGATCCGGCCGAGCGCGCCGATTTGACGGCCTCCATTATCACGGCGGGAGGAAGCTCGTCGAAGCAGCAGCCCGCAACAAACAGCCCGCGCGCATCCCTCAGCACCTGCGGCCAAGCTTCCAATGCTGTCAACGCGACAGCAGGCAGTGAACTAAGTCCTATGAGGGCATCCTTTGCAACTGCCGGCCGGGATGTTGTTAATGCAACAAAAGGCAACGAATGAGTCCTACAAGGGCAAATTTTGGAAATGCACAGCACACGGGTTTGCATGAGAGCACTTCTTTAAGCAAGAATATACCAACTTGCATTCATTGCGCTGCGCATGGAACACCGAAAATGGCTCAGAGAGGCTAAACACAAGAAATCCGTGTCATGCAACCTGGGAAGCTTCCCAGGATGCACGGAATCAATGACAAGCTAGGAAGCTGGGAGGTGGACGTCAGTTCTGGCGCCACAGTTGCAAGTTTGTCTCCAGCAATGACTGCTGTCTTTACAACCTTTGTGAGGCTGACAGATTTCAGGTGCACACCTGGTGCACTTCCTCGGGCAGCCGATCGACGCCGGGCAGCAGAGGCCAGGGCCCAAAGTCGTAACGGCTGCAGAATGCATGCGCGGAGGTGCGGTCATCCACCAGCACAAAGCACAGCAGAGTCTCCTTCAGCGCCTCATCAAACGCACTCGACGCCAGCGGCTGAAATCGCGACACGCCCTCCTCCTGAGTGATCCACCCTTCGCGTCACTTTCATCACCCCTCCCAATAACACATTCGATGCTAGTTTCTGCATAAATGATGCATACTTGATGGGAGCGGAAGCCAGACAAAGTGGCTGTTTGGTGCTTGCAGCCCCAGGGGGAGTCTCTAGCAAATCTCCCCCGGGCACTGCCCTGTACCAGTCTCCAACACTTAGCTGCACCCTATATGACCTTGAATTTGACGTATGCTTGCCGAGCATGCGACAAATTCGCAGCATGATGGTGTATTTGGGAAGAGAACAGGCGTCACCTGGAGGACGTCCAGAAGAAACTGGCCATACACATCCTCCCCCAGGTTCGCAACAGCTGCTGTGCTGAGCCCCATTCGCGCTGCAGCTATGAGAAAATTGCAGCTTGCGCCGACCTCCCAAAATTCCCTTCTGTGTGTCTGTGTTGTCAATTTTCGCAGGTACTCGATGGTCTTTACCTCCTCCAGCGGTGGCATCTGCACAAACCATCCACATCTGTTCTCCTGGCTCCGCTCTCCCATGATGTATACGGCAGCGCTGGGTCACGTAAGCGTAAGGGTTCAGGACGTACTCACCTCGTCAAGATGCAGCACAACATCAACACACAGATTGCCGAGCGAGACAACATCATAGGTGGATGTCCTGGCGCCATTGCTGGAGGCAGTCAGAGGGCTGGGCTCTGTCCCATTGGTCTGACTTGCCCAGCATTGCACAACCTTCCTGACTGCTCTTTCATGATTGACCTGCATGGAACGCTCCAAAGTTCGGCAATACGCTTGTGCTGCTCACAACCCTGGTCTGAGCGCTCCAGGCCCTTACAGTGAGTGAAGTGTGAACGGCATAACACACAGACTGGAAAGGGACCTGTCTCTGCCGAAGCTGCCTAGAATCAGTACTATGACGAAAGGATCTGAGGCAAGTCAGTGGAGGCGCTTGGGATGCTGACGATGGCGCCGCAACCCAGACAGGTGCAGCTGCGATGCCCCAGGCGGCCATGCTGGATCCAAAACGAATCAGATGTTATTACAGTATCGGTGTGTCCTTGTTCCCGACGATAGTCCTTCTGAGACGAGTAGCGGAAAAGTCAAAGTCCCTCAAAATATCGAAATTTCGCTGTCCTTTGGGCACCCTGGCTGCATTTCGAACCTGACAGATTTTGTGGGCAATTATTATGGACCACGGCTGGTGTAGGACTTCGAGTGGCGCCCACACTGCAGATTTCGCACGTGGTCAGCATAAAGGAATCACGTGCTTCATAGAGAGAAGAAACCAAGGAATTTGCGGATATCATTATGGAGCGATCTTCCAATCTAAATTTATTCTTGTGAGGGGACTTCTTGGAAAGATTCGCTTGCCAGCTTCCTGTATGCCTTTTCATTGTCCAAGATGAGGCAACACATCACCAGACAAGCCGAGACGAGGCTCTAGCATGCCGCTCAGCAGCATTGAGATCTTGGATGCACGGGATTTGACAGATGTGTCAATACAAGATTTACAAGCGAAAAACATTCCAGTTGTTTTGAAGGGTACTGCTGCCTAGCTTCTCATACATGCAAGTCGCTTTACTTCCAGAGACAGTCAATCTCAGGTGTGTACTTAGACTTTGCATTTTTGTTGATGTAGGATTGTTATATCCCTGGCCAGCTTCAAGGTCATGGTCAGGTGACGATGGCATTAAGCATTTGGCTTCCCTAGCCGGGAAGGCGAGTGTCCAGGTGAGTAAGCCTTCACTAATATGATTGTACCCTGCATCCAGGGATATGTTTGCGTTTGGTCAGCTTGTCATGGCCAGGTGATCAGCCGTTTCCACACCTTCCGTTGCAGGTGATGGTTTCAGATGGAGGGCTGTACAGAGGAGACATGGAACACCGATCTTCGCTCACCATGACCTTTCAAGACTTCTTGTCGACAGCGGATCGCTTAAATAATGTCAAGATTGGCGCTCAACAGCTTTACTTGGCGCAGGTGCCGCAAAATTTGTGCACATCCTTCAAACAGCGCTCTGTCTTGACTGCTGGCAGCGTGATGCAGCGTGTCAACCTCTGTTATTGATGTGCTCCAGGCACCCCTGCAGACCAGCTCATCAATGGAGAGCAGTCTGTCACCGCTGCTGGCAGACATCTCAGTGCCAGAATTCATGCAGGGCCAGCAGGTTGCACATGTCAACCTGTGGATGTGCACCAGGTAGCCATTTCTCCCCGTCTTTGATGCAAAGTCTTGTTCAACTCCTCGCTCCACGCCCCTTAAGCTGCTTCTACAGGCATCCTCATGAAGTGGCCAGTGGCTTCACATGACTGTAGCTTGAAGCACGGCAGGGACATCTATTATTATTATCGCACGCTGTTCCTGCCACAGGTAAGGTGCGTGGACGCAGACATGGTGCAGGTAGAAGCTATCAATGGGCATCTATATCTGGAAAAGATTAGATCCCCCTGAGCACGGCATGCAAGGGTGGAATAGTGACACAAAGGGGATGATGTGGCAGTGCAGGGGCTCTCGATCCAGCCTGCACTATGACCCCTTCCACAACCTGTTGTGTGTGGTGGCGGGCTCCAAAAATGTGCGCTGCATGAGCCCAGCCGCCACCCAGTGGTTGTACCCCCACCCACTCTACGGCGAGTCGGCCAATCACAGCGCTGTGGACTTTGCACAGCCGGACCTTGCCCGCCACCCGCTGTACAAGGAATCCCTGGAGCACCAGCTGTCAGCCCACCTGGGGGTGAGCTTGCAATACATGCCTGCAAGTGTTGCCTTGCTAAACTCTGCACAGGAATACGGACATGTAATTTTCTGTTGGCGGGGCCTCCACACTGTTTGTGCCGAAAACGTACTGGAAAGGCTTAATCTTAGAATTTTAGTGTGGACAAGTGGGCAAGGCCTTCATTTCTCATGCAACATACCATACGAATTTGATCTGTCTTGTACAGCACTGATCTCCTTCTCAAATATCCAACTGGCATTCCCCATGGGCAATCTGCATGTGCTTGCTGTCACAGCAACCACTTGGCACCATAGCAATCTTGATCCACCTGCTAGGTGATAAGGTAATACCTGATTGAGCAGCAATGCAGCGACCATAATGCCTGGCAGAAAAGTTAATTTGGATATGGACCCACCTGTCAGCGCAGCAGTTGATGTCACAGCAAGCATGTGAAGATATATCCAGGCGTTTAGCAGGCACAACTTGTTATTTTGAAAGAACTCTTGACATGCTCAGGACCTGAGAATGGGGTCTGCCTTCGATGGCCACATAGGTGTGTCCGAGACACTTGACAGAAACGCTACGATCTTCTCTGAGCATCCTTGATATGCTCAGGACCTGAGAATTGCTTGTGGGTTTTCAGGCGGGAGACGCGCTGTTCCTGCCGGAGGGCTGGTGGCACCAGGTGGACAGTGAGGCGGTGACGATAGCGGTCAACTTCTGGTGGCGATCCCTCTTCGAACGTCAGCTTGGCGGCCACATGGACGATTACTACCTCCGCCGCGCCGCCCAGAGCCTCACCGATGCGCGCAAAGCCGACCTCCTGCGCCAGCTGTCGCCGGATTTCCATCCTTGCAGCAGCGTAGACAAGCATCCTGCAGCATGCGTCGATGCACGAGCAGCTGCTGCCACCGAGGTTGCCACTAGTCAAGCTGGCCCCAGCACCCCGGCATCACACAGTGAGGAGGCCGCTGATCCTGCGCAGCACAGCGCGCAGAAGAGGTCCGGCCATGCGGCGCGGTCGGGTGAGCGGGAAAGTGTGGCCGAGGAGCAGTCAAGCATGGGTGAGGGGAGGGAGACTCAAGACGGCAGCAGGAAGAGGCGGCAAGGCACCAGCGAGGCCGCTGCTCTGGTACAGAGCCCTCAGATGAGGCCTGGCAATGCAGCGGGGTTGAGTACGGGCGAGGAGGAATGCTTGCACATTGCAGCGATCGGGGACGAGGGTGCAGGGCAGAGGGAGACAGAGTGTGGCAGCAGGAAGAGGCAGCGAGGTACTGAGCACGAGGACCAGCGGCTAGTAGAGCGGCTGGCGGCTGCATTGAGCGAGGAGTTCCTGCAGAGGACGGCCGGCGAAGCAGAGCCCCCACATGATCCAGGTCAGTGAGGTCCTCAGCCCTGCATGACCTCAGCCCTTGTACCTTGCTGCCTTCTTCAGCCTGGCCCAAGACAGAGGTGCTTTTGGCATGAGGGCCCCTGATTGCAACCTCTCAGCATGTCAATACGAGTACAGACAATTGCATGGGAAGCGTCCAATCAAGCCCTAGGTCGTTGTGGCAGTGTGTTGCAAGCTTTTAACTTCTGCAGATTGCCACAGCAGGGTCAGGAGATGGGCTTGGTCTGGAGGCTGCCTCGGTGCGGCTGATGGCTGGGTTAGATTCCTGGCAGCTGCGGCGCGCGCTGCTGGGAGTTGCCCGGCAGTTTCCACGCACGCTGGAGGCGTTCCTGAGCGGTGGCATCTGCCCTGCAGCTGCCGAGCTGCTGACGTCCCGGTTCGAGGCGGCCGACGCCTGGCTGGCACAAGAAGGTACACCAGTGGAGACAGCCATCATGTATGCGAAATTTCAGTGACTTCTCGGCAGCTTTAAGGGCTGTGCGGTACTTACAGTAGTTGGTCAAGGGTCACACTCCCAACACCGAGTTAGTCCTGCGCTCATTCTGTCCCGGTTCTGGGCGAGGCATGGATGGCGCAGGAAGGTCCAGCGCCGTAGAGAGGCATCATGCGTGCATGTGCTCAGATGGCCATTGCATATCCTTGACAATTTTCCCTAGCAGCTGAGGACCTTGCAGGATCTTTCAAGAGTGATGAAGTCATTGTGCTCGAAGTATCAGATCATTTCTTGGCAGGGGGTATATGTATGTTCGGGAAAAGGACGGGAATGCAATTGTGCAGGAAGGCACAGCGAGCAGCAGACCTTCTACACGGAGCTGTATGCAGTAGTGGAGCAGCCTGAGAGGGTGCTGCAGGCTCTCGTGCGCCAGAAGGAAGAGTTTGCCAGGCATGCTTTTTGTATGGTGCTGGGCACATGTTTCCAGCTGCCAATCCCTTGGGAGCGCACATGAGTTGTATACAGGAGTACTCTACTAGTTGCCCTGAGGCCCAATCGCAGCGTCAGTGACAATGTCTGCTTGCCAGCGTGACTGTGATTCTAGCTCAGCTTGTAGGTTGAGACAGACTCTATTGGATATGTCTAGACATCATATCTAGATCTAGAGTCTGCCTCTGTAGAGTCTGCAGAGCTACCCTGCCTTCATGTTTATAATGATGACTCGGCTGAGACCATTACAAGTAGAATAGTCCAGTGCTTCATGATTATATGAGAAGAAATAGAAAATAAAAATAGTAGGAAGATCCTAAGTATCATCTGTCGTTCGTGAAGTTGAACACGATTTTAGGAATTGCCCGTAGGTCCTAAATTGGTCTTCGCGCGATTCATAAAAGCTTGAGAAACAGACTCTCACGCAAAATTTTGCACAAATCAATTGGGACTAAAGCAATCTTGAGACGCCTAAGGAATAGATTCAGATGGCTTCCATGATCACACAGCCCGGCGACATTATGTGCAACCTCTTCACGCCCGCGCTCGCCTCTTCCATGAAAAGGTGTGGCCCTTGCCACAGTGGTAGCCGACATGCTGTCTGTCAGTTTTCTGGCTTTTGATTAGTTTTATTATTATATTATAGAACATATTCCGAGCGTTGGGAGCTTCCCATGCCTCTTCCTCGTCCCTAGCCCTTTGTTTGGTTAGACACTCCGCCTCCACAGCTCTGGACGGAATCGGCATCGTTCCCGATGCCGTGAAAGCTTACGTCGCTTATGTCGCTCTTATTATCTGATTAATAGATTCTGTGAGTTCTTTAGTGCTGTTTGGTGGTAATCACTGTGGCGATCTATGGCGAGTGTACTGGCATTCTCACGCACTCTCTCACTGCGTCTCATGCATTCGAGTATTTTGTGAACTTTTTAAGAAATTTCCTGGTTTACCACTGTACAGGGAGGACTCTGTCTTTGGGACACCTTGCCAAGCGCCATCTGGGAGTATGGCACACAGCAGATCACCTCACAGCTTCAGTGCGACCAACGTAGTCGTGCAGCAGGAATCTCCAACGACTACTGACCTCAAGGTAAAGGCGGCTCATTCCTTCGCAGTGTTACAGTCCAAACTGCTGTGGTACACAGAACTCCTGCCTGACAACCTGCCTGGAGTGCAGAAAAAAAAGCGTTAAAAATTCGTTCGTGCAGGCAAAATCTAAGCTAGTGTTGTATTGCAGGGCTTATGTGCCTCAAACATGTCCGCTTGGCTTCTTTTAATAGAGGCTATGGTAGGCCCTTCTGGCGAGGAGAACCCAGCTGCAGCGAGTCAGCTCTCTAATACACTGGCGTCCTTCACTGGTCTCAGACTGCTGATGCCAGCAATCTCCACCCTCTATGCCCTGAACGAGGTGCGCAGATCTCGAATTTAGCACCCCGTCCCATGACTCCACATTGCCACATCGCCTGCTCTGACTGCTGGGCACTGTTGCCTGATCATCCCAGACACAACTTAGCATACCTGCATGTTCAGAAGCTGATGCCAACAGCAGCATGCTCATTTTTGAACACGCCATCACACCCAACTCAGCCGTGAGACTCGCTGCTGTGCGCATAGGTCATGCTTTTGTCAATGTCAGTCCACCTCCTCGGCTCTGTCGGTGTTCGATTTGACAGCATGGACTTTGACAAGCTTGATAAGAAGCTCAGTCTCCCACAAGTGCCAGAGACAGCCCCACCAGCCAGGCAGCATTACACAGTCTCACAGGTGCAATGCAACCCATGTCTAATTACCTTGCTGCATTTGTGAATTTCCCATAGCTTGTGTCTCAGCCTGCGTCAGTCACCTGAGCACCTGTCATGAATGCATCTCAACTCCAGCAACTTCTGCAACCGGTGCACGCTGGTCGCACACCTGCGTTGCTACTGTGCGCCCTTGGTAACACTGTGCTAGGTGTATCTCTCACTAAGTCTATAATGTGTCTTCCGTCTCGCGTGCAGGCGGCTCTTGTTGTGCAGCCGGACGGCCAGGCAAACCAGCTGGCTCTCTGCTATGCCAGTGAAGCTGCCAAGGCCGTCACTGCAGTGAATCCTGACAAGGAGCCATCAATGGCTGTGACTGTGGCGCTAGTGGGTGCCTGGATCGTGCTGTCCTGCACCGGCATCTGGCCCTGGGTATATTCCTTTATTCCCCCTCTTTTGACCCCCCTGCTTTGATGAAGAATGTCGCTTCCTCAGCCTTTATGTTGCAATAGAAACGTCATAACTTTGATTTATCCATACGTAGGCATGCATGCAAGCTCTTTGCACGCGCAATGTTGGGATATTAGGGAATTGTAGTAAGGATAATTAGTGAAGAGCGAACTATGAGTGAATTGGTCTGTGCAGGGAATTATGTGCGTGGTGGCTGTGAAGAAGCACTTGCGCCGCCGCCGGAGCAGGAGGCAGCAGGAAGAGGAACGCCGCAGCCAGAACACTGCTGACATCAGCGAAAGCTGTGCGACATCACAGAACGAGCGAAGGTCCATGCAGCCAAAGGTATGCTGCACTTATTTGGCACTTGCACACAGCACTCATAGACATGGTGCTCTCTAAATGCAGTTCTCCACCATCTGTTGGCGAGCAGACGGTCATTTCAAGTCAGCTTTGTCAGGCCACGATCATGCAGCATGCTCGTCTGGCTGTGAGCGCGTGCATTTCTGAGACATGTGTCAACTTTACTTAGCGATTTCAGTTGTCCCCGCTTGTCAATAAAGATTGCAGTGATGCTGTTGCAGGAGTAGGCGACAGTTGCTCAGACACAACCCTCATCCCGGCTGAGCCGGTGGCTCAGAAAGCTGCGCGGCAGCCGCCCGCAGCCACGGCAGAAGCCGGCGGAGCTGCCCACAGAAGCACAGCGGTGGCTGCAGGAGGCGGCACAGCCTTGCGCGCCGCGCAGAGCATGGCGGGGAGCCGAGGAAATATCCAAGGGACGCAGTGAAGCGCAGCGGTGGCTGGACGAGGCGGGGTTCCCTCCCTTGCCGGCAGCCGCAGCGGCCCGGCAGCCGGTGGCGTCAAAATGCGCGGCCGGGGAAATTTGCGCGGCAGCGGCACAGCCGCTGTGCTGCGAGGCTGACAGGTGGCTTGGAGAGATTGGTGAGGGGCTGCTGCCAGAGCAAGGAGTTTATCCTGTAGCTGTGGTGAAGGAGCTGTGCAGGAAGAGTTTCTGTGGGCAGACCAGCCCATGCTTAGTGGGTGGCCGGGCCGGCAGCAAGCAGCGCCGTTTCTTCGGCATGCTCTGGCGCTGATGGGCTGCCCTCCTTTGCATGGTGCCCTTGTGACTATCTTGTTGAGACAAGCTAAGCAGTGTAGAAAAAGGGTTGTGAGCAGGGCGCGATATTTTTCCGCTCTGGGTGCTAAGAGGTACCAGATTGTGTAAATTTTTTTTTGAGATGTTGGAGCCTGAGGAGGTTGGCCATGACAGAAGTAGCGTCTGGTGATGCATTAGAATAGACCAGGGAGTTGAGCGAGCGCCAACACTAATTATTTATGGGCAGCTAGGATCAGATTGAGTTGCTGATTTTATTTCATGCAACGTGATAAGATTAAGGGCAATGCGCTGCCCGAAACATGGCATGCAATTGAGATTTGATGAAAGTTTGATTGTGGAATTGCGGAGCAACTTGGCTGACCTGTTGGACCGGACCTTAGGAGCATGCGGGCTCAGTTGATTGTTACAGTTGTCATGGTTGCGTTTATAAATGTGCACATTATTATTTAAGCTGCTCCCTATCTGATAAGGAAGGACATAGGTCCATCTTGGGCCGTGAGACTTGGAAACTCTAGTAGAAGTCCTACAGCACGGTATAGCAGATGCTGAAGGCCAGAATTGACGGCCACGAAACTTCAAGCCCTTTTAGAGCCAAATAAAAATAGGCAAACTTGATAAATATTGTGGACGTCATGATGGCAATGCCATCTAGCAATGCCAGGCTTGTAAGAGTGAATTCCGAAAGGCATACCTTTCATGTCCTGATGTCAATAAGGCTGAGGACAGCACTGTCTTTACACGTTACTGGTACCGTTCGCCGATCCTACCCGCCGGGAAGGGCCTTGGTGTATATTCACTTAGACACATTGCCTGCATGCAGCGATGCATTGTGTGTGTCCGGCAATGCATTGTGCTTTCTGCCCCTTGAGCTTATCAGCAGCTGCGTGTGATCACCGTCTGGTTATGTGTCTTGTGCATGCAATGCTCCAGCTGGGCAGGCAGCTGAGTCAGATGCATGCACGTGATGACCACATGCCTGGGATAGCACTTGCTCTGCCACTTGCTCTCTGCGATTGTACGTGGAAGTCCCCCAATCTTTCGTGAAAGCTTGCGGTAACTTCCCGAGGGTTCTACATTGACAGTATCGCCGATCTTAGGGCTCTAAATATTGAACAACACAGAACCATAGTATCCATAGACAAAGCATTCTCATTGTTTGCTACAGCACGTCTGCGCTTCGTGAGGATGATTTTTAACAATCTTAGTTTTATTTAATCGAAGGACAAGCATAAGTGGGGAGGCTGCCGTCGCCCATTTTGTTCGAGGGCTCCTTATATTATTTAGATGGAGGACCAGGAATGGAAAGTGGGCGATCTGGTGTGGACGCGGGTTCCAGGGTACCCATGGTGGCCTGGTCAGGTAATTTACGAGAATTGAGAAGTCCCTGGTGTCAACGCCATTTGTCAGATCTCGTCGTCAGATCGAATGCTTTCCTCACACTTTGCTCTAAATCATTATGGCCACTAGAGCCCTTACATGTCATATATACTATTTTGGATGCGTCCCTAAGCATTTTCAATCTCTGTTTCTCTGTGCTCGCAGGTCATGGACCCTGAGCAGGCAAGGGAAGAGGTCAGGCGAAAGCAACGAGATGGCAGCTTCCTCGTGTGCTTCCTTGGGGACAATGAGTACGGCTGGTACAGACCAGACAGCTTGGTCCCCTTCCAGGAGCATCACGCTGAGAAGCTGTGCCAGAAAAGCGCGAAGACGAACAAGGTATGCCTGCCATGATGCTCACCATTGGAACTCTTTGCAAGCCTCTGAGATTACCTGCAAGTCGCTCCTCATGCAGAGGATCAATGTATGCTAATTTTGAAAGCATGTTTCGAGCCTTGCATGTGTCATTTTGTGCAGAAGTACATCAAGGCGGTGGAGGAGGCACAGGAGATCCAGGACAGGCGCAGCGGGAAGCAGCCGAAGACAGACCATGATCCCATAGACTTCCTGGACCCCAGCACCTTCCCCAGCAGCGACTCAGATGATGAGCACAGCGGTGACACACCTTTGACTACTAAGGCTGACCTGCGGCCGGCCCCTCTGGACAAAGAGGATGCAGAGCGTGTGCCCCCAGACCAGGCTCTGCATTACCTGCAGGCAGCAGCGCGCGGTGACACAAGTGCTGTGTCCAAGGTCAGTCTCTCCACCTGTGAACTTTTCTCATATCTGTGACTGTCTTTATCAAAGCTGACATTCATGACACTAGTATGGCAAGTTTTGGTCATACATATTCCTGTCATTACATTGCTGTTAACATTACATAAAGAGACCTGTTGGGAGCCACCTGATGCTCATTGGTCTTAGGACTCATTGGTCTGAGAAGTAGGTCTCTAGATAGCTGGTGGATCCTTGTGACAGCCAAAATGTAGTTTTGATATGAAGTCGGATAGTGCTTCAAGTTGACCAATCATCTGGGTGTGCAGATGGGCAGAGACAGCGGGATCCTGTGCAGGCAGGTGCTGTTCTCACTCATGGTGAAGCACCTTGTGGTGGAGCATGGACGCGCCTCTTATGCACAGAAGAAGCGCCGGCGTGAGAGGCAACTGCAGAAGCACGTCGGAAAGGTGCTCTGCCTAAACACAGCTGCACTTGACTATGCTCACTGTTTTTTGGTCATTCGCCATAAGGCGAATGTCCTTTACGATCGGTCAACCTGGTACGGATTATCTCTATCTTTTGCCCCTTCCCTATGCCATGTGGCTGCTCGCCAGGCGGCCACGGCAGCTGACGGAACGCGAGGCGCAGTTTAGAGGCCTTTCCAGGGGGATTGCCCCGTTTTTGGCCCTAGATTATCTCTGAATATCTCCCTGGCGATTGGCTTTACGGGCCTGCGACTAATTCTGCCCCCCAGCTCGCGTATGACCTCGTGGCCGCCCGCGGGCGCTCCCACTTGTTAATCATCCCACCCAACCCTCATGACCAAAGTTGTATCATTTGAGTCTGCGCGGCAATGCTTTTTTTCTCACGTTGCTAGGGTGGTGATTTGCTTGGGTGGGCCCTCTTCCTTGCCTTCTGAGGGTGCATTGGTACCTAAGGGTTAAAATGGAAGGTCATGGGATGAGCGCTATGCAGGAGAAGAAGCAGAAGGAGCAGGAGGCTAAGGCAGTGGCAAGAGAAGGAAGCGGAGACACGAAAGTGGTCCCGCAGGAGTCAGCAGAGGAGGCCCCATATGATGGAGATGAAGCTGAGCCCACAGATGAAGATGTGAAGGAGCCTTCAGAGGATGAGGAGGATGCTGATGGCCCCAACATGTGCGCAGGCTGCCTAGCACACCCCCTGGCATGAGCCTGTTGTGTTCTTACTCATTTCGACATGCAATGGAAGCAAGTAATTGTGCATGCATTTGGCACACATGGAAAGCCCTGGGGTGTGCGCATTGATGATGAAAGCGGCTGTGAGGGGCTTGAGTAATGACTGTGAAGGCCATGCATCAAACGGGCAACAGCCATGGAGGATCGAGGCTGAAACGTGCAAGATTGCTGATGGGCGTGGGGCGGTGCATGCATGCAGGCAGGAGCTGCAGGGTGTGGTCCTGAGGACCAAGCCAGCAAAGGCGGTGCAGTTCCTGCGCGAGCTGGCGCCCGACTATGTGCCCGGAGCCAAGTCGCTGCGCCACGCGAGCAGCCATGTGACTGAAGCGGCCGCCATTCTACGCTATCGCGAGAAGGTATGCCCCCAGATGTTCCTTTTTCCTGTTGAGGGAGTTCTCTGGCCCACTTTGTGCTTGATTTTGCGAGTGCGCCTGGGGTGATCGAGTCCAGCTTGATTTGCTTCTGCTGGGACGAGCTCTGCCGCACTAGAGCAGGCCTGACTCCCATACCTCAGGTGGACTGGCATCATCATGCGTTACATAAGCAGGAGAGTGTTGACTGCAAACACATCAATTTATCCCCTGGAGAGGCCCAGGATAAGGGCTTGTCTTGCACCCTGTCAAAGATGTGTATTCTTCCAACAACTGCCTGAGCCGAAATGCTGACGATGAGCCAAGATCCTGGTACAAGTGCGCAATTTCTTCAGAGCTTTTATTCTTGTCAAAAGGTATAGCACTGAATAACAAAGATCTATGGCATTTCAGAAGTGAAGCCTTTGTTGAGGGGGCTCGTTCTGTTTTTGCTGCCAGGTGGTCCAGGGCATTGCAAAAGTGAAGCCTTTATTGAGGTGCCTCGTTCTGTTTTGCTGCCAGGTGTACCAGGGCAGCGCGCGAAACAAGCAGCATGGAGGCATCGCCGTCGGAGACGCGCTGCTGGATGCGCTAGCTTCCCCAGGGCTGCGCGTGGCTGCCAAACAGCGCGCGGCCGTCCCGGGCCGGGACCGCGCGACGGCGGCCGATGCCACCGCCGGGGAGGAGGCGCGCGGGAGGGGCGGCAAGCGGAAGCAGGGGGTGCATGTGGATCTCCCAGATGTCAGCAAGGAGGGCAGGCGCGTCACTGGGCTGCCCTAAGACCCTTTTTTTCGGTAATCTGGGGGCACTTATTCACAAGATGCGAGCTGCATTGCAAGTCTGTAACCCGTGAGTTGTTAAGACACAGGGGGAAATGGCTTGACTTGTTGAGAAGACCTTTTGAAGGAACTCTCTTGGCCTGCCATGTCTGATTGCAGCACTTGTCCGCATTTCTTGCGTCAGGCAAAATTCATTCTGCAAATAAAAACGGTGCATACACTGTTGAGCTGTCCTGTAAAGTCTGCCTAGGTGATGACCGGCAATGGGGCAAGGGGTGTGTGTGCTGCAGGCACAAGGAGTACACGGACAGGGTGCCCAAAGACAGCGAGGCATTCATGGAGGGCCTTGCAGCGTTCTACACCGAGCACGAGACGGATTTGCCAAAGCCAGTGGTGCGCTGCGCGACCTGCCAGACACTCGGAACCTGCACCAGACATTTATTGAAATTAATGGTCAGCATGGTGAGATGAAGCAGGCTGACGTGGCCGGGCTCATGCATGTATCACTAATTGCAGGTGGACAAAACGCCGCTCGATCTGTACTTCATCTTCAAGGCCGTGGCACAGAGGGGAGGCTACCAGGCAGTCTGCGTGCAGAGGTGAGCCCCAAGGGATATCATTCCTTTGAGAAGCCTGGCACTTATTTTGGTCTCCACTTGCTTTGCCCAGATCGTCGCCTTGCAGACTATCATACTCCCTACAGCTTACATGTTCAGATATGATGTCAGGACCACAAACACTGTCTGCAGTGGGTTCCCTGTGCGTTTGCTTGTCTTGTTGAAGGAGGGAGGCTTGCATTGCTACGTAGCTTGGTCTGTGATTGCTCCTCCCTTCTGAAGTCATGGATGCATGCAGTGCAACACACTGGCCCCTTTCGGAAAATGCATGGAAATAGAGCTGATCACTGAGACGAGCGCGTTTGTGCGGCCTTAGGCATTGGCTGGCAGTGAGCACGGAGTGGCGCCCGGAGCTGAGGGAGAAGTCGAGCCTGTCAAATTCTGTGCGCAAGAATTACGAGCGCGTGCTTCTGGCGTACGAAGATCATCTGAGCCAAGGCGCGGCCGAGCGACTCATCCAAGTCACATGGGGCGCCAAGTCTGCCGGCAAACGCGAGGCCAAGGCGCAGCGGGAGGAGGTGCAATCCCCCTTGCTTGACAGATTTGAAATCGAGTGGAGACTTCGCTGATGTGGCATTTCGAATCCGGGGACAATGCGGAAGATGGGTCTCTTGTGCATGGGATGAGCCGAGGAGAGGCGGGGTCCACTCTTGTATCTGGTGATGGTAATCCTCAGAAGGCATCTCTTACCGAGATACGTAGCAGGGACAATGTTATAATATTGAACGGTTGAGCCGCAAATATGGTAATTTGCGCTGCAGGCAGAGCAGGAGGAGAAGCCATGTAAGAAGGCGTCAAGGAAGGCAGCAAAGAAGACAGCCAAAGATGGAGCAGACTGTGCGGAGAAGGAATCTTCTGAGCAGCAGGTAACTGCCAACGACTGCCAACACTGCCAGAGGACTCTACTCTACTCAACTGCATTTAGACGTAGATGAAACGGGAAATGGTGAGGATAATTCTTGCATGCTGCTGAAAGTGACCTGTCCTGGGCAGGGTACAAAGGCGGCTGCGCCTCCGACCGTGCTAGATGAGAGCAGCAGCACCAGTGAGTCTGACGCAGCATCCTCCAGCGATTCAGGTGCTTCTTACCTGAAGAAAGGACCTGAAGAAAGGACAGAAAACAGAAGTGCAACACTTCTATCTTCTTCCTGTTTACACAGACATCAACCTTACGGTCCCACATTGATTGTGTCCGATAAGGTTGTCTGCACGTCCTGACGCAGTTTTTTCTCTTTGTGGGTTACCGTGACTTAAGATACTGTATTTTATGCAGAAGAGGGCATTCCACCAGCCAAGGCGCCTGCAGCGCCGTCGCAAAAGCGGCGGCCAGAGAGGGAAGGCAGGCCACAGAACGGACAGCTGGAAGACCTGCAGCAGTTGGTAATACACCACATCAAAGAGGCTCAACTCCTATGCACAACTGTCAGAGTCTTCTTGCTCTTGCCTCTTCTTCAGATCCTGTGGGAGGCACTTCTGGTGATGTGTGACATGCAAACGTGTCCGTGTGAATATCTGATATTTCAATACCATGTTTGCTCATGTATAAGTGAGGGTGAAACAGTTCCATGCAGATAAGAAACATACAGGCAAACTTCCTCCAAAGAGAGCCGCCAATAAGGGATGGTTGGGAAAAGGACCAATCAATGAATTTTCATGCTGTTGTTTGAAAGCAGAAGAGGCGAAGACTTGAAAAGCAGAGGCGGATGCAGCAAGATGCCTACGCCTCGCTGGATGCCGATGAGCCTCCGCCCCCAGCGCCACTGCAAAAGCCGGCAGCCAAACTCCGCGCAGGAGGTGTGCCTGAACTTAAGCTCTTTCCTGCAGTCTGCACCGGACATGCATGTGACATGCAGCTTTACAGCTGTGCTCTCCAGCCTGTTCACCCGCATGCAACGTGTAACTGCAAACTATCCATATTAGGAGGCGGATATACATTTGCGCGTGCTTGTCTGGACACATCTGAGTAATCACGTTGTACGTGACGATAATGTTTGAGAAGCTGTGGAACTCGCTATCAGCCCTGAATGTGTGCTGGAATGATGTTATCTTTCTTTGATTTCTAGGTGCAGCGGGACAGGCAAAATCGCCCGGCAAGGGCGCCACTCGACTGCCGCCTCCGCAGGCGAAGCCGCCTAAAAAAGACAGCAAGCCCGGCCGCACCATGCTCATGATGAAGTTCCCAGAGGTAAGTGCATGCTAGAAGTGTCCTAGAAGCCTCTTGGGACGGCCTCGTTCAAGAGGCATGCATCAGGAGCTTTCATCCCATGCTCTGTACTGTTCACTGCTATGCAAACACCCCTGTCGTGTAATTTTGAGACTCACCTATGTGACAAAAAGAAGGAATGAAACAGAACATCACCGGCACACGACCCCTGCAAACAGCTGAACTTGAAAGATTCTTTCTGAGCCTGTACATGCAATGCTTCTCAGGCTGTGGGATGGCACTTTTTGAGGCTTCTGTGCATGGTTTGCAGAGGCACCAGCTACCCACAAAGATGCAGGTGTGGGCGCGCATGAAGAAGTTCCAGAAGAACGCAGCTCTGACGGTGGAGAACGTGCTGCGCTCTGATGAGAAGAAACTGGTGTCGATAAAGTACGGGACGCCAGAGGAGGCTGCCAAAGCAATGGCGTCACTGGAGCAGATGCCTGTGATCTTCTTTGCCAAAAGGGTGCCGCCCTTACAATCTGCCCTTACGGCTCAGAAAGAATGCGGTGTTAGGTTTTGAGCATGTCATGGCGCTGGTTGCAAGGTTGAGGGCTGCCGGAACTTGGCTGTAGTTAGGCAGGTTCTAGGGGCACTGAACCTTCGCCACCAGCGGGATGGCGAGGGGGGTCATTGTCTGTAAGCCTCCTGCTCAGATCCCTGACGAGTGGAGACACTCTCATCACATATCTAGCTTGACAGCAGCTTGTACCAGGATGTCCTGCTACAGTCAAAATGTATCTTCCTTGTGTTCTGCAGGAAGCGGTGGGGCTGAGGTTGGAGGTCCCCAGGCCAAAGCCGGCACCCGAGACCGCAGGCGCGCGGCCCAACAGCGCCGATGCCGTGCCGGCGGCCACGGCGCAGCCGACACCGGCGGCGGCCGCCTCGTCGGCGGTGCCGATTCAGATGCCGACGGACCCCCGCAAGGCCGCCCAGCAGCCGTCCGATCCCCGCAGGCCCCCCGCTGTGGCGGCTGCTCCGCAGCTGCCGCAGCCGGCCGCTGTACCTATCATCCCCAGCGACCCCCGGCGGACACCGGCGCCAAAAACCACTGTCATTGGTGCGCGACATCTACTACCCGTGAGATGTTCACACTATTGTAATTTTTTGCCATATAGCTTTGCTGTTGTTTGAGAAGTATATTGCCAAAAGAAGGCGTCGGGTGAGAGGCAGGCTCTTGGCGTGCAGGGGACCCGAGTCAGTTCCAGAACAGGGTGCTCTCCGGGCCCGGGCAGGCGGCGGCCGCCAACCCCTACGCGTCAGCCTCCTTCCCGCAGCAGCAGCAGCAGCAGCCATCTTATGTGCAGCAGCCATACCCCGCAGCCAACCCACCCGCGTACGCCCCGCAAGCCTACACGTCAGACCCGCGCACAGCAGCAGCGGTCAGATACGCCCCAAGCTATCCACCGGCGCCGCAGCCGCAGCCGCCGCAGCCGCCAATGGATCCGCGCGCTAAGATCGAGGCGATCCGAGCAGCCATCGCCGCGCAGACGGCCCCGGCGCCGACCGCGGCGGCTGCCCAGCCGGGCAGCGGGCAGCTGCCCGCAGTGGTCCCTTCGATCCTCGAGGCACAGCCGCAGCCGCAGCCGCTGTTAGCGGCCGCCTCGCCGGCAGCGCCGCTCCCCGTGGCCACCTTTGACCTCTTTAGCATCCTACAGAACGCCGGGGTGAAGCCGGCCGTCTCTGGCGCGCCCCAGGGCGGCTCTGTCGGCCCTCAGGACAGCGATAAGCAGCCAATCTCGCAGCCGGAGGCGAAAGCATCGGTGGAGCAGAGCTTGGCTCCGGCCCCGGACGGTGCAGCTCCCAGTAGCTCAGCAGCATCGGAAGTGAAGCAGGAAGTGAAGGAGGAAGTGAAAGCTGAAGAGGCAGATGCGGCGCCTGTGATGGGGCAGGTGGCTTCCGCGCCCAACATTACGGCAGAGATGATGCAGCTGCTTGGGAAGTTGGAAACTGGAGTGGGCCGCCTGGATGCCACGCCAGAGGGCAGCGCTGAGAATGAGCCTGCGCCGGAGCCCAACCTTCAAGAGGAGATGATGCAGCTGCTGCACAAATGTGGCGGTGCATGAGGAGTTTTTGTCTTTGCTCGCGCATCAGCTGATTTTCCCTTGGCCTGCTGAGGTACAGGGCATGATGCAGGGAATGCGTTTGACTGCTTTGGTGTGCAAAAATTCTTAATTTATGATTAGGTGCCGCTCGTGACTTGTATTGAAAGGAACCCCGTCACACCATATGACTGCAGTGGACCGAGGTTGAGCACTTCAGTCACCTGCAGGAATTTCCTGCCAGGACAGGTGTACACATTTCCGGACAGAGCTTTTGAGTCACATGTGCACATGCGCATTAGAAACTCATGTCCCATTTTTACAATATTCTTATGATCCTTTTCTGCCCTCTATCTTGTCTTGAGAGAAGAGGCAGGAATCTGTGGAAGCCACTTTAAGCACCAAGGAAGCTACGTAGCTGAGGTCCATGTGCCACGGGTCTGCTTCGTCATAAGGCAGGGTAAAAGCACAGTTCCGAGGTCGAAGAGGGAACGAAAGGCTTCAGTAGAGGCTACTCCACCGTTCAAGTAGAAAACCTGCAATGCTCATAGATATGTCGTATATACCGGAGCACATTCTTAGCCATCCTAACAATATGTGACACGCCGTGATCTGATGTCGAATGTGAGTTCGAGCATTCTCCGTGTGGTTGCGGCCCACAGGTGATTTACTTGCAACATAACAGCACTTATATTACTTGGAAAATCTCCATTGTTGTATATCTTTTCACAGCTGTGCGTAGGACCCCACAACGAAAAGGGTTTATCAAGTGCACCAGATCAAGGATGAACTCATGCCGAATCCTTGGGCATGAGAACGCAAAAATTCCAATGGCATCAGGTGCTCTCACTCAGTTTATTGATGTTTATTTAATCCGCTGCTTAGGGCAAGCACTCTGCATTGTCTCCGTTTAGCTGTTTAGGAAAGGGGAACCTTGATCACTTCAATATCCAACATCAGTAACCGAGTGCCTCCTGAGAGAGCTGGTGGGGTTCAGGAAGATCGTGACTTCCGTCCTCTGACCTGTCCATTCCAATCTTCTCGCACATGCATTCACAATGCTTTCCTAGGCCTTCTAAATTCCTGTTGTGTCAGGCCCGCAAATACTTCTACAGTTCAGAAGGCCATGCTCAGGTCTACCCTGGGATCCTGGCTCACGGGCTACAACTCCCAAATTACCACATTCAAGTACCTTTGTGACGTGGTGATTGATAGAGGTCGTGTCCTGCCCAGGCCTCCTTTTGTGTTCATCGACGGAACTAGGAGAGGCAATGCAGCCTTCTACGGGTTCCTGGTGGATCTTCTGCCCGTACTATTCCAGACAGCTGGCCTGGGGAACTACACGCTAGAGTACTACAACTCCACCAACAGTGGGGGAGAGAGGCTGAAGAATGGCACATGGACAGGCATGCCACTTTTTCTGGACTGAGTACGCTTGTCTTGTGAAGATGCTGCGGCGGCAAGAATGTGCGGATTTGTGAGAAAGGAAGAAAGTTGCATATCTTGTGAACAAAGGGATGCCGAACGTGCGGCCGGCTGATGGGCATTTGGCGCAAGACAGGGAGTTCAGCACTAGTCAGCAGCCATTGGGTGACACGGATGCGGTTGATAAGTGCAATATAGGGCAGAAGCAAGGGCCTGCATTTAATCACAGATTTTCTGCAAAACCCATTTAGGTGGGGCGTAAAATAGATTTCCTATCCTCTAGGCCTGCGCCTTGAGGTTTACTCAAGGCGCAGGCCTAGAGTTATCCTTGCATGGCTCTGCCATGCATGAGGGTAGGAATGGTGAGAGGGGTAGAGCACTCCATGGGAAAGGGTGGCCCAAAGTCTACATGAATGCTGCAGTTGCGAGGTGTGGGTGGGTGCTTGACTAAGCTATGTGATGTGCAGGGATAATGGGGGAGCTACAGTCGAGGCAGGCCGACTTTGCAGCATTCCCGCTGACTCTAGTGCCAGGACGGTGCGTTTGTATCGTTGCTGACTAACGCTTCAGGGACTTCTGAAGCACTGTAGTTTGTCTGCCCAACCTACAGGAGCACCTGAGGAAGTGGGCCTAATCGTGTTATGGCCTGCTTGAATGTAAATCGAGCTGCAAAGACTTGGGCTAGGGAGCTCGAAGCAACAGCAGTTTCACAGATAGATGACGATTAGAGACTAGTCCATTGTTCAAGCAAGCGCCTACGTGCGGACCACCCTGGTTTGTCTGCTTTGCATGCAATGGCTGAATAGGGTTGTAATTTTATTTCTTTGTTGTCCTACTGTGCAGGCCAGTGGACATCGATATTACCTACTCCTACTATGCAGGTGACGCAGAAATTCATACCATAGAATACCTAGCCTGTCTTAGTGCCTTTCGTCATATCAGACAGAAACACTCTCTTGAAGCGGCTGCCCCTGCCAGGTTGAATGTGCACATGCACAAAGTGGCAGAAATCTTTCCTAGATTACAGTCAGAACAGAGACACAGGGTCATGCAAGCCCCTCTAGATTTATTCCAAGCACCGACAAGAGCATGCATCGGCCTTTGTTCCTGTGTGCGGCGCAATCGGACGCCGGCCTGTCTGCATGCTGTCAAATTTGAATTTGAAATTGAGCTTTGGCGCAGGGGGATTGGGCCTGTTGGTGCAGAAAGGGCAGCCCAGAAATGACCAGCTGCTCTTCTTGCAACCCTTTGATGCGCGGCTGTGGGTCACACTTCTGGGCACTGCCTTTGCAGCCGCTCTCGTGCTGAAGCTTCTGTCCCTGTACACTCCTCTGGGAGATAGGTAAGTGGGCGCTCCATTGCGTGGGGCCAGAGTCTCTCTGCTCTGCGCGTACCTCTTCATTGTTTCACATTTGTTGTCTTGTGCTATCAAATCACAGACATTCAATAGTTGTTGTCCTGTGCTATCAGATCACAGACATTCAATACACACAGGCACATGAAATGCTTGCAAAAGATCAAAATGTCCCACATCTTGCTTCGATCTCCATCATATGATTTCTATTCGAGACATGCAATCATGCAAGTTGATAGTGTGTCATAGATTGCTGACAGATATGGGTTTGATCTCTTGACCGTTCGCTTCCTGTCAGAAGCTCTTTGAGCCCCATGTGTGCAGTGACATGAGCACTATGTGCATCAGAAGGCTTTTATCGGAAGGGAGTCCTGTTTGGCTGCGCAGTGAGATCCACATGGTGCATGCTTTGGATGATGGCGAGCATGCAGAGGGGAGGAAGTACGAGGTGGAACACTGTGAGTCCCCCTCTCCAGCTCCAACAATTCCTCTTCATCAATCAGCCCATGCCCTGGAGCGATTGCTGATGGCTGCCTTGGTGCAAATCTGAGAATATATGTCACCCACTAGAGTGACCAGAGCCGCTACAAGCCACTCATGTTAGATCCCGCGGCTGTCTTGTCAGCAGCACATCAGCATCTTTCAGAAGCCAAGAGAAATGCAGCATGCAAAGTCTGGCATTTGCTATCACAAGTTCAACTTTGTGCTGGACAATGTCAAACTTTGCAGCCTGAGACGCAAGCTCTCACCTGAAAGCAGCTGCCAATCCTCCTGACATGATAATCTGCTGCCACAATGCAGGCAGCAACACTGCATCAGCAGCTGGAGCCCAATTTTGCGCTCTTCCTTTCTTTGAATGGTTATCCACTGCTCCTGACATTAGTATCTGCTGCCACAACGCAGGCTGCCACGTCACATCAGCTTCTGCAGCCTGAGGTGCACTCTTTCTCCCCCTGAAAGCTCGTCCCATTGCTCGTGACACAATTATCTGCTGCCACATCGCAGGCAGCGACAGCGTGCTGCTGGAAACGTGGATGGCCATGTTTGGGGAACGGCGGGGACTGGCCATCGGCCGCAGCTGGGCCACGCGGATCTTCGCCATTGCCTTTGCCTTCTTCTCCGTCGTGGTCATGGCGGCATGTGCGCACTTTGCTTGATCCCCCAGTCGCACGACGCCTCTTTGTGCACACAGACACTGCTTTTCTCACTGCGCCATTTGCTGCAAAGGCTGCCAGTGGTGTCCTCTATCATGCTGATACGGGCTGCATTATGCTGATACGGCCTGTGGTAAGCTTGTGGTAAGCATTTACGGACTATGGAACGAGGAACAAGAGGAGAGCGGTATGTGCTATGCGTGCATGCATGCATTTTGCCACATAACTACTCACGCGCCCAGAGCTTGTCATAGGGACGGCTCTTCTCTGTTGCATTGCCTAATGTGCTGTCCCCTGATGGCTTCTTTGGACTGGAGAGACCATACAACGTGCATGGCTTCTGCAAGCCTGTTCCGTAAACACACAAATCATGCAAGATACAGCCGCTACATCGAATTGTTGGTGTTGCGCAGACACCGCCAACTTTGCGTCCATTCTGACGGTGCTCCAGATTTCCCAGCCCATCTCCAGCCTCAAGGACCTTACCTCTCGTAATGGTGAGCACACTTCGCCTCATTGTGCCCATGAAAATCGACGACACCTTATTCCCATGTCTCATTGACCCTTGCCTCTTGCATGCAAGTGTGGAGGTTATGTGAGTCAACATGAGCCTACCTTAGTAGTCATGGTAGATCAGTCATTGATAATCACCACAGACTTGAGCTGAGCAGTGGTGGGCGCCGCAGTGGTTACCGCAGTGATGCCTTCGCATGCACCCAATGAATGCATTTCTGCCACAGCTAGATGCAAATAGAGGCGACAGCTGAGCCTCTGGTTGTCTTTGTGCATGCAGGCACAATAGCCATCAACCCAAGCGGGGCCACCAAGAATTTCTTCGACAACACCAAGGATCCAATCAGCGCTGACGCCGGCACTCGCAGGACATACCTCCCGGACACGATTGCAGGCACGCCCGCAAAGGAACAACCCAGACTTCAGTGTATACATTGGCTCCATTTCAGGTGTCTTTGGGATTCATAGAGCACAGTTGTGGCAAAGCAGATCAACCAGCCAGCTAGGGGACCCCAGAAAGTCAGTAGAGCCCTGTGTGAGGTTCTGATTCGCCGTCTTGCATCAAACACAATTCCTCTGTCTGCTCAAAGCAGTTCTCACCTGATTACCTTGAGAATGGGACGCATTGCATAGGCTTGTCATTCTCATTTGACCATCGCTCAGAGAGAGTGGGGTGGTATAGTCTGCAAAGTCGTCCAGTCAAAGGATGCTGATTCCAATGGAGAGTAGGAAACCGAAGGACATCCGCCAGATCGCATCTTAGGCATGCAAATCTAGTGTCTCAGGGGTTTGAGCTCCCCCCATACATTAAGGTTCAACCACACTTGCGTGGTGTCCGGACCATTGGTGTTGGGTTTTATGGAAAGGGCCTAAACAGTGATAAATTTTCACGGGGGATGGAATGGTGAGTTTAGGGTTAAAAGTTATGTTACCTTTTCAGGGGTTATGACACATATACCGTATATACTGGTTGATTTTCAAGGTCAGGGGGAGTGTCCCGAATGACTCATGATGAGGAATGCGGCGCCGGCAGGTGCGGCGGCGGTGAGGAGTGGGCGGGCGGACGCTTACATAACCGATGAGTCGACACTGCAGTGGTATGCGGGCCGGCAGCCGTGCGACCTGTCGGTACAGGGCGACAACTTTGGGCCGGGGGTGCTCGTGTACGGACTCCAGAAGGACTCCCCTTTCACCAAGCCTCTCAATGCAGCCATGCTCGAGGTATGTGGGCTATGGCAGACACACCTCCAAAGGACTCTGAATTGTGCTTCAATGAAAAGTAGTGTTCTTTCTCTTTCTTACCTTGCAGGGTACAGGAGATCGTTCAAAATTTCCTGATGGTGCCTGCTGACCAGAGAACTGGCATTCCAGCAGGAGCTTCATGACCTTTTAGGGAAGAGTCTTTTTTAGGGTGGGAGGGTGGTTGTATTCTGTCTTTGCACAGCGTGAACCCCAAGAATGAGAGGATGACAGATGTCTGTCTGTGCAAACCGTGACCACCAGGAACTTACGCTTGTACGTGATCCTGGGAGTATTGGAAGGTATATAGCTTCCGATAAGTCAGTGTCAAGCCTTCTTGGAAAATCTATAGAAGTGCTGCTGGAACGCACCTATCCTTGAAAGGCTGGAAAGCGTGTATTAAGAGTAACAATTATTATATCAATTATACTACTACTACTTCTAATAATAATAATGATAATAATTTTAGTAATAGCTGTGCTGAGGCGTTCCCTGGCGCGCAGCTGTACGAGAACGGGCGGCTGGACACGCTCAAGCGCCAGTGGAACTCCGATATTTCCCAGTGCGGCGATTTGAATTCGAACGCGATCACCAACACGCGCCTAACCGTCACCCAGATGACCGGCCTCTTCTACATGCTACTTGTCTTTGCGGGAGCAGCCTTCCTTTGGGGCTCTGGCGAGCATGCGGCGGTGTTCATCGGCCGGCGATTTCCAATGTTCCATCGTGCTGCCAGGGGCAGCATCCCCATTCCTGCCAGCAGCCGCGCCCTCAAGACTTCACTCAAGACCTTCAGGTAACCTGGAGCAGCCCTTTGTCACACCAGCTATTCATCTATGAAATATAGTTAGCTTACAGAATCAGTCGAGGAATGTTGGCTCTTTGTAGCCCATCAGCATAAGAATGTGCCATAGATTACCAGCTGGCCTATCGTTTGCCCACCTCTGCATTGCCCTCTAGATGCCTCAGCCTTTGCAATCTCTGCCATACCTCCCTTTACCTTTTAGATACCTGTTTGATTGCAGCAAGCGCGGCCCCTGCCACCCCTGTATTGCCTTCCGTGGGCCCAGCCTCTTTCAAGTCCTTCATGTGCTTGGATCAAGCTCTGCCAAACCCGCCACCTTTGTCTTGTGTGAGGATGCTCGTCTCACTGAAGTGTTTTAGGTGGTTGGTCGAACCTTTGCCACACACGCCTTGACTTACGGTGCATCGGAGATGGACTGTAAGACAGCAGAAAGGGCTGTGCATGCCCTTGCATATTAGATGCTATTAGGGCGTGTGCACGGATTTGCAGAGCACGGGTGCTTTCATGATCTGAACAGCATTGAACTCTTGCTTCACATGCAAGAGCAGTGTCATTTTCGCTTCTTGTCTGCCACATGCATCTCAAGACCTTGTATCTGTCGTCCAGTCCATCATCCTGCCGAGGCGTTGTGATCCTCCAAGCTGTCCACCAATCACCTTGCAGGGGAGTAAAACAGAGGGAAGAAACATTAAGTTTTCTTCCTTTTCATACTCTCATATATCTTGATTGAGACACCTGTAATTCCATCTAGGGGTCATGGGTGCACTGAGACCCTCACGATGGCGAGGTGAACCATGCCTTTGGCATGCTAGACCTCTGTCTCCTGAATCATGCCCCAGGCTTCATCAGGGCGTCTATAATTTTCTCTTTTTCATTCAAGTTTCCACTACAGCTTGCTGTTACTACAGGCGGCAGATGTCAGAGCGCTCGAGCAATGGCAAGGCTGATCTGGCGGGCTGCGACAGCGACCGGGGAATCGGCGAAGACGCCGAAGCCGGCCGGCCGCAGCCGCGCGCCCGGGAGCTGCCGCGCCGCGACAGCAGCAGCATTGCGCTTGTCACGCTGCAAGGCACTTAGGTGTTTTTATTGGGGAGCCCATACTACAAGGGTGCTCGCCAACGTGCCTGCGCGATTTGTAGCCTGCCCAAATCCATATCGAAACGTAGAAGCTGATGCTGGGCAATTATGAGCACCAGCAAACTCACATAGCAATGACGGTTGAGATATTACAGCATTATGAACGGGGTATAAGATCCATGTGCTACCACTGTGATGAACATGCTTTCCTGCCAGTGGCAGGGTGGGCCTGCAGGCAGGCTGCAGGTGAAGACTGCCACAGTCCCCACCCCCTTATCGGACTCGCCAGATCCGAGCAAGACCTAACCAATCGTGGGCACGGTGCTCAGTATTTAAGCGCCCCCTGCCCGCCGGGGTTAGAAATTTGGATGTGTGCAAGAGAGCCCGGCTGGGGTGCATGCATCCTTGTGTGGATTTCGGGAGAAGAAGCAATGGAGGAGCCTTCTCTCAAGGCAGAAAAAGGGAGTTCAGCTGGGAGCTCCAAAGCAGTTGCCTGATGGGTTCAGCATCAGCCAGTGGCCACTACCAAGTCCTGTGTGATGCTCATTAACTCCTTTGCACTGCACAGTCATGTACTGAGAATTTTCTGCAGAGTACTGGTAACTGTTTCCTGGGGTGTGTTTTGGCCGGAGACATGCGCCTTTTGAGAGGGCACAAGTCGAACATTGAGGGTTACCAATAACCGCTGCCGTCATCGCAGTTCTGTGTCTGGTTGGTGGTGGCACATGGTTGCAGATTAGTTAAGTGGGCGCAGCAATGATGAAGATACTAAGATTGCACATCATGCAGGAGCTCTCTGGAGTTGCTCCTTTTGGATTCTGGCTGTACCATCAAAGAGGTCAGCAGTTTTTGGGTAGGCAGTCGTGGGCGATCCACTTCCCCTTACATATGGTTTGGGGCCCTAGAGAAAGATCTGGCAGATTCATGCTGTGATCCCTTGGTCATCCCGGGCTTCGATTGATGCGTACCATGGGAAATCCTTCGCAGCAAGGCAGTATGGTGTAGAGTGATCTGTTCTGTGGCGAGCAGTTTTGCTGCAGGCAAAGGGACGCATTGGGTCTTCTGGGATACTATCAGCGATTGCAGCTCTTGCACGGGTGGCTTGAAGGTTGGTTCGCTAATGTTCGGTACAAAAACTGCTTGCACCATCAATAAGTTCACGCGTTCAGGCTTTCAACAAGCGTCCTTCAGCGCTGATCAGGAAGTAAAAATAAAACACTTCTAATTTCCTTGTTTTTGGGTTGACTTACGATAGCTGCTTGATTTTGGAAATCCGCGACCTTATGCACTTGTTCAATCTTGCTGTGACAGCCTGCAAGCACATAGTGAAGAACACCTCACAGTAGATCTCCGCGGACGACATGCAGATCCTCGGCAGCTTCCTCTTGGGGGAAGAAGGGGTGCCTGAATTGGAGACGGGGACGCCATTGCCATCACTTCCTCCGGACACCGCTTTTGGACTTCAGACATATCGACAGACCCAGAAGTAGATCAACAGACACCTCCTGAAGATCAAAGGTAAGCCATTGAGGACTTAGACATCTCAATGTTTTGTGCAAGTGTGTGGAGATGTCGCGCTGTGCAATCCGGATGCGAAGATCTCTCCTTGTCCCAGGTCAGAAGCATCCTTTTTGAGCCTCTTACGAGCTTCATAGAGCTTCTGTAGAACAATAGTGCAGCAGGATGGAAAGCTACGTGGTTCTGACTTCCGGAATCCACTCGCTTGCAGGTGTCCTGACTCCGCCCTAGTACAAATCACAGCAACGAACCTGTTCCCACAAGCAAATCACAGACCGATCGCCGTCATGTTCAAGGTAATCATAACGGAATACTCTTAAGTTCTGTACTTCTCAGTAGAATACTTCAAAGATCGCATCGTGAGGGGCGATCTTGTTATGTACAATGGGTCTCAGGTCATTCTTGCCCGATTGTCAGATGAAGCCGCGATCTAGTCACAAAGCTCTTGTACATCATAGAAGAATCGATTGTGAAGATTTTTGCTATAAGAATGAGTCCCAATGCGTGATCCGACAAAATCAGGATGCGGTCGTGATCCGGGCAACTGGCATCCTGCACTTGTGAATATCGTTTGAGTTTTGCATCAGGATACAACAAACATCATCATTTGCTGCTCGAGACCCTGTTTCGGAGGTCAGAATAGGTAGAAGCCGACAGACAGGTTGGCCGAGCACCGTTGACTGCCATTGTTATTCGGCTGCAGGCCGCCCTCGCCCTCGTGGCCGCCCTGGCGCTGCTCAGCGCAGCGCCCGCCCTGGGCCAGAGGTCGCTGAAGCAGATGCAGCCTCAGCAGCCGCCTGCACTGCCAGCGCTGCAGTTGGACGAGGGCACCACGAGCTTCGTGCAATCTGCGCTGCAGGATGTCTTCAGCGCCCTGTCATACAGCGCTGGTGACCAGCAGAAGATCGCCCCCAGCCCTCCCAAGCCCCAGCCAGGTGAAAATACACCTTCTTTATACCTGTGCCTGACTGCACCCAAGCAGCGGCTTATGACAAGGTCACTCAACTGTCTTTGATCAAGCCCACTCCGGCTTGACACTCACCCTGAGACCCAAAAATGCCTGCACTTCCTTTTGGCATGAGACTCACAGTATGACAAACGTGCCCATGCATGCCGGGCAATGGGTCAGGATTCTAAGCAGCGATTCAGCCTCCTTGAAGCATCAGTGATTGCAGATTGCATGCATGGCACATGCTGACGGGCTAGTGGCATGTGTCTCTTGGCTCTACCTCCTTCGCGGATCACTTATCACGCGCATCGACAGAATGAACATGGCATGTGCTGACGGGTTGCCGGCATGTGCGCGCATGTGCAGTGTACTGCGGGACCCCCACACAGGCGGTGCACATCCAGGCAACGGGCAGCACATGCAACGTGACCGTCTTTGACATAAACGCTCTCTACACGGCGGTGACTAACCCCACCAAGCCATGCGAGGCGTCCATCTACAACCGCACCTGCACTGTCTTCCAGGGCTCCCTCCTGCTCGACATCTCGCCGGCAGTCGACTCCACCGGCAACTTCCTGCAGCAGAAGGACCCCAAGATCCAGGTCAGCACCCTGCCCACATCAGATGCCGGTGCACATGCACAGTGAAATTGGTGAGTCTTGGGAGGATCGGAGAAGACCTTTCAGGTCAAAGAATATTAAGCTGCAATGTTTGGTGGAAGCTGGTGGCAAAATGGCTAAATGCTTTTGCACCGGTGTATGACGATCCTGCTGTGCAAAGGCAAACGGGAGCTGTTGGCAGGACTCCTAAGAAAGCAAATCCCTTGCCGTGTCTGGTGTCTTGAACCATGAAAAATTGGCAAGGTACGTAGCTCAGCGATTTTGTGGTGATTTGCGCAGGGCTACCTGGCCAGGCTGGGTCTGGGCAACCTGGTGTCAACTGGCATGCTGTCCATCAACGTGCTGTTTGGCAACTTCATCCAAGTCAGCGCCCTTGACTTCCTGCCCTCCCTCGAGTCCATCACAGGCATCCCCACCGGTGAGTCACCCACTTGCTGGCAGCGCTCTTACCAAGAATCATAACAAGTTACTAAAGAGTTGCCACCCACGCTTTTTGCACCTCCAGGGAGGCTAACCATCGTCTGGTCAGCCTCTTTTGAAGGATGATATGTGCAGTCTGCTAGGATGTCACGACATGCTGTCATCATTTTTAATGTCTTAGAAGATCGTGTGATGCCCAAGGGGGCTGTCCCTTTCCTCTGAAAGAGCTCTATGTAACTCAGCTGAACTGTGAAAAGAATAAGTGAATCGAGCTCGAGGCGGTCGATCTTAAGACGACTGGTCATTGAGTGCCATTGAAAGATGTGTGCTGTGGTCCTACAGCACTTCTGTACTTCACAGCATGCACTTGTGAGCAGCATCATTGCAAATTTGTGGCTAAGGAACTTGTGATTTTGCTGCAGGCACCTCGGCAGACTTCACCAAGCCCTTCATCAGTCAGTTGAAGATCAGCGGAGGCGGACCCATCCCAGGAGTGGGATCTCAGAACACCCTGCCCTCCTTCTCCTCAATCACCTTCAAGCCAAAGAAGGTGGTTTTTCTTCCCCTCTCGATGCCTAATTCCATGCCTGGTGGCCTCAAAACAATGCATCTGTTAAGTATCGTGCAAAAGCCTCAAGAGCCATTCTGGCATGTCCATGCAAGCAATGTAGTACTATGCTCTGATGAGAGCTCTTGTCCTTTCATCACCTTGTGTCAGATGCATGATGCAGCATTGTTGTGGACACTGGCTAGCACCTTCTGTGTTGTGCACTCACATAAAGGCGTGCCAAGATTCGGGTATGACCATGCATGCATGCATGTCAGCCCCAACAAGGCTGCCATCTCTGGCGACGATTGCCACTCCATCTTAGGCAAGCGTGTCAGTGTAGTCAGCTACATGCCAAATCAGGCAGCGTGACTACTCCGTTTCTGATCATTCATGACCAATCCATGTCGCTGGCTTTGGGCAGGTGGTGGGCAATCTGCAGGTCACCGGCACAGCACTCCCGGACCAAGGCACCTTGAACCAACTCCAAGCAGTCGACGGCAACATTCTGATCGCGAACAACAACGCAATGGCAGCTTTCGATTTCTACTCTCTGCGATTCGCCGGATCGGGCATCGCGCTTTTCCAGAACCCGACGCTGACATCGTTCGAGGCCCCCCGGCTCACCGCCGTCGCTTCCAACGCGCCCGATGACGTCATCACCACAGGGCTGCAGGTGGGATTTGAATTCAAATTCAAATTTTGCACTCCTTGTCTTCGTAACACCTCCGAATGTCAAGAGACAGAAGGCCAAGGGTACTCCCTGATATCCAATTGATATCCGTGCATGAGGCGTGCGCAGCTGGCTTCTCAGATTTTGCCATGGGCATTCTTTTGGACCAAGGCATCTGCAACGGTGAAATGTGCCATGCCTGCTGCTAGCACAGTTGCTTGCTACTGCTGAACCAACTCCTCAGGCACAGCACTGTCGTGAACGGCACACTATTAATATGTTTTGACAATGCTCACATGTTCTGCCGCTGACGCACAAAGTTCCTGCAACCTGCGCGCAGATCAGCCAGAACCCGGCGCTGGCAAAGCTGAACCTGCCGATGCTGGAGGCCATCGGTGGTCCCCTGATCATTGCCAACAACAGCGCGCTTACTACGCTCGCCACCCTTGACCATCTGGCGGTCGTTAACGCCACCGGCCGCTCGGCCCCCGCTTTTGGCCTGCCCGCCCTCCCGGTGCGCCATTTCCAGCACAACACACACACCAATGTTCTGAGGACTGTCCCACCGCCAGCCAGATGCACAAGGATTACTCTTCCTGTTGAGCAGCAAAGGAGCAAGGCAGGAAAGCAGTGCGATGCCTCATCAGAACCAGCTCTCCTGGTGTTTGCTTCACCTGCTGCAATGCATGCGCTTCGGCTGACTTGCAGAAGCTCATGGGACGGCATGCTTCACGCCCGCAGAAAGCGAGCAAAACTGCACTGAACAGTGAAAAGTGGCAATTGTGTTGCGTTGCACCCCTGCATGTCCATGCGGCGCAGATCTTGCAGAGCATGACCGGAGTGTGATCGCCTCACAATCATGGCTGTGTATCAACTAAATCCCTGCGTCGGCCTTACCGATTGTTTGCTGATGGGCTCCTGGTGTCTTGTATCACAGGCGCCCCCAGGCAGCAACGGCCCTACCCTGCCGGGCTTCAGCATCACGCCGCCGTCAGTGCTGATCTTCGGCAACAGCCAGCTCAGCGATGTGTCAGCGCTCGCCAAACTAGGCCGCTGCAGCAGCAACCCCACCTCCACCAGCGACCCCATCTTCATCGAGGTGCGATTCTCAAGTTATTAGATTTTGATTATTTTATTTTAGATATTAGGGTTTGTGCCTGATATATTGGCCCTGAAAACCTGCTACTCACCTGCGTGATGGTAATGTGTAAAGTTCGGGAGGGTTGCTAGAATCAGGGGACTCTAGACTAAAGAGTCTCCTAGGACCTGCTAGATCTAGCACCAGGGACAAGCTTTGCATGTCTTGCATTCTACTTTGGTTGATTTGCATGGAAACGCCTCTCGCACTGTCAGCTGTGTCCTTCTGAGACCTTTGCTGAGTCATCTGGATCACAACAGAGCAGGGCTCTTCCTGAAACGAAGCATGTCCCCTCGATCGACAGCGTGAGACTTTGCTCAGGATTCCAGGAAAATAACAAGCTCACGCTTGTCAAAACGGACAAAATGTCAAAATCCAAGCTTCCTCCTACATTTCTGTTCCTAAATGCCCCTACATGCATGGATATGGTGAGCTGGCAGCAATGCTGAGCTGGCGATGTGGCATGTGCGCGCAGGTGTTCCCCAAGGACTCTGGCCTCAAGTGCACCTTCACCGCATGGAAGCCTGTATGCGAGTACATCCTCAACCAGATGACAGTGTCTCCAACCTCTGAGTGGCGCAAGAACGGCCTCTGCATTGCCCTCAAGCAGTGAGTGGCATTTTGATCACTGAGTGCATGTTATCAGTGACAGCAGTGCAGATACAGTAGTAGACTAGACTGCAGTGTACAGTGTACAATAGGGTGGGCCCTTGCCATTGGAAGGGGACGGCCTAGAATGTTCGGTCAGGCTAGAACCCTGATTGGGTGGGCACACAGCAGCAAGATGTGTTGAAACTACGTGGGAATTACAGACCAGGTCAGAGTAATTCCCATTTTTGCAAGCATATTTCATGGGGTTTAGAATAGACCTCGATGCCCTTTGATTGCCAAGCACCTGAATTATGACTATTTTTGTGCTGATCCTTCCGGATCTGTTCTGGATGTTGCTGATTTGATCATGATGTGTGCAAGCACCACTATCCAGGATTGTGCTAGGATGACAGAGATATGTTTATAGTTCGATGAAGTGATGTCAACAGCTTGAGTTGGTGACAATATGATTGAACAGCGGAAATGTAAGATATCCTACCAGAATGTCAACATGCACGTGGTAATCGAATAATAGCACGTCCCCTCTACAAGGACGCCTTTTGTTGCCTAGTCCATTGATGTCTACAAGAACCCCGTTGTGAGCATACACTCACAGCACACACTCAAAACACATTCACTGCAATGGCCACACTCTCCTAGATCTAGCTTTGGACTCTGACTTGCTCCGTCTCAGGCTTAAGCTGCTGAAGCTTTTGAGACTAGCTTCCTTTTATACATAAGTCACATGGCCTCTCATAAACATGTACAATGCTCAAGAAGCAGCTTTAAACATAACTCATGTTCATGAGCTCTTCCATCTCAATGAGCGAGCCACCGGGCGGCAATTTTGTAGAGCCTAGGTTAAAAGGCATCTCGTCTCCGCTCACTCAACGTCCATGGTAGCCAATCGACCATGCAGGCCATGAGCATCCGCCCTGCATGCTTCCCATCATTGCTACCCATGCCCATGTGGCTCCACCCCTCCAAGAGCTGCATGGCATGCTTGAGCTGCATGCAGGTGATCAAGCCTTCAGCTGATGTGGCGGCAGATGGCGGCAGGTGCCGGCCTCAGGTGCCACGCCCGGCTGGCGGCTGCTCTGACGGCGCCGTTCCCTCCCCCGGCCCAGAGAAGCGGTAGCGCACCTCCTCCTCGTCATGCATGCCGAAGGTCTCCTCGTCCTCTTCAGGCGCAAAATCTCTCATCACCACTTGCACCCACAGAGAGCCTCAAGCGCTCGCATGCATGCACCAGGATGCATCACTGGTCTTGCAACAACATGCGTGAGACATGCATAAGGAGGCATTCAAGCAAATGCCAGACTCCAGGAATGCAACTGATGCATAACATGCAGCGTGCTTCCGAACAGTAGAATCGGAACAGAGCACTTCAATCTTGATGAATTGTGCTGCCCGACTCACCTTCCTCTTACAATGGCATTGCTATCACAAAAGTTGGTGAAAATAGTGATTTTACCTAGGATTAGGTACTCAAAATAGCTGAGGAATACTGGAATACGCTGCCACTGGCTTGCAGAAGTTTTTCCAAAAAGACACACCTCATGTAAGAGCCTGATTTGTCCTTCGGCATGGCCGGTAAGCAACAGCTACAGAAAAGTCCCCTGCTCCCTAACTCGACGGCACTATAGGAATTCTGAGCCACTATCCGCAAGAGTCGTTTTTGCTGACTAGTCCCTTTGCTGACTAATTGCCCCGCGACGTCTTCTTACTTTCTAGGATATTGTACACATGTACGCATCACCAGCACAACCAAAGACTTGCATGCATTGCCATCCAGTCCGCCTGCAGCGTATCGGCTCGAGGAAGGATAGCCGCCCAGTCACCCGGTACTACTGTGCTGCAGTACAGTAATAATGGGGTGTGCAGATGGTCTTCGTGCTCTGACACCTACGTGGTGTGTCAGTCACCATCAAGTGGGGGAGGTTCAAGCCTCACTGTGAGCCAGGGCCACCCTGTCCAGCGCCTCTGCCTCCCTGTTGTGCCACACCAGCAGCATGAACAGGAACAGCAGCTGCAGAGCCGCGCTCATATACCCAAATGCCACCCTGCACCACAGCAATGAGCAGAGTCAAATAACTGCCAAATCACTGACGGCGACCAGACACAAATGGGAGATCTTGGTCTGAAGACGGACTGAAGGACTGCCCATTAAGACCAATGAGCCTCAGGTGGCTCCCACAGGTCTCTTAAATGTGACGATAGTAATTGTCAAGTCAGGGAGTCAGGAATATCTCTTGCTAAGTCAAGGGTTGCTTCAGTCTTGCGGCCTGCAGAGCGCGGGACAGCTGACATAATCCCTGACACTATCATTACCCGCTGTTGCTGCCAAAGACAAGGTGCGTCTGCAGACAAGCAGCAGGCGAATGCTGCCACATATCCTCCCCTTGTTGGACTTGCCGGATCAAAGCATAGGCCTCATGTGGGCACGGTGCTCCTTGTTCATGCTTGCCTTTGCCGGCTGGGCATTGGTATGACAGGGCCCTTTTCCCATGCAAATTTTAGACATGCAGCAGATGTGCAAACCCAGGCATGCATGGTGATGATGGGGGCAGTGAGCTTACGTGGCCATGAGGAGGACCCTGTTGAAGTGGGCGTGGTAGTCCCTGACCCAGTGACTCATGGCAGGCTGAAAGCTGAGGAACTGCAGGCACACAGAGTTATCGTGTTACAGCAGCGCATCATGATCTCTATCTTTAGAATGATTGGTCTTCAGCTGTGAGGTGCCCATTTCCACTTAATCAGGAAAGCGTTCTGCCCAGTCAGAAGGCCGCCATAGCAGGTCCCTCAAGAGAGTGGGAAAGCTGACGACAAGCACAGGCAGGCTAAGCATGGCACTGGCTTAGCGTGGCATACCTGGGTGGCGATGTTGATCATGTGCAGAGCTGCAAACAGGCTGGTGGCCACCATTATGCCCTTGCCATAGCTGGAGCGAGGGTGCGACAGCGCACGCCTGCTGAAGATCATGTAGCGGATGGCAAACGCCTGTCATGGCAGAACCAAACAGCTGAAGTCAAAGGATTAAACGCAGGTGTAAAGGACACCAGAGCTCGCAATTCTGTCATGAAACTTACATATAGCATATTTCAACAAAATCAAGTGACTCACCACAGAGAGTACGACCAATATGAGGGCAAAGAAGGCATTGACAGCTGCACCATCAAACAGCCATTCCCAGGTGTTTTTGTCTGATCCTGCCGGGAAGGTGAAGCTGGTATCATCCATCATCTTCCTGAAGCTCTGCAAGTACATCCAAGGCGCGCATCAGAGCATATGTGACCTCTGTTAGGGATAGGACTTGATACCTGCAACCCTAATGAAGCATCCGACAAGTCCAAAAGAAGTAGCACAGGGTGGTAAATTCACACAAGGATGGAAATATCAGATGAAGTGAATAAGGTTAAATGATAATTAAACCACCAAATAAGAACATCGTCTCCTTACCGAGAAAGTTGCAAAGCAGAGGACGGCAAATATTCCATTGAAGAGTGTGTTGAATGCAAACACTGCCCACACCCATGGCTTGAAAGTGTCTGGCTCAGCCATTTTCTGCGACCTTCTTGGCGTTTTGAACAAACTTGATGAAGTGGCCAGGTTGACGCTAGCTGCAAGCTACAGATGCCACAAATATAGAAACAGACACCAGGCCAACACCTTCTGCTTTCCCCGTCACTTCAGCGTTGATTCAATATCTTCTTCTATTTTGCCGAATCAACGATGTCTTTGTTTGTTTGCGGTGTACAGCAGAAGTCCAAGAATTCTCCCTCAGTGGCTTCCTTCCAGCTGCGCAGCAGCATGCCATGCTGACATGGACTCCCCGCACCTGATCTGGATTCGAGACGAGGCATGAAGTCAACCTCCAAACTGTTGCAAATTGAATTGATTGTAGTTAAGATCTCCTATCGTGGATGTCGATTTGGGCGGACGAGAATTTTGTGGCTGCTATTTGCCGCAGATCAAGTCGGACATCTTGACAGATCTGTTTAAGTTGTTTGCATACTGACTACCGTTTCTTCAATAGCAATACAAAGAAAAGTCACTGATTCTGCTGTATCATAAGGGCATCAAATCCGCGGCATAAGGTTGAAAATATGTTCAAGAAGAATGTATCTATTCAGACTGCACGGCCGATCTCGGGAAAGGTATTGTTCCAGAAGAAGATGTAGCCTGCCTAATGACCATGCTGTGTAATATCCGTCTGAAGATCTTGTTTCATGGATTGAGAGGAACTGACTCCACCTGCATATCTCTCACACACAGGACGTGAAGGAACTGAAAAGGAAAATCAAGATTTCCTTCCCTGACCTGTCTGAAGAGGACGTAGACCAGTTCTTCCCTGCAAAGGTGAGCTCTGCACACTCTTCTCCGCGCCAGACCGCTCCTTTGGATCTTGTTGTCCGCAAAATTCTGTGACTTGAAGATGTTTGATTCTGCTGCTCTTTTCTGGCCCAGGCGGAAGTTCAGGTGGTGAAGCTGAAGAATAGGACGATTGCATACACATGCGGCAATGCCAATCCGCTCTTCTTCGATCCAGACGGCCGCGGCGACCTGCTGGTGCCCACAGTCTATGCGCTGTGCAAATGCCCTCACATCCTCGAGACCCTGTACACCTACAGTGAAGTTTCGCCAAAGGTGGGGATACTAACCTCAAAATGCCTTTCAACTTCTGCAGAGGCATTCCTGTTCCTTCATAGTAACACCGGCTGACGGGGACGGGTATAAATAGTGAGCAGTGTGCCCATGGTTGAAAGGGTCTTACTTGGGTATAGCGAGGCCAACAAGGGGTAGGAGATTCTGCCAGCCTTTAAGTGAACCTTGTCTGCAGACGCACCTTGCCTCTTGGCAGGACAAGCTTGCTATACAAGTGACAAATGGCGCATTGAAAGGATAATGCAATCCTGTGCAGGTGCTGGGAGGAGCTGATCTGTTCCTGCAAGGCCTGATTGTCCCACAGGGAGGACTAGGGGACTTCAGCGCAGGGGATCTGCGCGCAGTATCAGTTCCAGGGAACCCATTTCCCTTTGCAGTGGGGACCATGGAAGTGGGCAGCAGTGAGGTGGCCAGGACCGGGCTGAAGGGCAAGGGGCTGAAGCTGCTGCACTTCTTTGGGGATCAGCTGTGGGGCCTCGGGGACAAAGCCTCCCCAGATCCCAGCTTCACCCCGACTCGCATCTTCCCCGTGAAGGTAAAGCGTAAAGCATGCTCATCTGCTGCTTTCAGCATGTCCTTCTGATGCAGGACAGCTCCATGACTGGGCGCCTTTCAGACTGTCCCATTTCTCTGCCAGGGGAGTGATCAGAGAATGAGGGATATACGGTATCATGGAAAAGTGAGAAGTTTCTTGGTGCAGGCATCGGATGATACTGGATCTGAGGTGGAGATCGCACAGGGCGTGCAGACAATGTCTGTTTCGGCCCAAAACGAATCCGTCTCTGAGCATCCCAGTACCAGTCAGGATGCGGAAGGATCCAATAAGCCGTACGAGCCTTCTGCGGATGGAGATGACAATCATGCACAGGAGAGCACTGCACCTATGGCACCTTCACGTGCTATACCGGATAATCCAGACGCTTTGATAGAGGTAATCACAATGAAAAAGAGCAGAACTGAGGAGGAGCCAAGCTTCTGATTAAATGGAAAAACACAAGAGGGTTGGCATTGATATGATGTTCTTCTGTGGTGTCCTGCAGGAGTGCCTCTTGCATGGTTTGCACTCAGTGGCAGACGAGGATTTGCCCATGCTTACTAGCGACTTCTCTTCCAAGCACATGCTGCCCGCAAAGGCTGACGGTACTGCTTTCCACAGTACTTGTCCCAATTCAAGTTGGATTGCGTCGAAGTCGGATGTGCTTTAGGAATACGTTGCACCACATCCACAATGCAAGCTTGCATGCAGCCATCGCCAATGAAATGTCCTCTTTTAAAGCTTTCCAAAGACGCCTTCAAAAAAAATCAGATCCAATATTCCTGGAGACAGAAAATTATTTTTCGACCCCTTTTTGAGATAATCAATACAAAGTCTGTCTTCCATCTTCCAAAAACTGACATGCATGGTGGGCCATGCTGATGCAGGAGCAAACATAGACATCAAGAAATCCTCCTACAAGAAGCTCTCGAAGCTGCTCTCAACTTTTGAGAAGAAGGTGAGCCCGGTCATCCGCTCTGAGGCATCTGCTTCCTGCAAATGCCCCTTTGCTATATCTGATACAGCCAGAAGTACTCAAGCATTATGCTTCTTGCAGGGACTACTAACCACAAAGGTGATCCACAAGCAGGACAAGCTGACAGCTGTCAATCGCAGCCATGAGCTGTACACTGATTATTCCCCCAGGCAGCAGGCAGCTGCCAGCAACTCCTCTGCAGCTTCCACCAGCGGCAGCAAAATCACTGTGACATATTCTTACAGGTCAGCCATTCTTGCTCCTTACCATCCATCTCGAAAGGACATGCAGAGAACCAGTGCGGTAACAACACACGCAGAACTAATAACTGTAACAGTCTCATCCACCTGGTGTTCGTGTTTCTGTGGTGTGTGTGTAGAATTGATGCTCTCATGCCCTTTCGACACAGTGGGTGTTTTGCTGCTGCAGGGTGCCGACATCTCTGCGGCCGATCTTTGACTCGGATGCTGACAAGGACACTCTGTACAGCGAGGAGAGAGTGTGTGCTCTGCTGAAGGCATATGCTGAGAGAGAGGGCCTAGGAGCTGGGCAGGGAGCCATCAAGTTAGACAAGTACGCTCCGCCATCCCAGCAAGACAAGCGCTGCCATCTGTGCATTTCAAGACGTAAAAATAGCAACCTTAGAATGTCAATGTTGAAATCTATAATTTCACCCCTTGTTTGGCAGTCTCTGTTGAAACTCGTGACGTTTACCTGCGCCAATGGTGGCCGCCTCGATCCGTTTCATCAACTTCTGTCTGCCTTTTGCTGCCTGATCTTATCATGGCGTGCTCTCGTGTGCGAGCTCTTTGAGAAAGCAGAGCTGCTGTAATGCGCAGTGAAAATGGTCATGGGAGTTCTCTTGCTGCATCATATGTTATTGGCTGTGAGATTGTTACACTAATATGAAGCTGCTGCATGTAGAGAAAGGCTTCATCCCGAGCCATGCATGCACGCTACCATGATCTGTTTCGTTCATGTTTTGTGCTGCACAGTTTGGGAGTTGCTATCTTGCTGCGCGCAGGTTGCTGGTGGGCCACCTGTTCAACAAGAAGGAGCCGCAGCAGGAGGGTGAGACCCACCCTTTTGAGGACACCATGCGCCGGCTGCTGGGCAAATTGGCGCTTTTCCACACCATGGCCCGATCCTCCCCAGAGGCAAGCCTCACCCTCTCATGCGCAGCAATGTACATAATCACAAACAGATCTTTGCATGCCTGCCTTTCCTACCAGGTGTCTTTAGCAGGTCAAGCATGCACCTTGGGGTACAGTGCAGTGATTGTCATCTATTTGAGGAGCCTGGTGCTAGGTCCACATGTGGCCAATGTTGCATCCCCTCAGATATGCAGATGGCTGAGAGAGCAAGACTACCCTTTTTTAGTGCATCTACCATGGGAAGATGTCCCAAAGCCAGAACGTGTTTCATCAGCTCACACATACTTGCACAATTCTTGGCTGAACTTCCCTTGCAGAGCCTCTTGTTTCCACATACAGCCAGTCGGCCATGGTTCCTTGTCTGATGGAATATCCAACCTCAGCAGCTGAGAGGAGTTGCGGTGGGCTTGCAGGGGGTGGTTGAGGTGGTGAAAAAGGGGTCCGTGAAGAACATCACCATGAGCATGGAGGACCGCATGGGGGGCAGGAAGCACGTGACTCACCTGATGCACGTTGAGTCATTCGGTTTGAATGCGGACGAGCTCGGAGCGGCTCTGCAGCGCAAGTTCAAGACTTCCTGCAGCGTTGCCAAGCTGCCTGGAAAGACAGAGACCGGCAAGGAGATATCACTGCAGGGGAACTTGCTACAGGTGGGGCTTTATATCTTGATTTGCTGTGAACTATCACAGAGTGTGCTGTGAAAGGAAACCACATGCAGCACTTTTTCCCCTCTGCGGACATGTATTTCACAGGGCTTGTTGCAGAATGCTCAATCTGTGACAGAGTGCTTCATGCATGGTAATGTCTTGCATCCACTAAAGAGTAAGCGAGCTTTTTATTGTACTCATAGACTCTGCCATTCTTTGCTGCAGGAGATTCCGAAGTATCTAAAGGAGGAGTATGGCATTGAGGGGCAGTACATTGACATTAAGAAGAGGGGCTCCTAGGATGGCCTAGGCCGGCATGAAGTGCATGACAATCCAGGCCTCAGGAATGATCGAATTGTAGCTTGTAGTAGACGTCTGCAAAGCTCGCGCAAATGTACTCGTCTGCAGGCATGCCGGATGCAGATGCAGACGCAGATGAGTGGACGATTTTATCATAATTATAAGGTTTGGACAGAGGATCCTGCAGTGAAAGACAGCGGTTGCAAGCTTGGGAGCAGATTGCATGGAGCCAACTCGTCAGCTCACGTGAGCTAGCTGCCTTACATGCAGCCCAAAGTTACATGCGGATGCAGTGAATAGAACAGGTCACCATCTGCATGGTGCCATCTGCATGCATGCATGAATGAATGCAGGACTTCGTGAAATTCATGCATGGTGCAAACGGCAAACCGTTTTGCCGCTGTGATGTAGGCGCGGTACATGTATACAGGCCTTGCCAAGGCCATCCTGTTCCCGATCGGTCTTCTTCTCTGGCACCCAAATCAAACGGCCCCCTCCTGCGTGTTCAGGAAGTTGGTGAATCCGGGGTACGCCCACACGGTTTGCCTTTGAGGATTGAAGCAGCAATTGGATCATCCTCACGTTGCGAATCGACGATATTCACCAGTAAGCTTTTTGAAGCTGGTGTATCACATCTTCTGCGTGGAGGATAGGAATTCAGATGTCGTCCGGCTCGCTTCGCAGCACAGGCGGGCTCTCATTGCCAGGTTCAGTATGGGAAATAATTGCCACCAACATGCCCCTGCATGAGTGGGCCAAAGCATCTGGCACTTGTCGTGCAACACAAGCTGTGAGATTGGCCGTCATCGAAGTCCCGCGCGACTGGTCTGCTGCTGGTGATCTCTTCAGCCCTATTTTCTTTTGGATGTTTGTCTCTTCAACCACCTCGAAAGGGTCCTTCTGCTCAATGCAGGACACCAGATGGCCAAACCTGCATTTCTTCACATCAGTGGTCCATGAAGGATACGAGCAGCAGACATCCTTGTCTTGCACGGTTGGCCAGTGTTCTCGCCAGCATTGCTAAGCTGTTGCAGCTGCGCAGGCTGTCAATGGATAAGCAAGAGGCTGAGAGGTGTCCGAGTGCTGCGCATTCACGGGGACACTGCGGCACAGGCTACCTGCTCTGAAGTACAGGGATGCCCAGCACTACCATGCTTGCAGCAGCTCGAGGTCTGTTCAGGACTTAAAGATGAAGACACTTGCTTGGCGCAGCTCGCCTGGCTACTCGCACATGCAAGGAAGCTCCGTGTTCTGTCGGCTAAGATCGGCAGGGTCCCATGGTTTCCACCACTGGTCCACCTCGAGCACATAATCTTAACACTTGGGCTTCAAGCAGAATATGGCCGGGAAGATGTGGGCAAGGTATTTGATGCCTTATCACATGCACCTAGTCTGTGCACCATTGATCTATGGGCGCATCCGCCAGTCGTTTTGGAGGTCCCTCTTTCGCTTGAAAACATGCCTCGGTTGCACAGTGTTGCCTTGCGTCATATCTCGGTGGCGAGCTTGAGCTTGCCCGATGGGTGTGGACTCCATCTGGCTTCACATGATGATGATTCTTTGGCACATCAAGTCTGGCTGGCAGTGCTTCCCAATGTCCGATCTATCCGTTGCGTGGACTATTCTCATGAGTACCCCGGGGGTTTGTGGCAAATCCCAAACCTGATGCTTGAGGCTCAGAATCTGAGGACACTTGAAGTGTGCGTTGTCAATTTAGACACCAAAATTGGCAGAGCAGGGGAACCCCTGTCTCTCAAGGAGCTTGCTCATCTTGAGAACCTCTATATTGTAGCAGATTATGTGTGTGTTACCATTCCCCAAAAGGTCGCTTGGAAGTGGGCAATGTTTAGTAGCGATGAAGAACTGAGTCTGTCTTTCAATGATGTGGCTGCATTCGCAAGGGATGTTTCATACTTTCACATCAAGTATCAGACCTTGATCATGAAAGACGATTGGCTGCCCAAAATGTGTGCTGCACTTGGGAAGCGCAACATTCCATTTCATTCTGCTGGAAGAAACATCAACCAAAAGCAAGAAAAGTATGTATTTAGTTATCGGGGCCCTTCCTATGACAAGGCCTCCACGCCTGGATGTTTTTGCTTCTGCGGAGCTTGTCTGGCTTGTGTATCAAGGGCTTGAGTGCAATGTTGCAACATGCTGTGAGCATCGATGCGTATGCGTACCAGCATGACAAGATGCAACCCAGCGCGTGTCCCGTGTCTTTATGATAACAACTTTTGGTCCAATACTTTGTAAACCTGAATTCGTCAACAAAAAATCTCGAGCAGTATCTGGGGCCGCCATGGCCCCTGGCCAGTGCAGCTGCAGCTGTTGCATGCGGCCTGTGCAAGTGTGCGTACACGCGCCAACTGCACTGCATTCTCACTATAGTAGCTACACCTAGCATGCATGGCAAAGTATTATTATAATTAGTCATATATTGGAATGCATGGCACACTGCCATTGTCCATGCTTGCCCCCTCACAAATTACACGATTGAATTAAATCTGCCACTTGAAAATCAAGCTTCCGGTGACCACTAATTTTAAAAGATTATAGCAAGTCGCTCACAGGTTACTCAGCATGCACCGCCGCAGCCATCATCACTTTGCTTGCCACTCAGTGAGGCCCCCATGTAGCTCAGTATCAGCTGAATCGGTGTGCATCGACCGGGTCTACATCTTGGAGCGCCGGTGTGCGAGCTCCAGCTTGGCGATGGAGATGAGGTGGACGTCGTCGGGGCCGTCGGCGATGCGCAAAGTGCGCGCTCCGGCCCATAGCCGCGCCAAGGGAACGTCCTCGGAGACGCCCGCGCCGCCGTGCGCCTGAATCGCCGCGTCCAGGACCGCCAGCACTGTGGAGGGCGCCAGCACCTTTGCCGCCGCGATCTTGCCTCGCGCCTGCAGTACAAAGTATGTCGTTCAGGACTCTACAAAAAAAGCCTCTTCAAAGAATAACTTAGCACCTTGCGGCTGCATTCTTGCCGCGCGCATGCGGCACAAGATATCCCACTTCACAAGACATTTGATGGTAGTTAAGACGCCCTGATGGAGCCTGGGGAACGTTTCAGGAGACAGAGGTGAGTCACGCCAGGGCATGACTGTCCTGGCAATCATGACCTTTCCGATTGGCCTATGTGAATCAAATTTGTTCAGCTTAGGTGTCTGCCCATAATATCAGGAGCAAAAGAGCCCTGCACTTCAGAGGGGCAGTCTCTGGGCCTTCCTCTGCCGTTTCCTTTGTAATCTTGAAGAAAACGGCCAGGAGAATCCAAGCTATTGTCCCTCAAGAACAAGTCCGAAGCTTGGTTGCCAAACACCTAACTGCTGGAAGCAGTGTGCTGTTCCCAGCTGCAAATCAGAGGATTAGAGGGACCAGGAAATCTGTGCACCTGGACCTGCTCGGTGCAACGGATCAAGCAGCCCACAATCCACATGAGGGGGGCCACCCTCCGTAGACTCAAGAAGCGCTCGCACTGCTTCGTGTGACTTGCATTTCCATACTACGTCCGCATTCCTACACACTGGTCTAAGAGCGGGGAGCTCTTAAGATTCACTCTGTATGATTAGCAGGGCGGAAGGATTTAGCCGGTTTGGGGTTGGAAACCCAACCCCACAACCACATCAATCCCTCAGCCAGGCTTGAAAAATTGCTTAATCTCCAGATGGGGGTTGAGCCCCCTAGAAGCCTGCCCAAGAAGGGGTGGCGATTGGCCACCATAGAAAGCATGCAGAAAGCTTGCCTGCTTGTTGCCGAGGCGGTCGAGGGCGTGGGCGGCGTCGAGCACGGTGAGTCTGGCAGCGTCGAGGTCGATGCGGGCGCGCGCGAGGCGCTGCTGGAAGCCGCCGTGGTCGGCCATGCGCCGGCGGAACACCGTGCGGCCCAGCGCCCTCTCCCCCATCAGCTCCAGCGCCCGCTCGCCCATGCCTGCAGACACAGTGGTGCTCATTTGTCAGCGGGAGGGCATGCTGACCTGACAACTCTTGGTGCATTGGTGAGCCGATACAGACAGAATGCAAGATATCCACGGCGAGCGCCAAGAAGAGGATGCAGGGCCGCCTAGCGCTGTTGCCCACCGATTCACATCGTCGGAAATATATCTGTCACGCTTGACGAGAACAGATGCGTTGGTTCCATGATGTGTTACAGCTTGGGACCTCTCGGGCCTTGACAGAGCAGGGCCGCGCTGCGCAGCTGTTGGCATATAGGATATCAGTCTTGAGGCTGTGGTCAGGGGTTGACAGAACGCACCGATGGCGCGCATGCAGTGGTGCAGGCGACCGGGGCCGAGGCGTCCCTGCGCGATCTCAAAGCCGCGCCCCTCGCCCAGCAGCATGTTGCTCGCAGGCACCCTCACATCCTGGGCACACGCGCACACATACGTATTCAAGACAGGCGTGAGTGCACAGATGAAGGACAGCGAAAATCTATGACTCTCAGCCGCTGGCACGCCTTTACGTCCAGCTCAGCAGCTAAAGCTGTGTCTTGCTTTTCGGACACAGGACGTCCCATTCACAGACAAAGAACATTCGCCTCTGCAGTGAGAAGAGGGTCACAAGACATGGCATGCAAGTTCCGGCCTGCAATCCTAGTTGCCTTGGGCCTGTACCAACCACCGGAAGCCACAGTGGCTGCAAGAGGAGAAGCCGATATGCTCAGCATGTAACGCTGCCTCACGATCTCTCATGCGCGGTCTTGCACCGAAACAGGCTCATTCGCGAGCAAGAGGCACCCAAAGGAAGCTTCTCAAGCGAGTATATCAAGAGGAGAGACACATCCTTCACACCTGGAATAAAACCTCTGCATGGCCATGGGGGGCGTCGTCGTAGCCAAACACAGTCAGCGGCCGAACGATCTTCACTCCCTTGGAGTCCATGGGGACCAGGATCATGGACTGCTGCTTGTGCGTGGGGGCGGACGGGTCGGTCTTGCCCATGAAGATGCAGATCTGGCAACGGGGATCCATTGCCCCGCTGGCCCACCACTTGTGCCCGTTCAGAACATACTCCCTGCCCTCCCTGCGCATACAGTAAACCAGCTACTCATGTGTAAGTGAGGCAGGGCCTCTACTGTTTTGATGGTGACAGCCCAGCAATACAGTGCGATCTTGATGCAGGTACCTTTGGCACCGATAGATGCATCTTCCAGCAACACAGGAGGACAAAGCTTCTCCTTTTGGCACGGTCACACTTGGCAAGGCAAGCAGGAGGCAACGTAAGGACAATGAGGAACTAAACAGGAGGAACCTGTGCATTTGTAAAGGTCAGAATGCTCCTGATACACACGGATGGTTGTGCATGCAATGGATTTCAGCCAGTAAGCTGCCGCACCGCTTGATGGATGACTGGATGTTGGTTGCATCGGAGGAGGCGACCTCGGGCTCCGTCATGGCAAAGCAGCTGCGGATCTCGCCCCTCAGCAGCGGCAGCAGCCAGCGCCTCTTCTGCTCCAGGCTCCCATACCTGCCAAGGCAAAGTCCAACATTGCTTTGACGCCAAAGCCCAATATCAACATCTACTAAGTCTGTGTGTCTTGCGTGGCAAATTTCTGAATGGGTGACAAAGGCCGTTGAGGCCTGGCTTGCATGAGAGATGCCACTTGTCTTGGGCACAAACTGCATGTCACTTGTGACCACGCCGATGACTGACTAGCATGAGAGAGCTGCGTCAGAGTGCTGTGACATCTTGGGACCAGAATTCGTCCCTAGAAAATTGACATGAAGTACTAGAACGGTGTCTGGTGGTGCCAAGGGAGGATCAACACCTGGCCAGGACCTCCATGTTGCCGGTGTCCGGTGCAGAGCAGTTGAACACCTCCGACGCAAACACGATTCGCCCCATCTCCTCACTCAGGAATGCATACTCCTTCACGCAGCAGTCAGTGCCTTGCTTTGTATTATCAGAAGACGCAGTCAGAATAGTAGCTGGCGTTAGCGGTCTCTTTGTGTATTCAGCACCCTCTTGAACACCGCATCTTCGCCTTTGGCTGCTTGATCGTGCGTAGGCATGCTGCACACGAGCAGCCAGCAAAAGGAAGGCACATTTTTCAATAAACCTCATCACATCCCCGATGACATTGCAATGCCTGGCAGCTGCAGTGGCATAAGCCAAAAGAGGAAAGGATGTACGCTCACCAGATTGCTGAGCCCGGCACCAAGCAGGAGGGTATCCTGCTCATGCACAGGCAGGGCCGGCCGGATGTTGGCGGCCAAGTCAGGCGATATCCAAAGATTCCACAGTCCCTCTGCCTTCGCCTTGGCCTTCATCTCTTCCATCAATGGGTGCACTGTCCACCGCTGGTCGGACGCCGCCAGCTCCTGCTTTAAAAAAAATCATCAGTCATTAGAACATTGTGATGTTTTGTGCACACTGCCCTCTAGATGGTGCTTCCAGGTGATAGAGGACATTGTAATATGAGGAGATCAGATGTGTGCATATATTCCAGAGCTGTCACGAGTCTAGCAACGCATAGGAATATAGCCATGTGATGCAAAAATTGGATTGCATGCTAAGCCAGATGCAGCAGATCCTCTCTGGGTGGTGACCAAAGTAGGATGCGGGCGAGCGGCACCTCGAGCTTGGGCTCTGCAGGGTACACGTGCTTGCGCATGAACGCCCGCACTCGCTCGCGCAACTCGGCGACGTGCGGCGGAGGCTCAAAGCCAGCTGCAGCCACTGCGTCCCGCCCTGCACATCCACAAATGACGGATCCTTTGCTGCACAGCCCTGGGACCAAATCTTTGCAGTAGGCCTGCGCGCTGCATGTGCAGATCATGTGGGCTCTCATGCCCGCCACAGAAATTTTGGAAATGAATATATTGCAGGGTAAAGAGTATACGTGAAGTGCCCACAAAGAAGCTCTCACCAGGAGTACCTGATCTGGGGGGCATCGATCGGGCGCAGAGGACCTCAGTGCTGGTTTCCTGCACGGGGCCGCTGGACACCGCGGCAGCCGCGGCTCGGGCGCGCGTCCGGTAGCGCCGCTGCCCGCCGGCCGCCTGCCCGCCGCCCCTGGCACACACCGCACAAGACAGCCTTACAACAATTTCCCTTTGGAACTCCAGAGACTCTAAACCCTGCTATCACGTTCCATAAGCAAAATTTTTGTAGATACGTCCGTGGGCCAAGCAACTGCAAACAAGATCCCGAACTCTGCTTTTTTTTCCCCTGGCCATTTGTGCACATCGCCACAGCATCGGCAGCACTCAAGCGCACTTTCTCAGCATCTGCCTGGCAAGGTGTTGCTTCAAAATTAATTATCCAAAGTCTTGCTCACAAACCTGCCCGAGCTGCCAGCCGGGCCGCCACGCGCGCAGAGCGCCTCGGCCTCCGGGACCGCGGTAGCCGTCGCCGAGGCGGCTGCTCGGCCGGCGGAGGCGGCTATTATGTCCAGAGCGCGCTGCGCTATGTACTGCACAACACTGTCTGCCCCAACCTGCGACGCATGCACCCATCTATTACACTTTTGGCAAAATGTGCTGACTGTGCATGGAGTAGTTGACTTTCACTTACATCTGCTGTCCTTCAGATAGAGAACTGGCATCTAGTCTAAAATAAGGCAGAGCTGCATGGGAATCCATGCACGCACAGAGGTTGAAGCAGGGCACAACAGGGCAAAGCACGGCATCGCACGGCGTAGGCAGGGCAGTGAGGTTGACAAGGGGAGCGTACCGCAGCGGCGCGATCGGATGAGGCGTTCCCGAGCTTGGCGCGGGCGCCGACGCCGGCCAGAATGGCGGCTGCGCGGAAGAGCGACAGCGCCATGAAGAATGACCACACCTCGGCGGTGGGCAGCGCTATGCCCCGTGCGCTGCAGTAAGCCGCAATGTACTTGCTCTCGGTAGGCACCCCTGCACAGTGCAGACCGCAGATTAATCGTGATCAGTCAATCAGTATCATGATTATATAAAGACCACACAGAGAAAGCAAAATCCTTCAACGCCGCAAAGATTCATCACTGTAAGTTTCCAGGTGTCAATCTGAATAATCCCGTACTTTGCGGGGCGCAGAAGGCACACACTGCTGTGCAAAGAGCTGCCATAGCTTTTACCAAAAAATGCACACACAAGAGATTGCTGCATGGGATACGCACAGAATCAAAAGCCTCTTCCCCGCATGTGAATCCCGCATCAGGCCCAATTGCCGGCCAGGGAGGGAAGGGGAATAAGTGCGCACCAGGGGGCAACGGGTGGGGCAGGGAGGGCAGGGCTTCGATGCCGGCGGGGAGATGGTAGGGCATGGCGCTGTAGGCCAGGTCAGCGAAGGGGTGGCCCAGCGTGCACAGCTCCCAATCCAGCACTGCCAGCACACGCCCAGCCGCTCTGGGGTCAACCACCAGGTTGTCCAGCCTGCATTGTACAGATAGTGCAATGATGCCAGGACTCTTCATGCAGTGCAGTGATGCTTGGACTGCCAGGAAAGAGGCTGTCCTCTGGAACTGCATGGACAAGGCGAGACCTGCCTTCATTGCACGGTCCTGCAGAGTTCCATTTGTTCTGGAAGATCCAGGTCCCAGACAACGTAGGGCTGCCAACTGGGCATGACTGGCGCCAAGGGCAAGCTAACCATGGAATGATGCTGCTCAGAACCAAACAACCATCTCCTTGCGGCAGTCACGGGCATCACCTGAAGTCGCCGTGGGAGATTCGCGTGGCGGAGGGATCGCCGTCTTCTGGGGGGATGTGGGCCTCCAGCCAGGAGATGAGCGCTGCCATCTGCGGCAATGGCGGCCCCGTCAGCTGCGAGCGGTACTGCTGCGCCCACCTCCATACCTGCAAGCATATTCTAGCTGATTATTACGCAATAACGCCAGCCCTACAATTGTCAACCATCTTGCACACAGGTCATGATGTTGCACCACAACGTGTGTGCATGGCATCCTGCTCACTAGGACCTTATCTCGCTGGTGCTTGCCTCACGGATGTCCCAAGCCAGACACCTTGCAACGACTACAGCGTATTGGCGACAGAATTCTAACAATACCAGCTTCAGCTAGCAAGCCAGCCAGCAGTATAACCCCCACAGACTAATTCAGATGCTCCACGTGTCCTGCTTCTAATCAATCAAAAAGTACAACAGAAGGAGAATCCACCAGTGTGTGTGGAGCATCTATCCACAAGTGCACTAGCCCAGCAAGCTCTTGATGACAACAGTCGACAACGCAAATGCACCTGGCGTTTGCAGTAGCCACTGGAGCGGCCGAAGCGGCTCAGGCCGACGGCGGTCGGCTGCACAGAATGCAGCGATGCTAGCGTGGCAGCCATAGCAGCGTAGGTGGCTGCGCGCTCCTCGGGCGCTAGCTCTGGGCAGCTGGGATCCGTGAAGATGCGGCCCTGTTTGGTGCCAAGCCATCTTTCATCATCAGCTTATGTTGCCCACGGAAAGAGGCCCTTGCAACTGACTGTTGCGATGCACAGCAGGTGTGAGTGCTAGCGGGTCAATGCACACACGACCATGCTCTTACATCAACTGATGCTGCCCCCCGAGAGAGCGTCTTGCTTCTGACTGAGGCAATGCACAGCAAGTGTGATTGCTAGGGGGTCTATGCATATGAAACATGCCGTAAAATCAGGCTGATGCATGCCACAGCAAAAGACCCTTGCCTCCGGCTCTTGAGACAGAAAGGAATTGCACAAGCGAAGTGGTCAGGGCGCGCAGTGGGCAATGCAAGAAAGAGCATGGACTGACCTGAACATGCTGCATGACATAAAATGGGGTGCCTATAATTGCCGCATCCGTGCAGAGACACAGTGCCCTTGGGACTGGAACATTTGTGCCTCCAAGGGCCGCCATCACCTGCAGGAAAGCATCCAAATGTGTCCTACTCTGTCCAAGGTGCAAGGGCACAGATACGGAAAATTGCGCAGTGCTCCTAGAGCAAATTTTGAGAAGGACTACCTGAAATTCGCGCTCGACTGCATGCGCAGAAGAAAGCACCTTCCCAGGCGGCTTCTTTCGGAGCACATACTTTGCGCTTCCAGCCTGCATGCAACCGTCCAAGGTGAGGCGACAAGTATAACCTGGCTCGATCAGAGTGCTACTTTCTAGACAGCACTTTGCGATGTGATTTTATAAATCAGTAGAACTTCATTTGTAATTGGTATAAACCATCTTAAGGACCTATCATCTACCACTGCACAACGCCACTCACCTGAAGCAAGTAGGTGGGATTGGACTGGCCGTGCTTGAACTGCTTAATGTCAAGATGGTTCACGTCAGGAAAGCCTTCGATGGCTGATCTCAAGTAACGTAGGAGTTGTGCCTGCACAAGAAGAAGTAGTGCAGATGTCACATACTAGCCCATTAAGGTGAGGCAATGCCGAGTTCTCTAAGTCATAAGCAAACCGTTATTCGCACAATGCTACCTCTGGGAGAACATGTGCTCCGCCAACGTCTCCCACGGCGAGACCCGTGTCCAACATGTCCCTCTGTTTAGTGAAAAGATCTGTTGCCGCACTGAAAGCGATAATGTCAGACAGAGGCAAAGGATGTATGCGTCTAGAAAGTACTTGACGATCAATCTACTTCGCACCAGAGCAGCGATGCATTGCCAAGGTTTCCTTCACGGTTTCCATCATGGCTGACTGGACGGGCTTTCCTCGGCACGCCTGTTTTGGCTCTCGCCTCCGAAATGCTGTTCCGCAGCTCCGCCACCAACGACCTCTCAAACAGACGTCCTACCCACCTCACACTAGCCGACAGAAGTTGAGAAACAGCCGAGGCTGCAGATACGCCGGACGCACAGGCTGTGTTGAGGCCACTGTCGAAAGGTCAAGGGGCAGATACTCAAACACCCTATTCCGGAACAGCTAGTGTAGCCAGCGCTTTGCTGTTTGAAGCGGTTACTTTGGCTGGTTGTTGCGGGGATTCCACGGCTCGAGGGTACCGAGAGCCGCTGCTGCGAGGTCTCGAACACAGGTGCAGGCACGCTTTGAGGCCGTTGTCATAGACATGGCCCTAGCAGGCTCCGTTCTCATATCTTACGCTCGTCATCTTATTCAGAAGTTTTGCTGTCATGGGAATTTTCTGAAGTCGTTGGCAGCCTGCCAAGGGGACGGGTGGGTGGGAGAAAGGATTGAACCTTGTAGTAAGTTCAGGGTGCCTACGCCAAAAAGGCTGGCTTAACACAATTCCTAGCTTTGTGTAATATTATTCTATATTCCTAATCCGTGTGGCATTTTGATGCAGGCGAAACAAAGTTCTAGCTTGTTGGGCACATCAGCTGCAGCAGGGAACTTGGATTCCTGCTTCTAGTTGTCAGTAGGAAGGATGGCTGCGCCAAGGGCGCGGCAGCGGTTTTGTGGGCAGGTAAGGAAGCTTCATATTCTTACAGATACACAAATGGCACTCTGCTGTGGTCTCTACTCACCCTCCTTAAAGAACAAAAAGAAGTGACTCTCTGATTGCTTTGCTGCTTTGGATGGTGCAGGCCAGAAGAGCAGCAACCTTCTTGTTAGTAGCGGCACTAGCAGCGCAGCTTTCTAGCCCATGTGCAGCACATACAGGGTGAGTCGTAACACAATCTCCCTAAACTATTTTGTCCTCACCATCTTTGTCCTTGTAGAGGTGATTTCTGGCAGATATTCACATGCTCAAGCTAAAAGTCAGACTGCACTCCCAAGTGAATGGTTTCTGTCATGCTCTGCCCAGGTCAAATCTACTTAGGAGGCTTCTGCAGACAGGAACAGGGGCCAGCACAGCCTCTCAAGCTGCTGGCACTGGCGGTACTGCGGCAGCAAATAATGACTTTGTGGGCGCAGCTCAACAGACACTCAGCAGTGCTAATGCCCAGCAGGCTGGCAGCGTGGCAGCCAAACAGGCACGCCCCTTAGAACCACCCATCTTCAGGGCGAAGTCTTCCATTCTTGACCTCAGGGCTCTTAGTACTGGGCTGGATTTTCTGGAGTGGGAGTTGGGTCTGCCCAGAACATGTTCCTGTCTCATGCCCAGCAGTGCAAGGCAGGGGCCAAGTCTCTGAAATACCCAGGGTGGCGGTGAAAATATATCTGGGCCACCCTGAGAATTTCTTGAGGCCCTGTCAAGCCCTGCCTGTCTTCCTCATTGTCCTGCCTTCTAGAAGCAGGAAGACATAAGAAGTGAATCACCTTTTGCTAGATTTGCCACTTGCGGCTGTCTCAAGGATATGTCTTGTGCCGTGCAGCTCGTGTCGTCATCCACAGGCAATCTGCCAATAAATTCCAACGACCTCAACACCCTCATTCAGGGCGTGCGCGCCACCCAGGTGATCCAACCTTCCCGGCTTGCACAAACTTACTAATATTACTACACCGTACCTGCTCCTCTGGGTTGACAGCTCCCAAAAAGTGACAGCTCCTCTGCAGGCCTTAGGGATCCACGGTCCTAAGTGGTTGTGTCGGGGTGACTCATCCTCGCTCCCAATAAATGCTGGGCTCCAGGCTAGTCTATCAATACTTTGAATTGCGCGCTGTCTACCTCTAATGTGTATGTTTCTCATGATTTACATGTCTGGCAGGCATGCGCATGGTTGTGCTCAAGCCAGGCATCAGCATCACTGTCGGATGAGTGCTTGTGCTTCTGTGTATTTTGCGTTGTGCTTCGTATGGCTGAGGAGGGCAGTTATGGTGATTATTGCTCTTGCTGTGCAGACTAGCTGCATAATGTCCGCATGATTGAAGACAGCACAGGGATAATTAAGCATTCATGCTGCGCAGACGTTTGGGCAGTATCTGGCGACGCTGGGGGGGGAGGCGAGCAGGCAGACTTCTCTGCAGTCCACGCTGCAGGGGCAGAACATCGCTGGACTCTACAAGCAACAGACCACCGACGAACGCTTCAAGGTCGGCTCGCCATCTGGCTCAGTCTACTGGACCGCAGGCGCGCACTCTACACCTACTGCTTTTCGTAGTTCTTACCTGATGTGTGAAACTCGCAAGTCAAGCAGATCAGCATTAGTGGCCTCTCTCACAGGAAGTAAATATGGCCGAATGAAGTCTGACATGTGAAGATTGCATAAAAAGAGCAGCACTGGCGAGGGTTCATTGGATTACTACGTGGAACTTCAAGTGTGAGGGATGTCTGACATAGGCATTCACGCTGAAGAGCCAGCTGTGAGTGTTGGCAGTGATTGAGAAAGCATGCGGCGCGGGGGCTGCTGCATGGCGGGGACGCTTCTCCCTGTGATTTCATCATTGTGCCAAATGATATGCTGAAAAAGAGTTGTTTCTCTGCGCGCAGGCAACGAGCCGGTGCCGGCCCCAGCCCAGGCTGTGGCGGCCAATTTCGCTAACGCGCTTGCGCCGGGCGTAAACTCGCTGACTCAGTCTCTGATGGAGCTAATCCCCTCTCCGCCGCCGCCGCCACCGCCGCCCACCGTCATCCAAGCGCTCGCGCCCCTTGAGCAGGTCGGCGTAGCTCCCTTTTCTTGCATGTGCACCCATGTGGTCTGTTTGGCGTTGGCGTGCTCAGATTTTGCATGTTCCTCCCCACGACAATAGAAGGAAACATCTTGATGAACACAGGCATGTAAGTGGCCACTCCAGATTTTGATTGTCCTGAAACAATCAACCCACCTCAGAGCGTGGTTGCAAATTCGGCAGCTGGAGCCTGCTGCCAAAAGGCTGGTGTCTTTTTGGAGCACCTCAGAAGCACGCATCTTCCTCTCTGTGCATAGCTCAACAGATGTCACTCCTTTGTAGCCCGCTTTGTCTCTGAATCATGCAGCACATGATTCGGTGCAAGCTGCTGGTAGCTCAGAAGGCGCGTGCAATCCCTTTGTGGGCATAGCTTGTGCAGTGCACACAGGTCATGCACACAGGTAGCAACTGCCGGCTGCACGCAGGTCCTTACGTAGATGTTCCACACCCCTTTTGGGAGAAGCTTGGAACTGACATATTCCAAGATGCATCATCTTTCTGAAGAGAATGAGTCAGATTGGTGGCATCTTTACATGCAGGCGGCGACTCAGCGCATTGCAGACATCCTCACGACGAGCGGCCAGGCGGCGTCGGCGAACTCGGGCGCGGGAGCCGGCGCAGCGCGCACAGCGCGCGACGGGACTTCCTCCTTCCAGCAGCAGCCGGCGGCTGCGGCGCAGGACGCGCTGCCGACCGTTGCCGTGCCGACCACCTTCACGCACGATACCTGGAACGCTGAGAACTACGGGCGCAAGCTGCAGCAGGTGCAGGTACTTCTGTGTACACACACTCAAAGATATATTGTATCAAGGTTGAAGAGGAGCTTTATGCGATGGGACCGGGTCTGGGAAGTATTTGTTCAATCAAACAGAGGTTTGGTGGGCGTAGACGCCATGTTTTACATTCTACAGTAGTGTGAGCCTGTAAGGTGGACAGCAGGAGGGCTGTTGCACCCTAGCTGGGCATTCCTTCTTTCCACCACTCTCACCTGCGCTGCTTCTGGGGTCTGCACAACAGATCTGCTGCAAGGATACATTTCCAGAGGGGTCTTGCAGAAAGACATGGACATCCACTGCTGCAAATCTCATTCTCGGATGGCTCTTCCACCGCTGACATCCTGTATTGGGCGTGTGCAGTGGCAGCCAACACAGCAGCAGCAGGCGGCAGCAAGCAGCCAGCAGAACTGGGCACCTGCCAGCAACGCAGCCCAAAACCAGCAGCAGCAGGCAGTGTCACCCTCGCAGCTGTGGGCGCCCTCAACTCAGACCCAGCAGACCGCCCCTGCCAGCCAGCAGAAATGGGACAACTCCGCCTCCAACTCCAACAACTGGGCCCCCAGCGCCAATGGCCAGCAGTGGGCCCCCACAAACCAGGCCGCCGCCTCCAACTGGTCCCCCCAGCCGCAGCAGTGGTCCCCCCAGCCCCAGCAGCAGTGGGCCCCCTCAAACCAGGCTCAGCAGCAGCAGGGAACCGGCACCCAGCAGAACTGGGGCAACTCTGCATCAGCCGCTACTAACAACAACTGGTCCCCCCAGCCGCAGCAGCAGTGGTCCCCCCAGCCGCAGCAGCAGTGGTCCCCTCAGCAGCAGCAGCAGTGGTCCCCTCAGCCGCAGCAGTGGTCCCCCCAGCAGCAGTGGGCCCCCCAGGCCGCCGCCCCCACCCAGGCCACCTCCGCTGCCATGACTATCGATGGCAACCCCATCACCCCCCAGGTGAGAGATATCCCTGATTAATCATCATCGCTAATGAGCACCCCAGTCTGTTGTCAACCTCGCGTCTGCCCTGTGTGTCCCTCAGATGAGCCCACACAGGGAGAAAAATTCATCACAGGCTTCCATGTAGTTGATTTCAAGGATGGGGGTGGTTGCATGGCGAGCAAAAGGGAAGTGGGCAAAGTTAGTCAGGGAGGCCGAGCATTATATAAGGGTATCTAATGCTGCCTGCCGGCATGTGCGCGCAGGTGCAGCTGGCTGACGGCACATGGGTTCCCTCCCCCCAGCAGCAGCAGCAGACAACAACTACCAGCACAGACAAGACTGCCGCTGTGGCCAACACCAACACCCAGGTATAGTCTCAGCACTGCAGAATTGTGCAAGCTGGCTGTATGATTGGCAAAGAGCGCACGCCCAAATCATGCTCAAGCACATGGAGCAGCCAGCGTGTAAGGAGCTGCAAAGGGCACATGATGGACATTGGCTTGACGTGCAATTGCAAAGACCCTGCAAGAGACAGAGGGTCCTGAAGCCATCCATAGCCACGTCCTGGAGCATGTTTCCTCACCTTAATGCGCGCCTCAAAGGCTCCAAATACCATAGTCAGCACCATATCTGACACAATCCGTTCTGCTGCAGGGTGCAGATGCAACCCGCTCTCAAGTGACCGGTACGGGCCAGCCCAGCCAGTACGGCGCCTCCTCCGCAAATCAGGGCACCACAAATGCCGCCACAACAACCGCCACCACCAACAACGGTGAGATATCACCCCACTGCGCTGGAATTCGGAAAGCACAACTGCATGCATGCTGCACTACAGGCTCTGCTGTCCACGGCAGCAGCTGTTATACAGTGGCAACTCGGGACAAATGAAGAGGCCTGGCAAGGGGCCTGCTTGCAACTTTCAACCTCAGCTCAACCGCCTTATGGCTGTGCATGCCGCATGAACGCAGTGCTTTTTGCACTCCTTGCAAAATCCTGCTACTTTCGTGATGTGACCGCCAGACCATGTGTCAGGCCCCCACCACCGGATTAAACCAGGACGATCGGAAAGTTCTCAGGGTCCAGTGAAGCACACAACAGTCTTTTACAAGTTTCCGCACTTGTGCGCGCAGGCGCAGAGCAGTCCACGAGCGCGTCCGCGCCGTCTCCTTCCTCGTCTGCGCTGACGTTCCCTCCGGTGACGATCAACGGCGTCAACCTGCCCGGTTGGAGCCTGCCCACCTGGTCCCCCGCGCCCCCCCTCGGCCCCGCGCCTGCTTTGGCTCCCCTGCCCCTGGTACGCCCCCTGAGACCAGCTCCCATACATCCAGGAATGAGATATTCAATGGGATCTTGAAAATGACAAGGGCAAGGTATTGCAATGCCTGCAGCCATGCAAACAAGACATACCTTTGCATGCCGGTTGTAAGGTGTCAAGTAAAAACTCAAGATTGGCGGACTACATGAATCATTCTTGCAGATAAGGCATGCAAATAAATTGCCTCTTCTCAGCATGTCAATTTGCAGGGCTCGAGCACTTCTGAAGAACGATCTGTCCGTCCACCGTCCTTAATGTCGCTTCGGGAGCTCTCTTGCATGTAGGCTACATGAACAGGTACTGGGCAGGAATGGCCAGTCGACAGGCGCAATGCTACATTTCTTGGGCAGAAGTGACATGTGATTATAATTGCGCAGGCGCCCCAGCCGCAGCCGTTGCCGGGCCAGGCGCAGCCGGCAGTCAGTGCCTCCTTCCAGGACCTCACAAACCAGGTGATCTCCCCACTTGCCCACCGGCAACCTTCTCTTGCGGCAGTTTCCCGGCTGCACCCGCCTCGTCCCTTGTCATGTGTTTGGTGTGTAAGGAAGAAGGGCAAACCATGTATGTCATTCATGTATTTCAGCAGTAGTGATCAATGCCAGTGCAAAGATGACACCCTACTGAGGTTCTCTGAGAGAGGGTCAAACAGATCACCACTATTTCCTGGCAGTGGCGGATAACTGACATTCTAGATGAGGGCACCAATGCATCGTGACTGTTATATTTCATCACCATGCTATGGATCACCATCTGCATGATCAGCCCAGCAGAATACATCTTACTATGAAATGCTTTTGCCCCGGCTCGCGGGGGGCGGCACGAACACTGAGCACCGTGCCCACGGTTAGTTGAGTCTTGCTTGGATCTGGCATATCCAACAAGGGGTAGGATATGTGGCAGCCTCACCTGCAGCTTATCTGCATCCACACCCTCCCTCTTGCCAGGAACAGCAAGTGATGATAAGATAACAGTGACCACCAACACAGCCCAGCAGCAACTTTGCGCTGACATCTGACTAATACTGCATTCGCAGGGCGTCCCCCTGACGCAGTCGTTGGCGCAGCAGAGCGCGCTGCCACAGCTGCAGGCAATCGGCGGCGGCCCGGCCGTGCGGCCGAACAACAACCTGCCCGCACAGCCCGCCGGACCTGCCCAGCCCGGGCTGCCCGGCTTCCCCGCGCCGGCCGGCCCGGCCGCCATCCCCAACAACAACCTCGTCTGGGTCGGCCTCGGCGGCAGCGGCAAGCAGGGCTCCAACACCTAAGCCACCCGTTGGGCCGGGGCATCGGGCAGCTGAGCCCGGGCCAAGCTTGTCCGCAGGAAAAGCTGTCGTGAAAATGCGCCGGATTTGTGGTCTGCATGAGCCTTGCTCTGCACAGAGCGCTCCATGCAGGCAGCAATGAGGCAGCAGCAAGCAGGGCTCCACCACCAGAGCCGACCCGTCGTGCTCGGGTATTGGCTTTGTCAAACAGCCAGCGCTGGGCCACGGGTCCGTGGGGAGTCCAAATCCTGCAAGTGCTCTGCATAAGCCTGGCTCTGGAGAAAGCGCAGTAGGTTGCAATGAGGCAGCGGAAAGCAAGGCAATACTCAAGGTGCAGAAGCATGCGCACTGAGACGTAGTTCTTGAGGCCCGGCTCAGGGGCGCTTATGCTGGGCCGTCGGCTCTGTCAAGACAGCTGTTTTGGAAGTGGACCGTTGGGTATTGGAAGGGAGATATTCTTGCACGGGACAAATGGGGTTGAATGTTTTGCGAGGGCTTTGGTGGAGCAGACTGATTGGCAAATGCCAGTCATGTGTAGAGTCCTCACAAACCTCACAGTGCCCGAACCTCAGAAACTGCACAGTGCCTCGGAGCGAGTTGCAGGACATCAGGGCCTGAAATGCAACACCAGTATTTGATTTGAAGCTACCGGCTCCGCATTTGCAGGCTAGCAAAGTGAAGGGACTTTGCAAGAAGTTTATCTTGCATGCTAGATGGGGAAACATATTGGACTGATGACAGGATTGTGCAGGCTGAGTTCAACAATTTGAAGATTTGGAATATGAGATAGACGACCTATGACAGCAGTGTGTCAGTGTTTCCTGCTGGCTCTGGCAACTGTAATCATAGTCATAACCTCAATCCAGCAAGCGCTGGGGCGATGTTTTTATCTGTGCACGTGCTGGTGATCACTCAGCTGGACAGAAGTAAATTACAGCGATCCGGGTCTTGCTTTCCCTTTGTGATGCAGTCAGAATGTTTACAGCGCGCGGAAGTTGCATTAGGTGTTACATTTTGCAGCTCAAGCCTTTTGGCGGTGAAGGATGTGTTAGGCAGCGGCGTGCCCTCACACCCTGTCAAGCCTTTTGTGACGGTAGGAGCACATTGTACAGATCGAGATGAGGATGCTTTACAGGTCTGCAACTATCACCCTTCGCACCAACCCCAATGATGAGACATACGAAAACAAAATGCCAGTCTACTGGCTCGTGCATCGCATATTCTCGACCTTTGATGCTTCCTTGAGAAGGCCTTCCCAGAAAAGCTGAGGTGTCATGGCAGGAACGCCTGTGTACGACTGGGCAACGTTCAAAATGCAAAGCTGCAGGCTCAGTCCTGAAACTTGCCCACCACTTTTGCGATCTGGTGGTCCTGCAGGTCCTGTATACCCGTAAATAAGGAAAGAGAAGTGTCCAAGGAAGCACACTGGGTGCCTGCACCGTTTCAGGACCCACGTTGCGAAACAAGGAAGTGGAGGTAAACAAAAAGCTCTTGCACTTTCATGACACTGAAATCTGGTGGCTTCACACACCAGAAGGAGCCTTTCCCATCTTGTATTGGACAATTGTGATTGCTGTCCTATCTGCACCATCAAAAGGGACCAGGGCAGAGTTACTTACGTTCAAAAGGGCAACATCTATTTCAGTCATCTGGGACATTCGCTGATCAAGATGCAGACAGTAACTCTGTGATGGTAATCGCTCCTGTACATGCCGGTCTCCCTGATTGCGCATCAGGCGACCCAATGCGGAGGCGAAGGATATGGACTCTTGCACTTGTTCAGTGAGCAATGGCGGGGTAGGACTGCGCTGACGCCGCCCTTGCGTCCTGTGCAGGACTTGTAGGACGCGAAGTTTTGTCTTGAGAGTGCACAGATCTGGGACTGCACCTGAAAGGACAGCCCGCACCCTAGAGCGGCGATGACTGACAGAAGGCGGGCCTCCGCACTGCGGGTGAGTCACGCAGCTGATAACGCGCGACAGGGAACAACGCCTGGAACGTTTTTGCTTTGAGCAATTGTGGGATTGCTTGGTGCTTGCGGGCCCGCACTTGCTTGAGAGCTTACAATACGTGACGTTGCTGTCCAGGGGTCACGCTCCCTCTCTCTCGTAGCAGCAGCCTGCCTGTGCCTCGCGTCGATGTGCTTGACTGGCGCATCTGCAAGGTAAGCCGCATGTTCGTAAGAGAAGGCCCCTCTTGCGACATCTGTTCGAAAGATTGAAGGACCTCCCTCAAGCAACCACCCATCTTTTTCAATACCATCCTGGGGCTGTCAGACTACTTTTCACACAAATGAGGCTCCCCAGGCTACCAGCATACTTGATTGTGAGCTTTGGACACAAATGGGTGCGCAATGCAGTTGCTTGGAACAGCTCGTATTGAGCATCAGAGCTCAGACACCCTGAAGACACTTTCCCTTGTGCTGGGGAGCAGATCTGCGGATGACAGGACACTGCCAGCGCTGCCGGGCGTGGCAGGCCTGCCGACCCTGCCAGAGATCAACGTGCGCAGCTTCGCATCGGAGAACATGCAGCCAGTCCTGGACGCGCTGCCCAACTTTGCACCCACGCCATCCATCGACGACCGCGTGGCTGAAGCTTCCAACACAGTCTCCCAGGCCTCCAACACTGTCGCAGAGGGCATCAGGAGCGCGCAGCAGGCAGTTGCCCCGGGTGTGCAGAGTGTATCCTCGGCACTTGGCCCCATCTCGCAGATTCGTGACGCCTTCGGCGCTGCCCTGGCTCCCGCGGTGCGCCACCTTCCCATGCAGCTTCCTTCTTTGCGTGAAGCTGTTGCAGGGTTCCCCATCGAGCATGCAGCGCAGCTGCTGCGAGCCCGGCAGCTGCGGAGCAGCGCGCCAACTGCTTGCATGCTTTTCTCTGACCCATTCGCACGTTGATTGGAGGCTGGAACTTCCCAGTGTTGTGCATGCTCCCCTTTCACATGCAGTCCACAGTGCTCATTAAGAATTATGTCTGACACTGCATGTGGTCAACGGCGCAACACTTACCGGCCCGATGCTTATGGGTTATAAGTGGCAGTTGCCTTCTGGCCTTGCCCCTCAAGCCTTTGTGAGCCTTGCTTCTCTGGGACCATCCAGGCAAGCCAGAATTGGCAGGAGCTGGCCAAGCATGTGCATCCTGGCTGCTAGATGATGTGTCATACATCTTGTGAAGACTGGAGCCATGACAAGTCTCATGTGCACGTGCAGCAGCTCTCAGGTGATCCGCCGGTGCCGCCACCGCGGCCGTCCAACATCGTGGTGGCGCTTGAGGGAGAAGAGGTTGAGGCATCCTCGCCGGAACCGGCGCCACTGCCGGACCTCCCGCTGCCGCCTCTGCCGCAGCTCCCCCCGGTCCTCCCACCGGCCCCCGAGCTCGCGCTCGCCGACAGCACTGCTGCCGCCCCCGCGCCTAGCACCAGGTGAAAACTTTCGCCAGCTCATAATCTCATAAGATGACATTTGTTTCTGTCATCAGATGGCAGCTCATATTTTGTGCTTTAAGTTAAATGCTGCGCTTGTTGGGTGAGGAAGCATGCCAGCACTCGATCAAGGCAGAAAAGAATCATGTCCAATTCTCTGGTGCATGCACGCAACGCGCATGGCTGTTGAAGCCATGTTGCTCTCCATTTATTCACAACACACATTGGCCGACTCCTCAGAAACAGAGGCATGCTCTCTGCGTGTGGTCTGTACAGGAATAACATGGTAACAGAGGAAAGCTGACATGGAAATGCATGGCTGCAGGTCAAGTGAGGCGCTGCATGTTCTGGACGCGCAGGAGCAGCAGCCTGCTGAGGTGATCGCGCCTGCTCCAGTCAGCTTGGAGTACCCCAACTCAGACACCGTCGTCATCCGTATCCCCCGCCCCAGCGAGAGCGCCTCCCTGCAGGCGAGTCACCTTCCTAGTTTCTGTGTCTGCATGCAGCCGTACGAATTTTTCTGATGCGTTTGCAGCGGAACTGATTGGTTCAACAGGCTGTGACGCAGGTATTACCTGTGCCACGCATGACACTGCAATGCCTAGAAGCGCCATGTGGCCTCTCCTGTCATTCTTGCTCCCTGAACTTCGTCTTGCAAATGTCACCCCTGCACGAAGAGGGGAAAAGACTGGGCAGAAAATTAGCTCCCCATTACCATGCACGCTGGCGCACTGCAGTAGGAACGAATGCAAGTGCTGCCCTGGTGTGAGGATATTTAAGGGAGAAGGCAGTTGATTGCTTCTTGTTTTGAGTGTATCCTGTGCATGCGCGCAGGCGCGGCCGCTGGCGCTGCAGGCCATGCTGCCCAAGGGGCTGCCCAAGCCTGCCCAGCAGGCGCGCAAGCTGTCTGAGGAGGCCGCCCCGGCGCCCGCTCCTCAGGTATCATATTGACACCTCTGGACCCTCCTTGATCCGCATGATTAAGATATGCTGAACCAATGCCTGATGACCCAATCTGACTTGCGGCAAAAGATGAGCACCACCTCCTTTCTACTTTCGTTATTCTGTGATGCGAATCTCAGCCCAGTGCAATGCGCCTTGTGCATATGCCACGCACTGAAGATCATTGTCATGGCGTAACCATCAAACACCAGCCTCCCACCGTGACAAATGCTTACAAGCATCCATGGACTGACATCAGGCGTTAAAGCCGGTGTGTGTGTTCGCTGCAACGAGATCGAGTACATGGGAAGGACTTCATACTGCCTACAACAATGCTTACAGAGATTACCATGTTGTGTGCGCAGGCGGACGGCCCGCGTGGCCTGCCCGCGCTGCGCAGCGTACCTGAGCTCGGGCTGCCCGACATGCCCGCCATTGCTCTGCCGGCCGACGCCGACGCAATCCTCGCCCCCCTGCCGGCACCCCGGCCCCAGGCACGCTCCTGCCGACCTGCCTCCGTTTAGTCTTGGCCATCCGGATTCTAGTCAGGTGTCGTCAAGAGAATACGATGTCGGAATAACCCACTGTGTTGCTACCTTCCCACTGGCGTCTAATCGAGTGCTTGTGCAGCGTCCGGGCTGGGAGTGCTGGCAGCGACGCAGTGCAAGTGCCTCATCGGTGACTGATCATGATAGATTTGGTGCAGGGTCCGGAGGTTGCGGTGCTGCAGGAGGTGCAGCGCCCGTACAAGGCCTTCTACAAGGCGCTCCCCGTCCTCTCCGGCATCGGCCGCCGCATGCTGCAGCAGCCGCAGCAGCCCGGCCCTCAGCCGCGCCAACCCGGCCCCGAGCCGCGCCAACCCGGCCCCGGTGCGCGCCCCTCGTTACCGGCCCCCTCTAGCACCAAACATGCACCTGCCTGAAGTGCATCTTTTACTTCACCTCGCAGCACCGCTACAACATGGAATATTACGGTACAATAAAGCAGGATGACTCCTGCTAAGGCATGGCATGCACTTGACTCCTTAACACAGTAAGCGGCTGCGAGAGCAGAGCATTGACAACATCCTCATTACAAGAGCTGTCAGCATCTAGCAGCATCGCAGCAATCCGTTTCAATCTCCTGAGAGAACGCCATGGAAAGGGAGCACTTAGATGGTCCACTTTTTCTGATTATGTTTGTTTGGTTGTGTGGCCAACAGGTCAGCCACAGGTGCAATCCTTCCAGCAGCAGCCGAGCGGCCAGCCGGCTGTGTCCTTCCACCCGGAGATTCAGATCGACCAGAACAACAAGCAGCTGCAGCTGACCGGCGGCACCTTCAGCTTTGCTGGCAAGGAGATCAGCCTGCCCTCCATCCCCGTCGCCTTCCCTGCCATCCCGGCCCTCAACACCCTCTCCGCCGTCTACCCCAGTGCGTTCCCCCTGGATTCCTGGACCCTTGCATTGTGTTTGGGTGCTCTGCACAGGGATCCTGAGATCGCAAGCCTCGCCTGGTGTTGTTCAGAAGCATCAGTGAACGAGAGAAACTCATTAAGGACGAGATAAACAGTTGGCAGGTGTCAGGAATGTCTTGGTAAGGGCATGGGTTTTCTGCCAGCAGCCGTGCAACACAGAGCCAGAAAGACTGCACGGATACCTTGACTGCCATGCGGCACTATTTGCTAGGCATGCCATAGGCAATTCCGACATGTTTGCTCCCATGTAGCAGACATCAAAAACACTTTGCATTGAGGCAGATATGGACACCGGGCCTCCAATCTTCTTCGTTTCCCAGCGGCTCGTGCCCCAAGAAAAATTACATAATGGTGGTGTCTAGCCGTGGATTGCCATTGACCATAAAAATTGCGTCGCAGACATGGACCTGGGAGAGGCGCCGGCCCCGGCCCCGGTGGCGGAGATCCTTGCGCAGGAGTACGCGGCTGCGCAGGAGGGCAAGGCAGCGCCCTTGTACATTGACAACCCCCTCACGCGCGCATTCTCCGGCCTCATCGCTGGCCGCCGCCTGCAGCAAGCCTCCTCCGGCGCCGCCGCCCCGGCTCCCGGCCAGGCACGGCCCCTCCTTCCTGTCTCCTGGGTGCAGACTCTCTGCCAGTGTGAAAAGCGCACTGTGTTGCATGCGCCATTCTGGAAATCCAGTATGGGTCTTACCTCTTGGACCAATTTTGGGGCTCATGTTATGCTCACGTGCATTAGAGGTGGCTCTTGTCCTGAATTGTCCAAGCAAGTCTTAACTGTGTGTCGGATGAAATGAAGCTTCCTGCCATTCACTGAATGTCGAGCGTCCTCTGGCCGATTTGTGGCTCATGAAGTCACCAGACTGACGGCCGAATGTTTGCATGCACGCACAGGCGCAGGAGCCGCGCGGCCTGCCCAGCCTGCCCGCAGTGCCCGACCTTGGGCTGCCCAGCATGCCCGAGATTGCTCTGCCGGCCAATCCCGAGGCGCTGCTCGCGCCGATCCCCGCGCCCCGGCCGCAGGGCCCGGCGGCCGCCGCAGCCGCCGAGGCCGGCCGCCCCTACACCGCCCTCTACAGCGTCCTCCCCGTGCTCGGCAAGGCCTCAGGTGCGGTTGCCTGAATTTCCTTCTTCATTTTCTGTTGAAGAATATACTCACCTGCTGCGAACATGTGATCCTCGCCCAACACCATAAGGCAGGTAGTCTGCCGTGGGGAGGAAGGATGCTGGACTTTTCCTTTAGGGTTAGTTGTGCAGTGATCACGATTCTGCAGCTAATGATGTATCATGTTTTCTCGTGCTGTGAGCTAGATTTAAACAGGGTAAGAATCTCCTGTCAAGTGATTGATGAGTGGTACAGCGTTTGGATAATTGGTGAGACGAGATCGGAGCTGCTTTGCCTATGCAGCCAGAGCGTGCGTTCTGTCGAGATCAAATTCCTGTGCCTATCAAGGGGATGAAGTGTTGCATGTGCATGCATGCAGGCCGCAAGCTGTCACAGCTGCCGCCTCAGCAGGTGGCGCAGCAGCCGCAGCAGCCCGGCCCGCAGGCGAATCTGCAGGCGCAGCAGCAGCCGGCGCAGCCGCAGGGGTACCGCAACCCGCAGCCGCTGATCACGGTCGAGCCGCACGTGCTCATCGACCAGAAGAACGAGAAGTCCTTCCTGCAGAGCGCCGACATCGTGTTCCAGAACGGGCAGCGCATCCCCCTGCCCGCCGGCTTCGACCTGCCCACCACCGGCCTCTGGCACCAACTGCTGGATATTCCCCAGGTGCTTGCCCGGCTGTTCGGGTCTTCTTTGGTGTTCCTACCGCTTCCAAAGGGGCCTGCACTTGATGCAAGCTTGATAATTGGGCTTGGCAATGGCCCAATCGCATTGACTGGAGAACTCGGTAAGGGGCCATGAGTGTTGTAGACAGTCATCTTGAAGGATTGGGACTCTTGCCCTGTCTGTATAGAAGTATATCAGATTTGAATAGTCGTGGGAAGCTGCTTGTATTCAATTGCAGCCGTACATGCCTATAGTGTTCCAATATTGCCAATGCACAATACCCATCTTCCACAGACAGTCAAGGTCCTTGAGGAATCTCACCAGACCATGATATAATGCAAGACGTTAAACTAGCATTAAGACTGCTTACCTGACTGCAGGGCACCGTGGTTGACGGTCCAGTCCCTGCTCCCTTCCTGGCTCCGGCCCAGCCCAAGGCTGCTGCCCCGGCCCCGGCCGCCGAGCCGCTCCCGGCAGCCGATGAGACCAGCCCTATCTCTTTCCTGATCAAGGGGATTACCGACCTCGCCAACCGCACCGGCGGCCGCAGATTGGCGCAGCAGCCGCCGCAGCAGCAGGTTGGCCCCCTTTTTCGGTGCTCAAATGATTTTGGAGCCCAATTTTCACACGGACCCGCCTTTTATCTGGACCCCTGCTGTTCATGCTGTATATGGGGTACTTCACTTTGAGGATTATGAGTTGCTGAAGGCCAGAGGAGCGCGGGTTGGCCCTGTGCCCGAGCCAGTATTTCTTTTAAAGTTCCTTGCCATAATACATCAGGCTCCAGTGTGTCCTTGAGGTACAGTCAAGGTGCAGGTAGATGTGGCCGCATTTTCCTACCCCATGTTGGACTTGCCAGATCCAACCAGGACCCAGTCAACCGTGGGCACGGAGCTCAGTATTTGTACCACCCCCCGCCAGCCGGGGCCGTCCCTGATATGCATACTATAATTGGACGCCTAAGTTAGACATCATATGGTTACTGAAGGGCAGGGAAACATTGCAGGTGGGCCCTCAAGGGGCGCCGCAGCAGCCGGCAGCACAGCTACAGCAGCAGCCGGCGCAGCCGCAGGGGTACCGCAACCCGCAGCCGCTGATCACGGTCGAGCCGCACGTGCTCATCGACCAGAAGAACGAGAAGTCCTTCCTGCAGAGCGCCGACATCGTTTTCCAGAACGGGCAGCGCATCCCCCTGCCCGCCGGCTTCAACCTGCCCACAACCGGCCTCTGGCACCAGCTGCTGGACATCCCCCAGGTCCTTGCCCGGCTGTTTGGGTCTTCCTGATGTTGTGGTCTACTTTTTTCCAAATAATCTTGGAAGTTTACCAAAAGCAAGCTTAAAAATTTGACAACTGCAGCAGCAGAGTAGGTAGAAAAGTTTCCACAAAGGCATCTGATAGCTGACATATAAGTGGACACTGAATATTGCTTTGATGCGTGTCTGTAATGGGCAAAAGGCTAAGGAAACGAGTAGGTAGTGCTCTGTAATAAGATGTAGTTAGGCATGGCTATACCCGCTTTTCTGTCACCACTGCATCAAACCCATCTTGTAATGACAAGGCATATGACTGCTTCATCCATCCAACCTCAAGACATGGTGGCCGCACAAGGGCCTTGGTGCTGCAATATCCTCAGAGTGCATCAGAACAAGAATGCCCTTGCAATGAGATATTTGTGGCTGACACTTCTTTAGTATGTACGGCAACAGGACAACCGCTGAAGACTGCTTACCTGACTGCAGGGCACCGTGGTTGACGGTCCAGTCCCTGCTCCCTTCCTGGCTCCGGCCCTGCCCAAGGCTGCTGCCCCGGCCCCAGCCGCCGAGCCGCTCCCGGCAGCCGACGAGACCAGCCCTATCTCTTTCCTGATCAAGGGGATCACCGACCTTGCCAACCGCACCGGTGGCCGCAGATTGGCGCAGCAGCCGCCGCAGCAGCCCGGCCCGCAGGCAAATCTGCAGGCGCAGCAGCCGGCGCAGCAGCCGGCACAGCAGCCGGCGCAGCCGCAGGGATACCGCAATCCGCAGCCGCTGATCACGGTCGAGCCGCACGTGCTCATCGACCAGAAGAACGAGAAGTCCTTCCTGCAGAGCGCCGACATCGTGTTCCAGAACGGGCAGCGCATCCCCCTGCCCGCCGGCTTCAACCTGCCCACAACCGGCCTCTGGCACCAACTGCTGGATATTCCCCAGGTGCTTGCCCGGCTCTTCGGGTCTTCCTGATAATCTGTCTACGTTTTTGCAAGTTTTCTTGGGATTTCACCAAACACCAAGCTTGGGACTGCAGCAGCAGAGTAGGTAGGAATGGTTTCCACAAAGGCATCTGATTGCTGACATAGAAGTGGACACCTCAATATTGCTTTGTTGTGTGTCTGTAATGGGCAAAGGCTAAGGAAATGAGTAGGTAGTGCTCTGTAATAACATGTAGTCATACATGGCTATACCCGCTTTCCTGTTACCACTGCATCAAACCCATCTTGTAATGACAGTCAATTTTGACTGTTTCATCCTTACAACCTCAAGACCTGGTGGCATGAGGCCTTCTATACTATGTACAGCGACAGGACAACCGCTGAAAACTGCTTACCTGACTGCAGGGCACCGTGGTTGACGGTCCAGTCCCTGCTCCCTTCCTGGCTCCGGCCCTGCCCAAGGCTGCTGCCCCGGCCCCGGCCGCCGAGCCGCTCCCGGCAGCCGATGAGACCAGCCCTATCTCTTTCCTGATCAAGGGTATCACCGACCTCGCCAACCGCACCGGTGGCCGCAGACTGGCGCAGCAGCCGCCGCAGCAGCCCGGCCTGCAGGCAAATTTGCAGGCGCAGCAGCCTGCGCAGCAGCCGGCGCAGCCGCAGGGGTACCGCAATCCGCAGCCGCTGATCACGGTCGAGCCGCACGTGCTCATCGACCAGAAGAACGAGAAGTCCTTCCTGCAGAGCGCCGACATCGTGTTCCAGAACGGGCAGCGCATTCCCCTGCCCGCCGGCTTCGACCTGCCCACAACCGGCCTCTGGCACCAACTGCTGGACATCCCCCAGGTCTGTTTCATGCGCATGATTCGAACCTTAATTTTTAAGCCATGGGCCTGACTATCATTCCCCATGTCATGGGTTAGCTGCTTATGCTTGCCCAGGATAGCAAGTGGGTGCAGAGAAAGCATCGGCGAACGATGCTATGAAAAAACTTGCCTCTACCTATTCAAGTTTAGTTGGCGTCTCTGATGTGAATTGCTGCATGGCTGACTGGTAGCATGGCACTGCAGGGCACCGTTGTGGATGGCCCCATCCCGGCCCCATTCCTGGCCCCCGCCCTGCCCAAGGCCGCCGCCCCGGCCCCGGCCGCCGAGCCGCTCTCGGCAGCCGATGAGACCTCGCCCATCTCCTTCCTCATCAAGGGGATCACCGACCTCGCCAACCGCACCGGCCGGCGGCTCTCGGCGCAGCAGCCGCAGCCGGTTGTTCAGGAGCCGGAGCAGCCCGGTCCCCGCCAGGCGCCGGCGCCGGGGGTTACTCTCTCCCTGGCGCTGCGTGGCGAGACCAAGGAGACCTTTGCGCCAAAGCAGGTGCGTCCTTGAACTCTCCATGACTCTTAGGCATCCTTGGTGAGGGCCTTCCACAGGCTGCCACATGTGGGAACTCCTTGCAGCACTTTCATCCCTGCCGCCCACAGCCGTGACCTTTTCAGCGTCTTTTTGTGTCACTCTGTCTCTTTGAGTGTCTCTTTGTCTCAGAGCTGCTCTGGCTTCCACTTTGGGCAAGCCTGCACCCGAAGCATCCGTGCTGCATAATGTCCTCTTGAATACAGCTCGGATGGCACAATGATCATCAGTGCCGATTATTTTTAAATAGGCACAACAGGTTGCCCCACCTAGAGGTCATCTTATTTCACTATTGCTCCACTAGTGTACATTAGAAGCTAGAGTCAGGGCGTAGTGGATTACATGATGTGCTGACACGCGTGTGGGTGCGTCTGGCAGGAGGCGTTCCTTGGCCAGCTGGCAGCGGAGCTGGGTGTGCCGGAGGAGGCGATTTACGTCGTGCGGGTGCAGCTGGTGAGTGCGCGCGCGGCCGAGAGCCACCTGCGCATCGCGCGCGAGCTGCAGTCCCAGGCACGCCCCTTCTATTGCGTAAATTTACTATTCCTACTGGAGGCTGTGCAAGGGCGTGGGACAAAAATTGCCAAATCCGCATGTGTGGTGGGAGGATCAATGTCAGGCTGGCCAGGTAGCAAATTGCCAAGACAAATGCGAGGCTTGGCCATCGCAGAGACAAAGTGTCTGGTCATTGATCTTGCCCTCAGAGATTATATTCGCGGTGCAGTATTCCTGGCAGGATGATGTTGTTGGTGTCATCGAATTCACCTGGGATGTTGGGCGCTGAATGTAACTCAGGCATTTGACCAGCTTTAAGTTGTCTGAAAGCCACGTGACATGCCTGGCTGACATGTAATGCTTTTTACAGGTGCAGGCCAAGGAGGACGCGGGCGATCTGGTGGTGACATTTTCAGTGGAGACGGCGGAGCCGGAGGCGGCCGTGGCGGCGCTCGAGGCGGCGCTCGGCTCCGGCGGCCGGCTGACGGCCGCGCTGGCCGACACCGCAGCCGTGCGCATCGCGCCGGACTCCCTGCGCGTGGTTCCCCCCGCCGCCGACGCCTAAGGGACACCCCGCTGATGGTCCCCCCAACTCTCGGTTTCCCCTGCCACCGATGCCAGACGGACCCCAGGGGATGGGGCGGATCCTCCCATTCTCGGGGTCCCCGCCCTGTATCAGCACCACTCAGCGCGGCTGTCTTAGGTAGCCGGTGGTGTCACATGTTCTGCTGACCTGCTATCCCTTGCTCATTAGAATTACTGCGCCTTTCTGGCTTTGGTAAAAGACTCAGGGGAGTGCACTGTCAGAATGACTGTTGTACCTGCCCAGGGGCCACTTGGCAAAACAGTAACTCCCTCTATTGAGAAGTCTGTGCTCACTGAGCACGGTGTTTGGAGCAACCCGTAATATTGAGGAATGTTGGCCGCGAGAATCTTGAATCTTGAATGCAGAAACTTGGACAGCCACACTGGATCCTTCCGGAAGGACAGAGGCTCACATTGGATTTGACAGAATGGGTGAATTTCTGGACAGGATTGGATTGGTATTTTGGGATGATAAGTACTCTCAAGGGAGAAGCACACAAGGGCAGGTCTGGCTTGCCCAAACTATGGTCATTGGGATTGATAATAATAGGCAGGTTTGAACAACAACAAAGATGACATACAGCGGCTCAGATCAGGTTTCTGCGGTTTGTTACTCAAGACGATTTGCAATGCTTGTTCCTTCAAGAAGCCTAGCCTGGTACCACCTGTGAAGCTTGCCAGGGATGCATCATATGAGCTGAATAGCGATGTCAAGTTGCCTCTGTTTATGTACTTTGTTTCTGACATGGAAGGGCCTCTTGGGGTCACGCAGCAATTGCAAAAGAAGCAAGACGAGGTTCCTGATATCCTGCATTTTCACCTTCTATCTGTAATATTTTACAGATATCACAACACAGAAGTGACTTCTGCTGTCATGAGAATTAGGCCAGTAGCTTCATGAAAATAGTTGCACAAACACGGCTGCCTCATTCTAGGAAAGAAACAGATCATTTAGATTCACGCTCTTAGCCACACGGTTCGCATTTGCGGATCAAACTCACAGCACTCTCACAAACCCCTCGAGCACATGCACTGCTATATACAAGAACTCCAGGGGACTCTAACTGAACTGTAGAGTTTAGCTATAGAGTCCCCTGAAAACTCCTCACTGAGGGTCTTTTGCGTCACACCGCATGTGACATGGCCCGTTTACTCATCTGCACTCAAGCTGCCACAGGCAGCAGGTCATTGTGGCGCAGTAGGGGCTCTGTCGAAGGGTCGCGCCCTCGGAAGTCCTGTGCACACACAGGCACACTCAGCAGCAGACAACTTGGGGGAGCACGGCTTCATTGGCTCTGTGATGATTGTGCTAGAAATTGATGCAAGGCGGAGGGCTCTAAGCTTGCCCGCAGCCCCTGCACAGACCTTGATGCATCTGTACCATGACAACTGCAAGACACGTATTTCCTGTCTGCTTCCTGTCTTCTACACTGTATATCGACGTGTCATGATATACCAACCAAACACGCTAAGAAATGCTCCGCAGGTTTTTTCACCGGACGGTTGACCTGAGCAAAGTGTGGATTGCCATAACAACTCAGACAGGCCATGAAAGTGGCCCGAGCAAAACGAAAACATGGCCACTAGACCACTTCCCAGGCATGTCACAGGGCGCACCCGGAACACATCGGCTGGCGGCCGGCCGCCGCCGAGTGCCAGGACGGTGTCGCGGAATGCGCGGCCGCGCTCGGCCACCGCCGGCTTGTTGTCCAGGCCAACCTCCTCGAACGCGCTGAATGCGTCCGCGCTCAGCACCTCGGCCCACTTGTAGCTGAAGTAGCCCGCCGCGTAGCCGCCCGCAAATATGTGGCTGAAGCCGCACAGGAATCTGCGCGCATGCACATGATGCCCCTCACATTGCGGACGCTGGCACTGTGATTAGGATAGTGGAATTGTGCATGACTTGCACATCTGAGCCTACAAGAGAGCAGTGCGGCATCCCGCCAGCTGTCTGCTCCTGAGCAGGCCTCAGGGACAGAAAATTGACGGAGTGCGACACGTCTCCTGCAAGATCAAGCTGTGAAGGTGGTCACAGGCTCTGGCCATGGGGGTGACGCAAGATTAGAGAACCCAGCAGGGAGGGTGTGTCCATCGTACAAACTGCAGACACAAGGACATGACACGCTGCTTCTATGCTCCTGCCTATCACAGTGACACAGCAGAGCTAACCCTGCACACCCATCCAGAAACAGGAAAGATAAGAGGCCTCGGCATGTGCCGGCATGGCAGGCTGGGGCTGACCCGGGGGAAGTAATCAACCAAATACACTAAAATCTGTTATAAATTCCTGCGCTGACCTGTCCTCGGGCAGCGGGGGCAGCACGGTGGTGCGCGACTCGACGGCCTTGACCTCCTCCGACTCAAACACCGTGCGGCCCTCAGCCGGCTCATAGCGCGAGTGCAGCACCAGGTCAAGCTCGCTGAAGTGCAGCTGCCGCAGCATCCCCGACCCAGACCTGCGCCACAACGCCCCATCTTGATGAAGCGCGCCTCGCACTCACCTTTTCCCCAAGGTCATCAGGGAGATCTATTTCAGCTTCAGGTTTCTGGATTGTCTGAGCCTCTCAGATCAAAAGCTCTGGACCCTGTCAGCAGGTCATCCGCGTGGTCTGTTGCGAGTCATCGAGACGGGAATGACATGACAAGAGTGGCTGTCATTATACCAGATCCCAGATAAGTATAATTTATCCCCCCACAGCCGCCGCTTGAGGGCAGCTGGCAGCTCCAACGGAGGCTGCAAGCGACCCTATAGTGTAGGACTCTTAAAGGCGGCATGCAGAGCTATGCAGAAGAGAAGTGTGGATGCAAAAACGCAAGATGGGAGCAGGGGCTGACCGGAAGGTGCGCGCGGCGACCAGCTTCTGGTACAGGTCCTCGGGCAGCGGCTCGCCTGTCTCGTAGTGCCGCGCGAACGAGTTCAGCGTCTCCCGGTTGTAGCACCTGGCAAGCAGAGTTGTGTACATCTCATCAGAAACCTTGCCGCTTCTGTCTCGGTTTGCCCATTCTTTGCTGATCTTAATGCAGGGAGGCATATGAACCGTCCGAGTGAGAGCGATTGAACACGGAGACTTGACCTAGCGAGCTGATTTGGCATGGTGACAGCAGCACGGTAGGGTCAACAAGCTCTGTCACAGCTCTGTGCAGTAGCGCGCACCAAGACAAAGCATGCCAGCAAATGGGTTGAGGAGCACTCGTGCAACATAACCTGGAGGCCTGGGTCCATGACTACGTTTTAGAAGCAACGGTGCTGTACAAATGCATGCGATCGAGAAGGGAACGCCGGGGGATGGGGCCCACCAGTTCTCCATGAACTGGGATGGCAGTTCAACGGCGTCCCATTCGACGCCGCGGATGCCGGCCACCAGGCCCTCCTCCTGCTGAGTCAGCATGTGCTGCAGCGCGTGCCCAAACTCGTGGAACAGCGTCTCCACCTCCTGCGCAGATTTTCTCCCACACCGCCCTCAGCACGACTACACCATAGTCTTGAATTTCCCGCTTCACTCACAAGTTCGCTGAAACCCATTCTCCAGGATGAAGGTTGTTACAAGAAGTCTTCTTCAAGCTAGAAGCAGCTGTCAGAAGGGAATCAGGAGTACCCTATGAGCCAATTGTGTCAACAGATTGCCTGTGACACACATGGGACGCACTTCACTATTTGCAGCAGCTCATTGACTCAGTGCGCTGCACCAACCAGTGATCGCGGTCCCACCGGTGTCAGAAGCAGAATGACAACTTATGAACAGACTGATGCCTGAGGCATTAATGACAGATAGGAGTGGTCTACCCGGAAGGTCATGAGGGAGGGCTTGTCGCCGATGGGCGGCGTCTGGTTGCAGACCATGTGCGCCACCGGCAGCCGCACCGCCTCGCCGGGACCCGCCAGCAGCCGCGACTGGCCCACAACCTCATCCATCCACGCACCGCCGCGCTTCTCTGCAAATTCAAGTCACCAGGAGGACACCTCAGCACCTGATGTATCTTAATGACGCCCTAGAACCGATGCAGTGGAGAGCAGTGGGAATTGGATTCCCTTAAGAGCTGTATGCGTCGAAACTGCTTTGCTCTACTTTGAGATTCCTCCTTGCCAAACTTGTCCTAGTCTGCTGTAAACATGGGGACACCGAGAGACCAGGTGGCTTGTTTTGTCACTTATCCATCTCTGCATCTTCTGCCTTACAAAGAGTTCAGTGGCACTGACGGTCACTTTCATGCAAGTATCTTCTCTGCTGCACGCTATGCAGGCAGGCTGTCCCTCTTTTGGAATCTGTGTGAAGACAAGCAGAGTACAATATGCATCAAGACATGCACTGCACAATGGGGCCTACGTGCCACGTCTATTTGTTCCTGAGAAGTGTATCGACTACTGCAACGCGCCGATCTTAGGAATGGAACAAGTGTGGCTTTGGCGTGAGGCACCAGGTGCTTTGCGAGGTGTTGGTCAGAGTTTCTGAATGTACAAAACATGGCCTTGTTGGAAGGAGGGGGGACAATACGCATACAGAGACAGGGGCTAGGGCTGCACACCTGCTGGGCGCGAGTAGGGGTCGAGGTAGAAGAAGGCCTTCTGGCGGCCGTCGCGCTTGAGCGAGAAGAATCGCACGTCCGGGTGCCACAGGTGCTCGTTGTCCGCCGCCTCCACGGTAACGCCAAAGAGCTCACCCGCCAGCTGTGCACACGCACCACAGCGCCTCTTAACAAATGCAAAAGAGTCTGCATGTCTGAGGATGGGTCCCCCTGGTCTGCTGCCCTCTGATGTTGATCTTACACTCTTGGCAAGTCGTAAAGGAAGACCAGTAGAGACAAGTAATGTCCTGACATGCCCTACATGCCTGTCCCCTCCGCTGGTTGCCAAAAGTGCAGTATTTATCTGCCGCTTTCTGATGTTGATCTTGTATTCTTGGAGCGGGCGAGTAAACACAAGTAAGATCCTGACGTGCCCTACATGCCTGTACTGGTCTCCTTCACAGGTGCCAAGAATGCTGATTGGGTCCCCTTGTCTGTTGCTCCCTAATGTTGGTCCTGCACTTCTAGCGTGGCTGGCGTAGAATGCTGATTCCGCATGCTGGTGGAGGTGCAATCGCGCATGAAATGCAGACATCACATGTCCACGCCACAAAACACAGACCGGACAGTTGTGGGAGCCAGGAACAGTGCAGTGAAGAAGCACGAGAACTGACTTCTGCATGCACCCACCTTGAAGAGGCCGTCGAGGACGTTAGGCAGCGAAAAGTAGGGCCGCAGCTGCTCGTCGGTGATGTTGAACTTAGCCTCGCGCAGGCGCTCCGCCCAGAAGCTTACGTCCCAGTGCAGCAGCTCCCCTGTGAACCCCTGGCATTACCAAGCATGCAACCCTATTCACACCATTTCCCACACTTACAAACCTCCAGCTTTGATAGGCCGGCCAAGTGGATTGCAGCCATCACACCGCCACCCAAGTAGGGCACGATCGTTTCTCCACAACCATGCAGAAACTAGCAAATACATGAAGCAGAATGACAAAACGACAAAGGGCGCTAATCAGGCTATCAAAGCAAGGTCAAGGCAAGGGCCACGCATTGTGAAGGCGGGGGGAGGGAGAGAGAGAGAGAGAGACAGAGGGGATTGCTCTCACGTTCTCTGTGGCGAAAGCTTTGACTTCGTCCATCTCGCGGACGGCCGCGTCGTAGGATGCGCCCCGCAGCTCCTCCAAAAGGCCCTCCGCCTTATCAAGCGTGGCCATCTGCGCAAGCACACAAGCCCATGCTCTAAGTCTCTTCACTTCACCCTGACATTGTTCATGCATGGACACGCTCTCAAACAGGGAATGTCAAAGTCCCAAGCAAGGGGGGTTGATGTCCCTCAAAATATGTCAGCATGTCATATCCCACGCACTCGGTCTTCCATGAAGGCTGTTCTTTTGCGCTTCTGCACAACCTTCGGGAACCCCGTCTGTCCTGCATTTTTATTGCTCCCGATCCATCTTAATTGCAGGGTCCAGAAGTACTGACTTGCATTGAGAAGGGCTGCATGCCCTTGTGATATATGCACCTTGCTGGCCAGGGAGACCTCGGCGTAATTGGGGTAGCCCAGCAGCTGCGCCTGCTCCCGCTTCAGCGCCAGCGTGCGCTCGATCAGGGGCGTGTTGTCATTCTCCCCCGACGACGCCCGCGTAATGAACGCGCGGTAAAACTCCTCGCGGAATGCCCTGCGCACCAAAAAATTGTTCCGAGGGATTTCAAACTCTTCTCGGTTGAGTGAACTCCACTGTTGAGTGAACTCGACTGTGAGTTGCGCCCGGTGCAACCATATTTGATGGTGAGACCGTCGCTGGTGATGTAGGTATGTTATAGAGGAAGTCATGCATGTCATCCAGAGGGTCCGGGTTGTCTCTGACTGCCTCCGGCAGCTTGGCAGTGCTTGAGATTTGGTGGCAAAAGAGAGTAGAGGGCATGCATGTGGCGTGGCACTCTAGGAGCCAGCACGGCAGCAATCCAGGTGGGCAAGCGTTCTGATATTGGTGACAGGGGAGAATTGTCAAAGCGGAGAAGTGAACAGCACCTGTTCTTGGCGTGCGTGAGGATGGGCTGGTAGGAGGGGAAGTCCAGCGTGAAAAGCCACGGCCCCTCCTCCGCTGTGGCGCCCTTCTGCCCCTCGTTCTCAGCCTGCGTGCACAATAACCAATTTTACTGACGCTTAACCATCAACTGGAAAAATTGGATTCCTTCAGTTACAAGCTCTCCAGACAATTTGTCAGAGCTCCCAGCGGGTGACGGCAATGTGAGCTGCATACTCGTGCATGTCAACTGGGGGTGCCGAACCTCCAATCCCACCTGTACTGCAGACATCCTTGGAGGAAAGCTCCACCTCAGTGTATCCGTCAAGCTATAATACCATCATGGAGAGCAAGGGTCTACCTCTCACTATTATAGTACATATGGTACAGGGGTTCAGTGAAAAGAGAAAGTTCGAGGGGGATGAGACTGTCTGCAAGGGCGTACCTGCTGGGCTCCCAGGGCGAGGGCAGAGGCGGGCAGGCCGTCAACGTCGGCCTTGTCAGTGATGAGCTTCTTGAAGGCCTTGGTGGCATCCAGCAGATTGTTGCTGAACTTGGTGCTGATCTGGCTCAGCTCCTGCTTTATCTCGTTGAAGCGCTCCTTCGCCTCCCCCTGCACCAGACGCAGAACACTCAGCTTCAGGTTGCATCACAAGTGGAGCAGAAGAGCCGGCCAGACAGAGCATGCGTCTTGCAGTTCCTATTGGTGTAGTACTCGCCTGCTATGCAGCTTCTGGCACACAGACCGGTATGATCCGCATGCAGACTAGGAAGACATTTTGGCAACTCTGCTATGCACAAAGATCACGGAGGGCTCTGTACAGGAAACTGCAGACAGCATGAGCACATATGCAGTCGGCAAACAAATGCCTGATAAGCGCATGCCAATGCAGAAAGCACAATCGTCCTATTCGGGAGGCCAATGAGTAACTCCCCTCCCTTCCTGCAGAGAAGGAGCTCTACCTTAACCTCAGCCGCATTTCCTAGCACCCAAGGGGTTACCAGATGACACTGAGGGGCACAGAGCAAGTGTGATATAGACTCACCTCCAGGGCGACGCCGCCCAGGACGAAATCACGCAGCTCATTGTCAACAACCCGTTTGCGCGCCTCTGATAGGCCGTTCCAGTCCGAGCCGTCACGAAGCGCGCGGAATGCCTCGTAGAGCGGCTTGCTCTGCGCCATGCGCAGGCCCAGCTTCACCTGCAGCGGCTGCACCTCCTCCACTGCCTTGCGCAGCGCCTCGCTGTCCCTTACTGCCTGAAGAGGATACCCTCCTGCCTGTCAGAGGACTGGCATTTCCACAGGAGGGGAGAAACTTCCAAAAGGGTGGAAGTTGTACTGTAGAAGGACATCCGAAAGGCAGCGCAACAGGTCAACATTGTCCAGTCACCTTGCCATTCTGAACACCCTTCTTCTGTCAGCCTGAATGCGAGGCATGGGGCACTTTTGGGGAGGGCAACAAGAATGGATAGCGCCGCACGCAAACCAGATCTGTCTCCCCAGCGGCAAGGAAATCAAGGAGAACTGTGGAAAACCCTGCTGCGCAAAGATCTGATTCACATGTGAAAGGCTAACCTTCAAGTGGGAGACAGTGCTCCAGGCACGGCTGATGCTGTCTGTGAGGCGCTCCAGAGGCTCCACCAAGCTGCTCCACGTCGGCTGCACCGTCTTCTCAAGCTCGTCCAGCTCGGCGTTGAGGTCTTCTATGAGCTTGGTGATCCCAGGAACGACGTGCTCCGCCTTCACTTGGTCAAAGAGTGGGAACGGAGCGTCCTGGAGGCAAGTTACTTCCTTTGCAAATCACTTCTTTTGAAGCAGAGGGATGAAGTAAGAAGAGTAAGTGTACAAGAAAATTATAAGCTCCCATAGAATGCTGTGACCTGGACATGGAACGCACCGTAAGCAGAGGATTTGTGGATGCTGAGGTGTCTGCTTCCATTGTTGCAGCTCTGCAAGTGGTCGCCCTCCTGATCGTAAAATTGCAAGATCGTGGATTCGCGAGATATTTGCAATGTCCTGATACAGCCTTTGAGGGCACAGGTGCCAGAACAGTCCTGCTGATGTGATCAGGTCTGTATGAGTTCCGCGAAGCCTGACTTCGACACAGGCAGATTCCCCGAGATGCAAGCCTGGCAACCTTGATCATTTCTCTGCAATGAAACTCAATAGACCTGAAATTTTCAGACTGCAGGCGCCAAAACAATCGTGCAAGGACATGCATGCAACATGGAAGGCCCCACGTGGCGCACCGTCTCTTCGTCTTCCGTTTAAATATCGATGGACAGCTCGGGACTGCCGATTCCTCTTCATTCCATTTAAAAGTGCACATTGACAATCAAACTTTCTAGATTTTCTTGCTGTTGACTTGTCAAGATGGTGGCTCCCGCGTCCAACATCAAGCGCCCGCTCCGTTTCTGGGAGCAGATCTGCTCCAACATGGGTGTTACCATGGGCTTCGAGCTCGAGGGCAAGGTGACGCCTCAGATCGTGAAGGACGCCTTCGCTGCCATCCAGAAGGAGTACCCCTACCTTCGCACCGTCCTGACGAATGACATGAACCAGCTGGCCTTCGTCGAGCAGCCCGTGGTGCGGTCGATCCTCCATCAACTGATTAGCAACCTGTGCAATCTTGTGTGGTCTTCCACCATCCATGATATGGAAGCTGCAATCCATTCATTTTATTTCAAGGTCGACGCACAGCTAATTCAGATTTTTGCCGTACTGTGAGTCTTGACGGCATGTTCAGCATTACCGAGGACTTTGGGTGTGTGCAGGTCGTCCAACTGACTGTCACGGAAGGCAAGGATCTCCCCAACATCAGCAAGGCGATCACGGACGTCGCCAACACACTGCGAGACCACGGCAAATCCGTCATCTACCTCGACCTGTTCAGGTGGGATCCCGAAGTCTTCAACGGTACCGACCCAGTGCGTCTGCACAAGCAAACTGCAATGTCTGTCACTTCATTGCTGCTCGTGAAAGTACTGGATCGATCGGTTTATTCCGCTCGATTGAGTAACGCTTGATAATACCGTCTGTCTGCCCACCCCGCAGCAAGGGCGACAAGCACGTCCTAGTCTCCACCCTCAACCATGCTGGCATGGACGCGTTGAACGGCTTCCAGATCTACGACTCCTTCTTCAACTACATCGGACTCCTCTCCGCAGGTGCTGTCCCCCAAAACCCGCCCAGGCTGCTCCTGCCCTAGAAGCACCGACTGGGCACCAGCTTTTGCAGGCCTGATGCACCACAGACTCTCTGTAAGGATGTGGCATTTTTTGTGACACCCGCTGTGCTTGACCAGGCAAGCCGCTGCCCGAGATCAAGTCAAACATCTTTGCCGATGTACTGGGCAGCATTCCAGAGTCCATCAAGAAGGTATGCTCCTCGATCACCTGACTATACACAGACCTCGTGGAGGAAGGCTCTCCTGCTTTGCTTGAGCAATCCATCTTGCACTTTCCTGCATCCGTGTAGCCTGCCGATGCTAGCCCACAAAAGGCAACCAACAATCAGTTGCATGCGATGCTTTGTGCCGAAGCCACCAGTACAGGAGGGCCTGGGACGTTTGTTACCATGGAGAATGATAGAGCAAAGAGCAGCGCCTCATCACACCCCGGGTCTGCTGTGCCTGCAAATGCAAGATTTTGTAGTATTGTTATTATTACAGGCTTTCCTGCCAAAAGGCAAGTAACGTCCAGCAAACAAGCTGCACTGCAGCTAGAGGCTGTCACAATCCTACCTCTTGATGGACTCGCCAAATCCAAGCAAGACCCAATCAAGAATACAAGAATAGCGAGGACTAAGTGCTAGTCTGGCAGGTGCCCGCGCCCAAGGTGCCTGAAAAGTTCATGGCGCCGATTGCTGCCGAAGCGGGCGGCAAGGCCGGCGACAAGGCGCGCGTGCAGGCATTCTTCACCGAGCTTCCTGAAGACGTGACTGCTGCCCTCATCAAGAAGTGCGCTGCCACTCCCCTTTCTTCCGTGCAAAGCTTTTCTTAAATAGAATATAGTTCTCCATGCGAATTGGGTTCATATGGACTCTGCTTCTGGCTAGTGAAGTCAAATTATGACTTGACAGGAGTGGCTGTTATGTCATGCAACATGTCAGAGGCACACATGCCCGTGCGCGCATTGTGCATATCTTAGACCAGCAGTCCCCAAACCAGAGGGCGGATCATAAGAATGATACCTTGCAGAGCAATTCCCAGAAGTGCATGTCCTAATGTTTGGCTTGTCAGCAGCAACCTCATGGCTCATGCAGGCATGGGCCGCATCTGATGCCAACACTCCCTCGCACAGCTTCCAAAACGTCCTGTGCAGATCCCAAGGCGGTGGCTGTCCAATCAGAGCTATCTCTTTGTGGGTGTGCAGGTGCCATGACAAGGGAGTCACCGTGCAGGGCGCTGTGTCGGCGGCGTCTGCCGTGGCTAACGCAGCCGTCCAGGCGAAGGAGTTCCCTCTGCCCCAGACCCTGCTGCTGCAGTGCCCCTGCAGCGTGCGCGACCAGGTGACCTGCCTGCTGCACCTCCTATTTAGGAGAGTTATCAAGAGAAATCATTCATCCTGGATATATTTGTTTACATTGCTTATCAAGGAACACACCAAGCACACACAAGGTCTTCTACCTGCTCGCCAGTTGTCTGTCTCTCCTCATTCGTCAGCAAGTTTTCCAGTGCAACAGCAAACCCCGAAGTGCGCAGCTGCTGGCATTTGTCGCACGATGCTCACATTGGCACCCACTTCCCCAAATGCAACAGAGCTAACCCTGAGCCTGCACCCTCGCACTGGTATCTTTAGTATAGAAGGGGCGCGAAGCAGTTTTGTGAATAGAGGCCGGTACTTGGCGCAGCGGCAGCCCCCATGAGCCGGCACCTGGCAATGGCAGGAATGTATAGTAGAGCAGTGGCACAAACTAGGTGAGGTGACAGCGCAAAGCATTTTGACATAGCGCAGGGGGAGCCCCCAGTAAAGCCGGCCAGAGCCCTACTCCCACAATTAGCACAACAGATAGGAGTATTTACACAAAAAACGCTTGTCCATGCGTGCAGGTGGAGCCCCCCGTGAAGCCGGCGGACGGCGGCCAGGGGGCCTCGCTCCTGTGGTGGGCGCAGGAGGTCACGCCCTCGGTCAGCCTCTGGGCCGTGGCGGCTGCGGCCAGCGCCGCCATCAAAAAAGAAACCGAGGCGAAGGGCGGCCTGGCTTTCTGGTCGCGCATGTACGCCGACAAGACCATGTTTGAGGCCATGGGCCAGGAGACGCCATTCTTCAACCCCCCATTCACCGTGCGCTCCTGGAAAACTTAGAACAAATTTGTATTCCATGTGAAGAATTAGAGCTCCCACCATGCAAGCACCTGTGTCACGCGCCTTGACAGCCTGCAGCCCTTTACTAAATGATCTTGATAAGAATATGAATGACTCACCCTCTAGAAGCTTTCTTTGCTGCGGGAAAGCCGTGGGTCCAGTGGTAGGCTGTCAAAGAAATCAGGCCTGAGCTGCTGCAAGCAGCTGAAAGGAGACGAGGACTTGTCAGTGAGGATGCCGAGCTTTGGTGTCGTTTCTGAGTTGATGCATTCTGGGCACGGGCTGATAAAAAGTGCATACATGCGCAGGCGACGGCGTCTTCGATCGGCAAGAACCCGATTGCGGCCGCGTACGGGCCGGTGAAAGTGAAGCGCACTCATCTTCTGCTGGCCACCTACGGAGTCACGTCCCCCACAGAAGCGGGGCACATGACCCACGCCCACACCTTCAACAACAAGTGCGCGCCACCGGCCTTTTGCATTGTGTTGAACACCGTGCCTGCCCCGCATGTTCTCTGATGCATGCAGAATCTTTAGTGCAGCACTCCTACTGCATAGCCAAGCCTGTTTCTGACATGCTTTCCGCTCAGTGTAAGAAGTAGGCTCACTACAGCGACAACTCTTTTCCAGCACTGTCGAAAGCTCTCCTGCTAGGCGCACACAGGCGCTAGTTCCCATGAAGGAAGACGGCCCTTGTGCCTTGAGGCGTTGTGTTTTTGTGGCCTGCCGTTCCCTGCCTCTGCCAGACTAGACACAGCTTGGATGGTCCAAGCTGTTGGGTGCGTGCTCTACAGAGTCGATCACCTGTGCGCTGCATATAAGTGGGTGTGCCTGCTGCAGGCTGAATCTCACCTTCAGCTACAACATCCCGGCTGTGGGCGAGGAGCGTGCAAAGCGCATCGCAGCCACCCAAGAGGCCGTCCTCAGGGTGTGATTCCCCTCTGAACTTTTGCAAACTGCATATTTTGATTGAAAGCCAAGCCCCCAGGATCACTCTTGCCAGATTTTTCCTGAGACATGTGCATCAGGCAATTCTGCAAGCCTCTATCATGTTGGATCCTTGCATAATTTCACTGTAAGAAGATCGTTGAGGCCAACATGCTTGAGCAATCACGCCTTATTAAGTCTGATTCCAGTTGAACTTGTAGAGTCCTAATTGAATGATGCAGTGACTATATGCACTGCATGGGCAATGATCTGTTGATGATGAGGGATGTGCATGTGCAGGCCCTGGCCTCTGGAGACGAGTCTGCTCAGGTGCAGAATTTCTGAACGTCGACTGCTCCAGCTGCACTGGAGACCTCATCAGCCTGTGAGGCGGCAGCGCATTGCTTTCCTTGACGGCCTGACTGCTAGCCAGCTACCTAGCGTGATGCATGCACCTTGAGGCTTGCCTGAGACCTCTGTAGCGACAGAGTGAGGCTGCAGTGCCTGTACCAGGGACGGTGGATAATTGGAGATTTAGATACCCGAGTGTGACACGCGCATGTGTTCTTTGTGAATGGCATCCAGATGAGTGGACACTTCTTAGGCTGATGTACATCGGTGCGCGGGCCTGAGAATTTTTAATCATATGTTCATTTAATCATAACGCAAATGAGCGCTCATTAAAATTGGCAACTCCGACACAGCGCAGCGTTGCATGCATACATCCTTGCTGTGCTGTTTCTAGGAACGGTAGATCTACCGTCGCACATACAACAGCAAAGTTTGCATCAGATATTTGCAATTGTTACCAAACCCTGCAATACCAGCATGAACCCAATCTTGCCCCAATTTTGCAACAGATACTCCATCACCTATTCGCCATTTCAGGCGCTGTACATGTACGCATCAACAAGCACAGCACTTATGGAAGATGACCGTGGTGCAACATTTCCATGATCTTACTTTCAGCACTTCTCCAGCCATAAAACACAGTGTCCAAAACCGTTTCAAGCAAGCTGGAAAGGTGGAGTGTGAAGGCGATGATGTCAGTCGTAGTCATCATCCCCGTCACTCATGGCCTCAAATTGCCGTGCCGCCTGCTGCGCTAGGTAGGTCTGCTGCGGGTAGGCTAGAGAATCCTGGCCTCCACCAAACACTGCATGCACACCCAACGCAGCAACACTCAGCACCGCCTTCTACACCATACATTCAGCTTACAATGGACCTTTGCAGCTGATCAGTACTACCATCAAAGACGCACTTATTTCCTTCTATGAAATTGCAGGATGGAGAACTTGGGTCAAGCCCCATGGGCACACCTGGCCTGCCGGCTTTGTGAAGACCCCGGCCGCCGCCGCCCATCCCTGTGGCATCACGAATCTCAGGGGATGTAGAAAGGGTTCCAGCCACTGGTGTACATGAGAGTCTATGCACCATGCAGACCACAATGTTTTCCTAGCGCCGTGCATGCCAAATAATCTAGGCATGTTAACCACCCTTCTCAGCAGCACAGCAAATCATAGCACAGCCCTTGTTTGCATGGGCAAAAGCATGCAGGGTGTAACCGAGGGAGTGTTAGGTAAGGCAGTGTTGGGCGAGGGGAGCGCACCGGACTTGCGGCTGCCGCCGTGGCCGCCTCCCCTCTTGGGGTCGCCTGCCTGATACCCCCTGGTATCTCCCTGATCTCCCTGCAATGGCAAGGCCGCCGATCAAAGAACAGTATGAGGGGGGCTGGGAACACTACTTACAAATAGCCCTGTCAACACCCCGACATGCCCCATGCTGACCGCCGACACTGAAGCAAGTTAGGGTGCGCCGAGGAGCTTGTGGAGAGATACAACCTCGCAAAAGTCACACATATAGGCCTCCAATTAGCTGCTGAAGATACAATACTGTTTCCTAGCGTGCGCTCTGTGTCCTTCACCAAGTCCCAAGAGAACTGGTAGCAACTTCTCATGTCACTGAGAGCGACACATTGTACACGCTAAGAGACAGATAAAAGAAAACTGCAGGGGCCGGCACCTGGGCGCTGGGGGGCTTTGGGATCTCCAGGACGTTGACCTTCTCCTCTAGGATGCGCAGCTCGTCAGGCGGGCAGCTGTTGACCGTCAGCCACTCGTACGACTCCGCACTCGTGCCCGCGTCGTACACGATGCTGCACCGCCACATCACGCACACATCAGCGCTGACATAAATCTTCCGCATCGCTGACTGGACATGTGTCATGCGTTGCACATCTGTCATGCGACGCATTGCACACATAGCTGCGCTGACTTGGCCCTTCCGCATTGCTGGCTGGAAATGTGTCATGCATTGCACCCTAAGATGCTTGCTTGACCTGCTTGAGTTTTGACACATGACAGGCAAGGCAGGGATGCAAAGACAGGCCCGGCTCGAGGATGTGGACTCTTGGCCTTTCACAGTTCATCTCCTTGAATGATCAAGGTCAAGCCAACACTGCTGCAGGTGATTGTGGGGACCAAAGCTGGCACTAAGAGGCATGCATGCCGGTGGGGCTGCGGAGTCACCAGTGCTCGCCGCTGATGCCGTTGTAGTCTGTGATGATGCCGCTCCACCACTTGTGGTCCTGCACACACCCCAGCAGCCCACTTGGTCACATCAATGTAGAACCCCCCGTTGCTTATCTCCCATAGGGGGTAATAGAGACTACTCTAGTCTGTAGTACCCCCTGTCTCCCATTGATACAAGCAATACAGTGCTGAATCCAACAAGACACAGCTCTCTCATCACATTGTGAGAGCTGTTCAAGGACAAAGCCACAAGTGGCTTGCAAAGTTGCAATGTTTTCCACAGACAATCGGCAAGCCTGAGCTCCCAATTTAGAGGCTCCAACAGAGGAGGCAAACAACATGCATGCTCTTCAAGATGTTGACAGTGTGACTTTTGTCGCACTGGCTGCACAGCAAGGGTGCACACAAGGTACTCATATCTGAGACTTAGCAACGGAAGGGCTCACATCGGCCCAGTATCTGTCCACTTTGTGCCCCACCAGAGGGTTCATGCCCATCACAGGCCCGCCTGCACCGCCTCCCTGGGGAGCATGCGCTGCCTGTTGAGGCCCATCAGGCTCCGCGCTGCCCTGCGGCCATTCAGACAAATTTAAATTGATAGAGCCACATATGATTCCTGTCGATCCCCAGAGCTTCTGCAGGAAGGCGCCCTCATTCCTGCCATGCTGCCCAAGGGCAGATTTTTCAATTGCCGAGGAAGCGACTGGTCTGTATATGCATGACACAAGGACCGACTCAAGCATGTGAAGGGTTGAAGCCATGTGCATTAACAGGCAGCTCACCTTTTTCAAGCGCTTCTTTGCAGGCTTTGGGAAGGCTCCGGGGTAGGACGCCCTCTTCTGCCCTGCCTGCAAGCCCCAAACCACAACTTTTCAAGTGAAGTCCAGACCTTATCAGCTCCCCACAGCTTAAAGAAGTAATGTACAAACGTCAGGCGTTGCCCGCGCAGTTGGACAATCATAGGCCGCCAAAAATGGGGAAAATTTAGTTGCACTGTGGCACCCCTTGTCCAATACACTATCCCACAACTCTTCCTATTTATGCTTTAGAGCAGTAAGATATGTGCCTCACCTGCCCGAAGGGTGAGCCACCCTGGGGGGCGCCATAGGGGTCCCTTCGCCCCATCGCCGGAGACGGCGGCTCCGAGTCTGAGGAGATCCCAACAACCGATGGCGCTCTGGCCCTGCAAGAGTGCAGTGAGTCGGATGATGTTTTCAGGCCACACGGCCAGCCATGATGTGCGCTGTGTCTTTTCAGGCTGATCAGCTTGAATGGTAGGCTTCAAGGACTTTTGACAGGCTAAAAATGCCACATGGCTCGCCTGAATGCGCACTGCATTCTGTTCAAGCTCGTCGTTTTGAACAGGCATACTTTTTTTACCCTGACAGGCTCTGGCAAAGAGAGTGCGGAGCTGCATGCTTACTTGAGCCAGGGTCTGTCCTCCTCGTTGCTGATGCACTGCCGCAATTCTTCATGCCTCTCATCGCTGATCTTCAGCTCTGTCCGGAGCTGTGCCAGCATCAGCTCCTTTTTCTGTGACCCCCGCAAGATGGCATGTCAGTGAACTGGCCAATGCACTCAGCTGTACACAGTGTTGAGGATTCCCGCAAGCCAGCATGTCAGTATGATCAATGCACTCAGCTGCACCAAAAGTCCACATTCTCCGCAGCCCAGCATGTAATCATAATGGTCAATGCACTCAGCTGTACAGTGTGTCCACGTTCTCCGCTGCTGTGAAAAAGAGGCACAGCAGGAGCATAGGCTGAGCAGTTGCAACACTCCAAAGAATGAAGTGCGCACTGCAGACGCAGTGCCAGGAAGCTTCTGAGGCTCACGCACCAGGTCATATGACTGTGAAGCCACGAAACACTTCAGAACTTTGCAGTACGCCTCCTCGCGCAGCTCACACAGCCGCTCCTGGGCTCCAGGCATGATACTCACACCCAACCCTGCTGACATCATAGCATCACAGTTGGAGGACGTCGAGCTCATTGGACAAGCCGGCAGGTAAATGAAATGCTGACATCGCTGGAACAGGAGAGGCTTTGAGAGTGCCAAAGTCAGGATGTGTCTGCTTGCCTGCAAGGCCCTTGCCCAATGTGAGCGCTAGTATACAGTCAGACACGCAGGCACGACAGTCTCTGGTTCTGCAATCCTCAATGAACGTCTTTGTGTACCCCTGCGTGTCAAAAAGACTCTGAGATGGACCCAGAATCCTTTCTCTGCCTCTCAGAATCCGGTAAGCAACACATTCATTTGTAGCTTACGAGCAAGCCTCGAAGACGACGAGCGAAATACGTAGAGGAAAAACGGCATACAACATCAACAATGCATGAAGACCAATGACCACTACTTTCAAGCTACTCGTTTAAAGCTTTTCATACAAGTGCCAGACAACGAGGGTTGCCATCGGGCCACGGGTCGTCTGTGCTAGACGCATAACGGTGATATGCATGAACGTACCTTAAAAACAACCCAAATGCGTCACCAGATTGATCAAATCATTCTGGTGATAAATTTGGATCTTTCCAGAAAGCAAGAGTATGTGAGTTCGCAGTCACTCACTGCAACAAGACAGTACAATGCTAGTGCTTTGCCACAGAATACGAAACATGACCATATGTATAAGATGCACGAAAGATCATAAATTGCGAGCGAAGTCATGAGGAGCTGAGATATGTAGATTCTCGACTCCCTTGAACCCCACGTCAAGCCCGCTCTCGATCTTCCACATCCCCTTTGTTGATTTTCAAATCGCAGGAACATTTTGTGCAATTCTACCTTGTTGTCTAAAGTCTGGACATTAAAGGCTGGAAATTCATTCTTCGTACGAAAGAGGTCCTGTACAGGCCAGTCCAGGACGGTGTAGAGGCCTCACGATAAGCAGAGTGGAGGTGAGAATGCTGACAACCAGTAGCAATCCCACAGCCCAGACTTCAGTGCTCGCATCAGCAATCAGCAAAATACAGTATGTTGAATGTTTGCTGGCGATTTTTGTGCCAAGTCAGTGCTTTCCTGGTTGTCCATGACACGTTCAAAGCATAAGTTTGCAGGGTGGCCTTATAAAAAGGTGTGAGAAATCCTTGCATCCTCAGTGTTGCAGCTCTTATATGGCCCTACGCTGGCCTCACTTGACGAGGAGAACATTCAGCTGGGATGCTCAGGAAGGGCATCATTTGGGCAGCACTTTCAGGCAGCTTCAGTGGGAGGGGGAGGAGAGAGACCTAGAAGAAACTATAGCATTCTCTCTCGGGACATAGTGACAGGCTTTAGGTCAGTGCCAAATTGTGGTCTCGAGACATGAAGGGTGGCCATTGAACGAGCTTCTTGCCGAGGGAACGGGGAAGGGCCCTCTCGGGGCTTGGCCACGGACAATGACGCAACCTGGAGACCTCTGGCCCTGTGACAAGCCGTATAATAGGGATGCGAACAAGACCACGCAATCCCGTGACTGTACGAGCACAGGCCTTCTGACCTGTGGTGGCTCTCTGCACTGCAGGAAGATACTGAAGAGCACTGCAGAGTAGCGGAGCCCATGCGGCGGGCACGCTTGCCCTTGGGGCAGCGGCCATTTTGTCTATCTGCGGCGTCGGTTTGCGTCATTTTGTTGCTCAGCGGCTCCTGCTCTAGGTGCGCTACACCACGAAACGGTAAACCAGGACCCGGGTTACGAAGCCAACTGCCAGCCTGAGACACGTTGTAATAAAGGAAGCAAAATTGCCGCCTGCTGACAAGGAAAAATGAACATAACTTGTTGCTTCGAGCTTGCTCCTTGGCATCCCTGTCGTTGCGTTACACCCCTGACATAACAACGATGGGAGCCATCGTGCTCTATACTTCCTTTGGGACCTTGTGTTTTGAGGGTGATGGCATCAGCATCCATCACTTAGCGCTGAATCTTAATGTTTGATGCATTGTGCAGGTTTACGGAAGCTTCAAAGGCCCTCATTGACACAGGTGACTCACAGGCCCATCTCACAGGCCCGAACTCTGCCACGCCTGCCTGAACAACTCCAACACACATGCATGCTAACCTGATGAAATCTAGTTCTATAACAGACGTCCATTTGCTGGTGCAGGAGCTGGAAGGCAACTTTTACAGCGGACCCACCCCTATGAAGGCCACAAAGAAACCAACTTGCAGCAGCAGGAGACCACAGCGGTCGCACAGCCTCAGGTCAGTGCAGGCCACACATAGCATTGCCACTGAATCTTGCAGTCAGCTCTGCACACCATGTAGTTTCTACCTTACAAGCAGACCTGCAGGAGAGACATCATTATCATCACAACTCCATTGCCTGTCAGCGCATGGACAGCTCACATTCTTTCAATCTACTGCCAAATTCCTCCATGCTGCCTTTCGATCCCTCAGAGCAAGCACCTCGCTTGGGCAGCCGATGCTGCATGCAGTTGTTCCCCCTGCAAATTGCATCCTGCTTTTCCTACCAGGTGTGTTTATGTTCAGCAAGGTCAAGCTGGCATCATGCAGTCCAACAAATAACCAACTGCTGGAGAGAATCACAAATCGCTGACCACAATGTCTGAATCACAGGTGAGCGAGGCGACGCAGGCAAACCCCGTGGCGGCGGCCGATCTCGGCCTGCCGGCTCCGGCCCCGGCTCCCGCGCCAGCCGCTGAGCGTGTCGTAGCACCTGAGCTGCCCGGCCTCGCATTCCTGGGCCTGCCCCCCCTGCCCGCGCTGACTACTCAGGAGCGCTCCGTCCCCGATGGCGGGCCCGGTGCTCTACCGCCCATGCCCGAGGCCGGCGCGCAGGTCCGTGTTATGCTTTTTTGTCTTTTTCTGTTCTTATGCCCTGAGCTAAGAGCCACCTGGAATTTCTGCCGCCCCTCATGGCGGCTTCCCTTTCCATCGGCAAAATGCTGACAGATCTTGCCTTTACAGCCTTAAGGCAGGAGTTCTTTCCTTTCAGAAAAAAAATTGAGTTGAACATGAGGGCTTGTCAGATACAGCTATAGAAGGAGTCTTTCAATTGAACCTGCCACTTAATAAAACACTGGCGCACAGGTTGCGAGCGCCCCGGACCCGAACGTGAACCGCCCGCTGACCCTCAACGACGACAACACCCCCAACGCGCTTGCGCCCGCCATGTTTGACGCCGAAAGAACCTTCCAGGTGCGCACATCTCCTTGAATGCATGCATTGCTTATTCACTCCACGTGCTCTTTAGTCATGCATGGACACGTCTGTGCCTGTGGAAGTCAACCATTACACCTGAATTGGCACTGGGTACTGCCTTCAACTTGTAGCTTGCAGAGGAGAGCCCTCATTGCCCTCGGACTCATTCTATCTTCATGTGTCAGGTGCATTCGCTTGCTGACCAGCGAATCAAAGATGGGTGCCTGACTGCGAATGTCAGGTGCATTCGCTTGCTGACCAGCGAATCAAAGATGGGTGCCTGACTGCGAACGTTTATCTTCCTTGCAGGAGGTGACAACGGCGTTCGCGGCTCCCTTCATTGCAGCCGCGTCCGCGCCGGCCCCGTCAGCGTCCCAGATCCTGTCGGCCTTCACCCAGCTGATCCCTGAGGCGCCAACGCCGGCGGTGTCCATCAAGGTGGCGGACCTCCAGGGCCGACCGGCCGCCGCATTCAAGCTGCCCACCGCTGACACCGTCTTTGCCGCGCTCGAGAAGCTCGGCCGCCGCCACCTGCTGCAGGAGGGCGCGCCAGCGCCGGCTCCCGAGGCGGCTGCCGGCGGCCTCCCTGGCCCCGGCTTCCCGGCGCTGCCGCAGCCGGCCGCGCAGGCCGCCGATGCGTCGTCATCGGCCGACGGCGCATGGTACCAAACCAACGAGGGGAACCTGCCACCAGGCCAGCCGCAACCGCAGGGCCTGCCTCAGCCGCAGGGCCTGCCCCAACCGCTCCCGCAGGCGGCGCCTCTGCAGGGGCTTGCGCCCGCCGAGCAGCCTGGCCAGGCCGTTGCCACCGGCGCGCCGCTGCCGGAGGCCGTCGCCCCCGGCCCCGCCATCGCCTTCGGCCCCATCCCCTCGGAGGTCAAGGTGTGTGAATTTATAACAAGCCCCCACATATACATCACTCTGGTCATTAGTAACCAGATATCCTCTAGATGGGACACCCTCTCACAGTGTGCATAGCAGAGATGCATGTGCATGCATGTGATTGCTCACTGTGCTGTACTGAGCTCTGGAGAAATGATAGGGTCGAGGCCTTGCAACCGATTAACTTGGTGCCTTTACTTCAAACTGCACAGAAGGACATCTAATGGCCTTCCAACATGGTTCCTTCAAGCAATTGAAGACATGGACTCGACTGTGTGCGCAGACCTTCGCGACGAAGCTGGTGAACTTCATCGGCGCCGAGGCGCGCAAGCAGTTGCCCAAGCAGATCGACATCCTTCCCGGCATCGGCCGCAAGCTGCAGCAGGGACCTCCCGAGCTGCCCGCTGAGCTGCAGCCCGCTCTCCCCGAGATGACCGAGCCTTTTGCTGCCATGGCACCTTCCATGATGGCTGAGTCACCCATGACTGCTGAGGCCCCCATGACCGCCCCAGGTTTGCGCCTCTCGGCTGATTACTTCGCCCAATCTAGAGGAGCACCTGAGGAAAGGGTCCTGATCGTACAAATCAACAGCAAACTCACAGATAGATAAAATTATTATACTAGGGAATATACAATCAAGTGCCTATGTGTAAACCACTCTAGTTTACGCTTGCAACTATAGGGTGCGGATGCATACATGTCAGCAGCTCTTCATTCAGCCACGATGCTGTTTTGCACGCATGTCAGGGTGCTGCTGAGGATATTGTGCATGTGGTGTCAGTAGTCTTGGCAGTGTCCAGTCAAGACAAGGAATAACATAGAAGCCTGTGCTTGCAGGTGGTCTCCCCCAGCCAGGCCCCATCTTCCAGGCTCTGCCTGAGCCGCTGCCCCTCCCTCCCCTGCCCCAGCCAGAGAGGCCCGCCCAGGCAATGAGCCCCGGCATGGCCCCTGAGACTGCCCCTGCCGGCCTCCCCCAGCCAGGAACCAGCTTCCAGGTGTGTGACTTTTGAGCCAGGGATTGGTATAATACCTGACTGTGGCGACGCATGCAACGCCTTCAGCATACCTAAGTACTCATGCATGCTTTCAAGCACTGTGAGGCTAGGTCAGGCTGACATGCAGTAGCCCTGGTAGTCAGTGAAGTTGTTGGTTGAGTGCCATTTTTGAGTTGCAGTATTGCTGATCCTTGTTGAACGTGACGCATGTGTGCAAGTACTGAGCCTGATGCTGCATGACGCAGTCCAAGTCCAAGTCTTTCAAGGGATTCAACGGGCTCCCAGGCCGCAAGTTGCAGCAGGGCCCTCCCGAGCTGCCCACTGAGCTGCAGCCCGCTGTCCCTGAGATGATCGAGCCCTTCGCTGCCATGGCTCCCTCCATGATGGCTGAGGCCCCCATGACCGCCCCAGGTGAGAAGCACAGCAAAGTTTACTTGTGATAAGCGCTCCCTCTGACCATTATCCCATCGCTTGGTGTTGAACATTATAATCTTTGCTGAAGTGAGCCAAAGGGGTAGTGCCTTGTAGGCAGTAGATGTGCCTTCACAGGGAGTCATGCATGGTGTTGCTTGTGAATATCATGTTGTCAACATTGGACATGAGGTTTTAACAACTAACATTTTCCATGCAGGTGGTCTTCCCCAGCCAGGCCCCATCTTCCAGGCTCTCCCCGAGCCGCTGCCCCTCCCTCCCCTGCCCCAGCCAGAGAGGCCCGCCCAGGCAATGAGCCCTGGCATGGCCCCTGAGACTGCCCCTGCCGGCCTCCCCCAGCCAGGCACCAGCTTTCAGGCATGCTCTTCTACTACCTTTCAAGCTTCTTTAGACCTACAGCCCACCATATGCGCACAAGAGAATGCCGATTACACATGACATGCGTAGTACATCAACTCAAGCTCAGTGCTCACTGTCTTCTGGGTGTACTGCAGTCCAAGTCAAAGTCTTTCAAGGGATTCAACGGGCTCCCAGGCCGCAAGCTGCAGCAGGGACCCCCCGAGCTGCCCGGTGAGCTGCAGCCCGCTGTCCCTGAGATGATCGAGCCCTTCGCTGCCATGGCCCCCACCATGATGGCTGAGGCCCCCATGACCGCCCCAGGTCAGTCCTGTTATTAAGTCAATTGTCTGCTCGGCACCAGAAAACTGACATGCGCTGTGCTATATAATATATTGCACTATGTAGGATTAATCTCATTGTGTCTGCATCGGTGCATCACCCAATAATGTGCACCTAACAAGAAGAGATGGGAATACCAGTATCACATCAGTGCTTCAAGCTGTCGGGACAGTGGCGGTAACAGAGGGCAAGCAAATTCTTTGTGTGGTATCAGGTGGCCTTCCTCAGCCGGGCCCCATCTTCCAGGCACTGCCCGAGCCGCTGCCCCTTCCCCCTCTGCCCCAGCCAGAGAGGCCTGCCGAGGCCATGAGCCCCGGCATGGCCCCCGAGACCGCCCCTGCCGGCCTCCCTCAGCCGGGCACCAGCTTCCAGGTAAATGCATATCTCTTTCTGTCTTGTTGAAATACCCTCTTGAAATGCATACTCACCTTCTGATGACTGTGATCATTCCAGTGCATAAAATGCAGCGCCATGATCTCAGCAATAGCGTTGAAGATGTACCATGGCAAGTCTAACTTGCGGCATAGGCTCACTCGTGCATGCATGCAATCTTTGCATGGCTCTCACATTGACCATTAAGCTGAGGTGAAGGGTTTATGTCGTGCGCTGGTATTGACAAGTGCTGCTGTATGCTGCAGTCCAAGTCCTTCAGGGGATTCAACGGGCTCCCAGGCCGCAAGCTGCAGCAAGGCCCTCCCGAGCTGCCCGCTGTCCCTGAGATGATCGAGCCCTTCGCTGCCATGGCACCCTCCATGATGGCTGAGGCCCCCATGACCGCCCCAGGTATGTCTTCAATCCAATGCTCAATACCCGTGTATCATGAGCAGTCGTTGGCGCTCTGCTGCCGCGCAACACTTTTTATTTGTGACAATCACCAGTCAGTCATTCAATCTCTCTCATTTGATCTGGCCTTGCCTTGTTCATGCATGCTGTAATGGAGTGCCGTCACTGGAGGTCATCTTGGTAATGAAGGTCACAGGATTATAATCATACATGCCGAGGAACACATGCGACAGGCATAATGCAGACAAGGGCACCTATTAAAATGCCCTTTGCACTTGCAGGAGGCCTCCCTCAGCCGGGCCCCATCTTCCAGGCACTGCCCGAGCCACTGCCCCTTCCCCCTCTGCCCCAGCCAGAGAGGCCCGCTGAGGCCATGAGCCCTGGCATGGCCCCTGAGACCGCCCCAGCTGGCCTCCCCCAGCCAGGCACCAGCTTCCAGGCACGCTTCTTTTATTCTTTCACACACCTAGCAGTAATCTACAAAAGCATGGCATGTATGCATGTGGTCGGCAGGCAGACAAGGGGCACTGGCAAGTATCTATGGTCCCGCTGTTCTCATTGGTAATGAAGAGACGTAGCATTGACAAGTGTTACTGCTGCTGCAGTCCAAGTCCTTCAGGGGCTTCAACGGGCTCCCAGGCCGCAAGCTGCAGCAGGGACCCCCCGAGCTGCCCACTGAGCTGCAGCCCGCTGTCCCTGAGATGATCGAGCCCTTCGCTGCCATGGCCCCCTCCATGATGGCTGAGGCCCCCATGACTGCTGAGGCCCCCATGACCGCACCAGGTTAGCTATTAATGCAGCAATGCATGCTATGACAGCTTGTGGGTGCTATTGCCGAACACATTTTTGGGCAGTCTGCAAGTTTTGGGCATGTATTAATGTGTTTCAGTCATACAGCGCTGTCACAATTTGAGGATTGTAGCAGCCACCAATTGAAAGCTGTCTCTTACACTGAACACAAAGCTTGAGCTGATTTTGCATGTGCATGAGCCAGCAGCTGTTGCAGTCATGTCTTATGCTGCAGTCAAGCCACTGGCCTACTGAAAAGGGTGTCTTTCACAGGTGGCCTCCCCCAGCCAGGCCCCATCTTCCAGGCTCTGCCCGAGCCGCTGCCCCTTCCCCCTCTGCCCCAGCCAGAGAGGCCCGCCCAGGCAATGAGCCCTGGCATGGCCCCTGAGACTGCCCCTGCCGGCCTCCCCCAGCCAGGCACCAGCTTCCAGGTGTGACCAGCATCCCTCATAGTAGACACCAGGCCCTTGTTTGCTACAAATCACTCATAGCAAGTGCCCATGATACATTAGTATTCATCAGTGTTTGCACGTTCTGACTCTTCTGGTGCTGCATGGCGCAGTCCAAGTCAAAGTCCTTCAAGGGATTCAACGGGCTCCCAGGCCGCAAGCTGCAGCAGGGACCCCCCGAGCTGCCCGGTGAGCTGCAGCCCGCTGTCCCTGAGATGATCGAGCCCTTCGCTGCCATGGCCCCCTCCATGATGGCTGAGGCCCCCATGACTGCTGAGGCCCCCATGACCGCCCCAGGTAAGCAATGCTTCACCTTCTTTGAGGACTTCACATGAAGACAGCATAATATATATAACATTGTCCTGCCATGGCTTTTAGGAGCTGGCAGACAAGACAATGCCTGGGATGACAAGTTTTAAGATTAATTTGAGAAAACAAAAGGAGAGTCTGCGTTGATTGGGAAGGCCTGTGTGTGCAGGTGGCCTTCCCCAGCCGGGCCCCATCTTCCAGGCACTGCCTGAGCCGCTGCCCCTTCCCCCTCTGCCCCAGCCGCAGAGGCCCGCTGAGGCCATGGCCCCTGGCATGGCCCCTGAGACCGCCCCTGCCGGCCTCCCCCAGCCAGGCACTGTCCTGCAGGTATTTCCTTCATATCCTCTGTGGTCTGTGTCACGGGGAAGAACATTGGTAGATGCTCGCTGTTTAGATTTGCAGTGCAAACCTGAAATTGTTCAGCCACCACCTCTGCTCAGTGTGAGTGAAGAGTAGATCTTGGTGTTTGATGTCATAGCACACCAAAAGCTGCCTTAGCGTAATTCCCTTGTGTAGACAAGCTTTCATGGTTGGTTGACTAATGTGACTTTCTCGTGCCGCAGTCCAAGCCCATCTCCTTCCAGGGATTCACCCATGGCCGCAAGCTGGCAGAGGTTCCCGCGCCTGCCCCCGGCCCGACCGCCTCGCGCCGCACCGGCCAGTTGCCGATGCCACCGCTGCCACCCCTGCCCGCCGGCGCCCCCGAGCCCGGCCCAGTCGGCGGCGCGCAGGTGTGCACCTTGTGTCTTTTACAGAGCCAAAAATTTGTGCGTTGTAGGCTATATCGTGACACGTGAAGCAGAGAATTGCACCCAGCATGTGCTACATCTACAGAAATCTCAGAATTAGAAGACCCCTAGCATATTGTGACAAGGCCTCTGTGCAATCGATTGATGATATGGGCTTCTTCCTAGCGCACAATGTGCAATGCTTCTGAGACTTCTGTTGTTGAGAGCCACAGCAAGAGCAGGCCTCCCTGTGCATGTCTGGCATTCTGGGGCTGTCTCTCATGACATCATCATGCCACTAAAGTGATGGGCGCCAATTGATGGCTTCAAGCAGGACACTGAGCATGCTGTGGGTGCTTGCAGGGACCCCAGCCAGAGCCCTTCAACGCCCAGGCCCCATCCTTTGAGGTGCCCCAGGAGCTGACCACGGGCCTCACCAACATCTTCAAGGCCGCCGTGCCCAACTTCCTGGCGCAGCTTGCCGGCTGAGCGCTGACTCACCAGGTGAGTGCCCTTACTTGCCTTATACTTTGTGCTTGCGCCAAAATGTCAGCCAAAAGGAGGCTTTGTCTGTATGGAAGTGGTTGCAGACCATTGTCATGATCATTAGATTACAAAGAGGAAGATGATTTTAATTTTAGGGGCCTATATACTGTAATTTGAGGGGCCTTCTGCATGATGTGCCAGGCACACAATCTTCGCAGTTTGCCATAATCGGGTAAGCAGGTTGCTGACTTCTTGCTGCTTTTGTCCGCAGGAGACAAACAGCTGCATCAACGCAAGCAATGCTGATGTGGCGGCTCAGCATGTGTGATGGCTGCAGTGCCAATGAGCAAGATTTTGCTTCAGTTGCTGCAGGCAGACATGAGCAAGCCTGCTGACTGTGCAACAAGCCAGAACCTGCTGAACCTTGAACCTGCTGATGACTGGGCCCCTACAAGGGCTGCAATCGCACTCATCAATCTATGGACATGAACTTACGGGTAGTACAGAACATGCTGATGTGTCAGTGTAGACTTGTGTTCAGACCATTGGATTCAGCCTATTGAAGGGAAACTAGATTTTTGACACACGACAGGTCTGTGAGAGAGTGCAGCAATCAAGATGGCATCACACATTGCCGGTACGGATCTGTTGGATTGTCTATCTGTTGGGGTTCACCAGAATTGCAGGCTGACCAATAGTTGGGAGCAGTCCCCTTGATTTTATTTCATTTATGCTTCATTTGATCATTTAATTTCATGTGCGTGGGCTCTGGGAGCATGTAAAGACTTCCATGCCTTTCAAGTACAGATGAAATGCAAGTCAGTAAGAGTCCATGTGGACCTCGGCTAGTCAAAGCACTCCTGCCAGCAATACTGTACTGCACCCAGTCGAGAATAACCGAGCTCAAACTTGGGTTATGCCCACAAAGGGGAACAGAACACCAGCATCTGCAGACTTAGTACCAGGAGACTGGCACTGCGTAAACAAAGACTCACCCACAGCAGTCCTTCCTGTGGGGAACAGCTTTTGATACAGCTCATATTGGTTCTTTGGCATTCGCTGATGGCCAGCCCAAGCGTTGGGCATGATAATGGCACGTGGTTGTAACCGTTTTCCCGCCCTTTCGGAATGTTGCTCGGGATGGTTGATGAGTACTTGTATTCTCTTTTGCAACTAAGAGCCCTGAATAACTCTAGCCACGATACAACGGATTGCTGGCCGGAAAGAGGGGGTCGCAGGCACTGTCACAGTAACGGCATCATCTCTGATGGATGTTAACTGCTAAGTGTCTCACTGCCCAGCGAGTTGTCTCTCTTTGAAGGAATCCTCTCCTTTATATCTTCGCATCACCTTGCAGCACTTTCAGCCGTGCAGTGCCTTGGATTGCAAGCATAAAACGAAGGAGACTTTTTCGTTGATCAGCACGGACGAAACCTTCGTCGTTCAGCGAAATTTATTCCAATGGACGACCTTGGCCCGTTGGACATACCATTGGAGTACACTTCAGCACCCATGGCGCAGGCAATTCCCAAAGAGGTACCACAGCCTGTAACATCCACTCTGTGTTGGAGATCAGGATTGTCTACTCTTGCGGAGAGACAGAACTTTGATCATAGTAACCCCGCAAAGGTTGAAAGAACAAAATTGGATATTTTGCGTCATCTCTTTCATGACGCCAAGCTGTGGCACTCTGAGCTTCACCCACTCAATGCTGTCATAAAGCACCACCCCAAGAGTTTGCACTGTGGCATGCAGGTGCTAGCAGTGCTGCCCACAGACCCTCACGAGCAGCTAAAACTGGCGCACAAAATCGGCTCGCGGGCGTATGCGCAGAAGGTGTCTTCCCTGGAGAGCGAGGTGGGCCACCTGAGGCGGGTGCTGGCTGACAAGGACAGCCACATCAGAACACTGGAGACTCGCCTCACCAGCTACCAGCTCGAGCTGCAAGAGGCTCTTGACAAGGTGCCTCTTGCTGTGACCCCTTACAGTGCACGCCACCCTCCTTTGTTCCCATCATGCCTGAGTCTTTATTAGGGAGATTATTGACACGGTCCCCATCAGAGCCCATGCAATGTCTTGATCTGCCACCAAGGCTTCGCTACCTAGGAATATGGCATTTCCATCGATGGCACGTTCTGCATGACCATTGCCATGCAGCCATTGCCAAACCCTCATATATGTTCGTTAATCGCAGTTGCCTGGCTGCTGCAGGCTCGAGCAAGCACGGATGCGCAGAGCAAGCTGGCCGGAGAGAAGGCAGCGCTTGTAGGAACAGTGCGCAGCCTCAACAAGCACGTGGCCAAGCTGGAAGGCTTCAAGCGCAACCTGCTGACCTCTCTTCAGGCCAGCGAGGAGGTGATGCCCCAGGGCAGATAACAGTTTTGCATTTTGCAGCAAGCATGCACCCCCGCTCACTTCCCTGCCTGCTTTTCAATTCCTGCTGGACACACACACTTTGAATATGGGCGATGCTATTGTCCTCCACACTTGAGGCTTCCTTATTTCCCATGGGTGCCTGTCTTGGCACCTCTGCTTTCCTGTCTGCCTCTTAGAACCTCAAGCGGGCACCTTAGGGTCCAGTGTATTCAGATCTGCGTGGATGGCCCCACAGGTGTGGCTGCAGACGCCTGCACGCATGCCCTACGGCCATTGGCTTTTGCTTTGCCGACCTGCAATACAAACGCCGTAATAATGATGATAATGAACTGCTGTCTGTAGGCTGTGGATGAGTTGGGAGGAGGGTTCGCCGCTGCAGACCTGGCAGGAGAGGCGCTGGTGCAGGAAGCCCTGCAGCAGGAGCAGCTGCATGCGACACCACACCGCGCCACGTCACCCTACAGGTGACATAATCCACAGCACATTGTACTCAGTGAACTCGTCAGTAGCAGACCCTAGTCAATAGGATACTAATACGGTATCCCCATCAGCATGTGACATGTCTGTCCAGTTGGTACCGGCGTTATGAAGGTGCAGCTGCCGCTCGTGAAGAAGTTTCTTCCTGGGTGGGCATCAGGGGGTCGCATCCCTGAGAATGCTATGAGATTCTTAAGCAGGCATGTATAATTGTGTGGACATGACTCTGCCCTCACAGTACTGTGTGCCTAATAGGGGCAATGGGCCCACCGCGGACGGCCGCACAGATTTCCGCCACACAATGGGCCACACGCCCGCTCCATACACTCAGGCGAACGGGAAGCACACACCCGCCACCGCCCGCAGCCACGGTGGCAGCGGGGGGACCTCCCCGGCGGCAGGCTACGGCATGCATGCACCCCCTCACCAGGGTAACTCCCTCGGTGGGTACGAGACTGCTTCGCGGCCCCTTGACCAGCATGCCAAGTCAGGCTATGGGAGCCCGCTGGACCTGCCACGGGGCGACTACAGCAACATGTCTGAGCTGTCAGCAGGTGCGGCCACTCCGCTGGCCTCAATATGCACAAGATGTGCTGCCTTCTCACAGAATCCTCAGGGACTCGCCTCTTGTGTTTCTTGCTCTGCAGCATACAGGCTAAATGAGTGCTTGACGATGATCTGGGCAGCTTTGATGGCTGTTGTCCATATGCTTGCAGGCTTTGAGGCGGAGGGTCAGCAGCTGTATGGCAGCCACCAGCAGGCAGACCTGCACCTTCCTGCAAACAGCTACGGCGCAGCCGACAGCCGCACACCAACCCTGGGCCGCCACACAACCCCGGTGGATCCTTACAGCGGCACCGGTGGCGGGGATGCTGCAAGAGGAACACCTCAGGAGTACGGCAGCCGGGAGCCTGTTCTGGCGCGCGAGCCACCTGCGCGCGGGTTTGGTGACGGTTCTGCGGCGGCCGCCGCTGGCCACGGCGGCCGGATGCCTGATCAGGCGCCGTTCGCCCGGGACGGCGGCGGCCGCGACGGCCACAGCGCGCATGCCGCGCCGGCCGCCGGGCGACAGGGAACGCCGCTGGATGGCAAGGAATTCTTCAGAAGGTGCCGTCTTTGCTGCCCATTGGCTTTGCCAGTGTCTCACTGTGTCAGGCCGTCATCCACCGCTCCTGACTGCTGCTGCCCATACGTTGAAGTTCAACCACCATCGGGGAAGATTGGGGGTTAAGGTATAGGGAAGTGGTCTTTATAGTAATAACTCTCATGGAAAATGCAATGGTGGAGTTGGGGTTCACAAGCTATATCACCCTTTCAGGGGGTATGACACTTACTGGTTGAAATCCAAGGTCAGGGCTGCTGCTGCGGCGGCATTCATGCCCATGCAGTCAGCTCCTGTCATTTACATTGTTTAGACGCATCCCTGTGAAGGCGTTCTCTTCCTCTCGTTGCAAGAAGTGACTGGGTGACTGGGAATCTCCACTTGAGTAGAATTGGGAGTCACAGCAGCTGCCTGATGTGTACGTTGCTGTGTGCGCAGGGCGCGGGCGCGGCTGGCGACAGAGCCGTTTGCGCGGTTTCTGGCGGCAATCAAGGAGCTGAACTCGGGCCAGCGCACGCGTGGCGACACCCTGCGGCTGGCGCGCGATGTGTTTGGCCCCCGGGACGCAGATCTCTACACTGCCTTTGAGGCCCTGCTAAATCGCCATTTACCCGCCCAGTGACGACCGCTTTTCGGCATCATCGGCTAGTCTTCGGCTTTTGGGCTTTTCGACGATTTCAAGCCAAAAACAGGGGTTTTGGCTACCTTTAGGCGAGCCGAAAGAACCCCTTTATTGACAGTGCCGGGCGAGGCGATGTGTCATATAACAGCTGTCCCTTCTGGCCACTTAGGGCTTGTTGCAGGCAAATTTCCCATGCAGCTGCTTCCCGGGATGGGGCAATGGGTGGAGATCTGCAGATGACTGGGACACTCCCTGCCAATTTGTGATGGGCTTCCTTGAAGCGGCATTGCATGGGAGTGGTTCATTGGCAGCAGTTGCACAGCTCATTTGAACTCCTGTTACGCTACCATCAGCATGTTGCCAAAAAGGGTCATGGCAATTGCTAGGCTGGATTTAGCAGCTGGCTCGCAAGATATGTACATTTTGTTGCGCACTGCATTTACATTCAGAGACTTCTTACATCGTGCAGAACCAGACACAGCTTTAGTGGCATTGCAAAGCAGCAAGTGACAGGACTTCCTCCAGCAATATGTGTACACATATGCCTCAGGAGCCACAATAATACTAGCCGTTGTAGACGCTGCAACGAGTTATTGATCAAGGCTGATGAAAGAGCATTCTCGGCGGCTGTGCGCAACCAACACTGCCTTGACATTTTCAAGTTGACAGCATTATGTAAGTTCCTTTATATTACATGCATGTGGTGTTCTGGCAAAGCTCAGGCAGGGCAATTCAGGCTTCTGCGGCCTTTTCTAGACGAGGCACAAGGATGCCTGATATTGCTTGCCCAGGGGTTTTGAGTATGCGCAACAAGTTTGATGCTGAGTTGGCGAATGGGCACTGCACCAACTTTCAATCTGACTGGTGCAGTAAGCCCGAGTGCTGAGCGGGGGATAATTGCTTCCAGCCCTTCTTGTCTAAATCTGCGTACTAGTGACTTTGGTTGTATTTGATAATTCCTGATCCATGACCTGCAAGTTGCCTGGGAAGCATTGAGCAAAGTCAACAGAAATTTTCTGGTGTTTGCCTATGCAGCAAGCTTGCAATGTCTCAATCCAGACTTGGAAGCGCAGGCTTCGAGGTGGTGGTCATTACGATAACATTTCGCATATAAAATTATTAAAGAGAAAGGCAACAACGATTTCTAAACCAGCAAAAGGCAACGTGATCCAAGAACATTGAGCCATCACCACACGCGAGCAAATTTTATAAAGAGCATTCGGACATCATACTAGATATGTAAGAACTCAATTTAGTACATAGTAATCCATTATAGCAGCTAAAAGAACAGGGATTGCCGCAGTAATGATTAGGTGGCATTTTCTCGGACGGGACAGGTGGGGCCACGGCAGCCATTTTAAGGTCCGAGGATGCTGCCGAGGTTTGGCTGTCCCAAGCCATTCGGCCCAGGATATCTTCCTCAGCAGAAGCCGAGTACAGAATCCCGATGTTGCTTGCTCCTCGGATAGTTTCTGGGGTACCGAGACGCAAATGCAGGTCGCTGGGCGAGGTGCGCTCGGGGCGTCCGACGTCGTGAAGACACTGACAATCCAGTGCGAGGCCGCAGACTGCCGTGCGCTGCTGCAGGCGAGCCTTGTCAGCTGAAGAAGTTGTAAAGACAGCTGCAAACGCCCACAGGGCTTGCTATACAGCCCGTTCAGCTGATCAAATATTCGACGCCTGCAGGAAGCACATGCTGATCTGTGTGGCCTGAACGCAGGTGGGCGTGCCCAGCAGCCACGCCGCAAATCCTGTTATCGTCGTCAAGTGTGGCAACTGCAGCAGGTGAAGAGACTGCCTTGAGCCCGGCCGTCATCTCGAGTGCAGCAACCGACTCGATGGAGCCCCAGCACAGAAGTAGACAACCTGGAATCTTGAGGAGTAGTGCAAAGTTCACTTGCAGCACAGGACAGCAGGGTGCTGGCATCGAAGACAGATTGCTGACGAAATCCAAATCTATCTCACAGGTTGCTGGAAGTTCGTTTGGATGCTGCGCATCAGGGAGAGCTCCAGCTGCCGGCTGGATCGCAGGCAACAGGCGGCAGGGCATCACAGGTGATGCTCACAGCTCAATCAGTCTTCCTGCACACTGAGAACAGCAGCCGTCGCCTCACACTGTCACTCTTCATGGCACATGGGTGCTGCATGCATATGCTGTGCGCGCTGTGCTGGCCCTTGCATTGTGCTTGACAGCGACCGGCTGGAGTGCATTTCTTCTGTTTGAAGCTTGGCAACCAGAACCCTGCATGCCTCGGGAGAGTCTGAATTTCCTGCAACTGTTATTCAGCTCCATGCCGTTCAGCTAAAGCAAGACACCTAAAGCAGATTTTGAGCCAAGAGTAAAGAGGGATTGGTTTTACCAAGCGTTGTAATGCATGATGCTGCAACAGGGGCTGGATTGGGGGAGTTCTGGCCCAGATTTGGGGGGACCGAGGGGCAGCGGTGGTCCACCGCAGCAGCAGCAGAGCCAGCAGCAGGGGGACCCCAAGGAGGACGCAAGCCGCATCATTGAAAACATTCTCACGGTGCGGGCCAATCCTTTTTTGGCATCAGTCGGCACAGAAGTGCTGGTGTTGTTTGGAAAGATTGAGGTGCATTGTGGCCCACCTGAAACAAATCCTAATTGCACAGCTGAGCCGCACACTTCCCTTGGAACAGCATGTTGTTTGATCAAGAAAGGCTCTTGCCTTTCTCGCTCGCCTTGCTGCGCACGGCCACTGCAGAAGATTGCTCAGGTTGGCAGCCAGCTGTGGAATGCCAGTGAGAGCTTCCAGCAGAAAGCAGGTGAGTCCTGCATGGTACTCAGCTCTCAGGGCAGCTTCCATAATCAGTGCAGAACAGTCGAGGCCCGTTCACAAAGACTGGATTGTTGCATGCAGAGGAGCTCGGAGGACGACGGCGGGAGAGGGGGGCCGGCCTTGGGGCGGGGGGGCGACCGGCATGGCGGCTTCGGCCGCGCCGCGTACAGCACCGGGCCCATGTTCGCGCGCCAGCAGATGCCGACAGGCCAGGCAAGTATCCTGCTCATTTCTTTTGGCACATCTCCTGCCAAACTCTTGGACAATACCTCTTCTTTGGCTTCAATTGACCATTGCACTAAAAGGGCCCAGGCCTGCAGCACTCGGCTTGGGTTCCGTGGATGTGTGGACTTGCACCAAACATTAAGATTCTTCACAGCTGAAGAGGTCAGAGGTTTGGTGCAACAAGCCTGCTTGTGCGCGCTTGCGCAGACAGACTGCTGCAGAGTGGTCTCCTGTGTTCCTGGGGAACGTTCTGCTGAGATGCTGTCATCCTGAATGACTCATGACTGCCCGGCAGGGGATGATGGAGCCGCAGCTGCCCAGGGCTGCCCAGCAGCGATTCCTGGGCGGGGAGGCGGTCAGCTCAGTGCGCCATCTCAGCGTGCGACCTCCGCGCTCAACGCAGCAGCCGGACCCCTTTGCCCGCTACCAGCCGCGCTACGAGCAGCAGCAGCCGCAGCAGGTGCCGGCACATGGCCACGGCGCGGCGGCACATGCGCGCAGCCCGGAGGGCCAGTCTCCTGGGGCGAGATCGGCCGCTCTGGCGCTTGGCGGCGTCGGGCTGCGGCTGCAGAGCCCCGAGGGCCTGCTCGCACATGCCCACATGGTGCTCTCTCCCACCTCCTCACTTGACCGCCACACATGTTCTTGTTGTTATTGTTATTACACGTTTTTGCAAACAAGCTGCATGTCAAGGCAGACATGTAAAGCGTGTGATGTACTGCTCAATGACGCTGATTGTACCTTTGCCATCCCAGCAAGGCGCAGGCCATCCGGCAGCACCTTGTTGACTATCCAAGGTAGTAGATGCAGGAAAATCGCGCGGGATGAAGTGTTCGAAAGCTGCATTCCTGCTGATTGTCCTGCTGTTTCGGAATCAGATGTGCGTAATTTGTGCATGTGGGCTTTCCTTGCTGAAGCTGTGTCCCCAAGTGCTTTCTTCCTGTACAAGCCATGTGGTACCGTAGTCATGCCTCTCGATAAATGCCACGCGCCTTGTACATAAGATGCGGTTGGTGATCAGTTGTCTAGCTTAGATATCGAACACGGACATCCTAATCTGCACACATTTCATAGAATTACAACAGGCGCCTGAAAGGGAGCTCTTGTGCATGTTTTGCAGTCCACCATGGAGAGTCCTCCGCAGGCGAGCCACACTGCGTATGCCTCGCCCGGGCAGTACCAGTACAGCCAGCAGCTACACCAGGCCCAGCAGGAGCAGCAACGAGTGCACATGCAGCAGCAGCAACAGCAGCAGCAGCAGCAGCAGCAGCAGAGGCAGCAGCAGCCAAATTCCCTGCATCAACGCAGCAGGAGCCAGCTGGGCCCCTCTGAGTTCGGGGGGTATCTGCTTCACCCGGACGAGCCGCTGCAGCAGGAACGCGCAGGTACTGACGCCCTGCTTCTGCATGTGCACCGTCCTGGAGTATTTTCCAGCTCTTAGCTAGCTCAGACAAGTGTGTGCTTGTCATTGAACTGATGCGAATGTCCATGTCAAGGGGTTCTGTAGGGCAACTTGAAGCAGACTTGCTTATAGGGACACGTCTAGGTTGGCCGGTCTTGCGCACGGCTCCTACCTTGCTCAGAATTGTCAAAGCCCATGTTGGACCGCACAATGCTGCTCAACGTCATTGAAGACTGGCAGTGTCTCAAGCTGAAATTTGCAATCCAGCAGTGCTGATATTTGGCTGCTGATGTCATCACTCCTGTGCTGGTCTGCAGATGCGATGCAGGGCCTGCCGAGGGATGTTTGGTCGCGGCTGCCGGGGCGGCCAGAGGAGCAGTTCCAGGGATTTGACTTTGCCATCGAGCGCAGCATGCTCCATGCTCACAACCTCAAGCCCGGCCGCGCCGGCGAGCCAGGTATGGAGCTCTCAGAATTTTAAATCTGCTGGGATCAGTCTTTCGGATGAGCTTTGTTGAGGCAGCCTCCTTGTTCAGACCTTTGCCTTGCGATGGATCTCCTGGCCCCTTGAAATCTTCTCGCCCAGTGAACGTTCCCCTCAGTCCTCTGCCCCGTGTAGAGAGCATGTCTGCCATTTGAGCGCAGGGGGAATCGCTGACACAAGGTGCTGTACTTTCCTTTTCAAAAATAAAAGATGGGCTGACTTGCTCATGCATGTGCATGTCTGCCAAAAGACATCAGGGATTTTTGCCACAAGAGCTTCACTCACACTCAGAAGGATTATATTTGGCTTTATTTGGCACAATTTGGCATAATTTGGCAATCAATGTAGCAGCTGTATTCTTGACCTATCGTCCAACAGAAAAACTGCCTTCTTAACACTTCTTCCAAACACAGCATCAGGTGGGAGGAAGCGGCCAGCGGAGCAGGAGGTCGGCGGTGGCGGCAGCGGCGGTGGCGGGGGGTCTGGGGGGGGGGTCCCTGCTGGACCACAAGGCGGTGCTGAGGGGCCAGCGGTGGAAGCTGCCACGCGTGCGCAGCCTCGGGTCACTGCCGAGCGATGATGCACTGTTGGCGCAGGCCGCCACCTGGCCCGGTGATCACTCACGACCCCTGTGTTTTTGTACAAGCATGTGGAGTTTCGTACCTCGAGAGGGCCTAGAGGGAGACAAGAAGCAGTCCTGTTGCAGCACACAGATCTACCACCGCAGATGGCCATCCTTGTAGCACAAGTCTGCTGCGCTTCGTGGACTTACTGTTCCAATTCTGCACCACTCACGGTGACATGAAATGCTCTCTGTTGCATGCAGACGTATCCTATGCAGGCGATACATCCATTGGGCTGGGATGTATTGCCTGCCCAACGAAAATTGCTGGATGGATTTATTGCTTATTGCCCGTAGGCAATGCGTGAAATGCTCTCTGTTGCATGCAGAGCGGAGGTCGACACAGAGGGAGGGAACAGCACCGCCCCAACCCAAGCCTGCCACAGAGCCGGCACAACAAGAGGTGACTCGGTGTTGACGTGTGTTGCTTTGTCCCTGCTGGTATCTTGGCCCTGATCACACGCCTTGCCAGCACTACTTGCCTTCTGAAACACAAAATAGTTTGCATCAGCAGGACGGAACAGGTCAAAATTGGAACGAACGGCAACTGCCTTAGGAAACCCTGCTTTGGAGAGCAGTGCTGCCATGCTTTGCCCACACTTGTAAGCTGCAGCAAGATTATGGAAATATTGTTGCTATGCGCAGGCTGCAAATGCAAAGAACAAAAAGGCAGCAGCGAGCAGTGCCAGTCCTTCCGACCCCTTGCCAGCCCCTCAAGCTAATGCTCACCCATCAGGCACGCACCCATTTCCGTATTCAAACGCCAATTACCTGCATAAGCGTTGAATTTGTCATTATACAAGCAGCAGTAGTACAGGGAATGGAGTTTATGGAGACGCGTTATGTCCACACAAGCTTACCTGTACGATTGACATTCCCACAGCTTAAGGAACCCGTACCAGTACCCAATTGCACCTGCCACGCACGCATTACTTTATCTAGCAAATGCAGTAAGGGGATTCCTCCATTAATTGACAGCAGGATCAAATGTACCTTCCTGAGAAGCCCTGCATGGTGCAGGTCAGCAGAGTAACGCCACTGCACAGCACCCTGCTGAGGCCCCCACTGGCAGCCAAGCGGGCGCACCAGCAGAGGACCCCTCGGCCATCATCGGTTTGCAGACCCCTGCCAAGGGCGTCGCACCGAACGCAGTGGACCCCCCGGCGTCCGACGGCAGCGCCAGCCTGCGCGGCCTGCGCATCCGACCGCTCGATATCTCCCCGGTGGCGGCCGCGGCGGCGGGGAATTCAAATTCGACCGCAAATGCTAACAACATTTCGAGCAATGTTGGCGGCGGAAACAGCGGCGCGGCCGATACGGCGTCGCCGGTGAGCCACGGCAGTTTGAACGCGTTCAACCCCTTCGAGGGGGGGTCCGAGTTCTCGCTGTCCCCCCTGCGGCGCGGAGGGGACCACCGGGGAGATAACGCGGGGGCCCAGGGGTCGCCGCCCGCGCACAGCGCGTTCAGCCCCTTTGGCCTCGTGGCAGAGCTGCGCTTCACCCCCACGCCTCCCCTGGAAATGGGGGCGCCTCTGGAGACAGGCCAGCCTGAGTAATTTGTTATCAACGATCCGCATATTAGTAAAGTTGCAGCACTTTGTCTCTTTGCCATGCAAAGTAGGGCGTTGGTTGGGAAACCCATTTTGGGGACATTCTTTTGGCGCGTTCAAGCGTTGCTGTGAAGTCACCTGTGCTCAACAGCACAGAGATAAATGCTGCTACAAAGTGGGCAATGGAAGGGGAACCGAGAAGGACTGCAGCTCACAGAATGACCTGCTCGATGCATTCAAATAATACACCACGCAGTCGAATAAATGTTTGCTTCCAAAGAAGTGTACTTGTTGGCAGCCTGCTGCATGACTAAACAACTGGGTTGAGCTTTGTTGATTGTGTTGCATGCACCAAACGTTTGAACTGGATGAACTCAGGAACTCAGGAGCTCAGGAACCTCGAGGAACATGCAACATCATGCTTTCATACACTGCATGTCTCTGTTCAGAGGGCATTCAGTTAAGCTTGGCTTCTTGTGTGTCAGCTTTTTGCCAGGGCTTTGGCCCCCAAGCAATGCTCAGATGTCACTAGGATCTCAAAGATTGCGCATGGGATTCTGAGTATGCTTTGCAAATGTCTTTGGGGCGTACATCTAGTTGAAAAGCGCCAAGCTTTGGGCTGCACACAATACCCGGGCTTTGCAGACTCATGGGCACTGCTGCTCAATTTGGCTTCCGATTATGAGCACAGCGTGCTGCTTAAGCCGACGATGGAAATCTGCATAATAGTGTGCGTTTTAGCACCCATGGGCATTGTTGATGTCAAGGAATGTCAGCGTTATTGCAGCACTTGTCTCACTTGCATAATTTGCACTGTTGAAGTGCATTGCACACATCAGCAGAAAACGACACGCTGGCAGGCATTTGCAATTACTGAGTGAGAAAAACCAGATCTCACGCCAGTCAGGAGGCACCACATCAGCATCGTGCAACAGGAATTGCGCGAGCTGTTTCAGCAGTGCCGGCTGCATTAGCATCTGGAACACTAGCAATATGGCAATATGGGACAGAGTGTGTTCATCACCAAGCGTCACAGCACAAGGCATCAATCTCTGTCTGGCATAAGGCATGCAATAGAGTCACCAGCACAACCTTCAGGCAACTCAGAGAAAATGGTGCGCTGACATCAAAGCAGAGCGAGCAATTTTTAAGCACTCAAAATCAACACATCAAGCAGTAGCAGGGTTGTCTTGCATCACAAATTCAGCTCTTGAACAACGCTGCAATCCCCCGCTGCCATGTGAGCAAATGCTGCAGGCCACCCAGATTGGCGCTCGCTGAGAGATTTCCAGGCTGGCAGGTGTTCATCGCTTGTATTCCAGGGGAACATTAACCCCCATTGCAATCTATCGGAGCTTGATTCGATCGGCGTGTCATCTCCTGGGCTGATGGACCATTGCACTGCCGCTGCTCATTATTCCCTTACGAGGCAGCCCGTCTACTTGATTCCAGCGCCGCTTTGCCTTCAAGTCTGCACTTTTTTTCCTATAAAACTGACGGCTGTCCATTACGCCGCCCTGAGAGGGCTGCGCCGGGGGGTGCTGTGCGGGCCCCCGGGAATCGCCAGCCGGGTCCGCGCATAGAAGCGGTGGTGTGCAGCTCTGAGCAGCATCAGTACTGCCAGGCCCGCCATCACAAACACCACGTTCTGGACGATTCGTGCATTCACCGCCTCGCTGAACGCCACCTGGAATGGCACGGATAATGGATCTCATAAATCTGGAAAGCGCGAACAGAACAAAGCGGCAAGGGCTGGGCCCCGGCAAAGACGAAAAGACTCATCGCTGGCCTGGAAAACACGAAAGAAGAGCCCACTGCATAATCTCCCAGCAGAAGAAGAAGAACAAGAATGATTGCATCGCTAGCGCGCAAAGCCTGAGGGTAAGCTTGGAGCACAAGGGTGGCAGACGACGTCTTGTTGGCATTGCCATGCAGAAGAAACCAATTCTTGTGCAAGTGCACCACAAATGCGTTCCAGAGCTAATTGTCACATAAACACCTCTGTCACATTCACGCTCGATGAGTCCGTGACGCAGGGTACCCAGCCTTCATGGCCAGCGGTAAAGCAGAACTCAAATTCAAATTTAAATTGTGGGGGCAGCGTGGGCAGCGCACCGGCCCGGGTGGGCCCTCTCTGAGCGGCCCGAATTTTCGCGCGAGGCCCCAGTTGACCGCCGCCGCGTTCGGCCCTGCGCGGCTCATGAAAAATTCCACCGTCTCCCCTGACCCGTCCCCCGGTATTATCACTGTCACCGTCTCATTCGCATACCCCGCCAGCGCCGCTGTCACGTTGTAGGTGCCCGGAGCCAGAGGCCTGCACAAGCAAAAGTTCTTTCCCTCCCTTCTTTTTTGCTTGTCATTCATCTTGCTCTGAGTGAACCGAAAACCTCTCTGAAAAGCTCCAAAATTAGAAGAACATGCTTCAAGATGTGAAGTGCTAGGACGAGGAGTGTCTTTTCAAGCAGTACATAAAGGGCCGCACTCCACAACTTGTGACTTCTGGGTGACAGACATTGAAGATTGACAAACAAGGTTGAGGACTTCACTCTGATATTGAGAAGTCTTTGAATGGGTCTACCTGTAGAAGTCGCCGAATGTGGAGGAGGCTGACATGGTCTTGTCAATACCCTCCACATGTATGACAGCCCCGAGCGGCCGCCCCTTTCCCGCTGCCCCGGCCTCCCCTAGCTGCCGCCCTGCTCCTGCCGCCACCCCTCGCTCGCGCACAAATCCCCTGAGGCACCATAGCGAGCTAAAGTAAATGGTTTGCAGCTGCAGGCGCAAGCAGCCTGTGTAGTGCTGCAAAACCTGGTGCTAAGAGCACCTTGCTGCTGGAAACGCGTCACAACCTCTGCAGCAGAAAAGAACTTGAAGGTGAGGGCCTTCTGCACATCAATGGATGAATCTTTGGTTCTGGCAGTATCCATGTGCTGAGGTGTCCACTTGTGTCATCCGATCAACAGCTTGCACGCCTACAACCCCACAGCATGTGCTCCACCTTGAACCCATCTTGCGCCAACACAGAAAGCACACGGTGCAGAGATAATTGGATGGTCAGGACGGCACCGGACGCCACCAAAACAGGACACGAGGGGCAGGGCCAGCATGGCGGGCAAATTGTCTTCAAACAGGCCCGGCAGCTCCTGCTGCGGCGGCCATTTGTGGGGGGCCAGCTCCAATGTCAGCTCCAGGCAGTCCCCCGCTATGTAGTTCCAGTCCTGCGCAGCGCCACAGCCACAGCCTCTTATTGCCAATTAGCAACAAGCAAGTGAAATTGATCTCTTTGGCTTGGTGATAAAATGCATGTTGAGCTGCTGTGATACTCCTGATGGCCTGAGCTTGGCGGGTGCATAGCAACGTTACCCAGCCGCACCTTGCCATTTCTGGCAAGAAATATCCTTTGCGGCGCTGGGGAAGGGCATGCCAGCAGGAAAGAAGCTGTCATCAATTTCCTTTGTGCCAGGTTCTTCTCAGCGAGAAACGGAAACATGCCAGCAGCAGAGAAGGTTTTTCTTTTCTGTTTGAGCATTGGGAAATTCACAGACATGCACTGGAAGAGACATGCCAGCAGGGGAGAACAGAGGCCCTACCTGCATGCCGCCCCAGAGTGGGTACCAGTGCGCGCCGTTAGTCACCCCGCCCTTGAACTCGGGGCTTGCATGCATGGTTGCATGCGCGTCCGCGTACACATGCGCCAGGTGCAGGAACGCCGCGTCGTCGGGCGCCCTCGAGTAGTGCGTTCCCCTGTCCGCCGTGCCGTCCCAGGGGTAGTTGGCCACCAGCGCCCCCTGACACATGTGTAGGCACTTTTAGAGTCGTTTATGACTTGTGATCTATTTCAGGTAGAAGCAAGGCTTCAAGTAATGTATCATAGATGCAGCGCGATCGTCTCCATGCATCTGCCTACTGTTAGACAACCTTGGCGCAATATGGCAGAACCTGCATGGCCTGCTTGCAAACCAAGACTACAACAGATGCGTTTTCTGCTTTTATTTCAGGTGCAGGTTAAGCACAGACATAGGAGCACCGGGTATTTTGCAATCGACACAGAAGGCCTGGCTTGTCTGTGTCAACTACACGGAATTCGCTGTGCATGAATTCCAAGCGCCGGATATGAGGCATTCGATATGCTCAGCCTGCCAAATAGCGTCTTCTTTCATTGTTCGCCATGAAATGCAAATGCGATTGAAATTTATAACCTCCATGTGTACGAAGCCTTCAAATATGCAACACGGCCTGCCGACCTCGTGCAGGCTGGCTGACGCGACGAAGTGGCGGCTGCGGATCCACTGCATGAGCGCCAGCGTCTCGGGCTGTTCCCTCCCGCCGGGTTCCACAATGCCCGCCTCCCCCCGCTCAAAGGGGTCCGGAAAATCCCTGTTCAGATCCACCTGGCACATTTTGCCACCTTTTCAGTCTCTCATTTTGCAGGAAAACTGATACAAGTGCATCTAACAAGCGCACACACAACTGAGCCTCACGGGTGCCTCGCTGCGGAGTTAGTTACCCATGCATGGTAGTAAGAGGTATTTGCGAGATCTCCAAAGCACCCAACCATTCAGGTGAGAGCATCTTTCGTTCAAGAGTTTCAGTAGCAGAGGAATGTCGGGACAATGTAGGGGTTTGGTCCCTCACAAGATGTGCATTTGCCCTCTGCCGCCGCTCGAAGCCGTCGGGATTCATGGACGGCAGAATGAACAGGTGCAGATCCTCCACGGTCCGCTTCGCCCTCTCGTCCGCTGCGTGATTAGCACACAACCACTCCGCCAGCGCTAACAACAGCTGCCTGCGAAGGATAACGACCGGAATATATTTAGTGAACATCCCAAAACTGGCATCCCAAAGCTGGCCTCGAGAAAGAAGGCAAATTTGATACTCTGCAACGGCAAGCTTGATCCTCTGCAGCCTCCAAGGCAACTGTCGAGGCACTTGCCATGACAACATGCCATTTAGGCATATACAGATGGACCTGACAGTGACTCCAGATATGCAGCAACATGCACTTGCTTGCCGATGGTGAAAATTGGACTTTCCCAGAAGTGCAGACGGAGCCATGCATACACGCCGAGCAAAGCTTGCATCCTCAGCCCTGCATGGCTGTATCGCAGGCCCAATACAACACATCAAGCCCGGTACACATGGCAAGATTGAAGCCCAGTTAGCGCACCTGCCGGAGGGTTCATCGCCATGCATGTTGGCCACGTACTTGAAGCTGGGCTTGGCTTCCTCCACTCCCGGCCGGCTGGAGATTTCCAGCGCCCACAGCGGCCGCCCCTCAACACTCTCACCGATGCTGAAGAGCCTTGAGATTGCGCCACACCTGTGCGCATAACCCCGCATGTGCTCCTCCTGCGGCCGGCAGTAAAATAAACTTATTCCACCTTGCAACGGGATAGCAGATTATGTCGTATGCAGGTGTTGGGCAGCTGGCATTGTGGGCATGCACGTGTCATCCATTCCCAAAGATGCGCCCCTACAATCTCCAACCGGGACATCATCCCCAACCTTGTGTCTGCAGTTCCATTGATGATAGATCTGCTCAACACGCAAATTTAGTACATTCGGTCTGCAGGTTTTGCGCGGGTACTGCATGCATGCTGGGGGTGTGCTGCATCCAATGCTACATCCAAGGTCAGGCCCGCACCAGCTCTGAGCCGTTCAGGTACGTTCTTAGCGTTGAAGCGAGGTGATTTTCTGAAAGGTCCAGGAGCTGCCTGTCGTCAACGCCCCGACCTGGACTACCGTTCCTTTCTGTATGCAGGTGGTTATAAGCGCCCTGCATTGCAATTACGCTTTGATCAGAGTTTTCTAACACGCTGACAAGCATGCAACAATCTGGATGCTGCAATATAAAGGACATCAAAAAGGAAGGCAGTAAGTGAGGAAGGTGTTTGACAGACCCTGTATACCTGCCACGGAGACTGGGAAGTCTCAGATGCAAAACAAGACAGGAAAATGACAAGACAAGCGAGGACAAGCCCTCGCTTGCTCTTCATTAGCATAACTGACTCCTGTCGTTGTGCCAGCCCCTGGGGCGATCAACTGCTGTGATCAGAATGGGCAGCAACTCCATCGATGCCGTTTATAGGTCTTCATAGACACGATGAAAAAGTAGTTGCAGATATTAGGCAACCGCGATCATCGTGGTCTCCTCCATTTATGAGTGAACGTTATGTATGGTGCAAGATCATCCTGTTCGGCAAGACGCCCTTGGGCCGCCAATTGAAGCACCCATTGTACGATTATTTCTTTGAGCATCAATACTAGCTCGGCTACGAAATCAATTGCCATTCATAACGGGGACAGGTGCACTTTGCATGTTGACCATCTGGAGAATTTTGGACCCTCGACATATCGATTACTCCTCAGAACCCTTCCAAACCCTCTATCATAAGCTGTTTCATGCTCAATTAAAGAGCATCCCTTGCTTCTACAAGCACCTTTACAAGAGAGATTGGGCTCTGAATGAAATTGTGCGAGGTGCTAACGGAGAATGCAACGCAGATCAACTTAGCTTGAGACTTTTGATCAAGTCGATCGATGGGCACATCAGAGCTAGAGAGGTCCTCTATTGAGTAGTGCAATCACAGCAGAACTACAGTTCAGTATGTAGCATAGTGTTCGGCACACACAACAGCAATGAAAGAATTCAGTTTCCGTTCGGCAGTATTGCCGCTGTGCTTGATCACTGGCATTCTCATCGGGGTGCCAGCATCTACAGCCAAAGCCAGATCGAAGGGCGTAGAGGTGTCTTTAAAAGCTAAATGGAATGCAACCTCCTCCTTGCTCGAAGCCTATGAGTTTCTGGTACGCCTTCTGCATACTGATGGCTATAGATTTAAGATGTTGCACCATAAGTATAATACCTGCAATCCTGCACTTTGTGACACCGATCTGCTGTTCGTAATGCATGCGGATAGGGACGGGAGATGGGTAACACATCTATGCATGGCTTCACTGCAATTCGCAGGCTGAGGAAGCTCCTACCAAGCAGCTGGAATTCATTGCTGCTTGGGACAAGGCAACTAAGGGCACTGATACGGACTGCTGGCAGAGGATCCTTGACACTGCTGCAGCATTCCTCTCCTCCAGCCAAAGCAAGGCAAGGGTGCTAGCACAATGACCCCTCACCTCAATTCAATTCCATCAATGTTAAAGTGCAATGCGCAGGCAATTTGAGGCCTGACTTGGCAAGTACGCATGCTTATTGCGCCGCAGGTGCTGCAAGTGGTGCTGAGCATCCGACAGCTGTCACCTCGGCTGGAGTTCTTCCGTACCCAGGCAGCAGCGGCCGACATACAGCCGGTCATCCCCGCTACCTTTTCAGCATGCAAGCATAAAATGCATTGCAAACGCAAGAGTTAATGTCCTTGGGCATGTGAGTGTATGGTCCACAAACAAATAGTGAGCAGAAAGGTTGGCTAGTCTCATGAGTAGCTCCTTGCTGCAGGGGCACTGTTTTGGGGATGTCGGCGGGGAATTTGAGAGATAAGTATATGCTGCAGGGATCCTGCTGTTTTGTGGATATCGGGGGGGCAAGCGTGTCAGCGGAAGAGGAGCTGATCAAGAAGCTGGCGGAAGTTGGCGAGGGTGACTATGCCGTGCCAGATCAGGCGCAACTACAGCCATTCGACCACGTCCTTGCGCCGGCCGGCGCGGCCGTAGCGACCGTAAATACGGAGCTGCGCCGCGCGACGGCTGTGGTCCTCTATGGCGCCATCGGCACCAAGTGCTTCCGGCGCATGCATGCGCTCATCCTCTCCGCTGCAGAGAAAGGTGAATTGTAATTGCCTCGTCTGCTCAGAAATGGTGGTTGATTCTGCTACCCCGGGCCCTCCCTAACATGAAAATTCCTGAACCAGTTCACTCCCGCAAGGAAATCCATCAGGCCACTTCAAACACTGCAAACACCGCCATCACCGCCTCTTGTTTGCAATGATGCGCATTTCCTGCGCACAGCCTGCATGCACAGCGACTGTTGCTGGTCGCTGCTCAGGAGCTGGGAAGCTGGTGTACGTGTACCGGCCGGTGCTGGCGGAGGGCTGTTTGGCCGGGGAGAGCTGTGTGGGCCTGGGCAGCGGAGGCGGCCTGCCTCTGCCCGGCTTTGGCGTGGAGCTGGCCATCAAGAACATGGAGTACAGCGCCCTTGACGACTCCAAGGTAGGAGATTTGCCCCTGATACCCTGCCCGTCTGACACCACGCCGCAGAGGCATGCGCCGCCCAGGGCGCGGGGCACTGACAAGGAGAACACTGGTAGCTCCCAGATGAACGCGACATACTGAGCAGCTTCAAACATGTGGATAGTTGACCAATGGATATTGACAATTACTTGTAGAATGCATGTAGCAAGCACCATGCTTATTGTGCCTGACAAGCGTTGCCCCAAGCATTTAGGGCATAGCTTCTATCCTTTCTGGGATACCTGAAGCTCTCTAAGGGAGCATGTGGCCAGCCAGTGAGGTTGAAGCACAACCCTCTTTGCTGCTCCGGGCAAGTCTTCTTAGGCACAGCATGCATTTGGCCGAAGGGCCTTATTTCAGTCCAGGGTTACATTACAGGGTCAGACTGCTTTCCAAATGTTGCGTGACGCTAAGCTTACCCGTACAAGCCTCGGGCTCTGAAAGACTGCATTAAGAACAGTCTTCCCGACAACTCCTGCCATGGACCAACATCCAGTTTCAAAATGTGTTAAGATCTGTTCTTAATTTGAATTTTAAATTTGAATCTGAGAATGAAATTGTACAGGTGGAAGCCGAGAAGGAGGCGGCAAAGGAGGCAGGGGAGGAGGATGAGGGCCCGCTGGAAGTTGAGGGGTTCCTGTTCAAGCGCCTAATCGAGCGGCGGCCGGAGGCGCACCAGGCGCTGCTCAGCTTCCGCGACCACCTTCTTGCCAGCTCCTCCGACAACGAGGCCCTCAAGGCAGGGCACAGCTGTTAATTTTATATTGACTAATCAGTGGCCTTGCCTGTGCAGAAGACGCTTCCTGTTCTGTAGACGATGACATGATCTCATACCATCCTTTTCATTCGTGCAGTAGCTCCTGCTGACCGGGCTGTCTACTGCCGTAGGAAACCAGGGCATGAGAACGTGCTGGTGATTGACTGGTTTTGTTTCTGATGTTAGACACTCTGGAGCAAGTCTTGCGGCAGCGCATCCTTTCTATAAGCATGCAATGATGTTTTGGACCAACATAGGTGCGGGGTTTGACAGGGCTACTATTTTCTCCTTTGCAATTTGCAGGTGTGGGACATGAAGGAGCTGGGCCTGCAGGCAGCGGCTCGCATAGCGGCGTCGAGCGAGCCGTTACGGGCGCTGACGCAGATGGCGCAGAATTTCCCCAACCTGGCCGCAGCGCTCTCGCGCGTGTCTGTTCCCAAGGCCCTGCGCTCCGAGCTCAAGAAACTGCACCGCGTTCTGCAGGGAGGTCCGTACTTTCCACCTGGACTTTTCATTGACACTGCCATATCATTCCAACATGCCTGTTTCTTCATATGTTCTTGCTTACCGCAAGCATGTGGGGATGACTTGCAGTGCAACACTGATTGCCATTGCCGCAAAAGATGTCTTTTCATAGCGTGGATCAGGGCCGTGACCGCCGCATGCAAACTCACATTGTCTCTTCTCTGTCAACTTCAGATGCAGACTGTTTAAGAGGCATGCAGAAGAACCTGCATAACAATGAGCATGTGAGGTAGACGAGCGGTGCCAATATGGTTGCCACTGCCAATTTGGATGCCTTTCTGTTTACATGAAGCAGAATGCTATGGTGGACAGTGGTTTTTAGGTTGACACTTTTCTGGTGTGACCGTGCTGGATATTTCTCATGATGCAGGCTCCAGCTTCATGCTGGTGAATGGTATCCCCACAGACATTGGCACCTTTGATCTCTACACCCTCATGGAGCAGATAAGGAAGGAGGTGAGCAGACCTGTCACACACATTTTTTCACACTGCAGATGTGCTATATCCATGCAAAGCCTCTTTATACTAATGTGGAACAGCGCTAGTGTTTCAGCTGTTGAAGGGTCACAAGACAAGCGCCTTCGCAAGCGTTAATCCGGCCTCTGGTCAAATATATGCATTGGCAGTATGCAATATGCCATCTTGAGTCAGGGAAACTAAAAATTGCGTGCGGTTTGGGTGGCAGGTGCGGCTGATGGACAAGCTGAAGGAGACAGGCCTGCAGCCGGCAGACATCACTGCTCTGGTGCAGCTGCGCTCCGAGGTGCAGCTTTCTCTTTCCCCCACCAGACCCCTTCTCACATTGTAGCACCACACTTCTTGCCATTCTGCAGCTTATTAATGCATTTCTGCCAGAGTCCATGTGACACCATATCACAAACAGTAGAAGCTGTTGCACAAAGCAATGCATGGCTAAATCGCGGTGATAAGATTGACCCCTAACTTCCACTCTGCTAAATATTGAGGTCTTTGGTATCGCACGAGACGTATCCCACACTTCACATTCAAGTTTGAGGATTTAAATCTAGAGTGATCTGCACATACTTACTTGCTACAACAATTGCTAGTCTCCACTCTTCATCTGTCTGTGTGACTTTGCTGTTATTTCGAGCTCCCCAGTCCCTGCTTTTGCATCTCGATTTGGTTTGGGCAGGCCATAATACAACCGCGCCCATTTTCTCTGGCGCTCCTCTAGATTGGGCGGACTACATTTTAAAAATAAAAAAACGTTGCAGATGAAGGAGGTTGCCGCGGAGGACCTGCGCATCGACCTGCGCTCGAGTGAAGCCATCCGATGGCTGAATGACATTGAGAGCGGGCGCCAGTATTGGCACTGGGGCCAGCAACTGGCGTCGCTGCTGCAGCCCATGTTCCCGGGGCAGCTGCACCGCGTGCAGCGCAATTTATATTCTGCCGTCGGCCTCATCGACCCCGGCAGCGCCCAGGGCCTCCAGTGCGCGCCCCCTGCAAACCCCTTGCTCTGCTTGCATGTCTTCTACAGTTGTCAGTGGTACTGCTGGTACCGGGCCCCGGCAAGCCCTACTTCTGGCTCCTATGTCATGGGTCAGACTGTCGGATTGACCGTTGTTCTTGACCTAATTCTCCCTGCCCATGCAGTCAGCCACAGTGAAGCCCACCATCTCTGTTTTCTTGCTGATCTGTGTAAGCTTGCTTAATTAAGCCTCCCATGCAAACCACAGGGGCAAGACAGGAGGCCACAGGGCCTCAGCATACTGTGTGCTGGGCCTCTGGGTTGATTAGTAGATTCGGACCCATTCCCATTTGTCGATGCTGCAGATTAGTCAAAATAAGTAACGGAGAAGGCCGTCTGGTATATTTACAGGGTGGCCGGCGTGCTGCTGGAGCTGTTCTCTGCCACCTGGCCGGTCCGCTGTGGCGCCATCCTGCTGCCACCAGACACAATCCAGCGCGTCAAGCAGTCAGGTGCGTGCACCCTGACTCCCTCTCAGAAGAATTTCAGCTCCTACACTAACTGCTGCAAGTCGCAGTTTTACCTGTTGCATGGGCACCATTAGGCTGTTGTCATCGAAAACAGAAGATCCCAAAAACAAAAAATATAGTAGGTCCAGCTGTCTTCCTACTTAAGCGCAACTGTGGGGAGGAAACTTTGGGGACTCGTGACTAGCACTGGTGTAGAGACGACAGTGATTCCCGAGCAGGAGCTGAGGTGGCGGCCAGCGCGGCATGGGAGGACCTCTCAGCATCGGAGCGGGCTGCGCTAGCGTACATCTACTTGGAGAACGCGGCCGGCGCGCCGGCTGCCTTCAAATTCCTGTCAAGGGCCCGTGCAGGTCTGTCTTTTTCCTTCCTAGCCTTGCCTGCTGGCTGCACGCCATGCCCACCCATCTTATTGACCCATACATGAAAGAACACTCAGTGAGCAATCAGACGGATTTCTCAACAGTCTCTACATACTCTCTGTTTATGCAGACATGTAGGCAGAGCTAGCGGCAGAGGGAAAGGCTGCTTTGCTTTTGAACACCTTGCAACAATGATACTTTCATCTATCCCAGCCCCATGAGCCCAAAACCAATACTCTGCACATACGCAAACAAAAAGACCTCTCAGTGGCATTTATCCTGATCCTGATTACCGTGGCACCCCATCTTCAGGCATGATTCATGTGGTCAAGGCATTGAGGCTGACAAGAAGTTGATGGTGGGTGTTTTTTGTGCAGAGCATTTGATGGGGGAGGATGCGGGGGACGCGCTGAGCTGGACGTCGGTGGAAGAGGCGTTCCTGGCGGCCTGGGGGGACCTGCCAGACACCCGTAACCGTGACCTCACACCCGCCGCAGCACTGCAGGAGGTCCGTATACGGCCTCTCACCCCTGTGCATATCTCTAATCATGTGGCCTCCAGTTCGTTGTATCTGCTGTGGTTTCATGAACATGCATGCTGCTAGGCGGCATGCATGCACACTTTCGTTGTTTGGTGGTATAAAAGTTGGTGGTTCTCCAACTCCCTGAGTAACAGCTTTTGTGTAATACTTGTGATGCATGCACCGTATAGATCATGCACTGCTCGGTCATGTATTTTTACATGTAAAGGACTAGATACACAAAGGGAAGGCACTGGTATAAGGCCACGTAGCAAAATTTCAGGGCTTGCATGGAGTCTTAACAAGGCTGTGCTGTGGTGCAGCTGAGCGAGGGGCCCAAGGAAGTGATGGAAGAGCTGGTGAAGGGCGTTGCCTTTACCATTAGTAAGGGGGTGGCGGGGGTGGGGACAGCTGTCTGGGTGAATGGGCTGCTTGTCACGTCCAGCGAGGGCGTTCCCTGGGAGCAGATGATCCCCTACCAGCTGCAGGTCGAGCAGCAGAGGCTCCAGGTGAGGCCCCATGCTGTCTTCTGCTGCAATTGAGTCTCTTGCATTTGAGGCGCAATGTGAGGTTGTCCTTCCGACACCTGTGTGTGGTCAGGTAGAGGGGGCTATCACATGCGACTGACCACTAGGATACAGTGTCAGGCTTCTTCCTCTGCCCAGCATGTCCACAATCATGCATAAAATTTGCAGCAATGGTCATGCTGAAACCCTTTTTAGCATGTATCAGGTTCATAGAGGATGCAAGATGCAAAGATCTGAAGTTGTCTTGGTCCCAGAGAGGGACATTCCTATCGGTTGACGTGCCTGAATGGATCTTTAAGAAAGGCGCACGCTCACCAGGAATTTTCCAGATTTTTATGGTGGCATGATGAGCGCAGGAGCAAATATACTTTGGCCGGATCCAAGACAGCGACGAAGACATTCTGGAGGCGATCTTGCGCGTCTTCAATGCTGCGCCAAAGTACAACCCAACCCTGCTGCAGTCTGACTCCGACGGAGCGGCTAAATCACCAAAGCAGGTGGGACCACTTCTGTATCACTAATGCTCAGTGACTGGCTTTCTGATTGGTTGCCAAGCTATGCAACTGACTGTTGTCCGTAAAATTTGGACAGTGGTGCTTCATTGGATGTGGGCAAGCAAGCTGAGGGACTGATTTGAGATGCAGCAGCTCTGTCTTTATAAAGCGTACAGGAATGGGGCTTCATACCCCAGGTTTGAGTCAGTTGTGAGGGAACATACATAGATATGGCCATGTTGTTTAATGCTGTAAATAATGGTCCCAAGCTATGCAGCTGTCAGTAGCACATGAAAGATTGGACAGCAGTGCTTCATTTGATGCGGGCAAGAACACTGAGGGATTACTCGAGATGGAGCAGCTCTGTCTTTATAAAGCCTTCAGTATCTGGGGCTTTTTACTTCATGTTTAAGTCAATTTTGATTTAAACGTGCACAAATATGGCCAAGTGACTTAACAATATTTCCACTGGTCACAGGTGGCACTGGTGGGGCCAGATTTGAGTCCCATGCAGGAGCCATGGTCTCAGCTGGGGTACCTCCACCACGCCTCCACCCAGGACGAAGTCAAGGGCATCACCCACTGGCTTGTTGCTGACTTTGACACTCAGGCACGCCCCTCTGCTCTCTGCCATGCACATTTCCATCCAATTTGCAGTTTGTGTTTGTTTTGCCAGCATGATTGGAGTCAAGTAGCAGACTTGCTCTATTGGTACACCAAACAGTGAAGAGAGTGCTTCGAAAGTCTATGTTGCGAACTTTACATATTGTGATGCAGCCCTATTTCCTTACATGACACTTGCATTGCCTTGTATGTCCTTTCAATCAATTTGCCTTATCCAGATTGAGGCAGAAGTTTTTCAGTGCCCTGAAGTTTGCTTCAGTCCCTGCTGTGCATTTGTTGACAGGCGGGGCATAAATTAGTCCTGGGGGCGTTGGGTCATCTGGAGGCTGAGTCCTCCCAGGGCGCCAGGGTGGCGCTGGTGCACAACCCCGCTGATGTCACTGCTGACATCAGCGTGCTCGCTCGCGCTGTGACGGCTGCTTCCCGGCTGCAGAGCCGCCGGCCCAAGATTCTCCCCTTCTTGAAAAGCTTGCTGGAGTCCCACGCAGGTGCTTAGATACCTCTCGAGCCTGCCATCAATGCAGAGTGTCACAATCTCCCTCCAAATATACCTCAGCATTTGCTGGTTTCACATGCCTGACGTGCACACCCCTTTCAGGCATGTTCATGCCCCAATTGCACGTCTCTTTTGACCTTGAGAATGTGCCATCGGATGATACCCAGAGATTCACTGCGAGCAAGAAGCGTCGGAGCATAAGGTGTGAGGTGTAAGATTTCAAGCTTTGAAGGATGGATTTGCATGGGCAGGGGTGGGGAGTGTGGAGGAGGTTGTGGCGCTGGCAAAGGACGCAGGCCTGAACGAGAAGGCGCTAGAAGCTGACCTGACCGCCAGCGAAGCAGCCGCCGCCAGGCTGGCGGAGGCTTGCAGGTCCGCCAAGCACCCGCTCACCAACTCATGCCATATTTCCTTCCTTGGGAAAACTCTCAATGTTGCTCGTCAGAATGCCTCTGTTGCTAGCATCATGTTGACTTCCAGAATGCTGCTGGCATGCATGCGTGCATCACGAGACAAAGTCTTACAATATGCGTTCTGTAATAAGAGTGCTCAAGCTGGCACTTTGATGTCACTTGAGCCAGCAAAGCCGAAACATAAAAAGGTACAAAATTTGTCTAAATAGATATTTCATATGTGATGCCCAGGAAGGCGCTGGGGCTGCAGGCTGGTGCGGCGGCAGTGGTGACTAACGGGCGAGTCGTGCCGCTCGCTAATGCTGACTCGCTGGTGACGGAGGACTTTGGGCTGCTGACGCTGTATGCAGACGCGGCCCAGGTCGCCAAGCAGGTTAGCCATGCGTGCTTGTTATGAATCCGTGAGCCCATCTCGTCAGTTGGAAGCTACTGTGGCGTGCAACACTCCAGGCAATGTCAGGCTTGTGAAATTGTCGCTTCTTGTGCTGGTTCCTCACCTGTTGTGATTGCCTGCCACTGAAAGCATAGGACGCATATTTAATTATCGGGTGTAGAGAAGCAGCATTTATACTCGAGCATGCAATTCTTTAATCTCCAAGCCTCCACGCCTCCTCACAGCGTCCTAGCAGGCCACCATGATATGTAACAGAAGGACTGATTGCAATGGCTAAATAAGTAACAAAGTCTTGGCACAGGTGGCGGCTGCAGTGATGACAGCGCAGGCGGAGGGGCGCACAGTCAGCGCTGAGTCAGCGGGCGCTGACGGGGACGGCGCTGACGAGGCGGAGGAGTGGACGTCCGATCAGCTGAGCAACGCAGCTGCCGTGGCCTCGTCCGTGCTTGCTCAGCACGGAGCCGTGCAGCAGGTGACTGCTCACTACTGGCAACGATCCTTCTCTCCTTAGTCTCTTGAATGAAGAGCAATGTCAATATCAGAACAACATGTGCTAGGTAAACCAGCTCGGGATGACTGCGCTGTGCAGCGGCTGCCTCAGCAGACCCGGACTCAAATTTGAGGCAGGTTCTGCAGGAATTTGCTTCCACCTTCATATTTTGCCGGTTGGTCTGTCCTTGTGCTTTGCCCACGTGCCAGAATGCTACACACGCAGCACGTCACTGGACCTCTAGCAGGGATGCAGCACAAGCATGAAATATACAGTCCAAACATGCCAATACTGTAGTGGTCAATTTAATACCCGCAGCAAGTAGGTAAGTAATTCTGGCCATAAGGGTAGAGAAATAGACCATATCTTCTTAAACTACAAAACCTATGATAATTTCGAGACAAGATTCTGAAAGCTCCCGACAGCCCAATTTAATGGAGCAGGACCCTGGTACTTTCGGAGTCAGGAACCCCTAAACGATGCTATGAAAAGTTTCCTGCACCGCCGGAGGTGCGGGATTGAGAATGACTACTACAGCACTGTAGTAATTATTGATGTCGTGGATTCGCGCGCAGGGGGCAGGAAAGACGGCCAAGCTTATAGCGGCGCTGCGGGGCTTGTCACCGCAGGTGAGCAACATCACGGTTGAAGGAGCGGGCGTTGCAGTGGAGATTTGGGCTGTGTTGGATCCGCTGTCCAAGACCGCGCAGCGAGTGGCGCCCGTTCTCCAATTCCTGGCCGACACGCTGCAGCCGAGCATCAAGGCAAGTTTGGTCTTCTGCCGGGCTTGCCAACCTGATGAAGACAGCTTCTAGATCACATTCACGGCCGGGATTCTGGAAGGCCCCTGATATCAGACACGGGCAGTCACTGAACCTTAGTACTCGGGGAATGATAGGCATGCCTGACCTGTCAATTATTCTTGCAATTGCCTGCGGTATCAAATCTATCAAGAGAGGACAGATGAAGGAGACCGCCGCCTCTTGTGTCGTTTGAAGGTGGCCAAATTAGATCTTACAATTTCACCTGTGCATGATGTGCAGGTCTTCCTGAACCCACAGGCAGAGCTGTCGGACTTGCCGCTCAAGTCATTCTACAGATATTCCTTGCCCGACATCTCTGCCTCAGGTCTGCTCTCTTGGACGTACATGTTTTGCTTGTTCATCTCTGCTCTGTCTGCAAGTCTGATAACACAACAATATGCTGTGTAGTGCTTTCCCAGGCAATGGTATCTCGACACTGCCTTTTTGCACCCACGGCCTTTTCTGGGCCAACAGACATATTGTTCTCCGGCAATCTAGCGTGGCTCCTTCCTCCGGTCTGAAACTCTTCCTGCGTTGGCGAGCAGGTGAGGGGCGCCTATCGCAGCCCGGCCTGCCCGCGGCGGTGTTTACGGGGCTGCCGAGCGGGCGCATTCTGACGCTGAACATGGACGTCCCTGAGGCGTGGCTGGTGGAGCCTGTGCGCGCTGACCTGGACCTGGACAACCTGCGGCTCGCTGACCTCGGCGCCGCACCCTCCCTGCAGGTGCGCGCACATGCTGCCTTCTGTTTGTGGGGTTGAAAGATACCAACTATATCGACTGTACCACGTACTCGTTCTTTTTTACTTGTTCTTTGGAACGTCAGTAAGTGGGGCAGGGATGATTATCAGGCCAAGTACTTGTAGCACTTCAGCAAGCACGAAGCAGCATTGGTATTCATAATTGCAAAGCCATTCTGGACCCGTCGAACCTGGCGCTGTACAATCTAGGCCTCCTTTTGTGGGCTGGCTTGAATACCTGCAGCTTTGGAGTCAGCAGGCGTGTCGTGGTTGGGTTTTGTCTGTCCTTCAAAAGAATATAGTGGTTTTGAGGTGTTCGCTTGTCAGTCAGTGGTGTAGAATTTATCACAGAAGGTGATGCGGTGATAATATTTTTATATTTTATTTTTTATATATGTCAGGGCCCACAAAAGTCAAGAGGTGCCGCCTGCTTCACAGACCACTGGTTGACACCTGCAACTCACCTCTTGGTGATGTGCGCATAAATGCGGCATCATTTATTGCATGGCAAATGTGGTAGTGGATTTCAGAAAACACGTTCAAGCGGTATGTGGTATGATCAGGCGGAGTTTGAGCTGGAGGCTCTGCTGCTGACTGGATCCTGCGTGGACATCGCTGCGCGCAGCCGGGAACAGGTGAGCAACTCATTGCTCAAACCTCCTCATCATGCCTTTTGTCTTTGAGCCACGATTCCGCACTGCCATTTTGTCTTGTTCTTCTCTGAAAGTGTCCATCTCAACATTATATCTTTACAACACATGCCCACGTACTCTCTTTCTGTACCCACGCAGTGCCGCACCCCTTTCAGCATCTGCCAATGCTATTCCAAGTTCAGAATTCTTCACAGGTTCTCGTGATTTCAGCGATGGTGTACCAACAACATGATATGTTTCAAGGGGACCATGACTTGAGGATGTTTTTGCATGGCCATGACCACTGCTCATCCCCCCTGAATAAATTCCATTATACCCCATATTTTTAAGTAAAAAGCTCAAGTACGAGCTGTAAGAGCTTGTAATGCCATGGTGGTGATGGGGAGGCAGTAGCCTGAAACCTTTTGTGTGCTGCCCATGCGCAGATGACGCCAAGGGGTGTGCAGCTGGTTTTGGGAACGCCCCAGCAGCCCGCGCTGGTGGACACCATAGTCATGTCCAACCTGGGCTACTTCCAGCTGAAGGCGGCCCCCGGCGCCTTTGACCTGCAGCTGGCGCCCGGCCGCTCGCGCTCCCTCTACCTTGTCGACAACAGCACTGCCGGCGTGCTCGCACAGGTGCAGCCTTCACACTTTTGTGCTGGCTGGGAGACAGCATGAATCTCGTTATGTGGAGGAACGGCTTGATTCCAGTCATTCAGAGCTTGTCTTCCTGACGATCATTTGTGTCACCTTGCTAGCCACGGTGCTGTGTTTATACTTTTTGGTTCAGTCAGCCCTACAGAGGCCAAGGGACCTCATGGGGTTGCGCAGAGCCTAGTCAGGCGCTAAAGAGGCCTTGCATTCTTCCTTCTCTTGTGTAGGCACAACTGACCCTCAGCATGATTTGCTGAGTAGCCAGGAGGGCAAGACTGAGACAGAGTTTCAAGTTTTGGTCGATTGGTGCTCCTCCTCACCAGCTTCCCGCTGAGGAGGCACCAATCATGCAGGCAGGAATCAGCTGGAAGCTGGTGAGGAGGGGCTGATCAGCACAGGGGTATCCATACACAGCCTGGGCAGCTCACCTCTGAAAACCTGCCCATGAGTAGCCAGGAGAGCAGATCTAGCATTGTATAAATGTGTATCACAGGAATGGTTTACATATGCAGGAAGCTGGAGAGGAGGGTGCGATCAGCACGGGGGTGTCGATAGACAGCTTGGGAGGGCGCACGATGCGGCTCAACCTGCGTAAGCGCCCAGGATTCGAGGGCGAAGATGTACTGGGCACCGGCAGCGAGGGTGAGACAGGTCGGCATGCATGGCCCCTGCTGCCCATTGCGCGTTGATGCATGCCAATTGACATGCTCCAGCCAACGGATTTACAGTCTGCCTTGCTTTTAATCACTCTCCCTTTAGGCTTGTGTCTCGCACTGTTGGTTAGCAACCTTGGTTTTGCTCCCCCTCTCGCTCGGCTTGCTGCTGCTTGCAGCAGCGCGAGCATGGTCTTGTTCTAGTGTGCAAGAAGTACAGGACTAGCGCTGCTTTGGACAGCTGTCTTTTGCTGTCAAAAATGGCGGCATGCAGCTCTCGCTCGCCTGTCTTCGAATTCTTTGTGTCCAATTCTTGATCAAATTGTCTAGTTTGCATGAGGGGTGACAGATACTGGAGAGAGAACACGGGCCACACCAGGGAGCAAAGAATCATGACACTGGTCATGCTAGCCATCACTGCATGTCATGCTTTTGAAAGACGACGTCCCATATGGGAGCAGTAGTGAAATATGTCTGGGCTGCAGGATCGGTGTGGGGCAAGGTGTCATCGTGGCTGGCGCCGGGCAGCAAGGGCAGCCCGGGCCGGGCAGGTGGGCTGTCGGCAGAGGAGGACCCAGACTGCATCCACATCTTCACTGTGTCGAGCGGCCACATGTACGAGCGCCTGCAGAAGATCATGGTGCTCTCTGTGCTGCGAACCACCAAGTGAGCCTCCCACCCATGCTCCTGCTAAAGGGTGCTACATCGACATGCGTTTCATGGCAACAGAAAACCTTAGAGCAGTTGGCATGGGCAATGCATCATGGCGCAGAATTATCTTGAAGGTAAATTTAATCACAAAAATGCACAAAAATGTAAATCTGAAACGGAGGTAGGCAGGTGTGAAATTATAATAAGATACACATAATTGGGAGTATTCTTGCATGCAGTGTTTCTGACATGCTGGTGTGGGTGCTGGCGCAGGGCGCGGGTGAAGTTCTGGTTCATAAAGAACTACATGTCGCCGCAGATGAAACGCTTCCTGCCTCGCATGGCCGCCCACTACAGCTTTGACTACGAGTTTGTCACCTACAAGTGGCCCTCCTGGCTGCACAAGCAGGTGTGGCTCCCCACAGAAGATGCACTTTATTTCCATCCTCATGCTTGACGGTGTATGCAAGGCGAGGAGCTCTTTGTCAGCAGAATTCATGCTCTTGTCCGCTGGTCTGAGGCTGTGGCAGTACAGCAGACAGCAGCGCCAACCCTGCATGGCAAGGCGCGATTATCATGCATCTCAGATAGGCAATGCCACAAGGAAGCATTCGTTCGACTTGTTTCCTGCAATTGTACATACCGGGCCAGAATACCGCCGAGTAGGTCCTCGGGTCAGAGGAAGTGTTCAGGCTCTTCTTGCTTGCCCTCAGTGTGTTGTTGCACCTCTCACCTGGACTTACTCTGACCTGAGAGGCTCCTAGCTCCTGGCTTTGCTGTACCTCCACTAGCCAGTATTTGAGGAGGAAATCTGGCGTGTGGACAGACGGAGAAGCAGCGCATAATCTGGGCGTACAAGATCCTGTTCCTGGATGTGCTGTTCCCTCTCTCCCTGCGCAAGGTCATCTTTGTGGACTCCGACCAAATCGTGCGCGCAGACTTCGCCGAGCTCTGGAACATGGACCTCAAGGCACGTCTCTTCTCTGCATTCCATGTTTTCCCCTGTATTTTCCATGACTGCTCTGTGCTTCTGCTTGACTGTCAGTGTGGATTATCACCAGCTTCTTAAGGTATGTTATGCTGGTGACTTGCTGGATGGGGGTCAAGAGGAAGAAGCAGTATTGCACAGCATGCACAGCAAGCACGGTACTTTTAAAGTCCACTGCGCACACGAAGCATTGTTCTATCAATCCTTTAGCTGCCCATGCATGCACAGTGCCATCTCACAATGCAAACACTTTCATCTCCCGCTGCACTTGCAGCTAGACCTGCAAAAGGTCTTAATCATGGTAAGTGAAATTCAGGGTCATGCTGCAAGATAGAAGAATATATATCATCAGTCTCCTAGCAAGCAGAGGCCCCAGGAAAAAAGGAAACAGCAGGACAAAGGCCACAAATGAAATCTGAATTGCAGGCCCCTCCGCTGGCTTACATGCCATTGCCATTGCGAGAACATAATTTTCTTTTGAAAGCAAAGCCAGATAGTGAGGGAATTCGGCTCACGTTCTATGCCGCACCCCAGAAATTGTCGCAATGAAACTGCACAGGGCGCTCCGTTGGCATACACGCCGTTCTGCGACAACAACCGGGAGATGGAGGGGTTCCGGTTCTGGAAGCAGGGCTTCTGGAAGGACCATCTGCGCGGACGCCCCTACCACATCTCTGCCCTCTACGTCGTCGATCTAGTGCGCTTCAGGTACGTCCCCCTTGCCGCAGGTACTGAGACGGCTGGACTTTCAGGATAACCGCCGTGCCTGCGCAGCACCTGCCTGAATCCAATGCTATCACCCGTTGAGCCTGCAACGCCAGGAGCTGGCGAGGAAGAGTCTCCCTGCATGTATAATATCATAATCTAGAAGAAGAAAAATGTGAGAGATGCTTTCCTTTGCAGCACAGTACCGTGCGCGACATGCAAACTCGTGCTCAGGCCTTGAAAAGTCGCTCTGATACTGCCGTGACTCACAAGGTCAAGCGGCAGCGGCTCAAAAATTGGGGTTTGTGGCCACAGATTTGCACCTGACCCCCTGCATGCAAGCGGCTTTGGCCAGGTAAGATCTGAGCCGCCGTGTGCTTGCCGGGATTGATTGCAGGCAGAGTGCGGCGGGCGATCAGCTTCGGGTGGTGTATGACCAGCTCAGCCGCGACCCTGCCAGCCTGTCAAATCTGGACCAGGACCTGCCCAACTACGCGCAGCACCAAGTCCCCATCTTCTCACTGCCCCAGGTGCGCTAACTTCCTCGCCTTCGTGTGGTATCGATTTGGCAATGGGGCAAGTCTCTTCGAGAGCTTTAGCTTCAAGGTGCACCTGCATGCGGTCTGCTCTGCATATGTCAGCATCAAAATTGCCGTGACCCGTCACTAAAGTCCAGTGGGATTGCAACGTTTGGTAGAATGCTGACACACCAGAAGTTTGTGCTAGAAAGACGGACAGCGAAAGACTGGCCAGAAGGCCAATGAGCCTCAGGCTGTCACCTCCCACCAGGTCTCTGAAATGCACTAGTTGTTACAAACAACTCACAGGGACCCCAGTGAGGCCATGCGTTTGAATAATGAGAAATGAGAATGTCTGAATAATTATGAATGAGAGGATTCATTATAGAGTGAGTGATAGGCTGCAGACTAATGAAGGCCCCGCAGATGTGGCTGCAGACGCCCTGCGTGTATGCCCTATGGCCTCTGGCTTTGGGTTTGCCGACCTGTAATAATAGTAGTAATAGTAGTAATACGCTTGCGCGCAGGAGTGGCTGTGGTGCGAGACGTGGTGCGGCAACGCAACCAAGAAGTACGCCAAGACGATCGACCTGTGCAACAACCCGCTGACCAAGGAGCCCAAGCTGGACAGCGCCCGCCGCATCGTCGCCGAATGGCCGGGCCTCGACGAAGAAGTTGCCACCTTCACAGCCGAGGTGCCCTCTCCTTCAAGAACGCTTGTCCCGACTCCTGACCCATATCTTGTCTTTCAAAATTTTCAAGGTGACTGAGTGCGCCTAGACCGAGCCAGGCTTGTCTGCGCATACCGACTCAGCTTCACAGCTGATGTGGCTGTCTATCTAGAAATGCTTTGGCAGGGATAGAGAATATGAACCGCATGTTTGGAACTTACAGCCGCTTAATCCCGGACATGTAGACGAGATTCCCTGTTCTCTGCCCTGAATTTTGCTTGCAGATTGGAGCACGATTGGGTTGTTTTTGCATTTGATTTGCCTGGTGCGTTCTCAAGCAATTAATTGCAGAAGGCCATATCACATGGCCTTAATGTGGCATGGGGACTTCTGTTTCTTTAGCAAGTACGACTGGTGCAGGTTGAGGCAGATCTGGCAGCGGAGGCTGTGGCAGGCGGGGAGGCGGCTGACTCACCAGAGCAGCCGGCCAAAGTTGGAGGGGATATCATACAGCATCATGACGAGGAGGACCATGGGAGAGAGGCTGGAGGGGAGAAGGGGAGTGGAAGCGCGTCTGAGGGGCACGATGCGTCAGAATTGTGATCATAGGCGCCATTGCTCATAGTTCGCCCTCAATGAGCCTGGTTTTGACAAAACGCAGACAGTCTGCCCTGCGAAAGAAGTATCTGCACTGCCGTGCTTTGAATGGCCTGCTCTTACAGCTGGAGTCACATAAGATGACACAGTTGTGACAGGTGCCGCAGCTGTTGCACTCCTGCAGCAAACCAAGGTGGTTGAGTGGCAGTTGCAGTGATCTCTGGTCTGGATATCACCATACTTAGACCAGCGTAACAGTGAACAAGCCAATCGTAGGATCAAATCGTACCAAGTATGGCGCAGACTGCCGTTTACTCCGAGTCTTCAAGCCTCACAAGTTGTGTAAAATTCCAGATGATCATGATATCTCGGGTGTACTGTGCCAGGCGTGGCAGAATTCGTCAGCACCCCTGACCAATAGGGGAAAATAGCGTGAGCCTCATCCATGAAGGGTTAAAAAAGGTCCCCATTAGGCGCCGATTTACTCCATGCCCTGCAGCTGAGAAAGTCAAAGACATGCAAGGACTGCCTAGTCAGGCTCACCCCAGTCCACATGACTCAAGCATGACTAGGCATCCCATGCTCCAACGCCTCGATCTGAAGGTACGCATAAAAGGAAATTCGAAACTCACAGTATGGCGTCCAGAAGAAGGAAATGAACATCAGCACCCCGATCAGCCCACTGAGACACAGGAGAACAAAGGGGCGAGGCAGCAAAAAAAGTATCATTATTTTTCTGGTGCTCAGCTTGATCTTGGGCGTTTCCTACTTGTCGCATAGGGCAGTATTCAACGGGCCAGCATCAACATCAGTGCGGGATATCTTTCTGCACATCGAAGGATATTCACCTCGAGATCTTGGCCTGGCATTGGCAGCGGCATTGCAGGGCACAGGGGACGAGGCCGAACGCCTAGCAGGCTCGTCAGGGTGCGGAGACTGTCAATGACTATAATAATTACATTTTGTATCTGCCATACCGTCCTAAAGGGGCTTCCAGGACTCCGGGATCTGCCTGAGGATGTCTGATGTTCCCGTGCACATACCATTCAGACTGGCTCCAACGGGTGTATCAAACACCAAAAACTCGATGAAATGGTGAAGTGATATTCATTGCAGTCAGAATCTTATATTGCAGGGCGTTGACAGCTGTGCAGCAGCTGCTGCATGCCATCGAAGCCAGAGCGAGTGCAAATGCAGTCCCGTGCATCATCGACCCCAGCCTGCCACAGATTGCAGAGAGACAACGGTTCTTTGTAGCTAGCAACCTTCACAACAATGAGAAGCTGCTGCCGCACTTCACCCTGCAGCTCCTGAGCCTGCTGCTGCAGCTGCCCAAGGGCAGCACCTATGTCTCCATCTATGAGAGCGGCAGCAGAGACCGCACAGGTACTTGCCTGCTTATATATTTCCTGCATGTAATGAGTCCTACAACAGTGTACGCTATCCACAATAGCCCATGCAGTCATTCTGGCCCACCTGCAGACGCATACAGAGTGAAACAAGCTGAGCACGCTCTGACTGCTTCCATCAATCCAGTCTCGACGGTGTACCTCAGAAAAACTTCTTGACAAAGGTTAAGCTATGATCTGTTTGTGCTGCTGTCACAGGGGAGTGGCTGGAGTTGCTGCAGAGCCTGCTCCTGCTGCTTGAGGTGCCCAGTAGCATTGTGACAGGTGACCATCATCCCCCACACGTGTCAAATTATTCTGGCAACACATGTCACTACAGTCCTGTGCTGCTGAAGCGATACGGCACATCAACAGACAGCGCGATCTTTCATCGCAAGTGTCTGAAGCCAGGGGCCTCTGAATTAGTTTTCAGAGGAAGTTATGTAAGCCCTGGCCTGCACCGGGGGATATGAGAACTACAGTAACATGCAACGTCTAGTGATGTTGAACGATCCTTGGCTGCATGCGCGCAGGGGGTTTGACGCGCGCGGAGGGGGAGGACCGGATAGACTTCCTGGCCCAGGTGCGCAACCGCGCGCTGGAGCCGCTCTGGCGCGGCGCCGGCGGCAACGGCAGCGCTGCCGTCTCGGGCGAGGGCTTCCGCGCCGACCGCATCGTTTTCGTCAACGACGTGTTCTTCTGCGCGCGCGACGTGGTGAGCGCTCTTGGCAGGCTGTTCTTTGGTCCACCGCCATCAAGCAGACCACCATGCACAATGCCTGCCTGACAATAGCATGCCATTCAATGCTTGAGATATTGACGGGCATATAAACAATACCAAGTGTGCTGGAGTGTTCTTCTCCTGTCTTTCTCTCGGAGAGAAGAGAGCCAGTCGCTGTTCAGCGGGAGAGGGAGTGTCAGCCTGGCTGCCGCTCTGTCATGCAAACCCAAGCCTACGTGCAGTCTGAGGTGACGCTCATGTGCTCACCCGCATGCAGGCTGCATGATGAAGCAGTACTGTTGATGCGTGCGCGCAGGTGCGGCTGCTGGCGCAGGATGGGGACTTGTTGTGCGGTATGGACTTCCACGTGGACGTGCGCGAGGGGTGGGACCGCCATTGGCGCAACATCCCCGCAGCAGAAATCATGCCCTACGGACCCCACGGGCCCCAGCTCGGGGTGAGGCTGCCGGCCCCTTTCACTCCCCCTTCAGGAGCTCTCCCGGTCATGATGCATCCCCTTCAGCAGCTCTCCCGGTCCTGACGCATGTCATTTTGGGGCTCTCTTCATCACTGTGCATGTTATTTCGCAGCTCTGCTGGTCACGATGCAAGCATCTCTCCTGATGATGATGCCTCCTCCTGCCCGGCCCAGTGCCTCCTCGAGTCAGCTCATTGTGAGTGATGAACATGATGCATATAAGTCCTGCACAACGCCATCCCCGCGGCTGAGATTTTTTCCCGGGGGAGACTCTTTGTCTGGCATTGTGGCCGTCAATGGAGTATGCTTCTGGCAATAATGCTGCTAGAACAAGAGGGTGATGATGTGATTATTGTGCGCGCAGTACAAGCACCAGAATCACGACCACCTGATATTCTACGACAGTTGGGTGTCGCGAGACCTCTCCGGCATCCCCTTTGCCAACTCCCGCCCCTTCGTGCTGCACCAGGTGACCTTCCATGCTGCCTTTACTCTGTTTAAACGAGTAACACATATACTCGTTATAATATATTACCTATTATTTCCTGCCGTGAAACGCCGCCTGGGAATCTTCTGCACAGCCCACCTTTTGTTGGAACCAACCTTTTGTTGCCAGCCGGCTGGAGGACGCAGCCCAGCTTACCTCACGCACGAGCTGCATGTTGGTGTAATGGAGCAGCTGATCACATCAAGGAAGTGATTTAGCATCGGTCCCATAACAGTCGCTACAAGATAGTTCAACAGAAGTGAATGTGCTGTGCTTTGGGCGCAGTATTCGTTGGCGCGGCTGCAGAAGGGGCTGCCTTTTCCGGTGTCCTGCTGCTGGAATGGCCTCGCCGTCATGAACAGCGCCCCCTTCCAGCAGGGCTACCAGTTCAGGTGAGACTCTACGCCCTGCAATTCCCAGCACGCTACCTGGCTGCATGTCCCAAATCTCTTGCTTTTTACCAGAGTTCTGTCTGATCTGAACTACCTGGTGATCCTGTCTCTATTTTTGAGCAGCTTGCAGGTGCTGGCTACCCCTGTGCAACCAGAGAGAGCGTGAGACAGAGATAGAAGAACACTAGCTTTCTGCAAGCCACGATAATGCTGAGGGTGCCACCTGGTGCCCGAGAGCCACATGTGCACGCACATGCCGTGCAAAACCAGAATTTGAAAAGTAGCGTGCATGGTGCAGGACGCACAGGCGGGGAGAGTGCGAGGCGTCGGAGGGCAGCCTGATGTGCGAGGACTTTCTGCGCGCCGGATACCAGAAGTTCATCGTTGACCCGGGCGTGCGGCAGGCCTACTTCCCAGAGACCGCTCGCAAGCTCTACACCGACAAGGTAAGCTAGATAGGCATGACTCTGGGCCACTGCATGCAGTGGTACACTTCAATGTGCCCAAGCAGCCTTTAATAAATCACACTCTCCATTGTGGTTTGCATGCATTCGCTGCCACTTCTTGATCAGTGCATGCCCGTTTCGGTGGGAACTTTTGTTTGCTCAAGTAAGTTTGTCTTAGTAAGTGCTCATGCTGGGCGTCTGGCAAGGGGGTTGACATAGCTTGTTACAATCAATATTATAGCGCACTTGCAGGCGTGTATGCTAGCACGCATGTACGAGTATTGACCGCTCAAAAAGAGACCCTGCACAGATCACAGGATTCTGCAGGTGCGGCCGGGACCCCTGTGATCAAGTGCATCTGCGCGCAGGTGAGCTTCATCCCGCTGACAACGTGGGACGAGGTGGCGGCCGCGCCGGAGCCGGACTTTGGATTTGGGCCGCGGCGGTTCCACATGACATGCTGCCGCAAGCAGGCCGGGGGCGACATCGTGCACTGGGAGCAGTGCCGCCCGGGGGAGGTTTTCACGCGCACGCTCGGCTGTGACGCCTGATCTGGGCTTGCGTTACCTATTTATCTGAGTCATAAGCTCATATTTATGCTGTTCATGACAGTTTGCAGGCTTCAAAATATGGCATGACCAGGATGGTGCATGGCATGGGAGCGTGCATATGCAAATGATGCAGCGCCTCCTCATCAATTATCAGTCTTGTCTGGCAGACTTCAGCCCTTTCTGATTTCAGGTAGACTAGAGAATTCCCGAAACGAAGACTGTCACTCTTCGCAATACTTTCCAGAGTTTTGCTTGGACATACTTCGTGCGAAATACTTCTGTATTAGAGATTAAGTTTCCAAGGGAACACGGCATGCAATGCAGACAGGGCTCTATGGGAAGGCACTTGTGCCCGCTACCTCCCTTTCAGCAGTGAAATGCCTCTGCAATTGTCCACCCATCTGGCTTACAGCTTTATAAATGTAACCGCCAAGCCATTGGGTGTTGCGTTTTGGCTGAAGTATGTTGTAAAAGATGAAGGGTCAGATAACGGACCTCCTTTCAGCCATCCTGTGTTTTCTGCGCAGCAACAAACCCGCATGAGACCTTTGAACTGAGCAGACTGTGCCAAAACATGATGCCTTGTGCTCTGGCTCACTCAGGCCTGTAAGGCACATCACACTATGACAATTGCCATCGGTGGTTGAAAATGTGACTTAATTCTAGAGCCATCACTGCACCGTTGTGCTGTAATCCAAGCATGCTCTCATGCACAAAGGATCGCTGTAATGAACCTGCACGCCGCAATGATCAGGTAGGCAGTATCTAGAGAGCAATTGGCAGCAGGGATTACCATCTGGCTTGTAGACGAATGCTCTGCATGTGGAATCTGCTGTGCATGCTGCAGCTACTGTGCTGACGTCTCCGGTCAGCTTGCAGTAGTCAGCACTGAGCGAATTGGGACTGCAAGCAATAAATGCCACCGTCATGTCTGTGGAACCTTCCTTAATCATGAAGTACGCTGCACCTGTAGCATTCTCGCTGTTACCGCAGCCGGGGGGCCCTTTGCCAGTACATCACTCTTTTCCGGCTCTCTTCATCGGTATTGCCAAGCAGAGTTATGGGTGCAGCGATAAAAGTTGTGTCGCACAATGGCTGAATGTAAGCTGAGGCAGGGAGTATGCGCACCAGGAATAGTCAAAGAAGCCGGCAAAGTCAACGCCTGAATGGCGGCTGTACCCCAACGGCGCCGGCAGCTGATCCACCGCCTTGCTCCATGTTGCTGCAAAGACGGGAGGTCTTTTGGTCAGTTGTGTCTGACAGGTGACCACCTAATTGAGTCTGGGATACACACAGCACTTGCATGGCTGGTCGGGCATGATCCGCGTTGGCTGAAAAGTGCTGGGCACACACTGGAGCTGGCAGGCATGATGCACTCACAACCTTCTTTGACTTTTGATTGTCTGATACCACGAGATGTAACGTCTCTCTTCCAAACACGATAAACAAAGACCCAGCAGGAGATGCGATCGTCTGTAACAGTGAAATATTAGTTGTTTCAAGCAGGAAGAGGAGTGGCGAGTTGCTCACGAAGCCAGCCGGAGGTGAAATCAGAGCCGGCCCAAGCGCGGTCAGTTGTGAGTGACGGTTCCGATTCAAGCATGCTGAGCATCTGCTTGAGCGTGCACTGCTGGTACGGGTACGTCGTTCCAAAGCCATTTTTGCAGCCAGCCGTGATGTCACAGTAAACCCATGCATTGCAGATCTGACTCGGATAGCTCTTGCACGAGTGCACCAACACACACGTGGTCATTTTCTTCTCCGAGGAAGCCGGTCATCATTTTTCCTTGCACCTCACCAACGGACTCCAAATGCATGCATGATTGTTAGCAAATGTTCTACAACCACATGCACAGCAGCAAAATTCACGGCAGAGTTTATAGGAATGCGCAGCTTACAGCACAGCAAGCAGCGGAGGATGGCTGCAGGTTGGCTGCTCCTTCTGTGAGCACATTGCCCAAGAAGTTTGTGCGGGGCACAGTGACACAGGTGGCTGGCTGTGTACGTCCTACATTCAGCAATGCTCCTATAAGTGACTTTTGCATGAGAGTAAGAAAGGATAGTAACATACTTGCAGTGTCAGCTTCCAATACAGCGATGGCAAGTGCCTTACCTATCTGCAGCAATTGGCGTGAAGGTGCTACCACATCAGCATTGCTAAGGACAGATTTCAAACCATCACCTGCACGAATGCAACATCAAGCATTCCATATGTTATTTCTGAACTGTCATAACGCGAAGGTTGGAATGCAACGCCTAGCGGGAGTATCCTCGATCACTCTTACCACATTAAGAAAAAGTGGAAGTCAAAGCTATGGATAGAAATCCAAAATACTATTCTGATATCTAGCATCAACAGGCGACTCTGCAAAAGCAGGGATGGCTTGCGCGGAACCCTACAGTGAGTAGCTTCCAAAACAAACCAAATGGACGTCAAAATAAGAACTGTCGAGCAGAAATGAAATTCATTACCGTGTATTTCACTAGCGTAGGTCTGGCATAATAGTATCAAAGATGCAAGGACGGCCACTGAGGACGTGTACTGCATCTTACTCGCTGGCAGAATCAGTGACAGGCAACGTCCCTAAGCAACAGTAGATTGCAGCAGTTGTGAGTCATTTGTACAGATCGTTTACACGAAAGATTTGAGAATATGTCTTTTAGGAGATCGATGGAGAATATGTCGAGCAAGTAAAAGGGATGTGTACTACGATTTGTCACATGAAGGTTCGTAAGATCCACGTCAGCTTCCCAGCTGGAAGCTCCAGATTCAGGATACCTTTGTTGGATGTGATCCACAAATTTGACCAACAGGTGGAATCCTGCTGGTCAAATTTGTGGATCACAGGTGGAATCCTGCAGGTGAAGAAACGATCAGCAATTTCTGCGGAGCTGCAACCACCCCCCCAGCTCATATGAGCAAGAAATCAACGATATCATTTCTCCGAATCTGCCGCATGTGTGCACTGCCGAGCACTGTTCAAGCGGCGCCACATTCCGTCACTGTGGCAGTCAGATAACACTACATGCACATGCCGCCATGCCAGTAGCAGCTCTACAGACATGCCACCGTGGCACCTGCCGGCTCAAAAGAGTCACATGTCTGTACAAACCTCTTTCAGGGACACCATGCATGAGCAATATTCTATCCAAGGTCACCAGTCTGGTGTTTCAGATTTGCCCTTTCTCCTATGTTCTATCAATCTCTGCTTTCATGTCTGCATACAACTTCTTCTCAAATGCGATCTTGCATGTGCAAGGCAGACATGTAATTGGTCGTCATCTGTCATAGTCACTACGGTACGGTACGGTACCAGCCTACCTGATCAGGTCATGAGCATGTAAGCCTCAGTCATTGCTAGTGAGGTAGGTATCCCCAGGGAACCCCCATAAAATTAGATCAATTGGAGAATATTTGCACATACGCCGCAGTGTTGGGGTTGGGCGTAGAATAGCTCAATGACTGCAGAGGGGCAAGCTGCACGCCATTGCCTCCCTTCAGCCACCCAATGCTCTCTGCGCAGCAAACCATTGTCATTGATCGACAGTCATTTCAGTCCATGATTGCCATGATCATACCTTGAACAATAGCAGAGCCAGCACATGATGTCAACAGTCCATTGTCACTAAGCATGTGCCCAAGTGTGCACATTAATTTAAAATGGACGAAGACAACCCTGACTGACCTCGCTGTGACGTCATATCAAGCAAAACCTTAATTCACCAATGTCAAAACTAGGCCAACTTTGACAATCTGAAGATGGGTATAAACTCACGACTGGGGTTGTAGACGAATGCCTTGCAGTACGGGTCTGCCGAGCACGCCGCTGCCAGTGATGTGGCACTTCCCGTCAACTGGCAGTAGTAATCATTGCTAATCGAGTTCGTGCTGCACGCCACATAAGCCAGAAGTCATGCCCAGTGTATGCATGGCACATGCAAGATCAAGATCTCCCACTTGAGATCACCTTTACTGCTCCGGCAGAGACTTTGAAGCTGGTAATTAAAACTTGCAGGTTGCCATTAAGGAATCAACAAGCCACTCCTGCTTGCTTTGTGGTGGTGATCTGGACGCACACTATTTCCTGGCTGGAGGGCAAGATAAAAACAAAGGTCAGCTCAGGCAGGAGGGCCGAGCTCACCATTTGTAGTCATAAGCATTTGCAAAGTCAACGCCTGGATAGCGAGAGTAGCCTGTCACCGGCGGTGTCTGGCCAACCAGCTGACCAAAAGAAGCTGCGCGCATAAAAGCAACCCTTTTTAGCAGGACACAGCTGCCATACAAACCAAAATTTGTGTCTGCCTTAGGATACACTCCTCTTAGACATGCCTCTTGCCAATTAAGAAGTCATGCTCAGTGTGGACATTATCACGTTGCCATGCTACCCCAACAGTAACAAACCTAACAGAAGGAATAAGGAGCCTGCAGGCGTGGGGTACTTGCAGCTACAAGGTCCTACTGTATTGGGCAAAGATACACAGACTGTGGCGCTGCTGCAGAAAGGGGCACTCACGGATCCAGCCGGAGGTGAAAGGTGATGCGCCCAATTTAGAGGTCTGTGTGAGGCTCGGCTGCAGAGCTTGCATGCTGGACTGGAATTTCAGGGTGCATTGCTGGTACCCGTAAATAGTTCCGTAGCCATCATTGCACCCTGTAGTCATTCCACACCACACCCAAGCATTGCAGCCGCCGCCCCTTATCGCCTGCCGGGTTTGAGTCCAGCAAGACTGCACCAACACACATGAGTTCATTTGCTGTGGCAAGTTATGCTGACATCACCCTACTTTCTTTCTGAGCCATGCAGGGTGCTGTATGCAGTCTCAGCCGACCCTGAAAATCAGCATGCCGCATGCAAGATGGCAAGCCAGGAAAATGGTGAGGGTTTCACAGGTCGTAAGGGATCCGGGAAGGATGGGTCTGAGCTTACATTACAGCAGGCACCACTGGATGGCTGGAGGTTGGCTGCACCATCTGCTAGCACGTTGCCCCCAAAGTTTGTTGAAGGCACTTTGATGCAGGAACCTGCGACAAACGAGAAATCAATGCTGAAAACAGTGCTGAGGGAAATTCATGGTAAAATCCCTAAGGGTGCCATCCCTGATCGTGCTTTGGTCCAAGGAGCGTTATCGAGGAATACACGGGCAGCTTGGCCGGAGCCTCACCAGTTTGAAGCAGTTGCCGTGAGTGATGCTTTGACGGTGCATCTACATGAAGATCTGCGCCTGCCGCACCTGCGATGCCAGTCACTGAGCTTGTGCAAGGGACGCTGTCTCAAGGTCCGTGCATACTAAATAAGCTTCAAGAAACAATTTTCATATCTTTAAGGCACAAAAATATTGCATTTAAAGCTCTTAGAAGCACATCGTCTAAGGATCTTTAGACGGGGACCATAGATAACAGGAAGAACCCTGCATCACAACTCCGGAACAATGAGTCACGCAAACTAAAAGTTGTGACCTGCACAGAGGAGGTTGATCCCACCGTATGCTCGAGAAGCGCCGGCTTTGCTACAGTACAACGCAAGTAAAATGATGCCCGCACAGATCAGCTTCATCAGCTACGACCGATTTCGACACCTGTATTGTCAGTCCTGGCCAGATTCGGTATTAATTTTAACACTGCAATATTCACCGTACAAACTGCAGTATATGAAGGTCCGGATTCTGGTTTTGACAAAAATCTGCAGGAAGATCTTGTCAAATAGGTCGTAAGTGCCGGGTTCCTTGTCAGCTTCCACGTGCTAATTCTTCATGCCTCTGCTGATGAAGGCATTCATACCAGGACATTCGGCACTAAAATAAAATTTTTCCTTTTGGAGAGAAACGATCAGTGGGGTTTCCTTACACAGATCGGCGAACTACTGAAATCACCACTTCGCTTTCACCCCAAAACCTCAATCTCCAGGAGAGTCTAGACCTAGACCTATGGGCCTTCATCAGGATCATCATAGGATGTGATAGTATCGATGGTGCAGCAATTTCACGACGCCCAAGCCCTGTGTTGCCATGCATACACGTCCCTACCACAATGCAGCTCCTACTGTACAGCTTGTTGACCAAAAGTTTGAAGCGGTTCACGTGAATCTCTTCAAAGAAACATAGAACTCCACATGTTGCCCGATTGCGGCTTGGCAAAAGCCAGATGTCAAGGAGATCTCTAGAACACAAAGCGGATACATGACCATGTATTTATACAGGGGACAACACACTGTGCCTATTTGATGTACACCATGTTCAGCACACCAGAACTTTGCTGGATGGCAGACGAGCCATGGACGAGACCACAAGGCATGCAGGTTACACAAATGTGAAATATACCAGGACAACACCTATCTGCACTTCTTATAAGAACCTACTCTGGACAATCTGCATATCATTTGTTTAGCGCCGGAAAGCGTATCATGAATTGGGCACATCCTGCAGTGCTCCAGAGACCTCGCACACAACCGCCCGGACAGAATCTGCCGCTCGAGAAAGATGACTCCCCAAGTGCACTGCAGTTCATCCCCGCCCCACTGCAAAGCCTGTTGAAGGCAAGGCAATCTCTTGCCATGTCTCTTGAATGAGTCAGAAGTGCGGTGGTGGTTAAGTACGGCCTGTGATTTCAGCGCCGGGCAGCCCGGCCGGGCAGCGGAGGCTGCCCACAGCGGGCAGGTCAGGGCAGGCCGGCGGCGCGCAGGCACTCCTGGCCGGCCGTCCCCGCCAGCAACGCCAGCTTCTCCGCACACCTCAGCACCTGCCACCCACCCAGCCCTCAGATATTTTAACAGAGCACAGATAGACCAGCAAATATCCACAAATACACCGCATAACATGTAACCCCCTGCTTCGGGAACTCCTGGCAACACATTCGAAAAGCAAAAAAAACATCACACAACACCACACAACATCATCCGGTAAACAGACAATTCTAGTTAAAGGCTGCACTGATGCCACACATCCTTGGGTGAGTGCTCTGTCTAACATCTGAAGTCCAACATGCAATGCAGGAGTGAGCCACTCGCACTTGGCAGCACAGCCCACACGCCGCCCGCAGCAGCTCTCACGTTACAGCGGATGACAGCAGGCAGAGGGCAAAAAGAAAAAGAAATTTTCACCTGGTGGAGATCGAGCTTGCCGGAGAGCTGGATGCAGTAGCGGAGGATGCCGTCGAAATCCAGGTCAGCGTCCATGATGGCACGCCGGTGGAGACCGAGCACGCCCGCGCACATGAAGATGTGGAAGTGGGGGCTGATGTGGCGAGACCACAGCGCCTCCCACAGCCTCAGCACCTGCAGCCGCCGCGGATGAGTCACCCCTCACCCCACAATGCCTCTGTTCTCGGTCCAGTGACCCTCAAATGTTAAGAGGAACCCCTTGGACTGGGCCAGCTTTGTCAAAGCATCCCTCTCTAATGCCATGTAAAAGACATCAGGTACATCTGGATTCCAGGTCCTGAGGAATGTTTCACTCTTGCACGGCTTCCGCTGTGGCGCTTCCCAAGCCGAGAGGATGGCTCAAACCTTGCCCCCACATGCTGCTTTTCAGCAGGCAATTCTCGAAGTGTGATTTGTGTGACAGTTGAGAATGGCATGTGTAGCTTGATGCAGGTGTTCCGTACCTCTTCGTAGGAGGAGAACTCCCGCTTGAACAGGATGAGCAGCCACCGGTAGCAGAAGTAGTAGTTGGTGGCCTCCTTGCTCTCCTGTAGCATGCACAGGTAAGCAGATGCGTCACATGACCAGCATCAACACCCCCACAAGCAGCTTGAAAAGTCAGTGTGAGTATCACTTTGCACGCCAGAAGAAGATGAACGGCATGTTGCATCTTTCTAGCAATTGATGGGGCAACATGGACTCAGAGTTGTGCCCTCCACACGACACTGTGCATGCAATATGAAGCTTGCACTTTAATTACGTGACACGGGACTCAAGGGTGTCAAATGTGGTGTGGTTGAAGGAAGGAGGGGCCCCACCAGGAAGGAGGTGAGCTGGGGGTCCAGGATGCTCATGAGGCTGCTGAGCGCCACCAGCTGAGACTGCATCCCCCGACAGTCCGTGTGGAAGTTCGCCTGCACATGCATGCGTGAGAAAACCAATAGCTGCCGTATGGTGTTTCATATTCACGGCTTGTATGTCTCTCAGCAGCTGCCAAGGTATACGGCTGCAACAGCAGCAAACTAGTTTCAAGGCCACACATTTGCTTCGCAGAATGTTGTAACAGACGGCATCATTACAGACCTTAGCTCACACTAAGCTGCTAAGGAAGGTTTGAAGATCTTGAGAGGTGCTCCCAAAATCACCTTTAGCAGCTTCATCTCAGCACAGGCGTGTAAACGTGACAACTATACAGAAGGATTCTTCACCTATGCTCCTTTGCAGAACAGGAGTAGACTCACCTCCAGCTTTTCCATGAGGCAGGCAAAGCACCAGAATGCCTCCGCCTCATCATGCATGACGTACAGGATGGGCGCCACCATGTCTGACATTCCCTGCACATGCCAACTCAGCACATTCACACAAGTCACAAGGACACACACTGTCCAGTTGCAGCACACAAAATGTGAGCCACATTCCCTTTCCTGCTGTAAAAGAGGCAAGACTTTCTTGCTGCAACGATCCTGAGCAAGAGGCAGCCAGGGCTGCCCTACCAAGAGACGCCATGGGAACAATACATCAACAGGGCACTAACAACGTCCAATAAAACTAATATCATTCACTTCTCCTCATTCCAGGAATCTCCAGACGGTGATTTGTGAGGAAAACATATGGTAGACAGGGACTAAAACAAATTTTCCTGACTTGTATGAAAAGGTTGAAATATTCGATGAATTCAAATACTTTAGTTCAACTCAGTCTCCCGGTGAAACGAGCAAGGCGGCTGGGCCGCGCCTGGACATAGCCGAGGTCGTAGTTGTAGATGGAGTAGGAGAGGAGGATGCATCGCAGCATGCGCACGTTGCGGCCGCGCTCCGCCCGGTAGAACGGCTGCGCTCGGTCCGTCCGCCGTACGTCCTTCTCAACCCGACTGCGCCGCTCCCGCCACTTGCTCCACCTGTACGGTGCGAATTGGCATCAGACAGGATTCATAGCATGCAGATCCAAATGGCTCAATTGGGTAAGCAAAAGTGACCTCAAAATGTTCTGCTCGAAATGTGAAGCCTTGCTCGACCTGCGCGGCGCTCATGCGAGCTCTCTGAATTTCTCTTGTTGTAGAAAGTGGAACGCAGAGCATCAGAGCAGAGGCGTGTGCCAGACGGTGAGGGGAAGGGCTGCCTCGCAGTGTCAACACAGCATGTGCCACAAACAAGGCACCAATGGCCCAGGAGTACGATTGATCACATTGCACATATACAGTCGAGTGTGGCTCTTATGAAACTTGCATGAATCCCTACTGTCAGCAACCGGCTACTGCGTTGGCATCAGCTAGCCAGAGGTTCCTTTGGCAGCGCCTGAAGCAGGACACTGACTGCTCTTGCCAGCCAACGCTGCCATACGCTAGACGTCAGACAGACCGCCAGCTAGAAGTGCTGTCGGCTTGCTTGACATCTCAAAGAGGACAGCACAGCTGTGAGGGCGGGCGAGTTGTGCAGCGACTGTCCCGGCATACATTCAGGAAAACGTCATCAACGAAGTTCTCCTTGTGCTTCAGGCAAACCAGCTGGAAGTATACGCTGCCAGCTCACCCAAAGTGACAAGTAGGGCTGAGCTAATTGGACCTATTGCTCAGCAACTACTCGCAAGGCTACCCAGATACATCCAAAACATTAAGGTGGGAAATGCAAGAAGGCAGGGGGCATGCGCAAAGGCAGGGGCAAGATCGGGGAATGCAGAAAGGTAGGAGACACACTTGGCCGCCTGGTCTGGGCCGATGGAGGTCCATTGGGATTTGATGGTGGCGTAGCGGTGCTTCTTTTCTTTCATGATGGCCGCGCGCTCGGCGGCGGTGGAGTCGGCCGGGTAGAGGCCCAGCAGAAACTTCCACACCTCGCGCCGCACTTCCGGCTCGCAGCCGCTGTAGAACACGCGCGCCCGCATCGCCTTCTCATTCGCTATGCGCCCTGCGCTTGGTGTTTGCTGATGTCAGTGCACCCGTCACATCAGCAATGGCTGTCGCACTTGGTAATTCCAAGAAAATATGCAAGAAAGGGCCCAATTTTGCAACCTGCACGATGTGGTCCAGGACGCAGGATCTGAGATTGACAGAGGAAACATCTTCAGAATGTAAAAAGTGGCACGCCGGAATGGCATGCAAGCTGAGCTGCACCACTGTCCGCCCGGCGGGAACTGCGGCGCAGGAAACTTGACTGGTGGTCATGATGCTGTGACACACAGCCAGGGGAACGCAGCCAACAAGGCCGCACCGTCGCTGCCGAGGAAGGAGCAGAACTCCTCATGGTGCATGGGCGGCGGCCGGGGCGCATTGCGCACGCTTGTCGCTGATTCCAGCAAGTCCCGGTCCAGCAGCTCGAACGCGCCGACGGCTGTGGCAGCTTCCCCGAAGCTGACGCGCTCGCCGTCCTCCGACGACGGCCCTGGCCGTTCCGCCGCTTCTGCGTCCAGCCACTCCGCGCCGGCCGCAGCCGGCCGGCCGTCCCCGGGCGCGGCCGCCGCGGCTGCCGTTGCGCCGTCATCTGCTGGATGACATAAGCAATGTCCGCTAAGGTTGAAATCCACCATTTTCTAGCCAACAGCCTCCACAGGCAGGCACGCCTCCCAACGGAATGGCTTCCTGATCTGGACATATATTCTTACTGACAGCTCGTGTGCCAAGATTTCTCTAATATTAAGGTCTGAAGCCATGCTCCGCTGTATATTGCCTGCTGACTATCCCTTGTGTCTGTGAAACTACTTGTCTAGTCGTGGCGTAAATTCCTGATCTGTATCCTTTACAGCAAGCGCCGCAGTAAGGTTTCTGCAAAATCTGGCATTGAGCCATATGCACGATAAGGTTGTCACAGCAGACCTGCAGCGTGCGGGGGCGGGTAGAGCACGGAGGACTCGAGGAAGGACTGAGTGGTCTCTCTCGCGCGCTGCGTCATGCGCGCAACGCCCTCCCACATCTGGCTCACCACGTTGCCACCCTCCGCCTCATTCGCCACTGCTTACACCACACATTGCATTTGGCACCCTCCGATATCTTCCAGATTTACTCCCCCAAAAGCTCAGGACACCACCCTAATCCAGGTAGCTGCATATCCACCCCCGCCGATGGTCCTCCTCCACCCCTTTTACAATCCGAGGAGCGCAAGAATAGGGAGAATGGGATAAATGTCGAAAGGTGAATGGCTACCTGTCACCGTACCCAAAATCTGTGTCTTCTGTTGGAGTAATGGCTGGCTGCACCAGCAGAACGGAACCTAGCTTGATTGGAACAAATCATGAATGAGATATTGACTGATGCCGCACCGGTGCGGGGCGCGAAGGCGGCGGAGGCAGAGGGAGGGAGTCCGTCCAGCAGGAGGCCGGAGAGGGACTGCTGCAGGGGGTCTGCGGTGTCGTTGATGAGGTAGGTGTTGGGGTCCTCTGCTGACTTCACCAGGTCGCAGTGCTGCGCGCACATGCATGCATGCCACCTCAGCACAAGTGCATGCACCAGCTATACCCCCAGACACTCGTGCGCCAGGCTCATTGGTGTTTGAACTCTCCGATTGCAGCCACATCAGCATGTAGCACACAAATGCACTACTCTACCCTGATCTAGATATGTACAGCTCGGCTGCTGCCAGAGAGCAGGGCAACTCGGGTACCAGGAGCACCAGGGCAGACAAGACACATCGCAAAAAAAAGGCAGCAGTGAGCCAAAGAGAGCCCTGGAAACGCAAGTACCTCTTTGAGGGCGGAGAACAGCGCTCGGACGCCGCCGGCAGTGAAGTACAGCGGTGGCAGCGTGAGGCCATTTGTGAGCACGAGGACAATGTGCTGCGTGCCAAATGAGGGCGCATGCTTGCGAACAGCCTTCACCTCTGACAGAGGTATTGGGTGCACTGCGTACATCGTGCGATCTGCGCGCATGCACCGGTGATCAGCTTGTCTGCTGCAGCTGAGAGGGGCAATTACTACCGTCCTTCCCGTTGCCTAACAATGCTAGACACAGAACTGTGAGCGCATTCTGCAGGTTGCATGCGCATTGGAGAAGATGCTCACCACGTGCGGTGGGTTGAGCGGCCACGATGGGAGGAGTGTGGAAGGTCCCATCCGGCAGGAGGGACCCTGGCGAGTAGGGCAGCCATGCCAGGAACATGACCCTATTCTGTTTGATGAGGCTCAGCCTCCCCATGATCCTCTCATTCTTCGCCACCACTGCTGCGACTCCTTCCCTTACATACGTCACCTGCGATTTTGAGGCCCAAAAGCGTTTGCCCAATAGCTCATTGAATGTACCTCGAAATACTGGGCAAATAGGGGATGCTCTCGCCAAAGCGTCTGTCTGAGGCGCTAAATACCCTCGGTTCCATTCTCCTCTCATTACCAGGTCATGAGAGGTACTTTCGGACCAATCACCTCTGTGTCGCTGTTCTCTCCAACATCCATGAAGTTGTCATCGTCACTTGCGCAACCAGCTTCCTCGTCGCTGGCCTCAAAGTCCTCTGTGCAGCTGTTTGGTTGACTGTCAGGTATGGGGTGCGATTGCGGGTGGGCATCTTTGTTGTTGGTGGAGACCATAATTTCCAGGGTGATGGTTCCACTACCACAGCTGTCTCTTTGTCAACCTAGGACACTTTGCAGCGCTCCATCGTACACGTCTCCGACAAAGATGCTTTTTTTCAAAAGAAATGCTTCCTCTCGTCAGCTGCACCTGCTCTGATACAAGCCCAAGCAGTAATTTTCTGGGGTACCTTCAGTTACAGCCTGGCTTTCTTGGCCTGAGCTACCCTTTGTCTGTCCCGAGCAAAGCAGCGCAGCTTGCTGATTATACAAAGACAATGTGCACAGTATTGTAGGGCTGGCAGGGCGGGTATGTGAAGTTGATCCCCCATTCATGAAACAACGAAAATGGGCTGTCTTGCTTCCTGCTTGGAGCCTGCCCAAACCTGACATCAGCAAGTTCACGTGGGATGCCAAGGTTTAATTCGGTTTGCGAAGGGAAGCAGATCGGCTGCTTCGCCTCTAAGAGGAGTGGAGATCTCGGAAAATGCTTTGATCAACGATCGCTGGCACAGGCGCGTTACTAGCCAGCTCGCACAGTCTCCCTTTGTGACAAAGATCAAGCTGAGGCTACTTGAATACCAGACAAGCACGTCCTGGTTGTCAAATAGTGTCTTAGTAACATAGAGGAAGCTCAGATTACAAGTTCCAATGCGTGAGTGAGCTAATTCCATCCTTGACACCCCGCAACCTCGGGCCGGAATTAGGTTTGGTCGGGACTTGCGTAATTATAATACGTTGGAGTTGCGATTGGGAGTTTAAGGCAATAGAAGACAAGTTATTGTGTGTACATCTCAGAGTTCAGCTGCTTGAGGGAGCAGGGCCCCGCGCTAGCTCATAACCTAGTCGCATTGTACCGTCAGCGGCTGGCTGCGGAAAGCAACTGAAAGGCGCTGCATGCGATTGTATCGCGATTGTGTTTCTGCCATTACTCCCGTTTACTTTCTGACGTACGGCGCTGCCGTGCAGGAGGTTGTAGGAGGCACTGGGCACGAACTAGGGCTTGCCACAACAGCTGCCAGATCAGATAAAGGAGACCGTGTTAGAAGTGTGAAAAAGACCAGATGGCGCCCACCAGCGACGAGACGGCTGTGCCTCTCCTGAGCGGCCATGCCCACCCAACATGGAACTTGCGCACCACGTTCTCTGCCCCTCTGGCAGTGATCCTGGCTGCCCTGCTTGGGGTGTTTATTGCCTACGTTAAATACCCCGAGCTGGAGTCCACCGACGCCCATGTCAACCAGTACTACATGTACTACATCCACGTGGCCATCATGATCTTCGTTGGTTTCGGGTGCGCTCCTCTAATTGCCCTGCTTCCACGCCGATCGCAGTTGGCATAGCTTAAGTGCAAGCTATCTATTAGCTTGCAGATTCGGGAAGTTTCATCTGAAGACTTACCGAGAGCTGGTCCTGACAATATTTCTGGTGCTCGCAGGTACCTCATGACTTTCCTGAGGTGCGCATCGCTTTCCCCTAGCTGTGCAGTCCTTGCATGTATGAGCAACATGACCATGCCTGCATGCGTTCATGCTTTTTGCAGCACAACTCCTTTTGATTGACACTGTCACGCAGTGTTTTCTTTTTCCAAATGTGAATTCAAGGGGATGGTCATACTGCAGGCGGTACAGCTACAGCGCTGTGGGTCTCAACTACCTGACATCAGCAGTTGTCATGCTGGAGGCCATCGTCTTCGTGGGGCTAGTGCAGCAAGTCATCTTTGGGGACTTGTACGCAGATTCCCTCTTCCCAAAGCTGAAGCTGAAAGTCAATGTTTTGCACTGAGGCCACACTTGGGCAATCTCAGTGAACCCAGTGTCCGCACTTTCACAGGCCCATCTTCGTCAGAAAATCCTCCTGCCTCAGCAGCTTGAGCTGCGTATGTCATGGCTGATCTTTTGAGGGACAAGGCGTCGATTTTCCCGTGAAACAGGAGTGCATACATCAAGGCAGGCATTTTTGATGACTGTCCAGTTTCATGTGGTGTATACAGGTCCTACATTGAGCTGAACTTGCCGCTGCTGATCGACTCAGCATTCGCAGCCGGTGCGGCCATGATCAGTTTTGGGGCCGTCCTTGGAAAAGTGTCACCTGCCCAGATCACCCTCCTGCTTGTGCTGCAAGTCCCCATCTACGCGTTCAACGCCCATCTGGCCACAGAGGTGAGACACCAGTCTGTTTGTATATAGAACCTGCTATGATGGATTGCAGAAATAGTAAACCTTAAAATATTTGTGTTATGAAGATTTGCAAGGGAAGACTGCCCACAATACTGGGCTTGCAAGAAGCCAAGGAAGACTTTTGAAGGAAGATTAAAAATTTGTCTTAACTCCCAGCATGATTTCTCTATTAGAAGCATCTCCTGTCACTCTTGACTGTGAGTTTTCACAGATCACAAATGCCAGCCCTGCTGAGCTCATGAGGGTGGATGATAGATATCCGTGACTCACCGCCAGCTGAGTCACGGAGCAAATTTAAGTTTGAATTCGTGCAGGTTTTTGGCGGGCTGGATGTGGGTGGCAGCATAACAATACACGCGTTCGGCGCGTATTATGGCCTGGCCTCAGCGCTAGTGCTGGCTCCGGTGGCTGCCGGGTCGTCCCACCCCAAGAACGGCGCTTCATACGTCTCGGACATGACCGCCATGATTGGCACCATCTTCCTCTTCATCTTCTGGCCCAGTTTCAACGGCGCTCTCGCCTCCGGAGTAAGGCCTAAAATTTCATTGTTTTGACCCTTTGCACCTCTGAAACATGTAATCTGCTGCGTGGCATAACGGTGAGGACAATACCAGCTACTCAGTAATTATGGCTTGCACCTGAAACATCTGGCTGTGAGATATGGCCTGTAATGTCATACTGTGGAGGTAGTTTTTGTTTGTTTGTATGTTTTCTGCTATCAGGCTATCAGCTTCATATGACAGGCCCCAATCGACTTGTCGCAGAGCTGGGCTGAGGACAACACGCATGCAGACACTTCAACCTGTGCTGCAGACTTGAGGCTTAATTCAGCGTTAGATATGAGGTTTCAGCATGTTTCGTGCTGAGTGCAGGTGCCAGGGACCATCTCTCCGGGGCCCTTCCAGCAGTTCAACTGCATCATAAACACAGTGATCTCACTGCTCGGCGCCACCATTATCACCTTCATTGCATCAGCCTTCGTCGGCGGAAAGTTTGACATGGTGCAGTTATCCCAGGGACTAGCTCACTTTTGACTGCATCAGCTTGCGTCACCTTTCCTCAGCAAATATGTAGACTGATTAGCCCCCATGAATCTTCATGCTTGTGTCTTTCTCCAATTGATGCAGTATGTTTCTCTTTGCTCCTCTCCACCTTTGCATGTAGTCATCCGTCTAGGTGCATCTTTGATTGATAATCTGTATTAGAGTGCGGTGTGAAGCTTTTAATATTTGGTTGTGCAGCAGCACCCAAGAAAAGGCAGCGGCTGACACCAGTGTTTCCATGACTAACCCGCGCTGACATCAGCGGGCATGTGCGCGCAGGTGCACATCCAGAACGCCACGCTGGCCGGCGGAGTCGCCATCGGCTCGGCCGCAAATCTGATGGTCGGCCCCGGCGGCGCGCTCGGAGTGGGAATACTGGCCGGCCTGATTAGTACGCTGGGCTATGCCTACCTGTCACCCATGCTCGAAGCCAAGATCGGCCTGCGCGACACCTGCGGCGTGCACAACCTGCATGGCATGCCCGGTGAGCTCTTCCTGTTTTCGCATTCGGAAAATTTGAAATCCTTGAATTTTGAAATTTGAATTTTGAAAATTTTGGGTTTTGAAATTTTGAAATATGCTAAATTGGAATGAAAAAGATACCAAGGTAAGCGAATTTCTTGCAAGGCAAGGCCTTTGGTCGAGGGCTGTCCATGCAGCACTGTGGGTGGCTGGAATTCCTGATGCTGTAGCAAGCAGGGTTGGGGGCCTGAATACTTTGACGATTGCGTGAAGACACCTGTGCTTCTTTGGTGTGCTGTGCTTCTTGCTGGACAGCTGCAAGCCCAGACCTTCGGATACCCAAGCTCCACACCTTCAATTGGGTGTTCAGTTGCTAGTGTCTGGTGTGCAGGCATCCTCGGCGGCCTGGTGGCTGCAGTGACGGCTGTGCTGGCCCCAGAGGCCAACGCCCCTGTCATGAAGTATGGCGGCAGCACACAGGTGCGCTTTGCCCTTTCATTTGTCCAAGCTTTCCTGCCTGTTGCCCAGGGCCGGCCTGCCTGCATGCATGCACAGCATCTGTGCTAAAGTTTGCATGCATTGACCGGTTGATATTCTGGCAAACAATGCAGCTGCCTTTACGGCCTGATTAGTCATGTCCATGCCTGCCAGAAGAGCCTAACAATTGTTTCTGATGATAAGAAGACTATCGTCTCTCCACAGGCGCTGTACCAGCTGGCGGCCCTGGGATCCACCCTGGTGATTGCCATTGTGGGTGGATTACTCATGGGTCTGCTGGTCGCCAAGCTGGACGTTGCAGTGGCAGGCCAGGAGCTCAGTCACGAGCACCTGTTCGAGGACTGTGTGTACTGGCACGAGGTGGAGCCAGAGGAAGCTGAGGGGCATGCAGCCGTCAATGGCACAGCCGCCGAGGAGTGAAGTCTACCAAGCAAATGATGTGCTTCTAGTCAACTGCTCAGGCCAATACTGACCACGCGTAAGCTCACGAGAGGCGTGCATTGAAGACTGTGAGCAGTGCTGTGTTTGCACATCACAGGTGCATAACATTTCGAGGAATGACCATGGCTTGCGCAGCATGCTGCAAGGGCCTTTAAAAGTTTCTCTGCTGTCAGGCACGGATCAAATTTCTCATTAAATATTGCTAGTCAGTTTGCGCTTGAAATAAAAACATTTGCAAAATTTCCAAACAAAGCAGTACGTTCTCCGTGGTTTGAGTCCAAACAAAACACCATCTCAGACTCTGCACTTCCACCCACTTCAGTGAACCACACAACACGATTGCATGGCAATGCAAATTCCGCAAGCAGCGCAAGAGCTCTGATGCCATGCGCTGTTCAGGCGCTGTCACAATCTTGTAACTCACAGGCACCACCAAATCTCTGCATCCAAGGATTCGAAATTGCTTCGACAAACCCTTGGCATCAACAACCATTATTGTGCTGCTGAGAACATATATACAGTGCATGCCATTCCCAAAAACACTTCAAGTCTGCTCTTGTGCCAAACAATTGTTGCAAATATTTGTAGCCTGCTCAACACAGCATCCTGCAAAACGGCCGTTGCATGCATGCTGCAGCATTTACAGCAGAAACACCAGGAACGAAACTGTCAGGCCTCAAAGGCACCCAGGGCAGAACAGCACACCATGTGCTGATGACATGGCAATCTTCAGACATGAATAATATATGACGTCATGCATATCTCAACCTGATATTTGGGTCCTGCAGTGCAATTCAAATACCCATTTCCTGTCTGTCAGTCACAGATTTTTAATCGAAGCACTGCACAGGCGCACAAGTCCTGTTGATCTGCAATGGAACATACTTAATAAACGCAGGAAGCCTCCTTCAGAATGGCTGCCATCATGCTCAGCGACACACATGCCAAGCATGTAACAACCCGGTCATCAATTACTCATCAGTCATGATGAGTTTTAAGTGTTTGGACCCACAAATCTCATGCAAGTTCAATGTTGTCCACCAGATAAAGGTTGATCCCCGTTGAGTCAATGATGTCAAAGCTGTCGATTCCACGGCAGCCAGGTGTTGCCAGGAAGACTAGAGTTTTGAAGGCATCCGGATCCGGCCCATCAAAAATTGCTGCATAGCTGCATGATGGTACCAAGACGCCCTGGAGCCGGCCTGTGATGCTGACTGTGATTGGAGTGTTGATTATCAACCCGTCAGGTATATAGAACCCGATGTACAAGCCCTTGAGCCGCGGCTGTGGGCATGCTGCCGCCTGTGATGCCTGAATCTGGATCCTTGCAACATCCGTTGGTTCATAGATGGCAAAATTTGGCATTGATGGCGGGACCACACCAAACAGGGGCAGTCCACTGGTGATCAAATTGCCATTTTTGGATGCGTAAAACTGAGTAGGGAAGGTCAATCCAAAGAAGCCGTTGGGGAACAGAGTTGGGTCTCCAACGTCCACTCCAAGATCTCCAGAACCAGTGTCCAATGGACTTCCATTCTCATAAAAGTCAAAATTCACAGTGACTGGCACAAAGCCATCACAGCCGGTGGTGCCTGCGAGCAAACCAAGACGCGACAGCTCACTGATAAGGCTTAAATACAGCAATACACTTGCTCCTTAAGGATGCATGCATGGACTTTTGCAACCCAGTACAGTTGGGGGTCATGGCTCGCCTTCACTCTGACTAAATGCATATCTGAAAGCCCGCTATATTATGAACATGAAGTATTCTCAAGGACCTTGCTCATCACCGTGTGGGCGGCTGGTGCGCTCATAAGCATAGCAAGATGCTCGTAGAAGCAGGACACAGGCTTGTGGCAGCATTGTTGCCGGCATAAGGGCTGGTGCAGGGTTGCAGCATGTCGGGCATATCACCTGTGGCGCCAGTGGCTCCGGTGCTTCCAGTTGCTCCAGTGGCGCCAGTTGCTCCAGTGGCGCCAGTAGCTCCAGTGGTGCCAGTTTCTCCGGTGGCGCCAATTTCTCCAGTGAAACCAGTCGCGCCGGTGTCTCCTTTGACACCAGTTGCTCCTGCAGCATCAGGAGCAGTTGTTCTTGCGTAGAGCTGACACAACTTAGAGCTCTTGAGCAAGGCCGCGGCTGCTGCTCTCACAGCTTGTAAGACCTTAATTTACTGATTTAATTTTTGAAATGGACTCTGTTGTCTGCACAGGCCAGCGTGTCACAAAAGCTTTTGACTCATTCTCTTCAACTAGCCACATCCGATATGCAATGCTTGTTTTTGGTCCAAGGCCCGAAGCTTGCATCTCACGTAACTCAAGGCAGGCATCAGCTCTGGCAGACATCGCATTGCCGCCGTTACTTGACTGGGCTGGTGTGCATGCCATGACTGGATAAGTGCTGAGATTGAATGCTCCCCTTGGATAGCCATGCTGGCCTATTTCATCTGGCATGGCCAAGCTTCAGGCTAAATCTACAAGGCTGTGTACATTTCAATTTGGAGTCACCTGTCGGCCCTGTGGGTCCATCTGTCCCATTGAGGCCCTTGATTCCATCTGTCCCATTGAGACCCTGCGCAGGTAATTACGAGGTAATTACAATTGAGGCATGCTGACAGCACTTTGCAAATAGATTTCCACCAGAGGAACAGCCCCGTGTGGTGGTGGCAGCACAGCAGCGTGGCTTGACAGAGCATCATGACAAGAGGTGTGCATTGCAGCAGAGCATTGCTCAGAACCAGCATCAGGCCTACGAACGCAGGCATAATTCTGACAAATGTAAAGCATTGGAGCCAGGCTGACCAGCTGCACGTGAATGCACAAGGCAAATATGACAGGATCTACAAGCCCGGCTCGGTCATGCAGAAACTCTGTGTGAAGGTTGAGAGACAGTGCTTGTTTGAGTTTCTTACAACTGTACTGGAGCCCCTGTCAGCGGTCATGAGCAGGGTCACAGGAGGACTCACCGGTGTCAAAGCATCGACCTGCTTCACAAGGGACCTGATGACAGTGTCTTCTTGGTCAAATCTCAGGTTCTGCTTGTTGATAATCTCTCTTAGGATTGATATCTCGGTCTGCAGCTCTCCTTTGCTTGCAGGAAGGACGCTTTTTACTGTATCACCCGCCTCTTTCACAATGTTTTTGTCCACGGCCGCCGTGATGTTCAGTGCAAAGTGCGTATGGGCTGTCTTCTGCCCTGCAATGGCATAGCAGGGAAGCAGTTAGGAAGCCTGTGGGCTCGACGTTTGCTCTTGACACCGCGGCTTTGAAGCACTGCTGAGATCAGCAGAAAAATTCATCGGACACACAAAGGAGAGACCAGTTGGGGCTAGCAATCAGCTGCGTTGGGGGCAGGACCTACCTGCCGCGTGCACCACCGAAATAAGAAGCAAGCACGCGCCCAGAAGCTGCATGTTGAGCGACGTGAGGCACACCTGCACGCGTATATTTTACAGGTCAGATCTCTAGCAAAACAGAAGAAGGTCACTAACGCAGTACGACATGGGCACGGGCACGAGCACGGGCATGGGCATGGGACACGTTGAAACAACCGCCCCGATGACAGCAAGATAAGGTCTTGTGTTTCCTACAGGTCGCTGTGGAAGTAGGATGAATGAATAAATACAGTCCTTTTTGGTGTTGTGAGTGCCTAAAGGAACTGTTATTGCGTTGTCTGTTCACCATCCCGACAGTGGCAAGCAGGGCTTCAACAGGGCGCACCTTCTTCCGGTAGCTTGTGCTGCGCGTATCTACTTGTTGAGATATAATGTTTCAAAATGTGTTCAGGGGAGCAATGCCCACTACAGTATGCCTTGCCGTCGCTGTACTTAGGGCGCAGCTGAAGGTTTCACAAAATTGTAGTCCCGGAACTGCGAAACCTCATCATCCCTCTGGGGTTCAGATTTCATTACCTCCACAAAACGCTGCAAGACTTGTAAAAACAATCATGGTGTGTTGCCCACGTCTATAATATCAGGTCGTTCCATCCCATGATTTTCCTTTCCTGAAAAAGAAATCTCTCGGTGAAGCCACCCAGAAGTCATCTTGCCCTCCAAGGTCAATCAGCAGTCCTGCTGCAGATGATTACACCCCATATCATATGATGGTGCCATGGCCAAGCCTGCGTGTGAACATGGTGTACCATGAATGTACACCTATTTCCTTCCAACAAGCAAAACCTCTAGCTGTCTGCATGCCCAGGGGATCCTGCTGCATGGATATTCTGTCATACATGAAGACACTGCCAGTGTGCAGGAGTCTTGGAGCAGGACCCATGTTGCACATCAGATTTCTGATGACGATGATTCATCAGCGCAATGCGCTAGCATCAATCTGTGTCATCATTCTGTCAGCCTGCACTGCGCATGGCATACCCAGCATGGAGCTATGTGCTAAGAAATTGCCTTTTTTTTTGAATACGTAGATTCGCATGCAGCGGTGGTGCAAAGGGATTGTTTCCGCCAATCTAGTCAGGGCGTCTTTCGCAAGGCGTTCATCCACTTTTGATGTAAAGTTCTGCTGAGGTGGTGCCAGCAGGGAGACCCGTGCTATTCCACTCCAGTGATCATTCGTTTATGATCGTTTCCAAATTAGCTCACTGTAGAGTCCCCCGGCTGCCATCTCATAACTGCCGCGGCCGCCGGGCACCGCCAATCAGTCATCAAGACGGCGGCCGCGCCCGGCAAACGCGCGGAAGTGCGCATCGGATGGGTGCTGCATGGGAACTTCGCGCGCTGGCACTGTCCCGATGCCGGCACTTAGCAGCGCTCGCTTGAGCCACATCGGCGTCTCCAGCAGCCGCCCTCCCCCCGCCGCCGGATGCAGCTCCTTCAAAAAGTAGTACCTGCGCCGGCACACAGACTCTCACAGTTAAGTGTCATTAAACGGGCCATGAAGGAGTCAGACAACACAGCGTCAGCTGGCAATGGAGCAACAATGCTGCAAAACTGCCCCAAAGAAATGCCTGCAGGGCACGTTCAAGGGACAGGTTCGTTAGAAATGCATGGCCTGGAACACGGCTTCCAGGCTCACAGCCTTTGTGGAAAAAGTGCTTCTGCGTGTCCCGAGCAGCAGGCTGCTGCAAGCAGGACAGGTCAGAGAAAGAGGCGACTTCTTTTACCCCACTGCCATCGCCTGCCCCAATGAGCAGCCTCCCGCAACATGGCAGAACAGACATGAGAATGGGGCGCACAGGTGTCCCACTATGATGCCGAGCAGGTCAGACATCCAGTCGCCGCCCATGGCCAGGTCCAGGGCCAGCAGGGCAAAGGGCAGGTAGAAGGCCTGGATGCTGACTAGGCCCATCTGCGATATATTGCTGGAGGTCAAATTGCGGCTCCACACATACACCATCATGAATATGAGCGACGGGCCCAGCAGCTGCACTGGCACCACCAGCGAGGCTCCCTGCAAACAGCCACACACACTTCTCTCTCTCTGGAGGAAATCTGGAGGATCTGTACAGAATTGGCTGTCATGGGCCTAATCTCAACTTTTAATGCCCGAGTGCTCACCCTTCATGGTCACACTCATGTAGCCAGGAGCATGCTTATGGAAATCCTGCACTCGCTCAAGGAAGCAGGAGCGTGTAGGTTGCCCATGCATCGCATGCACGGTGCGTACAGGTTTAAGGCAGGTAGGCAGCAGGGGTATGTATACATTAAGACAGTGAGCAAGTTAAGGCACCAGCATGGAGACCATGCCGAAGAGCAGCATGTAGGCAAAGTCCGCCGTGCTGAATTGGTAGGTGCTCTTCTCAAGCGGCACACCATATTGGATCCTGCAGGCACGGATGACATGGGTAGGTGACTGGCTTGTCCATGAGGAGTATGCTTGCACCTCGAGAATTAAAAAGTTGGCAATCATTGAGAATCAGGAAGTTGGCATAGAATTTAAGAGAACGCTGGAACAGTTGCGCCTTACATCCACAGCATCTTCATCAGAAAATTTATTGAAGGCTTCCCCAAGAATATGAAGCTTGCTACCAAACGAAATATCTGCAAGAGGCACAATGAAATGGCACTTAATTGTTCTGAGAATGTGGAATCGAGGACGATTACTGCAAAGTAAGCTTCCAGTGTGTTAAAAGGTCACGTTCTCACCTGTCCTTTGAAAACAGAGGGCCAATCCAAAAGCAAGCTCATAGGATTTATGAGCCCGAGTGTGACAGCCATAGTTGTGGCAACACAAGCTGTGCCATACAGCCTGATGATTGGTGGCAAGCTGTAGTACCAATCTGCAGGCGATGATCCAAACCCTTGATGTACAGTGGGAGGCATCGCTAATAAGGCCTGATGAAGGCGATGGAGTTACATTTTGTATCTCAGGAAGTTGCTGCAGTCCAGGTCACCCAGTAATACTTCAGCAGCACTAAAGAAGCAGGGAATCTGGGATCCTAATGGTTGAAGCGGAATGTCAAGTTGATGTTCAATCCTACTCACCAATTAAATGGACTTTGGGAGGACGGTTTGGAGATCTAGGCAGGGCAGGCTACAAACACAACCATTTCCAAGACTTACATCACCACCAGTGCCATCATGGTAGAACGCAATAAGATATATCCATCTTTATATCTTCATGTCATATTATTTTTTGATGATTGTATAATTTGATAAATATCCAGGCTGGGTTTTGAGTACAAATTGGCGACCATGCTTGCATCTGCTAGAGCTCTGCTTGCAGGACCCCTTACAAAGCGAGGCTCGCCTTTCGTGCGATAGCATTCCTTACATGTAGTGCATACCACACATTGCATTTAGCACCCTCCAATATCTTCCAGATTTACTCCCCAAAAAGCTCAGGACACCACCCTGACTCAGGTAGCTGAATCCACCCCCGCCGATGGTTCTCCCCCAACCTTGAACTTTTACAATCTGAGAAGCGCAAGAACAGTGAGGTTGCGATAATTTCGGAAGGCGAATGGCTATCTGTCACCATTTCCAAAGAATATGTCTTCTGTTTGAAGATTGGTTGCACCAGCAGAACGGAACCTAGCTTGATCAGAAGAAATCAAGGATGAGATATTGACTGATGCCGCACCGGTGCGGGGCGCGAAGGCGGCGGAGGCAGAGGGAGGGAGTCCGTCCAGCAGGAGGCCGGAGAGGGACTGCTGCAGGGGGTCTGCGGTGTCGTTGATGAGGTAGGTGTTGGGGTCCTCTGCTGACTTCACCAGGTCGCAGTGCTGCGCGCACATGCATGCATGCCACCTCAGCACAAGTGCATGCACCAGCTATACCCCCAGACACTCGTGCGCCAGGCTCATTGGTGTTTGAACTCTCCGATTGCAGCCACATCAGCATGTAGCACACAAATGCACTACTCTACCCTGATCTAGATATGTACAGCTCGGCTGCTGCCAGAGAGCAGGGCAACTCGGGTACCAGGAGCACCAGGGCAGACAAGACACATCGCAAAAAAAAGGCAGCAGTGAGCCAAAGAGAGCCCTGGAAACGCAAGTACCTCTTTGAGGGCGGAGAACAGCGCTCGGACGCCGCCGGCAGTGAAGTACAGCGGTGGCAGCGTGAGGCCATTTGTGAGCACGAGGACAATGTGCTGCGTGCCAAATGAGGGCGCATGCTTGCGAACAGCCTTCACCTCTGACAGAGGTATCGGGTGCACTGCGTACATCGTGCAATCTGCGTGCATGCACCGGTGATCAGCTTGTCTGCTGCAGCTGAGAGGGGCCATTACTACCGTCCTTCCCGTCGCCTGACAATGCTGGACACAGAACTGTGAGCGCATTCTGCAGGTTGCATGCGCTTTGGAGAAGATGCTCACCACGTGCGGTGGGTTGGGCAGCCACGATGGGAGGAGTGTGGAAGGTCCCATCCGGCAGGAGGGACCCTGGCGAGTAGGGCAGCCATGCCAGGAACATGACCCTATTCTGTTTGATGAGGCTCAGCCTCCCCATGATCCTCTCATTCTTCGCCACCACTGCTGCGACTCCTTCCCTTACATACGTCACCTGCGATTTTGAGGCCCAAAAGCGTTTGCCCAATAGCTCATTGAATGTACCTCGAAATACTGGGCAAATAGGGGATGCTCTCGCCAAAGCGTCTGTCTGAGGCGCTAAATACCCTCGGTTCCATTCTCCTCTCATTACCAGGTCATGAGAGGTACTTTCGGACCAATCACCTCTGTGTCGCTGTTCTCTCCAACATCCATGAAGTTGTCATCGTCACTTGCGCAACCAGCTTCCTCGTCGCTGGCCTCAAAGTCCTCTGTGCAGCTGTTTGGTTGACTGTCAGGTATGGGGTGCGATTGCGGGTGGGCATCTTTGTTGTTGGTGGAGACCATAATTTCCAGGGTGATGGTTCCACTACCACAGCTGTCTCTTTGTCAACCTAGGACACTTTGCAGCGCTCCATCGTACACGTCTCCGACAAAGGTGCTTTTTTTCAAAAGAAATGCTTCCTCTCGTCAGCTGCACCTGCTCTGATACAAGCCCAAGCAGTAATTTTCTGGGGTACCTTCAGTTACAGCCTGGCTTTCTTGGCCTGAGCTACCCTTTGTCTGTCCCGAGCAAAGCAGCGCAGCTTGCTGATTATACAAAGACAATGTGCACAGTATTGTAGGGCTGGCAGGGCGGGTATGTGAAGTTGATCCCCCATTCATGAAACAACGAAAATGGGCTGTCTTGCTTCCTGCTTGGAGCCTGCCCAAACCTGACATCAGCAAGTTCACGTGGGATGCCAAGGTTTAATTCGGTTTGCGAAGGGAAGCAGATCGGCTGCTTCGCCTCTAAGAGGAGTGGAGATCTCGGAAAATGCTTTGATCAACGATCGCTGGCACAGGCGCGTTACTAGCCAGCTCGCACAGTCTCCCTTTGTGACAAAGATCAAGCTGAGGCTACTTGAATACCAGACAAGCACGTCCTGGTTGTCAAATAGTGTCTTAGTAACATAGAGGAAGCTCAGATTACAAGTTCCAATGCGTGAGTGAGCTAATTCCATCCTTGACACCCCGCAACCTCGGGCCGGAATTAGGTTTGGTCGGGACTTGCGTAATTATAATACGTTGGAGTTGCGATTGGGAGTTTAAGGCAATAGAAGACAAGTTATTGTGTGTACATCTCAGAGTTCAGCTGCTTGAGGGAGCAGGGCCCCGCGCTAGCTCATAACCTAGTCGCATTGTACCGTCAGCGGCTGGCTGCGGAAAGCAACTGAAAGGCGCTGCATGCGATTGTATCGCGATTGTGTTTCTGCCATTACTCCCGTTTACTTTCTGACGTACGGCGCTGCCGTGCAGGAGGTTGTAGGAGGCACTGGGCACGAACTAGGGCTTGCCACAACAGCTGCCAGATCAGATAAAGGAGACCGTGTTAGAAGTGTGAAAAAGACCAGATGGCGCCCACCAGCGACGAGACGGCTGTGCCTCTCCTGAGCGGCCATGCCCACCCAACATGGAACTTGCGCACCACGTTCTCTGCCCCTCTGGCAGTGATCCTGGCTGCGCTGCTTGGGGTTTTTATTGCCTACGTTAAATACCCCGAGCTGGAGTCCACCGATGCCAATGTCAACATCTAATCAGCCCGTATTGGCTGGCACGATGTAATGTTTCTCTCTCTTTCTCTCAACCAATACTACATGTACTACATCCACGTCGCCATCATGATCTTTGTTGGTTTCGGGTGCGCTCCTCTGACTGCCCTGCTTCCACATTACTAGCCATTCGCAGTTGACATAGCTCTATCAGATTTTGTAAATTGAACTTGAAGAGTTTTTAAGATCCTGGTGCTGACAAAACTCTTGGTGCTCGCAGGTACCTCATGACTTTCCTGACGTGCGCATCGCTTTCCCCTAGCTGTGCAGTCCTTGCATGCATGAGCAAAACGACTATGCCTGCATGCGTTCATGCTTTTTGCAGCACAACTCCTTTTGATTGACACTGTCACGCAGTGTTTTCTTTTTCAAATGTGAAAACAAGGGGATGGTCATACTGCAGGCGGTACACTTACAGCGCTGTGGGTCTCAATTACCTGACATCAGCAGTTGTCATGCTGGAGGCCATCGTCTTCGTGGGGCTGGTGCAGCAAGTCATCTTTGGGGACTTGTACGCAGATTCCCTCTTCCCAAAGCTTAAGCTGAAAGTTGATGTTTTGTACTGAGGCCACACTTGGGCAATCTCAGAGAACCCAGTGTCCGCAGTTTAGCAGTCCCACCTTCTTCAGAAGTCCTCCTGCCTCAGCAGCTTGAGCTGCGTATGTCATGGCTGATCTTTTGAGGGACAAGGCGTCGATTTTCCCGTGAAACAGGAGTGCATGCATCAAGGCAGACATTTTGATGACTGTCCAGTTTCATGTGGTGTATACAGGTCCTACATTGAGTTGAACTTGCCGCTGCGGATCGACTCAGCATTCGCAGCCGGTGCGGCCATGATCAGTTTTGGGGCCGTCCTTGGAAAAGTGTCACCTGCCCAGATCACCCTCCTGCTTGTGCTGCAAGTCCCCATCTACGCGTTCGACGCCCATCTGGCCACAGAGGTGAGACACCAGTCTGTTTGTATATAGAACCTGCTATGATGGATTGCAGAAATAGTAAACCTTAAAATATTTGTGTTATGAAGATTTGCAAGGGAAGACTGCCCACAATACTGGGCTTGCAAGAAGCCAAGGAAGACTTTTGAAGGAAGATTAAAAATTTGTCTTAACTCCCAGCATGATTTCTCTATTAGAAGCATCTCCTGTCACTCTTGACTGTGAGTTTTCACAGATCACAAATGCCAGCCCTGCTGAGCTCATGAGGGTGGATGATAGATATCCGTGACTCACCGCCAGCTGAGTCACGGAGCAAATTTAAGTTTGAATTCGTGCAGGTTTTTGGCGGGCTGGATGTGGGTGGCAGCATAACAATACACGCGTTCGGCGCGTATTATGGCCTGGCCTCAGCGCTAGTGCTGGCTCCGGTGGCTGCCGGATCGTCCCACCCCAAGAATGGCGCTTCATACGTCTCGGACATGACCGCCATGATCGGCACTATCTTCCTCTTCATCTTCTGGCCCAGCTTCAACGGCGCTCTCGCCTCCGGGGTAAGGCCTAAATTTCACTGTTTTGACCCTTTTGAACCCCTCTGAAACATGTAATCTGCTGCGTGGCACAACGGTGAGGACAATTCCAGCTACTCAGTAATTATGGCTTGCACCTGAAACATCTGGCTGGCCTGTAGTCTCAATACTGTGGAGGTATTTTTTTGTTTGTTTGTGTGTTTTCTGCTATCAGGCTATCAGCTTAATATGACAGGCCCCAACTGACTTGTCGCAGAGCTGGTCTGAGGACAACACGCATGCAGACACTTCAGCCTGTGCTGCAGACTTCTTGAGGCTTGATTCAGCGTTAGATATGTGGTTTGAGCATGTTTTATGCTGAGTGCAGGTGCCAGGGACCATCTCTCCAGGGCCTTCCAGCAATTCAACTGCATCATCAACACAGTGATCTCACTGCTTGGCGCAACCATTATCACCTTCATTGCATCAGCCTTTGTCGGCGGAAAGTTTGACATGGTGCGGTTATCCCTTGGACTAGGGCAGTTTTTACTGCATCAGCTTGCTTCACCTTTTCTCAGCAAATATGTAGAATGATAAGCCCCCGTTGATTTTCCTGCCAGTGTTTTTCCGAAACTGAAGCAGTATGTTTCTCTTTGCTCCTCTCCACCTTTGCATGTAGTCATCCGTCTAAGTGCATCTTTGATTGATAATCCGTATTCTTTAGATTGCGGTGTTAGACTAACCCGCGCTGACATCAGCGAGCATGTGCGCGCAGGTGCACATCCAGAACGCCACGCTGGCCGGCGGAGTCGCCATCGGCTCGGCCGCAAATCTGATGGTCGGCCCCGGCGGCGCGCTCGGAGTGGGAATCCTGGCCGGCCTGATTAGCACGCTGGGATATGCCTACCTGTCACCCATGCTCGAAGCCAAGATCGGCCTGCGCGACACCTGCGGCGTGCACAACCTGCATGGCATGCCCGGTGCGCTCTTCCGGCTTATAAATTCGGGAAATCGAAATTTGAAATCCAAAATTTCGATAATTTTGGATTTTGAGATTTTGACGAGTGCAAATTTGACGAGCCCAAGCTCAACACCTTCAATTGGGTGTTCAGTTGCTAGTGTCTGGTGTGCAGGCATCCTTGGCGGCCTGGTTGCTGCAGTGACGGCTGTGCTGGCCCCAGAGGCCAACGCCCCTGTCATGAAGTATGGCGGCAGCACACAGGTGCGCTTTGCCCTTTCACTTGTCCAAGGTTTCCTGCCTGTCGCCCAGGGCCGGCCTCCCTGCATGCATGCACAGCATCTGTGCTAAAGTTTGCATGCATTGAATGCTGGATATTTTGGCAAACAATGCAGCTACCATACGGCCTGATGAGCAGCCATGTCCATGCCTGCCCAGAAGAGCCTAACAACTGTTTCTGATGATAAGATGACTATTGTCTCTCCACAGGCGCTGTACCAGCTGGCGGCCCTGGGATCCACCCTGGTGATTGCCATTGTGGGTGGATTACTCATGGGTCTGCTGGTCGCCAAGCTGGACGTTGCAGTGGCAGGCCAGGAGCTCAGTCACGAGCACCTGTTCGAGGACTGTGTGTACTGGCACGAGGTGGAGCCAGAGGAAGCTGAGGGGCATGCAGCCGTCAATGGCACAGCCGCCGAGGAGTGAAGTCTACCAAGCAAATGATGTGCTTCTAGTCAACTGTTCAGGCCAATATTGACCACGCGTAAGCTCACGAGAGGCGTGCATTGAAGACTGTGAACAGTGCTGTGTTTGCACATCACAGGTGCATAACATTTTGAGGCCATGGCTTGCGCAGCATATTGCAAGGGCCTTTTAAAAGTTTCTCTGCTGTCAGGCACGGATCATATCTCTCATTGAATATTGCTAGCCACTTTGCGCTTGAAATAAAAATATTTGCAAATTTTCAAACAAAGCAGTACGTTCTCCCTGGTTTGATCCCAAACAAAACACCATCTCAGACTCTGCACTTCCACCCACTTCAGTGGACCACACAACACGATTGCATGGCAATGCAAATTCCGCAAGCAGTGCAAGAGCTCCGATGCCATGCGCTGTTCAGGCGCTGTCACAGTCTTGTAACTCACAGGCACCACCAAATCTCTGCATCCAAGGATTCGAGATTGCTTCGAATTCGACAAACCATTGGCATCAACAACCATTATTGTGCTGTTGAGAACATATATACAGTGCATGCCATTCCAAAAAACACTTCAAGTCCACTTTTATGCCAAACAATTGTTGTAAACATACATAGCCTGCTCAACACAGCATCCTGCAAAACGGCCGCTGCATGCACGCTGCAGCATTTACAGCAGAAACACCGGGAACGAAGCTGTCAGGCCTTATAGGCACCCAGGGTAGAACATCGCGCCATGCGCTGATGACAGGGCAAAATAGAGCCACAAAAACCATTTAAATTCATGCATAATTCAGCCTGATATTTGGGTCTTGCAGTGCAATTCAAATACCTATTTTCTGTCTGTCAGTCACAGATTTTGAAGCAAAGCACTGCACAGTAGCACAAGTCCTGTTGATCGGCAATGGAACATACTTGGTGAACGCAGGAGGCTTGCTTCAGAATGACTGCCATCATGCTCAACGACACACATGCCAAGCATGTGACAACCCGTTCATAAAATACTTATCAGTCATCATGAGTATCAGGTGTTTGGACCCACAATTATCATGCAAGTTGAATGTTGTCCACAAGATAAAGATTTTGTCCCGTTGAGTCATGGATGTCAAAGCTGTCGATCCCCTGGCAGCCAGGTGTTGCCAGGAAGACTAGAGTTTTGAAGGCATCCGGATCCAGCCCATCAAAAACTTGTGCATAGCTGCATGTTGGTACCAAGACACCCTGAAGCCGGCCTGTGATGCTGATTGTGATTGGAGTGTTGAATTCCCCGTCAAGAACATAGAACCCGATGTATAAGCCCTGAAGCCGCGGCTGTGGGCATCCTGCCGCCTGTGATGCCTGAATCTGGATCCTTGCATCAATTTGAACTGGAAGATAGAAGGCGAAATTTGGCGTTGATGGCGGAACCACACCAGATATGGGCGGTCCAGCGATGATAAAATTGCCATTCTTGGTTGCAAAAAACTGGCGAGGGAAGGTCAATCCAAAGTAGCCGTTGGGAAACAGCATTGGGTCTCCAATGTCCACTCCCAGACCTCCAGAACCGGTGTCCAATGGACTTCCATTCTCATAAAAGTCAAAATTCACAGTGACTGGCACAAAGCCAGCACAGCTGGTGGTGCCTGCGAGCAAGCCAAGACGCGAAAGCTCACTGATAAGGCTTAAATACAGCAATACACTTGCTCCTTAAGGATGCATGCATGGACTTTTGCAACCCAGTACAGTTGGTGGTCATGGCTTGTCTTCACTCTAACTACATGCATATCTGAAAGCCCGCTGTAATATGAACATGAAGTAGTCTCAAGGACCTTGCTCATCACCGTGTGGGCGGCTAATGCGCTCATATGCACAGCAAGATGCTCGTAGAAGCAGAACACATGCTTGTGGCAGCATTGTTGCCGGCATAAGGGCTGGTGCAGGGTTGCAGCGTGTCGGGCATATCACCTGTGCTTCCAGTTGCTCCAGTGGCGCCAGTTTTTCCAGTGTAACCAGTTGCGCCGGTGCCTCCAGTTGCACCAGTGGTGCCAATTTCTCCAGTGAAACCAGTCGCGCCGGTGTCTCCTTTGACCCCAGTTGCTCCTGCAACATCAGGAGCAGTTGTTCTTGCGTAGAGCTGACACAACTTAGAGCTCTTGAGCAAGGCCGCGGCTGCTGCTCTCACAGCTTGTAAGACCTTAATTTACTGTTTTTTTTTTGAAATGGACTCTGTTGTCTGCACTGGCCAGCGTGGCACGAAAGCTTTTGACTCATTCGCTTCAACTAGCCACATCCGATATGCAATGCTTGTTTTCGGTCCAAGGCCCGAAGCTTGCATCTCACGTAACTCAAGGCAGGCATCAGCTCTGGCAGACATCGCATTGCCGCCGTTACTTGACTGGGCTGGTGTGCATGCCATGACTGAATAAGTGCTGAGATTGAATGCTCCCCTTGGATAGCCATGCTGGCCTATTTCATCTGGCATGGCCAAGCTTCAGGCTAAATCTACAAGGCTGTGTACATTTCAATTTGGAGTCACCTGTCGGCCCTGTGGGTCCATCTGTCCCATTGAGGCCCTTGATTCCATCTGTCCCATTGAGACCCTGCGCAGGTAATTACGAGGTAATTACAATTGAGGCATGCTGACAGCACTTTGCAAATAGATTTCCACCAGAGGAACAGCCCCGTGTGGTGGTGGCAGCACAGCAGCGTGGCTTGACAGAGCATCATGACAAGAGGTGTGCATTGCAGCAGAGCATTGCTCAGAACCAGCATCAGGCCTACGAGCGCAGGCATAATTCTGACAAATGTAAAGCATTGGAGCCAGGCTGACCAGCTGCACGTGAATGCACAAGGCAAATATGACAGGATCTACAAGCCCGGCTCGGTCATGCAGAAACTCTGTGTGAAGGTTGAGAGACAGTGCTTGTTTGAGTTTCTTACAACTGTACTGGAGCCCCTGTCAGCGGTCATGAGCAGGGTCACAGGAGGACTCACCGGTGTCAAAGCATCGACCTGCTTCACAAGGGATCTGATGACAGTGTCTTCTTGGTCAAATCTCAGGTTCTGCTTGTTGATAATCTCTCTTAGGATTGATATCTCGGTCTGCAGCTCTCCTTTGCTTGCAGGAAGGACGCTTTTTACTGTATCACCCGCCTCTTTCACAATGTTTTTGTCCACGGCCGCCGTGATGTTCAGTGCAAAGTGCGTATGGGCTGTCTTCTGCCCTGCAATGGCATAGCAGGGAAGCAGTTAGGAAGCCTGTGGGCTCGACGTTTGCTCTTGACACCGCGGCTTTGAAGCACTGCTGAGTTCAGCAGAAAAATTCATCGGACACACAAACGAGAGACCAGTTGGGGCTAGCAATCAGCTGCGTTGGGGGCAGGACCTACCTGCCGCGTGCACCACCGAAATTAGAAGCAAGCACGCGCCCAGAAGCTGCATGTTGAGCGACGTGAGGCACACCTGCACGCGTATATTTTACAGGTCAGATCTCTAGTGAAACAGAAGAAGGTCACGAACGCAGTACGACATGGGCACGGGCACGAGCACGGGCATGGGCATGGGACACGTTAAAACAACCGCCCCGATGACAGCAAGATAAGTTCTTGTGTTTCCTACAGGTCGCTGTGGAAGTAAGATGAATGAATAAATACAGTCCTTTTTGGTGTTGTGAGTGCCTAAAGGAACTGTTATTGCGTTGTCTGTTCACCATCCCGACAGTGGCAAGCAGGGCTTCAACAGGGCGCACCTTCTTCCGGTAGCTTGTGCTGCGCGTATCTACTTGTTGAGATATAATGTTTCAAAATGTGTTCAGGGGAGCAATGCCCACTACATCATGTCTTGCGCCGTCGCTGTACTTGCGCAGCTGAAGGTTTCACAAAATTGTAGTCCCGGAACTGCGGAACCTCATTATCCCTCTGGGGTTCAGATTTCATTACCTCCAGTATTCGCTGCAAGACTTGTAAAAACAATCATGGTTGTTGCCCACGTCAATAATATTAGGCGTTTATCCCATTATTTTCCTTTCCTGAAGAAGAATTCTCCCGGTGAAGCCACCCAATTGATTACCCCATATTGCGCCATGGCCAAGCCTGCGTGTGAACATGGTGTACCGTGCATGCACACCTATTATTAGCACCTTCCTTACAACAAGCAAAACCTCTAGCTGTCTCCATGCACAGGGGAAACCGCTGCATGGATATCCTGTCTATGAATACACTGTGCAGGAGTCTTGGTGCAGGACCCACTGGGCCTGTTGCACATCAGACATTTGATGATGACTCATCAGTGCATTGGGCTAGCATCAATCTGTGTCAGCATTCTGTCAACCCTGCACTGCGCATGGCATACCCAGCAGAGAGCTATGTGTTTAGAATTTGTTTGATTTAATTGAAATACGTTGATTTGCATGCAGCGGTGTAGCAAAGGGATATTTTCCGCCAACTAGTCAGGGCAACTTCCGCAAGGCGTTCATCCACGTTTGATGTAAAGTTCCACTGAGCTGGTGCCAGCGGGGAAAAACATGCTATTCCACTCCAGCGATCATTCGTTTCTAATTGTTTCCAGATTAGCTCACTGTAGAGTTCCCGGCTGCATAATTGCCGCGGCCGCCGGGCACCGCCGATCAGTCATCGAGGCGGCGGCCACGCCCGGCAAACGCGCGGAAGCGCGCATCGGACGGGTGCTGCATGGGAACTTCGCGCGCTTGCACTGTCCCGATGCCGGCACTCAGCAGCGCTCGCTTGAGCCACATCGGCGTCTCCAGCAGCCGCCCTCCCCCCGCCGCCGGATGCAGCTCCTTCAAAAAGTAGTACCTGCGCAACCACGAGTGACTCTCAAAATCAGGTGTCAAAAAGGCCGGGCGTCGCCTTAAAAAGAATCAGACAGCACAGCCTTCAGTTGGCAATGGCGCAAGAAGCCGCATAAACGCCTCAAACAAATGTCTGCAGGGCACGCTCAGGGGACAGACTTGTTAGAAATGCATGGCCTGGGACACGGCTTCCAGGGCTCACAGCCTTTGTGATAAAACTGCTACTGCGTGTCCCAACCAGCAGGCTGCTGCAAACACGACAGGCCACAGAACAAGGGGCGTCTTTGAAAAACAATGCCATTGCCTGTCCCAATGAGCAGCCTCCCCCAACATGGAAGGAGAGACAAGAGAATTGGGCGCACAGGTGTCCCACTATGATGCCGAGCAGGTCAGACATCCAGTCGCCGCCCATGGCCAGGTCCAGGGCCAGCAGGGCAAAGGGCAGGTAGAAGGCCTGGATGCTGACTAGGCCCATCAGCGATATGTTGCTAGAGGCGAAATTGCGGCTCCACACATACACCATCATGAATATGAGCGACGGGCCCAGCAGCTGAACTGGCACCACCACCGAGGCTCCCTGCGCACAGCCACACACACTTCTCTCTCTCTGGAGGAAATCTGGAGATTCTGTACAGAATTGGCTGTCATGGGCCTAATCTCAACTTTTAATGCCCGAGTGCTCGCCCTTCATGGTCACACTCATGTAGCCAGGAGCATGCTGATGGAGATCCTGCACTCTCCCAAGGAAGCAGGAGCGTGTAGGTTGCCCAGGCATCGCATGCACGGTGCGTACAGGTCTAAGGCAGGTAGGCAGCAGGGGTATATATACATTCAGATAGATGAGCCAGTTAAGGCACCAGCAGGGAGACCATGCCGACGAACAGCATGTAGGCAAAGTCCGCCGTGCTGAATTGGTAGGTGCTTTTCTCAAGCGGCACACCATATTGGATCCTGCAGGCACGGATGACATGAGGAGGTGACTGGCTTGTCCATGAGGAGTATGCTTGCACCTCAAGAATTAGGAAGTTGGCAAGGAAATCAAGAGAATGTTGGAACAGTTGCGCCTTACATCCACAGCATCTTCATCAGAAAATTTATTGAAGGCTTCCCCAAGAATATGAAGCTTGCTACCAAACGAAATATCTGCAAGAGGCACATATGAAATGTCACTAAATTGTTCTGAGAATGTGGAATCGAGGATTATTACTGCAAAAATAAACTTCCAGTGTGTTAAAAGGTCACATTCTCACCTGTCCTTTGAAAACAGAGGGCCAATGCAAAAGCAAGCTCATAGGATTTATGAGCCCGAGTGTGACAGCCGCAGTCGTGGCAACACAAGCTGTGCCATACAGCCTGATGACCGGTGGCAGGCTGTAGTACCAATCTGCAGGCGATGATCCAAAGCCTTGATGTACAGTGGGAGGCATCGCTAATAAAGGCCTGAGGGCGATGGAGTTACATCAAGTTGGAATCTCAGAAGTGGCCGCAGTCCAGGTCACCCAGTAATACGACAGCAGCACTCAAAAAGCAGGATTTCTAATGGTTGAAGCGGAATGTCAAGTTGATGTTCAATCCTACTCACCAATTAAATGGACTTTGGGGAGGACGGTTTCGAGAAGTAGGCAGGGCAGGCTACAAACACAACCATTTCCAAGACTTACATCACCATCAGTGTCATCATGGTAGAACGCAAAAGGATATATCCATCTTTATATCTTCATGTCATATAATCATTCGATGATCGTATAATCTGAATAATTTCCAGGCTGGTTTCTGAGTAAAAATAGGCGACCATGCTTGCATCCGCTAGAGCTCTGCTTGCAGGACCCCTTACAAAGCGAGGCTCACCTTTCGGTGCGATAGCATTCCTCACATATAATGCATTCAAGTCAAGAGCGCTCATTTACCACAATTGTGTGAAGTCGAGTTGTACGGGCGCATGCTAGCGTGGCCTGACTAGTAGCCACTCTGTAGATTACTTCTTGAAGTTGCAGATCTACGAAACAACTTTGACCTATTGTTCTCAACATTAATAAGATGATTAAATTGTGACAGATCGTCACACAGAGAGTGCACCACACCTTGTTAATAAGTGTGCTTAGATCCTTCACCAACACACCAGCCAGCTCTCCTTATCGATCGGAATATCCTGATGTCAAGAAAGTTACATCTTCAGTAAAGAAATGTTTGAGTGGGCTCCTGGTGAGTGGTGAGATCGCGTCTTGCAGGTCAGGTGGTGTGCAGAAGCATCACAGCCAGGGTGCCCACACAGGAGGATGACATCCACGAAGACTTCAAGCCCAAATTTAAGGCTGAGGCGGAGCCACGCAGTGCGCCCAGCGCTTTAGACCAGATCAAGCAGGACATCACAGAGAACGATGTCTTCTTGTACATGAAGGTCTGGCATTCTCCGCAGAGCTGTTCCCAAGAGCAGACAAGCTGACAAAACACGAGTGTTATCCAATGAACAGATGCTGATTGTCTAGACATCATGCAAATATGTTGGAACAGCGCAGCGACAACGACTTGACCTGCAGTGTGACGAGAATAGTATTGCATGCCCTAAGATTGTTTCACTGTGTCTGGCAGGGTGTCCCAGAGGCACCGCAGTGCGGCTTCAGCAACATGGCATGCAGAATCCTGGACGCCTATGGTGAGAAACGGAGTCACCACATTCTCAATCAGAGTCCTGCCAGCAGTGGGTGTGCTGCCCTGCATTTATGGTTCTCTTGTTTTGATTGGCATGGTACAGGATGGGACAACTGACCTCCCATTGACACGAGATGAGCTGATATGCTAAATTAATTTGCCAATACAGGTGTGAAATTTGGGAGTAGGAACGTGCTGGCAGACCCCGCCATCAGGGAAGCCATTAAGGAGTACAGCAACTGGCCCACCATTCCCCAGGTGCCTCCCTCTCACTTTACTCGCAACTCCCCTACATGCAACAGCTGCAGCATCTGTTGATCGAACATCTTTCACTGACCACTTCTAAGCACAGGACGACACTGCAAACACTGCGATCATTGTTCTGTCAATGCACTATTTTTACACTGCGAGTCAGCTATTCATCACTTCCTGGTGCTCGCATTGCCTTGTATGTCTTGCATTCTACCTCGGTTTGATCTTGACAATCTTGTTCTTCAAGGGGTAAAGTTCTGATGCGAGAGGGGCAAGTTTTGATGCCAGAGCACTCCGGCGTCCAATCACATGCTGACGTTGGGTCGGGCCTCCGCGGTACAGGTGTACATCAAAGGGGACTTTGTGGGCGGCAGCGATATTCTCATGGGCATGCACCAGAGCGGGGAGCTGACAGAAGCGCTGGAGGGCGCCGAAAAGGCTTAGGCAGCGCAGCTCACACCGTAGTTGACCGCAAAAAGTTGATCCAGTCTAGGAGGCTGGATATCCCATGCGCCCAAGTCTTCTTCTGCGCTCTGTGGAAATAGGCAAGAAGGGTTTTTTACATGTGCTATCTAGCATTGCTCTGCATGACACTTGAGAATAACTTTCTGAAGAGACAGGCACCAGATTGCCGAGAGCCACCCATTGTGGAAGTTTCCGCTGATGCATGAAGGGATGCATAGGTAGCAACTTTGATCAACTCATGAGCAGGTGACTGCAGTGTCTAGGAATTATGTCAAGCCTGGAGTCGTGTAGGGGCTGAATAACATATTTCTTGGTTACATGACATGCTCGTTGCTGCTATGATTTAGCACACTTCAGCAAGGAGCATGGGTATTCCCCAATATTGCAGGTCCGTCAGTTCGGCAATCAGCTGACATTGTGACTGAACCGTACTCTTTGATACACGTGCTCAACAGGTCAATATATTTCAAATCAACTTTAGCAACTACTTCATTCTGTTCAAGGATGGCAACTTTATGCCTGATGTCAACAGCACTGATGTATCTCATTGTTCGGCCACAGAATATGACCCCAATACAGAAGTTAATTCTAGAGGTCTCTCCAATATAAAGCCAGCAGGAGCCAGCTGCAGCCTTGGGCCCAACCAAACCTCCAAAGCGCGCAAGCGGCGGCCGCCTCTCTTTGCCGGGGGCAGCTTGCGCGCTCTGCAAGAATTCGAACTTTAAAGCGCCGGAGCCATAACTGGCAACAGCCACCCCGCCACCTGTCATAGTCTACTTCTCACCACTCCACGCTCTGCGCGAAGTCATCAATCCAAATCTGCACGTCGACGATGTAGAGCCCGTCGCAGTCGTGGTTGCCCCTCGGCTCGACCGTGAAGTCCAAAACATCCCCGGTGCGGATGTGCATGCGCCACTCAATTTTCTGCCGATTCGGCTGCGCGTTGGGATCTGCGTCGTACGCGCGTTTGAGAAGCGTCTGCGCGCGCCTCGGCCCGTTCGGCTTGAGCCGTACTACGAAATCCATTCCGTCTCCGCAGATTGGCCACACCTGTACAATCCATGCATTGCATGAGTGTCACGAGCTTGCAGTAGTGACAGCTGCACCATCATTTGTCCAGCCACCTCTTGCCTTGAGCTTGCTGCCGCAGAAGCACTAAGACTGTGCGAAGTCCGCCTTGGAGCAAGCAATTGCCCTGAGCTCTCTCTGAAAGGAACGTGCAGTTCTGTTCCTGGTTTGGAAGCCGGCCTCTTCTCTGTACTAACCAAGGGCATATTCGCAGCAAAAGCACGCAACGATTGATCGCACCTTGGTGCACCAAAGAGGCTGCTCTGTTTGGGAAGATGAGTAATGTAAGGCAGCGCACCTCGTAGGCGAGCACGAGCAGCGCGTTCGTGGAGTGGAAGAATGACTCGTAGCGGAGCAGAAACGGCGCGAAGCCGGTGTTGCCGCAGCAGCCGCCCTCGGTGCCGGCACAGGGGTGCATAAGCGAGTGGTGCATTGAGGGGTAGTCATGAGTTCCGCACGACCAGCGGCCGTCTCTGGGAAGACCCGCCTCGGCCGGCACCCAGTTCAAGTACCTGCATTCATCGAGGAGCCCCGGTCAAACCTCCGTTTCCTGGCTGCTCTTCTTATCTCAATTGCTGCTGATGGAGGCAAGCAGTGTCGTGGGCTGCTTGTGCGCCCTGCTTGGCAAGAAGCCTCTGACGTTTGGGGCCATCGCTGCAGCGTAGGGTGACATGTCAAGACATGTGCACCTATCCTTCAGCTTGTGCATGCCATTGCACTGCATGAAGCAACATGCTGACTGCTAGTGCACAGCGGTCTTAAAATTGCAAACCTCCCTTTCCTACTTGCAAACCGACGCCAGTGCTTGTGCCTGCCACTGCACATGCCCTTGCATGCAGCAGCACTCTGAACCCCACTGCAAGGTGTTCCATCAATTGCATACCCCCTGTTCACCAATACAAACCGGGGGGAATAAAAAGGGTGCGCACGTCATGCGGCGGGTCGCGTTGCTGGCGAGGTAGCCGAACTGCCAGCCCTTGTGGCGCTGCACCATCGGGAAATCGTCCACCAGGGACACTATTGGCTTTGCATAGGGCGCTAGGTGCAGATTACGCAGCAGCTCCTCAGAGTCCTGGCAGGCAAAATCAAATTCAAACTTAAATTTGTTGATAAGGATAAAAGATAGTCATTCAGACACAAGGGCATCGCCCGCTAGGCTGAGATAGGCTGCTAGCAGGCGCTTGGATGGTGACTGCTTTCCAAGCGGTGCTCTTAGCTCCAGTCAGAGCGCCAGCCAAGGTAAGATTGATTATGACGCAGCTTGACACTTACAAGCATGCACAGGATGAGCTCTCCAGCAGCCATATGCCGTGCTACCAAACCAAGCAGTACATAAACCTGCTAGCCTTGTGAGTCGCGTGCCAAGTGGTGACAACAAGCACCCAAGAAGTTGCATGTGAAGGTTCTATCATCAGGATTGCGTTTTGGCAGCTTGAGTGCACATGCGCACCTTGTAGAGGTTGGATGCAAGCGGGTAGGAGATGCGGCGGTCGATGGGGATTTTGTCGGGCATGCAGGAGTAGCCGCCGACGGTGAAGTTCTTGACCGAGAAGATGGTTCGCGGGAATGTGTGCAGCAGCTTCCCCTGCTGCGATATCAGCATCGCCAACACCCACGAGTAGTAGTGCCTGTGCCGCACATACCATAATATCATGGACACAAACGATATTTTAGCACCCTCAAGTGCCTACACCAGGCACCAAGGCTGTCTTCACAGCCTTGGCTGTGAAGACAGCAGCTCAGGACTTGCAGCACTGACATAGACACTCATCCACCAGTCTGATATCATGCCTGGCATGGAATCTTGAGATGAGTTTGACAGTATCTCAAAACTTGTAGCAAGGAAGACTGGCATGATGGGCTGATATGAACTCTCATTGCCTGAAGTGGCTTGCAGACATGCTCAATACTTTATACCGCCACAGTGTCAACTCCGCAATACTGTCTCACAGAACACATCTGCAGCTAGCCCAGGCAATAAGTGCGCCTGGCTTCTACATGCATTGCATCCTAACGGCCACCTAGCAAGGGCGGCGCCTCACCTGAAGACGCGGGCCTCGGCGCAAAAGACCGAGCAAACGGCCCTTGCAAGGCACTTGAATTTCTCCTCTCAGACCGTGTCCTCCTAGAAATCATTGAAGCAATGACTGTTTAAAGACTCCGAAACATGTGATGCCCCACCTGAAGACGCGGGCCTCGGCGGTGAAGACGGAGCAGAACATTTCCGGGCGGATGAGCACGGGCACGTCGTCCATGCAGTGAGCGTCGTCTCCGCCATACAGCATCCAGGAGGGGCTGGTAGGGAACGCCTGCTTCCCATTCGGCAGCTCCGCGCCAAACGCCAGCGCGCCCAGCTTGTTGTTCCTCTGCGCAGCCACCCGTTTGAATTCAAATTCAAACATTCAGATATGCATAGGAATCCAATTCTCTCTTAGGGTAATAACTCTCTCATTGGCCCTGTGCTCTGGTGTACGCCCTGGGCTATGCAGTCAAACATGGCAAGCTTGTTGCTCCTCTGCAGCAGCCACGGTTTGAATTTTTGAATTCAAACTTTCAAAAATGGTTGGTGCTATGCTGACTTGCTAGCCATGTTCTGGCGTGCAGACTAGGCCGACCACCCGGACATTGGGTCTGAGAGAAGATGGGCAACTTTCCAAACAACATTTTGCCGCTTCCAGTGCCAATGGCACGCATGATGTTGCCTTTAACCAGGAAGTAACGAGCAACTAAGCTCCAAATACCCCACAGGCCCAGCTTGGCCCCAGATAAAATACCAGAACTGCTTCACAGGTCTGCCCTCTTGATATCTGTTCCTTGCAGCACCATGCATGCATGCATGCAGACATCCCTGCACAGTAGGGTCAATTTTCAAAATTGAATTTCAATAGAGGGAACGCACCCGCATGCCGATGTACATGAGCTCGGCGAGCTCGCGGGGACCGTTCTCCGGGTCCAAGAATTCATACTCGGGGGGCAACAACAGAAGCGGGGGGCCGGAAGGGTTAGGGTTGTCCGCGCACAGCGGCTCCCACAGCTTCAGCGAGAGCTGATCCTTCTGCAGCTGCACGATTCTGATCGTTCCCTCGGGGCCTGTCATCAGCCGAACCTGGTCGTCCAACTCCGTGTCCTCCTGTGAGAGGGGCGCAGAGAATATCAGCGCTGCAGGAAAAGCATCAATCAAAAGGCTGTCTACGACAGTGTCTGGAGTTTTAGCATCAGCCATGGTGAGAATGCCACATCAGGTCATCCTTCACCCTCTTGGTCTGCCCTTTTGCCTGTCACGACCAGCAGAGCACAAGAACCGAATGGCATCCTAGAAAGCAAAGCAAAGCAATATGACTTCTCATCACCTTTTTAGCATATTGATATTTATATAAAAAGATTTGGAAAAAGAGATCTTGCAGGTGTTGGGCAGCTGCTCCTGTCAGAGACTGCTCCATGTCATCAATTTGAATTCAAATCTTCAGCCGCTGTACGGGCATTCAGACCGATGGCTCACCTGAATAAGCTGCGGCAGCGACTCGGCAAAGTCGGCGTGCCACTGCAGCCACTGCTGCCTTCCTGTCGTGATGTGCTCTGCTAGCTGCACTGTCTTGATTCGGCCTCGCTCCACGACGTGAGACAGCTTGCGCTTGAGAGCCGCCAGCGTCGGTTCGAAGACAACGTTGTCGCTGAATTCCTTTGGGTCAAACATCTCCAGAACGCCGCCCGCGTCAAACACCAGGAACGGAATGCCCTTCACCTGTGAGTTGCGCAAAAACAATCAACATCAGCCGGTGTTCTCCACACTCGTGCGCGTGCATCTGTAGCAAGGCGAGCAAACTGGCTGCGCCCCAAAAGTAGGGAACTTGTCAGTCCCGGTGCAAGCAAGAGCCCTAGCTACGCCTTCCGCACTTCGAGACGTGACTTTCTATAGCAGTCCAAGGATGCAACGCAAGCCCACAGAATCTCAATTGCTGCAAAGCCAAGGAACATGGCCAAGCATACTCTTCCACTGCAGGGCACCATGTTCCGAAGATGGGGAGACGGAGAGAAAACTGAGCAGGCATGCAAAGCTCAGTGAGTCGAAGTTCCTATGCAGTCTCTCACCGCGGCCTCTGCCACCACGTAAGGCATGTTGTCGACGAGCGAGCACAGCACGAGCAGCGTCCCCTCGCTCGACAGAATCTCGAGCGCCTCGTCACGCTTGGCACCCACTCTCAGATGAGTTTTCCAGGGCCATTTTGCAGTTTTCTCGCGCAGCCACACACTCGACGGCCGCATGTCCACCTTGGCATCAGACCCCACAAAGTACACCTGCGCAGGTGTGAGAATCGATTGATATCGACGAACAGTGAGAGTTAATCCTCTCTAGGCAAAGGGTGCAAAAAGCACTTCTGTTGATGATGTGGTAATGCACACGAGCAACAAATGTGGCAGCTGCAGCCATACACTGGGCAACCCAAGGAAATGAAAATCCTGAGGACAGGGATTCTGCACGAAAAGCATGGCACAAGTACTCAGATTAGAAGAACATGATGGCGTGCATGAAACCTGCGATCTTTCTTTGCATGACACCTCAAAGCTTCTTGCCGCTGCTTCACACACAGCAAACAGAGGCTCCATATGAAGTCATTGTGGGGCAAAGGCCGGGATGGCTTTAACAGTGGCACCCCTCGGGGCAGGCGCAGCTCTCAATTGGCTGTACTATACTGGACAGCAAATCGTTCGAAAATCGTGTGCCGGGGATAGTATCCAGAACAATATTTTCATTAGTACCGCGAAGCCACGCACCTCGAACTTGTCGTTTGTGACGTTCAGCGCTGAGACTGCGTCCACGAAGAGCTTGATGCCCTTTCGCTCCTCCAGCCGGGAGAAGAACGCCAGACGCCACACCGGCTTCTCCTTGCCCATCATCTGCAGCAGGGAGCACATGCAGCGTACGATCAGCCACATGCACAAGATACAAAAAGCAGGCGCTGGGAATTTCCCGGAAAATATCAGGATTCCTGGAAGATGTTTCTTGAATCATCCAGCTATGTAAACACTTGTATGGCTGGGAGCCCTTGAGGACCTCACGCAGCTACTTTTTTGGCGCAGGAGATCGCAGGACGCTGCGGTGAGTTAATACTGCACTTAAAGCACCTATTCTCAGGGTGTTGACACAATATATGGCAATGGCTGAATGCATGGGTGCCCACCTGCGCTGCGACAAGGTCAAATTGTGGGATGACATTGGGGATGCACACATACATTGCAGTCCGCCAGAACAGGCACGCAAAAAAAGGAGCCAGAATTTGATTAAAAAAAAGAGGAGGTCGCACCTGCGCGGCGATCGGGTCGACCTCTGGGATGACGTTGGGGATTCGCATGGTGGTCTCGGGCATGGCCCAGCCGCGCTGGCGCAGGAAGGCGATCATGTAATTGGTGGGGGAGATCTCACAGTCGTTCAGCATGTTGGCCATGCGCTCCTGGTTGTCGATTCGCAGGGACACGATGTCCATCGGCCGCTGGACCTGCCCCATGGACGACCAGAAGTGGCCCCCGTGCGGCTGTACTGCCACCCGCAAGCCAGCCTTGATCTGCGCGCAGTAATCACATAGTTTCCCCTCTATCAGTCGGTGTCAAATTTCTTCCATTTCCTGGTCCTCTTGTTTGCAGATTCCACAATTTCAGCAAGTGATGAAGGCAGGCCTTTGGGCAGGCTCCCTGCACCATTGAATCTGTGAAGCATGCCAGATGCACTTCCAGAGTAGCATGGAACGACATATGTCTGCCATTGAAAATCCACTTGCACTGCCCTCCGGATGTACACAGGTCCTACAAAATTTGCACCAGTTGTCATGCAGGCCGTCTGTACCTGGGTATCACACCTCCCTCACTATCCTCACCTTTGCAAGGGTCTCAAATGTTGTATTGCTAATCTGGCACTGATACCCGAAGGCCCCCCCACCTGGCGGTAGTTGTTGGCAGTGATGAGGTCGACAAAGGCGCCTCCCCACTCGTGCCCATGGATCACATCACAGCGATCGGCGTTTTCCTCCACCCAGTTCAGAACTGCGTGGCTCAGCTGCTCGTAGGGATATGTCTCGACAATCTCAGGCACGAAGTGGTGCGGCTCGAGGCACTCGAAGTGCAGGTTCTGCTTGGTGTTGACCTGCTTGGCCTCCTGGCAGATTGTGAACTTCTTCGACACCCCCAGGAATGTCACCTGCTCGCACACGCCAGTTTTGAATCTACTGAGCCTTTGGAGACATTTAGATCAGTGGTGTTAGTGTTTCAAAGCGCAGAGCGCTCCATGATCTGTAGGTTTGCAGGAATCACAAGCTGCAGAATTCATGCCGGATGCCGAGAACAATTACAGGCCTTTTTGCACAATACGAGGCTTGGAGCTTTGGCTTATATATACAAGGTTCTCCAGGTGCAAAAGATGCCCCTGTGTCTGCCCATATTGTACAGACTTCGAGCATGCATGCACGCATGCATGCAGGTGCCAAGGAGCGCCCACCTCCAGAAACTCTGTCAACACATCAGCACGCCCCGGACAATGCTGTCACATAGAGAGCTCACCTCGAGCGCGTGTGACTCAGCGAGCATGGCTGCCAGCAAATGGTAGGCGGTGGCCGTGCCTCCGGCGGTTTTGAGCCCCCAGAAATCGGCGCTCATGACGCACACTTTCAGCGGCTTGGAGCGCTTCTTCAGCTTGAGCTGCGGCTCCTGGGATTTCGTGCGGTTAGTCACCACCATCTGCGCGTTCGCCGCCTCCGCCGCGTTCACGTTCTGCCGAAACTTGCCCATTATGCCCTGCCATGTACATTGGAAATAACTATTTGCTTGAATCTCATATTTTTAACTCTGGACTGTGAATTTGTTCGTTTGAATTCAAAAAGATGATGTCCACTACGAGCATTCTGGAGTAGGTGCTTCTTCACGCCTCGCATCACGCTACTGTTGCTGTGCACTCGAGTTGAAATGCCCACAGCCTGAGTCAACGGCGAATAAAGTGTGCCTTGCCAGCTCTGTATCAGCAGGGCCCAAGAGATCTTCCTTCAAGGAAGCATCCACCAACCTGGCACACCTTTGCAGACATCAAGGTGATGTGAGCACTGGAACCCATTGCAGACTCACCTGCTTTGACTGCAAGCCGGGCTCGACGGCACTAGCTGAGCCGCCATCCACTCCGACACCTGTCAGCATCCCAGTGGCGATGGTTTTCACCCCCTGCGCCGCATTACCCACCCCTGCCGCCGCCCCCCGCGCGGCCGACAGCATCTGATCCTGCAGTCCCCCCGTCACCGCGCCTGATCTGGCCGCCGGCTTGATCGCCGCCTTAGTCACCGCCTTCTGGGACGCGCCCGCCTTGCCTGCACATGCCAGCATGCATGCATGCATCAGGCCTCGCCCATATTGCCATGCTCATCTTAAGTGACACAACATAAAGCTTCCACAAAAGCAATCCCCAACAAGTTTACATCATTGTCAGACAGCAGATCAGGACACCACATCAAAATTTTACTTTGGCAATGAATGCCTTAAAAATGCCTTAAAAGGACAGTCTGTGATTCCTTGCTCAAACAACACAAACACACATGCAGAATTTACTTGCATTTTTCTGTGAGTCGCAGCAAGCTTGCAGAGATGCACCAGCGGACATAACAATACCTGCAAGCCTGGTCTGGGGCACAGGGTCATCTGCTTCTTCGTATGTGTCATCGTCCAGGATCTCATTGTAGGAAGTGGTCACTCCTGCGGTGACCTTCGTCGGCTTTGCCTTTGCCGCCACCTTTTTGGGGCGGCTGGCAAAGGGCAGATCGTCCTCTTCGTCCCTCATGTCCCGCTGCTGCACACCCCACGCATTGCTGAAGTCAGTGACTAAAGCTCACATAGATTGTCTTCAGGTTCTGACAAAGGTGGGCTTTACCACCTCCTCCTGAATCTCAAAATTTTCCATTCTTGCATGACTCACGCATTGCCAGCAAGATCCCACGCAAGGGCCTCCATAGAGCTGAGCACGTGCTGTCCCAGCTTGCAGAGGCACTGTCTTCACAGAGTCATTTAATGCACAGGATAGAGCAGGCATGCCCGTACCTGAAGCCGCCTGCGCGCGCCGTGGGAAGCTTCCAGGAGAGCACGCGTCTTCAGCGCCTCGGGCAGCATGATGTCAGCGCGCTCCGCTGACGTCAGCCGCGGCGGCCATACCGCGGCGTGCTTCGCGCGCAGCTCCTCCGGCTTCTGCCGGCCCGCCGCCGCCGCGGCCGGCCGCGGCTTCGCCGCGCGCACGCGCGCCGTGGCCGTCACCGCGTCGGCGGCGGCGGCTGTCAGCATAATCAGTGCGCAGCACAGCAGGACTGCCTTCGCGCCGCGGCGTTGCCTCCGTCTCCTGTCCAATGCTGCTCTGCCTGCCATGCTGTTTTGGTGTCGCTCCCCCCCTTCAGATGCTGACCCCTGCTCAACACAATGTGCTAACAATGTGTTTTGTGCCTCTTCGACATTAAGAAGCACAAATGCAGGACGTGTTGCCACTGGAGAAAGAAGAAGGATCGTGAGCACGATTCTTGCAGGGAAACGGATGTTTCTGCGGAGGGCTAAAGCCTGAGATCCTGTAAGATTGTTGCACACCTGTGGAGATACTCCCGCATCGCATGCCCTCCAGGACACGGTCGCTCCTGGCGATGAACAAGCCTCAGCCTTCTTCAAGCTGCGATGCAGAACTGGCAGATCTTAGCCTTCTATGGATTTTAAAGACCCACGATAGAGGACCAAACATGTCTTTAGATCTAATACTTTGTAGAATGAGAACGGTATGCAGTGCATGCACAGCAAGCAAATGGTGAACTACAAAGCCAGCCAAACGCGGTTTGCTCTTTGCGCTAGATAGGGTCTCAAAAATTTCAACGGGTTTGAGCCCTAGCTCATGCAGAAGGCAACCTGCAGATATAAAGTTGCTATCTGCATCGTGATTGCAGAAAGCTGGGTCGTGGCTTACCCAATAGTACACGTCGATTTGAACAGTCCGTTGCTAATCCTCCCTATTTATTCCGCAACAAAGGCTCGCTTGTGGCGGTCCCTTGAAAACAATCAATCTGATATATTGTCCAAGTTTTCTTACTTACTAATATACTAAAGGCAAGCAGATCAATTAATTTGGTTGCACAAGGGTCGGATTCGGAAAATCCCTCGGCAGGGCCTGTCCGGGTTGATTCGCGCTCTAACCCTAGATTGCACACAGATGTGCGTTATTTTCTGGAGAAAGGTAGACGTCCCTATTCCTGATCGACGTCGGGTGCGAGAAAGTCCAGCAATCTGGCCGGTGACGTTCGGCATAATATCGCAAGTACCGATTAGTAACGTCAGCTCATCGATTTCAAGGAGAATTTTCTCCTGCCAACCACACATCCCCGGAATTGAATTTGAATTTATATTTCTGTTCAATTTCGCAAATTTTAAGCACCACTCTGCATTACAAGAAAACTCACTCTTTCATTACCTAAGCAGTCCTGCAGCTCTGCAGCGAGCTAGTCAATAGTTTCCCAGTCATTGACTGAGCAGCGCTACTGGCCAGTGCGGCACAACTTGACATTCACAATCAATCGTTCCAGGTTCCATCACATAGTGCTTCAGATCCCAGCTGCTCTGTCAGGTTCAGTATATCAAGGCAGTCCCACAAGGATGCAAAGTACAATACCGGGTGACCCTCTAGTACCTTGCAAAGTTGTACTATAATATTGTCTATATGGCTGGCAACGAGGGCATACATAGGGTATCCTTTAAGCCGGTCCAACAGAAAAAAAGGCGGTTGTTGAAATCTACAGATAAAGGGGCATCTCGCACAAAAGAACATGTTCAGTTCAAAGAAGGGTGAGTCAGCTTCACAGGCCACAGAAACACAAGCAACTTCTCCTGAGCATTTGCAGCCTGGCCAATCTCGTGCAAAAGGGTTTTGACTAGACCATCTGCTAACGTGCTGGCCATTCTTGAACGCAGAGAAGACTGCATCCTTATTCTTAGAGTCATTAATTTGTTCAGTTCTGCATGCATGCAATTGCCTTTTAGTCATCAGTTTAGGAGCCGTTATTGCTGGCAGCACTGGGCGATCGCACAACGTCTCCACGCTGCACACACTGGTCCCACGAGTCTGGTGACCCGGCCAGGAATGCTAGCACACCTGCGCGCAAATTATTATTATTATTATTATTACACGCCTATCCAAGCCACAGTAGGCTTAGGTGCGTCGCAGCAGCGTTTCTATGACAGCCTTCCAACTCTCCCTATCTTGGCACCTTTTCCACCATGTCAAGCTAAATACCCACACGGTAAATCATCAGGGGGGCGATATAAATACTGAGCACCGTGCCCACGGTCGACTGGGTCTTGCTTGGATCTGGCGAGTCCAACAAGGGGTAGGATTATGGCAGCCTTCAACTGCAGCTTGTCTGCAGGACGCACCTTGCCTCTTGGCAGGAAAAGCGTGTCATAATAATAATATTAATAATAAATCAGTGTAATCTAGGCACCTCTAGAAGCCTCTCCTTCACCCTACAACTCCCGAGAAGCGCAGAGGTTGCGCTTGAAAACAGCACGTGGAGGATACTAGGCACCGCAATCTAGAGACCTAGCAGAAGTGCGTGCATACTGGCAGCAACAACCCTTTCCTTCAAAATTGCGCACCCAAAAAGAAAGAAATGCACGCAGGATGACAGAGTATTCGCTATGGAAATGGGGCAAATGTCTCTTTAAGGCCCTGTGACTGTAGGTGTGTGCGGCAGTGGATTTTGAAGTCTTTGGGGAGTATCGGGGGATGCACCTGTGAAGCCGGAGTTGTAGTCGACCGCCACCTCGTTCTTCTGGTAGTCGTCCCTCTTGTCAACGTACGAGTCATCCTTGCCCGGACCTGCACAGGTGACCTCATCACATCATCACCTCTAGCCCACCAGCAGACTGGCATAGAGCTTGTGTGCGCAGAAACTGTGCTTTTGTAGAGAGAATATGACACCAGTTTCACAGCGCATGCATGGGAAGATTGGACGGCTGCATATCTCTTTCTCTTTTTTACAGTTGGACATTGCCAACCTCGGAAATCGTCACCGAAAGAGCCAATGAGATTACAGAGGACGCAGCTGAGCACTTTGCCTTTTATTAAGCACGGCAGGGGGCAGCAGTTTGCGCGCGTACCTCCCACGAGGGCGCCAGTGAGAACGTTGGGGTTGGAGGAGGAGAGGCTGAACTGGTCGTAGGAGCAAGGGGGGTTGTTGGACCCCCACGGCTGCTGCTCCGGTGGGCAGGAGGCTCCCCGATGGTGGACATGCGTGGGGGGGTTCTTGCCGTAGCCCACAACAAAGCTGCGCCCCGAGTCCCCCAGGATGTACTTGATCTGGCTCCGCGCCCAGCACGAGTAGCGGTGCGACTTTGTGGGGTCCGAATCTGCAGCGAAGAATCGAAGATAGTTTGGCATTACATATCGGCGTTGCAGGGCATTAGATTGGCTTGCAGTGGTACGGTATATAGCAAGCATGACAGGCAATACAACTCAAGGCGCAATTGTTTACCGGCAGCAGTACTAGTCCGACTTTGTGGGGTCTCAGCACAGAGCTCCTCGGCCAGCATAGACTGGCATGGAATCGGGTCCCAATTTGCTGAGCACTCAGCATGAAGAGCTCTGAGATTGAAGAATGTCACAGTGACCGCTCACTAAACATGCAAAAAGTGCTTTCCTGGTCAGAAGTGACAGCTGAGATCACAAGGAGCACGCCCATGGTGCCAAAAGAATGGTGACCAGGTTCTGCAAGGTCTACTCTTTGAGATGAAACAGAGTTTGATGGAGGAAAGAGCGCACCGGCGATGGATTTGGAGTAGACGGCGGCAATCATGGCGGCGTTGCCCACGAAGCGCAAGGAGCCCCACTCGGAGCCCCAGGCGAGGCCGTGCGGGGTGTAGGTAACGCCGTCGGTGCCCTTGATCCATGCCTCCAGGAATCGCTGCACCTGCACGCACATGCCGCCCGCTCGCGCTCACGTCTCTGGGTTGTACTCGATCATGCCCCTCTACAGGGGCAATAAAGAAGCATTCTACCGACCAGCTAAACTTGCGCATTTCATCTTCAAGTCACTCCTTGTAACCCAGCGATTACTGGCTGAGGGAAAAAGACACTTCAGTAGGATGCTTTGAGTGGCTAAAACTAAACCCATGACTTGACATGCTGCATGCAGGACATGGAAGTGCGAAGCCCGTCTGCCTTCAGCGGTGCAGGGAGCTCAAAAGACATAAAATTTGGAGTTCCCTGAGCGCTGAGGTGAAAGCAAAACATCCAGCAAAAAATCAGTCAGGGACTGTAAAATTGTGCGTACCTCGGCGGCGTATTTCTTGTCGCTGGCCTGCGATGCCAGGAGCACGTCGGCGCCCCAGATGGAGCTGTCCCAGTTCCAGGCCAGGTAGCCGCCGCCCCCCTCCTCGTCCTTGCTGCGCTGCCACAGCCGCTGTGCATCCTGTGAACATGTGAAGAGGTTGATATCTGAGACTCAGAGCCTTATGCCCTGGGCCGAAGCATGCGTGTGAGGAGGAGGAATTATGCTAGCTCATGCTTCGGTTGGGTTAGATCAGCGTGTCCTAAACAGCTAGTGCAAACGCATGTCCACCGAGTATTCTCTACTGCGGATTGTTTTCAAGTGGGCCCTCTGGTCCAAGGCAGATTGATGCCGGCTCAGGCTTTGAGTGGGGCATTTATGCGAAGGTGTTGCAGAAATTGTGACAGCTCAAAAAAAACAAGATGTTTCTATCCAGCGGTTTTTGTCCAGGCCACTGTGACACCTGACCTTCAGAGACTCATGAAGCTCTTGCCCTGCTCCTAAAGCTGGCGGATCTGCTGTCAAGACACAGCTGGGAATGCTAGGCTGCAAGACAACGAGCAAACCCAACCATTATGGATTGGTGAGGCCTGTAGTATGTAGAAAATGAGCACGCAAATCACCTGCAGGAATTGCTGCTCGCCGGTCTTGCGGTAGAGCCAGGCTGCGGCCCAGGTGAGATCGTCCAGGAAGTTGGAGGAGGGGTAGACGTAGGCACCCTTTATGCTGTCGCTGTACTTGCCCTGGAACGTGGTGCCCACTCTGCACCCAAGCAACCAGCAGCGAGGCTCTCATCAGCCTGACTAGGCAGGTTAAGTCAGGCAGATTGTCAGAGATCGCCCAGTGACAGGTTGAACCACACAGCCGCTGCGTTACTCAGTGTCAAGTGTGACAGATTGCAGCATGCATGCCTGCACATGTCAAAGCCAAAGCAGAAAATTTATTCAGCAGCACTGTCCTGGGTTGAAGTTGAAGGGAACAATATAGCACTCTGTCGAAATCGATTGGCGTGTTTTCACACAGCCGGCAGCATGGCAGGTCTCATTTGAGGCCTTGGCAAGCGCCTCCAGCACATTTCACCAAAGACCTCTTTGGAGTACTGCCACAATGTAGAGCATGTGGTGCTGATCAACAGAATCATCAGGGGATCGAATTCGAACTCGCTATATAATTTCAAAAATGAGAGCAGACAGCGGCCGCGTGACTCACGCGTAGAGATCGCGAGCGTGCGCCTCCAGCTTGAGCGCGTAGGCTGCGTCGGTCTTCTCAAACACGATGGAAATTGCAGCAAGCGCGGCGGCCGTCTGGCCAAGCAGATCCGAGCCCGGGTTGTTCGCGTCGACATCGTATGCCGGCCGCGCCATTGTCATGTCCTCCGAGCGCCCCCATACCGCGTGATCCGCGCCTGGGTCCCCCACCTGCATGCGCGCAGTTACTCATGACTATTAATGCAAGCTTTCCCTGCCAAGAGGCATGGTGCGTATGCAGACGAGCTACATGCGCGCAACTACCAATGGTTATCACGACGCGCTGTTCATGCTGAGAGGCAAAAGTCTTCAGAGAAGCTGCATGGCCAGGTTCCACTACTGCAGTTAATATGCATTGTGACATACTTTACACTATCATGTTGCAGATGGGGGGGAACATCCATCTGCTAATGTCCTGTACAGTGTCACTTGGTATACATATATAATGCTTGCTGGTTCCTCTTGTGGGTGCTTGCAGCTGAATGTCAGCACTTAGCAGAAATCTGCTTCCTGCCAATCTGGGCAGAAGGGCTGTAGACAGCAGCATCATGAACAGAGGAGGTTGGCTGTTTGGTGTCTCTCCAGGTTGATGCCGCTGAGCAAAGGGAAAAGTGGACGCATGTCATGGCGCACCTGGCCAGTGTAGGCAACATCTGAATGGTGGCACTTAACAAAGTAGTCTGCCACCCAGCGGAGGCCGTCCAGAGCAATCTGGGTCTGGGCAGAGGAGGAGTAGCCCTGAGAATTGCACCCATCGAACACCATTGGTATCTTTTCCTTATGGTCATCCTTGCATCACAACTTCAAGAAATCCTAGTGGCTGCACAACAGACAGGTGCGCTAGTCATGCATTGCACAGATTGAATGCTGTTGATGCCTGTCACTTGTGGGAACTTTTAGCATCACAGGTGCTTAACACTGGTAGCTGCAGAGCATCTCGTCGTTGTTTAAAGCTTTGCTCGGTGCAGAAAGGTTGATGGTCAGGTCGTGTATCAGGCAGGTAAGAACTGCAAGCACGTGCAGGTAGCTCAGAGAGCATGCCGGGGCGCACATCTTGGAACTCAATGAAGCCCCATGCCAGCACGCCCGCAGCCCACGCCATTGGGAAGTTCAGCTTCAGGTGATCTGTGGCAGGATGCAACACAACATATCAAGTCAATCCAGTCAGTCAATCACATCACACCTGTTCCTACATGCTGCATGCATGAGGCCTGTCCCTTTCTGGAAAAAATTTTGCTAATGATGTGGCCAAGTAGATCTCGAAAGCGGATGAACTAGCAAGACAGATGCGTGTGGGGCATGGCAAACGGTGTCCTTGCATGGCTGCATGCATGAGCCCAGTCCCTTTCTGGCAGATCAATTCGCACAATCATGTGCCAAACAAGCCAAGAGCGGACGTACTTGCATGACAGATGATAGTGGGGCGTGACAAGTGGACTACTCACCTCCGGCATCATACCAGCCGCCGGTGACATCGCTACCATCGGGCGCCTTGTCTCCCAGCGCTGAGTCACCCCGCCATGGGACTCTGTTTGTGCTGGGCAGCTTGCCCGACCGTTGCGCCTCGTAGAACAGCCATGACATGCCCAGCACCTGGCCGTAGTCGTAGCCTGGCACAAGGCAACACCGAGCACGTTTTTAAAGGTGCAACTGGTAGCACTTGAGCAGACAGATGTCCAAGATACGTGCATCGTTTGCAGCAGCTATGCCAGCCGTGCATGGAATTGTTCAATTTGTTCCAACGTTGCAATTTTGAAATTCTATTTGGCTCTAGCGTCCTATGTGGGTGCTCGGCTGGCTCCCCGGCATGCATGGGCGTGCAGCTTTTCTCTTCCCTCTTTCAGTACACAATTAATGCTGATTTGTTCATGGCAGATAACACATTGTAATTTGTACCAAAATTAGCAGTGAATCTGACGTTGTGTCGACAGTTATGAGCACTCTTTGTTCGCGAACGGGTGGGTAGGCCGTTACACCGCTCACCGTCTGTGTTTGCCGACTCTATACGTGACCCTCCCGCCGCGACGACAGGCTTGATCTCAAACGTTCCGTTTGTGATCTTCTCAATCGCCGGAACATCTGTTTTATTGAGGTTGGCGAAAAACGTCTCGTTCACACGGAATGCGTCTTTGATTGCCTCCTGCTTTGCAACGTAAAAGTCGGGCTGGTTAGGCTCGAAGGTGCCATTCGCGGCCAAAGGTGCCAATGCAGGTGCAGTGACCGCCAGAAGGCTCCTGCCCTTCGAGATTGCTGCCTCTACATCGGCTTCCAGAATACCTGCCCGAACGCCCGGGCCAGCCAGCAGACTGGTGATCAACAAGAGCCCCAGGCAAAGACCCGAAGGCCTTTTGAGAGCTGTTTGAAACATTTGGACGCCTCCCGTGCCCCAAATCTGCGATCCAAGGGCTCAAGCCTTTTGCCCATCTTTGACCGAGGGCTTTCTTTCAGGGTTTCATAATATCAGGGAGGTTTTAAGGGAACGAAATAACTAAACGACACACACGCTTTCCTACAGATATCAAGAGTAGAAGCAGGAACATCGAGAAAGACGATCGTAAAAATACGGGGGAAGCATAGAAGTTGCAGGAGAAGGGCAGAAACGGGCTAGCTCTGGCGTTCTGGCGACTGGAGTTGAAGGGCACAACCAAGTGAACTGTTCCAAGCCCGAAGTACCCCAAGACCGCACGGTGTGTTCCTTTTTGCCGGGGTCCACAGAGGGACATCAGATGCAGAATGTGATCATCTAGGCAATCACCACGATGCATGGATCCCGACATTTTGCGGGTTTCTTCAAGAAGCGGTTTCTTCAGGAACCTTCCGCACATGTCAACGTGGACCTCCGTGGTGTTTCGTGCTTTCTGATCGGTGAAACATGTTTCAGTGTTTTTTCCTTATTACTTTTGCATATGCTGAGAGTAAGCACACGATCCATATTTGACAAGTAGGTTTTGGTCCACTTGATATTTCTTGTTTAGTGATGCTTAGAGCTGAAATCGTTCTTCTGCAACAGATGAGCGACTTTATCAGCGGCACAGATATAATGCAGTCTCTTTAGCCGTCAACAGATGGCTGTTACGTTACATGCAATCTTAACCTCGCAAGTGATGATCACAAGAACCCTGGTTTTTGTTCGCAAAGATAGATATGTGTGTGTGTCTAGCGACCTTCCCCTCGCCCTCACAGGTCTATTCGGTAATTGTAGGGCACTTGCAGGTCTTGGAAGAGCCGAGCAGATTTGGGTCTTGGCCTTGCAGAAAGTGACCAAGTCTTGCTGTTTGTGTGGGACAGGCTTTCGCTTCTACTTCAGAAGAAACGGTCAGGTTGCTTCATCCCTAAGGCGCAGCAGCGCTTTGTCAGCAGGAGCAGACAAAACGGAGTTGACTTCCTTGGAAAGTCGTACCTGAATATTAGACATGGCTTCTATATACACCGGCAAACAGGCGCCTATACGCGGGCCATACGTGAAGCAGGCATTTGCCAAGTCAATCTACAAGGGCGAGGACGCTTGGCTGCAGCAGAGGGACGTGCAAGTGCCTGCTAGCGGAGGTGTGCCCTGGCCCATTTGCGCTCCTGTCTCACTCTCCGGCGCAAACATCTCCAATCACTGCATACTCTTGATGCATAGTGCCAAGTCCTGAACTGGGGATCAGGCAAGTGCCTGCAGACAACTGGCGACCTACATGCATCCTTGCCTAGAGCGCTCTCGCATCATGCATGGGTGATCTGAGCCATGAGAGAGGCATTTTATCTGACAGTCTGTTCCTTCTTGTCCAGGCAATGCCTCCGTGGACATCTTTGGCGTCTTTGACGGTCATGGAGGCAAGCAGGCGGCCGTGTATGCCTCCAAGCACATGATGGGGGCTGTGCTGAGCGCGCTTGACCAGCACATTGGGAAGGACGAGCAAGACTGCCAAGCCGGGGCTTCAGACAGCATGAGCATCCCCACCAAGCATGCACCCGACAGCAATCTTGAAGGTGGGCCCCAACTAATAATCGACCCGTCCCTTGATGAAGCCAAGGATGGTGCATGTGCTGTCTTGTGCATGCATGCATGCATGCCCTCCAAGGCGGGCAGCTGCCAACATGTGCTTCCTGAAGGTGACATGTCAATCAGGAAAAGGCACATTTGCAGCCTAAGCAGCCCCTGGTTAAGGAGTGATCTGAAGGTGACATGTAAATCAGGCAGAGGCCCAGTGCAGGCCTGAAAGTTTTCTTTTGCTAGGAGGGTTGTGTTGACATTAGTAATTTGATGCTGAGCGTGAAGCTTCCCATGCAGTGTCTGCGGAGGAGCAGCTGGCGGATTGTGATGTGGTGAAGCCAGAGGAGAGGGCGCTCTGGCGCGCGCAGGACGCCTTAGTGGAGGCCATGCCTCACGCTCTGTCAGAGGCCTTCCAGAAAGTGGAGGCCGACTTCTTTGAGCACACCAAGGTGCGCCCTTGACCTCCGATGCTTGACTCTAATGTCTGCTATCTGCTAGCTTGATCTGTTGGCTAGGATCTTTCTGAGCCAGCATGGAATTTGCTGTTGTTGTTGGATCTGGGTGCATGCTGAGGATAGCTATGTGCAGGCTTAACCTGACGGCTGAGTGCTTACCGAGTCACATGGATAGGTCTGCTTGTGGGTTGAATGTGAATGGTGCATGCAGGTGTCAGGCTCGACAGCCACTGTGGCGGCGCTGTCTGGCTGGGAGGTGGTCATTGCCAATGTGGGTGACTCATGCGCCTACTTGGATACAGGCGGCGAGGTTGTCCTGGTAAGCTCCTCTGTCCCTACCTTCTTCATCACGCTCATTTGAACCTTTGATGCATGAAGGCCCCTCCTATGTCATGGGCTGCTGCCCATGCATCTTAATCTCAGGAAGTGCATAATTATTTATTGTGGTGTAAACATCGTCATTGTCTAGGTCTCCTCTGTGCATACTTTGGTGCCGTGCTTGAGCGCCTGCTCCTGGCACTTGTGGCAAGGCAAATTTGGCTCAGTGAATCTTGCATTGCCTGGCGCAGGTGAGCGGCAATCACCGGCTGGATGACAACAAGGCGGAGCGCGCGCGCTGCCTGGAAGCCGGCTGCGAAGTCAGCAGCAGCAACCTGGAGGGCCGCCCAGTTGGTCCCCTGCGCGTATGGCCGGGCGGCCTAGCCATGTCTCGCACGCTCGGAGATCATGAGGTTTGCCCCTACGCTGGTCCTTCGTTCTCCCATCCAGCAGGCAGCAGGCAATTGTCTTTTGGCACTCAAGGCGAAGCACATTGTCCTTCTGCAACCCGCCCTGCTGGCGTTTCGTCTCAGTCGTCACACATCGAAGGCTGATGGGCCCTCCGTGTATGATGACCATCGGGCACGCCTGCAGGCATGTCTCCTTGTCATGGAGACCAGTGGTGCTTCGGAGCTCCACGACAAATTTGCAGGCACACCTGCTCAAGTCTAGTGGCTGCTATTGCAATGTAGAAGGCGTCTGATGACCTTGTCATCTTCAAAAACTTAAAATTCAACTGCTCTGGATGGTCACAGAAATCTCCATGCTCGGGAGGGTCCAGTCAGCTGTATCGTGATGCCGTTGCATGTGCGCGCAGGCTGGCGCGGTGGTGACAGCTGAGCCGGAGGTGCGGCAGGTGACGCTGCCGGTGGGCGGCGGCCGCCTCGTGCTGGCGTCCGATGGGCTCTGGGACGCTGTCAATCCCAAAACCGCTCTGCACCACGTCCGCGCCTCCCCAGCCTCCAAGGCCGCCAATGAGCTGGTGCCGTCCCTGTCCTTTCTCCCCTGCACGTTGCGAAGCCTCCTCGTACAATTTGCAGATGGAATGCAGTGAGTTGGTGCAGAGAACGCCTCAAATTCTTGGGCACAATGAATCGGCAGAGGCCATCTACATGCCATGCATGCATGCATGGGTCTCTTTCACCGGGCTTGGTCCCTTATAGAATAAGCTAGCTCTTTGCTTAGGCAAGGCACCCACTTGGCATGCCGCTTGCTTGTGCTGAGGTATCTTCAGTATCAAGGAGATCAGTCGAGTGTCCTTTGGCGTTGGCATGCATGGCTGAGACATGCTTGCATGTTACGTTGCAGGTGCAGCTGGCGCTGAAGTCCAAGGGCCTGCGGGACGACATCACCGTGCTTGTCATTGATGCGCTGCCCAGTGAGGAGCTGCGCACGCCCCCCGCGCTCCAACGCAGGAACCGGCAGCCCATCATCTCCCGGTGCGCTATTCCACTCCTTCTTCATCCCAACTACTGCCTACCTTTCAATGTGACCGCACAGCATCTCTACGAATCCAGACGCCAGATGCACTGGTGCTCTGGGCTTGGGAATGGGCAAATGATGTCAATGTGAGTAGCACTGTATTTAATTTTAGTCTGATCTTGGCTGAATTGTATCTCTGTCCTGGGCAGGTCTGCGGGTGCGGGCAGCATGTCTGGGGAGGAGTTGATGGAAGCTATGTCTGGCGGGCTCACAGACCAGATCACCGTGCTCAGGCCGCTTGAGCAGTCCAGCCACGAAGCGCACTGGCGCCGAACCGTCTGGTGCGTCCTCCACTGTCTTTTGCAAGTCATGAGATAGTTAGCGAGTGTCAGTGCATGCCCATTGATGAGACACCTGTGCACCACCGTCCTCTTGACCTTGAAACAGTGAGGAAGCACGCTCATCCTCCATCCAAGCGTGTGCAGACAGCACAACCTCATCCTGTTGGACTGCTTCAGACGAAGGGGCTACGTAACAAGGGTGTTTATGGTCCTAGTCAAGCCGGAGGAATCTAGATTGATGTCAATTAAGAGTTCCCATCTCTGGGTTCATGAACTCACTTGATTGCTTAGCTGCCATATATTCCGAACAGCTTGATCCGAAATTATATCCCAGCGCATTGCAGGTGTTGCAGCATTGGTACCTCATTAAGTATGGAATTTGCAGGTTTTAAGACTGGCTTGGAATTGTGCAGGGAACGCCGCTTGGCGGCCGTGCAGACGACGTACGGCGCGTTGCTGCCGGCGCCGTCGCTGACGTACAGCGACATGAGCACGACCATCGCTCTCAGCGACGCGGCCATGGCCTCCTCTTTTGAGGTCGCCTCCATGATGGCCGATGACACCGGCGACTCATCCCCCAACGGCGCCTCCGCCGACCACCTCTTGTTCGGCAGCTTCGACGACGATGAACAGGTGTGCATCTCCGCAGACACTCTCTTGATTCTTTTGAGTTTATTGTCCTGAAGTGGGCCATGCATGCGTGCGCCTTGAGGACAACCTTGTGACCATGGGAATGACTGGCGGTGTAGGAGGCAGAGGATGAGTGGGAGACGGTGCCAACAAAGAGCAAGGGCCGGAAGCACAGCGCCGAGCCGGACGCCAGCATGGCAGCGCCGCCGCCCAAGGAGCTGCGCGCAGCAGACGGCCTCAGCGCCGACGCAGCTCCCCCAGCCACCGAGGGGGGCACCTTCGTTGCGGTGGCGCCGCAGGGGGGCCCTGGCCGCCCAAGGGGCCCCCGGGACCGCGACGGCCGGCGTGGCCGCGGCCGCGGCCGCGGCGGCGCAGTCGCCCGGCAGCAGCGCATGATGCGCATCGAGGAGGGCCCGGAGGGCTACAGCCCGATCCGCGCTCGGCCGGCCGGCGCTGCTTCCGGCCCGCAGGACAGTGAGCTCGGCCAATACCCCCGCGGTCCCCCCAGGCGCCGGGAACGGCGCGCTAGACCCGCCCGCCCGCCCGGCTCCGACCAGCCGCTGCAGGAGGGTTTCTCCGGCGCGCCTGCATTCCTGCCCGAAGCGAATGGCGCGATGGTATCAGGATTGGACGGCGCTGGCAAGCCGCACATGCCAAGACAGCAGCCCGGCGGCCGCGGCCGCGGCGGGCCCGGCCGCGGCGGGCCTGGCCGCGGGCGCGGCGCGGGCAGAGGCCCGCGACCCGTCTCGGAGCACGTTCCCTTCCACGGAGAGGAGGGTGCCGAGCGGGAGGGGTTCAGAGGGCCCCGATCTTTCCGGGGCCGCGGCCGCGGCGGCCAGGGGCGGAAGATGGATGGCGCTGCTCAGGCCGGCAGCCGACCTCAGCCTGTCAATGTATCTGCTGTACCTTATTTGAGCGTGCAGGGCGAGTGAACATGCTGTGCTACCCCAAGAGAGACCTGAAGCGTGTGTTGGTGCATATATCAACAAGGAGTGTACCATTATTGACTGCTTTTGAGCTGGCTTGCTCAGCATGGCAGCATCGATGGGTGTGTGTTGTTGCAATTTTCCCCAGAAGATTTTTCTGTTGTGAACAGCAGCGTGTACCACCATTATGGCCTTCAAGACCGCCCCTGCGAGGGAATGCATGACATTGGCTGCAGCTGCTTAACACGTGTTATGATAACATAGTAAGGAGTTCAATGCTCCAGCTGATTATATGGCTGTATGGTTGTTGTGTAACAACGACTGGAACAAAACTGTCACTGGTGTCCCTTACACATTGTCACAAAGAACGATGCCAGACTGGCAGTCCCATCATGACCGACCCACTTCCCTTTCACACCCGCATGAGATACTTTCAAAAAGAGAAACTTTTAAGCGCTATAGCTAAGACAACACGCATTCCTTTGGGGGCCCCATGTATCTTAACAACACCACAGGAAGCAAAGACTCGTGTCTTCCAAGGAACACATCACGGCCTGCAAACATCTCAACTCCCACAGCTTTCTTCTTCACCACATCGTACGATCATGGTGTATTAAACACTTTCATGCGACACAATACCTATGACAAGGGGTCCGAGATTATAACTCGCCCGCAGCAGCGTTCAGCAGGAACCGACATAGCACTTGGAACATGGAGCAGCAAACATCGAACGGCACAATGACATAGAAAACCTCCACGGGAGGAATCGTTGCTAGCAGGCAAAGATAAGCAGCCAGCGCTAGCGCTGCGCTGCATTTCGTATGAACATCACAAGCAAGCAAGCCTTTCAGGCAGCAACACAGGGCGCACGCTTTTTTGTCCTTATCTCATGATCCATGATTGGCAGGAACAAGTCTAGAAGCAAAACAGAACCCGTTCATTGATCGTGCATGTACCGCATGCCTACACGAGAAGCATGTGAGCCACAGAAGACACTGCAGCACTCCAGCCCATCGATGTAAGCACAGGCCACTACGCCTTATCGAGCAGAAACTAGAAAGGGAGGGAAACACCGTCAACCCCAGTGCATGCACACCAGAGCCTTCCGGCGCCCCTCCCAAATCTTGGAACTCAAACTTCAAAACACTGCTGCAACTCTCAGAGACGCCGACGCCAGGACAGGCACGCTCGTTTTTTAATTTGAATTTTTGGATGCCACACGGCACCCCAAGAGGCCCCTTCCAAAAAGAAACAGAGCCAAATGGAGCACGAGTTGTGACAATAGAGGTTGAGCAGTCCTTCCCGCCTGTGCCGGTCGTCTGAAAATGCTCACTTGGGGCCCCTTGTAATATCTGGCAGCCACCCTCTGCTTGATCGTACTGGCTTGAGGAGTGAAGAGGTCACCCCGACATGTACAGATGCAACATGCCAAGCAGCACAGAGCTGCGAGGCGCTGCAAATGGGCCAAGTTTTTCCGCGCCTCCAGCCAGCCATATGTACTTGCTATCCATCTGAGACCAACCGTGTCGCCCAGAAACTATGGGGCAAAGAAGATCACTGATTGGTGCAGAGCTGCCATTCCAGGAGAGAAAAGGTCAATGAATATAGATAGTGCTCCCTCGCCCCAACAGAACTGCCCCAATTGAAAGACAACCATTATTATCCCAGAGCCCACGTGGGGGCCAGGGGACACCAGATACCGTGCTTTGGTATTCAGCTCTCCCTGAGAATATACCCCCAACCAAAATAAAGATGTTGATCCATATTGCAGAGTTCGTCTGCACAGTGCTGTCAGCCCTTGGGCTCCCGCCTGCTTCAAGTCCCGTCGGGAGCGGGGTTTTTTTTTGCTTTTCGGTCGCGCAGAGGCCGGCTCCATTTGTTGAGCGTCGGCGCGCCAATGTAGCAACTGTAATAAAATGCGCGGGCCTTGAGGCTGTAGTCTCAGGCCTTGGCTTCAGTGGATGGGTGCAAGGCTTTCACTGCTGTAGCCCCAGTAGCACCGCCGGAGCTGCAAGCACACAGCAAAGAAAATTCAGGCTCTGCAGATTATCCCTGCCCTTAAATCTTTTTGCTCCTAAACTTCAGAGGTAGCACAGGGTCTCAAAAGCTGGCAGGCATTGACCAGTACTCAAGCAGGCGAGTTCGCTGTCCACCTTTGAAGAAATTGTTCCCAAACAGAAGCAAGGCAAAAAGGGACAAGCGATGCTTCAGCAGACCCACAAAAAAAAACAAAATCGATTTAGTTGAATTTGTGAGTAGAAATTGAGTAGGAAAAGAACAGGCTCTGTGCGCGCGCGTACCTCCCACAAGGCTGGGTGAGCTGAGGGGTAGGTCGAGTGGGCGCCAGGGAGGAGGCATCGCCGTCGGACAGGGCGGTCCCGGCTGTGGCGTGAATGGGGCAGCCATGAGCAGGGCAGCGCTGTAGGACATGGGCAGCATGCAGGTCACAGGTGGCATCGCCTGCTGCTCCGACCTGCTGCCAGCAATGCACAAGCAGTCAGGCCTTCTGCATCTAAACGAACGCGCCACCTGAAAGAAGACCCGCCAATCAGATGTTGCTGCGGTGCCTAGAGTTACTCTCACACATTTGAGGGTAGTGAGTGGGCCTAGAGGTTTGTTCTCGATCCACCCTTGCTTGGGCTGGCCCAGCAGCTGAAATGCTTTTCTCTGATGAACGAAATATGGCAGACACACTCCAAATGAAGAGGAGGTAAGCAAGGAGGCCTCGCCTGGCAAAGGATGGCATGTCCCCAGCTGCCAGCGCTGCTGCGATTGCCAGGGAGCTTGGAATGGGTCCCCTGAAGGTGCACTCCTGCACAAAACAGACACAGCAAGATGTCATTACCAGCACCCTGCAAAGTGATGATCACAAAGACAAAACGGCATGCCATCAATCACCACATGACCTCACATCAGATGAGTCCCTTGCAGGTGCTGTCTGGCGGAGCACGCAGCAGTTCTCCGCACCAAGAAGTGCAGACAAGTGGTTAAGAGAAACTATTGACTCACCTCAGAATCATATGAGCCGGGGGATCCAGGTGGGGCCAGGCCGACGCTGCCACCCTTGGCGGTGAGCCCTGGAGGTAAGCTGCAGGCAGGCGGCTGGCACATGAAGCAGGGGCAGGCCGCCAACACAGGGTCTCCTGGATGGCTATCGTACCCCCAAGACTGCCCAGTCGGCAGGAGGTGTGGCAGGGATGGCAGGGGTGTGGCAGCGGGTTTGCCCTGCACCAAGAAGCACATGTGCTCAGTCTCACACCCTAGCTTGCCATACGGTTCTTGTGGATTTACTGTTCGAGATGCAGTCTTTGGTGAAGTTTCAGGACAGGCGGGATGCAGCATCTGTTGTTGCCAGACGTGGGTCAGGCAAACTTACCGCCTGCAGCGCAGCAGGCTTCTGGGAGCCAGCATCTGTCACGTATGCAAGCCGCCCGTTGGAGCGCAGTGCTTCCTCCAAATCGTTTGTGGTGGGAACACCCAGGGGTGGGAGCTGACCCAGGCCAATCTTGTACTGCACTTGCGCAGGGCTGTCTTTGAAAGGTGCAGGGCTGGCTGAATCTGCGTATGTACTGGATGCATCACCATTGAAGCCTTTGTCGTAGCTGTGCTGTCGCTTGACAACGCAGTGGTCGCCCACATCAGGTACTGCGCGCGAGGACGCACAGCTGATCAGGCTCTCATCTGAGGCCGAGCTGCCACAAGAAGACAGGACGCTGGACGTGTCATCATCGTCATCGTCCTCTGAGTCCGACAAGCTGAAGTCTGAGCTGGCTGTTGGCAGTCGTCTGATTTGCTTGAATGCCGGGAGAGAAGCGTACGACCGAGAGTCCGTCATGGCCTCCAGATGAGCTGCAGAAAGCAGGCTGGGAGACGAACGTTTTGGCATCTTTTGCTGTTCGATAGGACCGCTGGGGCTCGGTCCAGATGCTTCAGCCAAGCGAGACCTGTGTCAGTCGCACAGGTGAACTCAGACGGGTCAACGAGGCACAAAAACTGGGATCAAGATTTGCACATGTACTTCAGCCACAACGGCAGGCTGATACCTCGCAGCGCCGAGGGCTGCCCGACACTTGATACCCCGCACCCAACATTGAGTTTCACAAGGTTTCGTGCAAACGACGTGTCCAAATAAAAGATGCCGAGAACGTTGCCGCCTGATCAGATGAGACCTTTCCTAGCCAACATCTTCCGAAGCATTACAATCCTCGAATTCCGGCCCGGAAACACACGGGCCGGTGAGGATGACTCAATCGCTCTTGGTGCCAACGAGGAAATACATCTGTGACCCATGGACAACCCTCCCAACCTTTGATGATGTTCATGCCTAACATTTAGGCTGGTAAGACCCACTGTGCTCTCGACGAGGTCGCCCAGTATCTCCCTGAAACCCATTCCAGCTGACCAAGAAGGGACACCACAGGGTCAGGCCACCTAAAAAACAACCAGCGCTGCTGGCGCACATACGAGATAGCATGGTGTTGCAAGAGCTATGGCAGCACCGCACCTATCTGGTATTACAGCTGCGAAAACCCTGACACGCAATCCTCAAGTGTGTGCTGCTGCCTCGCCGCCCTGCCTTCCAAGCGCACTCGACACCGTCGTCGAGCCGCCGCCCGATGACAGCAAATGGGCGCAAAGCCCCATTCTTTGGGAGGGTGCCCACCTTGATCTGGCGAATGCATCGAGATCCAGCCAATCTGAGTCTCACGATGACTAACCCTCAGACCGACAGTGAGCTCTCAGTGGACGTGGCCTTTAATTTCACCTTGTTACAAGAGGCGCTACGGCCAGGAGCTCGACCGACATCGGCAACCCTCGTTTCACATGTGCTGCACACCCCCTGCAGATGAAGTTGGGACTGCATCTGCATGCAATGCCAGCTGCTGCAGCAGCTCCTGAGACCAAATCAGTCACATGCATGAGCATGCGGCATGCAGAGGCAGTACCCTGGCAGCCTGCTGAGCACGATTCACCCAATTAGGTGGAAATTTATTGTCGTCGATATAATTTGCTGCAACCCCTGACAGTCCGAAAGCCAATGCTCATCTGCAACATCACCTTGAGAGACTCTGAGTCGAGTCCTGCAGGTCGAGTCAGCTGACATATAACACCCGGCTCCGAGCCCTCACTCTCAAAACCCCCTGATGCCTCGGGCGCGTGGCCATTTGTGCCCCATGTGAGGGTACTTCCCCGGTTTGCCATGTTTCCCTGCTGGCTGCCGCCCCTTGTTCTTGGGCATCTCAGCAGCGGCAGCCTCTGAGGAGGAATCATCCCCTTCCCCTTCTGGTGCCGCCTTGATGCCCAGCGCAACGTCAAAGTCCTCCTGCATTCAGATTTGAATGTTCGGGTCAGCTGCTGGCATGCTGCATGCTGCAGCGGACATGCAGCAAGAAGTGACGCTGCCATGCATGCAAATCGCCAGGTGTGCGCTTATCAGATCAAGACAAAGGCTTGCCCCGTGTGGGCTGGTACATCCCACCAATGCAAGTCAGGCGCCGCTGTCGAAGGTCTATCACCCCCACCAAGGGGTGACATGCCTGGTTGCATAGCAGACATATGCAAAAACAGGCCTGGCCTGATCTCTGAAGAGCATCATAGAGGCCTTGGAAGTCCAGTCAGCCAGTCGGTCAACCATCAGCACAGCTATCAAAAAAGTTAAGCTACAGTGCAGCGGCCGGGGGCGCGCACCTCGGACATGCGCCCCTTCTTGACCTTTTTGAGCATGCGGTACTCGGCCGCAAAGTCCTCCTCGTCCTGCCGCGCTTCCAGCTGTCGCCGTTTCGCGGCCGGCAGCCGCCGCTCTCTCGTCTCCTCCGGCCTCGGCCGCGCCGGCCGCTCGGTAGCCGCCGACGCCGCATCCCGCTGCTGCTGCTGCGCCCTCTCTGCCAGCTTCTTCTGCCGCTGCTTTTCCCGGTGCTTGTCCTTGAACTGCGCACGCACACAATGCTTTCCATCATGCACTGTCCGGATCTGTTCCCCTTCACTTGCCTTCCTATTTAAAACTCAGTCCAGACAACTCAAGTCTAGAAGCTTCTAAAAGCAAGTGCAACCGCACAGAAGTGTGGCCGATACTTGTGACAAGTGGGATCAAGTCTGACTGCGGGAGGGGGAGAAAGAGCTTGGGGGTGGAGTCACCTTGACTGTGTTAGGGTCCACGGGCGAGGGTGTAAAGTAGGGCAGGTCGCCGAGGCCGCGGAGCTCAGGCATGCGCGGCAGCCGCAGCAGCGCAAACGCCGTCGCCAAATGCCCCAGGTCTAGCCCCTCCGACCGGAAGATGAACCGGCACTGCACGCACATCCCACTCTTCCAGCCTTACACTCACATTACACGGCCATGTGCGATATATCAAACTTGCTGAAAATTAAGGCCTCCTCAGGCATGCATGCACTCATGCAACTTTACACACTGGTGTTCTTGCTAAAGCTTGTATAGATCAGGTGATGAAGCAATACGGTAGTGAAAGACTTGTGAACGTCCAGATAGCCCTTCAGTCAAATCATAAATAAAGGCACCCCAACAAGTCTTCATTCCAGTTCTACCGGCTCTGGGCGACCTACTGACAATGCACGCTGTCAGGGACCCTTCCAGGTGTATTGAGCTTGCCTGACAGACTGCGTAGCAGGTGCATGCATGCATACGGCAGTCCTAACCCCCCTATCATCGTTGTGCATGGAACCAAAAGTGGATTGGAATTTGGCCACGTGCACCAGAATGAACAAAAGCCTAGATCTCCAAATTCATGCTCTGACATGCAGCCCAGCGCAGATGACGATGAAAACCAGTATTCTGAACCTCTGGCACACCTGGTCATTATTTGTATGCCTCAGCAGTAAAGGCCAGTAAATTCCCTTCAGGGCTGCATCTGGTATGACATCAGGGTATGACAAAAGGAAGCTGAGCGGATGTGCCCACCTGGTGTTCCCTGTAGCCGCGCACGTAGGAGACAAAAGCGGCCGTCCCTTTTTCCATGACGTCCCGGTCGGTCTCTGCCAGTCGCCGCACGCGCGACAGCACCTCGGGAACGCCCTCCGCCGGTTGCTCCTCCACCATCGGCACCTGATTTGGCGCCGTGAATCTTGCTGAGAACAACCCACCACAGTGCCCGCCAGTCTCAGTGATTAAAGACATCCTTCCTAACGCAACTGCTGTGCTGCAAATGCTGCTTCTGCCACTGCCTGTAGCAGCAATGCCTGTGTATCACCTCTCAAAATCTGCTGCATTAGGGATTTGGGGTGCCCCTGAAAGGCACAGCTGTTGCGCCCCAAGGCTCAGGCTGTCTTTCATTGACAGGACCGCCTGTTGTGCCACTGGCTGCAGCCAGGGAGCACAAGGCGACCGCCACAGTAGAGACTCCGCAGGGTCCCAGCTGCTTTGTTGCAGATTCCGCTAGGAGAGGAGGCCAAGCTTGCGATTGGGCTTATCACCTTGCGGATGCGCAGGAACTCGACGTAGGCGGCCTCGTGGGGCAGGAGCAGCGTGAGCGCGCGGCCGGAGCGGCCCATGCGCGCGGTGCGGCCGACGCGGTGCACAAAGACGTCCGGGTCTTGCGGCGGGTCCACCTGCACGATCCAGGCCACGTCCGGAATGTCCAGGCCCCGCGCCGCCACGTCCGTGCACAGCAGCACCCCTGTGCGCGTGCTAACTTCAGTTAGGGGTGCTGCAGCAACGATAAAGGGGCTGTACAATTGCAAGTAGGAACTGGGCACATTTCCCAGACAAATGTTGTTGCATGGGAAGGGGGCAAAGATCTTACCCAAAAAACTCCTTGTTTTTTATGCCAGGGAGTTTCTGAGCCTGCCGAATGCCTTGGAACGTGCTAAAAGTAGCAGGAGAAGCAACTTTGTATTGTGCCTTTTCCAGGATCTTTCAGTATGACTGATTAGTGGCCCACAGGGCCTACCAGAGGGGTTGGCGGCGAAGGAGGCGAGCTTGGCTTCGCGCTGAGACTGCTTCATCTTGCCATGCAGCGCTGTGAGGTTCAGCTTTGGCCCGACGGCCGCCGCAGCGGGCAATGCCAGCGAATAGAAGTCCACGCCGGCGCATGTCAGGAAGTACACAATTATCTTCTCCTCTGTGTGGGCCTGTTGTGCACACAATTGATGTGGGCTCTACATAAATTTGCCGCTGGTCAATCCTGATGGCACATGACATGACATTGTCGCCAGTATAGCAGCATCAGGGCGTAGAATGCTCTGGCTCATGAGCAACAGAGCACCAAATAAAGAGCTTGAAAGAAGCAGACTCTGCTCCTGCCTTGTGCTGCTTTTGACAGGCCCCATTGAATGAGCAACAATGGAAGTCAACCAACAGAAACAAAGGTAGCATGAATTGAAACCATCAGACACTGACCTGCAGGAAGTGCACCAGATGTGCGAGCTTCTCGTCGCTCTGGCAGACAAGGTAGGACGCATGCAGCCCGGATGGAGTCACCCTTTGCTCCGTCTTTTTCCCCTTCATCTCCCCTGCAGCCTCCTCCGCTGTGCGGCCGCTTGTGCTGGCCGCCGGCCCCACCGCCACATTCACCCTCACTTGATTTCTCAACCCTGCCCTCGCAAGTGCCTCCACTGCCTCTGTCTGTGTGGCCGAGAACAGCCCTGTGGGTGCATGCAAAGTCTCTTACAGTGCTGAGACTCCACTTGTAGTGAATGGAGAAGAACTTTGCTCCTCTCCATGATAGTAGAATTGCAGTGCTGACATGTGGATCCTATCAGTGCTGTGCTGCCTGCAAATACTGCATCTGCAGCACTACAGCAGCATTGGGGCGGCGCAAAAACAGAGGCAGGGAAACACCAAAATTTTGGGGGGGTCCATGGTCCGTTGTTGTGAAAGATGCATGTGCAGCCAGGGCTGGGCAACAGCACGCCATGATAATGATCAGACTGACATTTACACAGATCGGTATTTTGCGATGCTGTAGCTCATGCCGAGACGCGCACACACCAGTCGGAACAAGCCACACACCAAGCACAGCAAGTAGAACCGGGGAATCTTGCTGGGAGGAAAAAATTCCAGGAGGCAAGCATGCACACACCGGTGCGCCGCTGCTTCGGCAGGCGCCGCATGAGCGCCTCCAAGTGTTTACCGTAGCCGGCATCCAGCAGCCGATCCGCCTCATCCAATACAAGCACCTGCATATTGACTACTCCATCACTGCACTATTTCAATGTTGATTTGTTCTCCTTGCAGCACAAGGTGGGGAACATGTACCCGGCCGCTGCAAGGCCGTCCAGAACTCAGCGACAAAGCGATTTTGCCTGTGCTACATGCAGCATGCTGCAAGTGAACACAGGCCAGATTGCAGTTGGATCAGATCGGGTAGGCCCTGCAGCGTATTTGAGGCAATGCATAGCGGGCTGTGAACTTTTGCAAAGGCATCTGTTTGGCAGAGCCACCTCGGTATAAGCATGAGAACTCTCTTGCTGGTATATTCCTCTACAGAAATGCCTGCACGGGTGCCTGCAAGCTCCGCGCACTTACCCTTCCAGCACTCAAGTGCAAGGGACCATATTCGAAGCCACTTTTAGCATTCCAGTACAGCAAAGGTGGAAAAACATGCACCTCCAAGCGGCGCGCATCCAACACATCGCTTCGCTCAAACACATCGTGCAGCCGCCCAGGCGTTCCCACAAGCACATGCGCCCCATGCTCCTTGAACGCTGCCACGTCAGCAATTGGGTCTCTGCCAGAGCAGCAAACAGATATAGGTCACCGGTACATAAGGATGTTGGAAGTATGTCTCCCTATTGCGCAGGTGCTTGGATGCATCACAAGGGCAAGAGGCTGTGTTGCTCTCAGGCAGCTTGCATGAAGATGGTACATTCAAGTCAGACTGCAGGAGCCTTGTGCTCTGGTCAGTACTGACGTGCAGCTTTGCCGCATGCACCGAAGAAGACAGTCAATGGGCACTGCTATGGCACATGGTTGGAGCAGGCTGGGCAAAGACAAAGAAAACAGCCGGAAATAGAGTGGTTCTTGATGGGAGGAGGCACTCACGAGCCTCCCACAAGCAGCATGGTGGTCAGGCCTGGCACGCTGGCTGCAAAGGGCTCCAGCACGGTGTGTATCTGGCGCGCCAGCTCGCGCGTCGGCGACACCACAAGAGCGCCAATCTGAGAGCAGAAATTCACACGGAGCTTCTCAGACATCTGTCTTGTATTGAGCGAACGTGGGTGAAGAGCACCTGCTACATTCTGTGGCAGACCCGTTTGTTGGCTTCCAGCTTGTGATGATGTAGGGAGATTGGAGCATATGTGCATGCAATGATCAAAAGGGCTACACCAAAGCACACAAGCACTGTGCTAAAACAGGGGCATGCGGCACTGGGAACAGGCCATGGGCCGTTTATGTTGCATGAAACACTGCAAACAGTTCTGTCGGAGATGGAGTGAACGAGACGTCCAAAAGTCGTACCTGGTGCTTCTTGAGAGGATCCTCCAGGCGCCTGAGCTTCTCGATGAGGGGGATCAGGAATGCCAGGGTCTTGCCAGACCCCGTGCAGGCATCCACCGAGACATCCTTGTTGCCACAAAACAACGGGATGGTGGCTTCCTGGACTGGGGTCGCTCGCTCGAAGCCTAGAGAGTCCAAGACTGCCAGTGTATCTGGTGAGATCTGCGGAATCTCTGCGAACTTTCTCGTCTGATCCATGATTACAAATCTCTTATGATAAGGATCAAGCACTACTTTAAAGGTTTTAAAGTGGTCGTTTCGTTTGCCCGATGTTCTCTTTTCTCTGCAAAGTCTCTCGCCTGGCTTCTGGAGCCTGTTACGAAGTAGATTGAAGAATAGGCTATTGGTTGCATGAAATTAACATTCACTCGATACTCTGTGATGACACGCGATCTAACTTGATTCTCTCAGTCAATCGCACGAGATAAACAGTAGTCTCCCTAGTAAGATGTGTGCTTTCCGGGAAGGACTTATTATCACTGCACGTCGTCAGGAGCTGTTCTCCCCTTTAACGCCACTAGTCCAGGCATTTTATGACGAATCTTTCTTTGTTTAGAGATGGGTGAGCTTCTGGAAAAGCAAAAGCCTTTGAATTAGCCGCATGCAGAAGGGAAGCCTAATCGGGCTTGGGCAGGCAGTTTACGTTACAAGATAACGGTGCCCGCCTGTTCAATCGAGAGGCAGCCGGCTTGAGAGTTGCACGATAGATGACCGTTCCACATGCATCATTTATGGGAATTAATCAACTGCCCTTATTCAAAAATAGAGTGCACTCTCTTAAAGTAATTGGACCGCCTGCATTATCTGCCGGGAGAAGTGGACTGAAGTCTCCTCAATTGTTGCCATTCTTCTTTCGCTGCCCCATTGATTGGCAAGCGTTCGGTTTTTGGGAGCTATATTGCAGAAAATACCGCATTCCATTGCCAGAAAGACATTTCGACGGTCAAGCCGTGTCAGGGGCCCGTCAGCGGATTCTCACGATCTGCTATGTTGCTCCACCGTTGACGGGGCCCAATTGAGGTAAACTCCACATCAATTGCTATTATCTCAGATTGAATGAAGTGATTGATCGGTTTTCATATTCAGCGCGGCTTTGCTTGTGCGTCTGAGTTCTTCAAGTCTGGGTCGGCAAAAAGACGGGATGCCAACAAACGGCAAACCGAAGGGCCCATTTCATTTCTAGGACACAAAGACTTGTGTGAACAGTGGAAATCAGGCCAGATGTACATCAGGCATTCCGCTGCAGGACCTCCCGGATCCGCATATGCATGAGCTTGGTCAAGGTCAAAGCTGCTCTCTTTTTGAAACAATTGTCTCGGCACGGCAATTGGGGCACCGCTTTCATCGCTGAAATGTTTGCAGGGCGCTCCAATTCTCTTGCAGCGTCAGACTGAGATGATTTGACCAGCGGCAACCAAATCCTGCCTGCGATGTCTTCGTCTGGGAGCTCTGCGGACTTGTCGCTGCTACGCGGCTCTGAGGCCCTTCTGAAGTTTTCCAAGGTCGCGTTCCAACGAGGTATGTCCTGTTCTGCGTTTGACCGAGGCAATCTTAGAGGAAGCAGTTGCCGTGATAGGGGGACTGGCAGTGCAATGGGCATTCCTGCCAGTGCTGTCTGCCAAGCATCTCAAGAAGTACACCTGAAGTGGGTCAGGAAGATCCTTTAATCGTCTCCTGAGCTCCGAATTGCACTGCAGGTTGGTTCAGCGCCCAAGGAGGTAGCATTGTGGTGAAGAGCGGAGGGGAGGGCGGCTTTGTCACCAGCCCAGCCTTTGACACCTCCACCTATGACGACAGCCTTGCTGACAAGTTAATCTACCTCAACAGAAATGGTATGCTTGCCTCGCTCCCATGCATCTAATTGCCTTGCTTTGGGGATATTTGCTCTCAACCATGCCCTTTGTTTAAAAGAAATCGCAGGAAGCATCATGCACCTGCAGATTTCTAGATCTGTGGATGCTCAAAATCATGCATGCAGAATGTGAGCAGCCCTGTAGTGTCACTGCACCGGTACTACTTCTCTCAAATTCGCACTCAAGCTCCCAGTCATATTGAAATTTAAAGGTATGCAGGTGCGCCTTCGCAGCTGCACACGCCAGCTGGCGCCAGTGTGCAGTGGTCAGACATAGCCTCCCAGCGCAGCGAAGACAGTGTCCAGTCATCTGCAAACAGCTCGCTGCAGGGACACAGCAGACAGCCGTCCCGAGTCATGTTCCATGTCAATGAACTGGCCCATTGTGGGCCCCCCTCCGAGGCTGCATCTCCCATGCGAGCGCCTGAAACCCAGCCTTGGATTGAGGCTGCTGGTGATAAGTTTGATGGCCAAGGGACTGAGACTCCTGTGCTGCGAATTAACAGCTCATCCTCTCACGCTAAGAGTGGCAGCCTGGTGTCACCAGGTAGGAGCTTCTGCATCTCTGCCACAAATTCAGGATCTTTATATTATTTCGAGCATGACAAGGAACCCCACTTCTTACATTGTAATGTCCCAATGACAACACCGGTGACCCCGCATGCTTGGCAGTGTCACAACCACACAAGCTGAGCAGCTGTGAAGCTGTCCACCAAGCCTTGGCTGAGTGGCCGTACACCCTTATTTGCACACTGACAGTATGGGCCATCACCTGCTGGTGCAGGAGCTTCTGCTGAGAGCAAGCATGTGCAGAAGAGTGCGACCAGTGATGCCGGCTCTGACAATCGCACCGCTTGCTCAGCAGCTCCAATGGCCACTCCTCGCCTGGAGAGAAGCTCTGCAGAGGCCTTCAGAATTGCTGCCTACCCAGGTCTGCTCGTGTGCCCCCATTTTTGAACATTTGATATTGTGGACTTTCACACTTTGCAGTAATCTGACAATTGTTGGAGGACTTACGTGCATATTTCACATATGATGGCACCCGTGCGCAGGATACGAGCAGTGCAAATGGGTTGCACTCAGCAGTTGCAGATGTGCTTTCTTGCATTTTGAGATGCACATAGCAGGTAGAAGTGCATGTGAAACGAGCTTAAGAGTGCATGCATGCGTTGGTACAGGTCTGCCACGGCGTACCTCTTCAGCGCACTCTGGCTACCCAAAAGTGCTCTGCGGAATCACCCGCGCAGTCCCCGCCCTCACCAGATCTACTCCTGAGCCAAAAACGAAGACGGGTCCAATGCTTGACATCACGGCCAGCTCGTGCAGTACAGCAAGCACAGCCGTACACCCTCTTTCAGAGGCTGTCAGCCCCAGAGTGACTCTGCGCATTGCAGTGGACGAGGCAGGGGACAGTGTCAAACTCACTTGTTTGCACCCAAGCAAAGATGGGGAAAGCTTCCGCACTGCGCAGTGTGTAGCAGCCAAGAGTGACCATGACTCAGACGGTGAGGGTGCTGCTAGCGAGGTCGGCAGTCCATCGTCAACTTCCGGGCAGGTGCCCTGCAGCTGCGCGCGCTCGGGGGAAGCTTCCCCGCGGCCGGAAGCTGGCGCCACATCAGCATCGGGTGACACGGCCGCCAGCTCAGCGGCGGCGGAGCAAACCCACGAGCTGCTGCCGGTTCTGTTGATGCCCCTGAGGCTCAAGGGTGATTACTGCAATGTGGCGGTGCTCAATGCGTCGGAAGCCACCCTGGCGCTGATGCGCAAGATCGATGACAAAGCGGATGAGGTCGTCGTTGACGATAGCGAGGTCATCCGGATCCTCAACGGCCACATTGGCCGCCCGGTGAGCGCTGTCTTTCACCTACCAATCTGCACTTGCATGCATGCACGAACTCTATTAGCTTGTTTCCAAAGCACTCACACGCAACATCATACCCCGGTAAGAGAACAAGTGGATAGAAGACATGTTCCAGCCCTTGCGGGCTATGTGCAGGAGTACAGCACATTGTCATGACACCAAAGGAAACAAAGATCTGCTTCTACAATTCAGTCCTGGTCACAGCATCTCAGTCTGCAACTATGGGGGGAATAGCAGGTTTGGAATAATTTAATTGATACTCAGGATGACACGACGCGGTTGGAGACGGTGATCCCAATAGTGCGTATCGGCGAATTTGTCGGGTCGGCGGAGGCTCGGGCCGAGCATGTGAAGGCTGTCATGCTGACCTATCCCCGCACAAACGCCATCATCATGCCAGGTCAGACCTCTGTGCATATATTTTCTTCTTACAGCATATTTGTCAAATTGCTACAGACACCTTACCCGCCCTCAGATGCCCACAGAGGTTCTGTGGCAGAGCCATGAAGCAGCCATGCACAGCACTTCTAACAGACAGGGCATTCTAAACAAGAATAAGAACAGCTTTCTTACTATCAACGTATCAACTGGGGCTTGGTGTAAATATTGGCAAATGAAGGGTGTCTGGAAGATTATAGAGCTCAAGGCATGCCGTGCTCGGCTGCATCATGCGAGGAGCCTTGAGCCAAGAAGCTGCTAGCTGCCTGATCCGTGATGTGAGTTCGTATTCAAATTTAAAACCGCATGCGCAGGCGTGGGCATGCTGTGCTGGGGCCTGCTGGCGAACGTGCGCCCGCTGGTGGACCTGTACGAGTACCTGCTCAAGTCCTCCACCGACCTCGCGCGCCCGGCACCCCCGGCGCGCAAGTCGCGCATCCTCGGTGCGTTGCCTTTCAGTTTTAGTCATGAGATAGCAGTGTAGGACATGACAATAGCTGTATAGGCAAGCTGTACATCAGCCTGGTCACACGCGAGAGCCTGTCAAAGAGAGGAAGTGCACGCAGTTGAGTGAGTGATATACAGTAGGCATGCAAAAACTTTTTTTGTTATGCCTGATTATCTGATTACCTGCGTTGGAGCTCCTAAGAGCCTGAAAATCCTTCAAGAGCATGCAAAGCAACCCACCGAGATCTGCACTGAGAATGGGCGACCAGAATGCATAAGAGAAGGCCTGGTAGTCTGTGATGACTGTGTGCGCATGCTGACTCGCGAGTGACAACAGATTTGCCCAGATATCTGAAACTGAAAATTTAGACATTCTTGTCTATGCTGCAGGCATCTGCCGCGCGGACACTGCTCAGGAGATGGAGGCTGACTGCGCCAAGCTGAAGGGCAAAGCCTCCGAAGACGGCAGTGCCGCCTCCTGCTCCGACTACAGCTTTGGTGCGCGCACATCTCCCTGCAATCAAATGCAATCCTCTGAAAGCTCAGATGACCTCTTCCGATGGCCCCTGCATGGGGCTTTCTCTCACATGACATGCAAAGCAGGGACAGCCATCTGCTCAGATCCAAACGCAGCAACGTTTGCATGCTGCGCAAGCAAACCAATGCTTCTGGCAGACAAGGTGCAATCTGGGAAAGTACTAATGGACTAGTACTGACCTGCAACCTATGCGCGTCCCAAGTCTCTTCCTCCGAAATGCTCAAATGGCAGTTGCCCCACCCAAGAGAAGAATTGTAAAGAGCAGCAGTGAGAGTGGTTGCATGGCATGTGACGCAGACATAGAGGAGGGGTTGGGAGGGGATGCTCCGGAGACGGAGGCGGAGCGGCCGGTGCGGTGGAACCAGCCGGCAGTGGTCATCATCGCCTGCTGCATCATCCTCGGCGTGCTCGGCTCCGGCATCGGCTACGCCATCAGGTGACGCCTGCCGCCCTGCTCTGATAAATTTTGTCAGACAGCCTAAAGGGTGCCTGAACTAGTGCACATGGTTACCCGGGTCTTCAGTACTATAGGTGTGCGTGGCATGCAAGCAGGGATGTGTAAGGACGGGCGTTGCTCAAGCATAGGCAGATTGAAGAGATATGAAACAAAATTGAGAGGTTCAAGTTGAGACGCAATATGCAAGCGTGCAAGGAATTACGGTAGCAGAGAACAAGTGTAGGCAGGAATGTACTGCAGAAATCAAAGTGCCATGGCTGAGTCCACATGTGGGTTGCAGGGAAGCTGTGGAGGACGGTTCCTGGTGGAAAGTTGCAGCGCGCATAGCGGTGAGTGCACCTTACACTCTACAATGCTCCTACTTTTATATATAAATTTCATGAGAGTCTTAGCTATACTTGGCCACCGAATGCCTGGATGCGTGCTGTGCATGCATGCCAAGCCCTGGGCAGAGAAGCGTGCGTTGCGATCGCAGTTACAGATTAAAAAGGTTGCTGCATGCACGCCATGTCTGCATGCAAGCCATGGGCAACACGTTTTTGCCCTGCCAGTCCAGCTGAAAGATATTGATGTGCTGATGCAGTTCATGCCGCTGATTTCCGTGTTGGCGATGTTTGGAGTCATAGCCATCGTGTGCTGCATCATTGTCACCCTCGGGCCCATCGCGCACGTTGAGAGAAACTCCAAGACCTACTCGGCCGTCAAACCCCCCAGGTAACTCCCTCGCCCCTGTTATTCCCCTTTCCTTTCATTTTCTTCCCTTCCCTTCATCCCTTCATTCTCTCTGCCTGCTCTTCGTTTCTTGAACCTTGCCGCCACCGCGAAGTAGTTTGATGTTTGTTGAGATTTTCAAGAGTATGCATGGCATTTGAAGACTCAGTCCCTACACCCCTTTCTTTACTATTTTGATTCCACAAATTGCTGAGTCGTCAATCTTATCTCAGAATTTGAAATTTGATATTAAACGTTTGAAACTTTTAAAACGCAGGTGGAGGGGGCAGCTGCCGAGGGTGACGGTACAGATGCCGGTGTATTTGGAGGGATTTGATTTTGTGATCAAGCCGAGCATCTGCTCTTTGGAGGCGGCCATTGCCGCGTACCGGGCAGAGGGCGGCTCCGCATCCATCTTTGTCAATGACGATGGGCTGCAGCTGCTCAGCAATGAGGACAGGTACAATCCTCAACCTCCCAAGCACGCATGCATGCATGCATGTTCCTTGCGAAATGTTGCTGGACAGAACGAAGATCAATCTTGTCCTATCCTGTGCATTGATGCGCTTCTTCTTGTAATGTGACCGTCTCTGCAATGATAGGAACTGGGCAGGACCAAAAGTCACACCAATTCAAGGTTTCTTTTGGCTGTAGCTAAGCAACAGAGCTGGAGGTTTCCCGTTAATTTCATTGAGACAAGAATTGGCTTAGAGTTTTATAGTTTGCTGCTCAAATCTCGAGTTGAGAGGAGGAATGCTGGTGCAGGGAGGAGCGGAGAGAGTTTTACCGCGCGCATGACATCGGCTATGTGGCTCGGCCGCCGCACGGGCAGGCCAGGTTTATGCGGCGGGGGCGCTTCAAGAAGGCGTCCAACATGAACTACTGCCTGGAAGTCAGCCGCCAGGTGGAGGACCTCATGGCGGTGAGTCACCTCCCTTTGCTGCTGTTACATCATAACATTGTAATGCATTTTCAGATAAAAGTGCTGAAGTGTTGTCACCGGCCTCAGATTATGCGAATTAACGAAAAAAACATCATTGCATCATGCCAAGTCTGCTGCCTTTTTCGCACTGTAAAAAGCACCCTCCATTTCCGCTGCCACACATGGAGCTTGAACCTGCATGCCCTTCGCATGCAGTTCCTTTGAAGTACAGACAGATCAACCATGTGCTCTCATGTGGACACGTCTGGCTGAGCTGGCTGTCTCCATGGAAGCAATACCTATATCCGCCCTTGAAGCTCTGTTTTGGCTGCGCATGCATGCAGGAGAGCGGCGTTGACCAGTACGAGGCGCTGCAGGCAGTGCGGCTGGAGACGCAGGTGGCCACGCCGGATCAGGCGTTCCTGGCCGGGGGAGATGTGCGAATAGGCGACTTCATTTTGTTAGTCGACTCCGACACGCGGGTGCCGCAGCACTGCATGCTGCCAGTGGTCACCGAGCTCCTGATGTCACCCAATGTGGCTTTCACGCAGCACTTCACCACCCCCCTGCAGGTGCTCACATGCTCCCTTTTGCGTGTGGTAGTTCACAGCCAAAGCAGGGGTTTTGCAGGGATGTTTCAGGGCATGGGGATAACCCTTGGCAAAGTTCTAAAGGACTACCCCTTGGCAAAGATCTAAATCGGCGAAGTTGGCAAAGTTGATTTGTTTTGGAGGGCAAAGGTGACAAAGTATTTAAGCATGCATGCTGTGCATGCTGGAGACACAAGGGTCAGGCCTGCAATTTTGGAAATATATCTGCAGTGGGTTGGGGAGGCGTACAAAGCAACAGCTGCTATTAGAATTGTACCCATTTGGGATCCCTGCATTTACGGAGAACACCAACTGTCTGTCATATTGGAGAAAACTCCCATCCACACCATCAAGTCCCGATATATCTGAAGGCCGCTTAGCATCAGCTATCCCCAATTGAAAAGGAAAGCGCTGGTTCGAATCCAGCAGTGGCCATTACCTTTTTTTCGCCCTTTTTCCTTCTTTTTGTTTGCACACCACGATATTAACCACCGCATGCAACTTCCGACAGGTGGCGCACGACTACTTCGAGAATGCGATGGCCTTCTTCACGAACACAATCTACAATGCGATCATGGTTTCCGTCTCGGGGGGCGATATATCTCCCTTAGTCGGCCACAACGCCTTTCTGCGCTGGAGCGCCATCAAGGAGTGCGCATTTGTCGACCCGGACGATGGCAAAACTAAATTCTGGTCCGACGTGCATGTATCGGAGGACTTTGACATCGCCATGCGCTTCCAGGTGCATGCCCACTCTGTTCCATAGCGCTCCCAAACATTCCGTACCTTTCTTGAGTATTTTGAAGACTTGAGAGACTTCTGCACTGCATGCGGTGCGAAATTCCATCTGGAGTCTCGCATGAATGTGCATGCAGCTGCTAAGCTACAAATATGATTGTCCTCAACGGCCGACTTCTTGATGAAGTGCAATGCTGTGTGGGCACGAGATCACATCAAGAAGGAAAAGTGATCAAGACAAGATGGTCAGATGGTGACATTCCTTGCACATATATGCGCGCAGGTAAAGGGGTTCATAGGGCGTTACATAACATACACCGGCCCCGACTTCAAGGAGGGGCTGAGCCTGACAGTGCACGATGAGATCACGCGCTGGCGCAAATATGCTTTCGGCTGCTCCGAGCTGGTCTTCAACCCACTCAAGCAATGGATCTACAGGTGCTCCAAACCTTCTTCCTTTGTTCTTCCCCAAATCTCACTGATCAGACCAGTGCTGAGGCCTTGCATGCATCCATAGTTGCACCATTCGGTCAGAACACTTTTTGAGGACCGTATATACGGCCGAATATACGGTCATACGGTATTAAAATATACGGAATACGGTCAAAACCGGCCTATTTTGGCCCAAAACACCGAATATACAACCAAATATTCACCGTATGCCGAATGGCCGAATCCGTATGGTGCAACTTCTGCGTGAATCTGTTACACATGCGCAATCTTCAGTCCAAGAAGCAATCTCAGCTTCTCTGGCCGGGTAACTCCAAATGTATGCCCCTTATCTGTTGATTGCATTGTTGAAGCCTTCTACCTCTGTCAAAGTCAAAAGCTCACAACATGTCTGTCAAAATACCAGGGGCCCGCTGTCGCCGCTGTTCCGGCGATACCTGGCCAATAAGTGCACGCCGGTGACTAATAAGGTCACCATCGTGGCTTACATCTGCATCTACATCGCCCTCGCCATCTCCTGGCCAGTCGCCTGCCTCACGTGAGTTATCCACATAATAGGTGTTCTTCATGTTATTTCATTACTACATGCTTTTCCTGCCAAGAGGCAAGGTGCTTCCTGCAGACAAGCTGCAATTAAACGTTGCCACAATCCTACCCCTTGTTGGACTCGCCAGATCCAAGCAAGACCCAATCAACCGTGGGCACGGTGCTCAGTATTTGTAAAAATCCCCGCCAGCCGGGGCCATAATAGGTGTAGTCATTTGTAATTAGTGATCCTTGATTAGCAATGAGACATTTGATATTACCCCAAGCATACTTTCCCAGCTAGAAAAGTGTGAAAAATAAGGAGTATGAATTTCCAAGCTGAGTGAAGTGCTCTGTGCAAAGCGCTGCTAAGGCCCGCCTATTGGAAGTGATCTGTCAATTTACAAAGGTACGCCTTGGGTACCACGTGTGTATAACAGGTTTTAGGGTGTAGGAAAAGGGCCAATATGAAAGAAGGGATTTGAACGCTGGGGTTCATGCAGGTACTTTCTGAACAGCAAGTGCGAGTGGTATGCAACAGCGTTTGAGGGCACCTTTGAGATCAGCATGACATGCCTGGTCGTCTTCTCCATCATGGTGGGGTCCTCTCTCGCTATTGCAAGCTGCACATGCAGGTGCTCTGCTTTAGTCCTAGAAGCACAGCGTTTGCCAACAATAGATGCTCTAGTTTCCAAGATATTTGATGTACCTCGCGGTAAGAATAGCTGGTCATCATGGCTGCAGAACATCTGCTGTTATGTCATTGGACTGGCCCTCAATACTCAGTTAAGACGAGGGACTGCTGTGCTCCAGACTCCCATTGGGAACACCTTCCTGCTGTACCGCCTGGGAGTCACCACCGTTCTGAGGGGCGCTTGGCTCAACATAAAGTGCGCCTGCCTCCCTCATCCCATACCAGGCTCTGTTGAACCACATTCACGGATATGTAAGCACTTGCTGCTAGGAATCGAATAGCAGGTTAAAAAAAGCAAAATGTTGTCACAAGTCCTGCAGATATAAACAGCAGGTTCTAAATAGCAAAACATGTTCCAAGTGCTGCAGACAGTCTCCCATGTGGCAGGTAACTCGCAGTAATTCTGTGGTTTCGATGCTGCAGGTATGTGATCGTGTTCTTCTTCTTCTTCAACGGGCTGAGCTTTCATCTCTCAGCTGCATTTGCATCGCACCTGCTAGGATTCCGCATGTCTTGGGGCAGCACCAGCAAAGAAGTCATTGACACCAACTTCTTCAAAGAGGTGCGCGCCTGTCAGTTTTCTCATGCCATCCCATGGTGTGCATCTATTAGGATTGGAAGCAGCTTCAAGTCAAGGTTTATACAGCCAATGTCAAGTCGGACGTGCACACTCAAGCAAATACCTATGTCCACCCATCACGATTGATATTGGTCAAGTAGTGCTCCTCCACAGACAACCTCCGCTCTGTCCGGTCGAGTCAAGACATGTATCGGTTGTTGTCTAAAGTGCTGGGTTTGTCTAGGATCTGGCGAGTCCATTACCGGGTGGAATGTGTGGCAGCCTTAACCTGCAGCTTCTCTGTAGATGCACCCTGCCTCTCTGGCGGGACCAACATCTTCTTTCAGTACTGTACAGCGTCTCAGGGTTCAAAATTTATAGTCAAAATCTGTAACCCCTAATACATTTACTATAACATAATGCAACGTTTCGCTTGTGCATGCAGCTGAGGGCCACTTTCAAGAACTACCGGTCGATGTACATAGTGTTCACGGCTCTGGCGCTGATGATGGTGGTGATGACCGGGGTGATCCCCCACACTTTACCGCCAGCCTGGCGCATCAATGACGCCATCCTGATGTGCCCCCTCGCCTTCCTTATCGGTGGCCACCTGCTCGCCCCCTTGGTAGGGGACCCTCCCACCCTTCATGTTTTTGACAGGCTAACTCAAGATTACCTAAATACTTACTAAAATTTCTTTGTACCTCTGGATTTGGACAATGGGGTGCTATGCCCAACGTAGGGGTCTAGATACAGGACCCCCTCATTTGGAGACCTCAGAGTCACAGCGCCTACGGCAAGCTACTATTTCTATCAGCCCTTGCAGTTGCTCATGCCTTGCAATGCACTGACAGTCTTGTTGTTCTACTGCGCAGGTGCTGAATCCATCTATCATGCGTGTCAAGTTCTGACACGAAGGGACTCTACTGCTAGTGAAAGGAACTGCTGCAGGTTGACTTTACTCATCACCTTTGCTGTCCTACAAAGCTTCGATGCTGCCAAACACTTCATGGTGGCCAGCAGACCTTACAGCATCAGGCCATTTTTCAGTTAGTACGGTAGGCATGATGAAAGGGTGACTCATGATAGCAGACCGCAGCTGCAGGGTCCAGTAGAACTAGCGCAGAACAGATCGAGCCGCACCTTAGCTAATAGGAGGGACATCAGTCATAGCAGCTTATTTGCACTTCACTGCCTTCTAGCTCGTCCAGGAATCCTTGCCGGATGTTGCTCCAATACGAGCTATTGCATCCAGCTACAAAGGACCTGCACATCATGTTTGCTCTTGGATCAGTCAATTGCAGCTCACATAGTGGATTTCCTAGGCTGATGGATATCATCAGCCATGATTACGAAGATAGCTTTGAGAAATCATTTGATCGGCCGGGCACTCAAAATTGCTTTCTGGAGCCGCAAAGTTTCCCTTGGCTAGGAGCTCTAGGCACAAGTGCTCTAGGATTGACTAGGTGCTATGAACTGCATCTGCCCCGGAGGATCACCTCACTCGATCCGCTTGCGAGGGCCCTTACAAAAGATTAGTAGAATGTCTTGTGCTCAAAGGGACTGCGCGAACATGGGAAATGAACAGAATGAAAATGAGACAAACTAGGATATTCTGTCAGGGACTGCACGTTTTACAGAACTTTGCAGTATGCAAACTCCTCGATCTACAACAACTGTAGATTGCATAATGAATGCTGACATCATCGATTGGATTGGTCGTGAAGCCGCAGTCTTGTCCATGTGCCACTTGGGATCAAACGAGGACATTTCTGGGAGCTCTGCGTGTTACCTTGAACTGGACGGCTCCGATAGGGAGTTTCAGGATACAATGTGAGTTGATCAAAGCCTTGCAAATGCATGCATGCAGCAGTGGCAGCCTGCAGCTGCAGCTGCAGCACTGAGCCGCAGCTTGCTCTCAAGAGCATGTTATGTGCGTGATGCTCCTTGCAAATGCTGCCAGCGCAGGCATGGAGTACTTCACTGTCAGCCAGCACACTGCAGATGGGGAAAAACTGGTCCCTTTTGTGGGAGGTCTCAGAGAGCAGGCAGCCCGCACGGTGGCAGCCAAACACAGTTTTATCGTCACAGAGAATTTTACAACCGGAGTCTTTAACAGCAGGTCCTTGCTACAGAGCTCCAGAGAAGGTCAACGGGTGCAGCTTCCGGCTTCCAGGCAGCTGCCGTAATCGAGACAATGTTTCGATACGACAGAACGCGTCTCTTTCATGCGGTCCTGAAAGGTCTCGTCTTGACGAACTGTTGCCATGTTACGAAAATAATGGGCCGTCGCAGGTCCCTGATCCAATCTCTGCTCCTTCTTTCACACTTTATCGATGGCATTTATTCAGCATCGGCTCGAGCCCAGCCATACATTGTGGCGAGCGGTAGAACATTTCCGGGCCCAAAATCATCAGATGGGATGCTTAGGCTGCCTCAAGTGATTAGCTGGTCCGCAACGAAGCTGTCGACGAACTTCTATGGCAGCCATGTCAGTCTGAACTTGACAACAGCCTCGCATGAGGAAGCCTCGCTCAGCCTGCAATTCATGGGTATCTATATGCCTCTGGAGTTGAACTTGATCGGCCCCGTCAACTTGACGCACACATGCTTGGTGGGAGTGCCAGCTCTTCCGTGCATCGTCCAAGGCATGCCCGTGGGCAACTACAGCCTAGCTATCAGAAAGGCACGAAGCCCCTTCTTTCGCTCTCAAGCTCAAAAATCACTGTATAGAAGAGATGCAGCACCTGGGAGGCCCACAACCGCTAAGAAAATGAAAAATTCTGTTACTGCAGGTCAGCGAACCCCGCTCTGGTGAAGCAGTTCTGCACTCAATTGACATCGGCAAAGGCAGGTAAGGCCCACGCATCACTGAGCTGCAATTTTGCCTGAAAGAATTTCCGTTGCAGACCCAACTGTGCATGCAAGGCAGATTGTTGCGCCGACACAAATGTAACTCCCTTACTGTGGGAAACTAACGTGTATATATAGTCAAGTGTTACAGAGACCAAAGAAAGAGTGTGTGCCACAATCAAACACATCACTAGTGCAGCTAGTGCAGCAGAAATATAATAGCTGACTAAGTGTTAGCGCAACAATTTAACTAATTGTTTGATTTGAACTGGAATGATTACGATTTTTGAATTTAATTTGCGGCGCGGGCAGGTTCCTTCCCGTGGAGCTACCAGCAGAGCTTGCTACCGGGCGCAGGATCTTGTTCATAGGCGACTCCTTTACAACCGGGCTTGGGAATTTGGGCCATTCGACATGTGACCCGTCTGCCGCAGTCAGCTCGCTTGAGAACTCTTTCTTCACCTATGCAAGCCTGGCTGCCTCGCAGCTGAAGGCTGACTTCCAGGTGAGCACCAAGGGCTTGATATAATACCGCCTTGCGGGCATGATGAAGCTCTACTCATCCCATGGAAAACAGCTTGTAACATATGCTTGTTGCTATAGGTGAGCAATCCTTGCAATATACCAAACATGGGGTCTTCAAGGCAGATTTTATCCAGACATGCCTGAGAGGTCCCTGCTGCCACCTATGTGGCATGGCACTTCTGCTCAGACATGGCAGGGGTTTCTGGCTCACACATGCCTTGAGGGGCAAGCTTCTCTATAGGGATTCGATACTCTCCTGACAGGAGGATTTGAGCCAATTACCGAGGGGTCTTAACCCTTTGCTTCACACCCTTTCCCCCCTGGTGATCAGGGGATCGTTAAAGGTGGAGTCAGTCGATTAAGAGTCACTAGACCGTTCCTCTGGGTAGGGCGGTCAAGCCCTGATGCCTTCAACATAATGTTGCGCAGGGGACCCTAACTAGTTGTTCTAGTAAATAAGTTAGTTTAGAGTCCCCTGTGTTGCGTGCTAGCAGGCCAGAGAGCTACCCTTTTTATCTGTATGGCATGTCTAGAGGATGTATCACCGTCACCATCTTTACATAACCTACTTTGTAGTCACCGCTGCTGTTACTGTACAGCGTATTGCACATGCGATCAGGCAGTCTGCTGAGGCAATAAATTATTTTCTTGACTGTGCAGCTGATTGCCTGGTCGGCAGCGGGAGTGCAGTTGCAGACAATCCTCAATGCGTCGGGCACTCTGATCGCTTATCCAAGCATCCAGGGCGATAGAGACACTCCAAGGCTTGTTGGACCCCCAGCAGCACCCTCCCTGGTGTTTCCCACTGACCCTCAGCTCTTCCAGAGGGCAGTCGCAGGAGATCCTGCTTCCACCTACAACCTCTCCTCATGGATACCACAGGTTGGGCTTCTGAGATAAATCATGACCTTCGATTGCCTGATTGCTACCCTTATTTTGGTAGAGCCCATGCGTTTCCTTGCTATTATTATTATTATTTTGATTGTTATTACACGCTTTTCCTGCCAAAAGGCAAGGTGCGTTCTTGCTTGCTATTGCCTGTCAGGTTAATCGAGTCCAAGGTCTTTCCTTTTGCAAGCATGCAGAGCAAGAGCCTGAGGGAATCTCTAGAGCCTCACATGTTTGCCATGAGGGCACAGAAATTTCAGGGGCCAATGTTTTGAAGTGATGGCAATGCAGGTGGTGGTCTTTGCCGGGGGCGTCAATGACTTTGCCACGGGCGCTCCTGACGAGGTTTCTTGGGTTGACGGCTATGCAACCTTCATCCAAAATGTGAGGATTTCTTCTTATCGGGTTTAAAAATGCATTCTCTGCACCTTATTTGTGACATGCTGCGCATCATGGTCCAGTCTAACTCCAAGCTCTGGAAGCTTTGTCTAGCCCATTCCCTTACCATACATACACACACTAGCCCTTACTTTCTAAGAGCATCGGGGCAAGCTCGCGCCAGCCATGCCACATCAGCACTGTTATGCCAGCTCAGCACATGACTAATCATCGTGCAGGTGAGCGCGACATACATTAATCCAGACATTGTGCTGGTGGCGCTGCCCTATGTGGCTGCCCTGAGCGGGCAGCCGGGCAGCCTGACAGCCGGGCAGGGGCCAGCGGGGGAATCTTCCGGTGCATATCAGTCCTACATGGCGCGACTTTTCACCAAATTGCAAATGCGAAAAGCGCCGCGTGTGCATTTTCTGGCCCTCAGCACTGACGGGCTGGACCCCTCAGACTGGTGCGGCCTTGCATGGCAGTCTTCAAAGCTAGTATATTTGAATATTTATTTCTTCCTGCCAGGCTGATATGACATCTTCTGACTTGTCATGACCTGGTCATCCCTGCCCCTGTCATCGTGGCTGCGGACATCAGCATTGCAGCGCTAAGGGCTGCAACGCTGATGTCCGCAGGAGCTGCAATGCTGATGTGGCGGCATTTTGTCCTCAATGTATGCTGCTTACCTGAACGCTGGAAGGTTTCTTGCAGCGTTTCAAGCCCAGATGTGCAGGCATCAACGCGCAGTTATGTGACGTTGCACATACAACGAATTGCAAGGTGCAGTCGCGCAATGCTGCTGGAAAGACAAGGAATTCAAGTCCAATTCCTGGGTGTGCATGCAGGTGTGAGTTCCACCCAAATCTGGTGGCCCATGAGGTGATGGGTGCGCAGCTGATCGAATTTCTGAGGGCAGTGCTGCCGAAATTTGTGACGGGCACCTTTCCAACGATAACAAATATATCTTCTGCCTGAGAATCTAGCGACACCAATATATCAGCACGCCAAAATACTGGGGCTCAGGAAAAGCATGCAGGCAGGCTGCATGCAACTCAGAAGGCTGCTGCCTTTCAAAGAAATAGTATAGAACTCCTATATAGTTACAGTTGTATAAGTATATTATAGTGCAATCTCTTTCTCATCTGCACTGGGTGCAGGTGACATTCTTTTGGCTATTAGCTTGCCTGGTCATTTATGTACAGTGTGTTTGAAACCTGCCTGACACAACATGACAATGCTGGCGGGATAAATCTTTCCTTCAGATTGGGCCATTGGTCACATACCCAAGACATTATTAGAGATTGCTGCACATTTGCGGCCGGAGTGCTCAATTTCTTGTTTCCTTGAACCTTGTCCGTCTGTAGTCCAGTGTCTGCATAGTTGTCTTGGAATTTTGTTTGTGCCTTGTGTGTCTTTGCACCCGGTGGTGCCAGTGTGCCCTGGAATAGCCTCTCTGGAGAATTATTATATGTGGTTGTTTGACCTGCTCGAGTTTGCTTGGATTCTTTTTGCCCTGCCAATTTAGGAAAAGGCACGTTACATGTAACCTGTGATATTGGGGCACACCCCCCGCGCTCGCACCTAGTCCGCCTTGCAATGAACTTTCAAAGCGCGAATTGTATCAAGATGGATGTAAACACAAGAAGAGAGGCTGCTCTGCAGTTTCGAGAGAGCGCTGCAGCAATTGGCTGGTTTGACGCTGAGGATGGCGTCCTCCTGCTGCGAACGGCAGTGGTCAATGAGGTCCTGGTGTCAAGTCTCTGCAGCGAGGAAGGCACTTCGACGACTGAAATTCTGTACAGTATGGATCTTCAGGGTGAGTTTTTCGGCCTCTCTTGAATCGAAGTCTCGTATAGTCAAGCTCCGGCAGCAGGGCAGTTGCCCATCTCATACTGTAATGCATTTAGAAATCGGGGTTCAATTCCCCTCCACACCTTAATTACTGCTCAATATTAGTTTAAGTGAATCTGACAGCTGCTTAAGAGCCCAAGGATCCACGTTGTCTGTGTGACGCCGGTTTAACCTGCTCAACGATCTGGCGATGCGCTTTAAACAGCCTGGACCAATTTGCCTGGAACATCTTCAAGGGCGTTTTATGCAGTCTGTTTCTCCACGTAAGCTGCAGGCACGAATTTGATATGCGGCTGATTCGCGCGGATCGAATTCGCAAGCGTTGACTGGGCACACTGGTCCGCAACAAATTGACAGACTTGCTTGTTTTCTGGTGCGAGCAGGGAGGTTCAAGCACACAATCGACAACGGAGATCCATCGTCATCGACAGGAAAGACCACTTCTCCGGACCCCAGTCTTCGAGTCTCCAAGTGGACCCAAGCTTTCTTTCCTGTGAGGCATACCTCTTGCACAGATTCACAAACAGTCGTCTGATCCCAAAAATATCTACTGCTGCTACCATTCCGACAGAGTGCCCCTCCGACTGCCTCTTAGCATGTCCCAAACATGCACAAGATTTCACCTGAAAGAGTGGCCCCAGCTGGCGGGGGCGGTGTAAGTACTGAGCACCAAGCCCACTATTGAATGGGTCTTGCTTGGATCTGGCAAGATCAACAAGGGTTAGAACATATGGTGGGCTTTACCTGCAGCTTGTCTGCAGACGCACCTTGCCTCTGTAGGATAATCATGTAGTTAGTTAGGTAAAAGAGTTGCAGTGACATGGGCATCCTTTGCTTTGCAGCCTTTCATTCTGGGCGGTGATGGAGTGCAAGCAGCTGCGCTGAATGCCTCCAAGCAGCTGAGCAGGGCTATCACAGAAGGCCTCTCCTCGTGCAACCCACACCATGCACACCGACCGCAGGGCCTGGAGGAAACACACCTCAGCGTTGTGCTGGCAGACCTCGGCCCAGACTTTTGCACCCGGCAGTACCAGTTCCTGGTGATTACTCATTCCTCATGAGCCCCTTGCTTGCCGGAACACTTCCAAAAATACATGCTGAACCCTTGCTGTCTCACGGCGTGGGGGTTTGTCTGTTTCATGTCTAAGGCCAGTGAATCAGCCATGCATAGCTGAGTCTTCACAGTTGCGAAGGCCTCATCGGCACATGTGCAGACGTGCATGCAAAACTTGCTTGCCTACATTTTTTTCAAGAGCTGGGTTCAATTCTTGCTCGTACTCCTCAGCAGTAAAAAACCAAGCTCAACTGACTTTAAAACTCCTCACTACCATGATGTATTGCTCCTTGGCCCGCAAAAGTTGGGTTTGGCAATCAAGGAATAAAAACTGTTATTAATAGTATTACACGCTTTATCTGTCAAGAGGCAAGGTCTGTCCAGCAGACAAGCTGCAGCAATCATTATAATAAATATCAATGATATTTGCAGGACCCTAGGATTGATGATGAGTCGCTGGAATGCAACATGCTGCTCGTCCGCGCATGGCGCGACTCGGCCGACCTCGGGGCGCAGATACGCTCGGCGCTGCTGGCGCGGCCGTCCGCCAACGTAGTCATCCTCGAGTCAGCGGGCGTGCTTGTTTTGGCGCCCAGCCTGCCCAGCCTGAACAGGCGCATGGCCGCCGTGGAACGCCTCCTCCTGGTTGCCACCGGCGCCGCGCCGCCAAAAGAGGCGACGCATAGCAGATCCAAAAGTGAAGCTACTGGTGTGCAGCCTTCCAAGCTTTGTTTTGAGACACTCCATTGCAGTGTCTGCTGCGCAACTTGCATGAATTGTTACTGTCAAAGAGGACAGGAAACGCTGTGCATACCGACTTCAAGACCTGAAATTTTGGGTCTCTTAGAAAGCCTTTGAGAGCCTTTGGGAGAGTCTTTGAGAGAGTGGCGCTCATTCAGCACAGTGAGCTGACAAAACTTAGGCTGCAGCATTCTTCACCACATGCAATAGATTTACTGAGTGGATGATGTGTTGCGCACGGGCTTTCATGGTTGGAATGGCAAAGATTCCAGGTGGCGTGCGATGTTATGGCCTGAGAGATAGGCTAACCCTGTGCGCGCTGCGGTGCAGAGCTGCAGACGCTGGTGCAACGGGACGACACGGCCGCGGACCTGCAGCCGTCTGCCGCTGCAAAGGATGGAAAAGATGGGGCGCTCAAGGGCAATGCCGAGAAGGACATTGAGGCCGGCAGCTGCACATCAGAGGAGCCAGCAGCAAGGTAAATGGGCCGAAAAGTTGTCACGTAGGATACTAGGACAGCGCACCTGCAGCTGCGAAATGTTGTTGTGCATGATGGGGGCATTGCATCTCTTGATATGAGGCCCACCTTTGACCTGCGGTGTCAGGCCATTTGAGGAAAGTGCATGCATACCCAGGACCCTCCTTGTGATACCCTTGATGTAGAAACACTCTTAGAGCTCAAGCAATGTCATTTGGTACATCCTGGCTTGCATGTAATCCCGAAAGGTCCCTTTGATAATAACAGTGTGTTTTTTGCAGATTCCATAGTTCACCACGTGCTCTTGGCAGCTAATCACTCATTTGTTGTCATTTGTTGACCTGCGAGTCCCATTGTGCACCTGTAATTTAGGGGCCGGCCGCGGGAGGCGATGCTGGTGGTGGTGGCCTCGTTGGGCCTGGCCATGTTCATCATGACATGGGCCCTCGTCAAGGCATTCATCAGCGGAGTCAAAGGAGACACCAGCTCGTGGTGCGCGCCCCACTATCCTCGGCCTAGTTATAATTTCGATCCTTTTTCTGGTGCAACAGGATTGTCTCTTCGCCTGACGTGTCATGAAAGCATTACAGCCTTGACCCGATTGAGCCCAGAGGAGCCTCACGAACGGCTACAGGATACAGATCTGCGGCCCGCCGGATTGCTGCATCGATGCGGCCAAGCCGTTGCTTTTCGTTCGTATGTCAGCGAATTAATTTGAATCCAGGCATGTTAAATTGCAAGTTGTGCGGATCAAACATCCTCACATGTAAATGTGACCGTCTAAATGAGGTGGAGGGTACGAATCCTGAAACCCACGTCCTTTTTGCTTTTTTTTATATATTTTATCCCGACTAGCTTCCGCAGTGTTCCTTCTGTCACGACATATCATGGGCCTGATTTGTAACTATTTTCCCTCTGTGTCGACCGCACATTTCATGAGGTGCACTGTTGCATTCAGCCAAACAAAACTGGTCCCATTTTCTGCAAGCCAAGGGAGCGTCTGTTTCTGCTGCAGATTGCTGCTGTAGAGAGACCTCAGGCTGCCAGCCCCAACTCTCAACTAGAGCGGTCTGCATGTAGGCTCTTGCTCAAAGAAATCCTACCCTCTGAATGTGCTATTGGATTGAGCTCCCCAGCTCGTGTTCTTGCAGCTCTATTTGCGTTTGGGCAAATCAAGCCCCATTTCAAGCTCCAAATCAAGAATATGGGGCACAACAATGATGGCCCCAAAGTCTCAGGTGCTCCTCTAGATTGGGCGGACTAATTTTCACTAAAATCTTCTGCGCAGGATTGTGTTCTCGGTGCTGGTCTGCACGACGCCGCTGTTCCTGGTGGTGATGCTGTTCCCCTGCTTAGTCATCGTGCGCTCCACGCTGTGCCTGCTGGGCTCCGTCCGCCGCGCCGAGTCCAACTCAGCCACGTATTCTGGCCTGCCCGGCCGGCCGCGGCCGGGGCCGCTGCCGCGCGTCACCGTGCAGATGCCCGTCTTCATGGAGGACCTTGACTTTGTCATCAGGCCCTCCGTCATGTGCGCTGCCTACTTTCACTCATATTAAGTGTAACCTAGTCTTCTGATTTTTGACACTGATAGGGAAAGTGGCCATCCAAAGGGTGGTTGTACCTCTTCTCAGGGGCTTTATGCACTCGTCAATGGGCAAGGTGGCAAATGGCGCAATCATTCTGAGCCTTGCGCTTGTAGAGGATATTGCACACTACTAATGAGCCCTGGAATCAGTAACACAATGTGCCAGCTCAATGCCGAGGCAGATATTTTGAGGGAGGTTGGATATCAAGAAGTACTGTGAGTGCAGGTCGATAGAGGCGGCGGTTGAGGCGTACAGGGAGGCCGGCGGCACCGCATCCATCTTCGTGAATGATGACGGGCTGCAGCTGCTTGGCGACGAAGCTCGCATGCGCCGCATCCAGTGCGTTGACCATCCTTTCACTGCATCTCTAGGGACCCACGTGACATTTAAACCAAGGCATTTTTGAAGGAGCTGCTTTGACTGCTTGTCCAGACATGCATGTAGCCATTTGGGCGTGCATCAGCTTGGATGCAAGCGCTGTCTTGGATAGCTATGGATATGGCGAAAAGATGATCAGCTGGGACTTTTTGCAATTGCGGAGCAAAACCGTGCAGGCCAAGAAAGCATGCATCGCAGAGAACATAGTCTATGCTGGTGCAGGTTCTACCGGCAGCACAACATCGGCTACGTGGCACGGCCGCCGCACACCAGCCGACCGGCCGGCTTTAAGCGGCGCGGCCGCTTCAAGAAGGCCTCCAACATGAACTTCTGCCTCTCAGTTGCCAAGCGTGTGGCTGCGGTAGTTTACTCACCAATATATTTGCTGACAGCTGAGCCCTGCCTGCTAGGTTGTCATTTGCGCATGCACAGCAAGATTTAGGCGCCAATGAAATGAAATTGTAGAGGCCATCTGAGCACACAGCAAATCCAACAAGTTGACCTGTCTAAGCAGCATTCCATCTTCCTCACTTCTGGGAATGGATCAGCAGTCAGTCTTGGGACGAGCGCATATCTTGCCGAGATATTTCTAATGGGGATGTCAAAGAATAATTGGGAAAGAAAAAAATCCAAGAGCAAAAAGGAGGTGGGTTTAGGATTCGCACCCTCCACCTCCTTTAGGTACGGTCACATCTACAATTGAGGATGTTTGATCCGCACAACTTGCAAATTTTAACATGCCTGGATTCAAATTGATGTGCTGATATACGAACGAAAAGCAGCGGCGTGGCCACGTGATTGGCAGCAGGACGGTCGGCACTAAATCTATTGCATGAAAAAACTTGAATTAATTTAAGCCAATCGGCTATCAAAAACTGCATGCGCAGGTGATCAAGGAGCATGGCCTGGATCCGTTTGATGCGCTGGAGGCAACGCGGCAGGAGACGGCGGCGGCCACGCCGGAGGAGGCGTTTCTGGCCGGGGGAGATGTGCGAATAGGCGACTTCATCCTTCTTGTGGACTCCGACACGCGCATTCCACGAGATTGTATCCTGCCGACCGTGTCGGAGCTGCTAGAGTCGCCCGAGGTCGCCTTTACGCAGCACCTCATCACCCCCATGCAGGTCAGCTGTTACAAATTTTGACTTCCTTTTTTTGCATTTGCATTTAACTTGTGCTGGAACTCTTGCCAGTGACACTCACAAATGACACATGCATGCAGCCTGCAAGTTCTGAAGTCAAGAGAATAAATGGGTTGCAGAGAGGTGAGGTGATAGATTTACTTTTCATGCAGGTGTCGCATGACTACTTTGAGAACGCCATGGCATTCTTCACTACCGCCATTTACATTGCCATCAAGGTGAGAGCTGGCAGTAGATGACTCAAACTTCCAGAACATTCCTATGTATGGTACGTGCCCTCTGTCATGCAAACTATGCCATGCCCTGTCCTTTGCATGCGAGGCGGCTGCCGGACCACGCATGCACATGCGTCCCGACTGGCAATTGTTTATTCAGGCAGTGAATTCATGCAGCAACCTAATTTGGCGATTCGGTCCCCCCGCAGCATCTTCAAAAGAAGCAAGCGCCTGAACATGCATGTGTGGGGTTTCCATGCAGCATGTGGTGGCGGCGGGTGACGTGGCGCCGTTAGTCGGCCACAACGCGTTCCTGCGCTGGAGTGCGATTGAGGAGTGCGCATTTGCGGATGCGGCGGATGGCAAGGTGAAGTTTTGGAGCGAGGCACATGTGAGCGAGGACTTTGACATGAGCGTGCGGCTGCAGATTCGCGGCTACATCGGCCGCTACATCTCCTACACAGGAGCAGGTAAAATTCTCCACGGTGAAATTCCAATCCAAATTCAATTTTGAACTACGGTGGACAGCTGGGATTTCAAGCAGCATGTGCTGCACGTCAGACATGCGCCTGTAGAAAGCCCACAGACACCTGAGAACCGCAGGGAAAAGACTTGCTGGAAAGTGCATGCATATAAGAACCATCAAAATCTGCATGTAGACACACGCCAATGGACTCTCCAATGCCCAGATCACACTGGAGTTTACAGTATTGCCCAGGTTTTGAGAATGTCTGGCAAAAAGAGTTAATAATAACATGACACTTGCAAATTCACTAGTGTACAGAAGTATTTGCATGCGTGCATGCATGCATAGCGCAATGCGTCGTGCAGGATTCCAGGAGGGACTGTCATTGACAATCCACGACGAGATAACGCGCTACTGCAAGTACGCGTACGGCTGCAGCGAGATGCTGTTCAACCCGGTGCGGCAGTGGCTGCGGCAGGGGATATTCTCACGCCTGTTCATCTCCTACATCACCCTGCGCAACATCCCCTGGTACACCAAGGTGCGCTGTCACCATGAGTCAGCTTGAATCACTGTTCCTTTCACTGTGTTCCGTATGTTCATGTCTCGCCACTTTTGCTTATTCTTAGGCTGCATTATTTGCGAGCCAAGCATGCTGCAGTATTGCTTCCAGTTTTCATGGGCATCTCAAAGAGGGCCTCAAAGAGCGGGAGACACCATGCGTTGAGAATATTGCCCCCCAAACATATGGCTGCTGGCAATGCAAAGACATGCTGGCGACCATATGATCAGTATTTTAGTAATACTGTCAAACTTGGTGGCGCAGGTGTCGACTATGGCATATGTGGGCACATATTTTGCTCTGGCCATGAGCTTCCCCTTCACACTTCTCAATTGCTTCCTGGCCAAGTACTCAGAAGGTTTTCCCTAGCCTTGTACCCCAGCCCTCCATTGCATATCTTTCAACAATGACCCGCTTGAAGCCCTCCATTGCCCTGCATGCTATCAGGATCAAGGATTTGCTCCCTTGGAAATCAACCTTTTAAGGATCTGCTTGATTTTGAGTCTGCTGTGTGCCCATGCGCAGCTTTTGTGAAGGCATTCCAGACGAACATAGGTGGGTCATGCAGCCTCTTCTGTCAACGTCAGCTCACTATTCAATCCTTGTCAGAGAATCTCAAAGTCCATTTCACTCGGAAAGTATGAGAAGAACGCCAGGCTGAAAGACTTTCGCTGACTGTAAGGTGTGGGTGGCATGCAGAGATCACATATGCAGTGGTGTTCATCTTTGGGATATTGGGACCGCTGGCCACATCCGTCCTGTGGTACCGCACTCAGGTGAGGCGCTGAATTGGTTCTCAATTAAGCAGCTGTACACCATTTTGCATGGCAAATTCAACTCCTGGAAGCGTGGGTCAAATGGTAATGCTGAGGGCCTTGCAAATATGTTGAATGCTGGTGTGCCCTTGCAGTACATGTCACTCAGGAAGGCGCTGCTGATGAATTTTGGCTATACAATCACCTTTGCCCTCTTCTTCAACTGCCTCAGGTACTGTTTCTTGTCTGAACTGCATGTACTCTATTCTAAATTTGATGCCCCGGCTGGCGGGGGCCCTCGGCTGGCGGGGGGCAGTGCAAATACTGAGCACCGTGCCCCGGTTGATTGGGTCTTGCTTCAATCTGGCGAGTCCAACAAGGGGTAGGATTGTGGCAGCCTTTAACTGCAGCTTGCCTGCAGGACGGACCTTGCCTTTTGGCAGGAAAAGCGTGTAATAATAACAAGTAAAAGAAATTGATGCTATCCAGTTGAAACTTGAAGGATGGCAACCTGTGACATCAGCTGTGTCCTGTGCACAGCTGGCATCTGAGTTGGGCCATAGCCGCGCACTTGTTGCGTCTCAGCACCGCAAGCTGGGGAGCCACAAGCAAGGTGAACTTCACATCTCCATTCTGCTCTTCTAGAAGAAGGAAACTTCTAGAAGTTTCCCCTGAAGCTGTCCAATGCAGACTCATGCATGTGAAAGCTGGCCATTTTTCCTAAAGACTTATGAAATGTCCGCGTGTGTCCATTTGTGCAGGAGATCAAGCAGACAAACTTTTTCAGGGAGCTGCGCTTCGTGCTGTACACCTATCGTTGGGTGTATGCTGTCTTCGGCGTTGTCATTCCCCTTGCATTTGTGGTCATGTCGGGGGTGTTCCCCTTTGTGCCACTGCCGCATGCAATTATTATGAGGAATGCCTACCTGCTTGTGCCTGTCGGCATTCTGTGCTTTGGCCACACCATGGGTCCTATTCTGCTGAGCCCGCCACTTATGCTAGTGAAGTTCTGAAGGTCCTGAAGTTTCGTGCGGAAGGTGGTACTATAATTTTATTTTTTTAGACAGCCAATAAGCCCGGTGGATTCATTGATTCCACGTGTACAGCTCGCATGTCCTCACATTAACGTGTTAGTCGTTTCAGGACTCCCCACAAGCCAGACTGCCGTACCACCTCTTTGAATGCTCAAACTGCTAGAAAGCAAGTTTGCAGCCAACTCCATCTCGCCAGATTTCAAAACAGACCTTTTGAGTCACCCCTGGTCTAACAGCTCTACAGGTGGTGACTGCACCCAGCAACTCAGCATCCTCCTAAAGTTGCGCTCTTAACAAGAAACCCCACTTCCTTCAGCTGTCAGGCAGCTGGCATACTCCAGCAGCCAAAAAATGCAGGCCAGTAGTTCAGACCATCCTGATGCCCAGGCTCATAGATCAGACCAATCCTGAGAGGTCCCCATGCAGTCTGCACCCTCCAATTGTAAGGTACTGGCGATGGTGCTGATCATTCTGCGCTGCCCCTCAGCACATCATGTCTTCGACACACCCCACATTCAATTTACCTGCTCACAAGAAGCTCGTCGCTGCTCACAAGACAAGCTTGTCGCTGCTCACAAGACAAACTTGCCGCTCACAAGACAAGCGAGTTGCTGCTCACAAGACAAGCAGATGACAACACAAGACACCTTGGAGAGCTCAGAGCACGAGCTCTCCGAGGTACAGCTGCTTGTCGCTGGAGGCAGATGCCACGATGGGCTCGAGTGGGTGGAAGGTGGCCTCGTTGACCGAACCGTTGTGGCCCGGTAGCTTGTAGAGCAGGCGCCGCGTTGCCACGTCCCAGATGCACACCATGCGGTCCGCGCTGCCGCACGTCACCTGCGCGCACATGCCGGCATGAGCACGCATGCTGCTGTGGGGAGTCATGCTCACCCTGTCACTGCTGGTGCAGTTGCCTTCACAAAGGGACTTCGATTATACTGCCAGTGGCGCTTTAAGCCATGCTAAGGCTGCGAAACAAAAGTGACCCCTACAAGCGCTATGGGTGGGTGATACTTGACGGCCTTGTGTAGGGAGCAGGCACTGGACGATGCCCCTTTCAGCAACGCAACAGCTCCTTTACTGCAAAAAGCACGCCGGCAAACTTGTGCTTGCGCATCCTGCTGCAGAGCCCTTGCCTGCTGCAGAGACATGCGGTGCTGGAATGCTCTCTTAGCAGATGGAGGGGAAAGCACACCTTGGTGCCGTCGGGAGACCAGTCGCATTTGAGCGGGTTCTTCTCAAAGCTGTGCGAGTGGCCCGTGAACACCTTCACGCAGCGGTTGGCCGGCGCGTACGGCCGCATGTCCCAAGCGCGCAGCGTGTTGTCCTGTGCCATCCACCCCAAATACACCCCATCAGCACACGTCTAATCATCCTCATCCTACACAGCTCGCCTCAGAAAATCTTGAACACCTGTCGCATGCAGCAGACTGCCAGGGGCAAGGTGTTTATTGTGCACAGCAACCACGCACAATTACCCATTATTCACATGACTGTGGCTGCCTTCATGGCTGCAATAGACATGCAACTGTGGATGCACATGGCCTCCTCAGGATGACAGCCAGGAGCACGCCCTGTCGCATTTTCACAACAGCCTGCATAGATTGCAGCTGCAGCGTAGCACACTGACCATTATAATGCACATCCATATGTCCTTTGCATGTCTAGCCTAGCCTTAACGATTTGGGTTAGAAAGCAGCCAGTCAGGATCAAGAGGAGGATCGCACCATGGCGTTTGAGAGCAGGTGGGTGCCGTCTGGCGAGACGCGCAGTCCAGTGACGGTGTCGCTGTGGCCCTTGAGCGACATGGACACCTCCACCTTGCGCAGGTCCCACACCTGCGCATGCATGCACACCACCTGATCAGGCACCCTGACTGACACCATGTGTCCAGTCACCAGCAAATCCTTACATGTCCGAGGAATTTCCCGTCTGCAGCCAAGCCACATCGCCAAGGCACATCTTCATCCACAGCGTGCTGAAAGTGCTGCTGTCTGCTGTTGAGCTCCCGGTCATGGGTTCTCAGTGGGTAGCTAGCACCGCCCTGTCTGGCAATGCCAGGATGCCAGCTGCAAGGTTACAACAACACAACGGACCTCTTTGGAGGCAGGAAGTTCTCTGTGTGCCCTCACTTGTTCAAGATGCAAGGCAACATATGACTTGTGTGTCCTCACCCAAAACCAAATATTCCTCCATTGTTTACAGGGCCTGTTGAGGAGTGTTCATGCAAACTGAAGCAAAGAGAGCAGGTGAGCATGCCTTGATGGAGTTGTCGATGCCGCCGGTGTAGACCTGGTCTCCCTCCTCTCCAAAGGCCACCGCCAGCACCTGGTACTGCTCGCTCAACGTGTGCACCGAGCGCTTCGATCGCAGGTCCCACAGCTGCGCACAGGGAATACCTCACATCAACGCCAATGCACAATGGCTCTTGATTAACAAAACACTGCTCAGATTGAATCAGAGGGTGCACTTTCTTGCCTGCAGTCATCTGACCACCACTTCAGAAGAAAGGGATGGAAGAGTATGATTAATGTGCCTCTGCATTTTGGGAACCGGAGCTTTGTCAAGAGCCCTGATGCTTGTGCATCCTTTGATTGACAGTCGTCCCCCCCATCATACTGTCTGAGCTAGCTCTGCGATGTCATGTGGCTGTGCTCTCTGGGGGTCCTGACGCGTGACATTGGACGCCAATTGCCAGGAGCCCCTTTGATTTGCACAGGCAGACGGATTATGTATACTAGTGCTTCACGAGAATCACGAAGCGGCAGCCCAGGAAAAAGACTGCCGCGCCCACCTTGGCTGTTCCGTCGTCCGATCCGCTGACGAGCAGGGGCGGGCCGCGCTTGAGCGGGCAGCAGCTGTTGACGAAGCTGTCGTGCTCAGACATCTTCTTGACCTGCTCCCCCGTCACGGCGTCCCACGCGCGCACGCTCTTGTCGGGGCTGGCCGACACTATCCGCTCGCCGTCCGAGGTCCAGTGCAGCTCCAGCACAGCATTCTTGTGGCCTGCAGCCATGCATGACATTTGACGCAACGGGCATGCATGCTGCTGAGGGCCAAGTTCTAGGTGCATCAGAATAGTTCCCAAATGAGTGATGCGCTAGTACTGTTCTTTTTGGCAAGGCTTGACGCTCCAAAATATCTTGTCCATGCTGCCGTCATGCAGTACTGCGCTAGGCTTCGAATGACCTCATCATTCACAGAAGCATATGCACTTCGGATCCTGCGGATTGCAATTGAGGCCATTGCCAACAACTTGCCATTATGAGCAGCAAAATCTAGATGTGAGCTGCTGCTGATTCTGTGCGGGACTGGGATGTCGTAGGTCATGAGAGAGCTCACCCTGGAGCATCATGTAGTTCTCGCATTCTCCATAGGTCCGCCACAAGAAGATGTGTTTGTCGTGGGATCCGGAGGCCACCACGTCACCGGCCGGGTTGAATTTGCATGTGAACACCTCGCCCGCATGCCCTGTCAGCAGCATGATAGGCGCCAGCAGCCCTGAAGTCCTCTGTGGACCCTGTGCAGTTGATTTACGCATCACCTTGAGTGACAGTCCCACCTCTGCCGAATAGATTATCCTGCTGGATGCATTACCATCCACAAGGTACACATTTGAATCCAGGAGAAAAAGCCTGCACAATCTAAAGATGAAGGAGAACAGAAGTGCTGTAGATCAGAGTTGCACATTTGCAAACGGACCTCCTTCGGCTGCTTAGCGCTGACCACCAGGCTTCCATCTTCTGTACGCTGTTTCTTAACAATTGCACCAGCATCTCCATTCGTTTCTGGTGAGTGGGCGCGTTTGAAGTCTGACATCGCTTTGCACTCCCTGCTGGATGATCAGTGGGCTAGTGCACACAATCAGCTCCAGGCGCTCAGGCTACTAGTCGCATGTCTTTATGGCGGATTACTCTGCCGAGAAATGCACTCATCAACGTGAAGTAAGGGATTCGTGACCCCCTTGGTAGTCCACAGAGATGCACTTGCACAACTCCAAAAGTGCTGTTACAGTGCTAGCAGCACAGCTTTGCTAGATCCCTGAGAAGAAACTATTTTATTTTATCTGCAGTTAACTCTTCACAATAATCGTGGTGTAGGAGAAAAAATTAGCTCTCCAGGCTTGTTACGCAGCCTTTTCAAGCAGGGACGCAGCAGAGCAAACGCAAAAGTGGAGTTGAACTCTTCGTTCCACCACTTAAATAGCTGTTTAAATCACAGCAAATGTGGAACTCAAACACTTTGGAAGGTTGCGCCGTTCAGCGCAGCACCATCATGCAATTCTGACTGATGGTGACATAAGGCAACCTGTAGTCACCAAGGCGTCCGACCGATCACCGATTACAGGCCTTTGGTCCAGGGCTGTACCCGGTACAAGGCTCCTCGCGGTGATCTTTGAGACGTTGTGCTTCTGTTTCAAGACCTGCAGGTGATACCACGATCGTTTTTCCAGGGCTGCGGAAGAGAGCATGCACTTGCTCGGCACTGTGCTGAAGGGCCTTTAACTCTGAGGTCTCGCTGCTTGATAATTGGCAGATCGCAATTTTTGGGAGCACAAATCCCCTTGCGATGCACATGTGACCGGCGCATCACACCTACATGAGACTAGGGTCTGCCTACGTCTAGTACGCCTGATGGGAATGGGCAGCATTTGGGCGCTCCTGCTCTGCTGCTGTGCGCTTGCACAGGCGCGACAGGCCACAGTAAAACTCTATCGCAACAGCGGGACGCTCGATCGCAACGAAGGCAGGCGACAGACGAACCAGCTGGTGTGACACATCTCCCTGACATCCTGGGCCCAAAGGCCCAAGGTGTAAGCAACTTGAAGTGTAGCCAACCTCAAGTTGCTTACACCTCATTCTGGATTTTCAAAATGTCGTGAGGTCATATATCCTGAGTCGTTTGGGCTTCCTGCGCGCAGCTCTATGGGCAGATCCAGCTGGGCACACCCGGGCAGGATTTCACGGTCTGCTTTGACACTGGCAGCGCAGATCTGTGGCTGCCCTCTGTCAGCTGCACCACGCCTTCCTGCCTTTCCCACAGCCGCTTCAATGGCCAGACCTCCACCACCTTCAGGGTACAGCGTTATACCTTCAGCTCCCAACTTCCTGCAGCCATCTGAGAAATCTGCAACGCAGTGCAGCTCAACTGCTCCTACTTGATGCCTTGGTCTTATGCCTAGACCGCTGCAGGCTCTTTGCTGACCTCAACACTGCGCACTGTAGTTGTGCGGAGCATGCAGGGAAGGATAAGAGAATCGGCACATGTTATGACATCAATGGAGCGTGCGTGGCAGCTTGTCAGTGTCGGTGCTGTGGCATATAAACTCAACATCCAACAGGGTGACTCACAGTGAAATTGTGCAGAAAGGTGCGTGGGGGCTCAAGGGTGTATGGTTATAATGCAGGGGAGCGGGGACAGGTTTAGCATAGATTACAGCCAGGGAATGGTGGCGGGGCAGGTTGCCATCGATTCGCTCACCCTGGGGGTCCCCAACATGACCATCGCAGACCAAGCCTTCGGCCTCACCACCAACTCGACCGCAGATTTCCACAGCAACACCTGCGACGGGGTCTTTGTGCGTTCTCCCCCTTGCATCTGAATTTAAAACATTTGAAAGCACAAGTCTAGCAGAGCATGCCTGTCCATTGTGTGTTGTGCCGGGTTGGCCGCTGTACTGTGTGCATAGGGATTGCATTGGAGAGAAAAGGCCTCCTAATGGCAACTCTTTCCTTTCTTGCCACAGCCGCACTTGATGACACAGGCGGGGCCTGTGCTGCACCAATTGATATGCATTATGAAGGAGTTCCTGATTTTCTCAACGAGAGGGTGAACGGAAGCGGCAGGGAATTGGTCTCAGAGCTGAGAAGGTAATTGTCGTGACTGTGATGCAGGGGTTGGCGTTTCCCGGTCTGGGCCGCCTCAAGAGTGGCGCACGCATCAGGGTGCCGGCTTTCTACAACCTCATCAAACTGGTGAGTGCTCTTCACAGCAGCATTTCTAGCCTCCAAATGGATTCTGTAGGTCCCATGGAGACCGAGATATGGCAAGAGCCATATCTCAGAATGGACAACCTCCAAATGGATACAGGCGGAATATGTTTTCATTTTCAACAAATTTATTTCAACACACATTCAATCATTTCAATCATTTTCCGCCTGTAGTAGCTATCTTGCTCCCCTCAAAAAGCTTGCCCCAAAATACACATCCTGCCTGGAAAGACTGTAGTGGGGTGTTAAGTGAAGAGAGGTGCTGATGTGGCCGCATGCATGCGCAGGGATTCTTGGACCAGCCGCTCTTCTCAATCTGGCTGGCGTCAGACGAGACCAAGGACTTCACGGGGGAGCTGAATTTTGGCGGCATCCAGTCGCGCTACTTCAGCGGACCCCTCAACCAGATCCCTGTCAACAGCAGGGTGAGTCACCCTCTTTTGCCTGAAATCGACCATACATCTATGCACCCTTCTTGTCTTTTTAGGTTCACACAATCCTTTACCACAAAAACTTTCTTGCTGCAAAGAAAGACCAAGCCTCTTTATTTAAAGAGTAATTGAGCTGCACGGAAGCAGTTTGAGGTATGCTGAAGCTCTGTGCACCAGTAAGGAGCCAGGAAGAGACCTTCTGACTACCACATTCAAACAAAGACATTTTATGCACCTCCATGGGCCGCTAGCTTTCCTTGTCGCAGGAGCAGCAAGTGAAAGTGCAGGATTGGTGAAGGCTTCAGCGAAGTGCTATTGTGCCTGCGCAGAAGTACTGGTCTGTGGGACTGAAGGGCCTGAGCGTGGGCAACAATGCGCTGAGCATTAATGCCACGAGCGCAGTATTTGACAGCGGCACGCACTTCATCATTGCCAGCGATGCAGACGCCAGGATCATCAACGGGGTGAGCGCCTTATCACCTTTCTTCCAGAGCCAGAGAGCCATGAAGTGCAGTGTGAGGCCTTGCGCCATCCCTCTTGAGGCGCTTGCGAGTTCAAGGCATTACAGGAGCTCAAGCCGAGATTGGCGCAAGCACACAGGTGGCGTTGTTTGTAGCACAAGGCTTTTACAGCAGAATTGTGGCGGCATTCATTGGTGTGATGCCGTCATGGCAGGTCTCTTAAGGTCTCTGAAGGTCTCTATCCAGAGTCTCAATGTATCTCTGTGCAATGATATCTATTCATGTATCACCGTTTAATCGAAGCTGAAAATGGTTGTCATTGTGCTGCCTGATCAGGCAGTTCAGGGGCTGCAGTATGCGCAAGACTCCAACAGCTGGAAAGTGGCCGGCGGCTGCAGCAATCTGGATGGCCTGCCCACCATCAACTTGAGGATGGGCGAATTCCTCGTGCCCCTGGCTCCCCGGCAGTACATAACCCAGGTGCGCACTTTCTTGCCTGCAACCTGGAGGTATCAGGAATCACCAGTCAGATGATAGAATTTTGCTACTCTCTTTATATCTCATGCCATTGTGGACCTGCTTGCTAGGGAGACATGCAACTGGAAACTCCCTGACAGTTGAAGGAAGGCTTATGCAATTTGACCGCACAAATATTTGCTGTAAATCTGCCATACTTTTTTGGCTTTTATCCTGCATGCAAGCACGGCACAGCTTAATGACGTACAAGATTTGAAGCATAGAAATGGAAAGCTGAGGCGGTTGTGGTACTGTGGTCAGGCGGTGGGGACTGTCAACATTGGCTGCACATCTGTCATTGTGGGCGGCGGCCCTGCCGGGAAAATAGTGCTGGGCGATGTTTTCATGCGCTCCTACTACACGTGTGGCCCATCATAAGTCCTGCACATCTGCATACTGCTCTGCTGTGTTATCATAGCTGCTGCTGATTTACCTGAGAGGCTGGTGCAGAGAATAGAAGACACTTTGTGCCTGTTCTGCACGCATTTCACTTGTATGTGTTAGCAGCTTTCATTAGTTGTAGAGAAGCATGAGGAGCATTGTCAGCTGAGAAAAGTGGGCCTTGTGCGCAGTGTGTACACTCACAATCAGGATGCAGACCAGGCATTCGTGTCTCTGGCGCCGTCAAGTGGCGATGCAACCGGCAACGGACTGCCGCAGAGGTGGGCGTCTGTCGTCCACATCATGCCTACACTCCTTTTGTCCTCGCCACTTGGGCGTTTGGTGCAGGGTAACACTCTGAGAGATGCGCTCTGATCCGCTGAGGAGAGCCGACATGATGGTGCTGGTTGAAACCCTTGTTGCGCAGGTCCATTCCCATTGGATCCTTGGAGAAGACTCCGGGAGCGGCGACGAACATTACAACGCTAATTGCTCCGGCAACCGCGGGGGGCGCCGTCCCGGCCACGGGTAGCCAATCCGCGCCGGCCGTCCCGGCCGGCAGCCTCGGCGCGCGACCGGCGGCCGGCGGCGCGGGGGCCGCTGCCCCGGCCGCCACCGCCGGGGGAACCCCTGCCGTTGTCGGGGGGACTCCTGCCACTGCTGGGGGGACCCCTCCTGCGGCGACAAACCTCAACTCGCTGCCGCAGGGGGCCGGCAGTGGCGCGCCGCCGCCTGCGCCGGCTGACGCGGCCCCAGCCGCAGCCGCCGGCGACTTGAGCGCGCTGCCGACCGCATCCAACACATCGGCCCCTGCCCAGAATTCCACAATCAATGCCCTTGCGGAGGCGGCCACTGCTGGCACAAACGCCACAATCCCGGCGGGAGCCTACCTTGTCACCAAGACACCTACGGGGACTATCCTGACCCCGATCTACACGAATGACACCGCAACGGCCGCAAACACGACGGCGCTGGCCGAGGGATTGTCGTCGGCCCCCAGAGCAGCTGTGCCGCAGCAGCCGCCGCAGTCTCCCGGCCAGGTGGCAGCTTCCTCGGTGGCTTCGGGCACTGCCGTGCCGGCCGCACAGCAGGCTCCTGTGCAGCAAACACCCGGCACGGGTGCGCCCGCTGCCATCAGTGGGACGGGCAATGCACAGAACGACTACCGTCCAGCAGGTGTGCCTCACATTGCCTCATCAGATGATGCATTGCAGGCAAGCCCTGTCCACATGTCCGGTCGAGCTGTGTAGCTTTTTTCACTCTAACTTACACTGCATGCGCTTCAACACTGCCAGAAGCCCTTCCCATTGGGGAGAGATTATTGAAACATCTGACATGCGTGTGTTCCAGGCGTGACAGCAGCTCCAGGCCTCATGGCCACTTCACCTCAGCCGTCAGCCATGGCCGCAGGCACACAGCAGCAGCAGCCATCAATGACAACTGCGCAGCCACAATCGCAAACAGCCCAGTCCAGCGGCCTCACGGCTGTGCCCGCACCGCCCTCCCCCACACTCTACTATGCGGTGCAGACGGCCAACGGCACCCAGTATCGGCCGGTCACGCAGCCGGCTACCACCACAGTGCCGGCAGCAACCGCTCAGCAGAGTGGCCCAGCCGGTCCGGCGGCTGTCAGACCCGTCATCACCTCCCCGCTCGTCATCGGGAGCTCTACAGCGCCCGCGCCCCAATCCGCTGCCGCGGCCGCCTCCGGCCCCGCGACCGCGTCGAGCCTGCCGGCCGGTGCTGCGGCGCCAGCGCAGGCGGCGGCGGCTGATGCGCCGTCGGAGGCCGCCGCAGCGGCAGCGGCGGGCCCGGCAGCCGAGGGCCCGGCCGGCGCCCTGACACGCGCCATGGCCGATGCTTTAGCGCCGGCTGTGGCGCTGGCGCAGGCGGATGCGGTGGCGGCCGGGGTGGCCGCTCCGGCGGCGGCCGATGCGGCGGAGGGCGCGGAGCAGCCGGCGGCCGCGCCGACTGTCGAGACCCCAGTGGCTGCGCCGGCCCTGTCCATCCTGCAGAGAGATGTCCTGCCGTGATTTATGCTGGCTGTTGCTTGCCCAAACATGATTTGTCTTGCCAGAAAGGCAGGCTATGTTTTACTGGCACTGTTGGCAACAACGCGAGTGCCTGCATGTGGCGGCAAGATGTACAGGCAACAGCTGCTTACTGTTTTCTGCCCAAAAGCTGCAAATTTTTTTTCTTGCCCTTGATGAACAAGTCATGCAAGGTTCCGATTCATTTTATTTGCAGGATCTGCTGTGTTGTGGTGCAATTTATTGAATTCATTTCAAATGAATTAAAGTCCACTGGGCGCACCAATGTCTTTTCTCTAACAAGCAGCTAAGAATCTAATCTTCTCAAAAAAGGGAGCACTCTTAAAGCCAAGTAAGTATCTGTATCAATTTGTATGATATCAACAAATGAAGAATAGCACCATAGATGCACTTGCTGAGACATTTTAGGTTGCTAAGCAAGGTGAAATGATTTGAACAAGCAATGTAATCATATTTGCAAGAGATTTCCCTTTGATGTACTGTGTGCATGCGTCATGATTGGCCACAATCACAAGGCATGCCTTCCATGCGCACAGAAGCAGAGGTCGGCAGCCTGTGCCAGCGCTGTGAGCCTCGCAGCTGCCGGTAGAAGGCGCTACAATCCCTGCACTCGCGCCAAGCCTGCCGGAAGTGGCTCCCTGGTGAAAAGCAACATCGGTGCACCATGTGGCGGCTGACGGCCACCGTTGCTATGCCGCTGCAGAGCCTATGGACAATCTAGGAGCAGCCTTGTCAACGCCGGCTGATCCAACAGGATTACATATAAGTAGACACAGAGGGCGCCCGGCTGCAGGAGTGACGCCGGCTGACACAATTACAAATCTCTCAAAACAGCAGACAATCTTTGAGACAATCTGCGAGTCAATGCATGCCTGCAGGTGCATCTCTCACTACTGGGCACACTGAGAGAAGGAAGTATAGATGTTTCCTTAATGCCAGCGTCCTGCAACAAGGCCTGTGCGCAATCTTGAAGAAAGACTCTAGCCTCAGCTGATCAAAGTCGCTAGACTACAAGATTTATTCCATTTTTATGTACACATCCACAGGAGTAGTGCTGTACCAACCAACTGCAGCCTACACCTCATATTATAAGACACTTGCGACACATGCAGAGTCTGAGTGCCTTTGCAAAGTAGCAGACTGTTTGAAACCCTGCAGCTTGTTTAAGCCTGCCCGCTGTACTCCCGAAGTGATCTCCTGTACTGATATCTACTTTCCTGGAGACAACCGCAGGGCAATAAGAACTATTTCCGAGCACTTGCAGTTGCAACCAAGCTATCAGGTTGACTGTACTTGTCTGCAAGTAGTTTCGCCCCACCAGCTTGCAAAAGTCAAGCCTGGCTATAGTCCCAAATAACTCTCCATAGTTTGCAGTCCCCAGACTTGTGATTCTTTCCCCAATTTTTATTGGGGAAATCCCTCGGTAAGAAACCTTGCCAGATACTTGCACTGTCCTACTAAATAGGTATGGTCATAGCAATGCTACCGCTTCGACATGTGCTGCCACCCTGGGCAGACCTCTTGACTTTAAAACACACCCCCCCTGCCTCTGCTCCACCTCTATAAGGAAAGACCCCACATGTCCTTGCCCCTTGCCGCTGTAGTTCAGGAGGACAGCCTTGCCGCAAGGCTGTCCTCCTGAACTACCACAGCAAAGGCGCTGTGAGGCCCAGGAGGCTCCAGTGGTTCAAACCCTCCAGCCCATTGTGCTACAAGCCGTGGAGACAGTGCTCTCCCATCAGCACGCACAAGTGTGAATGGCATACCGGTGCCTTCTAGGATGGACCCGAAATGTGCCCGCATGCACCCCAGAAACAATCCCCACTAGAGTTGCAACTGGTGCCTCGTTACCACCCGTGCAAAGCTCACGCAAAAGGAGTTTTTGCGAGAAGCCAGCTGGTATGCAGCACTCGCACACCCACACGCAGCCCCAATTTTTGCCTGCACAGACCCCGCGTCCGCCCTGCCCATGCCACATCTCTCGCAGCCCTTGCATCCAAGGGCAGAAGTGCAATATCATTGTCCCACCCTTTTCACCACAACAAAGGGGTTCCAGAGCTAAGAACACATTGGTGAACAAAGTCCTAGCCGTTAGGCTTCAAACAATTGGAGCAAATGCCTCGCATGCGCGCACGCATGAATATCTGGGGAAGCCAACATCAACGCCGCTGGCGGTTGCAGGAAGCCCGAGGCACTGCACGCTCGATGGCCTTATTGAAGGATTGACAACATCGCAAGCGGTAGCAAGGGCTAGGATGCCAATGCCGGAAGGAGAGCCATTAATTACGCATGACACCTGCGAAGTCGGATCGCATTTGATGGTGAGGTCGGCTGTTTGGCCGCTGGGGAAAATAATCAGGATGCTTTGCCCGACGTACAAATCAAACGCAGGCGGGAATGGAAGATACAACGTCCCAGATTGGGTGACAGTTGCAATGATGTGCGTGGTGCCTGCACACCAACACAGCAAAATTTAGCTTCTATTGCTGCAAAGATTGTTTGATCTCTAGGGCATGCTTCACGGCAGAGGGTCCAAACAAGCACGGAATCAGTGAAGCATCTTTACACATGCATGCATGCATGCTATATAATAAACAAATTTTCCAGACGCCCCACAGCCTCTGCTAGTACAATGGTCAAGCTTGCTACAAACAGCAAGGAAATCTAAGATTAGAGGCTGCTTCCGACTTGTGTCCAGCATCCTGTAGGAGGCAAGGTGTTACCTTGAGGTACGGTGACTGGAGTGGCAGTCTGGTCGATGGTGGCACTGTATGGCAACGTGTACAACCCGATGCCGAGCAAGACACGCTCCAGTTGGGATCTCCCAGCGGCCCGCAATGAGGTGGCGAAAGGACCCCCAGGTTCGATGGTCACCTGCCCATTCACTGCCAGGACGCTGTTGGCGTCGAAAGCGCCCGGGCCGATCGTGACGCGGGATGTTGGCGTGGCGGCTGGTGCAAAAATGCCGCCATTGAACGTGGCAATTCCGTTGAAGTTGGCTACGCCCAAGGTCGACTGGCCGGTCACCGAGAGGGTGCTCCCCACGGTCACCGCCCCGGTGCCTGCCACGTTGAACGGCTGCGCGGATCCGGCCGCCACCAGCGCGCCGTTGAAGATTCCCCCGCCAGCGACGGCCAGCGCGCTGGGGGTTGGGTTGTTGATCTGCACCTGCCCGGCAGCCGATATTATGGCTGTATTCGGAGTCACCACCCCGAAGGACGAGGATCCGATGACTTTGAACGCGATGGCCGCGCCAGGCTGGGGGTCCGTAATGGTTACGGGCGCGGCGAGGTTGGACGCGCCGACCACGGACAAGTCCCCGCCAACCAAGAAGTTGCCCGTAGCGCCGCTGCCGGCCCCCGCGCCGGTGACGCCTGAAGGCGGGGCAACACAGACTTTTCAGCAGAGACAAATACACACTGTGGATTGGCATGGGGCTTCCTCTTGGCTGAATAGGGGGCGGACAGATGTGTGCAGCAAAAGATGCAGCAGCGGCACTTCATATACATGTCTGTTGGCGCGGGAGATCGCTCTCTGGCAGCTTGTGCGCAAAGGGGTGTCCCAGGAATGGCATTCCTAGCTTGTCTGCAGCCCTTGCACCCCTAATTTAATAATTAAACACAATATGCCCAGCCGGTGCGCACTGTTCAACAGGATAGGTGGACAAGAAAGGGGGTGCACACCTGTCGGTCCATTGTCGCCGGTGGCACCGGTGTTGCCAACTGCGCCTGAAGCGCCAGTTGCTCCATCTGTGCCGCTGGCGCCTGCAGAGGTTTGAAGAAGCATTCAGCAGAGTGTGCATGCTGTTGTGAGGAAAGTGTGCGCGCTGTGGTGAGCAAAAAGTGCACAGCGCACCATGGGCAGGCATTGTGCAGAAATGGAACAGCAGATCAACCCCAAACTCTTGGTGTGGGCTCATGCTTCTCGGATGGGGATTCTTGGTCCCGCTCATAAATGCTTGCTACTTTGACTGGCCCATTCACTACACAGGTCAGGAATTCCCTGGGACTGCCCAGAGACATTCAGTTGTGCCTGTCTGGGCAAGTGCTGTCTGATCCCCGGACATCTGTTTAGGCATTGTCATTGCCTCCGCCACAATTGGCTTGCCACTGAGCTGCAAGTGCTGCCTCACCTGTGGCCCCAAAAGGGCCGGTGTCTCCTTTGTCGCCTTTATCTCCCTTGGGGCCAGTTGTGCCCACGCCAGTCACGCCAGTCGCACCTGAGTATGCCCATGCCCTCAGCACGCCAGTGTGAAATAGCACAGTTGCACGAGGACTCTCAAGAACGACAGGCCATCAAGAGGCCAGAAGCTCTTGCATCACTTGCATGATGTGTATCCCTCACAGGGGTGTGACTCTTCATTCCTTTCTACCACCCTGCTGCGGCTCTGCTTGAGTGGCTCTTGAAGGGCTGCACTGCTGTCCTTCGCATCCATTCTCAGTGAAAGAGGGCCGTGCGTGTCCCAATTGAGGGCGAGTGCCTGCTCCTGAGTTTCTTGCAGCTGGAGAGCTCACCTTGTGAGCCCGGCTGTCCAGGCCCGCCGCTGGCCCCTGAGCCATGCCAAACAAGTGGATGTCAGCACAAAGTCTCACCAGAGGCATATGTGACACTTGTAGGTTTCCATCTGCAAGGAAGCTGAGTGTGACATGAGTGTTTGCATGTGCCACATCAAAAATCAGCTTAGACACACTGCAATCTCTGAGACATGAGAGGCTTCAGACCTGCGCCTCCCATGCCAGTGGGCCCTTGAGGGCCTGTGGGTCCTGTTGGCCCCTGTGAGCATCAAGCGACTCTCAATTGAAGCATGGCGTTTGCACTTGCAACTGAGTGTGCACAGCGCTGTTAGAAAGTACGAAGTGCATGGGAAGCAATCTGTCAAATGGGCACTTTCAGCTTGCACAGTTGCTTGACTAGCTGCGAAATGCAGTAATTTTGGTAAGCGAACTTCTGTGCTTACCTGCTGCGTGGCCAAGAGCTGTGCTTTCAAGGCATCAATCTGGGCTTGTTCATTCGCGTCACCTTGATGACATACCGCCTTGAGGCAGGCAGTAAGTCCGTAAGAAGACCAGTATCATTCTGCAGCTGACTGACGGCGAACCCTGTGAGCTTGCTGAAGTCTGGGCCGCGTGCTTGGAACTCTGTGCGTGTATGTACGATTACTTATTGCTCCCACAATAAAATGGCAGACGGCAACGTTAAAGGAGCACAGACAAGCAATCGTGGCACCATTTGGGGCCAATGCCGTCGACCTACCTCTGCCTTGCGCAGTCACCTGTTCGACAAGGACCGGAAACAGAATCCACCACTGGCTGAACGCCACAAGCACTGAGCACACAGAAAGCGGCCTTCGGGACGATTGACTGGCACAGAGCGAGGCCAGATTACCATTTGCCTGTGAATTCATGGTATCCGTCAAGCAAATACTGTTACTTTTGCACAGACCGTTACTATAATTCACCCAGTGTCGCGACGAATACTCTCAGAGCGCTTGACACCCGGAGGTGTGTCCCGTCTTACTTCTAGATATTTGGATTATACTCGAATTAAATTGAGCATTATTCTCTGAGTGCCGGAAAAAGGCAACCCCTCACATTCCCGCTGTCAAAAAACTGTTTGTAAGTGACAATCGCCGTCGAATGCAAGTCCTATCATCAGAATGGTGACATCAGCATCACAACATTTTGCATGCGTTCCTCTCGCCTTACGTTGACTCAAAGGGAAGGACATCTTGTTTCTCGAGGCCAACCGGAAAGGTGCAGGTCTTGCACAGGTGAATTTCACCCAAGACAGTCCAATTGCTGCAGCTGGCCAGTCTACAGAGCCACGTATTTCGTAAGAATTAGCTTGCTTGCCCAATTGGGCCCAAGAAAGTCCCATTCGCGGCTGCGGCCGGACCACATCCTGGACTAAGAGCATGACTGCCTCTCTGCGCATAAGGCTTACAGACAGCAAAAGCTGTGGCCTCGTTGGGAAGATGTCCTATGTGCGCTGATGTGATGCTCTCAGTGCGCACAGTGCATGCATGGGCATATCATATAGTATAAGGCCATTTCTAATGTGTACTCTGCAGTGGTGGCCACATGTTTACACCTTGCCCATGGGAAGCAAGCCACAGAGCGTCAGCTGCATGCATGCACATGTGCATCTTAAGTTCAGATATTTTAAATGAGTGAATTAAACCTACAAGAGGAAAAACAGTGACTCCTTGGTCAGCACTTTTGGCTTTGCAGCACTTGCCCTGGCACCTCTCAAGTATCAGCAACCTGAAGTGGTGTGCCCTGACTCGCTGGGAAGACAAGCATCTGTCACCACAAAAGTATAATCTCTCCAATCAGAGAAACACAATATGACTATAACATATATAAGCGCTGCTCTGTGGCCCAATCTTGGGCTCAAGGAATCGGGCCTCCAACTTTGTATCTCCCAGAGACAATGGCCGGCTTTCAGAGCTTGACACGGCTTGCGCACCCGCCAGCTGGCGGGTGCGCCAGCCGCCAATAAATACTACAGAACACAGCTGACAACGGTGGTGGCAACACAAGCTATAACCACTGCAAACGTCCACAGGCACTGGCGGCCAGTTGGCAAGCGCACCAGTGCCCAAGAAATCCTACAAGACAGTTGGAAGCAGTGACAGCTGCCCAGACTGCCAAACAACATCATATTTGGACAACGGCCTCTGGCAGATGACGCCATCAGAAGCTGCTCATCTTGTGTGCAGCAAAACAATCAAAAAAATTGAATGTACACAGAACCCTCCCCGGCAATGCGCCGGGAAGTTCCATATTGCAAATCTAGCAGCGCTCGCGCAGGCGTTGCTGCAGCCGAGTGCGGTCATCGTCGTTGAGGCACGCGTACGCGTCGGAGGGCAGGTTGTGGAACTCGTGCCATCCGCGGCTGTCGAGCAAATCGTACGTGGCTGCCCGAATCGCGTCGCGCTTCGGGCCGCATGGCCGGATCGCCGTCAGCGCCGTGTACGCCTGCAGGCCACCAGCATTGTCAGTCAAGCCATAGCAGTGATGCCCTCTTCCAGGGTCATGATAGGCTCTCATCCTCATCCCTTCAGCGCGGTTTCAAACCTGGCTTAGAGGACTTGAGTGCACAGGCATGTAACTTGGCAGGCTTATCCGGTGTTTGTACTCTGAGGTGGAGTGCACGGCTGATGCTTTCAAATACAGAATCGGCTCACATCTCTCCTCTTTGCACAGACACACCATCTGGCTTACTGCCACAAGCATTCCACACAAGACACCACATGCTGCGCTGGACAGGGATTTCCACTTTGCGGGTGCTTCCTCACGGATGACCATATTGTTCCTGGCCTGGCGAAATATGTTTCACAAGCCCCTGGAACGTTGAATACAGAGGTGTACGGTGCATGATTACAGGCCATACACAAGGTCGGTGCAAGGGTGGATGCATTGGCCCTACCACGTCAAGCTGCATGCCACCGAACCAGTAGCGCCAGGCGATGCATGCAGCCGGCGCGCGTCCGAGACCGGCCGTGCAGTGAACGTACACGCGGCCGCCCACAGACAGCGCGCCTGCTATCGCCAGCACGATCCGCGGCAGGCTCCGCCGCAGGCTCTCCCCATCAAAGTCCACAATCTGCGCAAACGACTGCGGTTAAAATACTTCTCGCCCCTCTCAATATGGGATGAAATCACCTCGGATGCAGAGATTTGGTCCTTTTGGCCCGTCTCAGGTTCCATGTGCAAATACGGTTATTCCCATGCATGTGTGGAAAGCAGCACCTCTGGAAGGATCCCACAGACTGACCAGCACAGCAATCGTCTGACGAGCTGTGATGTGAAATTCAGCAGCTGCCTACCTCTCCCCTCAGCTCACGAGGGTATGAGGGCTGGGCTGAGCCCATCGAAACCTCTGGCCTTACCGCTGTCTTGCGGCCAAGCGACAGAGAACACTTGCTTTGGGCTGCAAAGAGCCCATAAGGAGGAGAGCCAAAGAAGCATGAAGAGGGGTGCGGCTGCGCACCGGGCGGCGGTCGAGGAACATGCCTAGCTCTGTAGCGCGGCGGCGGTAGGCCTCAAAGTCAACGCCCCAGTACGCAAAGTCCTTGTCCTCTTGCAGGTTCACGATGTTTGTCACGCCCTCTGCAGCAACACACATGCCCCTCTGCATCAACACTCTGGTTCTGCAACAGGCTGATGTTTTGATTGCAGAGATCCTGGCATTTGTGGATTGTGCTTTGCAGCTGAGCGCTTGCAAAATGCTGCCTATGGAGCAGCAAGTGCCTTTGCGCAGACATCAGCATGTCAAGAGCAGGCACATGCTTGAACCTTCCCAAGCAGGATGCTGTTGCATCTGTAATGGTTTGTAAGAGGTGTGTATGATGCAGGGACCAACCTGCATGGAGGTGCTCGATATCTGCCGGCGTCTGCGGCTGGGATCCGCAGAGCAGGTTGGACGCTACTTCGTGGTAGTACAGGCCCCTCTCTGGGTGGTACTCATAGGGGTTTAAGTGGCACCACTGCATCTGCCTGGTCAGGCACCATGCACATGCTCATAAATTTCATGCATCGCATCAGTAAGGCAGCAGGTGGCAAAATTTACATAGGTGATGCGAGAAGCAATTTTCTTCATGCATCCCTGCAGAGAAAGAGGGGTAATAGACTTCTAGGAGCCTTTGACAGTGGGTGAAGGCACATTATGCATGCTGCACACTTGATTGATTACTCACTCGCCCATGCTTCTGTTGTACTGCTCCTTCTTGACGACATTCTCTGTGGTGGCAGCGCTCGCCACAAGCCTATCCTTCTTACTGTGTGAGTGGTCAAGCCGGCGAGGGCCCACATGGCATCTGCAGGCCGCTGGTGTGGCAAAGGGAAGTGCACAGGGCAGCTGATGGCCTGAGAAGGAAGCTATTGCATGGCTCGACTGCCTCATGGCGAATGTGTCCACCTTTAAATGACCTGCGACGCATGCTATGCGGTCAGTCTGGGAGTTTTGACGTGCTCAAAGGCAGTCTCCCTAGAGCCAGAACAGGTCTGACATTGTGACATCAAATCCTACTATCGTCTCCCACATATAATATTTTTGCATGCATAGAGTTTTTCCACGTGCTCTTGCAAGCCACCAGCTCCAGAACAAATATCTGAGGTTTCTGTGATGACGGACCAAACTGACTGGAAGACATTCACCACAGCATATATGCAACAAGCTGGAGCCTTCGTAGGCTTCAGGGGATTCATTTGTGCTGTCTGACCATGAGTCGATATTCAAGTGCGCCTGAAAGACTTCCTGCAGGATGCACACCTTGCCGGCAACCGTTGCACTCGAGTATTGGGGGTGGACGATGGTTTTTCAAGGTGATCTCAAACGTTTTCACTCGATCGGCGATACTTTGGTAATCATCATAATTCACCTTGTTGAGAGAACGGATCGATCCTTCAAATTCAGCATCTCCGAAGCTGGGGCAACACCGGCCAGAAGCTGCCTGTGCCCAATCTGCGACGGCGTTCAAGCGACGAATGAGCTCTGGACAGTAGATTAAGATAAGAATTGTTGCGAGTCACAGACATTCTAATCAACAAGCCGTACTTGAATGCTGTAGTACCGCTGACGTGCACCTGGGGCACTTATCAATTCCTCTTCGTCCGTGTTCATCGGGCCCCCGGGTTTATGCAAACCACATCAACACTGTCAACACAGAAGCAGGCGTCGAAAAAGCACAGACTTGATCTGAATTTATTTACTTTCACATCTAGTCTACCAGGTACGAGACTTGGTCCTATCCTGAAAAGTTGATATTGGGCATCAAATAAACTATAGTCTAGCAGGCATCAACTATCGACATGATTTGCAGTCGCGCAACAGAGATTCGTAACCGATCCGTACAGGACATGCAAAAGATTGCTGAGCTGATCACACGCTGTGCTGATTCCATACACCCTCTCGTGAGCCTGATTTGAACTCTGCACAGGACATGCCAATCTACTCAAGTCTGCACAAGGACGATCTGTGAAAACACAAAACGTTCACCTGCCGTCTAAGAGAAGAAGTTCCAGGAGCGCTAGCTGGCCACTGCCTAGCAGAGCAGTGCTCAGCACCGCAGCCCTCAGCAACAGCACAAACATCAACCTCAGACCTTGCAGCAAAGTCACTTTGCCACCCACCGCGCTATTCATTGGAAGAAGCCCACGGTCGGTCGGCCTCCTTGCATCCCAAAGCTCAACAGTCGTCTGCGCAGCTGAGCACGGGCAGGACACAATGGGTGTCCAGGAGCGCAGAGTGACCTTCCCTGGCTCCCAGGGGTCAGAAATAGTGGCGACATGGCAAGACCCTGATGCACAGGTACATCAGTCTTACTTGCTTACTACCAGTCTTGGTGTTTGTTGCCTGCAGCAGGGCTAGTGCTGAGCTTTGATTGGCCAGCACCCAAGTCACCTCTGGCGGAGGTATCCATGGGTCACGGGGTTGGACAAAAACTTGACACTCTGTCATCCACCTAGAAACAGGGGCCGCAGAGCTCCCAAACCTTACGAGTGCTTTGCTAACCTTGCCCCCATTCGTTCCCGGCAATGCTTCAGCAATTCAGTAAGTGCCAAACTCAAATTCGTGTTTGAATTTTATTGAAAATTTGTGGTGGCGCAGGACGTGGTGCTGCTGTGCCACGGGTTGGGAGACCACAGGGACGGATTCCATCTGCCAGCGCTGGCGGCTGCTCTGGCGAATGCCGGCTTGGGCAGCCTGCGACTGGACTTCCCCGGCAATGGCGAGAGCCCCGGCGCCTTTCGCTACGCCAACATGCGCACAGAGGCGCGTGGCAACCCCCCTGCAGACGCGGTACCCCCGGTGAAATAATGGAAGTATCTGGAGCACCTCACATTATAGGGTTCTGGCAATCTTTTGATATGTTGAGGAACCACGCCGATGGATTGCATGAGAATGCACACACATCACTATGAGTGTTGCCTTCCTAAGGTGCATACAGTAACATGCAGGGCATCTGATCTCTGCAACTCTGCTCTTCCTGGAATTGGAATTTTGTGGAATTCAGTGGAATTTTTTCCAATTCAGGCTGAGGACATGAGGGCGGCTGTGGAGTTTCTGCGCGACCAGGGGAAAACCGTTGTGGGTTTGGTCGGTCATTCCAAGGCGGGCAGCGGGGTCATCCTGTATGCGGCGAAGTATGACGACATCCCGCGGGTCGTCAACATATCTGGCCGCTTTGACAACCAGCGAGGTAGGTTCCAAGCAAATCTATTGTCAGATCCCTCACGATAGATCAGTCTCTAGCAAGCTCCTTGATTACTTCAGCATTTGTCGCAAAGCTAAATGTACCTTCATGCATAACTTTACACTGGATCCCGCTCAGAGTTCCTTGAGCCTCTGTCCAGCACTCTCAGTACTATCTATTAACTTTGAATTTTGTATCCGGCTTGAACGAGTGCTCCTGTCCAGGGATCAAGGAGCGATTTGGGGCGGACATCTTTGAGCGCCTGGAGAGGGAGGGGCAGGTGCAAATCACATGGCCTGGCAGTGGCCCCACCAAGAAATTCATATGGGCACTCACCAAGGAGGTACGCCCCACACTGAGCCCACAATGCACCTTTGTCCAGATTCGACATCCCACAATCCTGCTCTGAATGTACAATGTATAGGAATCATGATATCGTGCAAGAGGGTGCATCACTTGGCCCTGTAAAAGTTAAGCATGTCTTAAGGCATGGAGATTATGTGAGGTTCTGGGTATGCAATGAAAGCAGACTCCTGCTTCTCATGGCTAGCGTTACCAGAGCACTCCATACCTCAGATTTGGTAATAGAAGATCTGAGGCCAAAAATCAAAGGTTTTCTGGTACCATGCAGGACATGGACAACCGGATGAGCCTGGACATGGATCCCCACAGCCGAGCCATCAAGCGCAGCCGCGTCTTCACAATCCACGGCAGTGCCGATGAAACGATCCCACTCGAAGACGCGCACTCATTCCACGAGCGCATCCCCAACAGTGAGCTGTGTATCGTGGACGGCGCATGCCACAACTATAAGTGAGTCTGTGCCGTTGGAAAATCAGCGCTATTGCTTCTCTTTGCGTTGTGTGCCTGATTATTCCTGTGCTGGGGTTTGGCATTGTGAGATGTGCAGACACCTGGGAAGCAGGGACTTACTTTTTCTTTCATTATTATTATTGTTATCACACGCTTGTTCCAGCCCTCAGGGCTAGGTACATTGCAGCAACCTATCAATAATTCCTTTCCAGCCTTCCCTGTCTTGGCACTTCCTCCACCAATGGTATGTCAATCCAATGGAGTCTACTTTTTTGGTGGTAAATCGTTATGGGCAGTTCTGGTGGAATCATGGTGGCATGACAGGAAGGGCTGTGTGCTTGTTTGCAGGAAGCCGGAGCATGCCAAGGTTCTCTTTGAGAAGGTGGTTGAATTTCTGGTGGAGGCAGATCCACCATCTGGTAGCTGAGCTCTGCAGCCGCCTGTTGACAATAATGCTGAGGCAACCTCGTGAGGTTGAGTGGTGTAGTATAATCGCACTTAGATCCAAGTTGGAAGACGTTGGAGCATTGCTATTAATGAAGAATGCCAGTGGCAGACGCCTTGTTTTTATTTTTTTTTAGTCAAATTCTTTGGGCCAATCAATAGCGTAGTGGTCATGTCGGCGTCACGGACGTACAAAGTCCTGAACTATGAAAGCTTTACTAATAGGTGAGACCAATGGGGGTTAATGCACATGACCATGACTGCAGTGTGAAGCTCAAATTGATAGTTGGAAGTAATTACATGTGTCATATCTACCCTTCAGCAATCAAGAGTATGCAATCACATGGCCTATTTCTGGCAAGATAATTTTCCACCTTGACCGACCACAGCAAATCAATTCAATCGCATCAAGGAGAAGCTTCTTAAATCAAGAGCTCTTTTCCTTGAGAACTAGTAAGGATGGCACTGACCCACAAACGCGCATGCATTACACAAAAACGCCTTCTAGCAAGTCGCTGCAAATCTGAAGACACGCAACTATCAAGACAACACAGTGAAAGAGTCGATCAACGTGTTTTAGTCACCATGATCTCATTGTTGAACAGACTAGCATGAAGATGTTTGTACTGAGGGTGCTTGTAAGCCATTAAATGAACTGTTGCAAGTCAGAATGCTGAGCAGGCTCCCTGAACCCCAGAGACTAGAGCCACGGTACATGCACTGCTAAGATGCACCAGCTCTGTCAAAATGTGCAGTGCCTAAACCAAATACTAAGACACGAACAGCAAACATGGTGCACACAATGACAAGCATCCAAAGCACATGAGCACTGAACTGGTCAGCTAAAGAATAAAGAATGTAGCGTGAGCATGAGATGATGCGTTTATAGCAAGCTTCAAGACCTGTGAAGAAACATGGCGTGCCAGTCTTATTCCTACCGAAATAGAACAACATACTAAACACCTCAATGCGCTGTAAGAGCACAACATTAGTACAACACTGCTGACAGAATGGACACTGGTGTGCGTTGCCAAATTTCACAGCCCTTGTCAAAGAGCAGCTCTTTGCTGCCAGGGATGGTTGATATAGACATTTATTTGATAAACCCTCTAATGTCGCCAGGGGAGGGAACGGGGGGCCCCAGCTCCGAGCAGCCCCGCGCTGACGCCGCTTACGGTGCCAGCCGCCCCGTAGGCGATCCGTATTCCCCCGCGCATCGCCCGTACCGCCAACGCCGGCTGCGCCCTTGGTCCGTCCCCGTTACCAGTGCCCAGTAGTGCAGATCCAAAGGGCACCCGAGCCAGCACCGTGCTGCAGATGGTTTCGCAGGCGCGAAAGCTCACCTGCACACCCACGTCACAGTTTCGTAAATTTCGTTTTGTCAGACTGCTCAAGGTCATGCATAGGCAGCGTTGGGCCGAAAAACATGACCACAAGGGCAGTCACTGCTGCGCGCTCTGCATGGCCTTCCCTGAAAGCCAAGGCTGCAAAAGTCCGTCGTCACCGCAAATTCGGCAGCACATTAGCTGAGAAAGACAAGAAAAATATGAAAGATATAAGAAGAAAGGCGTACCTCAACACCCTGCTCCACGCTGACCAGCAGGCACATGGACGCGGTCAGCGCCGTCGTGGACAGCGTCGCCAAATCAAGCGCGCTGCGTTGCAGGGCAGCCGCGCTGAGCGTTCCCTCCACGGCCGCCGCGGCCGCCGCCGATTCGCGCGCCGCGATCGCGCGCTCAGCCCGGGCAGCCGCCTCTGCCACCCTGTCCGGCCCGCTGTCGCATTTCTGATCTGCCACTGTCCCGCCTGGTATCGCCAGCACTAGCTGCCTATGTTCTGCTTGCGGGCTGGCAGAGGCTTCCTCTTGCTGCATGCTTACAGAGCCCTGCCCTTCCTGCGTCGCGTTGCTCGGCCCTGTTGCAGTGGCAACCGCAGCAGTAGGATCTGGCGTGGGTGCGGGCTGCGCTGCAGGCGGCTCAGTAGTGAATCGCGCAGGGTGTGTAGGGGTATCGGCGTCTGAGGACGAAGATGCGGCCGGGGTGCGCAGCCGAGTGCGCACGGCCTCGATGCCGCTCTGCAGCTCGTCCAAGAAGGCAGCGTGTGCGCTCTGCCGGCTAGAGCGCCGGTGCAGCTCCTCTGACACCGCGCCCACGTCCGACAGCAGCTGGTTCACCTGCAGAGAGGCGCAACCTCGTCGGCTGCAAGCCTTGCTGCAAAAGATCATCAGCACTGAATACCCCCAACAAGTGAAAATGACGAGGCACATGTCACCTGCACCATCCTGACATGCATGCTTTATAGCATAAACGCAGTATTAGGCAGGCGCACTGCTGGTCTTTCTGCCATCATAGCATGTCCCTGACCTTGGATGTAATGGGCTGGAAATCACTTACCCCTTGACTTCCTGTAAGGGCAGTCTACAGGTAGCTTGAGAAGCGGCTAATGTGTTTTGTGGCGCACCTTCTCTGGTGAAGGGGTCCTGACGCGCTGAGCATCCTTCCTGCGCGCGCGTTTCGGCGGCGGCGAAGTGTTGGACGCTCGCTTCCTCGACCCGTCCGCCGGCTGACTCGCCGCTGACTCGTCCCCGCCCTTCATCATCACATCTACTGCTCAATCATTGCCTCTTGACGTTAGTCTTGATAGCCACAGCCGCAACAGGGCAAACAGTAACGTGTGTCAGGGCACAAAGCATGTACACACCTTTTGGCGGTCACGGCCATTCAACAAGCGACGCGCACGCCGCTGAACGCGCGCCGCCTGATTCGCCAGCTGCCGAACGGCTTCCAGCTGCTCTTCGGCTTTCCGGCTCGGCCCAATTCCGTTTTCCCCACCACCATCCGCCTCAGCTCTGCCGCCTGAACTCCCCACCCCCTCTGCGCCTGCACTGTGCTGCTGTGTGGAAGACCCCCCGGCAGGTTTCCCTGGCGCCGCGCTGTTCAGCCGTGACAGCCGGGAGCTTCGTTCAATCGGTGCGGTCACGCTCTCGCGGGTCACCTCCGGGGTGCGCGGCGAGATGTTTGGCGTCTGCAGCACGGCGTTCCCTGTCACCGGTGGCATGCTATGCGCGCTGGGCTCCCGCGGCAGCAGCCAGACGTCCAGATCAGCCGCTTCAGCCGCCAAGGCCCCCGCAAAGTCGCCATCAAAATGCTTCTCGCTCACATGAGGCAGATCCTCGCAGCCCCTGCTGCCTTGAGGCTGAGCTTTCTGCTCATCCATGGTGTCCTGGGGCATATTTTCCCTTCCTGTCTCCCCAGAACCTGCCGGAGGCTCTAGACTCCCGCTGCCGGCATTGCTCCTGCTTTCCAGAGCCTCCTGCCCAGGGCTGCCAGTAGCCAGGACGGCAGGACCCTGCTTGACCTCCTCCTTGCTGATGAGATGCCTGACGCCAGTCAGATCCTCCAGAACATCGGCCTCAGTCCGTTGCGCCCGATGTGCGGTAATGTCTGCAGCCGCCGGCTCTGCATCAGCTGCTTCGCGGGCCTGAGACGACGGCTCTTCAACGTCAAGGGATGACTCGTCCTCCTGTGTACTGCTGCTCAGAGGCTCGGCAATTGGGACTGCCTCGCCAGGAGTGGAAGCAGCCGGGGGCGCCCGGTGCGCGGCGATCCTCGCGGAGGCCGGCGGATCTAAATCCGCTGCATCGCTGGGCTGAGACGGCCGCTCGTCAACGTCCCCTGCCGAAGAGGACTCTTCCTCCTGTGCCTTGCTGCTCGGTGGCTTGTCCGCTGCACTTGCCACGCCAAGATTGGAAGCGGGCAGGGGCGCCCGGTGCGCGGCGATCCTTGCGGAGTCCGGTGGTGCATCATCTTCGCTCAGAAATGGTGCCGGCGGCGTTTCAGGAGCGCTCACGCATGCCCTGTACCATGTCATTATCGGCGCCGGCGCTGCGGCCTTTGAAGGAGTCCTGTGCGCACGCAATTATCGCATGAGATTGGAAAATTCTGCTCGATCCCCACAACAAGGTCCAATGAACGCGCAATTCAAGACTGAGAAAAACAATGCATCCACAGACATTTTCAAGAAACAGACAATGTTTCTCTACTTGTGAAGAATCAAGCTTGCAGCGGTGCAGTGGTGTGTGCAGAAGGGCGCATTGGATCTCACCTCTGGAATTTCCTGGCTGCATGGATCTCTGCATTCTGCGGAGACCCGCTGGCAGCTGCAGAAGCATCGCTAGCCTTCTGAGGAATTCCCGGCTCTGGCCTTGTCTGACTGGAAGCCACTTTGCTGCTGTTCCTTCTCAGCCGCTGCCACCACTTTGGCTTGCTGGGCGTCCTGCATTGCCAACACAGTCCCGGTGAGATATTGTGCAACGCAAAGGGTCTCTGCAATGCAACAGGGACGCCAATGATTGTGCTTGTGCTGTGGAATGCAACTTGCCTGTCCTGTGCTTCGTGGGAGGCTGTATTGACTGGCTGTCTATCCAGCTCTGTCAATCTGGGGGACGGTGCCTCACGCACCTACAAATAAGCCACACACAACCAGATGTCAATCTTAATGTTTTCTGTGACTCTTTAGAGAATTGAACTAACAGCACGGTAGTGAAGCGCTAGAAGAGGCAGATTTCGTGCAAGCATTGCATAGGGACATACCTGCGCATCTGCCTGGTTGGCGCGCTCAAACTTCTGGATCAAGGATCCAATCGAGGCGGGCCCAGCTGCTTGCGCCGGTGCCGGTTCGTCTGCACTCTCAGATACTGAACCTTCTGACCTGCAACATATTCCGTGATTCATTACTCCATGCGCTCCACGGCAGCACAATCATGCTTCTCTTCCCAAATGACCGTCATGAGCATTGTCAAATAGAGGGGCCCGTTGTGAGGAGAGCTCGGGCATGCATGCACTCTTTCCCCTTCATAAAAGTGTGCAAAAGGGACGGACCTTGGAGAGGCATGAGGTGAGGTGTGTGTAGAACTGCTGGGACTGTCCCGTGGCCCCATTGCAGCTTCTGGGGAAGGAGGCGACTGTGGGTTTGCCTCGAGAGCTGCCTTCCTCTGAGCCAGCTTGAAAGCGAACTCCCTGAACACCAGAATGCTGCACTCATAAGATAACGTTCCTTACTCAAGGCATCACGCAATTATGCATGTAAACCGGCATGAGTTTTAGCAATAAAGCAACAGAGTGCCAGAAAGGCATCTTTGGGGTGGATGTCTGGAGCTCTGAGCTACACCGGTGTGGGTCCAGTGCAGCACCAGCAGGGGTCTTCTATGCAGCCAACAGAAGCTCATTTATGAGGGCGTGGGCTGCTCAGGAGCACACCGTGAGGCCTCAGGATTGGGCTGTGGAACTTCTGCACGCTCCAGGGGTGGCGACCAAGACACGCCAGGAATGGCTCGCCGAGGGAAGATGAGGTGCGTCTGAGTTCCAGCGCCCATCTAGGAATCTGCTCGGGCTGAGACGCCGTGTGCACTTCCCAGAGCGAAGGTACTCACATGATGTCACATAAGAGCAGATGTCTGAACTAACCCCGGCGACTAACCTTTACGTTCACAGCGCCGTGCTTCACGGTTTAAGATAATAACAATTTCAGGGTGCTGGAGAACCAACCAAAGCCTGGATGGTGTCGTAAACAATTTTGGCGCCCCTTCGTTGCACGATCGAAAGCCAGACGCTTCACATGTATGGGGCAGCCTCCGGTGCAACTCAAATCTGATGCTGATGTGAAACTTGCAAGTGCTAGCCAGTCAAACCGATAGCTCCAGACGCAGCAGATTGTGGAATGGACCGTTGGTGTGCAGCACTGGGCAGGCCATAAGATTTCCGAGACGGCCCAAAAGTCGTGCATTCCGAAACGAAATTCTACCAGATCAACGTCATCAAAGGGAGTATGCAAGTCATTTCTTTGTTAAGCCGACGAGCTGCACTCGCTGGACTCTTGTCGCAGGTATTAGTGACCCGCACTGCGCGATCGACGCCTTTCAGTCAGGCGCCCATCGCTATGAGCCACTGCTACAAGTGCGTGCTTCATCCTGACTCAATGCGCCACAGACGTAATGTGTGCTTCTCAAGGAACTCATCTGCCAGTTTTTGGCATGAACTATGCCCAATGTATCTGACATCACCTGGGATGTGCATTCCCTGTCCCTGTTCCATTGAGGGCATGGAGGAAGCTCTGCACCATGGCAAATATGTCGTGCACTTTATTTAGTCAGAAATACAGCTCGGATGCGGTGCAGGTATCCTAGGCCCAGCGTCACTGTCGATGCTGCAATTGTGGCAGAGCCTGAGAACGGCAAGCCTGCGCAACTGCTACTGATACAGCGGAAGAACCCACCTTGTAAAGTATGGCAGTCACCTATTTGTTGTGCGATTGACGGTCTATCGCTGCTTTGCTTGCACACCACCATGCGTACAGCCCATGTGCGCACCTGCCAGCCTGGGAAGATCAATGAAGTTGCGTATATTTTGGGCAACAGGGACAGTGGGCGCTGCCTGGGGGCTTTGTGGACGAGAATGAGCCGCTGGACAAGGCAGCTGCACGGGAATTGCAGGAGGAGACATCTGTCGATCCGTCAGACGTGCTCCTGATGCAGGTCAGACGAGCGCATCTACCCTGATCATGATGCATTGCATGGGAAATACGGCCGCATCTCAAACTTCATCATGTCTATCTTCAGTTGGCCTGATCATGCTGCTCATGGGTATACAGAACATTCCAACCTGTGACATGCACTCGACCATATTCTTTTCTTCAGGTTGGGGCATTTGGCGACCCTGGCAGGGATCCTCGGGGGTGGTGTGTATCAGTGGCCTATGCTGCCCTCGTGCCATCATCCAGCATGGGCGTCAAGGCTGCGGTGCGCAATCTGCTCTCATCAAACGACTGGCCACTCATTTGGATATCAATCCAGCAGCTTGTACAATTCCCTATTGCTAGGCTTACCCCTTGCTGTGGAGCATGTACAGGTGTTGGATTGAAGTTGGTCATCACATGCGCAAGAGAATGTCTAATCATATGTACATTGAGATTCAGCTGAATTGCAACTCTGCTTTGTGCTCTTGCTCAAGATCTGGTCACATGCGGCCTGAAAGCGGTCATGACTTGCACAGTGACATGTACAGTTAGAATGAGATTCTATGAACTGTGCTACGGAGTAGGCATGCTCAAGGTTTAGCCATAACTAAACATGATTAGTAGTCATGCGGGCTGACTGGCGCAGTGACTGATTTGCAGGACGATGCCTCGGAGGCAGAGTGGTTTGATGTCAGGGATCTGCCACAGCCGCTAGCTTTTGACCACAAGCTCATCGTGCGAACCGCGTTCCATCATCTGATGCAGCAGTCAGCTGTCCAAGGCGCGCACTTGCTCTTGTTGGTGACTGGCATGAATGCCACAAGGAAGTTACCACACGTAAGGCTGGTGATAAATCATTATTCTTGATGTTACCGAATGCTTATTCCAGCCCTCAGGACTGGGCGCGTGCAGCAACCTCTTGATGATTTTGTTCCAGCCTTCCTTGTCTTGGAAATTTCTCCACCAGTATTAATAAACATATGAATGAAAGCACTGCAAAAGGTGTCACACAAAGTGTTGTCCCAATGGTGAAAAGAGTCGGGCAACAGAGTGGCCACAGGTATGTAGGCCAGATTGCAGTCTGGGGTTTGCTTTTTATCTCATTTATCTGACTTACATGATAAAAGCCTGATCTTATTTGCTGCATATTTCTTGGGGCACTGCATCAATCTACACTGACACGCTATATTTCACAAGCCACCAAGAAAGCATCTTACTGATTGCTGAAACCTTCAACACGCCGCCCTACTGGCACAATACAGCTCCTCAAGACAATGAAAGTGATTTTAGCAGAATGACAGGATTGTCACAACCCTGTAATAGTATTGCGGAGCTGCTCTTTGCCATGCTTGAGCTGCTCATCATCTGATTGCTCTGCGCTGGGTTGCACACCACTAAGGCGGTATTGACATCACCAAGCTGCACTGTAAGAAGAAAGACAAAGCAGATTAAAATGAAGGCGTGCATATGCTTGCAGGCAAGCTGGCAGAGGACCTTCAAGTGGGTGCAGAAAGGTTGCAGGGACCCTGGGACCCTCCAAAGGAGTAGCGGTCCTTTAGTCCGCCCAACACTGAAGTCAACTTGGCTATCTAGTGCATGCAGTACTGTGGTGCCAGGCTATGGCCTGCCCGAAGTGCAATAGAGAAACAGAAAGCGAGGCTAGACGGCCCAGAAAGAGTAGAGGATTCACAAGTCCACGAGAAAAGATAGTTCAAATATATCTTAGAGCATGTGTCAAGGTCGATCTGTGGGTCATCCCTGGTTAAACTGCCAAGGCTGATCACTACTGGCTTCAAGAGGCATCAGTACAGTAAGAGTTGAACGTAACTATTTATCACAGCATGTTATGCTCTGCGTCTTTGTCCAGCGGTCCACAGGCAAGCCCCAGAAAACAACAGACAGGCATGCAACCAGAACTCAGTTGAAGCTCTTGAAGCATATTTTATGGTGCTCGTCTGAAGATACGAAATGTTGTGAAACAGCACAGCAGACCACTAAGTGCTGATGTCCGCCACTGCATCTTTTTGCAAGCTTGAGAACACTGATAGACAATGCAATGACCCTATCTGCTGGCATGACTTTCAAGCAGAATCTGAAAGGGTTGTAGATGCGTTGCTTCCCTGACAACCTGAAAGCCACGGCCCAGAAATGTGGCAGCGCTCAATGCCTGAAGCATGGGTCCCAATTGTTGGCGATTCTCAGAAGGCTCGTAGGTGTCAGAACCATTCTTCATGCTGGCTTTGCTTGGTGCAATTAATGTAGCTTCGTCAATAACAAACAACCCAAATTGAGAAAAGGTGGCATGATTAAAGGACCGCCTTTCAGTCCACCTTTCAGTGGTGGTTGAGTGGCTTGTAGCACTGATCAGCTGAAGATATTATCAATAACAATTAATTGCTTCAACTTCGTAACAACAGACATGCAGGCTTAAGCTACCAACAGATGTGCCGCCGTTGCCTTGACATGTCCATATGACTGGACCATTTCAGCATAATATGACAATGGCCAGCAAGGGCTAAACACTGTCCTACTGTAGTCCCCCACCATGAATGTCTCGGAAGACAGGTCTGTTGCTTTGCAAAGTGTACATACGCAAGTATTTGGGAAGCTACTTACACACGCAACTCCCCAGTCCCGCAGGGATCCGGGAGTTACAAAGATAACAATATGCAACTAGACACCATCTATGTCAGTATGTACGTAACTCAGCTATGTAGCATTTGAAGTACCCATCTGCATTAGTAGTATTGCTCGCGCGCTCCGTGCCAGCCAGCAAGCATGGCAGCAATCTATACTCTTGAGGGCATGACTACTTCTTGGCCCGCGCCCGCGCCAGCTGCAGCTTGGGGAACATGTCTGCCAGCTTGCGCGGCGGCTGCACCGTGCCGGGCGGCAGCAGTGTCACCTTGTACTGCTTCATCGGCGACTTGTCTGCGCCCGCGTTAGGCGCCTTGTCGCAGGTGCATCCCAGCTCCCTGCACCAGCGCAGCAGATACACTCGCCACAGTACTGGATGACATCATCGAAGAGCCATCTAGAGCAGCAAGCAGCACAAGTCGAGCACTTCAGCTCTTCTGACCATCTTCAAGCCGCCATCTTCATGTCACTGACCCTGACAGAGTTGTACACCGGTGTCTCGTGTGAGGTGTGAAGTCATGTGAGGTCTCGTGAAAGCCAGTGGGAAAATTGGCACATCCAGTATCCTCACTAAGAAACGGCCCACCAAAGAGCGTATCAGTCAAGAGCCACCTCAAATATCAGAATAGATATTTGCATGTCATTTGATAATGCCCAAGTCAGACTCCAATGCTCTGAGGAGCGCAGAAAACGCACCTGTAGTGCGTGACCATGTCCTGCGGGGTGAGCTTTAGGGTGGCCCGCAGCGCTTCAAACTGCCTGGCGCCGAGCGAGTAGTCCTCGGCGATGAGCGCTGTGATTAGTAAGTGCAGCAGCAGCATGCGCGCCTGCTCCTTGGTGCGGCTGTACACCTCCGTTCCCTCCTCCTCCCCCTTGGCCCTGCTGTAGAACCGCGCCAGGCAGCCTCGCAGCACGTCCTCCTGCACCAGAGCACAAACACAGCACATCCTCAGGCTTCTTTCATGTTGCCAGCTGGCCTTTGCTGGTTGCCCTGACGATGCAGAAAGAAATCTTATACCTCACCTTCTGATAATACTCTCTCGCAGAAGTTGCCAACTTGAGAGATCAAAGCGGTCGCCTCCACCCTCCAAGGAGTCAGACCCACAGGAAAGATACCCGCAACCGTCCATAAAATAGAAGCTGCCCAGCTTCATGGGATCTGTATAGAATGCAGGACAGAGTTGCCAGTGTGGTGTCTGATTGATTGCTGAGTATCCAAGGAGAAACTCTTGAGATCATGCTGTGGGTGCCTTGCAATTGGGAGTGGTACCTAACAGGCGTTTTATTTGTCCAGGTACACCAGGATCCAATATTGTATTCAGAGAGCAGCTGATTGCAACGCAATCTGGCAAGCTGATTTGGATGCGCAGGCATCCCGAAAGCTGCTGATTCAGTAAGTAAAGAATTGCAAATGGTGACCAAGCTTGGCTTTCCGGATCCGGGCTCTTCACCGGTGTCCTTGCAAGCACTCTGTAAGGAAAAGTGCAGCTGGGTTGGGGCGCGGACAAATTTCTTGATGAGGCTGACCTGGATGCGCAGGCGACCGGAGAGCTGTTTGAGGCCGCCGGTGCGCGCGTCGACATTCTGCCGGTGGCGCCCGGTGTAGAGGGCGACTAATGGGCCCAGGAACGCCATCGCGCGGAGACGCCGCGCGGCCGCCGGCCCGTCCGGCTTTGTGATCAGCGGCAGCCGATCGAGCACCACCTCCGGAAACTGCGCGCGACAGAAATACCCTTGGTCAGTGACCCTTGACCACTCGAGTGGATGGTGATCTATACTGTTAAGATATAAATCCCCATGTTCAGAGGGAAGGCGAGGGCCTAGGTCACAACTCACAGGTGTGCATATGACTAAACATCCCTCCCTTCGGCCTTGCTGACATGCGCAGCAACGCTGCTGATAGAAGAGACAGAAATCTGCTGCCCTGGCCCCTTTCACTATACTTTCCCAGCCTCGGGTTCCAGTAAGCAGCCAACCTCTACACACTGGGGGGATTAGGGAGAGAGCACTCACGATGCCCTTTGCGCGGAGGATGTCGTCCCGGTATGAGTCATCGTCGATGGCGCGCCGCAGCCGCTCGACTTCCAGCGTCTCCCACGCCTCTTCAGGCACCAGCTCCTCCAGCCTGATCAGGACCACCCATTATCAGTGTGCTGCCCGTAAACCTTGGCCAAGGTCTGCCCAACAACATCCTTGGTGATGCTGCAACATTAGTGATGCTTTTCCGCGCAGCAACGCACAAAGCTTGACGAGAATATGGTGTCTTGCTGGGCAAACAGATGACATTGTTTCACATGGGAGTAAAGCGGGTGATGTGCATAATAGGGGCATGCAAGGCAGCATGCGCACTTGTAAGCGGCTGCGGCAGAGGTGGCCTCCGGGTGGTGCGGAGGTATGTGCCTAACGTTGGTCACTGCCTTCAGAACATCATCCTGCACATTGAATATCAAATTAGCCTTCCTGAAGGCTCTCCAGACCTAAAAATGGTCATCATTGCCAAGAACATTTCACGGCAGCCCGCGCTAAGGCCATCACATTGAGTAATTCTTCAAGCACAGGCCTTGTCTGAAGCTCTTCAGAACAATAGAGGAAAGGTCGGCACTTTGGTCATTTTAGCGACGGCCGCCTTGTCCCCGGCAGCGGCGAGTAGGTCTTCGACGGCGTCCTGGGCTGCCACGTTGTCATCGCCAACCTTGGCGCTCTCCTTCTGGTCCAACTGCCGCTTGCGCCGCTGGCTCCCAAACGCATGCACCAGCCTGCGCCCCAGGCAGCTACTCAGCTTTGGGACAAGGAGAATATTTAGGACAGGGGACTTGTGCAGATGCTGCAGCATGTAGCCGTGAGGCCTCCCATGCACATGCCAGGCTCCAAAAAATCCACACTGGATTTTCAGGAGTCACCCGCTGAAGCAATTTGGCATGCCTCAATTTCAATTAATCAATGGCATGATGCAGTCCAGCCGTAAGGCTAAGTGCCTTGGCGAAAGGCATCTTCTGCAGCTGACAATATGCAGGGGAACCCTGATCAGGCGCACCGCTTGTTCTGCAAGATTCGCGCCCGTATGTCGTCCTCCTGCTCCGTAATGGCCCCGGTGGGACCGTAGTTGACACCCCTCGCGCGCGGCTCCATGCGCACGATATTGCCAGTGCCCACCTCCGCGTACCTCATCACCCCAGTCGCCTTGTCCAGCACTCCGACGGCGTACCTGCTCCCAGCAAAGCATGCATGTGCTCACACGCCCCCATGCATGACTGTGTCTTGATATTTTAGAGCACTGAAGACGATGTGCATTGGGCTGGGCATTTTTGCTCTCCTGCTATCCAGTAGATTGCCCGATTGACAGGCGCTAGTGCGGAAGAGAGGGGGGTTATGTGATTCAGGCAACGAGTCGAAGGAGTGTTCGACACTGCCAGAGGAGGGGTTGAGCCGCACTTGCAGGCAGGCGGCCCAGCTGCATCCACTGAGCGGCAGCTGCCCACAAAATCCACGTCTCCCTGCCGGCAATCAGGCATGAGGCCATGCAGCATATATCAGGTGAATTAGCAGGATTACAACAAAGACCAAAATACTGTCTGAGGATTACTGTGGGAGGGATTTCACGCACCGTCCGGGCCACAACAACGTGGTCATTGACGCGTGAAGTGTTGGAGTGCAGTTCCCAGGTGCAGCTGCCATGCTTGCCCGGCTGGAAGCCGCTGGGAAAGTACACCGCCAGGGGACCAGTCCTGCCTGATGTTGAGGGTGCATCCGCATGCTGCAGATCAATTGTCTCTGGCAAGTCTCTATCCAAGGCCTTGCGCTTGCCCATCCCCGGCCAGTACTAGTTGATCTGGCCTTTGATCCTACGTCCGGAGACTCTGATCACAACACAATTGCGTATTGAATATAATAAAATGAATATTTTTGCTCCTCTTTGGTCTCCCTTTACATCAATAGATGACCAATGACACTGTCAGAGAAGAGTTCTAATAGCAGATGTCTTCGGACGTAGAGCACTGCTTTGTGCCAGCAGTACCAATGCTAATTACTGTATATGAGTGCTTCTAACACCTTGATCACATTTAGATGCTCCAGGTGAAGTCCAGTGATGGCTGCGAAAGTTTCATGGCCATTCAAAGCCCTTCCGTCAACCACCCTCCTTGACCCCCACGAGTACTCAACCCTGCGAGCCAAGGATGCGTAAACGGTTTCAATTCATATTCCAAATTTCGGGTCGTCGAGATTGTCTTTGTTCGCTAGACGGTGTTGCTGATATTTCCTCTGCGTAGTCCCGCAGCAGGTACCCTCAGCTGCTGAAGCGTGGTAGTAATACTTGGAGTACATTCTTGGAAGTCTTAACTGTCCTGCGCACTTGTGCAGGATCGAGTGGGGCTGCATTGCATAGAAATTGGCATTATTACCAGGAAAACATGTCGAAGCATGCGCTAAGCGCAGCAGTAAAGTCGGGGGCAGCTGACGCTGCTTCTTTGATCCGTCGGCATCTCAGCCCAGCTGTCGCCAGCAATTCGGTAGGGGGACATCTTGAATTTCATTTTTGTGGTTCACCAAACTTACTTACCCCTTAGTGTGTCTGTCTGTTGGCTATTGGCCCAAAGCCTCGAATCCAAGAAAACCTACACTGCATATATATATCAAATATCTCCCTGGTTGCAGAATTTTATCGCCGAAAGGGCAAGCGGAAGCTACATCTACAGCACAGATGGCCAGAAGCACCTGGACATGGCAGCAGGCAAGTGCTGTCTCTGTGCAGCTCAAAGTCCCTTTGCTTTGTCAGCACACCAAATTTGCAAAGACACCAAAAGAAATCGATAGTATGATTGACATGCATGATATCTTATCTTTCTACTGGAAGTAAATCGTTTGATATAAGCACTGGGCATGTGCAGGCATCGGTGTGGTGTCAACCGGCCACTGCCATCCCAAGGTGGTCAAGGCCATCCAGGAGCAGGCTGCCACGTTGATCCACGCGCAACAGAACATCTTCGCTGCCAGCACGCCAATGGTGAGGCTTCAGCCCACCTAAGCACCACTGCACCCCCTTGTAGATTTTGTCCTTGTCCAGGAACACCTCTTGATGCACATTGCAGGCGCTTTGGGGGCAACTGGGATCCTATACATAGTCATTGATGTGGAAAAAGACCATGTTTGCAATGACCTTGGTAGACATGGCCTTTGTGCCTTACAATGGCTGTTCCTCAAAGGTTTTCTGCAAAAAAGGCAGCGGCATGTGTTTTGCACGAGGAGCTTGCGTACCTTCTGCAGCATGCATTAATAGAGCTGTGTCCATGGCAGGCGGGCCTGATCGACAGGCTGCTCACAATAGCGCCTCCCAGTCTCACGCGCTTCTTCTTCGCCAACAGCGGCAGCGAGGCGGTTGACAACGCAATCAAAATTGCGCGCGGCCACACCGGGCGCCAGAACATCATCTGCTTCGAGGTGCATGCTCACCTGCACCACCCAAGGCCTTGTTCTTTCTGCACCCGCAATGATTACTTCTTACTGCACCATTTAGCTTCAGTACAGTGGTGCAGTAAGAAGAGTGTCAGCCATTTCGTGATCCTGCTTAAGTGCTGAAGGAAAGCCAGAAGCACGACAGGACAAACGTGTCGTGAATTCTCCCAAGAAGGTAGCCTCCCAGAGGTTGGACTCTTCTTGAGGGGATCCATGGTATGTTTGGCCTGTCAAGGTGGCAGCTGCAAACAGGCTCTGAAAGTAACCACCTGTCAGCATTTTTCAAAGTCTAGCTGAGAATTTGTCAAGCCAGCAGACAACAGGACATATACAGGACGAACATACCCTCTTGATCCCAGGGAAGGTCTGACTTATGCAGGGCTAGCCCCGGGCTCAGTGTGGCATGCTTGCTCTGGGCAGGCTGAAGGATGCAAGGCCACTTGTCAGAAATCTCAACTTCAAGTTCGAAATATAGTTTCTGTGCTCAGCCATTTCTAAGGACAGGGGGTTGTCTCTGGCGCAGAACTCGTTCCACGGGCGCACATATGGCTCGATGGCGCTGACAACGTCGAAGACATATTACCGGCAGGGGTTTGCACCGCTGATGCCCCAGGTTGTAGTAGCGCCATACCCCTACTGCCTGCACTGCAAAGTCCGCGAGGCCCACCCGGACGGAGACTCCTGGTACAAGGTGCGCTGCCTCCCTGTCATAAATGTGATGGCATTGGTTTTCCTTTTGGTGGTGCTGAGGCCCTCTTGCTGATGTGGGCGTGGCTTTACCCCTGCAAGGTGCCAGGCTGGATGGCATGTGCCTTGTAACGGCTGCCAGCGGTTCAACTGTGAGTAATGCGGTGGTTTGCTTTTGTTGATTGTGCTGAGACCCTCCTGATGAGGCCCTTTAATCCCCAGAGTAGCACATGTAGCTGGGGTGTGGAGCTGTTGAGGATGATGGTGTGGGGTGGATCCAGCTCACTGATGGGCTGACCATAAATAGGTCAACACACTGGTGTCCAGTTAGTTGAGGGCGGGGCTCCGGTGTTGTGACCTTTTCTTGGTTCGCGCATCAAGGTCTTGGGCGGTCCAAGTGCTTATGTGTCTGGCATGCCAGATCTTCATCACCAGTGGCGCACTTCCTTTCACCTGAATTGATCAAATTTGAATCCATTGACGAAGGACTATAGTCCAGCTGATTCGTCCACAAGAGTTCAACATGCTTCCAACAAATTGATTATACTGGCCCCTCGTCAGCAATAGGCATGTTATCTATAAGTAGCGGTCTCTGGCACATCTAGCCAATTGTGAAGCTGTCTGACTCGTATGATGAGAGCACTACAAGCGAGACTTGGGCTTATGAATGAAGTGTTCCCCGAATGCGCGCAGATCCAGCCGAACGTGAAGCCGTATGATCCGTACGAGGCGCGGGGCTGCTGCAACGCGCCTGTAGACGCGCTCAAGTGGATCCTGAAGCAGCAGAGCGCGCCGTCAGACACCGCCGCAATCATCATCGAGCCCATCATGGGCGAGGGCGGTTTCCTTGCGCCTCCTCCCAACTTCATCCCGGCTCTGCGCAAGATCTGCGACGAGCACGGCATCCTGCTCATCATCGACGAGGTGAGGCCTGCAAAATATTATCTTCTGCTGCTGCTTGGTAATCTCCAAGCCTGGATATGTAGGTCCATAAACAGGCTGGATCCTGAGTACCCCACGCTGACCAGGGCGATTCGTGCACATGCAAGTTCCTGATTATTATTTGACCTGATCAGAAAGTTTTGCAGTGTGTTCGAGTCGCCCTGGTCAGGGCAATGTCCTGGCGAGCCCCGCAGCTGGTTGTCTTGGGTATGGACTGTTTCTGGCCATGCGGGTGCCCCCTTACCGTGCCCAATTGTGTCTGACAGGTTGCATGTGCATGGCCTCAAAATCCAGTGCCTAGCCAATCACCTGCATATCCATTCGTACTCTACATTAGCTGTAGGTCCTGTAATTTGCCAGTTTCCTGAGGTGGTAAAAACCACCAAGGTCAATTAATGCGGTCCTCACATGGAGGTCTCCTGAGGCCTGAGGGTGTAGGGACTTGCATGGTGGTCGTGTGACCTCCTACAAAGTCTCACCAAGTTTTCGGCTCGACATCTCATGCATGCCGAGAATCGGGCCGTGGAGTTCATGATTTTTTGCTGACGTGGCGGTGTGCGCGCATGTGCTGGCAGGTGCAGGCAGGCGTGGGCAGGACAGGCAAGTGGTGGGGCCACCAGCATGTGAGCGGAGAGGCAGTGGAGCCCGACATCATGATCTTCGCGAAGGGGATCGCCTCCGGCTTTCCCTTTGCCGGCCTGGCTACGCGCGAGAACATGTTTGAGGGCCTTGCCAGTGGCACCATGGGGGGCACCTACGGTGGGTCACCCTATTGGGCACGTCCCTTGATTTTACTGGTTATATCTTGACGCTTTCAAGGGTTTCTGGTGTTCGTAATATGCTCGCCGTCATTTTTTTGATCGGTCACGTGGGCATGGGCATACTTTGGCACTTCCGGATTCTGGCCATCACACATGTGGATGCCTTCTCAGGATGCTTTCTGGTGAACACAATCTTCATGCGGCATGTGCGAGAATTTTGTGTTTGGCCAAGAGGATCCTACTGATATCCAGGCAATGAGTGTCCAGATCTGGAAGCTGTGCCTGATTTCTACCAGATCGGTAGTTCTAGAGCAGATCCTCCGCCTGTTGCTGCCATCTTTCAAGCATGGGGTGGCCTGGAATTTTCCGCTGCATCAATCAGCTAAATGGGCAGGCATGCTTCCATTTGAGAGCACAAGTTGGTCGTTAGAGATTCTTATGGCCTGCCGTGCAGGCGCTGCCCCGCTGGCGTGCGCGACGGCATGTGCGACGCTGGACGTGATCAAGGAGGAGAAGCTGCTGGACAACGCCACTGCGCGCGGTCAGCAACTAGTCAAGGTGCGCCGCTGTTTCCATGAGCAAGCCATTTTGGGAGGCTACGGGCAGGGAGTAATTGTGGAGTTGCCCTGTTGAGATCTTAGGCTCAACCAAATCAAACCCGGTCGGTGACGTGGTGGCCTCCGGATCCCACGACAAACACATCTTCATGGCTTACGTGGCCCACGCCACTTGTTCATTCCGCTGTGGCGTTGGTTTGCCAATGAAGGCACCGCTTTCTTTGCAAGTGGTTGGAAGTTGCAGAACTTCTGCGCTTCATGCTACATTTCACCAGGCCGCATTCTGGTTTCAATCTCTATCAGATTCAAATTACTCATGCATCGCCATTTCTGCCGCCACCAAAGATTTGCCCGGGAGAGGGCTGCAGATGGCCTTCTGATGCTGATTCATTTTTGGGTGTGTGACTGCAGGGCCTGCTGGAGCTGACGGGCAAGTACCCGATCATTGACATCCGCGGCCGCGGACTCATGTGCGCGGCAGAATTCGGCGGCCGGGACGGAGGCATGAGCGCCGAGCCGGGCGTCGCCGCAGCCGTCACCAAGGCTGCCGGCAAGCGCAACATGCTGCTGCTCACCGCGGGTGCGCTTGCACCCACTTCTGTGAAAAGAAGCAGCATGCCTGTCCAGTGCCATACTTCCTCTTTACAGTCAAGTGGGTCTTACAATGCTTCGCACCTCCTAACGAGCAGGATTTGAGCATGCTTAGGGCAGTGTCCTAACAAGGGCAAGCTCTTGATATTCTCACAATCACACTCTCCCCCTTCAAAACTTGGGAGCAATTGCCTACCGGATTGTCCCCAGTTAGCAGCACAAGCCATTCTGGTAGGGGGCGTGTGTCTCCCAGCTTAAATAGATTGGGAATGAATGTATGGTTGTGATCCTTCAGGCGCCAGGGAGACGGTGCGGTTCCTGCCGCCTCTGACGGTGAGCGAGGGGGAGATCGACGAGGCGCTGCACATCTTCGGCCAGTCCCTGGAGGAGGTCTTTGGCAGCAGCGCAGCGCAGCTCAAGGCCGCCTGATCTGGCAGCCCTTGCCGCTGCATGCTCCACAGATATGTAACAAAGATTTCATGGCTGATTCTGCAGGGCTGTCTGTGTTCAGTCTTTTGTGTGTTCATGTTGGCTGACTGTTCCGAGACTTGTCCATAAACAATGTGCGGGAGCCATCTCATTGCAGATTTCGTGCAGACAGGCAGCAGGCAGTGTTCTGTGCATGAGAGGGTGCGAAAACCTGGCACGCTCTGATGCAGTACATGATGAGCACGTCGTGCTTGTGGGGCGGGTTTCATGGTTGATGCTAGCACGTTTTAGGTGGGTGATTTTGTTGTGTGAATGCTGCTATTGCGGCAAACACGCCTATGGGTTTGCATGATGTGCTGTATTGGCACCAGAAACAGCAGTGCAATGGTACTCTCTTACAAACGCTTATTGCAAGCAGAATGATGTGCGAGCTTGAAAATGCTTCTTCAGCCATGCTTAATTACATCACAATATATACTTACAGAGGTCAGCAGGCCTCTCCCAATGTAAATTCCACTCCAGCTTGTGCCCCCTCAATTTCAGACATCCCGTGTTCTCAGGCCGGGATATCCCGCTCACTGCGTGCAGCACGCAGGCGTAAAATGCACTAATAATTGATGCACCGACGCAACAGACACACTCCAGACTCCAGGTGCACCCCTTGAGGTCCCTCCTACGCCTTGTATACATACTTGTACATATACTTATGCAAATATTCTTGAGCACAGACTTTGCTTGCAGGCATGGACGACCTTGACCTGCATCTCACAATCTTGAACTGACACACATGCAGCTTGATGAAGCCAGAAAAATCACCTCAAAAAATCCACCGAAACCAGAGATCACAATTCAGAAGCCTTGCATGCAAACGGAAGCTTGACGCAATAATTCACTCCTGGGTTCTGTATGCCTGTTCCCTCTCTGCGCGTGGGCTACTCCTCAAGTTCATAACAAGTCAATATTTGCAATGTTTCGGCATGTTCGGCACTTCTTCTGCATGTTCTGTTCCTGCTCTATGCTCTAACTTCCAGTTAACCCAACGAGCGCCCAAATTGCTACAGACTTGCAAGGCAGAACGCTCGCTTCCGCTATCCAGTGAGGACATATCACGCCCAGTGCAGCCAAGCAAAGCCTAGCTTCCACAAAAAGTAGCCTGTTGAGCTGGGCTAGGGGCCACAGGTAAGTACAGGCCTTCAGTAGCCCTGCTGCATGTTAAACCCCATGGGCGGCCCGAGGTGGTGCAGGGGCATCTGCCCAAACACAGGCAGCATCTGTGGCGGCATCCTCGGCGGGTGCTGGAACTCATGCGTACAGATGACTTGCGTGTGGGGCCCAGTCCTGTCCAGTGCCTGCAACATAAAGTGAGCATCCTTCGAACCTGAACAGAATTTTCTATAACAATTACTCGCTACTCCGGCCAGAGGTAAGGTGCATGGGCAGGCCAGGATTGCCCACTTAAAAATGACAGTCAGCAAGAGGTGCAGCACCAATGACACAGCCGCATCAGCACATGGCCATGTAGCACTCTTGAAGGCACAGAACATGTGCAGTTGCAAGATATTCCCAGGCAACGTTGCTATCCAGCTCCATACAGCCCGAATTATCATTTTTAAACAAAAATCGCAAGGGGGATTCAAAAGAAGAGCATCAGTCCCTCTACATACCCCTACTGACATCCCTTAAGTGACAAGTCTGAGTACAGCGGTATGATAGAGGCTGGATGAGAAAAGTGGAAAATGCTCTTCAGCCTGCAAGCGCTTGGACCATACCCCAATGCGGGTTTAGGTGTATCCTGCGGTGCTGGTTCAAAAATGGGGTGCATCATTCAGTTCCGGGGTGGACCACGAGGGTAGGCCGGGCGGTGCGGGGTGGATCATCCGATGCGGGGTAAATCCTTAAGAGGGTCGATCACGCATGGTGGGGTGGATAAAAAAAAACGGGGTGGATCAGGCGGGGCGGCGCACCAGGGTGAAGTAATCTTCGCGGATGAGGATGCGCGTGGAGGGGGGAACATCGTTCCAGGAGGCCTTGTCGACGCCCGGCTTGAAGAATGCCTCTCCTGCCATCAGCCTTGTCTCCTCCAGCATCACGATGTAGCCGGGCGGGATCTGCGCGCCAGCCGCCACGGGTTTAGAATTAGAAAAAAAAGGAACGTATGATTCACTCAAACCTGGCCCCGGCTGGCGGGTGGCGCTCTGAAAATTGAGCACAATGCCCAAGGTGATTGAGTCTTGCTTGGATCTGGCGAGTCCAACAAGGGGTAGGATTGTGGCAGCCTTCAACTGCAGCTGTCTGCAGGATGCACCTTGCCTCTTGGCAAGAAAGGCGTGTAACAATAGTTAATAGTACTCACCCCCTGAGCCCTGACACACGTAATCTACTGGACCCTCAAGTGCCAGCTTGAACGGCCAAACATGAAAACACCTGACAGGAAAGCAGGGATGAAAAATACACTTTTGCACCCCTGCCTTACTGACATGCTCCAGATGGAGGGCTCATCTGCTTGTCCATGTTAGGACAGAGGTAACGGCACTAACTTCTTTGACAGGCAACTGACTGTTACTGAATGATGATGAGTCTGCAGCAGGTTGCAAAATGCAGCCCTGGCAACTTGCTTGCTGCATGTCACTTGCTTGCAGACCCAACGATAAAGCTGCTGCAGGGAGGCTGCAGCAGCCCTCCCAACTAGGGAAACAACAGCAATTGACAAGGCAGTGCACAAGTCAAATGCAGTGCTGATGCTGACGCATGATCTTGGCAGGTAGAAGGGGAAAAAGACGCACAATTGTGCCAGGTGGAGCGATGAGGACGATTACGCGCGGCTGGAACTGGGCGGCATGAGTCACAAATTTGCTCGCCAGGCAGCCGTTTTTGCCAAAGGGCGGGTTCAGTCCAATCACCAATTTGTCGCCGCGGGGCAGTTGTCCTGTCAGGGCAATTCACAAGTTCCAAGTCAAAATTGAAAACAAAAACTTAGAACTGGCATAATTCAGGCATGGTCATGTCTGCCATGCCTGTGAAAGGCAGGCATAACAAATACCCACCCTAAAAATCTAACATTCACAAAACACACTGCTAGGCCAGCCTGTGAGGACACCCGGAGTGATTTAATTTCCTACCTCAATTGGTATCTTACACTTACACAGCAGGGAAGGCATCGCAGTCGGATGCCCGCCAGCATACCAGGTTCACAGAAACAGACTAGCTGATCACTGCTCATCTGGACGTACAAATGGCACATTCAAACGTGTGTGTGAAGAGCCCTTGAGACAACACATTGACATTACAGGACGCATTGCTCACCGAAATCAACATCGAGCCAGCTGGACTTGACAAAGTCCTCGGTGTCCTTGGCAGTAATGATGTCAAAGGCCCGCCCATGGATCTCCTGTGACACAGAGCCCCTCTTGTTAAGAGCAATCACGTGACAAGTCCTGCTGGTAGCAGAATGCCTGCGCGCATTCCTGAACAGTGAGAGAATGGTCCCCACGAATGCCATGCATGCTCAAGCGCAGTGGCCTCCATGCCTCTTTAAAGGTCTTTAGAGGTCTTTAAAAGTCTCTAGAGGTCTTTAAAGGGATAAAGCATGGCCATGGCCAACTGGTTGGCTGGTCAAAGCTCTGACGTCGAGACAGCAGGTAATTTCACTGTACAGGAACCAATATCTCGATTGTGCATGACATCATCAACTCGATGGGTGGTCTGGCCTGAAGATGCAGCATGCTTCCATCGAGCATATCATATTAGCAGCAAAGCCATGCATGGCCCACAGATTGCTCTTTTGATAACTCTGGACCCTTGCATCCAGATGAACCTAACATATTGTACATAACAAGACATGCACGTATGCTGAGACAGGCTCTTTGACCTGTTGCATGTACATCCCACATTGGCTACACTGGCATGCAGTGTGGCAAACAATCCCACAGGTCAATGAAAGGATTCCTGGCGCTGGCTAAGAGTGGGATCACCTTGAAGTATTTTGTTGTTCATTTTATTCAATTCCTTAGAACATTATTACGGTATTGTTAATTGAGGGGACCAAGTTCTGTGAGCAACCACAATCACACAGAATCCTGCCCTGACATGGGGTGGGGATGCAGACTGAGTAGCACCACTCCCCTACACACATCTGCCCTGAGCTGAACTGTCTTTGCAGAGTTCTGGGGTACCACAAGAACACTCCCTTCCATGGCTGTGAGGAGCGCACCAAGCCTTCCGCGAGGCCCATGCGTTTCAGCATGGGAAGCCACACGTTGTAGCCGCAGGAGAAGTCGACCACTGTGTCGCCGGTGAGCATGAAGGGCAGGAGGTATTTGTTCACCTCCTCCAGAAGGTACGGCAGCGTGAAGTGGCGCCCGTACGAGGTGTAACTGCAACACAACCCAGGACAGCACATCGCCCCACGTAGCTTCATCATGATTGAGTACGGGGCCCGGAGTGCAGGCATGCGCACGGTGAAAGCACATGGGAAACATGGGCGCCAGCCTACTTTTGAACAAGGCATGATGTCTCCAAATGCCCGATGATCCCTTCAAGGGAAAATTCTTGCTGACACATGCTGCTGCGATTGGGTCCCTATGAGGGAGATCATGGGCCACCGTGCAATTAGCGGTACATCTCAGCCTCCCCTGAACAGGCGTGCATTTGCCATGCTGGGACAGCTCATTGAGTCTTCCCCTGACTGCAGAAACGAAGAACAGAATGTGCTGGACAAAGCACTCTGCACGCCGTGTCGTTGCCCTATCAGGCCCAGCATGGCAGCTACGAGGCAGCTACAGCGTGCGCAGGACCTACGTGAAAGCTTCTCAGCTCTAGATGTGTCTCAAGATTTGGCGGTCATAGATAGTTCGTGGCCTGCGCACCTGGCACCATGCAGAACGGGAGCGAGCACCATCCGCAGGTTGTCCTCGGCTCGATACAGCTCGTTCACCAGCCTTCCCATCATGAGCTGGGCAGAGTGCGGATTGTCCAGAGCGCCCCGGCATGCCTTCACGTGCCCATCTAGGCGGTCCTGTTCAGGCATCAAAATTTCTGTCATCAGGCGTGAATCCCAACACACTCCAAGCAGACGTGTTGGTCATTGAACATGCCATACTGGTCACCCTCCACTCTAAATCCTGCACCCCCGGCGGTGCGGGAAACATTTCAAGGCAACATTTGGGGGTCTTCCTGGCGTTATTATCACCAGGGGCTTGCTCCGTTGAATTGGGCTTGCCAAGAGCTTACCGAATCTGGTTTCAAAATTTTCATGGAGTTTGAATTTCAGGAGACAGGGTCCTAATTATCAGCCGCTTATTGGCCACAAATTTTTGTGTTGCGGGGTTTACATTGACCAGTATGGTATTCTCACCACGCTTAAAAATCAATGCTCAAGGCAATGAAGCACACCTGCCCAAAACAACTCAAGCTCTGCCAATGACTCATCAGGCTTACGTCCTAAGACCCCCTTGCTGACCTGTATTTGTTGCTAAGCGCAGAGGTCGCCAGTTCCTGCTGCTATGGACTGTCGTTTACCAAAATCAATACAGAGGGGGAAAAGCCTACCCTTGTGATGGTCGGCTCGAGGGAGTTTTGATACGGCTTGGGCTTGCGCGAATTCGCCTCCACATCCCTGAGTGAGTTGGCAAGATCGGCCTCACCCCACCAGGCATTCAGGCGCTCCTGCATGGCGCCCTTTGTCCAGTGGGACTCCTGCGAACACCCAGCACTATGAAATGTCGACTGTGACCATCACACATGCTTGAGGCACGATGTCCTGTAATGTGAAAGGCATCTCATTCTGCCGCAGGACAAAAAGACCATCTCAAGCATGTGCGACCATCACAAATGCTTGAGGCACAATGTCCTGTAATGTGAAAGGCATCTCATTCTACCGCAGGACAAAATGCCAATTAGACACCAGGATGTGTGGCCTCCACATGTGGTGTATGTGCCATTAACAAGTAAGGACAGCGGCTTGGAAGTGATGGCACAGGAAGGAGCGCATACCCTCTCGCAGGGCAGCAGATGCGACTCCTCCTCCTCCAGTGCCTGAGCAGCGGCGGCTGCCTCCTGCCGGGCAGACCGGGCAGCTTCCGCCGCGGCGGCCTCAGCTTCCAGGTCCAGCGGCGCAGCTTCCACCAGGTCCGCAGCTTCCGCATCCGCATCGTCAGCTTCCTCGTCCGCGTCCGCCGCCCACATGTCATCCTCCGGCGCGTCGGCTGCAGATTCCGTCCTTGGCCTGGCAACTTCCTCTGGTGCTCCCTCCTCGCTCGACAGTCGCGGCAACAGTCTCACCATGGGTTGCTTTGCGGGCGGCAGCACATCGGGCACAGCAGGGCTCATCTCAGGCTCTGGCACTGCCGCTTCCTCTGCCTGGACAGCCTCTGCCTCGACAGGGGCCGCTGAAGCATCACCTGCACGCCAGAACCAAGGAGACATCAGACGTGCGCCAAGCATAGCAGACGAAGAATCCCCCATTTTCAGCTCTGTAGCAAGTCCATGATCTATTCAGACGTTCAGTAGTTTCTCACGACCTGGGTTGCCTGGCAACTGTGCAAGGATAGAATTTATGTGGACATCTTTGCAGCTCACCCCTGGTGTCTGGGGCAGGCAATCGCTTCTCATGCTCAGACTGGCGCGGGGCGGATGCTGAATCTTTCTTAATGGGCGGCTTGACAGGGGATGGCGGCCTCACGGCGGGCACTGGCTCTGCAGGTGTGTCCTCGAAAGGGATGTATTCCGCCTCGACCACTCTGCACAGCACAACACTTAGTTGCTGCACAGCAAATAAAATGCTTGTGGGACATGAGGGCCGGAACTCAGGCAGCTCTGGGATGCGTTGCTTACCCCGAGAACAAGGAGCTGCATTACGCCATGATAACACTCGGTGTGAAACAACGCCGATGTGCACATGCAAAGACGGCCAGCAATACTTTTTTCGCAGCAACTGAAGGAAGCTTTGGCATGAAAGATCAGCTCGTATGGGCAGGACAGGGCAGGGGCGCACATTGGCGCCGGCTTTTGCGGCCGCTGCTGCTGCGCCTTCCTGCCTGCAGCAATCCGCACAGCCAGAGGAATCTCATTGTCGTCAATCGCAACCGGCGCAGGTTTGCGCGCCACGGCCGCAGCAGCCGAGGCTGCCGGTGCCGGCTGGGGCTTGGTGCGCGGCCGTTTCGGCACGGCGACCGCTGCGCCTGCGGCAGGGGCCGCGCCCTTGGACACCGCAGCCTTCTTTGGCGCAGCCTGCGGCACTGCTCTTGCCACCCCTGCCTGCTTGGACGCCTGAGTTGCAGCCCTCTCTGCCTGCGCGTTCTGCTTGGCCTGCAGTCCCATTCAGCGCATGCCTTATTAATAATATAATTACTATTGTTATCATACGCTTGTTCCAGCCCTCAGGGCTAGGTGCGTTGCAGCAACCTCTCAACGATCCCTCATGCCTTTACCACGGGATGTACAGAGAACTCTTAAGTCTCTCACACAGCGTCCATCATCCCCAGGCCAGCTGTTTTTAGACACTTCTTTGATCGACTTGCTGAATCATCGCGAGGATTGGGAGTGCTTGGCTACCTGCTGCCGGCGACGCTCAGCCCTGGCAGCAAATCTGTCCATGATGTCGCGCGACCAGAGCAGGTCCGGGAACTTGGTGGCCTGCGCCTTGGCCCACAGGCGTCGCAGCTGCGGGGAGAACAGCTCCCCCATAACAGGAGTTGCATCGCCGAGGGCCATGTCGTGGCGCATGCAGTACAGCAGCGACTGCCCGATGTCACATTCTGGCTCGACAGCTTTTGTGCGTGGAAGCGGCGGCGGCAGCACGTTCCCTGAGCGTGACATACAGACATCATAATGAAGGCAGTAGCACGTCATGCGCAGCTTGGATGTAACTACATTGTATGCCAGTAGAGATCAGAGTTGCTGCCTTCGCAGAGGAAGCTACCCTGATTTACGATCATCATACTATGGCGCCATATGCTGACAGAGTATAGCTTTCTGAAAATGCAGTCTCAGGGAATCCCCTGGGCCTTTGTCAAAGACAGGCTTGGAGTGTTCACAAGGCAGTAGGACACCTACCTTCCTTGTCAAGCTTTCTGGTGATCCACACGCGCGTGACAGGGGAGTTCAGGATCTTCTTTGGCAGGCAGCCCGCATGGTAGGCGACTGGACAGCGGCGGCAGCTGATCACCTCACCCTTCTCTGCATTCTCCCCCTCATTGCACCTCTTGCAGGTGTGCAACGGGCTGCGCACCAAAACACGCCGTGTCCTCACGGCCCGACCAACTTGCAATTCTCCACTGACTTGGGTGGTGATTTGCTGACGAGTAAGCCAGGTCAAACTTCTGCTAATAGGGATTGACAGCAGGAGATGGAAAGCCAAATCGGCAGCCGGTTTGAGGGGTGGCGCACCAGACAAAGAATATGGCCATTTCCTGAGGATCCTTGTTGAGGCATCTTGCGTGGTAGAAGCGGCCGCAGTCGCCCACAGTGCACCTGCCACACACACAGCATTCAGGCTGTGCTACGTCCCATGCTGTTCCAGACCTCGGAAGTTTGCCTGACACTCCCTACAGGCCTGTCTTCAAGAAGCTGATACAAACCACACATAAAGGATGCCCCACGTAGGGGTCAGACTGGCCTTAGGGTCCGGTGGATCACCCATGTGATAGAGGGGCATGCAAGATGATCTGGAGAGGTTGCAGGAGAAGGGCAGGGAGCCGGGGACTCACTTGAAGACCTCTGGAAGACCACTTGAAGACCCTCCCACACTGCCTTCCACCTTGCAGGCGAAGCACTGGTGCTTGCCGCTGTGGCAGTTGGGGCACATGAAGGGCTCGTTCGTGGAATCGAAGCGCATGAACAGCTCAGCCCCAATTTGGAGCGGGTTGCAGGAGCCGGGATCGTCCACGTAAACCGGGCCTTCCTCCTCTTCCTCCGCCGGCTTGATCCCCGCATGGAATGCGCGCATGCAGCCGCCGTCGCACAGAATCAGCTCGCCTGCGCCAAATTTCCCACATCTCCAGGTGCAATTTCTGGCATGTGCAGCTCGACAAAAGCTCCAGGCAATTGGAAAACATATGCACGGTCCTGCTGTGCTGTTTTGGAGTGTGACAGGCTGCTTTGAAAATCCTGTGGTTGGTTGAATGCTGAAGAAAAAAACTATGGCTCTTCCTTCATTTTTTGCGCATGCGACCAGAAACCTCGAGAGCATGTCTCAGCCACGCACCGCCATCATCGCATTTGGTGCAAATTGTGTCGTTAGCCCTCCACCCGTCCTTTGCTTCATCCTCATCGTCCTCCTGCTCCCCTTCCTCATCGCCCTCTCTGTCGACATCACCACCCCCATCCCTTTTTTCCGAGGGCTCTCCCCTCTCTTCTGCCGCTTCAGATGCTGCCCCCTCTGCATCAGCCTCTCTCCGGTGGCTGCTGCCTTTGCTCATGCTGTCCTCCAGGCCGCTGGGAAGTGCAATAGGGGCATCCGCTGCGGCCTCCTCTGTGCTGCTTTCCTTTCGCAGGCGCTTCAGGGGGCGGTGACCAGCTTCGAGCTCAGGAATCTCCCAGGCCTCTGGCTGCTGCCTTTTGAGGTCCTTGCTGTGCAGCTCTGTCCTGTTGTCTGCCACTGCTGAGGTTGGCAGGGCAGAAGCAATCTCTGCACCTGGCTCTTCTCGTGTGACACCAGCAATAGAAATACTATTTGCCTCGGGCATTGCCTCTGAGCCGGACACTCCTGCCTCCTCTTTACCCTTCTTGTGCCCTAACTTTCTGAATTGAGCTAGGGCGGGCCCGAGCGAGAATTTGCTTTCGCTCATGTGCACAGACTTGCCGTGACGCCTGGCATAGTCGAATTAGGCCTTGTGGACCGCATCCAAGCTCTAATTGGAAATAACTTGCACCTGACGTGTTCGCATGAACCCACAGAGCTCCCATGCAACACAGATTTTGGGAAACACTTCCTCGGAGCACTGAAATTTCTACTCAGCAGGAGGCCCGATGCAACCGATCCCAAGGCAGATGTACTGGGATTTCGGCTACTTGAAGAGTAACGATAGTACTGAGACGATCATTGGTGAATCAGTTGAAGTGAACAACAACGTTGGTGCATGGCCCTGGAGTGGGCATCCCTCAACCTGTGCCTCCCCATAGGTGCAGTAACACACTAGATTGCCGAAATTATTGGAGCCTTTGAGCCTTGAATACCACTAGATACGTCTTCTTGTAATCGTGGCTTAAGTCGAAGAACCACGCTCATTTGGAACGCAGCATGCAAATCAGGAACGTCGTCGAACAGGTGCCCAGTCATTTCCCACTGAAAATGCAAAGCACTTGCAGGCCATATTCCTTTGTCGAAAAGCACTTCAATTTCATGCAGATTGGAAACAAATGGTGCAGGAATGACAGATTGAGCCTAGCGCGTTGTAGTATTGTAGGTGCGCCAATTTTTGCCAGCATTCAGTATATAGCTTGGTGGGCCAGAGGCAGATAGTGCTTTGATCGTCGCTCCTCGTTATGCTAACTGTTATAAAGCTGCCAGATCAGGAGGTGCGGCCCAAAAAGAGGTGGGGGTCGGAGACTCAAGTTGGTCGAAAGCAGCCGTCCCAGCGACCAACGTCAGAGCTTAAGTGACGATGAATGCATCTGTAAAACTGCTTTCAGACCTCCAAAGCAAGACGGTAAGTAGTAAATTTGTTGGCAAGCGGTCGGCATGCTGAGTTGATAGGCACAGTGATGGAGATGTTCATGGGCTTGGGAATGTCTTCGTTCCTCAGGCGTACTTCTTCTTAGGATTTTGTCAAATGGAAATTGTACATTGGAAAGTCTTTTAGTGATGAACTGCACCACCATGAGTTGACCTCATGCTAGAGAATTCACTCAGATGGCTTGGGGCTTGGCAGGAGTGCATCCGGAACATATGCATTCTGGCGCATGTGGATCATGGCAAAACGACGATGTCAGATCACCTGATCGCTTCAAACGGCCTCATACATCCTCGACTGGTTGGAGAGCTGCGATACCTTGACAGCAGGGATGATGAGCAGGTGCTTTACTACAGATCTTGTTTGCTTGGATTCTTTGAACACAGCAGTACTCTTGTGCTCGTGAATGGCTCCTGTGTAATGCAGCAATGATTTTTACCTTGCTCACCTTGCTCTGCACTGAAGTGACCATGCTGTATCATGCAGGCTCGCGGCATAACAATGAAGTCCAGCGCCATATGCCTTCTGCATGTGCCTGGTGCTACTTCCTTGCCTGGCGGCGCCGCAAGCTGCTCAGATGAAGACAAACGCTCTAAAGGTGGCAAAGCTCAGCTGAAGAGTTGGCATCCATATTTTGCAACACATATTTCTTCGACACGAGCTGTCCTTATGTTCTGTCTGCCCGAGCTCCGGCATGCATGCTGCACAATTCTGTCTCTCGCAACTCAGTGCATACAACAAGGGTATAGTAGAACTGGCCTGCCTGTTGTGTGCTGGCAGGGCATCAGCAGAAGTGCATATCTCACTGCATACAAACAGGAAATATACTAGAGCTGACCTGCCTGGTGTGTGCTGGCAGGGCATCTCATCAACCTCATAGACTCGCCAGGCCATGTGGACTTCTGCAGCGAGGTCAGCACAGCAGCGCGGCTGAGCGATGGAGCTCTGGTGATTGTGGATGCTGTGGAGGGTGTCTGCATCCAGACTCATGCCGTGCTGCGGCAGGCTTGGCAGGAGAAGGTCTGCTTTGTAGCCTCTTATTAGTCATTTCCCCAGCACTGGAGGATTCCGTTCAGCGCAACCATGCAATAAGAAGATTGTCACCGTTACATTACCCTTGTTTCTGCTATCATGGCGAGTCTTCATGCCCCCAAATCAAGGGACATCATTGCACTTCAATGGTTTGTTTGTTTTGCCTGTTTCACTTCAGCTGTGTTGCCCTCACAGTCCTCCAGAATCAAATGCATAAAATCAAGCCGGGATGGCAGATGCCCTTATGGGTTGTGAACTTCACATCAGTTTGTTGTTTGTGTGCAGGTGAGGATGTGCCTGGTGATCAACAAGATGGACAGGCTGATCCACGAGGTGAAGCTGGCGCCTGATGAGGCATACACCAGGGTGCGGGGCATAATCACACACGTGAACATGATCCTGTCGGCCTTCCAGAGCGAGCAACATATCTCAGATGCAGACGCTGTGCTGGCCCACGAAGATGCCAAAGCCACGGCTGACAGCAGGTGCAGATCCTCTCACCTTCTTTTAAGTCTAGAGATCATAGATCATCGTGGTGTTCCTATGCATGCAGCAGAGAAGGATGCACTCTGCTATGCGATATCTGGTACATTCTGGCTTTTGCCTGACTTTGCTGCCTCTTAAGTCAGGTAGAAAGCCAGAGTATGCCATACATCACATTGCAATATGCAACATCCTCCAGCAAACTGAATCCCTGAGAGATTCTCCTAAGCATACATGCATTGCGCTGCAGTGGGCTGCTCGAAGATGATGAAGAGTCCAAGGAGGACGAGGACATGGAGTTCTCCCCTGAGAAAGGGAATGTGGCATTTGCGAGCGCGCATGACGGCTGGGCATTCAGGGTCGGCCAGTTTGCTGACCTGTACGCGGCCAAGCTGGGCTTCAAGTCCTCTGCCTTGGCCCGCGCCCTTTGGGGCGAGTACAGGATAGATGCCAAGACCAAGCGCATCATGCGCATCAAGGCTTCCCAAACTGCCAAGTACAAGCCGCTTTTTGTGCAGGTAAGAATTTTTGTCCGGTATCAGGGCAGGTTCCTGAGACCTCCATCTTTCTGAAGGAAAATAGAGCTCCATGTGACTTGCATGAGGCGGAGTCTTTGTTTCAGCATTCGAGACAATCTATGATATTTCACATGCCTGATATTGCTAGGAAGGCCGCTGAGTCACTTAAATCATTGTGGCTTCATGATGCAGCTTGTGCTGGAGCCGTTGTGGAAAGCGTATGAGGCAGTGGAGCCCGGCGCAGATGTGAAGAGCATCCTTGGCAAGATGGTCAAGGGCCTCGGCCTGCAGCAGGCACGCAAGCTTTCCCAATTATTGCCCATTTCCTCTTGCGTTCCTCCAAACGCGTCTTTCTTAAAACTTGTCAGTCCTGTCCATTATCGGCTGGCTGATCATTTGACCATCTCCATGGGGAGCTCAGACTTCTCTTTCCTTTCCATGGCCTTAAGCATTCCGTGCTGTCAATGATGGCCATGTGAGCACTGAAGGGAGTCAGGGCAGGACGTGTGTGCAGTGATCTGAGGACAATTAAATGGGAGTGCGTGCAGGTGAGCGAGAAGGCGATCTCGCACCCGGACGCAAAGACGGCGCTGCGAGCAGTGATGCGCGGCTGGCTGCCGCTGTCAGAGGCGGTGCTGAGCATGGCGGTGGAGCAGCTGCCCTCCCCACTGGAAGCTGCCCCCGAGCGCGTGCCGCACCTGCTCGCACTTGACGCCATTGAGGCCGCCGGTGCGCCGCGGCTGCCAGCCGCCATGCAGCAGGTGCGCGCATGTGCATGCATGCTTGGCGAGCATCATTTATCGTGATCTGTGCTGGCCACAAAGTAGCTTGTGCCCATCCAGGATACTCAGATTCCCATTCATAGTCCAATTGTTCCAATACAAGGCAAGCATGAATGGCGGTCCCAGGATCCTAGACTGGGCAAGCTTTTGTGTACCAGCGCAAACGATAGCAGCAACAATGTTTTGCCGATGCCATGCATGAAATGTGCAGGGTCTCAGTGACACCAAGGCTGCCATGTCAGCATGCAACACCAGCGCCGATGCGCCGCTCGTTATCTACGTGTCCAAGATGGTAGCTGTGCCCGCCTCGGCTCTGCCCCGCGTCCCTGGTACGTCCAGCAGCCATCACCATCAGACTTCTGACACAAAAGGATGAAATATTCTTGCGTCCAGCTCTTGGAGTTGCCTTGTAGTGTGCATGGGAACATAATCTACCAATTTGTCGGATTCTGCTGCTCAGCCACCTTGCGCAGATCTCATGGAAATGCTACTGGGGAGCTACTCTCATGCCTGATTTTTTTCTAACATACATCACACCTTCGATGAGGAAGCAGGGACTTTGCGCTGATGAGCAAGGTGACCTTGAGTGGACGTTGTCCTGAATGCAGAGACATATTGCAAAATAACAAGTTGTCAACAAATTGTCATTGCGCAGGCGAGCCCGGTCCGAGGGACCCGAAGCAGGAGGTGTTTTTGGCGTTTGCGCGCGTCTTCAGCGGCGTTGTCACGGACGGCCAGCGCGTGCATGTGCTCTCAGCTGCCTACAACCCTGCACGGCCAGATCTGGAAAGACAGGAAGTCCAGGTCAGGACTCCCTCTAAATCCTCAGTCAGACACAGTTGCAAGCCCAGCTTTGTACCGTGCTTCGGTCTGCCAGCTTCCTGGTGCACAAAATTATGAGTGTCCTCAGCAGCAGCTCCAGGTCATCAGCACGCATGCCGGTCATTAGCATTTGTCTGAGTACAGACCAGACGATGAGAACCCATCAATCATTCCTGATGAAGTCTATTTTTTTACCTCATGAAGTCTATCTTGTAGCTGAATAATAATAATAATAAAACATGACAGAGACATTTGGTTGGGCCATTAAGAAGCGCTGTTTCAATTGCTTTAGTGCCTCTGGTGGTGCCTATCCGGAGTCAAAAGACTGTCACTTTGAGGTGTTTGGGTGAGAGGCAAAAGAAAATGACGGCGCCTGTGCAGGTGGATGGCCTGTTCCTGATGATGGGCCAGGGGCTGGAGCGGCTGCGGTCGGTGCCGGCCGGCTGCGTGTTGGCGCTGGGGGGCCTTGACCGCAGCATCCTCAAATCCGCCACCCTCTCCAGCTCGCCCGCCTGCCGGCCCCTCGCCCCCATGCTCTTCCAGGTGCCCTGACTCTCACCCTGACCCTTGTCTTCTGTCCCGCCACTAGGAGTATCCTAGAAATCGACATGGGAAAGGTGGCAAGCAGTGCAGCTGTAATCACGAATCAGTTGAAACTGAAAACTAGATGCCTACGGAGACCTTCCTGGGATGAATATCTTGCCATTGTCTACGCTATTCCGTGTCGCTAATCAACATGCGTCCAAACCTCACATCTGATTCTCAGGGTGGCATGCTCGTAGGCAGATACTGAAGTGTTCTCTCATGCATGGCACATCGTGGTATGTTACTTGTGCAACAATGAAGTCTTCTCAGCACCACACAAAGATTAGTGCTAGTCCGGAGTGTCCACCCAGCCACTCCTGGGAAGTCTGAGCAGGGCCAGCAAATTCCAGAGGCAGTCAGAATGAGTCATGAAAGATAAAATTGCACTCAGGCGTCGCCGATCGTGCGGGTGGCGGTGGAGTCGGCGCGGCCGGCGGAGATGCCCCAGCTGGAGGAGGGCCTGCGGCTGCTCAACCGCGCAGACCCCTTTGTCGAACTCTCCGTCCTCGACTCCGGCGAATACGTCATCGGCGCCGCAGGTGCATTGATCCCTTCTAATCCCCACAGGCTCCATTGGACTTGTATGTGAGATGCATGGTTGAGGTTGTGCATGCCCCTGTTGTTCACCCGAATGTGGGCGCTATGCAGACATCTCTACTCCTGATGCCAGTTAATTTAAGCACCGAGGTGTTTGCAGCGCGCCCTGTTGAGAGTGAATGGCAGGGATATGTGCAATCTTGACACATAGCTAGTCTCTTTCGTATTCTCACACTGCGTACTTGTCTTCATGATTGTGCTTGCACACGAGGAAATGGTGTCCTGTTTTCCAATCTACAGCACAGCTGCCATGGCGCAGACACATCTTATTGTCCTATGCTGTGTGCGGGGGTAGCCAAGCAGCAGGCAGCAGCTCAGCCAAGATATGATCTCCCACTGTGGTTTGCCTGAGCAGGCGAGGTGCACCTGGAGACGATCATAAAGGATTTGAGAGAGCGATTCGCACGCGTGGATTTGAGCGTGTCGCCGCCGCTGGTCGCTTTCCGCGAGAGCGTCTACATCGAGGCCGAGGCCCCCGAGCCCGGCCACAAGCCGCCAAAGGTGACCAGACCACCTGTTTCATTTCACAGTACACCGGAGAAATCATATGCATAATTGCAAGGCAGGCAATTTAGGATGGCGCTCTGTGTCACCCCTTTACACCTGGCCTATGTAATCTTGAGAAGCCAGAGCCTGGAAAATGTGAGGGATATAGCAGGCGAGGGGGGTTGAGATGCTCTGGCTAGGCCCACTGATACCGAATCTGATCAGAAGTCAGTCAATCCATCCACCTAGAATTGGCAATGAAATTGAGCCTCTGAGCTTTCAATGGCCTGACAGCAGCAAAAACTGGTGTGCAGGTTGTCGAGGCGACAACAGCCAACGGGCTGTGCACACTACGCGTCCGGGCGCTGCCGATCCCATCACAGGTCGCCTCCGCCCTGGACAACCACGCTGATCTGCTCCGGCGCCTCTTTGACGCGCCCAGTGCACCCGCACCTTTGGCCGAGGCATCCAGTGCACCCTCTCAGGGGGCCGCCCCTGCCAGCAGTGAGCAGAACAGCGAAGCAGCGCAGGGCGGCGCGGTTTCCTTGGAGCGGCTGAGGCTGTCTGAGAACGGCGGGACCGAGAGGCGGAGCTTGGACGGATCCTGGACCCTCCTGAAGCACCCTGCCGGCAGCGGAGCGAATGGCAGTGATAAGCAGCGCAATGCACCGGAAGATGCTCCTGAGCAGCAGTCACAGGAGGGTGCACAGCAAGCGCAGAGCAGTAGCCAACAGAAAGGAGAACAACATAGAAATGGGAATGGGGCGGGCAGTGCAGAGGCAGAGGGGCCAGGCGGCAGCAGGAAAGTTGCGTCTGCAGCGGCTGAAGGGGCAGCCAGGGATGTGGATGCATTCAGGAGCCGGCTCCGGGCCGCTGCTAATGAGGCAGGCGCCTCTGCGGAGGCCCTACTGCAACGAACCTGGCTGCTGGGTCCCAAGCAGGTGCGCCCCCTGACAAGCACTTTGTACTCATGTGCAGTGATGCTTGGTGTGTGTTCATTTGCAAGGTGCTCCTGCAGATTGTAGCCATGACATCAGGCCAGCCAGGAGCTTGCCGAGGGTCCATCATTCCTATTGCGGTTCTGCGCTCCCATGTTCCATGGCAGTCGCTTAGTGAGTCCGGGGCTGCTGCTTAAAGAGGACTTTTCCCTGTGCTAATCAAGTGTCTCTTGTGGTGGGCAGGTGGGCCCAAATATCTTGCTGATGTCCAGCGTCACGGAGGGAGGCGAGGGGCTCTGGATTGTGCCGACACAGAGCGTTGTGCCACTCGGCAGGCGGTCACATGCGGCGCACAGCGCTGCAGAAGTTGAGGAGCTGGACGGCGAAGCACCCTCAGCCCAGGCAAGCCATTATTTGGAATGTCGCCACATTTGCAGCCACAGTAAACAGCGTATGACCTCGAATTTGTGTAAGATAGCACTCTGTCAATTTTGTGGCGCAGACTTCGCAAGGCGACGCTTTTTCATCAGCTCTGTCTTGCGATAGCTGGGAGATGGATTGACATGGGCTCTGCTCACCCCTCTCACAACTCTATCGTGCCTCTGGGAGGTTTCGCGCTGAATTCCTTGATAATGTGCTCCTCACTTATCGATACAAAGACTAGGACGGCGATCGTGACAGCGGTCAAAATGTTGCAGGCGGAGACGCGAGTGCTGGAAGTTCCGTTGGGGGACGGCCGCGCGGCGGCGGCGCTCGGCTTTGCCGGCGACGCGGCGGCGGCCGTGGCGGCCGAGCGCGAGGCGTGGCAGGATCTGCGGTGGGAGGGCATTCCCGGTAACGTGCGCCACGCCGTTTCGTCGGGCGTGGCGGCCGGTTTCCAGATGGCGGGCGCTGCCGGGCCGCTCTGCGACGAGCCGCTCTGGGGCATCGCCTTTGAGGTGTGTTCCCCCTGAAGTGCTGTGTCCAACAATGTTGCTTGTCGCTCTTCCTTCAGGCCCCAAGTGAGCGAATTTCCTGGCAAGCATGTCTTGTGTGGTGCATTTGACAAAGCCATGTTGACTCTGCGAGACTGTGTCGGCAACAAGCTGCGCCTCTCCAGAGTAAGCCCAAATGGCTATAGTTTTTATGATGCCGTTTGGTCCTTGCTGTGGAAATCGTAGCTGGTTGCCTGCCTGGCCTGCTTAGCCAGTGGGATCTGCGGCGCACTCCTTTATTCCCAGACTCCGCACACACCTTTGTTCATAGTTGAAAAAGTGATCACTGCAATGCCAAAAAGTCCATCAACTCAGCCAAGGTTGACAGTGGCATGTGCCGGCAGGTGGCGGCGCGGTTGAACCTGCCAGAAGCAGGCGAGCTGGCAATGGCAGAGGATGTGTACGGGCCATTCAGCGGGCAGGTGTGCTATGCGCCCGGCCCACATGACACACCTAATTCCAGGCTTCTGTGCGCCCTGCAAAGAGTTTGACTCACTTTCATGTGTGCTAGTCATTACAAGGGTGTTTTGCGCGCAGGTGTCGAGTGCGGCGCGGCAGGCGCTGCGGCGCGCGGTGGCAGAGGCGCACCCGCTGCTCGTGGAGGCCATGCTCCTCTGCGAGCTGTCCTCCACGTCCGACGTCCTCTCAGGTGCGCCCTTCTCACTGGCTCCGCGGTGTTTCGTCGACATTTAGATAGCTTGAGCTCGCGGGCCCACTGTCAGTATCAAGACAGGTCCTCCCAAGAACATGCAGGCTACAAAGAATGCTTCTTACATTTTCCAGCATATTGGACTGGAGTCGGGTATCTCAGACATGGGGATGATCAGTAGGTTGTGATGGTCTTTTTTAAAGAGATCCGTGATACTCCTTGTTACTGAGAATGGGTTCGCCATGCGCAGGCACGTACGCGGTGCTGGGCAAGCGGCGGGCGCGGGTGGTGCGGGAGGAGTTGCGCGAGGGCAGCAACCTGTTTTCAATTCTGGCCTTCCTCCCCGCGCAGGCCTCCTTCGGCCTGGCCGATGATCTGCGCCGCCGCACCTCGGGGGGCGCCTCCGCAGCGCTCATGCTCTCCCACTGGGAGCGCCTGCAGGTGCCTTGATTTTCTTTCTATTGCATCCACCAACAAATATCAAAGATGTGGGCGTTGTGAAGCCTGTTTACATTCGTGCAGGAGAAGATGACTTCTGCAGACAATGTAATCGGCTGCGGGTGGAACTAAATACGTCGAATCAGAGGAGTCTGTCAAGTGAACCGACGCCATCATTGATTGCACACATGAGCCTGAGGGGCGGCATGCAGTGAGGAGGCTTGTGTGTTTGTCTGAGACATGTTTCGTGCTACGAGTTGCCGCGGTGCTCTACAAGATGATGCGCCAGAGGCACAATCATGCCCTGGTCTTGCCGGCTGCATGCGTATTCCTACATGGGTGAGACATGCATCCTTAGATTGTGGTCCTCTGGCAACTGCAGGTGGACCCGTTCTTTGTGCCGAAGACGGAGGTGGAGAGGGAGGAGTTTGGCGAGGAGGGGCAGGGCGTGGGGACCGCCAACCTGGCGCACGCGCTCATCGACACCGTGCGCCGCCGCAAGGGCCTCGCCGTCGACAAGAAGGTCGTCGAGAGCGCCACCAAGCAGCGCACCCGCGCCCGCAAGGTCTGACAGGGGTTTTTACAGGGGTTCTTGCTCTATTTAACTACTTAAATAGAGTACCTTGTGGGTCTGAGTGCCACGAGGTAGATTGAGAATGAAAGGGAATGGGAACATGTGCGTGTGCGCAGTTATTGAATGAGCTGTTTATGCATGCCGGAGATGAAACTGCTGTTGAACTTGAGTTGCAAGTTGTGAATAGAGTAATTGCGGGTTTGCTGCCAAGTTTTATGTGGCTGTGGGATAAAGCAAGGGTCATCTTCTGCTGGATCACATGAAGAATCGACTGCTGTTGATATTACAACTCTTTACGGCTGTAATCAAGCACATGGAATATGTGAAGGACCTATGCCGCAGAGATATGGATGGATCACACATTTGACCCACTGGGAATGTTCAGGATTGGACTGACAATGTCCATGGTCAGGGCAATGCTTCATTCCAGCGCCATCGATGGCCATGGGGATCAATTTACGTTGTGCACAAGCCTAGTTCCATTTCTAGCATTGCTTGTGCAAGCAGCATTGACTTTGGAGAGATGCTGATAATGGCAACCATATCAAGCACGGGCACTACAGATGGTCTGCAAATATCTCCAGATATCAAATTTCACTAGTACTGGCATGCCAAGTTCCACCACAAATCCAGCAGCGAATGAGCAACGTTCTTGTGCGAGTCCAAAATTATACGGCCAATTCCCTCCCAAACAGCTCCTGCCGTCACTAGCCCACATTTTCCGCCACAACCCCAGCATCATAGAGACTCTAAAATGTGAGCCCAAAAATCATGACGAGCGCCAATCAACGCCAGGAACAAAATCAGAGACACCACCGCCGCTCATAACAGGACCCCACGCAGGGCTTCGGTGGCCATGTGCGCCACTGTCTTCCCCTGCTTTGCCGCTGAGGCCTCCAGGGCTGTGTACACCTCCTCTGACACCGCCAGCACCGGCAGCTTGGCCTCTGCATCCTTCGATACATAGTCCTGCACAGCCCACAACATCCCTGATGAGCTGCACCGAATGAGACCCTCACATGCACAAGACGGCTTGCAGGATTGAATCCTTGTATGCATCGCACAAATGCCAGAGCACTTCTTATATTTAGCCGCTACAAAGAGCACGCAGCAATCAGTCAGCATTCATAAGGTAATGTACACTTTTGAAACGCCTAAACCAGATAACAGGCAGCGATCATCAGCATTTAGAGAAATGGGTGACACTAGAATGATATGCGCACCTTGCTGTACTGCCTGAGGGCGTCGAAGCCGACGCGCGCTGTAAAGTCGCCGAGCGCCTCGCCCGGCCGCCGCCTGTTCTTGAAGAAGAACAGAATGGGCTCCAACACCTTCTCAATATCCTGCAATCGCACCAGGAACTTTGAGCCACACCTCGCCACAGCAGCACCACACCTCTTTATCCTCGACACCCTCACTCTGCAGTGGATGAGTGAGCACAAGAGCTCCACTTCTGGGCAGACAGCCTTGCAAGCTGTCCACCCCACCAGAACGCAGCTCTGGCAGCTCCAGCTCCGCTCATTTTCACCAGTAACAAGTCCACAGATAGGTGTATGCTCAATATTTCGAGCCCTTCCACCCCCACATTAGCGCTTGCAGCAGAAGGCGGTCATTCCCTGCTTCCTCCCTGCTTGAGGAAAACATGCGCACCTGGATTTTGACGCGGTCCTGGAAGGGCTCTGCAAGGCGGGTCTGGTTGGGGGATCCGCCGAGCCAGAACTGGTAGCTGTTGGGGCCGTCCCCCACGAAACCCAGCTCCGCCATGTACGGCCGCGCGCACCCGTTCGGGCACCCTGCACCCACAATCGCAGCCACTTTGTCAGGTCAAACTTACTGCATCTTACATGCCACATGCAAATCTGCACACAGCCAAAAAACACAGGCCACAATAGCAGCCAAAATGCTCAAGATGTACAGCATGATGTCAGGCCGCAAAGCTGGGATGATGTGGCATGTTGCAGCCAAAGAAACCCAATTTCGAGTTCACGTCGCTCTGTACATCTCATTCGAATCAACGCTCAAAAGGCCTGCTATCTGTGATAGACTATCCAATTAGCTCCAGCCGTTACAATTAGTGTTTAGACGGGGACATGCACAGAAAAAACTACCTCGCGCACCCCATTTGATATATGAACGCTCCAGCAATTAGAGGACTTGCATGCATGCAGCATGGAGGAACAGAAGACATCTATCAAGGCAGGGGGGCGCGCACCGGTCATGCGGACGACGAATGACTCGGCCTCGTCAAAGCCGAGGGCGGACATGAGGGTGCGGATGCGTGTGTTGATGTCCGGCAGCGAGCGCTCCGACTCGGTCACGGCCAGGCCGCAGGTGGGCATGGCCGGGCAGGCCATGCTCGTGCGGTCTATGCTGTCCAAGTCAACAACATCCCTGCGCGCATGAATGACAAATGGCCACGTCAGGGATGAGTCATGCATGGATGGCTTGCTTGGGGAGCAAGGGGCCCAGAGGAACTGGAAAGCTTTGTCCATGACCCGCCCAGAAAGATAGTAACTCCAATTTTGACATGCGCTTCTTCTTTGCCAGAGAACATGGTCTCAACGGCAATCACAACACAATCCTGGGTCGAGCCATATCTGGGCCTGATGTACACATTGATCTGTGCGAGCCTGTTGGGGCACGGAAGCAAATGCTGACACATAATCAGCACATATTGACTGACACATGTCAGCAAAAGCTCACCGATAACCCAATAGGCGTGAACAAAATCATGCACAGCAAACCTACAGGCCTCCACGAGCCATTTCAGGATTGCACCATGTGCCTCACTACCTCACCGAGCACTCCTGCCCTCGAGGCTTCCAGTTAGTCCCAAAATCTTCCGAAAGAGAGTGAAGGCCAAGGAAGCCCATTGAAGTGCAGAGGAGCATACTGCCGGCAGGCAAGCAAGGGAGGAAGCGGCACCTGACGCCGGCGCCGGAGAGGGTGTCCAGGATGTCCGCCTTCCAGGAGGGGTGGATCTCGGTCAGGATGATGTTCTGGTTGGCCGTGATGATCACCGGCAGCTCGTACCGCTCTATCACCCGCCGCAGCGCCGCCTTCAGCTCCCCCTTCAGCCGCCCGTTCTGCACAAACACCCCGTAGGCCAGCCGCCCGTCTCCCTGCTCCATCCAGCCCAGGTAGTCCTTGAACTCCCACTCCGGCAGCGGCCTGCAGCACACGCATGCACCCACCGACCCCGTCAGCACACAAACACATGGACGGTCCTAAGACTCCTATCCTAGAGCCAAACTCCCAGTGGCAAACAGAGGGCTTATGTGTAAATCCCTGCTAGCTGAAACAAGGCAGACCCAGAACCTGCCTTGCTCGTCTCCTGCAGAGGGGACATGCAGTCAATATATGCCAGCCCTCTCCTACAGAAGGAAGGTCCCACAAGAGTTGACACATCGGCTCGCTGTCACTGATGCAGGAGGAAAGCAAGATGACAGATGTGGCATTAGCACCGGTCAGGCCCCATACTCGTATTGCTCAATGAGAGCAAATCATCAGCACTTCGCAGAAACTCAGCACCAAAAGCTGGACCAGCATTCCTTGCAAGGCGAACAACTCACACAAGCAGCCCCAGGGACACCCAGCGCCACCTTTCTACCTTTTTCAATCAGAAAGATCTATAGAAGCACCTACAACACACAGCACAAGTTGTGGCAACCCCCAGACTTCAGAAAAGGCAGACGCCGCAGCGGGCAATGCACTTGGTGGGCTCCTCATCTTTGCGCCCTAACCCAGCTATTAGAGCAGTAGCGTAGTACTTTGGCAAGCATGCGGGTAAAGTTTGAAAGGGACACATTGAGAAGCAGACACAAAAGCAAGCAGCGCACCTTAGGGGCTCCAGGCGCTTGCCAAAGTACTGCTCAACAACGGAGCGGAACTTGTCGACGCCCCAGTCGGCCACCAGGTATTTCAGGCGACTAAACTTGCGGTCATCTCGGCGGCCGTAGTCGCGCTGAGTCGCCAGAATCGCCTTGAGCGCGTGGAATATGTCGTCCTTGGCCACAAAGCCTAGCGGGTCCGCCAACCGCGCGAACGTCTGGTTGTTCCTGTTGACAGGTCATGCGCTATTAGTCAGATGCAGAAAAAGAGCCAGACTGATGATCCTCTAAAATGGCACCCTTTAGTCATGCATGCAAGAGAGCCTCGCGAAACGCGGCCGCAACGGCGGCAGAGCCTTGGAGGACAGTGCTGTTTTCTGTGGGTGCCACAGGCAGACAGCAAAGAGACGACAAGATCTAAAATTGCCTCCATCAAAGAGGTGAAGTGCCACATATCAAGGTGTGCACAATCAGCTGCCCTTTGCCAAGGCGCTCACAATCAAGATCAGCCAGTTAGTGCAGGAGGCACTGCCAAATCATGTCTTCATGCAGATCAGCTCAGCAAGATCAGGCGCAGGAGGTAGTGCACACCTGGCAGTGCGGCCCATGCCCCCTCCAACGAGCAGGTTGTAGCCGAGCACCTCCCCAACATCGTCCGTCATGACCACGACGCCCACATCGTTAGTAAAGATGTCCACGCTGTTGTCCCCCGGCACCGTGACTGCTACCTTGAATTTGCGCGGCAGGAACAAGCTGCCGTACAGCGGCTCTGGGCTGCCCTCAAAGTTAGTCCCAAACTCGTTGAACGCGCGGTCCGCTGTCACTTTCGGGTCCTGCTCAGCCAAGCACAAATTGCTGTGATGACGATGTTAGTTTCACAGCACCGCTGCCCGCAGGTTTGGAGTGAGAGCCCAGTACATGCATCTTCGAAACCTTCTCATTGCAGACATCTAGCTGAGGAAACCAGCCGAAGGCAAGCTGCTTGCCCTTGTACCCTGACCACTGCACCACTCCCTTACCCAAACAGGCACACACCTGATGTAATGTAAGGGGCTTCACGTCAGGAATGATCCCCTGCTGCACCAACGACAAAAAACATATGAGTCAGCAACTGGCGGCAGTCAGGTGCCGTACCTCCATCTGGGCGCTGACAAACTTCTCGCCGTCGAGCCAGACATCGTAGTAGGCGCCAGACTGCGGTGCAAAGAGGTCCGCAATGTCCTCGGCCAGCTTGGCAGCGTGCACATATTCGGGCCGGTCCTTGAAGGGGGCCGGGGGCGCCAACACGTTGCGGTTGACGTCGCCGCACGCCCCCAGAGTGGTGCCCATGTTTTTTATGACTGTGGAGAAGACCGTCTTCAAGTCCTGCTTCAGCACCGCGTGCAGCTGGTACGTCTGCCGCGTTGTCAGCCGCAGTGTCCCGTTGCCAAACTGCACGTGTGCACACAACCAAGCATGAGCATGAGAATGACAATTCTGCAGAGCGTTTTTCATGGCCATTACAACCAGAGGCAATAAGATGAGATGGTATGCGCATGCATGGCAGCATGCATGGTCACAGATTTTGCCAGAGGAGACTGATGCCACTTTTGTCCATGCTTGAAGGGCAAGCAAACGCTCTGGGCTACATGCGAGAGGTATGTGGTGGAAAGCGGTCCTCAGTTCAGGCAGACAGCACACGCCCCAACACACCAGGCGCAATCTTCAGTGCAAGCACATACACAACTGCCCCTTTCAATGGCCACGTGCCATCACCTGGTCTGCCAAGTCATCCATGGTGAGGTACAGCTGGTTGGTGACACAGCCAGCAGGCTGCCGCGTGCGCATCATGAACTGGTAGTGCTTGCCCTGGCCAAAGCCGCGCTTGTCCCTGTCATCCTGCTGGTAGCTGCCATGGAACTTCATCAGCTGCCCTGCCTCCTCATTGATGTTGGGATCCTCCGTCACTAGCTGCTCCATCAACGGATGCCGCAGGTAATCGCTCTTTTCCTTCAGCACCTCCACCTTTGACCTGGAGACACCACAGGATGCAGGGCTCAGGCGCGGTGTTCCCAGCTCCTGCTCTGTGCGAATATTGTCGTTGGGAAGAGGGTTGGCTGATTGTACCCGCGTACTGCTCCTTAGAATTCGCGTTCGAAAGTCTCGATCAATGGGTGCCTTTATATTACGTGTTGCTCCTGGACCTGCCTCATTGCCCAGCGCAGGAGCACTGTATATTGAGATCGACTGCGGCGCATTACACGATCGCGCAGGCAACAACATGACTTTGTTTGATAGTATCAAAGGACTCCAGCCCAAAGAGTTGCACTCGCTGCTCAACCATTCAGCTGAATAAGTACAAAGCCGAGTGAGAACCACCACCAGGTCCGAAACAAACAATGCAAACGACAAACATAATATTTAGAAGTAACGTACATACAAATTGCATGCGTTGCGTTGGCCTTTGCAAATGTACCCCTTCCAACTCACTGAGAGATATCATAGCCTCACGTGCTTTCAACGTCTTTCGCTTTCACCGCAAGAAATCAAGTACAGCTCCTCACCTCTTTGCTTTTTTAGCTGTGGGTGGCTTTGTGGGAGTCGCGACGCAGGTAACAAGCCTATCTGCAGGCGACCTACTTTGCGGGCGGCTGCAAGACGGTTGGCACAGAGGTGCGGAACGCCCAAACATCGTAGTCCTTTCCATATTTGCACGCTTTGTGCTTCCCTACCGCTCCTGACGACCAAAGGCCTTACCAGCACGCTGGATGTGCGACAATTACAAGAGAGCCGTGGCAATGGCATTCCGGTTTCGTTTGATCTGTTCGACGGTGTTCCGTCTTACGAGAAGGATCTGCACGTGACAGCACCTGCGGTGTTTCGGAGCTGTCTTGAGTCTCGGAACGATCTGCGCGGAACGATCTGCGCGGAATCGTCACCTTAGATGTGCTAGATGCAGTAGTATTGAATAGCGGGCTAGAACTATGAATCTATGTTACCATTGACGAGTGTTCACCGGAATTGTGCTTCAGGTCGCGTGTACAAGCAGTAAACCTGACCAGCTGCTTGCGACGCGCATGTGTCGTTGTATTTTCCCAGAAATAAAGGTGCCTATGATTGCTGGTATGCTGGGATGATCATCGGTTGTGCTCTTTAGACCTAACGATAAGTGTCCGAGCGGGACGGGACATTTGCCGATATGAAAGCATCCGCTTGGATTGCCCTTCTTAGTTCGCTCGTTGTTGTATCTGGTCAGAGATACAGCTTTACAAACGCTCCCGCGCCGGCTCCGGCCTTCACTTCGGGTGAGCAGGCACCCTTCAACGACGAGCTTTTCATTGTCTTGCAGAACCATCCGAGCGTGTAAAAGAGATAGCTCTCACAAATTATCATTCTTGCTTGCTCAATTCCCAAAGGGGCAGTACCAATTGTGAGGGTGCTCAAATTTGGCGGTGCCATGTTCTGCAGTGGATGAAGCCAGCAGCTTGGCATCCCTGGTCACGTCCACTGACGACCCAGCGGCAAGGGACTGCAAAAACTACCGCGCGGTGGCGCAGAACCTGAATGTCAGATTTCTTGGGCCGGAGCGCTCGGCAGCGGTGGGACCTGTCTATGTCGCGTACCGCCGCTTCGGTCCTCTTGATCTGCTCGCGCCGCTGACAGGCCTGCAGCGGCCGCTGGTGCGCACTTTATGGATCTATTTATCGTGACGGGAATGCATCAGCTTGGAAGATTAATGGTGCTGTGATGTTGCATCAGATCAGACAGCTTGATATCCGATGCCTGACAACCTCATCAGATATGTAAGAAATAGTGGATCACCTCCCCTGCTCCCAGCAACAGCTCTATCAAGCAGCCATCGTCACAGTACTGATGGCACTCGCCGTCCCAAGGACACCGGTGTAATCACATAGTAGCCAGCCAACTTCTTCTGAGGACAACAAGCAAAAAAGAATGGAAGGGTGAGATGTATAGCGCCTGTGCTGCACAGGTGCTAGTGATCGGCATCGGCTGCACGATGAGCGACTGGACGCCGCGGCTGCTGCGCGCTCTGGCGGCCGACCGGGAGGTCATAATCTTTGACAACGCCGGAATAGGCGCCTCCACCATCGCGTCAGACGGCATTCCTGCTGCAGCCGACTACTTCCGCTTCCAGGCGCAGACCGTGGCCGGCCTCATAGCCGCAATTGGTCTCAGCCAGCCGGACATCCTGGGCTGGTGACATCTCCTGCCCAAGTTGTCATGCTTGGAGTCAAGACCGTCTGCTCAAACATTGCAATGCACGATCAAGACTTCTCGAGGATCCTTTGAAGGCAATCTGCCGAGCTAGGAGGGGGCTGGACTGCAGGGTGACATGCCGCATGATCTGACCTTACAAGAAGGTAGCTGAAACACTTCTTTCGGCGCTGGCCCCGTGGGTTGTAGAACTGATCCCTTACTAACACCTCCAACACTTCTTACAAAACCCCCTGCAATTGCGCAGGTCCCTGGGCGCCAAGGTGGCGCTGCACGTGGCGGTCTACCACGGAGATGCCGTGCGCAAAGTGATCTCGGCGGCCGGCTCGGCGGGCGGAACCGGCTCCTCGACGGCGGTGATCGACGCGGTGAGCCACATGAGCGTTGCTGCCCGGCTGGGCAGGGCGGGCGCGCTGCTGGAGCGACCCAACAACATCCGCGCCGTGTGCCAGTGGCTCTTAGTAAGCTGCACTCCTTATGGAGCATTCCTGAAAAGGTCACCATGATCAGAATTTTGGTAGTCTGGAAGCGCCGGGCTGCCAGTAGCTCATCGTGCGCCCTGCTTCCCTTCTCCAGCAGCCGTGAAAAAGTTGCAGCAATGTGAGTATCATCCGTATATGACATTCATGAAACTTCAAGCGCTGTCTGTCAGTGGCTGCACACTTTCGGGGTCAGTGGGAAAGGGAGTGCGCAGAATACAGTTCTCCTGAGTGTCAGCATTCCAGGCAGGATGCAGCGGCATTGACTACTCAGCATGAATATGAATCTGCTGCCACACTCTCAGCTCTGTTGACCTTGTGTTACTGTAGCAAGCTGACCAGAAGCAAACATTTTCCCTGAGACCAAGTTATTTTGTCTCGCTTGTTGGATCAATCTCTTCCTCCTTTGCTCTGCATGGTCTATGCCTAGACCTGACCTGCATTGCCCCCAGTGGCATTATCCTGTGCTTCACAGTGTCTTGCTTGTTGCATTGAGCGTCACACCTGTGATGTCAAAGCTCTTCCTGCTGTGTTTGCAGGAGAAGGCTGTCATGCCAGTGGATGTACCAGAGGTGAGTGAGATCAGGGCACAGGTGGCTGCTGAGGTGGAGTACCACAAAGGTGACGGCATCGTTCCCCTGCTGCCTAGGGTCACAAACCCGACCCTGGTTGTCACCGCCTCTGAGGACATCACCAACCCGCCCTCCAACCAGGTCAGCATTACTTTGAAAACGAAATTGGCCCAAAATTCAGAGACAGGAATGGCCGCTCTCCACAGCATACTTATTGGGCGCTCAACCCCAGCACCCTTAGAAGCACATTCTTCTTCATGCTCTTACGGACCCAGCTCTTTTGGGAGCAGAGGTGAAATATCCTGCTTGACCTGCAATGGAAGCACTGCCTGTCTGAAGCTTGAATTTTGAGGCAGACTTTCTGGCTGATGGACAGAGCCGCTGCCAGGATGCTGCACGCTTTGCACTGTGAAGACAAAGACATCTGCTGTGACTGCAGGTGCCGATCAAAGGTGTATGCGTGGCAGGCATTCCATGGTGATACATAATGGCATTGCAATTTTGAAGAGGGATTTCTGCTGTGGCTGCAGGGGCCGATTGTGGCGGGAATTCCAGGGTCGGTTCTGGTGACGTTCCCTGGCTGCGGCCACCTGGCGCTCTTTCAGGAGGTGGACACATTTGTGGGCCTGGTCAATAATTTTACCGCGGCTGCAGGGGCTTTCACTCCCCAGCCAGACCAGTTCTACACCTGCGGCGCTGACGATGTCATGCTGCAGACCAGAAATCTCAGATAAAGTTACCTCAGAAGATGAAAGATTGCAGCTTCATCAGCTTGCATGGGTACACCAGCCAAGAGCTGGGCTCAAGAGAGGCTCAGTAAAGGACAGATCAGAGGTCAGGGCCAGTCTCTTGATGCCTGACATTGTCAGGCACGCAGAGCGGAGTCTTCAGAAGGCTGTGTGCAGCGCTAGGCATATTTAGATGATGGCTGCTCAGCATTGCTGAGCAAGCCCTGTGCATGGCCTGCGCACATGCATGAGCTGCTTCACTCAATGCGCGTCTGATTCAGTGTCCCTAGGAAGCCTTGGCTGTAATTTTACGCGCACACTTTTTGCGCACGCCACTCGCCAGAGCAGATCTGAAATCTCTTTTTTGCTAATGTGCATGGCTAATCAGGCGATGCAAGCATGCAGACTTGCAATAGACGAGATTTTGATACATAGGGAAAAGAGAAGTAGGCCAGGTGGAATTCTCAGAGTACGTGATTATCATCACAAGTTTCTGCTGCACTGATCCTAGAAGATCTTCAGACATGAACCAGCTACTGTGTGGATTCAGACCTCAGGAGAAGACTGTGAACATATGAAACCAGCTAACCCCTTTAGCGAGCACGGGCTCAAGATATGGAATCATTGTGATCATGCAAATTCCTGTTTTCAGGCAGTCAATGATCTATCATTAGGAGCGATGGCATTCTTGTCCACCAAATGGCCAATGGGGGAGATCTCGTGGGTAGTCTTGCCTACCCCATGAAATTCCCAACATCAGAAGCCAGTGTGCAGAAGTACTCGAAGGGATTTGAAGTAGGTTTCACACATGTGGCACCAAAGTGAGCTGGAAACAGGAGCACAGGTTCTGATCAGTACCAAAGATGGGTATTGTAGATGCGTTACAGTCCTTGAGAACTTTGCGCCTTGGCCTGCAAGGTCACTGCAAACACGCTGCATGTAACTGTGCTAGAGCACCGGCAGTCTGGCAGGGGTATTTGCATTGTGCTGCCTGCACCGCAATACTGAGCTAGCTTTCCCCCATTGCTGAACGGCAACCCCAAGCACAGAGACGTCTGTAGCTGTGCCCAAGTGGTATTGCATCCCTAGTGTATGATGTACACAGATCAGGCCTTGATGGCAAACTTGCGCTGCGGGAACGCCCTGTCCTTCTTTGTCTGCTTCTCGGTCTTCAGAGATGCCTGCAGCAGCACCACAGAAGCAAGCTCAGTGCACATGTTCCAGCAACTCTCCCACTCCAATTGCAGCTTTGACACATCCCTGCTATGCATGCTGTGGGAAGGTATTCCATCTAGAGGACATCTGGGCTCTAATGAACAGAGGAGTACAGGAATAACAGCTTCCACCCCAAGACCAGGGCATGAAATCGCAAAAATTCTCAATATGACAGACAACCCCTTTCGCCCATCTGCACCCTGCCAGATATGTGAGAGAGGTCGAAACAGACAGTAACGGCTTCGCATCACCTGGTACTTTGTCAACCTCCTCCTGATAGCCCGGGTCTTCTTCGGCCTCAAGTCCAGGGGCAGGTACTTCTGCAGCACACACATCACACACCCAATTACCACACGAATCTTCACGGCAGCAAACAACAGCACACATCACTGGTTGGCAGGTGACACCAGAAGTCCCGCTAGGCTTCAAGCTCATGCTTGGCTTGCACAGGATTGAAGGTCTTACAGCAGCGCTGTGCTGTCTAGCTTGAAGGTCAAACAGCAATCCTGGGTAGAACCCAAACGCACCTTCTTTGCGTAGGCATTCCGGAGAGCCTCACGCTGGTTCTGTGAGATGACTGTGAGCACGCGCGCAATCGACTTCCGCACAACCTTGCTGCAGCACCAAAAACACAGAAGTTCAGAAGAATGTCTATCAAGGAGCTTGCAACTCTCCCAGAAACGTCTCTTCCGTGATTTGGTGATGCACAATATGCGGAGCTGGAAGGATCGAGTGCCACTCCATGCTGAATCCAACTGCTTCCACTAAGAAATCTGCCTCTCTGAACTCACATCTTGGAGAGCTTGTTTGGGGCGCCTCCAGTGACCTTGGCAACACGCAGGGCTCCGAGCTCCTGCTTGAACTCCTTCAGCTGTGCTTGGAGCTCGCTCTTGCTCTTATCGCGCAGCTCGTGCGCCTTGAGCTTGGCTGCACAAACATCAGCATGGTCAGCACGCACGACTCTGCTCCTACATCTCTATTCCAGGGTTGATGCAGTAAAAGATATATCATAGTTCACAGTACACCTATTTCGCGACTCTATCAAGTAACACAGAGATTTGTTCTAAGCTCCAACACCATCAAGAAGAAGCCAAATTGCTTGGGACTTTCCAAACACATAGATGTTTGACAGCACCATCGTAAGATTCATGAACTCACCCATCTTGATGTACCTGAAGGGTGCCCGTCCTTTGATCACACAAGCTGAGTGGCAGTCTGGTCCTGGTGGGCGGCTGGCGGTCGGAAGAATCGCACAATCCATGCCTGTGCCAAATTAGGCTTTGTCCGAGAAAAGGTCGGCGTTCCTTTGTGCATGTCCGATCAGAGTGTCAATTGCTCGTGCTTTTTTGCGTGAATGCGCATGGGATGTCAGGGACATTGAGTGTCTGTCTCTTCCCTACGCAGGAAATGCATGCAGTAGCAGTGCTGCTTCCACAGGGCCCGGGCATGATATGTCCACCAAGTTATAACAAGTAATTACTGTTTACATGTACATTCCCTGCCTGATGTAAACTGCAGATGCAATGGCCCAATGGCCCACCGGGTGTCGTAACATTTGGAAATATTTGTTGTCATTGTGTTATTTGACCCGGTCCACATTCGCACATATCCACGCCCCGCATCACAAGCAAGTGCAAGCCTCAAAAGTGCAGCCAAACAAGGAGCTCCTCGAGTCTTCATTTTCAAAAAGGCATTGTCTGTTGTTCCCTTTCCTTGCATAATTCGTCTGTACAGAAAATCTATACACAGCATACCTCAATACCACAGTCAGACACGGCACAAAGCGGACAACACAAAGGTTGTGCAGGCCAACCCTACATGTACAATATTGTATATTAATACCCTTTCCTGAAGTAATGACAATAATGTTGTTGACACTCTACGCCTCCTGGAGGCCTTGAGTCTGCTTAACACACCCGACTGAAACATCAAATACCAGCAAAAGTGGCCAAATCAACGCAAAGACTGAGGGTTGCAGTACCATGTGAAGCTCAGGGAGGCATCGGCCTCCTGGGGGCACTATCCAGAACTCGAGCTAGTCTCAAAACACATTCATAAACCAATTTCCGAGAAGTGCTAGGAGAGCTGGTGTTAAGCTGAACCCACGAGGGTGCTTGAGGGCCCTGCAAGGGCAGTACTGGGCCCCACAGAAGCGTGTGACACAAAGTCACACCCGACGAGCTGTTGGCAAAGGGATTGGCCAGCAAGGCGACATAGTCAAACTCAGTGAGACACACAACAATACACTGGATCTTCACAGGGGTTGGGCATATGTACATTTGGTCAGCTGTGAAACAGCAGACACTGTCAGCATTCCAGGAACTGCATGGCCATTGCTAAAGCTCGCAGATTGCAGCCTGCTTGTTCATGGCCTCGCTAGGCACTCCCCTGGCCTCATCTTGAAGAGTCAGGTGCGCTGCAGCACAGAGAGCACCGTTGCCGCCTCCAATCTCTGAAATCACAGTGTGGCGAAGAAGCACCGCTCAAGGCAGTGCCTGCATGCGGAAGGGGCCAGAGGCGGGTCCGGCAAAGTGGCGAGCGGTTGGAGCTCTTTGCGCCCCTTGCAGGCTTGGCCGGCTGGCTTAGGGTTTGAAAGGGGAAAAACGCGAGGGGCTGCGGGAGAGCGGGCTGGAGGTAGGGGAGTCGACATCGGTGGAGCCGGGGCTGAGGGTGATATTGAGGGGGTGGCTGGCAAGCGCGCCCGTGCCCGGCCGGGCAGGCACCGCGCTGCCCGCAGCGGGCAGCACGAAGAACTTGCCCGGGGACATCCGCTTGCGCGGCGCCGCGCCCGGTGACGACGCAGGCGTGCTTGCTTCCGTGGCGTCCAGCCCCGGCGGGTCGCGCGGCTGCACAAGCGCCGCTATCGTCACCAGCGGCAGCGCGAAGTCTGCCCCCATGCAAAACAGCGCTCAGCTCTTGCTGTTGTCCCCAGGAGCAGGCTTGCATTGAGCAGATGCTCATCTCTTATGCTGGCGCACCGCTAAAGTAATTTGTACCTGCCAGAGGAGCCTGACATCTTCCTAGTTTGTCTTGTTCTGGATGTGGCAATAGAATATGCCCCTGAGCAGCTGTGCCATCTGCACCAAAGTGATGTCCCACATTTTCCACAGGAACGGTAGAATGGAAGGCATGCATTGCTTGGAGATTGGCTCCTCCTGGTACTGCAGCTTCTTTACTCACCTTTGGCTTGAGCAGTCTCTGGCAGGGCCACATAGGCAGTGCTGAAGAGGCGCTGGTAGCAGATGCCCATGCCGTCCACCCACACCTTCTTGTCCTGCAGCTGCAGGTGCTTTTCCACAAGCTCTGCAGTGCAGCATATGCCCACCCATTCAAGGTGCACTCCTGATCTATGCTGATCTTGACGTCCAACAAGTTGGAGAGTCTGATCAGCTCGTCGCCTGCGACAAATGTAATGTTGGCAATCAGGCAAAGGTCGGAAGATGTCAGAGGTCCAGGGCGCACCAATGATGCCGGCCACGTCATACTTCCAGCCAACCCACAGAGGCTGATGCCCCACGACCGTCCCATCTGCCTCTGTCAGAACCAGGGTCACAAGGCGCCCCTCCTGCACAGCAACGTCCATGGCATGTGAGCGATTGATTGCAGCCAACTCACTTTTATTTGTCATAGTGTTTGGGATCAGCAGCACTGATGTCATGCACAGTTGGGGAATGCTACACCCCAGATGTGTTTCTGCCAGGTACTGATGTCACGTGAGGCCAGGGCCAAACCCACCGTCTTGGAAGTTTGCAGGGACAAAAGAGGCTTCAGAAGGAGCTCTTGAACGGGGTACAGGCCCAGGCTGAACTGATAGAGACCGTATGGCACCGTCAGAGGTGCCCAAAACAGTGTTGAGGCCAGTGACAGCGCCTTCGCTGCTTGCGCATCTCCCCAGCTTGTGACAGTCGAGACTCTGTCTTGAAGGTTTTTCAGCGTCTTCTCAACGATGGCTGGTGCATACATGTTGCGAATATGCTGCGTGCTCCCCTGATTTGATCGATGTTACTAGTATTTGCAGCTTTCCGCTCTCCGCTTAAGTCTGCGTTGCACGACATTAATGCATCAGAAACCTCTCAGAGAGTACTTAAGAAAAGAACGATATCGTGTGGGGACTGCAGAAAAGCTCTGATGCCGCAAGAATTTACCCCCAAAATAATCAGGGCTTGAGTCGTTGCAAGTCCACCTCCTTGCTTGGACCGCCAATGCGCGGAGGTTGACGTCAGGAGTCTAAAATTAGCAGCGAGAGATGTACCACCACAGTTGGCAAAATTTCTTGTATCCTCTGCAAATCATGGAAATGGAAAGGTATATATAGAGCTGACTGGACTATAAACTTGCCATCATGTCATGTGCACATGTGACTTGCATGTGTTAAGAATCACCAGATCTGCGCTTCTGCCATCGTTAGTAGAGCATACGAATTATAAAGCGTTAAAGAGAACGACTTGGACAATCCTACACACAGCAACGGCAACCGTCAACCCGTCCGGTGAAGATGGCAGAGGCACGTCTCTTACTTTGTTGGCTTCCTTCTTATGTCGTTCTCCTTGACATGAGAAAATCACAAGTCCCTGCCGATGCTCGCAAAACCAACAAGGTTCTGAGGTTGAGTCGGTACCTGGCACTAGTTGCAGCTCTGACAGGACCAGATAGCTTCTGGTACAGAGCACAGCTCTTGCTTTTCATCACTTCTAGGTATCAGCAAGGACATTTAGCCTGACCTGAAAGTTGAGACACTGACCAGACTGGTCGACTGCTGCTTGCAGGTTGTTCTCAAAGTGGCCATGGCCTGCTCTGGCTGTGAAGGGGCTGTGCGGCGAGTGCTCACAGGCAAGCCAGGTGAGAGGGCTCAATAACTACGTTGTTTGATCAGGTGTGTGAATCGCAAGGATGGTCATGAGTTCTCCACTTCATGCTGTACGTTGATTGATCAGGTGAAATGAAGCGCAAGGATGGTCATGAGGTCTCCACTTCATGCTGGACGCAGGTGTTGAGTCAGTGGACATAGATCTGAAGGAGCAGAAGGTGGTTGTTAAGGGGAACGTGCAAGCAGATGACATCTTCCAGACGGTCAGCAAAACTGGGAAGAAGACAGAATTCTGGCAGTAGTGTAGCCTGCAGCTTCAGGGTCCTGACCCAATGACCCATGCATGCTGACCAAGATTCTGACGGTAATTGTATTGAAGGTGCTGTTTACATATCATGCAGCAGGCCTGTGGTAGCTGCAGCACATTCTTCTCTTGGCTGCACATATTTACTTTTCGAGCTGGGTCCGGCTTTGGAGCTGGCTTTGGTATTCCTCACAGTAGCTCATAATCAGTATAGGGTGCTCAAAAGCTTGCCCGAACGTTGATGCAGATGCACAGAACGATGCAGTCGGAATATATGCTTTCTAACAGCTCAAATGCACCATCGCCCTGGCGGCATATGAGCCGATTAGCAACAGCGCTTTGGTAAAGATGATGTCAACGATACTTCAGAACTACCAGCAATAACGTTAACAGGCTACAGATCGATCGTCAAGATCAAGTCGACCTTTTATACTTGACCAGTACATCGAATGAAAAGTACAAGTTCCCAGACTCTGAACAGTCACTCTCAAACCCACATACTACAGTACTGATCTGACATTGATCTCTCTTCAATCCTCTATGATGAACGTGCACTGCATTGGCAATGCGGCAACTTTGGATCCGACTCCAGAGATCTGCGGGACCCTTCAAGCGGATTCTTGATCCTCCCCAAGCGGCTCACAGTTGCATGTGCATGTCTCACTTATGTTGAGCAGCCAACTTCTTCAGGACCACTTTCCTCACATCGTGGACTGTGAGAGGAACGTCCTGAGTGAACTGATTCACAAGCGCCGGAGGAAACTTTCCCTGTGCAATTGCAAAGAGGCGCAGTTCAATGCCATTCTGATGCGACAGCTGACAGTTTCACAGTGCCTCAGGCCCCGCATGCAAGGAGTTGCCGAGACCTTGTCCCGCTGCAAAGGCGGCCTGTAAGTGTAGCATGCTTTATGGACTAACATGACATTGCCATGAAGCCACCAAGGCAAAAGCAGCCCAAGGATGCCCTGGCAGGGAGTGGCTAGATGGATTGAATGGCGCACCTTCAGATCTGTGAGGGCCACGTAAGTGACGCTGGAGGCAGCACCGCCGTCGAGGGGGGCAATTACCCAGCCAGAGGCGCCCATCTCCCCTCGGATCACACCCTTCATGCAGGGCACACCCTCCACCTGCTGCTCCTCCTCCTGGCTCAGGGATTGGCCGTATATGATTATCACCCCATTGGGAAGCTTCTGCGTGACCTCCCGGTACAAGAAGTCCCTGTCCTTCAGCATTGGCACCTCTACACAGAAAATCCCACTCATCAGCCATGCTGAAGCTATTATTTGCTCGTTCTTGCTCAGATTTGGAATTGGTGGGCTGTCATGTCCGGCATGTCACCCCATGCTCATCATCAGCATGCATCCTGATCACATGATAGATTGAAACGCAATGATGGTAGGTGAACGTGAAACAAGAGACTCACGCAGGCAATATCTGGTCCAGCAGATCTCCACAAGTGCACCGGTGGCAGGGTCCCTCTCGGATGTGAGTGTCTTCAGGTCCTTGATGCAGTCGTCCCAAGCTTCATACTCATCCGCAACCACTGCCGCCACCAGCTCTGGAGGCGCGGCAATGATGCCGATGCCCCTCGTTTTATTCAGCTTCTCTGGAGCCTTTGCTATCTCCTTGTACATCTGCAGAAGTAGCAAGTGCAAATTGCTGCCTGACTCAACTGAACCCATGTGCCGCAACATAGCTTTGCAGGTGCAATTTTTGGACAATGTCGGCCCTCTGAAGATTTGATCAGGCTTCCGACACACCATAAAATTTTGGTAGATCAACAAATCAGAAAGGGGTGCCCAGAATATATGCTGGGAAGTAGTATGTGTCCCTTGACAAACATACCAAGGAAACGTCAAGCTGCTTGCAATCGAGCCCCTCGGGATAATCACAATAAAAAAGGCACCTTGACGTCTTTCTTCTTGCCGATCGGTTCCCAATAGCCTTCATTCTCCTCTGGAACGAGATCTCTAGTATCTGGAGACTGCGCCAGCAGGTATCGCATTCCTTCTGCATATGGGCTGTATAGCTGCAGATCACTAGGTGACATGCTGGAGTGTGTGCCTCATATGCACCTACACTGTAGCTAGTTCAACTGACTAATGCGACAGGCAAAAGTGCGCAAGATAAAATATTCAGAGGCTATCAGCAAATGTCAAGATCACATCACAATTTTAGTACAAAATATCATTACTTGCAATATTATTTGGGTCATCTGCCATCCCCTTTGCATCGGCCAATCCTTTCTGTCGTCTTTCAAATAGCAGTTTGTGGCCTGCCCATCTGTCATTCTTTGCATCATGCATTGCATGGCTTGACCCATGGCTTTACAGTGATACGTAAAGAAGGTGAGTAGAACCTTGGCAACGAAACTTTGGGTTTGCTGAAAGCATCGATAGGATCATGCACAGGTTACTGTGGCTTTTGGCACCATATTAGACAAAGTACAGGCTCTGAAGGCAAGCATACAGGTGCTAGCAGGAAAGCCAGCTCAAAACTCTTAAGAATTGAGCAAAGGATAGATTGCTCCTGAATGTGCGATTGCTCTGATGATGTTGCTTTCCGTGTTGGGCATCAACTTCACATCCTTGCCAGAACGCTGATAGCTATCGACGAGGCAATCTTTTGCTCCCAACGCCTTCTCATCAGCACTTTTGCATACTCTTTAAAACATCAAGCCTTTGTACAAGGCTGAGCTTCTGCTCCACAGTGTCACATTCGTCGCATGAGACCAGCAGCTGACAACCAGCCTGAAGGTTAGGAGGGAATATGAGGGGAGGCAAAGGCCCCTCTTTCAGCGGGAGAGGATCAGGGAGGCCGACATCACTGGGCCCCAGGGATCAAGGATCGTACAGGTCTTCCTTCTTGCCCAGCCTTCATAACAATATTGCAAGATGGAGCAAGCCGGCTCTATACTTGTAGCATCGAAAATTAGACGTGTTGTCACTACTTCCATTTCTCGTACGCATGACCAGACGGCTTGAACACCACTCAAATAGCACTGCATCTCTATAATAGTGATTCATGGTTCTTGACTGTGCAATGGACTGCTTTGATCAGGGGTAGGGGAAGAGGCCGGGGCGGGTCAGGAGGCGGCTATCGTGGCCGCGGCCGCAACAATGGAAACTTCCTTGGGACCAGGGGAGACTTAATGCAGGGTGGCAGCAGTGGGGCTACACCTGCCTTTGAAGACTCCCGACCCAAGGTCAGTTGTGACCTGGCCTGATGCTTGTGAATAGCATTGCTGATGGAGTGATAGAATCACATTATGTCACACGGATGCACAGCGCTGTTATTGTTCCTCATGGCTATACAGCCCTGGGCCTCCACTAACGGCTTTGAGCCTTGTTTAGTGGTGCACCGTAATTGTTATCAATAATCACCTGATGATGTAATCGTGGTGCAGAACGAGGACAACCATGAGCTGGAGGAGCTGCTTGGGTTCCCTCTCATCAAGGAGGGCACGCGGCTGGGCTGGCTCATGAATCTGAACTCTGTGAGTGCTTCCCCAGTCCTTCCTGCCCTCGTGCTGACCTTCAGAAGGGGAAGGCAATACATTTGGCAGGGGATGGATGCACCTGACACTTCAACTTGCCAATGCGTCTCATACCGCAAGACAAGGATTGTGCACAAATCTGTGAAACGCCCTGGGGAGCTACCAAATTGTCAGGCAGGCCCTGTGCAACAAGGAAAACTTGGAGATTATGGTTGTGTATGTGAACATGCAGACCACCCTGGAAGAGAAGGAGTCTGGGAACACAGTGGCGGCCGTTAACTGCTATTTCATGAGCCAGGACGGGTCCATGTTCAAGGCTCAAGTCCCCTTCTCGCCATACTTTTACCTCCAGATCAAGGTACGCTCCAGTACCTGGAGGGCTTCAAGCAACTGAAGCTTCCCCTGACTTTCAGCAATCTCTGCCCTCGTGCATGCACTTGTGTTGCCTCACTTGAGGAGAGCATTTACGGTGGTCATGCTGGCAAGCAGCTCTCATGGCACCTTCGAGACTCTTAAGTTTCTTCAGCAGACAACATTGCTGACTGAGGCATGTGCGGACCAGCGAAAGGTGTCTGAGAGTAGCTGGTCTCACCAGGCCATAAACAGACCTCATCAAGGCATGACAGCTTTCATTCAGGTGCAATTTCAAATTTAAACCATGCACAGGGTGACATGGAGGCTGAGGTGGACGCCTACCTGCGCCGCAAGTACACCACGGCCATCCGCGATGTGGAGACCGTGTTCCGAGAGGACCTGGACCTGAAGAACCACCTGTCGGGCCTCAAGCGCAAGCTGCTGCTGGTATGGTCTAGATTTCGGTGCCCATTACTCCTGAATCTGAGAGAGATTTACTAGAATTGGCCAATTAGCAACACCCAAGGTTGTTTGAGGCTGCCTTGCTCTGGTCAAGCAAGGCTGGAATTCACTGCAGAAGTGTGCATGCGGCAACTGCATGCATATGTGATTCCCACGGCCTGAGAATGGAGGTTGCAAGCAGGAATTCCACGCATTTTGCTGACCTCTGATTCTGGATCTCACCATGTCCTTCGCGGCTTCATAGCTTGTTCACTTCTTATCATGTGCAGACATGCGCGTGCGCTCAGCCGGCATGTGCGCGCAGGTGAGCTTCTGGACGGTGCAGCAGCTGATGGACGTGAAGCGCGACCTGATGCCGGCCCTGCGCCGCAACCGCTCCAAGGCCGCCACCACCGACGCCTACTCCGCCTTTGCGCAGGACGCCCAGAAACCTGGCGCCAACCGCCTGCAGGTATTATATATTTGTCTCTTGTCTTGTATTAGAGCGTTCTGCTTTGACCTGTACAGCAATCTACACACTCTGTTCTGAGTCTCATTGAAGGCCCCCTGTTTGTTGCTGCCTTTGCTTTAGCATTCCACGCCAAAGGGCAATTGTATGGAGGCTGCTTTCTCTTTGGCGGAACATCTAATACTACATGATGAAACGCCTGTTGTTTTGAGGTTGTCCAGTAATGGATACATCGTCAAGGGATGGATACATTGTGAACAAGGATGCTCCCTTGGGCGCCCTGCAACCTTTCTGCCTTGAAATGGTCGATGCTGGCAATCCAGAATTGCCTTGGGTCACAGGATGCTCTGGATGCGCTGGTGGACATGCGCGAGTACGATGTTCCCTACCACATGCGCTTCCAGATCGACACTGATGTGCGCTGCGGGCTCTGGTATGATGTGCGGGCCAAGGTGAGTCAACACTGACTTGCTGCACATGCTACATATGTCATGTCTCGAGAGTCAGAGTTGACATGCCCTGCTCAAAGCTCTGCAGCACTGCCGTTCTGTGCAAGACCCTTGAGGCCTCGGCTGCAGGGTGATATCTGCTGCACACCCCTTTCCTCAACCAGATCCAACGAGGGAACAGACCTGAGAACGCTCAAGAAGTGATAGTTCACCATTCCAGCATGATGTGTGCATGGTGACTGACAATGCAGCAGGAAGGATAAGTAAAGTCACACAAGGCAACCTCAGGCTTGCTGCCTGCAGGGCGGCAAAGTGAGCCTGGAGCCGCGGCCCGACCTGCTGCAGAGAGCAGAACCGCGCATCTGCGCATTCGATATCGAGACCACCAAGCTGCCCCTGCAGTTCCCCAATGCCGAGTATGACCAGGTCAGCCCTTCAGCCTTGTGAGCAACCATGACCATGGCTGCTTCTCTCTGTTCTCCAGACAGTTGGAAGCCGTGCATCTCTTCTGTGTAGGTGCATCAAGGGTTCAAACGCATTTGTGTCAGGTGTTGACACTTGCAATCTGCTGGTGAAGGATGATTGGCAGGGTGATCACGACCAGAGCATGAGTCATGGAGCTGCATGCATGCGCAGGTGTTCATGATCTCGTACATGATCGACAAGCAGGGCTACCTCATCATTAACAGGGAGGTGGTGGGAGGAGACATCGAGAACTTTGAGTACACGCCCAAGCCCGAATTCGAAGGTACGCCCCTGCTCTATAGGAGCAGTAAACACCAGGAAATAGCTCTCTCCAGAATAGATGTGACAACCTTCGAATTCAAAGTGTGGTAGGAAGGCCAGACCCGTTCAAGGCACTGCCCTTTCCTCCGTGGCATCCTTACCGCTCAGGCTTCTTCCGTGCTGTGCAAGTGATCTTCATCAGTCCTGACGGCGACGGAAGCAACTTGCATGCATGCACTCTGCATTGTCAGCGCATGATGCCCATATAGGCTCTCAGACGAAACGCCCTTACTTCCTTTCCCGGGGGTCTATGCGCAGGGCCCTTCGTGGTGTGGAATGAGGCGAACGAGGAGGCCACGCTGCGGCGCTGGTTTGACCACATGCGCCAGGTGAAGCCGGCAGTCTACGTGACCTACAACGGCGACTTTTTCGACTGGCCTTTCATCGAGACGCGCGCCGCCAAGCTTGGCATGGACATGCACGAGGAGATCGGTTTCAAGATGAACTCCAAGACGCACGAGTGCCTCTCCAGGCGCGCCCATGCAACCAACCGCTAAATGCCTGCAACAGGGAAACTCCTCGGATGTCCACCCTTGCCCTGACCTCAGAGGAAGAGGGAGGTCTGTCTGGCCTGCGTGAGTATCTCTGAAGGGGAATATTTTTGTTGTACTCGTGTGCAGGTCTGCGGTGCACATGGACTGCATGCACTGGGTGAACAGGGACTCCTACCTGCCACAGGGCAGCCGCGGCCTCAAGGCACGCCCCACGAACTTCTGCCCTCTCTTGCTCTTGCCCCACCTTGAGTGACAGGAAACAATTATTTTAGTCCCAGTGCCAAACATAAGCTTTGCAAGCATCACATGCTGGCAAGCCCTGCATCACCGACGGGCGTGCCAAGCTTGCGTGGCTTGTATTCAGGGCTGCGGGTAGATTCATGTAGAGCAGGCAATTTTAGTATCCCACAAAGCATGTGCCGGGCGGCGCTTGACTCCTGCCGGTATGTGCACGCAAGCATGCAAGCTGGGCATAGCCAGATGGATGCACAGGAAGGAGCCGCCTGACGCCTGCCGGCATGTGCGCGCAGGCAGTGACGCGCGCCAAGCTGGGCTACAACCCGATCGAGGTGGATCCCGAGGACATGCTGCGCTTCGCGGCGGAGCAGCCGCAGACGATGGCGTCCTACTCTGTCTCTGACGCCGTTGCCACCTTCTACCTCTACATGACCTACATCCACCCCTTCATCTTCTCTTTGTCCACCATCATCCCCATGCCTCCAGACGAGGTCTTGCGCAAGGGCTCCGGCACGCTCTGCGAAATGCTGCTCATGGTGCAGGCCTTTCAGGTGAGTTCCTGTCTACCTGCATTGCCTCCCTACATGGAAGCTCCCCTTATCCAGCTATCCCTTATCAGCTACCCCTTAGCAACTCTATTCCCTGCAGCGCCATAATGCATGTGCGTGGCTCAGTGATAAATGCCTGACAAATATCTGCCTTATAATTCTGCATCAATCTGCCTCCGACATCCCCTCTACCAGTCGTCAGGCCCTCTCGTTCAACTGTTCTAATCTGTAGTTATGCATGGGCCGGCTCGCACCTTGTCATTCTCAATGCAGAGAGCTTGATGGATTGAGATGCAGACTCAGGGATGCTTAAATAGCACCGATGAACGGCTGTATGCATGCGTGTGCGCGCAGGCGAACGTGGTGGCGCCCAACAAGCACACGCAGGTGCAGGAGCCCATGTTCCGGGGGCACCTGCTGGAGAGCGAGACCTACATCGGCGGCAAGGTGGAGGCGCTCGAGTCCGGCGTGTTCCGCTCCGACCTGCCCACCCGCTTCAAGCTCGACGCCGCCGCCTACCAGGCATGCCGCCTTCCTTACTCTGCTCATGCTTAACTTTGCATCACTAGGTTCCATTTATCAAGCAGCCCACTGGGGCAGCTGCATGTTGCTGGGCGCCTGCGTACACCAGGCACAGTGCTGCTGTCTCTGTGTGTTCTACATACATTTATTTAGTTTAGAATTGGCAAGCAAACTCCTGCTACAGTCGCAGGCCCTTTAGGCACTTGCGTGCTGATGAACGGCGGGTTCTGGCGGCTGGCAGGCATGCAGACAGATGATTGTCGTCACCTGGGCCTGCCACTTGTACACAGCTTTTGATACTTTATGACGGATCCCCTCCATGTTCCAGAGATATGCTGCTGCTGCTGCTACGACTCTTGATACTGAGCTGCTCTCAGTGCTACTTCATGTTCCCTTTGCCAATTTTTGGTGGTATTCAAATCTACATGCAGGAGCTGATAGATAGCCTGGACACCGACCTGCGCTACGCGATCGAGGTGGAGGGAAAGTTGGCAATGGACGACGTGGAAAATTACGAGGAGGTGCGCGACGCGATCCGCGCATCACTGGAAGGACTGCGCGATACGCCCAACCGCGAGGAGTGCCCGCTGATCTACCACTTGGACGTCGCCGCCATGTACCCCAACATCATCCTCACCAACCGGTGCGCCGCAGGGCATTCACTTGAGAATGTATTGCCAGGCAGTGATAATCTGGTGGCTCGCAATGTGCTCTGAGAGGGCATGTAGGGCAGGGCCCAACGCATTTGCTGCACATGATAGCATTACGCAAAGGTTCACTGCTGCAGCACTTCATGGATCTTACCGGATGCCTTTTGATTTAGTCCCGTGCAAGCAACTGCAAGGCACAGTAGCACCCTTTGAGGCTGCGCTCACAGTGTTTCCTCATGCTTTCCATATGGGGCCACGCAGTGACCAAACTTGGACCAGCGCTGCGACCCTGCCTGAAGTCATGGTAATAATCTTCACACTTCATCTCGCACGCATGTGGAACACATGAGTGACACGATTTCTTGTGATTGGCGCCTTGCAGGCTGCAGCCATCGGCGATCGTGACGGACGAGGACTGCGCGGCGTGCGACTTCAACCGGCCGGGCAAGACGTGCCTGCGCAAGATGACGTGGGAGTGGCGCGGCGAGACCTTCTCGGCCACCAGCGCGGAGTACTTCTCCATCAAGAACCAGCTGGAGAGCGAGAGGTTCGCCCCCGAGACCGAGGGCGGCCCCCCGCGCTACTACGGGCAGCTGCCCCACGAGGAGCGCGCCAAGCTGCTCAAGGAGCGCCTCAAAAAGTACTGCCAGCGGGTGAGTGCGCCTACCTCATCTTGACAGATGGAAAATGTGAAATTTATTGTTCTTTGCATGGCCACTTCATCAGAGGTGTCTGAAAAGATTGTTGGCAGCCCACAGCACTATGAGGCTCCTCCACTCACCCATCTTGTTTGCGGAGAACTCTACATATGCAAATTCTCCAACTTGGTGTAACTGCACATGATAGAGCCCGATTGGCAACATATGCCCCTATTGTGGCAGAAGCGCCTGAGAATGATATAATTGGGTTCTGTGAAGGGATCAGGAGGTGAAAGAAGTAGGGGTAATCAATATACAACAGTAAAAGAAGGCATGCATGCATGCATGCATGCATGCATGGTACAAGTCCTAACACTGAAAGCTCCCTTTCCGACCAAGAGCTCTGTGTGGGTCCTGCAGTCCTAGCTGGTGCCTCCAATATTGCCTGCTGGACCCAATATGGGCAGCCATGTGTATCCCGAACCCTGGCTGATCAGAGGATCATCAGGGAAATGCAGTCCAAACCTGCTCAAGATCATCCCTATCGAGAGCGACAGCGCTGCTGGTGTGTCCAGGTCTACAAGCGCGTGCTGGACAAGCCGGTGACGGAGGCGCGCGAGGCGGGGGTGTGCATGCGCGAGAATGATTTCTACGTCGGCACCGTGCTCTCCTTCCGCGATCGCCGCTACGAGTACAAGGGCCTCAATAAGACCTGGAAGGGCAAGCTCGACGCAGCCAAGGTCTGCACATATTTCGATTTGGCCCCATTCCTTCTGCTGGATGCATGCTGACATCGAGGCATGTCTAGCATGCCACTAGCAGAACAGACTCTCCATCCAGAGTTCTGCATGTCTCAAGGCGAATGTTGTCCGTACTGCTGCAGCATTGCGGTTTGAATCTCCACCCAGACCCATACAATGTCCAGTGCTCTGTCTGTATGAGGAATGTGTATATGGGACGGACACATCTGTGAGCCAAGGCCACAGTGAAACCCATTGGAGCCAACCTGACAGTACATGCAATGACTGTCGCGGCGGCGCGCAGGCGGAGGGCAACCCGATAAGGGTCCAGGAGGCGGCGGACATGGTGGTGCTGTACGACAGCCTGCAGCTGGCGCACAAGTGCATCCTCAACTCCTTCTACGGCTACGTCATGCGCCGCGGCGCGCGCTGGTACTCCATGGAAATGGCCGGCGTCGTTACCTACACCGGAGCGCGCATTATCCAGGTGGGAACACCCCCTGATTGATTGGCTGCGCTTGCCTGCATGCACACACAATTCAACTTTGGCTGTGTCTAGGAAATTTTTTCCCAGACACAGCCCAGTCTGTGGACCAGAATGTCCTCTATCTTCAACATTGGTGCCCAACAGGCACACCAACTTGAGCAGGCCTGTAGTGGTTGTCATCCTCGTTCATTAACCCATGGCGCCTGCTTAGCTTTCCGGCTATGCAAACAAGTCTAGTACCGCTCAAAGCAAGGCATGTGCTAGATGAGCAAGAGCAATGCAGCAAGTGGTTCATGCTGACAAGAACATCCTGCATGTACGCAGCTGAGTGATGTAAAAGTGATGATTCAAGTGGCATTTATTATAGACTGGGGGAGGCGCTGTGCTGTGCAGAGGGCGGCTGAGCTGGTGCGCAAGATTGGGACGCGGCTGGAGCTGGACACGGACGGCATCTGGTGCGCGCTGCCGGGCTCCTTCCCCGAGAACTTCAAGGTGCGGCCACCCTGTGTCTTAGGTTTCTGTGTGTCAAGTGTGGGGCCATCCGCGTCCTCTGGTTGTCTGTCTATTGATGGTTGGGGCGCTTCTGACCCCCATTGACTTCTCACTGAGATGAGGTCCAACCCACTTTTCCGCTTTGCGTATTAAAGCCACTCGCACAGGTAGACAGGAATGCAATGCATTGCTTCACTGCTCAGCAGCAAGCAGACCTGCTGACTAACCTCAGGTCCGGTAGGCCAGCGCAATCTTATCCTAGCCTGAACGGCCAAAAGTTATGTGTTGTTGAACAAGATACTGCAAAAGGGCCTGTAGGCGGCAGGCCTGTATCCCAGCGATAAGCACAATTGTAAGGATTACTGAGAGGTAGCCTTGTGTGCCTGCGCGCATTTTAGAAGCCGGTGGGGCAAGATTGAATGTGTGATTGGGTTTTTGATGATAAGTAGTCATGAGTACTTCTGTGCCGTCGCGCAGTTGAAGAGCCGCAAGGGGAAGGACCTGCGCATCAGCTACCCGTGCGTGGTGCTGAACGTGATGGTGGCCCAGCACAACACGAACGACCAGTACCAGACGCTGCTGGAGGGTGACTCCAAGCACTACGAGACCTCCTCCCGCATGTCCATCGAGTTCGAGGTCGATGGGCCCTACAAGGTGCGATGCATGTCTACTTTCAGGGTTTAGGGGTGTTGTAGGAATGTAAACCCGAGCTCTCCGAGCACTGCCAAGTCATCAAACTCATATAAATCATACAGACATGCCAGAGGGTGATTACGTAAGTGTGGCAGCATCAAGTCAGGTCTGCAGCTGGCCCAAACGCACATGCAATACTGGAGATGAGATGGCCGGGTCTCGCTCACAGCAATGCCAATCGTTGTTCTGCTTTGACTAGGGTGGGCAATATTAGCGTCCCTTCAGGAATAAACGGAAATTAGGAGCTTGACTCAGAAAAATTGCGTGTCCCCATAGAGAGACGGACTGAAGTATTGGTTTGCACATGGGCAGGCCATGATCCTGCCGGCCAGCAAGGAGGAGGGGAAGCTAATCAAGAAGCGGTACGCGGTGTTTAACCCCGACGGAACCCTGGCTGAGCTCAAGGGGTTTGAGCTCAAGCGCCGCGGAGAACTCAAGCTCATCAAGGTCTTCCAGTCCGAGGTGCGCTGCTGTGCCTGAGCTTCCTGCCAGACTCCAGGTCCCCTGTGTGTAACTGCCGTACAATGGCTTGGGCCCGTTGTCCTAGAAAGAGGCAAGTGTGCTCCCGTGCAACAATGGAAGCATGAGCGGCATGGAATATGCTGCATGCGACTGCATGCGGATGTTCCGCAAGTCACTCTCTGCAGCCGGCGTCGTGCAACTGCAGCTTATGTGCGCATTGCCAGAAACAGCCCGGGGCATAGCGGTGGCATCGCACAAGTTACTTGTTGCCAGTTCGTGATGCCAATGCATTCCTTGCCCTGCAAGCGCCGAGCACGGTCGAGGATCGTGTCACATGCGCATGCGCAGGTTTTTGAGCAGTTTTTGGCGGGAGACACACTGGAGGAGTGCTATGCGGCAGTGGCGGCCGTCGCTGACCGATGGCTCGATCTCCTGGACACCCAGGTGCGCCCCAGCATGCTCTCTTTGTCCAGCGCCATGCCACTGTACTGGTGACATCTGCTTTTTCCAATATTGTGGCGACATATTGATAGTATATTCTCTTTGTGAAATTCCATGCCGGTGCAATCCTGGTATTCTCCTTTTCAGCCTGTTGTGGTGTCTGGAGACGCATGGGATTGTATCCTGTTGTGCTGTATGGTCACATGCCCGAATGGGACGGCCATAAAATGGAGTTGGCGTGTGGCAGGGCACGGATGTGACAGATGAGGAGCTGCTGGAGTACATCTCAGAGTCCTCCACCATGTCGAAAGCCATGGACGAGTACGAGGGTGAGCTCCTTGTCTGCCCTCAGAAAATCCTTGAGCACAAACCCTCAAAATGTGACTGTCTATATGCTTTCACTGGTGGACCTTTTGCTGGATCAAAAGGTTTAAGAACGCTATGCAGCTGCTCTTCACAATCCTGCCTGCACAGCGTTGCATAGACACCCATTGCCCTTCCAGCTCTGCCAGGCTGCCGGGGCTCAGTCCTCTCTCGGCAGCCCCTTGCATTGCTGTCTTGTTTCATGTTCAAAGTCCGTCCGTTGCAGTGACTTTGCAATCTGCTGCCACATGAATATTGGTACTGTAAATGACGCGGCGTGCTCAGCAAATGCCTGGATCCCCAGAGAATGCCTGAACTAGCGCAAAGTTGCCTTGCTTTCCGCTTTCAATGTGGCGACGGCCGCTTTCAATGTGGCGCCCGGTGCAGGGCGCAAGAGCTGCGCAATAACAACAGCCAAGCGGCTGGCGCAGTTCCTGGGCGACGAGCGCATCAAGGACAAGGGGCTGAACTGCAATTACGTCATCGCGAAGCGCCCCGAGAACCAGCCGACCTCCGAGCGCGCGATCCCGGTGGCCATCTTTTCCACGGAGCCCTCCGTCGCGCGCTCCTTCCTGCGCCGCTGGTGCGGCCACCTGTCCTCAGGTGCTGCCTCCCATTCCCCACTGTCGTGCAAGCTAGGAACTCTTCACTGCATGCTTGCAACATGATCATTGAATATCTTGCATGTCATGCAAAGCATTATTACTTTGGGTTATGAGGCCGGTTATGGGAAAACCAGCACAGCATGGGGACTGTCCTGGGCTGATCAAATGTTTGTGATGTCCAAGAAGGTGTCCTGCCCGCAGCCCTTGTGATCACGGCTGTTCAGCCTGCATTGATTGATCTGGCGCCACACTGAAGCCTTCACAGCTGGTGCTCAGCCCTGGAATGCTGCTGCTGCTGCTGGCATATACTTAGCGGGTGTCATGACAGACATAATTGCTCGGCGTGCGATCAAGAATCATCTGATGTCACAGGCCGCGGCGCGGACGAGGTGCCGGACGTGCGGGCGATAGTGGACTGGGACTACTACCGCGAGCGCCTAGGCAGCGCCATCCAGAAAATCATCACCATCCCAGCCGCCATGCAGCGCGTTCCCAACCCCGTCCCACGCGTCAAACATCCCGACTGGCTCCACAAGAAGGTCCGCGCGATCTCCTCCTCTCCCTTCCCTGGACACCTGCTGTCGCTTGAAGGCTCTCTGCCATCACATCTTAGCTAAGAACACAACATCCTGCTCTACAAAGCTGCCAACACTGGCTGATCGCGGTCCTGTTGAAAGAAGAGTACTGCACTCCTGGGGGGCAATAAGCAAAGTGTCCATGTCCTCGAGACTTGTGGAGGACTGAGACGTTGATGCGAAGCACATGGGAATCAGGGGAGATCACACTGGCATAGCAATTGAGCACAGCGCAAAAGTCTCAACATCGCGCCTATTTTGCGATGAACGGCTTTCTGAGGTGAAGAATTGTGGTTGTGCAGGTGAGGGAGAAGGAGGACAGGCACCAGCAGCAGAAGATGGACGGCTTCCTGCGGCCACGCGCAGCGCTCGAGGCAGCGGCCAGCCCCTCCGCTGCAGATGTCGACATGGAGGTTAGTTGCCCCCCCCTCGTGCACTGCCCTGCAAAGTATCAAGCAGCTCTTGTCCTTCATGATGGAAAGTTTTTTGTTATCTAGGCTGTCATCACTTTGAGGCAGGATTGCCAATATGTCTTAGCCTCACGAAAACTGTCAAGGTCTTAGCTTGGTCTTAGCTACAGGTCTTAGCTTCAGGTCTTTGCTTCAGGTCTTGGTTTGGGCTAAATCAGAGCTGTTAGTTGTACAAAGGCAAAAGTCCTGAGAAAAGTCATGGCGTTGCTGTCAGTGACTGGTCTCGAGTGACCTGTGCAGGACATGGGAGTGGCGAGGCCGGCGGCGGGGGCCTCGGGGCAAAGGGTGGCGAAGGCGACGACGGTGCAGCGGCGGCCGGAGGCGGACCGGGAGAACCGGGGCGACGCACGGAACCGGCCGGCCGGCACCAGCGGCGCTGCGGATGACGAGGAAGAGGAGGAAGACCTGGGGCCCTGCCCAAACAGGTGCGATCCTGCGCCTGCAAATTTTGGTGGTGGCAAGGATGGTGGCACAGACCCAGGAGTGTAAAGCGATGGCCTCACAAAGGGCAGGGCATGGCATGATGCCCTGCATGGAACAAAAGTAAGTATGCAGGGTGAGGAGCCTGTGCCCTCAGGACTTTCAGATTTTTGGCACAGTGCTCAATATTGGCTCAATATTAGATGAAAAGCCTGGAGATCCTCAGAATGATCTATCGTCCTGTTTGTCTATGCCTGCAATCAGAAGAGGTAAATTGGCTTGCTGCGTCTGTGAGCAGGAAGGAGGACCCGGTGGGATGGCTGCGGCACCAGAAGCGGCGCTGGCGGACGGCAGCGGCCGCGCGCAAGAAGCGGCGCATCGACACGGCCCGCGAGCGCGACCGCGGGCAGGGCAGCAACCCGCAGCCCGCGCCTAGAGGTTACCAATCAATTCTTTCAATGCTTACTCAAGTCGTTGGCAAGACGTGCTGGTTTCAAGCTTGCTGTTCTAGGTTAATGTGCATGTTGATGAAATGAAGCAGACCACTTATGATTGTGCGAGCCTCTGGCAGCCCCAGCAAGTGCAAGAGTCATTTGTCAGGAGGGGGCTTCAACTTCTGCTCCTTTGATTGTTGTTTGGAGGATTGCTGACAAGGTGTTGGGCTGCAGGGGCGGATGTGGGCGCTTTCTTCCGAGCACAGGCAGAGGAAGCCACGCACACGCACTGGCAGATTGTGCACATTGCCCCCACCAGCACGCCAGGCAAGCATCTGTCATCAAATACATTCGTATCCTTTGCCCTCTCCCACACAGTGCGGAGAAGGGCATATGGAGTATGGCCTGTTTTCAGAAGAGCTGCCAGACCAAGCAGGAGACAGCCCAAGCATGGGCACTCTTAGTCTACCCACAGAGCAGCTTCTTGAGCACCCCTGGTGTGAGCACGGGATGTAAAATCGTGGGTACCAGTGTCAACGATGGACTATCTTCAAGCATTCCTGCTTTGCATGCATTGGGTGCCCTATCTGGTGGTCCTCTGAGACGTTCCTATTGATAAGGGGCTATGCATCGCGCGCAGGGGTGTTCAAGGCGTGGGTGCTGGTGGGCGCGCGGCTGTACGCTGTGCCGCTGCGGGTGCCTCGCACCTTCTACGTCAACTCCACGCGTGTGCCAACCGACGCTGACTCACCCGCACAGACGCTCGGTGGGCTCAAGGTGCAGCGCTCGCTGCCCTTCGGCCGCGAGCCCTTCCACCTCTACCAGGTGAGCACTGCACCGCGCTCGGCCCACCGAGGATGGATGCGAAGGAGTTCAGGGGTCTGATTTGGCATGGAGACATGGCCAGGGAGACAGATTGCAGTTCAGATCAGTGGCCGCATCCCAGCAAGCCAAAGCATCTGTTGCTGACCCAACGGGAGGATCTTTGAGGTCAAGTAGAGTTCTTGACCACACAGATCTGAGTGTGTAACCTGAGGCAGCGGCCAAGGTCTGTGAGAAGTCACGAAGCCATCCCCGCGCACAGAAGTGGCCCCAGAAGAGCAGTGCTCAAACTATGGCTCGTGATGCTCCCCTTTCAGAACGATCTTTCCAAAGTGGACGCCTTTAGAGGTTTTGTTCCTGCTAAGCAGCGTCCAATGCCGCAGGTGACGATGGCGGAGGACGAGTTCCGGCGGCGGGATGCGGAAATCGCGGTGGTGCTCTCGCAGCCGCATGTGCGCGACGTGTGGGAGGAGCGGCTGCCGCTTGCGCTCGACGCCGCGCTGTCGGTCGGCTGCGTCGCGTCCGTCGCGCCCGCCGTGCGCTCCCGGCCGCTCTCCGACGGCTTCGACCTCACTGACCTGCAGGCACGCGGCGTGTCCTCTCGCTGCAACAGATTGCAATCTCATTTCTAGAACACATCTCATGCAAAGCCATGCGAACTTGGAAGCGTTGGACTGCTGCCCCTGCTTCTGGCTCCGTCCAGGAGTATGTGCCCTCCCATGCAGCTTTCCAGAATCCGTCTTTCCAATGCCCCCACGGCCAAAGCCCGGACCACAGTGCCTTTCTGTCATGAGTTCATAATCAGTAATCAAGGTCCTGTTGGGGTTTGAGCCCAATTCTGGGTGATTTATGGGCAACAGAAGGAAGAGCAAGGTTGCCTCCAGCACCCCGACATGTGTTCAATGTTCCGCATAGTAAAGCTGTGGAACGCCCAAGGATATGCTGTGCTCAGCACCTGCGTCGATAGTTTGACACTGGGATGCTGCCTTGTGCAGACCAAGACGACGACGGAGTGCAGCTACCTGGAGGCGCAGGCGCCAGATGGCGGCAGCCTGCTGCGCCACGTCGCGCTGTACACGTCGCAGGACACCGCCCGCGGCCGCGCCGTCTACGGACTGCACCTGCCGCCAACAAAGAAGTGTGCATCCTCTCTTAACAAACCTCAACCTATGCGCCTGCGCTGCACTGTGGTGTCGTCACATGCAATACTTTCTGAACACCTGCCTTTCAGCTGCATGGAAGGTCCAGGAAAGCAATTGCTCATGAAAAATTGTTCTCCCAGCAGCCTCCTTCACTTGGACGCAAATGCCTCCCATCACACCAGAATCACCTCCTGCCTGTGTTACTTGAGAATTTTGTAGCTGAGAAGCGCCTGAGCTGTGACCATGTGCCGGCAGGTGCCTGCTGGTGGTGGTCAACCCGGCGGCAGGTGCAGGCAGCCGCGAGGTGAGCGTCCCGGCAACCAAGCGCCACTGGCGCGAGGCGCACGTCTCGGGGCCGGCCGCTCCTGACGAAGGCGCCGGCGGTGCCTCGCAGCCGATCGAAATCCCGGAGGTCGAGTTTGAGATTGCCTACGTCCGCACGACTGCCGAAGCCGCCCGCGCCGTGCAGAACGCGCTTCTGCAGCTGCGGTGACTGCCCGTCACGTTTTTCGGCGAAGCTCTATGCCCAGCAGAAACAGCAGCCAAGCTTGCATTTAGGTCCAGCATAGCGATGCACCATTGTTGTCTGGCGCTTTGAATAGAACATGTAATGAAATATTGGCCAAAGAACAGCTGATCATGACCACTGCGGAGACCCGGCAGGGAACAAGAGTCGGGCTGACCTTTGTGCACGCATCACATGCAGGGAGCGGCATCGAGGGCCGCTGATGGTGGTGGCCGAAGCGCCCGGCGGCACCGCAAGGCTGACACGTGACATGCCTCTGCTGGCAGAGTTCCCCACGTGCCAGGTAGCCCTCACCCTCAGATACCTCTGAAGTTGTTAGACAGCGTACCAATGTCCTGGGTCCTTCATCCTGCTACCTGTTAGGAGGGAGACATCTGCTTGGAGAAACCTGCTCTAATCGGTCTTTTTAATGATCCAGCTTCCTCAACATGTCAGTGTGTGCTGAATGTTCTCACGGGTACTGCAGGTGCCGGCGCACAGCGCGGACGGCGCGTACCCGTCGCTTGGGTGGCAGCCCAAGGCAGCGCGCACCGCCGTCATGCGCCTGGCTGGAGCAGCGCTCTGGTTCCAGGTCTGACTCTCTCATGTGACCCCACAAAGCACGCGTCTTCTACTGTGCGTTTGCTGCACCCGGAAAGACCATACAAGACACGTGGCCTCGCAATGAGCTTGTATCTGCCTGACGCAAGCATGGCTGAAAAGGCTCCTTCAAGCCTATTCTCAATGCTCGTTTCCATGTTCTGATGGTTCCTTGTCCTCAGTCTTGGTCGGGATGCTCACACTGCGAGTGCTCTGCTGGCGCATTTCAAGAGTGTTCCCTTTCAGACGATAGAAATCCAAACCCCTTTTTCATATGGGACTAAGGCTCACCTCTCCAAGGCAACAAGCACCCCAGCTGGAAAGACAAGGCTTCCATCCATTACTTCAAATTCAATATTTCAACTTCATCATTGCCTAGTCACCTGCGACAGGACCGGATCGAGCTGGCGCGGTATGCGCACCTGCCGCTGGGCAACTTGGGGGGTGACTGGATGCTGGACGTGGCGGACGCGCACCTGGCGCGCTGCCTGCGCGACGCGGGGCACCTGCTCTGGATCTCCGACCCGGCCCTGCCCGACGTGGCCGGCCGCGCCGACGACGACGCCGAAGAGGACGCCCTGATCTCCGAGCCAGCGCCCCTCGAGGTGCGCTGAATTTTTTATTGGCTGTATCTTATGTCAGAGGGCACTTGCTAGGGTCATTCAACCCCCAATCAGCCATCATGGTGGACAGCTCCAGCCTCGACCTGCTGTGGTGGGGGACCATGGGTGTTCACAGCATGGGAGTAATTATTTAAGGCCAATCATGCCAATGCAGGGGTGTCGCCGTTGCACACGGAGCCGATCTGATTCCCTTCAGCAAAAGTATCCAGTGACTGCACACAGCTGTCGGATTCTCTCCTGGAACTCTGCAAAGGCCGTTGCAGCATTCTGCATGCCGGCACATGCGCACCGCAGAGCTGGCGCTGACATGGCGCTGACGTGGCATGCAGGTGGTGGCCCCGGGCGCGCACCGGAGCGTGTGCGTGCAGCTGAAGCTGTACCATCTGGCGGTGGCGGCCGTGGAAAAGTGCGAGGCACTTGCAGAATTGGAAGGAGCCGCCAGTGTCGGCCCCGCGCCCGGGGCCGGCCCGGCCTTCAAGGTCCTGAAGCAGCTCGTGCACAACTGGCTCGCCGACACCATGCAGACTGGCAACAGGCGCGCTCTCCTCTGCGGGCCATGATGTGCACTCTTACAAAGACATCACCAATGCTCAACAGTCCCATCTCTATTCACCACCTCTCAAAACACAAGGCAATAATGGCACAAGATGCCACAAGTTGCCTGGAATGAATGTGGTCATGTTGCAACCTCACAGAAGTCTTCAAGAGCCTATCACCGCCGTCAGTCGAATCCTTGAATCCTGAGACCCTGCAAAGCTCACGGCAAACAAAGAACAGCAGGCAGAAGAGTGACTCAGTGGCAGGCAAGCAGAGGGGTTCTGACAGTGGTTCGCGTGTGTGCTGCGGTGCAGGTTCAGCGACGCGCTGCTGACAAATCTGTGGCGCTGGCTGTGCAGCCCTGCGGCCGCGCTGGCCTGCTCGGGGCTGCAGCGCACCGTAATGGGCCTCATGCGCAAGACGCTGGCGCAACTAGTCGCCGACCTCAAGCGCCTGGGCGCGCGTGTCGTGGCGGCCGACGCGCACTCGCTCATCCTCGCCACCGGCAAACACAACCTCACCGCCGCCGTCGGGTGTGCCGCTGCTGTACAAAATGCCATATATCTGTACATGTGCCCATGATTGCAAGACCACCTTGGGACTGAACAGGCATTACAGCCTTTTTTATGCTTGGGAGATTGTGAAATAAAGATGGTCGGCCTCTGCACAGCCTAAATATCACAGCTTCAATGCTTGGCGAATAATGTGCCTGCCCGCAAGGGTACAGGCTTGGCTGTGCATACTCCACATCTCACAGCACTCGACCCAATGTATCCTCTATCATACAGGCCTACCTGAGAGGGAACCGCATAGCAGCAAAGCTACGCGCTGCCGCATGCATGCGGAAGCGTACATTGCAAACTCTAGTCTTCGTTGCCATATTTGTGCAAGATCTCCTGTCCAAACCCCTACCTTACGTCGCACCCCGCCTGTCTGTCAGAGCAGGGGCTTGAATTTCAAGCGTCACTTTCCTATAATTAAACAAATATGCCTGCAGGTACGTGGACTACTTGTTGGATGCTGTGGGCAAGCGCGACCTATTCTCACTGCTCAAGATGGACCCGGAGCGCTTCTGGCACTCGCTGCTTTTCCGCGACCGCTACAACTACCTCGGAATATTAGCGGACATCCCCGCGCAGCTGCAGGAATCGCTGACTAATCACCCCGGCGCGCTCACACAGGTTTCCAGCCCCTCCCCGCATTCATTTCTCTGGCCTTTAGTAACCACATGACCTCCAGGTGGGGTTATTCATCACAACCTGCATAGCAGGCATGTGCAAAAGGCAAGCCTGGCTCCTGCAAAGGGGCACTGCAGTCATTTAAGGAGGGACATGGGCAGAAACACCATCACCTGCACCCGAGCAGGACAGCTCAAATTCAGTACAGGCCTCCACTTGCCAAACCTCTTTCCACAAGGTCCCTGTTAATTCGTGCTGCAAATGTTCTTTCCCTCAAGGGATACCAAAGCTTAGACAGGAAGGTGCCTAAAAGGATAGATCACCGCATATCTTGTTATGGGTGAATGGGAGGAGTGATTGCAGCCTCACGGTATGAGAAAAAAGATTCGTGGTTGGGATTTGGGCGGCAGGGTGACGGCGTCTGTGTATCTGGCAGGGGGGCGCGGCCGAGCTGCATGTGCCGGAGCCAGATGAGGACGCACTCGAGTCCCCGGCCCTTGACTACATCTGGACCATCAAGGTGCAATTCTTCTAATATCTTTCCTGGATATTACCTTCTTTCCACTGTCATTGACTTTGCATCTGCATGTATTCTTCCGTTGCTTCCGGTTCCATTTAATTGAAGGTGTAACAGATGGCGGCTTCTCTGCAGACAGGCGTTGCTTCTTAGCACGAACATCCTGTAGAGGGTGATACAAGTAGTCAACCTGCAATTAAAATACCAAATGTGTGCGCGCGCAGGACTATTTGCCGCCCAAGGTGCATGAGGCATTCCTGACAACGCTGACCGAGTTTGTGCTGCTGCCATGGCGCGAAGCCATGCGCTGCTCGCTCCAGGGCGCTTCCCAGGGCGGGTCGCAGGCGCGCATCCTCTCTTGCCCTTATCATTGCTAGAGGCTTGCAAGGCTTTGAGGCCCCTAAAGGGTGTTAATTTACTGCAATTGCTGTTTGCTGCTCAGCGTTCAAAACCAGAAGCCATCTTACCATATAGCTTTGCTCGGTCTCTCATGCGGGCCCTTCAGCAGAGCTACTACACCGCACAAAAACATGGATAAGCGTTTCGATTTTCTGGGAGGTGAGAGGGAGGTTATTATTTAGGGTTGCACCAGAGATGATCTGGATTCTCAGGGGTTCACCTGCTGTTGGGGAGAAAGGGCCAAGACAGGGAAGGCTGGAGGGAAGTGATTGAGAGGTTGCCACGACGCACCTAGTTCTCTGGGCTGGAACAGGCGTGTGATCGTGATAATCAATAGCGCTGCGCAAACAGGCGGTGACCGAGGCGAGGGGCGCGGCGGCTGCGCAGGAGGCGTGGCTGAAGGCGAATATGGCGGCGCATTTCAGCCGCAAGCTGCTGGGCGTGGTCAAGCGTATCGAGCGCCACATGGGCCCGCACGACGGCGATGCCTCCCACCAATTCCCCCGCCTCGCCGGCTCCTACCTCTCCGAGGCGCGCCCTTAGCTCTTTGATCGCCGCTCGCATCAACTGAAGTTGTCGTTAGTGAATAGTGCTGTGCATGGCAGCGCTGTGATGAAGATCTGGTCGGCTTGTAGCTGCCTGCCAGGAGTATGCAGTAGCAGCCTGCAGCGTGTCCGATTGGGGGTCCTGAAGCTGCATGCCATGGGTCCGACTGCTTGCAAAATGGCAAGTATGATGCAGGTTACCGCACATCTATACTCTTTGCTGCTCCCGAACTCAGAAAACTTCAACACACCACCCTCCAAGTCATCTTGTTGATTGCACACGAGCAGCAATGTCAGGCAGGGTGACCTGGCAGACATGTTTGCACAGGAGGACTTGGGCACTCCGGCGCTGGCGTTTGTGCGGGCGGTGTGCGACGCACTGCGGCTAGACGCATCAATCGAGGAGGAGGTGCTTGTGCTGCGCCGCAACCTGCTGCTGCTCACGCACACGCTCGAATTCGCGCCGGCCGCCGAGTTTCAGGTTCGAGCCCACCTTCCAGCGCTCGCCTTTTTTTTTTTTTATGTATTTTTGTGCCTGATGCTGCCCCTGGCACTTGTTATACACACCAACTGATTATGGCTCCAGACCATTGCCCGGCATCTACTATACTTCCAATCAGCCTTTTGGTTGCTCAATCCCATTAGTAAGGGACATTGCTTGCTTCCCCTTGGACAAGAGTTGAGGTGAATGAGATGGGAGGCCGGCTGCTGTGCAGGAACCGTGTCGGTCGTTCGTGCTGCGCAACGTCATCTGCAGCTACTGCAACGACTGCACCGACCTGGACCTGTGCCGAGACCCCGCACTGCAGGCACGCTGCTAATCTGTGTCCTAACACTCTTGACTCATTATATGGGCTGCATTACTCTGCATATATGGAGCAGAGCTTGGCACCAGCATGTGAGTCCACGGCATCTTTGGGCCTGCAGCCATACTGGCGGAAAGGGCGGTGAACAACAAGAACAACAAGAAAGGGCGGCGTCTGCAACAAGAGCATCCACAGATGCATGCATGAACAGCAATGGTGCTTAGAGGGTTTCCAACAGGTTTCATCAAGGAGGATGTGGCGCTGATGCAGGAGCACCAGTGGAGTTGCCGCAACTGCGGATGCGCGTATGAGCTGGCGACGGTCGAGGCGCAGCTTTTACGGGCTGTGCGTTTGCGCGCTCGGGCCTATCAGCTGCAGGACCTTCGCTGCCTCAAGTGCCGCCAGGTGTGCCTCTTATACGAGCAACACACACTGACCGAGCGATGTAGCAGGGCCCCGTTTTTCCCTGGACATTTCTGTGCCTGGCCTATGGTAACTAGCGCAGGATGGCAGCTGGGCTGTGCACGTCAGAACAATTCCCTTTGTTGCGCCTGGGGGCAGTGGAGTCCCAGAATCTGAGAGCTGGCGTCTGCACAATACAAGATTGTGGCCCTCTGAAAATTCCTGGGTTCTTTAATGACTGTGGGCACAGCCAAAATCATCCTATTTCACAAGCTCTGCCCACCCGGGAGATATACACCTCTCATCATGATAATCCTGGTTCAGTGAAATGCAAAGGGGCAGGATCCCAGGAGACACCAAATATGATTCTATCACACGCTTCTTCCAGCCCAAAGGTCCAATTACGTTCCAGCAAACTGTCAGTGCTTCCCCTCCAGCCTTCCCAGTCTTGGCACCAAATTCAAGATTGAAACAAATTCGCGCAGGTGCTGCGGGGCCACCTGCGACGCAACTGCGACCAGTGCGGCGGCGCGCTTGCGAATACGGAACCGGCGGCCGCGTTTACGGAGGCGCTGACTGTGTTCCGGAATGTGGCGACATACCACGGGTTCCAGCTGCTGCAGGATGCCACTGAGTGGCTGCTGCAGATGCCCTCTGCCGCGCACTAGCGCTGACTTTTTCGCGCAGCTTGGACTGTGCCCATGTGCATTGTGTGGCCACATGGCACCTGCGACGCAACTTCTGACTAGATTTCTGTGGTACTCTATGTGCAAACTCAAGCACGGCACCTTTTTGACTGAGTGGAATATAACCCTAGAGGACTTACATGAATAACGCACGCTGATAATCTATTACCTAGGCCTGACCAGTCGGTATCACTGGCCCATGGGTGACCTGCGCATGCGACCTGCATTTATGTGCATTTATGTGCAACTCTCAGTTTTTGTGGCATGCCATGCGCCATATGGCAATTGCCTGCACCAGAACTTGGCATGTGCAGATGTAAGCAGTTACATGCGTGTGGTGTGGATCAATTATTGTAAAACGCGTCACACCTTTGGGGAGATTGGTTTTTCCAAATGAGCCCAATTGCCTGCCCGAAAACCTTTAACGGGCTGTCTTGCATTCGCCATCTTCCGTGACAGCCAACAAAATTGACGTCGCAGAAATGATCAGCACAGCAGAAACTGACAATTTGAACTTGTAGTGTAGTTCATACGGAAATAAAGAGGAGACTTTCCGGCTGCACTTGCCTTCCGTGTGCCCTTAGAGGTATCGCTAGAGGCCACATCTCAGCTTTGTCGCGTTCTCGGCCAAAGGTGTTTTGCAGCTGAAAATTGTGACAATGGCGAAGTTGAGACGCTTTGCGCTAGTGGCGACGTCCCTCTTGCTGTTCTCCTCGGTCCACGGTGCTGACTTCAGCCTCGAGACTCTGGTAAAGCTGCCCCGCTCCCCTGCATCCCGCAGTGTTTGTACCGCCTGCAGGGCCCCAACACACAGTGAACAGCCGCCGTGCACTTGTTTCCTGCTCTTATATTGTTGGTTAGGCCTAGAACGTTGGGTGTCAGTTTCATTCAGACTCTTTGAGTGCTGGGTTAGCCTATGACCCCTCGACCATCTTGTCACATATCAATCCGTATCCCAACACCTGGTTGGCGGCCGCTCCCTGTGCACCACATGCAATTTCTATAGCCATTGAAAACATGATGGCATGTGATTTCAGGGGGAGACAATTCGCGCAGCGCTATTGAAGGCTGCAGGTGAGGACCCTGCCGTTTCCGAAAGACCTTCTGCCTGTCCACCAGACCAGAGTTGACGTTGTTGCATGCGCAAGAAGCTGATGTGACTCTCAAGAATCAGGTGGCTATTCTTGCAGCGTAGCTTGTACACGAGAAGAGCTTTGGAAGGTCTTGCTCGCCGTCGGCACTTGCAGAGCAGCCTTCTCTTGCGTACCTTTTGGACAATGAACGCTCCGTTTCTTGGCCTGAAATCTGCTAATATATGGCAGGCGTTCCTGCGGAAGGCACTCCCGTCGACGTCAGCTACAACAAGACCCTTGGCGGGCCAGATGGCCTTGGGCTGGCACTCAACCTGACAGGTACTCCCCTGCCAACCTGGTGCTATATAGCTTCTGGCGTCATCACTTCACTTTCTCCGTGCCCCAATATTTCTGCTCAGCAAGTTCACCACATGCTCTACACTTAGAAGGCCCGCCCTCAAGAACGCAACACCCCAAGGTCAAAATGCACGGCATCTGTTATTGAGGGCACTCGCACCAGAGCACCCTTGTGCTCACCCATGATGGCTCACTGAAAAGAAGCTTGCATTCGGCTTTTCCTTTGCCCTGTAGCCCTTTACTCTGATGTGAATTGCAATCTTGCTGACTGGACTTTTTGCTGCATGTATCTCAGGCGTTGTGCACGGTCCCAACGGCACGCTGATCACCGAGAAGGACACCACGACTGTCGGAGGTGCGGACAACTACAAGAAGGTGCACGACAGCAAGACCATCCTCAGCCCCAGCGAGCTGTCCCTCAACGGCGGCAAGAACACCTTCCTCGACAACAAGAACTCCTCTGCCGGATGTGAGCCCCTCCCCACTTTCAAGCCTGACACACTGACTGGACAGTCAGTCCAAAGCTCAACAGATCCCAAATCTGTACATTATTTTTGGAGACCAGGTCTTTCCAGTGGGTGGATTCACATGTCCACAAATCTGCAGCAGCGCTGGCCCTGACACAGCTTGGAGCATGAGCGGCAACAGGGGGAACTGAAGTAGATTGTGGTGCCCCCTGGCGGCAAGCAGCAAAGGGTCCTTGCAATAAAACATGTGCATGCACACAGGGCAGACATGCGTCCCATCCAGTCTGCTGCAGTCTAGGCAGTGCAATATCAAAGTAATGCACGGCTGACCGGTTGTGATTTGCTGGCGCAGACGGCGCCGGCGCAACCGTGAAGAAGAACAGTGACTCTCACATCGGCGGCGGCGGCTTCCTCAACAACAAAAACTCCTCCGCCGGATGTGAGCCCCTCCCCACTTTTATGCCTGATACACTGACTGTCCAAAGCTCAACAGATCCCAAATATGTACGTTATCTCTGGAGACCAGGTCTCTCCAGTGGGTAATTTCACATGTCCACAAATCTGCAGCAGCGCTGGCCCTGACACAGCTTGAAGCATGCGCGGCAACAGGGGGAACTGAAGTGGGTTTTAGTACCCCCTGGCGGCGAGCAGGAAAGGGTCCTTGAAATAAAAGAGTTCACGCAGACAGGGCAGACATGCGTCCTATCCAGTCTGCTGCAGTCTAGGCAGTGCAAGATCTAAGTAATGCACGGCTGACCGGTTGTGATTTGCTGGCGCAGACGGCGCCGGCGCAACCGTGACCAAGAACGGCGACTTCAACATCGGCGGCGGTGGTCAGGTGGGCTGACTCAGGTTGACTGATTGATCCTCGCAATGGCTTTGCCCAAGGGCATAGAGCATGCCCCTGGCACCACCTGCCTGTCCAAACATCCTTTTCCTTTAGACAGCAGGGCCTTCGAACAACGAGCAGAATATACACCTGTTGTGCAGCCCCTCCAGAGTGAGAGGCATATGCTCCTGATAATAGCTTTGCTGCCATGCATGCAAACTCTGCTTGCCCATGACCTTTCTGTAAGTTGCATAAGAGCTGTGTCTTGCGCTGCAGGCCAAGATCAAGGATCTGAACGTTGGAGGCGGCGCCGGAATTGTGAAAGGTAATGCTGCGAGCAACGACACCGCAGGTAGCCAGTACTACTCTCCGTATGTGCCCCCGGCGGTGCCCTCGGTGCCCTAGGTGCGCCTTTTCAATTTGTGATGCCGAGTAAGAGATCCGATGCGGGCTGCCTTTTCCCCGGTTCAAACGCTTGTTGCCTGTGCAGTTGCTTTTGCCCTGCAGCCCAGTAGCAGGCAGAGCCAGGAAGGCATGCGATGAGAATGTTCAATGTGTCAGCCTTAGCTGTCTTCACTGCTAGGACTCTCTTTCATGCGCCACGCTTCAGTGTTTGCATGGAACACTTACAGCACTTCGTGTGCCCTTTGTTAGGCGGATGAAGGGAGACACATCGCGCGCGACTGGCAGACTGACACACATAACAGCCGGGGCTCAGCTACAGGAGCAAAGCCCTCTATGCGGATTCTCAGCTGCACCACTTTTCAGGGCACTTTGGAGAGCAAAAGCAAGGTAGACAATGATGGTGTGGAGGCAGGAGTCGCCTCAGTATGGTGAAGAGCTGATCAGTGCGACCTGCAGCGCCGCAAATTTTTTAATTCTAAGGCTTTATGAGGACCGCAGAAGGCACCTGTGCGGCCATATGACGGCTGGCACCTGCCAACAGCAGCTCTGAAGTGCCCTGCAGGTCCCAATGTTCACTGAGGCTCGGCCTTAATGGTGCATACTGCCAGCATTGTTGGCGGCACTCAGTGTGGACAGCAATTTGATTCCACGCCTTTTCATGCGATTTGATAGGTTTCATGACAGCATTTTTGTCTGCGTCTGGCATCAATCTGGAGCAAGTGTCTGTGATTGATGGAGATGAGATCCTCAGCAGCGCTGCAGGCTGGCACTGCAGAGAATCTGACATGCTGCTACATTTCATGATCAAACTTTAGGGCAGCCATTGGAGCGCCTCATGCATTGTTCGGTGTGGTCTTTTCGCTGTGTGCTTTTGCAACATAAGAGATTCCCTGCATGATATCCTCGACGTCACCCACAGGGTGTTGCGTCGCTGGCGGGCCAGAGGTGTTAGCACCAGAGGGATACTGGTCTGAGACAGGGATTGCTTGCCAAGTGATTGTACGTGCTATGCTATGATATGAATTTGCTTGCTGTGTTGTGTAGCATTGTTTGGTGGTGGGAATGGTGGTATGTTCCTTGATACGCACGCCTCACTTGGACTTAGACTTTTAGTATGATACCATATGGGCTGCAGACCAGACCTTCAAGCCCCACATATGTGGCTGCAGACACTCTGTGCGTATGCCCTATGGCCTTCGGGCTTTGGCTTTGCCGACACTGTAATAATAATAATAAGAGCCCAAGAGCTTTTGGGTAGTGCGCATACATAAACGCTTCTGTGTGACATGGTGTTCAAGGCAAAAGGTGCAGCACCAATGCATGCTGAGTCAGCCAGTGCATTGCAGGGTGGGGGTTCATAGAAGAGGGCGTTATAATGAGCTGAACAACCAAGAATCTGATCAGCAGAATAAGAAGGAATTCTTCCAGCCCAAAGGTCCAGTTGCGTTCCAGCAGACTGTCAGTGATTCTCCTCCAGGCTGGCAGAGGCTCCAGCCTTTCCAGTTGTGGCACCAAATTCAAGATTGAAACAAATGCGCGCAGGTGCTGCGGGGCCACCTGCGACGCAAGTGCGACCAGTGCGGCGGCGCGCTCGCGAATACGGAACCGGCGGCCGCATTCACGGAGGCGCTGACTGTGTTCCGGAACGTGGCGACATACCACGGGTTCCAGCTGCTGCAGGGTGCCACCGAGTGGCTGCTGCAGATGCCCTCCGCCGCGCACTAGCGCTGAGTAGCATCGATTCATTAAATAGTAAGCTCTTCATGGCTGCTACTTTTTCGCGCAGCTTGGACTGGGCCCATGTGCATTGTGTGGCCACGTGGCACCTGTGACGCAACTTCTGACTAGATTTCTGTGGTACTCTATGTGTAAACTCAAGTTCTGCACAGGCCAAGTTCTGGTGCAGGCAATTGGCATGCCACAAAAAACTAAGAGTTGCACATAAGTGCAGGTCACAGGTCATGACCCATGGGCCAGTGATACCGACTAGTCAGGCCCATGCGTGTGGTGTGGATCAACCAATGTAAAACGCGTCACACCTGTGGGTAGATTGGGGAGCCCATTTGCCTGCCCGAATATCTTCAACGGGCTGTCTTGCATTCGTCATCTTCCGTGACAGCCAACAAAATTGACGTCGCAGAAATTATCAGCACAGAAGAAATTGACAAGTTGAACTTGTAGTGTAGTTTATACGGAGACAAAAGAGGAGACTTTCCGGCTGCACTTGTCTTCGGTGTGCCCTTAGAGGTATCGCTAGAATCCACACCTCAGCTTTGTCAGGTTCTCGGCCAAAGGTGTTTTGCAACTGAGATTGTGGCAATGGCGAAGTTGAGATGCTTTGCGCTGGTGGCGACGTCCCTCTTGCTGTTCTCCTCGGTCCACGGTGCTGATGACTTCAGCCTCGAGACTCTGGTAAAGCTGCCCCGCTCCCCTGCATCCCGCAGTGTTTGTACCGCCTGCAGGGCCCCAACACACAGTAAAAAGTCGCCGTGCACTTGTTTCCTGCTACTATATTCTTAATCATGCCTAGAACGTTGGGTGTCAGTTTCATTCAGACTCTTTGAGTGCTGGGTTAGCCTATGACCCCTCGACCATCTTGTCACATATCAATCCGTATCCCAACACCTGGTTGGCGGCCGCTCCCTGTGCACCACATGCAATTTCTATAGCCATTGAAAACATGATGGCATGTGATTTCAGGGGGAGACAATTCGCGCAGCGCTATTGAAGGCTGCAGGTGAGGACCCTGCCGTTTCCGAAAGACCTTCTGCCTGTCCGCCAGACCAGAGTTGACGTTGTTGCATGCGCAAGAAGCTGATGTGACTCTCAAGAATCAGGTGGCTATTCTTGCAGCGTAGCTTGTACACGAGAAGAGCTTTGGAAGGTCTTGCTCGCCGTCGGCACTTGCAGAGCAGCCTTCTCTTGCGTACCTTTTGGACAATGAACGCTCCGTTTCTTGGCCTGAAATCTGCTAATATATGGCAGGCGTTCCTGCGGAAGGCACTCCCGTCGACGTCAGCTACAACAAGACCCTTGGCGGGCCAGATGGCCTTGGGCTGGCACTCAACCTGACAGGTACTCCCCTGCCAACCTGGTGCTATATAGCTTCTGGCGTCATCACTTCACTTTCTCCGTGCCCCAATATTTCTGCTCAGCAAGTTCACCACATGCTCTACACCTAGAAGGCCCGCCCTCAAGAACGCAACACCCCAAGGTCAAAATGCACGGCATTTGTTATTGAGGGCATTGGCACCAGAGCACCCTTGTGCTCACCCATGATGGCTCAATGAAAAGAAGCTTGCATTCGACTTTTCCTTTGCCCTGTAGCCCTTTACTCTGATGTAAATTGCAATCTTGCTGACTGGACTTTTTGCTGCCTGTATCTCAGGCGTTGTGCACGGTCCCAACGGCACGCTGATCACCGAGAAGGACACCACGACTGTCGGAGGTGCGGACAACTACAAGAAGGTGCACGACAGCAAGACCATCCTCAGCCCCAGCGAGCTGTCCCTCAACGGCGGCAAGAACACCTTCCTCGACAACAAGAACTCCTCCGCCGGATGTGAGCCCCTCCCCACTTTCAAGCCTGACACACTGACTGGACAGTCAGTGTTAAGCTCAACTGAGCATGCGCGGCAACAGGGGGAACCGAAGCAAGTCTTAGTGACCCCTGGCAGCAAGCAGTAAAGGGTCCTTGCAATAAAACCTGTGCATGCAGACAGAGCAGACATGCGTCCTATCCGGTCTGCTGCAGTCTCGGCAGTGCAAGATCTAAGTAATGCACGGCTGACCTGTTGTGATTTGCTGGCGCAGACGGCGGCGGCGCAACCGTGAAGAAGAACGGCGACTTCAACGTCGGCGGCGGTGCTCAGGTGGGCTGACTCATGTTGACTGATTTATCCTCACCATGGCTTTGCCCCCAAGGGAATAGAGCATGCCACCGCCACCACCCGCCTGTCCAAACATTCTTTTCCTAAAGACAACAAGCCTTTAGACAACAAGCAAAACATACATCCGTTGTACAGCCCCTTCCAGAGTGAGGAGCATATGCTCCTGATTTCTGCTTTGCTGCCATGCATGCAAACTCTGCTTGACCATGACCTTTATAAAAAATGCATAAGAGCTGTGTCTTGCGCTGCAGGCCAAGATCAAGGATCTGGACGCCGGTGGCGGCGGCGGAATCGTGAAAGGTAAAACCGCGGGCAACGACACGGCAGGTAGCCAGTTCTACTCTCCGTATGTGCCCCCGGCAGTGCCCTCGGTGCCCTAGGTGCGCCTTTTCAGTTTTGTGGTGCCGAGTAAGAGATCTGATGCGGGCTGCCTTTTCCCCATTCAAACGCTTGTTGCCTGTGCAGTTGCTTTTGCCCTGCAGCTCAGTAGCAGGCAGAGCCAGGAAGGCATGCAATAAGAATGTTCAATGTGTCAGCCTTAGCTGTCTTCACTGTTACACTAACAAGAGACAATGTGCTAGGACTCTCTTTCAGTGTTGCGCCACGCTTCAAAAGTGTTTGCATGGAACGCTCACAGCACTTCGTGTGCCCTTTGTTAGGCGGATGAAGGGAGACACAACGCGCGCGACTGGCAGACTGACGCACATAACAGCCGGGGCTCAGCCACAGGAGCATAGCCCTCTATGCGGATTCTCAGCTGCACCAGTTTTCAGGGCACTTTGGAGAGCAAAACCAAGGCAGACAACAATGGTGTGGAGGCAGGAGTCGCGTCGGCATGGTGAAGAGCTGATCAGTGCGACCTGCACCACCGCAAACTTTTTGTTTCTGAGGCTTTTTGGAGACCGCAGAAGGTACCTGTGTGCCCATATGACGGCTGGCACCTGCCAACAGCAGCTCTGAAGCGCCCTGCAGGTCCCAATTCTTACTTAGGCTCGGCATCATTGGTACATACTGCCAGCATTGTTGGCGCCACTCAGTGTCTTGGCTTGGACAGCAATTTGATTCCACGCCTTTTCATGCGATTTGATAGGTTTCATGACAGCATTTTTTTCTGCGTCTGGCATCAATCTGGAGCAAGTGTCTGTGATTGATGGAGATGAGATCCTCAGCAGTGCTGCAGGCTGGCACTGCAGAGAATCTGACATACTGCTACATTTCATGATCAAACTTAGGGCAGCCATTGGAGCGCCTCATGCACTGTTTGGTGTGGTCTTTTCGCCGTCTGCTTTTGCAAAATAAGAGCCCGGGAAGTTTTGGGTAGTACACGTACGCTTCTGTGTGGCATGGTGTTCATGGCAAGAGGTGCAGCACCAATGCATGCTGAGTCAGCCAGTGCATTGCAGGGTAGGGGTACATAGAAGAGGGGTTATGATGAGCTTTGAGTTTGGGTTTGCCGACCATGAAATGATAAAAATGAGATGAACAACCAGACTTTTGATCAGGGTGTTTACCAGCAGAATAAGAGGAAGTCCCTGCTGGCACCAGCAAGTGAAACTGGAAGCGTGTGTGTTATCGTGGTGACAAGCTCTTACGACGAGTCTTGGTCTGAGTGAGATGCTTTAGCCCTTCTTCATTCTCAAGTTTGGATACAATGAAGACTGCAGCAAGTAATCATTGCTGCACAAAGTCTGCCGTGCTCTGGGCAGCCTCAACATCACAGTAAAAACACACTGCATTATGTGCATTTGTAGACAATCATGTTGCTGATCTGCACAGGCGTTCCTGACCTCAACCTTGGATCACATTGAGTTGGATGGAAATAACGAGATATTTCCTATAGTACTTTACACCCCATCAATAAATATCAGTTGCATACTAAGACTTGTACATATTCATCCTCGATGCCCCGTTAGGCTCGGGGAGAAGTAGTCTGAGCCTTTGACATGCCGCTTTTGCGAAAGGCTTGAGAAGGGCACCAGTGACATCATGAAGATATATACCGTACTCATTAGAATACTTGCAATTATTCAGATTTAACAGATAAAGGCTGACACAAAACGTCAAGCGGTGAATTACAAAGGAAACTTCCAAGGAGTTGGTGATTCATTGGGGGAGCTAGTGCTAGTTACGGTAGAGGAAATTGTCGACGGATGTCACGAAGAATGACAGAAGAAAAAGAATTCCACCAGCCTGCATGAGTGCTCCAGAGAACAAGAGCCTGAACGAGTTGGCAGCAACCAAGACCCGGAGGAAGGCTCCGTTGCCGAGATTTGCACTCAAGCCCTCGATCTACGAGCAGGCAGAACAGCTTTGGCAAGACACCCTCGAGGCCCTCCTGATGTCTGGCAGCCCTGCCCCAAGATCATCATCCCCTAGCTCAGGCTCAAGGACACAGAAGAAGACAGGTGGTGCGGTTCTGCTCTGCCACAATCCATGCACCATGTTCTGGCATAGAATCACCGTGTCTGCCATAGCTGATTACTGCGACTGGGAAAAAGTCGGGATTTTTCGACATCATGGTCTATGTCTCTTTCTACAGGCCAAAATGCCAGCGGGGGAGATGAGCAAACCTCAGGGGTGGATGCAGTGGAGCTGGTGAGGCAGCTGCAGGATCTGGTGACAGAGCATGAGGCGGCTGCTGATGTGGCGGCAGAGGCCCTGTCAGCGCTGTCCTGGGACCAGCTGCAAACCTTGCAGGTGCATGACACATCATTAGTAATCAGAACTCCCTCTTGGCGCATGCAGACCTCATGCATCACCCGAACATCATCTGCACATGACTCTCAAACATCAATCTCTCCTTGCAAGCCTTCTCACGCCGAGGATCCTATGTCAATTTTCAGGATATTGTCGCTGATTGAGCAAGAGTTCAAGTGGTCTGATGAGCCCTGTGAGCTGACTGATAATCCAACATATGCTGTGCCAGGTTGTGCTGGACAAAGTGGGCCATGAGCTGCTGTCCGACTTCATCCACATCACAGCCTTCCACACCTCGGACCCCTTCGCAAAGGCCCTGGATGGAAATGTCCCGGGGGCGCACGCGAACGCTAGGGGATGGAAGGCTCGTCGCAAGCGCAGGGCTCAGGCCGCTGCCGAGAAGATCAAGAAGCATGAGCCCGAAGCGGCCGCAGCAACTGCACAGGCTGTGCCAGCACATGTGTGGAAGGCGCGTCTACCCTTCCCTCCAGCTGCTACCTGCTGTCCCTTCCTGGTTGCAGGCTTTACGGCCTCAAACTAGGATGCCTTGCACCAAAAGTACGGTATTGGGTGTACAGAATAGAATAGGATCGGCACAGGGCATGAAGTCCTGCAGATCTGGCAAGGGAGTTCAGTGTAATGTCCATCTGATTCTAGGCCAGCATCCAAATCCGAGTTCGGCCTCTCTCTGCGCCCAGGATGTGTGTATCACCAGAGGGGATATATTATCCTTTATTTGCGCAGGCGGATGCCTGGAGGGAGCGGCAGGGCGCCGCGCATCAGCAGGGGCCGGTGCCGCCAGAGATGGCCAAGTACGCGCAGATGCTGGCCGGCCGCCACTGGCGCCCGCCCCAGGCCTCCGATGACGCCGCGGCCGCGGCCGGCGGCGCGACCGGCGCAGCCGGGGGCCGAGCGTCTATAGCGGGCGCCCAGCGCAATGCGTGGCAGGTATATAGACCTACTATCAAGTGTCCTGAGCCCCTGAAAGGAGTCGCAGAATTTGTGAGATTGGCGCTCTCCATGCATCTACTCGGATAGTGTCGTTCAAAGCAGGGGCCCTGACAGGGGCCTCCTGTGCTCTGCATATATTCAATCTCTCTTAAAGAAGGTATTTCTAACCCCAACAAAGGTATTTGAGACAGGGAGGGCTGCCAGCTAGGATGCTTTGCACATGATGCTATCTCGTCCCTGGGTATTTGACAGAACAAACGAGTTTATTAGTCTCCCTTATCGCTGTCTGCGCTGGGATACCAAATGCTGGTGTGATGGGGGTGCGCAGAGGGCGTCCATGGTGGCTGGCGAGCACCGCGCACTGGGCATGGCTCGGCAGTCCATAGCACTAGCCTCCTCCTCCGCCGCTGCATCTCCTGCAAACGCTCATGCTGCCGCGCAGCATTCGGATCACACAGCTCCTGCCGCGAATGGTGCCCGTCAGCCCTCCTACACAGGTACACGTTTACTTGCTCCTCTGCTTCTGCATCTTTGTTGTTGCATGCAGAAAAGCACCATTCTTCCAATGCACATATGCTCTTCATGACCTGTGCCTTCTCCATGCTTGCTGCACAGCCCATGAAAAATTACGTGTCTTTCTCTTCTTGTATACCGCCTTCAGAGCCGCTCATCATCCACATCGGCGGTGGTCCCAAGGTACATTGAGTTCCAGAAACCAAGACACGCGCAAGAAGAAATGCTATTTGCGCAGGCCTGTCATATGCAGCGTGGCATCCTGCAGCAGCCGGCAAGGTGCTCAGCGCAGGGACAGCGCCCGGGGAGTCGGCCGGGCCGCGGCGGCGCTTCTCGACGGTGTTTGACGGCGGCGGCGGCGGCCAGATCGCGTCGCCACCGGCGCCGCCCGCCGCTCCGGCGCTGGACGCCAACTTCCTGGGCAAGAGCCCTGGACCATACCTGGCCAAGAGCGCCCAGGTGTGAAGTTATCTGCAAAAGAGTGCGCAATAATACAGAGGAACATATTGGAAACGCCTGTGCTCTTTCTAGAAGCGGTCCCAAGGCGTTATGAACATCCTAGAGCAGATCATTTGCAATTGCAAGTATATAGAAGGCAGTGTGCTGAGTTGGCATGCATGTTTATTGCCAGGTCATCCGCAGGGAGCTGCATGAGCAACAGCTTGCAGAAGCTGCTCTGGACGATTGCAGAAGCAGTGTGCAGTCATAAGCGTTTGTCCAGCACGCAATCAGCTGGCAGACGCAATCAGGCTTGCACTGGAAGAGCTCTCATGCGGCACCTGTGCTGGGAGATCAGACACGAGGATTTGACCGCAATTAAAGCCAGGGGTGTAAGCAATGTTTTCTGCCAAAAGAGCTGCGTGTGAGAAATGGCAAGCTCACTGAAATCTGGCGTAGCTGTGCAGAGCAATGTGCACGTGTGCAACAATCTATGACCGGCGAGTCTTTTGTGAAGCTCAGCAATTTTATTACAACGGCTACAATCTCAATCATTGGTGCTGCACGGAGGACAGAGAATGATACACCCTCACACAAGTGCACTTCAAATCACCCTCAGTCAACCCCACACATGTGCACAAGGCAGTGATTTTATCTACTCTTGAGTCCAGTCTGACTACCTCTGAATAGCAATGTTTAACACCCAACCAGCAATTTAATGTAAGACATAACAGCCCACCAACAAGCAGAAAAGAAATTTCAGTTCAAGCTGCAAAGGAAGAAACGCATATATATTCTTGAAGCCGCCAAATTTCATACATCTGACTGAACCAGATTCAAAGGCATTCTCAGATTTCAGTAGCTTACATTCAGGGTGTAATCAGCAGAACCAACTCTCCAGAGCAGTCTGTGCATGTTTCTAGACAGTTCCTACGCGCTCTCAAAACTGTTTTCTCGTCCTCTTGAATTTGCTACTATGAGCAGCTCGCCAGCCCTTGCACAGGAGGAGCGCTTCATTTGCCGCCTGCACACATAAACACAAAAACAGATCAGCAACCTTGAATTTTCAGCAGCACAATTCAGGAGCAGCAGTAATGAATTGACAGGCAGCATCAGCAAAGCAGCCTTCAAGGACATACAGAGCACCATATTTTAAAATCCACAAAAAGCAGCACCAGCAAGGGAGAAGCAAATACAACAGGACAGAGGAAGCAAGCACAGCAGGAGGAAGGGAGACTCACAGTTAGCAGCAGTGCCGCCAGAGTTGGAGATGGTTCCGCCGCAGTTGGTGTTAGCGATGGGCGCTCCACTGCTGCCGTCATTGTTGTTAGTCACGGTCTGGCCGCCGGTCGCGTAGTTGTTGTTAGTAATGTCTGCGAGCAGGTGACGGCCGTTGTTGCCGTTGTTGTTGTTGTTGTTGTTGTTGTTTCCGGTGCCGCCGTTGTTGTTGTTGTTGTTGTCTGCGCGAAGGCAAGGGGACAAAATCAGTACTGATCCTCCCAAAGTGCCTCAAATGACAAATAGCTCAGGGGCGCAGACATGCATCCAGCAGGGAACACATTTGAGCCAGGGCAGATGGAAACTTGTTGTTTGTGGGCTCTCCAAGCCGAGCAAGGGGATATCAGTGGGATTGACAAGGGTGAGCAACTCACTGTTGTTGTTTCCGGTGCCGCCGTTGTTGTTGTTGTTGTTGTTGTTGCCTCCGGTGCCGCCATTGTTGTTGTTGTTGTTATTGTTGCCTCCGGTGCCGCCGTTGTTGTTGTTGTTGTTGTTGTTTCCGGTGCCGCCGTTGTTGTTGTTGTTGTTGTTATTGTTGTTGTTGCCACCCCGGCCGCCGTTGTTGTTGTTGTTGTCTGCGCAAGGCAAGGGGACAAAATCAGTACTGATCCTCCCAACATGCCTCAAATGACAAATAGCTCAGGGGCGCAGATATGCATCCAGCAAAGAACACAGTAGAGTCAGGGCAGATGGAAGCTTGTTGTTTGTGGGCTCTCCAAGCCGAGCAAGGGGATATCAGTGGGATTGACAAGGGTGAGCAACTCACTGTTGTTGTTTCCGGTGCCGCCGTTGTTGTTGTTGTTGTTGTTGTTTCCGGTGCCGCCGTTGTTGTTGTTGTTATTGTTGTTGTTGCCACCCCGGCCGCCGTTGTTGTTGTTGTTGTTGTCTGCGCAAAGGCAAGGGGACAAAATCAGTACTGATCCTCCCAACATGCCTCAAATGACAAATAGCTCAGGGGCGCAGACATGCATCCAGCAGAGAATACAGTAGAGCCAGGGCGGATGGAAGCTTGTTGATGGTGGGCTCTCCAAGCTGGGATAGGGGATATAAGTGGGATTGACAAGGGTGAGCAACTCACTGTTGTTGTTTCCGGTGCCGCCGTTGTTGTTGTTGTTGTTGTTGTTGCCTCCGGTGCCGCCGTTGTTGTTGTTGTTGTTGTTGTTGTCTGCGCGAAGGCAAGGAGACAAAATCAGTACTGATCCTCCCAACATGCCTCAAATGACATATAGCTCAGGGACACCCATCCAGCAGGAAACACAGTAGAGCTAGGGCAGATGGAAGCTTGTTGATGGTGGGCTCTCCAAGCTGGCAAGGGGATATCAGTGGGATTGACAAGGGTGAGCAACTCACTGTTGTTGTTTCTGGTGCGTTCGTTGTTTCTGTTGCGCTCGTTGTTGCCATCGTTATCCTCGTACCAAACGCCATCCCGCCACTCGGTCAGAGAGCGGCCTGTGCAACCATAAGAAGCCCAGGTCAGATCAGCCAGAGACTCAGCCTAAAAAGCCTCACAAGGGCAGTGCATCATGGAAGGAGAAGGTGACATGGCAGGCGCAGATATGAAGGAAAAGGCACAACTAGGCGTATGCATGGGTGCCAGGGCTCACCCTTGGTGTTTGAGATGTCCTCCAAAAGCTTGCGGCCGTTGTTGTTGTTGTTATTGTTGTTGTTGCCGCCGTTATTGCCGTTATTGTTATTATTGTTGTTGTTGTTTCCGGCCCAGCCTCCATTGTTGTTGTTGTTATTGTTGTCTGTGGCAGCAGGCACAGTATTGGTCAGCATGCATGTCCAGCAGAAGCAAGCTTGAATGGCAGTACTTAACAAGAAAATCACACAGCATGCATGGAAATCACACAGCATGCATGTCCAGCAGAAGCAAGCTTGAATGGCAGCACTTAGCAAAAAATCACACAGCATGCATGGAAATCACACAGCATGCACGTCCAGCAGAAGCAAGCCTGAATGGCAGCTCTTAGCAAGAAAGTCAAAGAGCATAGAACAGACTTGTTGGTTCCATTGCAGGAGTCCATGGCACCTGATGCCAGCAGCATGTAGAAAAGCACAGCGCAGGACACTGCGTGCTGTATACCATGCAAACAGCATTGAGGCACTAGCAGCATGCAAGGGGTGACTCACTGTTGTTTCTGGAGTAGCCGTCGTTGTAGTCTGGGTACCAGATGCCATTCCACCACCAGGTGAGCCCACGGCCTGGCAGAAAAGCAGCACAGGTGTGAGCAGGAACACTAACACACATGCAGGCAAATCCAAACAGAAAGAAACAGGCCTGGTTGTGCAAGGTAGCTAGCCCAGCAGCTTGCCCACCAAGGAAATCGAGAATCCGCGCTGAGCCCCACTTCGACAACAGAAAATGTCGACGATGCTATGCATGAACATGCAAGACTTCGAATGTTCCCCACCTGTGTGCTCCAACTCCTGGGACTCCTTCACGGACTTGAATGCATCCAAGGATGCTGTGGAGCTGCCCACCAGGGCGAACAGGCCCAGGCAGATGATGGCTGTCTTCATCTTCATGATGCCTGCGGTCAGTACATCACATCAGCATGTTGGGCGATGAGCTATTAATAGCGTTGGGACCACCACATGTACCTCTCATCCTGCCTGAGCTCGAAGACAGCTGGACTGCTGATACAAACGATGACCGTTGTGAAGCACTCGAGAAGCGCAGATGGAGCAATTGCTTTCGCGTCCACTACCCTTCACCGACAATCGCAGAAGGCAAGGCACTTCTGTACATCAAGACGCATGCCGACTCAAGATCCACTCCAAGCCATTCTGCTTTGAAAGGGTCTTAGCCGGAGTTGGAAAACATAAATATTATCACACTAAACTCTGGGAACCACGGAAAGACCCATAGGCAAATTGCCGGACAAACAAAACACGATATCAACATCGCGGAAGCTTGCGATCACGGCCTTATCAACGGGTCAAAACAACGTTTGGGCAATATCACCAGCTCTGACACCAAGAGTAAATTCCTTTCGCTTTCGAATGACTTTATCATGTCAAAAGAAAGCATCCAATGTCGTCTGGTCGGTGGTCACACCTTGCCGAGAGCAGGCTTGCAGTGCAGGATGGCAGTCCTCTTCCTCTGTCACTGGCGCTGGTCTGCTATCAAGGACTTAAGAAAAATCTTGATATGGAAATTGAAAATGAAGACGATTCTGCTTTGAGATGAAATGCGTGGGGCGGGGCTGGTTATATGCTGCTCACACGCAACTTCGCAAGCGGCTTCCATGGGCAATTGATCACGAGCAGACAGCCCCTGCAGCACCTCCCTACAGTCAATATCCTTGATCCAGATAAATTCCCTTTTAAGACCCACATCCCAGGTCAACTTCGATCCTCTCCGGCTAATCTTTCGTTTACTATTTGCAGCAGTCACCACTTCACACACCTGTATTGCACTTGATTTTTACTCAAACTTTGCAGATGGAGTATCCCAGTCTCCCAACGCTTCGGGTAACCTTCTCACCTTCACTTGTTCAGCTTGTCTCACCATATGATATATTGCATGCTGCTTTGTCTGTGTTTGGCATTTGGGGGAAGTAGGGAATACCGTTTCCTGCTTACCTGAATGACACAATTGATCACGAGACCCGACATCAATTGAAACACTCCGTTCCTTGGCCTGAAACCTGCTAATGTCTGGCAGGCGTTCCTGCGGAAAGCACTCCCGTCGACGTCAGCTACAACAAGACCCTTGGCGGGCCAGATGGCCTTGCGCTGGCACTCAACCTGACAGGTACTCCCTGCCAACTTGATGCTACATAGCTTCTGGCGTCATCACTCATTCACTTCCTCCTTGCCCCCAATATTTTTGCTCAGCAACTTCACCACATGCTCTACACTTAGAAGGCCCGCCCTCAAGAACGCAACACCCCAAGGTCAAAATGCACGGCATCTGTTATTGAGGGCACTGGCACCAGAGCACCCTTGTGCTCACCCATGATGTCTCACTGAAAAGAAGCTTGCAATTCGGCAATTCCTTTACCCTGGTGTAAGTTGCAATCTTGCTGACTGGACTTCTTCCTGCCTGTGTCTCAGGCGTTGTGCACGGTCCCAACGGCACGCTGATCACCGAAAAGGACACCACGACTGTCGGAGGCGCGGACAACTACGAGAAGGTGCACGACAGCAAGACCATCCTCAGCCCCAGCGAGCTGTCCCTCAACGGCGGCAAGAACACCTTCCTCGACAACAAGAACTCCTCCGCCGGATGTGAGCCCCTCCCCACTTTTATGCCTGATTCACTGACTGGACAGTCAGTCAAAAGCTCAACAGATCCCAAATCTGTACAATTAATTTTTGGAGACCAGGTCTTTCCAATGGGTGGTTTCACATGTCCCCAAATCTGCAGCAGCGCTGGCCTTGACACAGCTTGAAGCATGCGCGGCAACAGGGGAAACTGAAGCAAGTTTTAGTACCCCCTGGCAGCAAGCAGTAAAGGGTCCTTGCAATAAAACCTGTGCATGCAGACAGGGCAGACATGCGTCCTATCCGGTCTGCTGCAGACTAGGCTCCCTGCAGCTCAGTAGCAGGCAGAGCCAGGAAGGCATGCAATAATTATGTTCAATGTGTCAGCCTTAGCTGTCTTCACTGTTGCACCAACAAGATGGTGCAATGCGCTAGGACTCTGTTTCGGTGTTGCGCCACGCTTCAAAAGCGTCTGCATGGAACGCTCACAGCACTTCGTGTGCCCTTTGTTAGGCGGATGAAGGGAGACGCATCGCGTGCGACTGGCAGACTGAAACGGAGGCCAGTCTGCGCCATGGCAGCCGGAGCTCAGCCACAGGAGCAAAGCCTTCTATGCGGATTTTCAGCTGCACCAATTTTCAGGGCATTTGGAGAGCCAAAAGAAGGCAGACAACGATGGTGTGGAGGCAGGAGTCGCGTCAGCATGGTGAAGAGGTGATCAGTGCGACCTGCACCGCCGCAAACTTCTTATTTCTGAGCCTTTTTTTGAGACCGCAGAAGGCACCTGTGCGCCCATATGACGGCTGGCACCTGCCAACAGCAGCTCTGAAGTACCGTGCAGGTCCCAATGTCTACTGAGGCTCGGCCTTAATGGTACATACTGCCAGCATTGTTGGCGATACTCAGTGTCTTGAACAGCAGTTTGATTCCAAGCCTTTTGATGCGATTTGATAGGTTTCATGACAGCATTTTTTCTGCGTCTGGCATCAATCTGGAGCAAGTGTCTGTGATCGATGGAGATGAGATCCTCAGCAGCGCTGCAGTGCCAGCCTGCAGAGGATCTGACATGCTGCTTCCTTTCATGATCACATTTTCTACCAGTTGGCAGCCATTGGAGCGCCTCATGTTGGTGTGGTCTTTTCGCTGTGTGCTTTTGCAAAATATGAGCCCAAGAGCTTTTGGGTAGTGCGCATACATAAAAACTTCTGTGTGACATTGGTATTCAAGGCAACAGGTGCAGCACCAATGCATGCTGAGTCAGCCAGTGCATTGCAGGGTAGGGGTACATAGAAGAGGGCCTTATAATGAGCCGAACAACCAAATATTTGTCAATGTGTTTACCAGCAGAATGAAAAAGAAGTTTCCTGCTGGCACCAGCAAGGAAACTGGAAGCGTGTCACATGGTGTGTTGTCGTATAGGCTGCAGACTAATGGAGGCCCGCAGATGTGGCTGCAGACGCCCTGCGTGTATGGCCCCTGGCTTTGGGTTTGCCAACCTGTAATAATAATATCGTGTTACCACCGGTGACAAATTCTTACAACGAGTCTTGGCCTGAGTGAGATGCTTGTCAGCCCTTCTTCCTACAAGTTTGGTTACAATGAAGACTGCAGCAAGCAATTATTGCTGCACGAGGTCTGCTGTGCTCTTGGCAGCGTCAATTCACAGTTACAACACACTGCATTATGTGCTTATAGACAATCATGTTGCTGATCTGCACACTGCATTATGTGCTTATAGACGATCATGTTGCTGATCTGCACAGGCGTTCCTTGCCTCAACCTTGGAAGACATTGAGTTGGATGGGTTAAACGAGATATTTCATATAGTACTTTACACCCCATAAATAAATAATCAGTTGCTTACTGAGACTTGTACATATTGATACTCGACGACCCGTAAAGCTCGGGGAGTAGTCTGAGCCTTTGACATGCCGCTTTTGCGAAAGGCCTGAGAAGGGCACCAGTGACATCATGAAGATAAATAGTCATTAGAATACTTGCAATTATTCATTTTTATAGATGAAGGCTGACACGAAGCATCATGCGGTGAATTACAAAGGAAACTTCCAAAGAGTTGGTCATTTATTGGGGTAGCTAGTGGTACTTACGGTAGAGGACATTGTCGACGGATGTCACGAAGAATGACAGAAGAAAAGTAATTCTACCAGCCTGCATGAGTGCTCCAGAGAACGAGAGCCTGAACGAGGCGGCAGCAATCAAGAACCGGAGGAAGGCTCCATTGCCGAGGTTTGCACTCAAGCCTTCGATCTACGAGCAGGCAGAACAGCTTTGGCAGGACACCATCGAGGCCCTCCTGCTGTATGGCAGCCCTGCCCCAGGATCATCATGCCCTACCTCAGGCTCAAGGACCCAGAAGGAGACAGGTGGTGCGGTTCTGTTCTGCCACAATTCATGCACCATGTTCTGGCATAGAAACACCATGTCTGCCTGGATGGAAGTGTCCCGGGGGCGCACGCGAACGCTAGGGGATGGAAGGCTCGTCGCAAGCGCAGGGCTCAGGCCGCTGCCGAGAAGATCAAGAAGCATGAGCCCGAAGCGGCCGCAGCAACTGCACAGGCTGTGCCAGCACATGTGTGGAAGGCGCGTCTACCCTTCCCTCCAGCTGCTACCTGCTGTCCCTTCCTGGTTGCAGGCTTTACGGCCTCAAACTAGGATGCCTTGCACCAAAAGTACGGTATTGGGTGTACAGAATAGAATAGGATCGGCACAGGGCATGAAGTCCTGCAGATCTGGCAAGGGAGTTCAGTGTAATGTCCATCTGATTCTAGGCCAGCATCCAAATCCGAGTTCGGCCTCTCTCTGCGCCCAGGATGTGTGTATCACCAGAGGGGATATATTATCCTTTAATTGCGCAGGCGGATGCCTGGAGGGAGCGGCAGGGCGCCGCGCATCAGCAGGGGCCGGTGCCGCCAGAGATGGCCAAGTACGCGCAGATGCTGGCCGGCCGCCACTGGCGCCCGCCCCAGGCCTCCGATGACGCCGCGGCCGCGGCCGGCGGCGCGACCGGCGCAGCCGGGGGCCGAGCGTCTATAGCGGGCGCCCAGCGCAATGCGTGGCAGGTATATAGACCTACTATCAAGTGTCCTGAGCCCCTGAAAGGAGTCGCAGAATTTGTGAGATTGGCGCTCTCCATGCATCTACTCGGATAGTGTCGTTCAAAGCAGGGGCCCTGACAGGGGCCTCCTGTGCTCTGCATATATTCAATCTCTCTTAAAGAAGGTATTTCTAACCCCAACAAAGGTATTTGAGACAGGGAGGGCTGCCAGCTAGGATGCTTTGCACATGATGCTATCTCGTCCCTGGGTATTTGACAGAACAAACGAGTTTATTAGTCTCCCTTATCGCTGTCTGCGCTGGGATACCAAATGCTGGTGTGATGGGGGTGCGCAGAGGGCGTCCATGGTGGCTGGCGAGCACCGCGCACTGGGCATGGCTCGGCAGTCCATAGCACTAGCCTCCTCCTCCGCCGCTGCATCTCCCGCAAACGCTCATGCTGCCGCGCAGCACTCGGATCACACAGCTCCTGCCGCGAATGGAGCCCGTCAGCCCTCTTACACAGGTACACATTTACTCCCTCCTCGGCTTCTACATCTTTGTTGCTGCATGCAAAAAATCACCATTTAGTCAATGCAAGTATGCTCTTCATGACCTGCGCCTCCCCTCATGCTTGCTGCACAGCCCATGAAAATTGATATGTCTTTCTTTTCTTGTATACGGGGTTCAGAGCCGCTCATCATCCACATTGGCGGTGGTCCCAAGGTACATTAAGTTTCAAAAACTAAGACACGCGCAAAAAAGTGCTATTTGCGCAGCAGTCCCAAGGCGTTATGAACACCCTAGAGCAGATCAATTGCAAGAATCAATAGTAGGCAGCCTTGTGCTGAGTTGGCATGCATGTTCATTGCCAGGTCATCCGCAGGGAGCTGCATGAGCAACAGCTTGCAGCAGCTGCTCTGGAAGATCGCAGAAGCAGTGTGCAGAGATAAGAGACGGATAGACGCAATCAGGCTTGCACTGGAAGAGCTCTCATGCGGCACCTGTGCTGGGAGATCAGACACGAGGATTTGACCGCGATCAAAGCCAGGGGTGTAAGCAATGCACTCTGCCAAAAGAGCTGCGTGTGAGAGATGGCAAGCTCACTGAAATCTGGCGTAGCTGTGCAGAGCAATGTGCATGTGTGCAACAATCTATGACCGGCGAGACTTTTGTGAAGCTCAGTAAATTTGTTACAACGGCTACAATCTCAATCATTGGTGCTGCACGGAGGACAGAGGATGATACACCCACACACAAGTGCACTGCAAATCACCCTCAGTCAACCCCACACATGCGCATAAAGCAGTAGATTATCTACTCTTGTGTACTCTTGAGTCCAGTCTGACTACCCCGGGATTCTTGTGTACTCTTGAGTCCAGTCTGACTAACCCAGGATAGCAATGATTTACACCCAACCAGCAATCTTATGTAAGACATAATAGCCCGCCAACCAGCAGAAAAGAAAATTCCAGTTCAAGCTGCAAAGGAAGAAACGCATATCTATCCTTGAAGCCGCCAAATTCAGGAATCCGACTGGAGGATTCAAAGGCATTTGCAAATTTCAAGAGCTTACATTTAGGATGTAATCAGCAGAACCAACTCTCCAGAGCAGTCTGTGCTCTTTTCTAGAGACTACCTACGCGCTCTCATCTCAAAGCTATTCTCGTCTTCTTGACTTTGCTATCGTGAGCAGCTCGCCAGCCATTGCACAGGAGGAGCGCTTCACTTGCCGCCTACACACATCAACACAGAAACAGATCAGCAACCTTAAATTTGCAGCAGCACGCTCCAGGTGCAGCAGTGATGGATTGACAGGCAGCATCAGCAAAGCAGCCTTCAAGAACACACAGAGCACCATGTTTGAAATACACAAAAAGCAGCACCAGCAGAGGAGAAGCAAGTGCAACAGGACGGAGGAAGCAAGCACAGCAGGAGGAAGGGACTCACTCGTGTCACAGAGAGCAGCAGTGCCGCCAGAGTTGGTGATGGTTCCGCCGCAGTTGGTGTTAGTGATGGGCGCTCCACTGCTGCCGTCATTGTTGTTGGTCACGGTCCGGCCGCCGGTCGCGTAGTTGTTGTTAGTAATGTCCCCGAGCAGGTGGCGCCCGTTGTTGTTGTTGTTATTGTTGTTGTTTCCCCCGCCGCCGTTGTTGTTGTTGTTATTGTTGTTGTTGGCACCTCCACCGCCGTTGTTGTTGTTGTTATTGTTGTTGTTTGATCCCCAGCCGCCATTGTTGTTGTTGTTGTCTGCGCGAAGGCAAGGGGACAAAATCAGTACTGATCCTTCCAACATGTATCAAATGACAAATAGCTCAGGGACACAGACATGCATCCAGCAGAGAACACAGTAGAGCCAGGGCACATGAGAGCTTGTTGATGGTGGGCTTTCCAAGCTGGGCAAGGGGATATCAGTATGATTGACAAAGGTGAGCAACTCACTGTTGTTGCTGGAGTAGCCGTTGTTGTAGCCATTGTTGTAGTCGGGGTACCAAATGCCATTCCACCACCAGGTCAGAGAGCGGCCTGTGCAACCATAAGAAGCCCAGGTCAGATCAGCCAGAGACTCAGCCTAAAAAGCCTCACAAGAGCAGTGCATCATGATATGAGAAGGTGACATGGCAGGCGCAAATATGAAAGAAAACGCGCAACTAGGCGTATGCATGGGCGCCAGGGCTCACCCTTGGTGTTTGAGATGTCCTCCAAAAGCTTGCGGCCGTTGTTGTTGTTGTTATTGTTGTTGTTTCCGCCGTTGCCGTTGTTGTTGTTGTTGTTGTTGTTGTTGGCGCCCCCCCCGCCTCCGTTGTTGTTATTGTTGTTGTTGTTGTTGCCACCGCCGCCGCCGTTGTTGTTGTTATTGTTGTTGTTGTTGGCGTTCCATCCGCCATTGTTGTTGTTGTTGTTGTCTGCAAGGCAGAAATACAAGAAAGGTCAGCAAAGGACTTCGCTCAACAGGCAATATTGCAACTACAAGGCGGATCTTCGATCAGAAGAAAGGCACAGTACTTGCAGGGAACAGTGCTCGCAGGGAACAGCACTGCCAGATCACAGCAATTGGCTTTGCTGATGGTGGGCTCTGCAATACGAGCAAGGGGATGACAGCAGCGGTGACAGTGGCAGGAAACTCACTGTTGTTGCTGGAGTAGCCATTGTTGTAGTCTGGGTACCAGATGCCATTCCACCACCAGGTCAGAGAGCGGCCTGCGCAACCATTGGAAGCCCATGTCAAAACTTGCACAGCTGTGTGCAACAGCAATGGTCCTCGAGTTGCCAAGCACAAGCCCCCTAGAAGGAGATCACCTGACCCCCAGCAGCACAGCCAGGGGCCAGAAGGTGATAGTGCAGAGAACAAGTGCAGGTCAGGCAGATGAAGCTGTGTGCAACAGCAATGGTCCTCGACTTGCCAAGCACAAGCCCCCTAGAAGGAGATCACCTGACCCCCAGCAGCACAGCCAGGGGCCAGAAGGTGATAGTGCAGAGAACAAGTGCAAATCAGGCAGACAGGTCTCACCCTTGGTGTTTGAGATGTCCTCAAGCAGGTGGCGCCCGTTGTTGTTGTTGTTATTGTTGTTGGCACCGCCGCCGCCGTTATTGTTGTTGTTGTTGTTGTTGTTGGCGCCCCAGCCGCCACCATTGTTGTTATTGTTGTTGTTGTTATTGCCACCGCCGCCGCCATTGTTGTTGTTATTATTGTTGTTATTTCCGCCCCAGCCTCCGTTATTGTTGTTGTTGTTGTCTGTGGCAGCAGACACAGTATTGATCAGCATGCATGTCCAGCTGAAGCAAGCTTGAATGGCAGTCCTTAGCAAGAAATCAAAGAGCATAGAACAGGATTGTTGGTTTCATTTCAAGAGTCCATGACACCTGATGGCAGCAGTATGTGCAAAAGCACAGCGCAGGACACTGCATGCTGTACACCAAGCAAACAGGTGCACATTGAGGCACTAGCAGCAGGCAAGGGGTGGAACTCACTGTTGTTGCTGGAGTAGCCGTTGTTGTAGTCTGGGTACCAGATGCCGTTCCACCACCAGGTGAGTCCACGGCCTGGCAGAAAAGCAGCACAGGTGTGAGCAGGAACAGTAACACACATGCAGGCAAATCCAAAAAGGAAAAAAACAGGCCTGGTTGTGCAAGGTAGCTAGCCCATCAGCTTGCCCACCAAGGAAATTGATCCTCCGCACTGAGCCCCAATTCGACAGTAGAATCTGTCGACGATGCCATGCATGAGCATGCAGCACTTCGAATGTTCCCCACCTGTGTGCTCTAACTCCTGGGACTCCTTCACGGACTTGAATGCGTCCAGAGACGCTGTGGAGCTGCCCACGAGGGCGAGCAAGCCCAGGCAGACGATGGCTGTCTTCATCTTCATGATGCCTGCGGTCAGTACGTCACATCAGCATATTGGGCGATGAGCAATTTGATAGCGCTGGGACCACCACGTGTACCTCTGATCCTGCCTGAGCTCGAAGACAGCTGGACTGCTGATCCCTACGATGCCCGTTGTGAAGCACTCGGCAAAACGCAGATGAAAGCAAACCCTTTCGCGTCTACTACCCTTCACCGACAATCGCAGAAGGCCAGACACTTCTGTGTATCAAGACGCATGCCGACTCAGTATCCTCTCCAATACATTCTGCTCTGAAAGGGTGTAGGCCGGAGTTGGAATACATTAGATTTACCTTAATTAACCCTGGGAACCACGGAAAGACTCACAGGCCAATTGCCGCAATAAAAAACCATATCAACATCGCGGAAGCTGGCGAGCACGGCCTTATCAACGGGTCAAAACCAACGTCTGGGCAATCATCACCAGCTCTGACACCAAGAATGGATTCATTTTGCTTTCGAATGACTCTATCACGTCAAAATGAAGCATCCAATGTCGTCTGGTCGGTGGTCACACCTTGCCGAGAGCAGGCTTGACGCAGTGCAGGGTGGCAGTACTCTCCCTCTGCCACTGGCGCTGGTCTGTTATCGAGGACACAAGAAAACTCTTGATATACTCAACTGAAAATGAAGACGACTCTGCTTTAAGATGAAATGCGTGGAGCGGGGCTGGTTATATGCTGCGGACACGCAACTTCGCAAGCGGCTTCCATGGGCACTTGATCATGAGACGCAGGGCACCCGAGTAATCAAAATCCACTACTTTAGTGGATGTAAACGCTACTAATGTGGTGGATTATTGGCAATCAGGGGCCATGCCACCTGGTAACACATTCCATAGCATGCCATTTTGGTAATAAAAATTAGGCCTTTCGTCAGTAAGCATGGAGAATGATCAGTGATGTGTTTCTGTACCGAGCATGTCACTTATTATTGCTAGGATCCCGTGTTACAAGTGTGGCAGTGACAAGGAGAAGCTTCATCCGAACTGCGCAAGTTCAGAACGCTTGACTCGCTGTGTAGGTTGTGATTATATTATCAGATTCTATTCAGAAGGTCTGACAAAGGACGAATACGGCCACGACGCTGTTGCCGACTGGGTCTTCAAACAAGAGGCAAGGGTGCCATTGCAACGTTGCAATGCCGTGGACTCAGGGGTCAGATATTTCCATCAGAGCTGCCTTGGCCGAGATGAACCTTCAGCATTGTCCAGAGCTAATGGCTACTATTCTATTCGCGGGAAGATTGAGAGCGAAAAGTATCCAGAGCTCAGAAATATTACCCACAAATGCTGTGAGGACTGCGTCATTGCAGCCCAAACCAGGGGCAAGGATCTCAATGAGGATAAGTTGAATTTTATCATGCATCAAGGAGTGATTGGTAGGTCTCAATAAGCACTCCATCTTTGAAGGTTGGGAACACCTATGTTTTGAATCTCCCCATGACCTTGACACAGAGTAACTAACTCTGACTTTTGCGTTGCGTTCAGAGGCAGAGACCGGCGACTTGGAGAGGAAGAGAGCCGATAGGCGATCAAGCAAGATTCGAGGCATCATTGGTGGTCAGCAGGCTCGCCTCGAAGACAATGGGACGACTTCGACCGCCATCTTTGCAACGAGACACCTCAATCAGAAAGTCAGCTTCAGCAAGAGCGCCAGCAGATTGCTGGCAGCAGTGCCCAACCTGAACAGGACAGTGATGGCAGCCTCGTATCTCCAGGCCAGTGGACTTCAGGCAGGCCAGACAGCCCAAGGACAGGCGCAGAGGGGCGCCACAGCTGCAGCAGGCGGCATGCAGGGTCCCGCAGCCCCAGAGGCAGAAGCTGCAGGACCTTCGCAAGCGCCACAGCCAGGGATCAGCCGCAGGCAGCTCAGCGCTCAGGGAGCCGAGCAGGACATCGTCCAACGGTGGCTTGCGTTCAGCCTCAAGGCCTCATCCACCGTTGCAGAGCTGAAGCGGTTCCTGCTTGACAGAGGCCAGCGGCCAGTGATCTTCACCAGAAGCGCGCTGCTCGCCAGGGTGGAAGGGCTGCTTAGATTTGAGCATCCAGAAGGTAGCTATCCATGATGGCTGTAACGATCAGCGCCTACACATCTTATGCCTGGCAAATTAATAACATGTCCTCACCATTTCCTCTGGACATCTTATGCGCTGGCAGCTAATGGATGCTGTCATGCAGGTGGACTGGAGCCGAGTGCGGCGGCGGTTGAAGAGATCACAGCCGCTGTTGAGGCCGCAGCCCAACCGGCACGGCAAAGACCAGCAAGGCAGAAGGTGGGCATCTTGTTGAGGATCCTTATGTTTGCATGTGCTTTGTGAACGCCTCTCATCTGTCAAGCTGCTGGTGCAGTGAAAGCGAGTTTGGCTGAACACACTGATTGTAAGTTATTGTTGTTACAGGCGCCGAAGAAGTCACAGCTTCAGATGGAAGCGGCCAAGTCCATTGTTAACAAGGGTGAGTGGGCGCTCTCAGCTGGAAGCTCTGATCACCTGGTGACTGTTGCACACCCGAGAAGGCTTTAACTTCTGCAGATTTGATGGAAGGGAATGATAGCCAGTCAATTGAGGCGCTCACATGTTTGCAGGAGTGAGCAGCGGCCTGCCCGTGGTCAAACTCAAGCAGATTGACGAGTTGCTCTGGACCTTCGACAAGTGCCACTACCTGCCGCAGTTGGGGGAGAGCACTCCCTCGATTGGTGTCGCTCTCTGGGCCGTCACAAGCACGCTGCACCGCGACGGGGAGTTCCCAGCACGCAACTTGTCCCAGTTGGGTCGTGCTGCCAAGGCTCCTGTTGGTTTGGTGCGCGCTGTGCAGCCAGGCAGCGATGGCACCCAGCTGCATATGGAGATATGGTTCCTCGAGGCGCGCGTGCAGACAGATAGCCAGGGGGAGCCCGAGGCAGCGGTGGCAGGGGAAGGCGGTGGGGCACGCGCAGATGTGGAGGGACGGGGTGCAGGAGAGGCAGCCACCGGTGGGGGCGTGCAGGAAGGGCATGGGCGGGGTCGGGGCAGGAAGCGTGGCCGCCGCGGCACAGGCGGGGCGCGTGGCAGCAATCGGCCCAGAAGGGGCAGCCGAGGCAGGCTCAGGCGCCCAACCGCCAGAGCCGCAGAGTTTTGGGGTCCCCCCACTGAGGGCGACGAAGACGAGGTTGGGAACCTCTTCTCTGAGTCAGATGCGGATGACCAGCCAGCGCAGCAGCACAGTGACCCAGCAGAGCCAGAAGGGCAGGCAGAGGGTGTCCTGCCTGAGGCCAGCGAAGTGCCGCCGCAGCCCACAGCTTGTGCGAGCCAGTCGCCGTTGCACGGCTGCTTGCTGGCAGATGAGTCGCCGCAGCCTGTGCCAGTCCCCAACGTGCGGCTGAGCATGCAGGGGCATGCCGCATCGCCGGCCAAAATGGCTGTGCTGGTGATCGACTACCGGCACATTGCAGCGGCCCTCTGTCATCCAAAACGGCTGAAGGTGGCTCTCGGAGGCGCTGCCGGGAGCTCGCCCATGAACGTCGAAGAGGCTGCAACTGGTGTGGCGCTGGCAATGTTGCTGGCTGAGGAGCAGAATGCGGCGCGCGCCGGAGAAGGTGAGGAGCCATCATGGCTCTCTTTGTCCTGGCTTATATGATTCCACTCACAGTGAGTTTCTAAGTTATAATGCCATGCGAATCATACCCCGAAGGTTTATCGACAGGTAATTGTCAGCAATAAGCTGACGACAGGCATGTGTTGTCTAGGTGGGAGTGCTACGGCAGCGGAGCAGTCGCAGTCAGCCTTGGAGCAGTCACCGCTGTCTGGCGCCATGGTCTTCTTTGATCCTGCTCTGGAGCTCGCTGCCGATGAGGAGCCAGCTTCCTCCTACCGCTCTGCAGATGGCCCAGCAGGCATGTACAAAATCCTGCTCTGTCATTCCTGTGAACTTGTCAACTGACTGCTCTCATACGCTGGTGTAGTTGATTTGTTCATGTCTTGTCTCTCAATGCTGAAGTGTCTGCTTGCCCCTTTGCCTGAGCCATGCCTGTCTTTCACGCACCCTGCTCCACATGCTGTGCTTGCCCCTTTGCCTGAGTCATGCCTGTCACTCACGCACCCTGCTACATATGATGTGGTAGAGTGCCGCACCTAAGGGTCATCTGGGTAATACTAACAACAGGAATAAATTTGAGCTTGACATCCTAGCAAGACACTAGGGAAGATATTGCTTGAATGCGGTAATAATCGCGGATTGTAAGCAGCTGTGTGTTGGTGCGCGCAGGTCGACCGTCCCTGGAAGTTTCCTCCCCTGGGATCAACATGGAAGCTGCAATGGGTGTCATCGCAGGGCTGGCATGTCAGCTGAACCCCTCGCCGCAAGCCAGAGGCCATTCGAGCGCGCACAGTGACGTGCAGATTCTGCCAGATGACACAGTCTATGTCCTAACAGATGACAGGAGGATAGTGGGGACGGCAGAGGTGGTGCATATTGGGCCTGGCACACGGTTCCACGGTGCTGAGCTTGAGGGGTTTGGTGTTATTTGCGGGCTCACCATCACAGACGCAACTGGGGCTGGACACCAGAAGGCATGGTTGAGCGACACAGATGAAGTCAGAGCAGGCAGAACACCCTTGGAAGCAATTGGGGGCAATCAGATGGTGGCAGTTCCCGAGAGGTGCCTTCGCTTTCTGAGGCGCCCACCGGCGGCTGGAGAGTGACTTGCAATGTGATCTTTGCACTTTCAAGCTAAGTCAGTTTCAAGCTTAGTCAGAATTGGCGTGTGAGCATGACGCAAATGTAGCATCAATTTTTTTTATGTCCTAAATTTGATATTGCAATGAGGACTGTAGTAGGTTGTGACCAAGTCTGCCTCACTACAAGGCGTTGCACATCCATGCGCTCTACGCAACTAATATTAGTCACTCACTTGTCCCTCTCTGCACATGTGCGCAACAATCATGACGGTAACCAGATATCATGCATGTAACAATCTGTAAGGTAATTTTGCTCCCGGTTGCCTCACATGCTCAACCTTCGAATCTGAAGTGGCCAGTGGGATGGAGCACTTCTGCTTGAAGACAGAGCACTGCTGCTGACCGCCACAAGGTAGTGGCGGTGGAGGGCAAGAAAATAAATCCCCTGAGCCTATCTTATAATATTATTAACCCCATCTGTCATTGAGCAGCCTGGCTCGTTCTTGCTGTTTCTCTACGATGTCGGTGTCGAAATCCACTCACATAGAATGTTGAACGTGGAAGAATTGCTACAAGATTCTTCTCAGCATCATCGCACTTCTTGGTCGCTGCATAAAGACACACGGCATGTCACATCAGATGGCGCAAAGGTGATGCCCTTATCTTGCCGGCACCCACGCTATGGTACACGCACGCGATGTGTATCAATCAAATGTGCCACAAGCGACAGAATTGGGGTGTCAATTTGCTGCACAGCGTGGGTGCCCCTCCTTGATGGGCACATCTCTTTACATCGAGCAGCCATCTGAGATCGCCAGGGTTGAGGACGTGCTGTCCGTGCAGCACGCACTCAGCGTCAATATTTAGACTCTTTCAATATTGATTATTGATGGTATTCTTGTGAAAGAGTCTCTTGACCGGCCCTGTAGGTATCGCACGCTATGAAGAGGCTTTTGCAGTCCAGGGTTGGGGCAGCACACCTCTGAAC